AAAAAAAAAAAAAAAAAACACACACACAAACACAACACGATCAAAAAAAGTATTGAAATCCGCGCGCACCAAAACCGACCCTTGACAAGACACCCATCATATCTTCATGAAATGCTTCCAATTTTGATATTAAACAGATAGTTAGCTATAAACCAAATGTACTAAACAGATACGCCCAAAGAAAGCCAAGGAAAACAAAAAAGAGATCGGTATCTTATTCAGAAGGTACCCTTCTCTCAGGCCTTTCAGGCCGGGGTCGCCTCAAACTCTTCATCCGATTCATGAAACCACCTCCATTCTGTCTGATCTCATCTGCACCAATTGATCCATTCGTAGCGTTCCTCTCTAGTGCACCCGTCCTTCTCGGGCTGCTAGATGCCCGGAGCCGGCCAGAAATTACAGTCTCTTCGATTTTAACTCCCTTGGTGTCGTAGGCCTCGTCGTAGTCCTGGAAGAACGGATTCCTCTCATTTGCCCGACTGGATCCGACGGTAGGGCCTGCACTAGATGGGCTAGTTTGCATTGACTCTGGCGAACTTACTCTGACGGTCCCGGTCCGATTGATACCCTTGAATCTATTGGCCAAGCTCTTTGTACGTTGAATGCCACCGTTGGATTGTGGTTGATTCTCTGTTTCGCTTTGGCGGCGCTGAATTGCAGAGCGACTAGCAGGCGTGCCTTCCAAGAAGGTGCTCGTACCAAGACCCATGCTCTCGGTACCATGAATGACTTCGGCTTTCGCCGAATCAAATGCTGCATCGCCCTTTCTAGAGACTGCAGTCGCCGAATAATCCAAGTATCCTTCAGATGTATGGCCGTGGATCAATTCCAAATTGAGGCTTGAGTTAATAGGGCCTGAACCACCAAGAGCCATATTCTTAGAGTCCTTAGGAAATGCTTGCATCGGCGCCTGTCGCGATCCCTTTCTGTTGCGGTTAGGATTGCAAGCGTCGAAGGGACCATCGTGGTGAAAAACTAGAGGGGGGAATATTAGCTATGAGTTTACCCAGTGCCTTAAGAAAGAACGTACCTCCTGTTCCGAAGATCGAGGTCACATCAAGTTTGTCAATCACATCTAGTCGGTAGCCGGGCGTACGCTTTGACCGACTCTTTCCTTCGCGATGGCGTCTTTCGCGTCGACGCCTCTCTTCCTCTGAATCTATCGCCTTTGGCTTTTCCATGATAGAGGATTCGGAGTTTCGACGAGGGCGAGGGGGACGCCCGTCACGAGGTCGCGAAGACCGAGATTCCTTCTTCTTTGGAGGATCGGCAAAAATATCGAACGGATCCTCCTCCCGTCTTTTGTCCCTCGACGGATCCCGGTGCCGTTCCCGATCTCGGATCTCTTGACGAGGTCTGGAGGAAGAAGAAGGTTTATCAGGGCGTGGAGGTGCAGGTCGACGTTCTTTGGGTTTGGAATCGAGCGTAAGATTTTCCTGGCAGTTCCATTATCAGCCAACCCGGACTACGAGGATACATGAATTTCTCGATTCCAAACTCACAAATAGTTCAGCAGTGTTGCCAGCGAAGGGGTGCTTATCACTCGAGGGCGACAACACAGCGCCAGCTGGAGCAGATTGAGGAGACATCATCTCGGTAGTATCCAAGAAAGGATTCGTCGAGCGAGGTCGCTCTGGTCGAAAGTTGGGGGAAACAGGGGAGGTGCTCGAAGGAAGAGTACGGTTGCGAAATGGATTATTTGAACCCAACTGGTTGCTATTGGGCTGAGAGGATTTGTGCTCTGTAAATAGACCAGCAGTCGAAAGATTAGCAATGTGTTTCAAGTCTCGTAGGTCAAACATCTAGTGGAGAGAACAATATGAAACGAATGGGATGAATGCCCTGAGAATATAGAACTATTGGCCAAGGCCGTCATAATCTTCTTTTTCAACAGGCGATTCGCTCATTCACCAGACAAGCGGACGACGGACGATGGAGATGTGATACTTACCAGGCACGGAGAGTGGAGCAAGCGACATGTTGGGGGGAGGCGGGGGGGGGAATGATTTATTCAGAATGGGACACTTGTCGTGTCAGAGATAGGCAGCAGGTGCGGTATTGGCTGCAAGGTAAAGACAGCGGACAAACCACAGAAAAGAAATGAGAAGCAGTCGTCGTAGTGTACTGCGCACGCGACGACAGGCGTTTGGTTCGAGATTAGGAAGGGGGCAGTTGAAACGTGACGTGCTCAGGAGGTTTCAGAAATCAGAGCGGACTTGGCTACGGGCGCAGTTGGTGGACCAGCGTCAAATTAGACGGACGGGCTGGTTCGGCAGTAGTTATATCGGGTAGGGAGCACAGAAGCTTTTATGTATGATTGCCAGAATCGAGCGCTAAAAGGGCCAAGGCACCCCCTGTTGGGAAGTTAAAGTCAGTCAGTCTTCTGAGCGGACGAGACCGAGTGGGTTTCCCAAGAGACGATCGCCGGACGGTTGCTAGCACACGCACGGCATGCAACAGTGCCAATCTCGGGGCCGCTGCAGCGTCTGGGTGGTACGGGAGGGGGCGAGACGGTGAGACGATGGAAATATGAAGGCGACGGTGACGGTGGCGGTGATGATGGAAAGCGAAGAAAATAAAATCAAAGAGAAGTTGAGTTAGTTATTAGCATTAGCCAATAACGGAAAGAGCGAACTAGACTAGCTTAGTAACCGACGTTCTGGCAGGGAGGGAAGGAGCGCATAGGTTAGTTAATCTTAATCATATATTTATTACTCGGCGGTGGGGGAAGGAGCGACGAGAGACCAAGTCGTGAGTAAGTCCCGTGTTTTGCCTTTTTGGGCTGTACCTGTGTCGATGATGTGCGGCGAACCACCTCGTCAGCCTCACCTGCAATCTTCGTCCCTCTCTCACTCGTGCGCGCTATTCTCCGCGCAATCCGACGAGAGCGCTGTGCACTTCACTTTGCTGTTTTCTATCTCTTTTTTTTTATTCCGTTCTTCGCACCTACTAGCTAGCCCATCACCACATGCGGGCCAAGTACTACTTTAAAGGCTAGTGCAAGCCCCCTCAAGCCAAGTAGGAGGGGGTTCGATAGCCGTCGGGTTCTTTCTCCCCAGAACTGCTTGTTTGCGCCAGTCTCCAGGGGTCGCTTAGTCCTGTTGTATCCGAGAGAATAGACCCCTTGCGATATCGGTTCCTGTCGCTTCGATCCGGAATAATAATATAATATATGTTGTCCACGATCTGTCACGTACTCAATGGCAGCCTTGCTTGTCTCACAAGCACATTCCTCCTATGTACGTACTACGGGAGTATAACCATTGCGTACGTCCTCGTGGCAGGGTTAGATCTGCATCGGCATCCCTCATTCCTTCATCTGATACAAAACCTCTCGCGAAGCGTGTGGCAGAGAAACGCTCTCGCATCTGAAAATAAACACGCCCCACGGTGTGTAGGCATGGATTAAAAAGAAATGCCAGCCGTTCAATTCCGGGTATTGCTAAGCGAGGGTCAATGTAAAAAATGCTTGCTTCAGATTCGCATGTCCACATTGTCTCAGTGCTAGACATCCTTTGGGATGGAAGACATGGAAGTTGATGCTAGGAATGTTAGTGACGTCAAAAAGTCGGGACTCATTGACTGAGACAGCATTCATGTGCAACGGTATCAATGCATGCATCCTTGATTTCTGAACGCACTCGCTGAAGCCCTTCTTTTGTGCTGGCCTGGAACATTTGGTCCAGAACTGGGGTCGGGAATAGTCCCTTGCAGCACTCAGTGAGACTATTATGCAGTGCCAAGTAACGCATCCAACTAATTACGTGTCACAATAGCTTGAAGTTCAACGGGTGATTCTGATTCATCCCTGAGGCTTCTCTGAAATTCTAATCTTCAAGTGTTAGCATGTATTAGGTAGGTAGCCACTCACTTCGCACTCGACTGACAGGATAAAGATCGGCGTGGGCGTAAGAGAGAGAATATCATGAGGGTAGTTACGTAGTTTGATATGCAATTTTCTCCTCATTTGGTACCTGTAAGAAGGTCCTCGGCGGCTTGGAAGGGTCAAACTGACAATGGTGGATCACCGGATAATGATATGGATGGAACGCGAAATCATTATTCCGAATAAAGAAGAATAAACCACCATGTGGTCCTACTACCCAGAGATGGTGATGTGCGAACCAACAGCAACATACACCTATTTACAAAAAGAGGTGTCTTCCGGGCGATGTCGCGTGCGTCTGAACTAATTACGCCGAAAAGCAGCTGCTCTGTCTCACCACTTATTAGACCCAGAACCTCGCAGTGCAATACCCAACCATCACTACAAGCAACACCCTCTTCTAGCGATTTTATATTATAACCATGGACCCTCCTCCTCCACCACCACCACAACAACAACCACCGCCGTCTCTCACCAATCCCCGCTTCACATTGGAGTTGGAATTCGTCCTTTCCCTCGCAAACCCCTACTACCTCTCTCACCTTGCGATCAGTTTCCCAAACCTCCTCGGCACATCGACAGTCGACGAGAAGGGCGATGAGGACAGCGACGAAGCCGAATTATCATCATCAGCCTCGGGAAAAGAAGCGCGAGCGTTCCACGCATACCTTGCATATCTCTATTCGTACTGGAAAACACCCGAATACGCGCAGTTCCTGACACATCCCGGCGCGACGCTACGAGCACTTCGCTTACTCCAAGAAGAATCTTTCCGTCGAGATATTATTCGGCCTCAGGTGATTGAGAGCCTGCTGGCCACGCATGGGGAAGACGCTCAGGCAACTACTGCACCGGAGAATGAAGACTCGGTCGAAATCGGCAATGGAACACAGGCATCATGATAATAATACGACCAGCGTATTTAATATCCATTCACGCCATGGCTTTTCCTAGTTCCAGAAGGCCCGGACTACTATATCTGCCTCCCTCCCCATCGTAAATGGGCAGAGGGGGTCTGGATAGTTTCGCGACGATCAACAGGTCGATTACCAACATTGGTGCTACAATCTCCACCACAAACAGATCCGAGGCGAGGGCGACGTTGATTTTGTTTGAATCCTCAGCCTTGATAGCACGTGTCACCGAGGAAAGCTACTCCCCAGAACCCCCACCAACTCATTTGCTTGTACGATACGATGGAAAGGACTGCCGTTCTGGCAATTGGTCAGCTCAACCGCTCAGACACGGCGTGAAGGGTACCGCAGACTGAGCTTAAAGTTCTGTTTGGCAAACAAGATTGTTATGTGCGAAGAAGGGACGTACCGTGGAGGACAGCGTTCCTGATCAGCCACCGCCATGTATTCTTCGTGCCAATGGCCACGTACCTCTGGCTCTTCACTATTACTATTAGTATCACAGCATCATAATACTATCGTCGTACGTATGTCAATTGTGCAAGGTGCATAGCATAAAACTGCCAAAGTCGAGGGTGGAGCGCTCTGCAGCCTCCGGCCAATGAGAGCGACCGGGCCTTGGTCCATCCGTCATCTCCGCCCAGACTCCCAACTTCCCAGGGCGAATTCAGCTCAGAACTTCCAGTGGCTCGCTCAACTAAACCGACCCGTCGCATAGAGATGCCTCCTCCCATGACTCAATATATACGCATATAACTGCATTCCCCAAGCCCTCGCCTTTGCAGGCAACCGAACTCAACAAGGCTCGAGAGCCGGGAGGGGGACACGCGAAAAACCTCGACTACGTAAGGCAGCCCGCTCAACCCGTACCTGTCGCCCTTCCTTATTTACTAGCAGAGTCTGAAGCCCTTGAATCACAGACTTGATCAGATCGGTGATCTGGTAGACAACTACAATATCACACTTTCGCTCTTTATATCGCCGACTCTAAGGAGAACCCTTTCTCTCGTGCTGGCGCAAGTGCCACCCCCCGCTCGCATTTGAACAGCAATCAAGTCATTGCCACACAATCTACGAACATCATGGAATCTGTGCGCCAGTCAGTGCGCCCAAAGCATCAGGTGCTGATTCTGAAGTGCTTTCCTCGCTATCAGAAAGGAGTGCTCGAGGTAAAGCCGAATCCGAGTGAACTCTCCTATCTCCTATACTACGCCAGTACGCGTCGCAGCAAACTGCAGAAGGTGGGCGCTTTTCTGGAGAAGAAAACTGCGCGGGATGTTTCAAGGGGCAGAATAGGGTAAGGAAGAATGTTATATTGTCAATATAGTAATTAGAATGACAAACTAACTTCTGTAGGAATGTCCAGGTCGTCCTCCAAATCCTCACGGCGCTTATCGAGAAGCTGCCCCGTGAGCTACCCCTCTACGGACACTCAATCTTAAATATTCTCGAAACGGTTCTTCGCTCCAATGATATCGCCATGGTGGAAGACACTCTTCAGACGTTTGAGACCTTTTGCAGTAACCAAGACCTCGCAATCCTAGCTGCTGAGCAACGATATGCTACACAATATGAGCGCATAGTTCGAAGCTATGCGGAATTTGCCTCTTCCGAGTCGAGCATCCCGTCTATATCAGCCGCGACTACTCTGCCCACCAGGTTACGCTGGAAGAACATAGGATTAAAGGCTATGAGGAGTATTGTGAGCTCTGAGGCTCTCAGCGCCGATGGCGGAAAACCAGTCACTTTTATTGTGCCGGTCATTTTGGAAAATGTATACGACGGCGGTGAGGATCTCCTCCTTCTGCAACAGACGTCACAGACTACCGAGAAGACGACGCCTGAGCAGGGCAGACGTCGTCGCGCAAGTACAGTAACTGTGCGGACTGTCGATACCGCCGAGGGAAACGTGGCGGAAGCATCCGGCACCACAGCAGATGCCGACAAGGTAGCAGAACTAGAAGTCCGACTGCTTGCGTTGAAATGTCTCGAGCGCATTTTTGTTGTCAGCAGCAATCGATCACAGATACGTACAGCTGCAGGGCTTGTACTACAGTTCATTGTGAGCAAACGTGGAAGTCCACAATCCGAGAAAGCGCTCCAAGATTATGGAAAATGGGCCAATTCATTGATGGATCTCATTACGAAATGGTGCCCAGTTCAAGATCGTTTCATCATTCTATTCACTGCAGTCGAGATCTTGCGGGGAATATCGTCAGATCGGCGACCAATTGGCCAACAGATAGTCATGGCATCGTTGATTGACTCGCTGTTGAAGTCGCCTGTAAACATGATTGGATTAAGTGTTATCGATGTTTTAGTCGGCTTCGTTCAACACATACTGCGTATACTCCAAGCTCCGTCTTCACAGTCAAATTTGCCGACCCCGACTGGTTCTACTACAGATGGAGCGCTTCAACCGAATCCTATACTCACGGGTGAACATGCAGAACTAGTATCTTTATTGAAACAGTGCATTGCTGATCTGGCCACGCACAATTACTATGCCGACCAGATTTCTGACATGATTCGAACCCTTTTAAAGCGAATTCGTCCTTCGGGTCCCCTGGATGTTGCAGCAAGCACGAAGACACCTTCTGATCCCAATGCATCTGCATATCATATTCCTAGCTTGGCTGGCGAGGGTCATGTTGAGAATTATTTCTATTCATCAGCTTCGCGCATTGTCGCCCTTGAAGCAGTCAAGGATATTCTTGAGGTTGCCAATCAGGGCAAAACCACAACAGGTCTGAGCATTGAACCACGAAATAAAGTCGGCATACAGGTATGGGAGGCAACACACTGGCTTTTACGTGACTCTGAGCGCGACGTACGTATTACATATGCCAATGCCTTCATTTCCTGGCTTGAGCTTGAAACTACGAAAAGCGACCTCCAGGTCCCAGACTTGCCTAGCAGCCGACCATCCCGGGTCCAATCTAAGCGAGAATACGATGCGCCTAGACGAACTGCATCTTTGATGCCCACTGACAAAGTGCAGAACCAGGTCTCGTCCGCTTTTCTGCAACTTTTACATCTAGCTTTATACGAGACTACTTTCGAATATGCGGAAACCAAAGAGGATATCCTTGTTGTGTATGCATTACTCGTCACGCTCGTCGAACACCTTGGCGTCAACGCTGTGCGGTTTGGGCTCCCTATGGTTTTAAAACTGCAAAGTGACTTTTTCGGTTCAACGGTTTCTCAGGTAAACATTGGAAGTCTTGTCTATGGCTACTTGAACGCACTAGTTGGAAAGTTTGGCTTTGAGGCCTCCAGAGTTGGTAATGAGATTCAGAGTGAAATTTCTAGGCGAAAAAGTCATGGGGTATGGCTTGAAATGGTTCTACTTCCACCTGTTTCGCCGGGTCAAATACCATCTCCCGCCTACGACAACCTTCCTAGGCCAGCTCCTCAGGAGCCTCTTCGGTCTTTTACTTCTGTAGAGGAGCTTGTTCAACACATCGAAGTTGGTTACGTAACCTCACTAATGGCGGCGCTCCAGAATGTTCCTGGCTCTCCAGGTAAGCAAACTGCTTCTTCTCAAAGTCCTGGGCATGGATATTTCGAAGCAAGTCAGAATCCCCCGACCCTACCTGCAGATGTAAAGGACGATATGCTCTCGATCTGGTCGAAAGAGGCTTGCGTAGCGGTTTTAGAAAAGGAAAAGACGAGGGCATCTTCTGTGGCTGGATCAAAAAACGGCAACTCTATCAGGCGAAGCCATGGCAGTCATCTTAACGGATACGGATCTCAAACTCCTAATGACACAGGATCAACCTCCAGTCAATATGGTTATAATAATACGGCTGCTTTGGGTGCAGGTCCCGGCAGTTCGTCCAGTTCTCGAGCTTACCGCCGACCATCCAACCGAGCGGAGGGTTCTCCTGGTGTGTCGAGTAGAGACTCTACAATCCGTGTCAATGACTTGAAAAGAATGTTGACCGTAGCGGGAAACTCCAACGTCCGTCGATCCAGTCCGCTACGAGGCCGTCTAGATGCCACAAGTAATAGCAGCATCCTAAGCTCAAGCAGCGAGAGCTTTGTGAGCGGGACATTTTCGGCATCTGACTTTGATGCAGGAAGCAGGCCGCAATCTATTCGAGAAGGGTCTGAGACGCCCAAAGCTTCGTCTTCTTCCTCCAGTCAGATAGGCGGTAGTGGCTCATCTGAGTACAACCATGATGTTATCCCGCCAGTGCCTCCTCTTCCTTTGGGGCTTGTAATACCTGGTGACTACCCTGATAGCAGCTCATCAAATATATCCCGACAGAACTCAACACGTTCTGATGATGGCCGTTCATCTGGCTCACCCAGTCAGCTGAAGTCTGGCGGTCGATCAACGGCAGCACAACTAGGTCAATCCTTGAGTGGAAAAAGGACACGATCGATCAATAGTCTTCACAAGGCAACTGGCCTCAGGCAGCAACAACAGCAGGCTTCCCATGCATCGTCACCTACTACTACTGGTTCTGATGACATCAGGCGCGACATTGAGAAACTCCTCGACGGCGTTCTGTCGCCCGATAATAACAGCAACACCCTGAAGTCTATTGATCCAAGTCAGGGCATTACGCCAAGGCGAAAAACTAGTGGCATTGGGCGTCCTCCATATTAGATTGATCACATTTGCATGTTCGTTTCTCTTCGGTGTATGCCTCTTTGTAATTGATCCCAAATATTCTTTGTGCCCTTCTTTCTTTGTTGCCGATTTCGAGTTGTACATATCACTTCTTCTGCTTTCTTTCTTTCTTTCTTTTTTTTTTTTATCTTTCTCTTGTTCAGATTCTCTTGGTGCTCCATACCTCTTCCACTTCTGCTTTTCCTTTGTGCATGGGAATGGTATATTCCTATAACAAGCCGGCTGCTGCATGCCCCATCTTTCATATACATACATGCATACATACATACACCCCATTGGATGCCTGTTTATAGAGGGAAATGAATCATTATTACCTACATTTCACTTCTGAACTATAGGGAATGCGTTGCAGCCTACGAACGGGGAACTAGTGACAAGATCTCATTGAGGGCAATCCTTTGTAAAAAACACAAAGAATCTGCATCTTTTGTTCAATGACTGTCCAGGTGATCTTATAAGCCAAAGTTTTCCTCTCCCTCCTCCTGTCCTTTCCTTCTTCCCCGTCACTTTGTCTATCCCTGATCATGCTTTTCACTTACTTTTAAGACCTATATGGCACCTACATGCAAAGGAAGCTTGATAAGTCCCGTCAATGACTACGTCTTCTCGAGACCAGCACGATGGACGATCTGAAGTGTACAAATGGCTTCTTCTCACCACATACACAGGAACGTACTTTTGGAATTGGCGAGACGATACCGCCATGGAAAACATCCGTCGTGACATTTTGGACACATGGTCCCCTGAGCCTGCCAATCCACTTGGTCCTTTCTAGTTACGAGCCTCATCCGGAATACAATTTGGGACGATATCCAGAAGTATTGGCTCGGCCTTCCATCAAAGCTCCAAGCCCGGATACCTCCCGATTTCATGTTCCGTGCAGCCAGTTAGGCAGATGAGGTGTGGCCCAAACATCTAGCTGGATTATTCAATGTCCTGCAATAAGAACACAGACTTATTAGACCGAAGCCGACTTCAACACTCTTGTCACTACCACACCCGCGATCCATGAACCTGCCGACCTAAAGGCTTACTTCGCGGAGTGGGCTTTTAGTTGAAAAAGCCCAAGTCAAACCTCGGAGAGACAAACAAACGTCTGCATTCGGCTATCAGGTGTACAAACTCTTTGCATAAGCAAACATCATATCTATCCATGATCTAGCGCTATCACGGCGAGGAAACCCATAGCAAAGATACCCAAGACCATCATACACGATGTCCACGAATCGCCTGTTCGTCCTACCGATCGCCGTGGTATGCTATATTTGATGCCTTGATTCTCGCATACTCGCAAAGGAGGGAAGCACTGGAGCGAAAGAAAGCGAGGTATACACGTCCATCATGCAGCTGCAAAACAACCACGCCTAGTAGATGAGACTGGAAAACGCTGTTTGATGGTCACATATGAAACCAACCAGTCTATGTCATGAGGCACTCCAGGGCTTGCTTGTAGGCTCGGCAGTAATGAGAAAACTTCTCTTAGTCTAAAAATGTCTCAATTACTTAGGAACGATTCGTCCCTCGTTGTGTACGACCCGACGCTGTAAACCATCATCCATCCATGAATACTTGTAAGGAAATCCCCCCCCCCTCTTCTATATTTTCTCCCCCATCTCTGCTGAAAGCTCTTTTTATTCGCAATCTCTAGACTCATAATTCTAGTTCATGGCTTGTATTCCATTTATTCAATACAATTCTAGCAATGCGCCTACAACCATTGTGCGGTTTTGGGAAGCCTCCCTCGCCGCGCCTTTGAAAAGGTACAAGTCCTCCTCCCACGAAACATGTCAGATGAAGGAATTCATACAAGATTCCAGAAAGCGTGAGGAAGAAGCTCAAGTTTCACAGGAAAAATAACTACAAACGGAAGATCGGAGACATTGAGGACTTGGTTGAAAGACAGAGAGTAGTTGCACGAAGGTATCTAGACAAGAAAGCTTGAGAATGCTCTTCGCGAACAGTAACGAATACCATCGCCAGCTCTCTGGGTCAGGTCTACGAAAGGATTCGCTTGAAAAGCAAAAGACTCCTGCCCAATGTGCTCTCTTGATTTTCTGCTTCGTTATTTTATTATTACCAGGTCCAGGCATGCACTTGTGCAGGTTCGCAGGAAAGGAATTAACGTAACGGAATTCAGTCTCGTAGAATTAACTACATAGCTACTAAAGAAGTCTAATTCCATAATTCCATAATCCCATTTTATTCATAAGATTTTCATCAAAACATCCCTTCATCCAGCCGAATTGCAGCAAATTTTTGAGATGAAGAGTTTATTTCTTACCACCGGCCTTCTGGGCAGCCTTGGTGACCTTTCCGGCACCAGCGGCAGCCTTCTCAACGGACTTGACGACGCCGACAGCGACCTGATCAGTTAACGTTAGCATCTGAAGCAAGAAAAGAACCGATAATGAGGGATTAAGACGAGAAGAGTGGAACTTACGGTCTGACGCATGTCACGGACGGCGAAACGACCGAGAGGAGGGTACTCAGTGAAAGCCTCAACACACATGGGCTTGGAAGGAATCATCTTGACGATGGCAGCGTCACCGGACTTGATGAACTTAGGGTTGGACTCAACAGCCTTTCCGGTACGACGGTCGATCTTCTCAAGAAGCTCAGAGAACTTGCAAGCAATGTGGGCAGTGTGGCAGTCAAGGACTGGGGCGTAACCAGCACCGACCTGACCAGGGTGGTTGAGGACGATGACCTGGGCGTTGAAGGAGGCAGCGCCGGAAGGAGGGTCGTTCTTGGAGTCACCGGCAACGTTTCCACGACGGATTTCCTTGACGGAAACGTTCTTCACGTTGAAACCAACGTTGTCACCGGGCTGACCGGCAGTGAGCTGCTGGTGGTGCATTTCAACACTCTTGACTTCAGTGGTGACGTTGGCAGGAGCGAAGGTGACAACCATTCCAGGGCTGATGGTACCAGTCTCGACACGACCGACAGGAACCGTTCCAATACCACCGATCTTGTAGACATCCTGGAGAGGAAGACGGAGGGGCTGTGAAAGTAGAGTTAGTAAAGACATATATAGAAAGCAAAGACAGCAGAGATAGTACTAACCTTGTTGGCGGGACGAGTGGGGGGCTCGATGGCGTCGATGGCCTCAAGAAGGGTCTTACCGGTGGACTTGCCAGCCTTGGTCTCCTTCTCCCAACCCTTGTACCAGGGGCAGTTGGTGGAGGGCTCAAGCATGTTGTCACCGTTGAAACCGGAGATAGGAACGAAAGGAACGCTCTTGGGGTTGTATCCAACCTTCTTGATGAAGTTGGAGGTCTCCTTGACGATTTCGTTGTAACGGTCTAACCTCGAAGTCAGTATGGTTGGGACTACGGCCTAGGGTTCGATAGAAAGATGAGACTCACCCTGAGACCACTTGCAGGTGTCCATCTTGTTGAGGGCAACAATGAGCTGACGGACACCGAGGGTGAAGGCCAAAAGGGCGTGTTCACGGGTCTGGCCATCCTTGGAGATACCAGCCTCGAATTCACCAGTACCAGAGGCAATGATGAGAATGGCGCAGTCGGCCTGGGAAGTACCAGTGATCATGTTCTTGATGAAATCACGGTGACCAGGGGCGTCTGGATGAGGGGTTAGTCGGGGTCCTAACAGGCTTATACAAGGTTATAATGAGAACTTACCAATGACGGTAACCTCGTACTTGGAGGTCTGGACTGTAGTTGATTGTCAGTATGTTTCTGAGAGAAAGAAAAAATATCCGCAAGCACTAGTGATGTGCAGCGACAAGTCATCCGAAGGGTAACGTACACTCTATAACACAGGTTAGTAACGAGTAATCTCACAAGACAAACGAAGGGATACGCACTCCAGAGAGCGATATCGATGGTGATACCACGCTCACGCTCAGCCTTGAGCTTGTCCAAAACCCAGGCATACTTGAAGGAACCCTTTCCAAGTTCGTTGGCTTCCTGTAGGGACGGTTAGCAAGGATGTCTTCTCCGCAGAGGCACTGCAGGCACACATACCTTCTCGAACTTTTCGATGGTACGAGCGTCAATACCACCGCACTTGTAGATCAAGTGACCGGTGGTGGTGGACTTGCCGGAATCGACGTGTCCGATGACGACGATGTTGATGTGGGTCTTCTCTTCCTTACTGTTGAGACGAAGCACATGCAGTCAGTGAAAAGGCTCTTCAGAGGATGGGATGGATGGATGAAGAGAGATGGGAGTTAGAGAGGAAGAACGCACCCCATGGTGACGGTTGTGTTTTTGGTATGAGTGAACTGATGAAGTGTCTTTGTAAGATACTCGGAGAGTTCGAGGCAATTGCTCAGATACTACGGCCGGAATGCGTAGAGGTGCTGAGCAGACAAGTTAGTTTGATGGAGAGAGATGAAGGAGGAGAGAGAGAGGGAGCAGGAGAGGGAGCGGTTTATACGTACTGAAGCTGACGGAGAGAGAAAAGAGAAGAGAAAATTTCTGTGGGTGGGGGAGGGGAACCTCTTATAATCGACGGCTCGATGGAGGGGCAAGCGAGAGGCAACTGCGACTTGCCCGTGCTGGGCCCCACCTTCCTGTTTTTTCTTCTTTTTCTCTGCTTTTTTTTTATTTTTATTTTACTGTTTTTTTAGCAAAAAATTTTTCATGGCTGCCTTGTTTGTCAGGCCGTTTGCTTTTCCCTCTTTCTCTCTCTCCCTTCTTGCTACTCTACTCAATCAATTCAATACATTCTCTGCTCAAGGCTACTTACTCACAACTGCGTCCTTGTCGACAACCCCTCCTGCCCCTCTATCTGCCGACCCACTCCTGCTGAACAGCAAACATGTCTTCTTTTTTTTTTCTCCTGAGGTGCTACGCGTAGACATGCGCTCTTCGGGTGCAAACTGGGCAGCAACTCCGATAGCAAATGCTACCCATGCCCGTGCAAAGATTGCCAAAGGAACCAGCGCTACGTAGCTAGCTCAGTTGCTAGGGAGAAACCTTGAAAAATCTGTCGTTTCGCAGTGGCTTCTTAGTGGCGCCTGCAGTTCCACTCAGTCTTGGGCGAGCTCCGCTACGACATCATACACTTTGTAAAGTCTATCTGATAGTTATATTCCTCGTAGATGCTGCCTGAATCTGCAGGCCATGCTGGAGCTCTGTTTTCATCCATTGGACCATCTCTGGTTGATTATCCCTCTCTACATACATTTTGTCATGTGCCAATAGTTGTCATTGCTTGATGCGGGGGTATCAAAATAATATATCGACCTTTGTAAACGCCGCACGCTAACTACATATCAGAAAACAAACCATTACAGGATATGTGCATAGAAACACCTCCATTCCGCTGCCCACGCGATCATCTCGACAGGCATGAGCGTTGACTTGCTGATGTTCGCCTGTTTAATCTCTCCAGCGCTTCCCACAGGTAGTGCACTATAACCCCGTCGTTGTTAGCATACCCTCTCCCCAGACACGCGAAAGGAACAGAAGAGACTTGCCCTCAAAAACGTAGTCATCGGCTCGTCGGCACTTCGAATTTGCAACTGGAAGAAATACGCTCGCTCGCCGTTGCATGTCTCCGATGGGCATTGGGCTAATAATAAACCAGCATCAGCACCGAATCTCATAAGATCTATACCCACCGAAAGAAAAGGAACAAAGCCAGCTGACCTTCCATGCTATCTGCATTCTTGAATTGGTCCTCGCCAACCACATCTTCAACCTCCTTTTGTTTGACCTCTTTCACCTCGTAAATCTGCCCCCCTTCCATCAGCACAACTTTGTTCTTTTTCACTGCATCTTTCCGACACCGAAAATGGAGCATTATGAATGAAAAAGAGTTTCCCTCCCCCCACCTCTCTCTCTTTTACCGTACCTTCTTATCGATTATCCATTGATATGGACAAGTGCGGCACTCAAAGCGATTCACGCCCAATGGGTACGACGTCGTAGACTCGGCTCGAGAGATAGTCAGCACATTGCTGCAGTTGGGGCAGACTAAGCAGAGCGTTAGCATGATCTTTGTCCAAATTCTTTGAGAGTAAACAGCGCTTACACGTCAAAGGCATGTTCGCTGCAGCGGTGGAGTTGTATGTTGTCTGCAAGGAACCAGCACTCGGCAAACAGCTTTGGTGTATCTCCAGCATACAAGTAACGTAAGTATATGGACCTTGCATATGCGTGCAGCAGAATGAATTTATTTTTAGGCGCGGGGAACCGATAAGGCCGGACAATCAGTTTTTCCGATGGTCAGCATATTGTTCCAATGTTTACTGTTTGTTTCAACTTCTGTGGCTTTGATGACCATCTTCTTTCTCTACCCTGACCTAGTCTCACGCCTTTATCAATATTTCCCCTGGCATCGCTCGCTCCATTGCGCAAAACCGTATATACTGCGATCTACTTTTACTGTACGACCGCTATCAACACCCGCTCCGACCCCTCCTCCGCATTGCACAACTTCACTCGGAACGACAAGTTACGGCAGCTTGGCTGTTGAGAAAAACGGCGTCATAATAAACTACTTGTTGCACCAAACCGAGTCTGATACGGCAATTTGCTTTTCCCTTGGGCGAATTTGAATTCCATTGCGTTCCGGCTTGGTCCTGCCTTGAACCAGGCAGCAATAGCAAGTAGCAATGGCAGACGATGAAGTACGTATGCATTACTGAACGCTTGGACGTTTCAGTCTAAACTAATTGATTGAAAGGGAGCTTCGCCGCGCGAATTGGTTGTTGAAGCATGCCGACGTGACCAACAACATCTCATCGAGCAGGTCCTCGACAGCATGTCGGAGAAGACGAACGAAGAGGTAGCGGAGTTCTTCAATAATGTCAAAGATGCACTAGGGAACTATGCACTGCATATCTGTGCTATGTACGGCAGCTGTAAGTTTGAAAATTTTTCTAGGGCGGACTATGCAAATATCGAGCAATCTGACCACGCCCTATATATGTATATAGTCGACGTGATGGACGCCCTCTTCGACATCCAATATTTCGAATGTGACCCCGTCACTCGCGTCGACCAAGATACCCCGCTACATGTAGCAGTGCGTTTCGCCAATGAGAAAGATCCAGCGCTAGGCTTGGAAATGATCGAGATGATGTGCGAGGCAGGCTGTGACCCGCGAGTTCGGAACAAACATGGACAGAAACCGGTCGACCTGGTTTACGGTGATCACAAAGATATTAAGTCTGCTCTTCAGAAAGCTGAATATATCCTGAATGAGAATATACAGGTTAATGCGGAGGAGGATGGAGATGAGGGAAGTGCCAGCGATAGCGACTAAGCAAAGATGAGCAGGACAAGAGAGGAACTTATCATGGACCCGACAGTTCATTTTTGAATATTGAATATCCTTATCATGGTGTCAAGTGCTGACCTAGCATGCGATTGAACGAGAGGCTGAGATAACTTTGCCTCTCACAATTATATTCTTTATTCTTACTGTTTTTATTAGTACCGTTGCAGGTTCCAAGGTTGTATATAAACTTGTATAAACAGCGAGTATCATCCTCTCGCAGACTCTTTACCTTCTGTTAAGAAAAATGTACGAGTTGTATATATCTATATGGCAAAAAAAAGTCTCCATAGTCGACTATTCCCATCCCTCTGCAAGTTTTGAGCGATACTCAGCCACAAGCTCAGGCGTAATACTCGAACCACCACAGACCACAACGACCACACGACTATTGGCATCTAATTTCCTGCCATCACCACCGGCCAAAACAGCCTCCCTCAACTTCGCACTCAGAGCGACATCAATCGACACCGCACAAGCCGGCTCAACAAGCACACGCATCTCATCCGCAAACGTGACCACGCCCCTGGCCGCCTCAGCATCAGATGCCACCACACTAGCAACCTTGACGCCTTCCGGCGGCTCACGCGCATTCTGGAATGTCTGTGGCGCCACACGCAGCGCCCCCAAAGACGTCGCTATAGATGTGATTGCGGTGAGGGATTCAAGCAGTCCCTTGCGTAAGGAGAGGGCCAGGGAATCAGCTCCTTTCGTTTCGACGGCGAGTAGATTCAATTGAGACCCGATTTCCTTGTTCTTGTTCTTTCGTGTCGTCTCGAAATATTCGTGGAGTCCGTGGACGAGCCCATTGAATAATCCTCCTCCACCGACGCTGCATATGATCACATCTGCCGGGAATTCGCATTCATTTCCTTCGCCTTTCTCCTCTGCATTTTCGCGCGGGGGCAGCTGAGCAGCCAGTTCGGATATTATAGTAGCATTCCCTTCCCAAACCCGCGGATGGTCGAAAGGAGGCACATAGATATTCTTGACAATATCAATGCTCGCTACATCCGCAGACGACGACTGTTCTTGCTCTTGCTCTTGCTCTTGCTGCTGCTGCTGGTCGGACGTGCCAATGAATCTCTCTCGAAGATAGGTATCGGCTTCATACCAGCTAGCACCGTGTTGTATTACTTCAGTCGCGCCAGCATCCCGCAGCTTGTCGACCATCATCTGCTTTGTGCTGAGCGGCACAACGACCGTGCAAGCGCAGCCCAGGTCTTTTGCTGCAACGACGGCTGCTAAGCCGGCGTTTCCTCCTGAGGAGCTGTAGAAATGAAGCTTTTTGCCTTCAATTGCGGGATCCGATAGATATGAGAGGATCAAGTTGCCAATTCCTCTGTCCACATAGTTAGTAGGAGTACAGTAGTGCCAAGTATGGATCAACTAACCTCGACTTAAAACTCCCCGAAGGCTGCAGACAGTCCATTTTGAGGAATATCCGACTGGCACAAAAAATGAGAGATAATTTCATATTAGGGCAAATATTGATACATACCATCCGGCCGCTTTGGAGAGGGCCGCCGACTCAACCAGGGGCGTTTCAATCCATGGCTTTCGTTTTTGGAAGGGCTTTGATGGCATTGGATCCATGGTGGTCGCACTAGTAGCCTTGCTTGGATAGGTAGATGAGAGATGGTGGGAAAAAATTTTCTCGACTATTTATATATGCGATTGTGCTCTGAGGAGAAGGAATTTCGGGCTGTTAAATACTCCAAGCGCCCTGTGACTATTACGTATACATACATGTACGGTAACTTATTTGACCCACTCGACAGCATGAGCTTAATCCAAGCTGAATTGTACGTTGATCACAGACAGACAGGATCAAGCACTTCGGACTATGATCTGATATGACCCCCCGTCAGTGACCGAGATTGTCTTCGTCTCGTCGCTCCCCCACTCCAACACCTTCCCGTTCATTGTCAATGTCGTCTTTCCCCCATCAACTGCAGGAAGAACAACAGTCCCCGTTGTCCCATCAGGCACCTTGAATGACAACTCGTACGACGATGTTGAAGAAGAAGAGGAAGCCCTATTCCAAGAAGCCTGGAAATGGCCTAGCGAGGTGGTAAACCCGCCTTCAACAGAGGTCAAGTCACCAAATTGCGGCGCCAGCTGCCACGTCGATCCAACGCGACCCGTCACAGATAGACCAAGAATATAGTTGATTAATGCCGACGTGGGACCTGATGACCAGCCATGCGAATGAGAAACATAGGAAGCGTCGTAATAGTATCCGTCATTGCCACGGTATCCGAAGGTTGCGTTCTGTAAGTAGCCCTCGATGACAGTACTGCCCGTTCCGTTAGGGTTGTTGATATACCAGCCCCAAGAACGTCTGATCAAGTCCAATGCTCTGTCCGGTCGTGCAGCTTCAAAGTGGCCCTGGATCTCAAAGGAAGAGATGAATGGGGAGATGTTCTCGGGCAATTCGGGCGCCACTGCTCCAATCGACACCCAGTTGTCGGTCAATCGTTGAGAGATGCTTTGTACGCGATCCTGGTCAGCTACGCCAAACAAGAGCGACATGCTATTGGCATCTTGCGGATGCATGGTTGTTGTTGCAGTGGCGTTGTCCCGGAACGCGCCGTACGCATCATCGTAGCAATCTGCGTTGACTGCTACTTTCAGATTCTGCGCTCTTGTGGTCCAGCTACTAGATAGCCCTGTAGTGTCTCCAACCCATTCAGCAAGCTCTGCTCCCGTCTCGAGGGTTCGATATAATCTTTTACTTTTGTCAGTTATCTGTCATAAAGTTCTTTTGTTTTCATAGACTTACATCATCTGTGCTTCGGAGTTGTTGCCTCCTTGCCAGAATCGGCCCCAGTCTCTGAGTCCTGTAACGCCCAGCAGACCGCTAGTTCCAACCTTTGCATATATATAATCCATAGCTTTTTGGTAGCCTTCCCAGTTCTCTTGAAGGAAATCCGTGTCATTCGTATAGAGAACGTAATTGTATGTCCCAATCATAGACCACATATGATAAGTGTCAGATCCAGTCTGACTCAAGGGCGGACCTGACTCGGCAAAAGCACCATCCGAAGCCTGTGACCGGTGAGCTCAGGAGATGTATCGTCTCAAGTTAAGGCTTACCTGAGTATCATACATGATCTGCAGCCCATTCTTCAGACTTTCGAGATCCCCCAGAGTGATAAATGTTGAAGGAACTGCAATCCCCATATCTCCCGGCCAAACAGCGCGGTCTCTTTTCGCACCATCGACGATGATGGTGTCTCCATATCCGAGAGTGGCATTGTTATCCCATCCATAATCCACCACTGGGATTTGGCGGCCAGTATCCGGAGGGACCATGTTTGTTTGAATTGTGTAGGCTCCGCTGTACCATATCCGGTTGAGAAGCTCATCATTACTGTGGAAATAGCCCTGATAGGCACGTAGATTGGACCATGTCGGAAGGAACCCGATGTCCAGATTGATATCAGTGATGTCAAGGATTGCGTCGCTGGTGGTATTAGGCGCAGTAAGGAATATAGTCAGGTATCTGAATCCGCCGCGTAATTTGGCTCCGGGCATAGTATAGGAGCCCTCTCCCGCTGTTGAGATGTCATAGGATAGATAGCCATCTCCATCTTTAAATGCGCCGTTAGAGGAGTCTGAGTTTTCCCCGATCCAATTCGTGGCCTCGCTGAATGCTAGATTCAGGTTCACGCCGGCAGTTGGGGCTGCATAGTTCACTGTGACAATGCCGCCAACTTCAATGCCAAAGTCAAAAACAATCTGGGAGCCATTCCCCGTGAGTAAGTTGTGCCCAGCCCCCTGTTTATAATCGGTACGGGCACCAGTTGATTCGAGTATGTACTGCGGACTGACTTGTCGTGAAGTAGGAGCATAGATATTTTTCTCCCACACTCCAGGAAATGCAGCGTTCTCAGGGCCTGTACAGGTGGTATTCTTCCAACAGCTTCCTGCCTCTGCAACAACAGAGAGAACTAGCGTCAAAAGTGGAACGAAGATGACCGGTTTGACCAGGACCATGATGGCGTTCTTGAATGATAATTCACTCACAAAACGAATATACGTTCACCACTGGTAAGTATTGACCGCACTTCAGAGCTCTTGTTCGTGAGATTCTTGCTGCTTAATACGAAGTTTCCCGCTATGACCTCAGTAAAGCCCACATGTCTCTTCGGGTTATTGAACAAAAGCCTTCTCTGAACGTATGTTTGGTAGCATCAAGCTACCCAGCAGCTAACAGACATGCTTGTGTCCAATACGGCGCTCATCTTTGCTCGCCGCATAAACATGCAGCATGGCATGAAATTCGCCTGGCAGTCATTGGTGGAAATATTAGCCAGGTTAGCATGAAGCACAGCCTAGCTGTGCATCGATGCGATTCGCTATCCAACGTGGTCACGATGGAGTCAATCGAGAAGCGCACGACGAGATCGACCACCGACCTACCCCAGCTTTCCCCGCAAGTCGATGCTGCCAGCTTCAACGGCTGCTGTTTTGGTCAAAAAGGCCAGTTCCTTGCAGTTTCCATCGGGTCAATGCTATCCGAACTGAATAAAAACATAATTTTACGCACGGAAAATCTCTCGCTTGTTCGAACACCGATGTCCATTGCATCAACGAGCTTCTGACATCAGAAACCCGGAGACAATAAAAGCCAGTCCTGCGAAATGACTTAGATCCTCTTCCAGATACATATAACACACACATGTTGCAAGACTCGGGCGGCTGATTGACCCCGAAAACTGGTAAATAAAAAATGCACTGGCTAAGAACTGCTGCGTCGTTCCCCTTTATCTACTCCACGGCCTTCGCAACTGCTACCAGCGAAGGCGGAGTCTCGCAGAAGGGCAATGTCTGCACGGTAACGGCACTGGGAGGAAAGAAAGATGACGTCCCAAATATTCTAGATGCGTTTTCACGCTGTGGAAAAGATGGCACAGTCATCTTCCCCGAGGACCAGAACTATTGGATTGCCACGAGACTCAACCCAGTTCTTAGCAATATCACCATTGAATGGCGAGGTATATGGACGGTACGTCAAGTGGTTAGAAATATGTTATAACTGTGACACTGGCCCTGACTGTAAATCTAGTTCTCGGATGATCTTGATTACTGGCGCAACAACTCTTATCCGGTCAGCTTTCAGAACCATCACGCCGGGTTCGTCATTACCGGGAACCATATTACAATCGAGGGATATGGGACTGGTCAGATATATGGCAATGGAAATGCCTGGTACAATGTTGAGCAGACTGTCACGCAGCCTGGAAGGCCGATGCCGTTCGTCTTCTGGAACGTGTCAGAGGTTCTTGTAGAGAATTTCTCGGTCAAGGACCCTCCTCTATGGTCCCTGAACATTATGAATGGAACAAATCTGCGTTTCGACAATATCACGTGCAATGCCACTGCCGTGAATGCGCCCTATGGAGTGAACTGGGTGCAAAATACGGACGGGTTCGGTATGAAGGACCCCTCTCCTAGCATGTGATTGTATAAATTGAAGCGAAATGCCGAAGGATAATAAGTTGACTGTTATCAAGATACCATGGATGTATACAACCTCGAATTAAACGGTCTGACGTATCAGGGTGGAGATGATTGCATTGCCGTGAAGCCACACTCCTACAACATCCGCGCCAGAGACATAACGTGTCATGGAGGCAATGGCATTGCCATTGGTAGTCTCGGTCAGTATCTTACAGATGCATCGGTGGCGAATATATTAATAGACAATGTCACGGTACGTGTCTTTCCTTTCCGGCAAATTCATCCGCTAATTGGCACTAGGTCATTCGTCACAACGATGATCTCACCAATTCTGCATATGTCAAGACATGGATGGGCGGACTTGTCCCGCAAAGCTCATACGAGAGCGCCGATGAGCCAAACGGAGGTGGTTGGGGCTCAATCGAGAACGTTCTCTTCTCCAATTTCAATGTCCAAGGAGCCAGTGCTGGGCCAGCCATCACACAAGATAGCGGTGATAACGGCTCTTACGCAGGAACCAGTCTCATGTCCATTGCGAATGTTGCCTTTGTCAATTTCACGGGGTACTTGGACGATGTCTCAGACGACCGTATTGCGTCGGTGTCCTGCTCGAGCGTCCATCCATGTTACAACATCGACTTTCAAAACATAGACCTTCATCCGTCGCAAAATGCGTCAGAGTATGGCAATGCGACTTGCCGATATACCGCCACAGGAGGCGTTCATGGCCTGCCGGGGTGTTGATGGAAGATCTGATATGAAGTTAGATGGCTTCTCACATGAGATTGAGTAACGAGGGTTGCCCGACACATTTGGATCATTATGTAGTACCTATGTAAACAAAGAGAAGTGCCCACTCTTCGTACCAAAGCGCTCAATCATGGCGATTGTTTAAAGTATACGCTGAAGCAGATTCAAGATTGCGAGGAAATCACATACTACCATATCTGGACTAGTGCATATACGGAAACCCCGCTAAGTCCGCGCTTTTCTCTCGCACGCGTCCGACGCGTTTTGACGACGTCGACATTCGTTTCGACCATACTCTGTATGGTTTATACAAGCCATTTTCTTGATCGCGGTATTTGGCAGAATAGTACTAGCTCAAAGCTGTAACGACAATCATGCCTCCTGGGCGCAAACGCCGTGCTGTACGTGCCCACTCCGTCAGATCAGGAATCGCTATTTGCATCTGACACATGCATAACACAGGAACCCCAGGAACCTGCGCAATCAGCAAGCGATCGCGGAATGTCACAGCCACCTCCACGACGACGGCGACAGTCTCACGACAATGACTCGGCGCAATCCGACGTGAGTGCTGACGACGCATACCATGCACCCAGCAGTGTGGATGTGATGGTGAAGAAAATGGTGCGCCTGGCGCTGTCCAGTGAATACGCGCGATTGCCGATTCGGAGAACAGAAATCAGTGCAAAAGTGCTCGGCGAGCAGGGCTCAAGACAGTTCAAGTTGGTCTTTGACGAGGCACAAAAGATTTTAAGAAGCCGGTTTGGCATGCAGATGGTAGAGTTGCCGGCGAGGGAAAAGGTTACAATCACCCAGCGAAGAGGTATATCGTGGCACCCAGTCACCATGGAAAATGTTGGGTTTAGAGAGCTTTGAATTCGGACTAACATTCGTCTCCAGCGGCGCAACGCATTGAAAAACCATCCACAGCTACCAAGTCTTGGATAGTGATGAGCACACTCCCGTCGGCGTTCCGTACACCAGAAATACTACCTCCTTCAAAAGCCCCGACATCATTTACCGAAAGTACCTATACAGCGCTCTATACATTCATTATTTCTATAATCACTCTATCCGGCGGCTCAGTACTGGAACAAAAGTTGGATAGATATTTAATGAGAACCAACATCGAACAATATACACCCGTCGACCGCACCGACCGTCTGTTACAGCGACTCTGCAAGGAAGGCTATTTAATCCGAAATAAGGAAATGGACGGCGGAGAAGAGGTCATTGAGTATATGGTCGGTCCCAGGGGGAAGATCGAGGTCGGCGAAAGCGGAGTTTCAGGCCTAGTCAGAAAGGTGTATGGGCGGGATGCATCATCAACAAACATAGCCGAAGAAAGTGGAAGTGACGATTTCGAAGCGAGATTGGCTCGCAGCGTCGGCTCTAGACGTACGTTAACGCAAGCTGTGGAGGCGACCGATGATGTTGCGGAAAATGAGGGAAGGAATGATCAAAGCAGCAGGCAGGGCCGATGGGGCACTCGACATCGAGGGGGAGATGACGATGATGAAGATTATCGAAGATAAATGTTTGAAATTACTGGCCACTATAGAGTCTAGACAGTTGTTAATGATACCCCAATGCATATAAAATCAAAATATAAGCGCCACGACAGCAATTGTATAGTGAACTGATCATATTGGATCAAACAACATCAAACAATTCCTCTGTAATTGTACAAATACCATTCGTGATGGTCTAAAGTATTGTACTAAAGTATTGTAGTCTGGTAGAATCGAGGGGAAAATTCACATAGGTCACGTGATTCTACCGCCGCCTGTCGTCATCAGATGCATCATGCCATCACTTTTTAAGGGACCGACAACAACGTAACGATAATGATGAACATACGGAGCATTCCCAGACAATCCATCATGCTGCCACCATCTACCTGTCGACAATGTCTGCGACAGACACAAGCGCATATACGACTTGCATCATCGTCAATGCGAGCAAACCCTTCAGTCCGATCACATCGCCAATTGTCCACGAATTCCAATCTCCGTTCCTCAGCTACCCCGAGCAATAACCCCCTCCGATCTCCCTCTGCTGCATCACGAAAGAGCAACACCAACAAAAACCAAGTGCCAGATGAAGCTGCTATCGCACACTACAGACGTCGCATGGCGCTGTCAGCGGCCGGCATGGTCATATGCGCTCTAACCATGTACGCGACCATCAAGTCTAACGCCTTCGGCTTACCGGAAGACAACCCGAAACCAGAACAAGGAGTGAAAGAAGAAAAACACCAAGTCACTGATGAAGGCAACGGTGCTATCAAGCTCGACGGTCCGGCCGAATTCCCGAGCAGTCCATCGGTAATCCGCGTCCAAGGGCAAGACGGCGCCGAGCAGGTCGAGACGGGTAACAGCTCAGTACCTTTGTTCCCGACGACGATCAGACTGCCCAAAGATTTGAGTGGCATGCCATTGACGCCTGGTCAAGACTTGCCTGTTCCACCCGAGTCCGAAGAGGAGTATCAGTTGCTCGGACTCGGAATTCGGTCCGTGTCTTTCCTTTCCATCCAGGTGTATGTTGTCGGTATCTACGTCGCCAAGTCGGACATTGGGGTACTGCAAAAACGATTGATTGAGACCGGAGTGCAAGCACCGATATCTTCAGCTGCGTCGTCTGCTTCGGCGACTCTGAACCTGGCAAGTCAGACTGGCACTGGTGCTGTATCTGCAACATCTCTCGTCTCCACGGAACGAGACGCACTGAAGAAATTGTTGCTTGACCCGGAAAATGGCGAGGAGGCATGGACATCGATATTGAAGGAAGGTAACATACGCACTGCAGTGCGCATCGTGCCGACTCGCAATACCGACTTCATGCATCTACGAGATGCATGGGTGCGACATATGACGAACCGAGCACAGAAAGATCTGGCGAGGATTAAGGAACTCTCGAAGACCATTGATCAACAGTCTCAGCCTCTGCCACGCAGCGAATTCGACGACGAGGTCTTTGGTCAGGCAGTCGGTGAATTCAAGACACTACTCGGTGGCGGATCTCGCAAGAACATCCCTAAGGGCCAGGTTCTACTGTTGTTGCGCGACCAGAATGGTGCTCTTGATGCGATTTTTCAGCGTGATCCCAAGGAGCCTATTCAATGGCTTGGGCGGGTTGCTGATGAGCGGGTTAGTCGCTGCGTTTGGTTGAATTATCTGGCTGGTAAGCAGGTTGCAAGCGAGCCTGCGAGACAGAGTGTTGTAGAGGGTGTGATGGGAATTGTAGAGAGGCCTGTGGGCACTGTGATTCAGAAGGTTGTTTGAACTACGGTTTTCTTTCTTTTTTTTTTTTTTTCTTTTTCTACAAGGAAAATTTGTTGTAAGATAGATCGATGTGTAAATATATAAGCTTCAACCAACCCCTATCAATTCATACAACTTTCGCATTCCAATCAATTGAATAGGAGAAGCGCTTTACAAGGCACCCGCATCCTTCAACAACTGCGGCAACTCGGTCTTGCGCGCCTGCAGATCCGAGTTTCCGCCAATATGTTCCTTGGCGATGAAGATATTAGGCACGGAGCGTTGGCTGGTGATTTCTTCGAGGGCATCTTGAATAGCGGCGCCGTCGTCTGGAAATAGCTATTAGCATGCTATTTTGTCTTCCCGAGAGGATAATGGTGGACGGATGGATGGATGGATGGGGTGGAATACCAATTTGATCCAACTCGAGCACGGTATACTTGGCATTCAAGCCGGACAAAAGCGACTTGGTTGATTTGCAGTATGGGCAGTATGATTTCGAGAACACGACTGATTCAGAGACATCAGCAACCATCATCTCGCCTGACAATTACGGCCACAACAACTAAAGGATGGAATATGTCAAACGAACCGACTTGGTTCTCGTCAATAAGTTTCTGGGCCTTGACCTTTGCAGCGGACATGGTGCCTGGTGAGATCGGGCGGGCGGCGAGACTGCCGAAGAGTCTGGTGAATATGGAAGAAATGGTGGGCTGAGGGGTAAAGAAGGGACTGGACTCCTGGGAGTATCGTTATTATGATATATATAGACGGGTGGATGAGGAAAGAAGTAGGACAAGGAGAGACGGCGTTGCGTGTGTTCTCGTACCTTCTTTGACCTGTTTATAGAGGAGGATGCAAAAAGAAACGGCGCTTGTACTTGGTTGAGGTGCAATTAGTAAGTGAAGAAGGTGAGTTGATGAACAATTCGCATGGCAACTTGCGTCACTCGAGACTGGCCGAGGCTAGCTTGATGAGTAATCCGAGTGGGTCGGGGAGGACATAGTTTGATAGGTTTGCATTGTATGTATGAAGGTATGTATATCAGCCAGACGGCTCAAGTGACATGAGAAAGGAAAAAATGAAAACTGACTGACCTACGACAGCAGATCAAAGGGAATCCTGAGTGTGAAAAAAAGTACAATATCACCGCAAACGATCCATGGTCGCGAAGACAATGCGAAGAAAAAGAGAACGATAGAACAAATTGCAGACGCCGGAAGTACGTAGTATCAAGAGACAAAGAGGGAAAAACTAGAACAAATCGCTAAAAGAATGAACAACGGAAAATGAAATTATGGAAGTGGCATCTGTGCAGACCGCATTGGCCGGGGGAAAAAACGATATAATAATAATAATAATAATCAGAGTGGATTCGTATGCTTGAATCCTGGGTATTTATGTGAAGTCAAAAGGGAGAGAAAGAAAGAAAGAGAAAGAAATCAAACTGTTACGGGAAATAATGGTTTTTTTTTTTTTCTCACATGACAATGCAACATCCGCAACCCTTTTCCACTTTCTCGGGTTCCTCGGGCGGAGGTGGTATGCTTGCCTGCAGTCTCTGTGGTGATGGTAGCACAATTGGCGGCGTAGTCTGTACTTTTGGCATGGTACTGTAATTTGTTCCGCTTGTCCCAGGACGTACTGGTTCGGGACTCTTCGGGGGTTGAAGCGGCCATGTGGATGGCGACCCTGATGGAAGAAAGTCTGTATTCCGCGTATCAGATGTATCTTTCTTTTCTGTTTCCGAAGGTACCGGCACCAGCTCGTCGTCAGGTCGAACAGCCAATGGCGCGAATTCACGGTCATACGCCGTTGGAGTCTTGCCCTCTTTCTCCCATTGCTCTTGCTGCATTCTCTTCGCATGCGTCGGCAAGAGCTGCTGGTCTGGCGGTAATCGTGGGTCGGGTTTGTACATGGTAGCTAACCATGGCGGGTCGCCCTCAGGCCGGTTCATAGATGTCGGTGGCCGGTTCTCTCCAGATCGAGTCACCGGTCGGTCTTTATTCATGCTGCTTGCAGAGGTGGCACGCTGTTTCACGGGCCCTGATGGTTTCCGACTGTTGGGAGGAACAGACGATTTTCGCGCGGTAGGTGTAGCCTTCGCAGGTGCCTTCTTCGTCGGAGACCCTTGTGTCTGCAAAAGTACACCGGCTCGACTACCAGGTCGGCTGGTGGTCTGCGGGGGTGTGGAACTTTCAGCAGGTCCGGGGGAGGCTTCAGGAGAGTCAACTACTGGGGATTCACCGGGCTTGGGACTCTGAGAATAGGGCACGCCATCTTCATCTCCACTGCCTACGGTCCGAGTGCGGCTGCGTTGCAAGGTGGAAGACTCATGTTCAGTTTGATCCGGGGAGACCGTAATGGGGCTGCTCGCGAGTACTGGGATCCGTGAAGAACTCTTTTTCAAGCCAGGGCTTTTATAAAATCGCGAGGTGTCTTCGCTTTCTTCGTAGGAGGACGCAGCGATTTCTTCTGGCCGACGCAAATCCCAGTTCATTCTTTCGGTTTCGACCTCCTGTTCATCGGAGGACTCGAATGGAATTGGCGATTCTATTTGGTACCTCTGAGAAGCGGGCCAGGACTGTTCTGTCTGCTCGGGAGGTGTAGTAACGTTTCCATTTAGGCTGTGCGAATCGTGGCTACGACCACGCAAACTGCTCGATTTGCTGCCAGTGCGAACTTGGCGCTGAATACGCATAGCAGCTTGTTGCAGTTCCTCGCTCTCTATGCGTGCTAATTTGTCTCGATGGATCCAATTGTCATCGCCCTTGATACTTTCGGACTCGAGAGACGTTTTACTGCCGTAGTCGCCCCTCCGGAACTGACCGCTATTGTGAGAATCCCCCAGGTCTATATTAGGGAATGGCCCTGTATCGCGTCCGTAGGCGTCGTGTGTGTTGCTTCCTCGGCGCGAGCCGGGCTGCGAGGAGGTACGGGAACGAGGTTTGCCATTTGGCGTCCGGTGCCGATAGCTGGATTTGTTATGGGTTGAGTTGGATTCATTGGAAGTGCGCTTGGGCGAAATGGTATCGGCGATCTGCTATGGTAAGTTAGCACATTGTATGGCGATTGACGAGCGGTCATGTTGAAAAGCAGATAACAGAATACAGCGAGTTTCACGAACCTCTGGTCCCAAGGGCACAGCGAACTCCCATGCTGTGCTACTGCTGGTGGAGGGAGATAAAGCATCTGTGGAGGAAACAGCGGCGGCCGTCCCAGCCATCCCAACGGCGTGTCCGGTCTTTTGCGTTGATTGTCCTCGGAACTGAAACAAATGGCAACTTTGATTGACAGTGTATAATGGTATATGAGTAGAAGTAGAGTCTTGTTTTCGAGCTGTTAGTTTCTCATCCGCGCATAGACACCACGGTTCATAAAGAAACTCGACCAGTGCCCCACCAACCCCTGAAGCCTAGGATATAGGAAGAATCTCGACTCGAAACACTCGAGAACGCAATTTGCCGCCAGCACACAAAGAACGCCGGGCCATCAAAGGCCTGCTCTCTTCTCGTCTGGACTGGGAATAAATATAAACAAGGCGCTCTTGCTGCTTGAGAACACAAGAGGCCCGCGGCAGGTGGAGACAACCGGACCAAAGCTTTTCTCGGGTCTGGTTCGGGAAGGACCAGCTGGAGATCAATGAATTGATTATATCAGCAGACGTTCTCCTCTTGTTCGCGCACGATCAGTCAGAAGCGCTGTTGTAGTGAGGGGGGGAATTAAAAACGACGTGTTCGCGTCTGAAGAGGCGGGCGCGGCGGCAGAGAGCGAAAGTGTTGAGACGCCGCAGACGGGTTGGGTTGGACTTCAGACGATGTCGGTATGAAAAGAAAAACGCAATTGGCCGTTATACTGCATGCAACGCGCGATATTCGCTATGGAGCAGTCGTGTCGAGGGGCAGGCAGGGTTTGTCGACACACTAAGGGGACTGGGCCTCGGGAGGCAAGAGAGAAATCGAGAGACAGAGAGGAAAGGAACTACGAGCGAGAGAAGAAAAAGGGAAAGCCAAATGAGGGGGCCAGAGACGCTGCAGTGGGTATCGAAATGCGCCTCGAAATTATTGATTTGTTATTTCTGAGGGCGAGGATGCGAAACAGAGACAAGGATGCAAGGCACAGTTGCAAAAACTGCACGCAACATGGACAATAATGAGACAGGTCAGGAGGGACGGAACAAGCAGATCAGCGCAGCGCAGCAGAGGCTGGACAAAACGAGTGGCAATGGGGAGATGAACCGACCAGAAGTTGAGGCCAGGAGAACTTGCTTGGAGAAGGAGCACTATCTTAGGTTACTCTGGTTCTGGCCCGTCCGGTGGTGCGCCTAGTGCGGCGTATCGTTACAGATTGCACGCACACTGACCCCAGCACGTTCCCTTGACTGGCCGGCTCCTCTCTGCCAGTCGCTCATCCGGGCTGCTGGAACTGGCGCACAGCTACTAGTTACTGCCGGGTCTTATGGCATCGACCATAACAGCAGCCATTATACTCTGTGTAATATAAAATTGACACAGATGAGGCGTAAGCAGGTAATAGTGTACCGCCCGAATCCACGCTATAAGAGACCCCGGGCAAGCCTATTGGCGGGCTGCTGCTTAGTGCGCGTTTAGCCCTCCCTGGGAAGTTGATAGCATCGCGAGTGATCAAGACTGTTGGGACTCGAAAGTTGAAGAAAAAGTTGAAGGCAACGAGGTCTCTACCGGTCTGCCAAGTCTGATATCAATGATATATTATATGATCGCATGTTATGCCACCTTGGCATGCAGGTTATTCATGATTGATCTATTGATCGCCCGGGTTGACACTTGACGTCTGCCACATCGTAGATATATATATGTATACGCACACCTACTAGCTTTGTGCCTTTGTGAATACGGCTAAGGAACGGCAAATATAGCGGCTATTTTTGTCTAATTCGAAGCAACTAATGACCGGGACCCAAAAATCCATAGTTCATATACAATGGAACTTGTATACGTCGTTGTATGAAAGACAAAAAAAATAGTGCGGGCCTGAACTGGGAATTGAACCCAGGACCACCTGTATTTGTGTCACGAAATCTCCCAAAACAGGTATCATACTGAGATGTGGCGTTAGCGAAAAAAAGGCCCGGAATCTTGCCTTAGGAGGGAGAACAGGTGACTTACCCACTAGACCATTCAGGCGTTCTCTGGCGGGATGACTGGTGATTCCTCTTTCTTTTTCCGCTCGTTAGGGTTACCTAGATATAAACCCGCCGCAAGGTAATTAATCTCAGGATGAAAATAATGAACAAGTATACAAGTGTCAGGTAGGTACTATGCGGCTATTACGCTTTACATAACCGCATGCATAGTAGAAAAGTATTATACTTAATCGGATTTATCTGTTGGCACGTATAATTTTCACACAACGTATTATATACCGCGACGGCCAGTCTAAATTATGACCTGTCCTTTGGCGCAACTGCATCTAATCTGTTCAACATGCCCTGCGCCTCTTTGATCAGGGCTCGACGAGCCGTTCGTGCATCCTCGGAATCTATCGAGTCAGCTTTGATGATAACCTGCGTCAAGATCATTTCCTCCAGGCGTTTATGTTCGAATTCGCGGATCTTGGGGTCCGTGGGTGGCTGCGATATGTATTGGTCGCACGAAGGCACTAGCTCGGTGCGTAAATATCGAAGTAATGCATCGACCTGTTCATTGCCCGTGGAAAATTGCTGTAGACTCGGCGCTGGAGAGGGTGCTGCTGATGACCGACCTGACGAAGTGGGACGGGCATCTGGCGGGGGAGCAAGGTTGTTCACTGCTGCTACCGCAGGCTGTTGTTGTGGTTGTGGCTGCTGCTGCTTCTTCTTTTTATTATTCCTCTTCCGTCTCCCACCGCCACCCGATCCAATTTGATGGTGGTGCTCGTTGCTGCCGCTATCCAGACTCACGACAGATTCACTTCGATTGCCCACTTCGCTGCCCGAAAGGTCGCTGGTGCTTTCGCCAGGCCGCACCTCAGACAAAACACACATAATCTCTGACTGCTGTTTTAGGCCCTCGTCCTTGCATGGTGTTGAATCATCGCGTAATAACTTGCCCTTGTAAAGCATTTTAATTCGCTGCACCTCGGATGTCCCAATCTGCTCGGCGGCACGGCGTCTAACCTCGCCCACAGTGAGAAGAGCATCGTCAATAGCAAATGGGGGGAAGCGTAGAGGATAGATCACTCCACGGTGTTTGAGAACTATAATGTCTGGGCCGGAGTCGTCCATCTGCGCACGTTGACGGACGTAATGGGGCGGCTGCTGGTGGTGAGATCGGGGTGGCTCGACGATATCATTCTCTGTTAGATACGAGTAATCGCTATCGTTCACTTGTGGGGTCGCAGCCGTGATATGGTGATGGCTGCTGCTGCCGTATGAGGGTGAGCGCTGGAAAAAATTGAACTTGTCCCGCCAACTCATCGCGGCGATGGCAAGCAGGCCAGCGATGACGGTGAGAAAAAGAGCGGCGAGGGTAGGGACTGAAGGATGGGAGGACAGCAGATTGGCAACAAAAGGTGACAAAGAGTCGCTTTGGTGTTCGGATTCCCCAAGAGAGGCCAGTCGGCGAATGGCCTGCTGCGGCAGCGAGATTGACGCCTCACCCAGGGAGGACAAAGTCACGGGCCAGTCCGACAGCAGAGTCATGGAAGCCAAGCCTCTGCGCCGTAAACCGGGACGGAGGGGTATGAGATAAAATTGGAGAGAGGAGAGCGGAAGAGGGGTTATCTCAGCTCAGCCTTGTGCAAGCAGACCACGCTTGACTATGGCGGAGGTGAAGGTGGCGTCTCGCGGCAAAGCGGGCGGGTAGGGAAGACGCCGCCAGCGCTTATTTGCTGCCTAGGGTCCACAGCACTATCGGCCCCAAATTGTCTGGTGTATATAATTTATGATATGCAGCAATTCTAAGAAAATATGTACTCTGCTAGTATATGTAGGTAGTCTAGTAACGCAAGCAAGAAAGAACGTACGGATATATATACAAAAAAAAATACATAGACAAAAACGAAAGAAAACGCCTTGCGCCATGCCATCATCTTAACTAGAGACAGACAAATCACAATCGAACATGTCCATTCGAAGAGCGCTGCCCAAACAACCCTCCGAATATCCTATTGTCTTGGGCAGATCCGTTACTACTAGTGCTTGGGTCCTGGCCGGAATTTAGCCATTTCGGAGCGCTAAATTTCGGAAACCCACCTTGTAACCACCGTGGTGTGGACGCTGTGTCGATGGTATTGCGGACTCGGTGGGCAAAGGACTGAAAGAAATTGTCGTCTTCGTCGGCATTAGTGTCATCGTCAATGACAGTTGAGGCTGTGGATGTGCCGCCGATTATTGACGACGATGACGGCTCAATTAATGGAGCCCGTGACGATGATCTTGGGACTGGTGATGTTGAGGTCCATCCAGGCTGCGGGGAGGCGGCACGCTGGAGATTGAGCGCCGAAGAAGAGGCACCGGCATGTAAGTTTCGTCCGGGGTCAACGGATCTGGAAGTGAGGCCGAGAGAGCCCAAACCAACAAGCTCGCGTTCGATAAGAGCACGTCCTTCGCGCCAGCCCCCTATGCCAAAACCACTGGGATCAGCCTCGGGATCTTCATCGTCCTCCTCTACAAAGCCGAAACCAAAAACCTTTTTGATTCGGCCATATAAGTTGAACATTGTGGCACAAACTGGTAGAAGTAAGAATACAGGGAAGTAATCGAATCCCTTCCCCAAGGGCGTAAGATTGATATAGCGACCAAGGAAGTGGTAGAATGTTGTATCTTCGCGCAGTTCAGTGGGTAGGAATGTAAGGAAGTTGTATGCTAGTGGCACGGTCAATCGTGCCACTTGTCCTGCGTACCAGCATGCGCTCTCTCCATACGTATTGCGACGCACTAGGGCTCGATTGCCCCAAACTTGGGCGTCGTTGACGCCTTTGAGAGCCGCGGTACACATGTATAACAGCCAGAGGGAAGCTATCAGCTGACCTCCTAATCCAATCTGACCGGCCTTCTCTGGGTTAGGAACTAGGCTGAGGCTAATAATGCACAGTTTGGGAGCGAAAGTCTTGATGAGCTCCGACCAGACAATACAGAATGATGCAGTAGCAAAGACAGTGCCCATGACGAGTCGCAGAGTCGGCAGGATGTGTACGTATATAACGTACCGCATATAAGGGGTGATGAAGCCACTTCCTTTACGCGAAATGAGTCCAGCCTCGGAGCCACCAACGGGACCGAAGTCAAGTTTCTTAGAGGCAATTGAGTTGAGGATGGTCTGATAATCAGCGGACGATCGAACAAGACGGTCCCATTCGTCGACAAAGCGCGCTTTCTGGTGCCGTGCACGCTGTAATCTCCGAGATAGACCGGCCAAGTATCGCTCTGTGATAACCGCCGGAACCGCGGTGGAGTCGGCAACAGAGTGTAGGGCGACAGGGCGCGAATCTGGCATGTTCGAATAATCGGCCAGTTCTTCGATCCAGTCCTCGAATAGGCGTGCTGATCCGGTCTTGCGTCGCTGCAACTGGGCTACTTGGGCTTCAACTTCCTCGAGCTCGGTAATGGCATCAGTCAGGCGGTCATGTATTTTGGGGGCGTGCGCTTGAATCCTTCGCAAGGCATTGGCGTTGTTGGATTTTCGAAAGAACGATCGAGGAATGGAAACAAGTCCATGACCCATCAGATAAATTGCAAATATTAAGCCCCACACGTAAGCAAGCGCCATGACAAGACCTCTGATCGAAGTGAAGTCGAACCCATTCTGTATAGAGATGTAGATCAGGCCGACAATAGCGCAAGCGAGGACAAATAATTGGTAACGGGCATTGGAGCGCAGAGAGTACGTCAGGCGGCTTTTCGGGTCACGGTAACCCGAATCAACGAATTCAGCTAGAAGCGGCAGGATGAACCTGTATCCTAGTCAGCATGCTGTGTGGTTGTTGCTGTTGTTGTAACAAGACTCGAGACAAACCAGGTCAAGCAAAATATCAGCCAGTAGGCTATGCGCCATAGTACCAAAACTGCACGGCCCGGTAGCCAAACACCATTCGTAACCTGGCCGCCGTCTCTTGAGGTCGATGTTAGATCAACTGGGACTAGAAGCACGACGCTTGCCGGAAGCACCAAGGCGAGAAACACGGGGACAGTGATATAAGCGGGGGTCGCGCGAAGTGTCAGAAATCTTCGCAGAAGCAATAGCGTGAGCAAACAGATGGCGATAAAGGAAAGTGAGAGAAAAACTGCCGAGCCGACGGGGGTTGCTGATGACGTTGCCATGGAGGCATACGCCGAGTCCAGAGACAACATTCCTATATAATCAGTGTTCTAGGAACAACACAGCCTTGCATCATTGTGGGAATGACTTTGAAAACAAGCTATAAAAATTTGTTCGTAATGAGCGACAAGTAGCTAGGATGCCATTCGAAGAAGTGAGTTGTGTTCTGGATGAAGTGTTGTCGAGGTGGATGCAGTTGGAGACGGTGGATATGAGCTATCACCATCACGTGACCACAACCATCTACATGCCAATCAAAATCCGAGTCGAATCCGACGAAGTTTCCGCAATACTAAGTTAAACAGATGCTATCGTAAAACCCGGCTACCAAGGACCGGATTCTGAGCCGCGGTTTTGTTTTCTTGTTTTTATATTTGAGAGCTGTTCATCGTAGCAGAAACTATACGTTGCTATTTCCACGTAGGATGATAAGACTAGACTTATAGTAATAATAACTAACTAATTAACTAGACACGGAGCAGTACTCTTACGTATACTCCGTACAGGGCATGGCATATGTTGATGTTCTACATTGCTGGGCGTGATTGGCGGATGAATGCGGAACGCCGGATGCATATCTGCAGTCTTGATATCAGCTTGCTATAGGTACAGAGTTGAGAATGAGAGCATAGTATTAATTATACTACTTTCATTCGGCACGTTGCGTGCCGTCTTTTCAGAGCCTTGAGTGTCCTGTGTCCTGTATTTTCGGTAGTGTACTTGTACTGACTGCCAAGGCAGGGGGCCCCTGGAACGGGCGAACGGGTATGTCTGATCATCGATGCATGAAAACGACAAGGCCGCTTCCGGAGTTCCATGTATTCCCTGCCTGTGGTGTTGCTTACTCGTAGCGCGGGCTACGAGTGCTGAAACATAGTCAGTTAATGCTACAAACACGAAGGAGTAAGCTGTTCTTCGCACGCGCCATGCCAAAAGTGGGTATAGTGGCACCCCGTCAGTTGGTGGGGGGAGCTAGCCGCTGACTAAGGTGGGACAGCAGCCAATAATGCCCGCAGTCGACGGGGATAAAGAAACCCAAAATCACACACAATATTTCCTGAATAGGCTCTTTGTATTGCTTGCTCTGTGCCACCTCCCGCTCTATGGTGCGCCCTTGTCTTTTTTCTTTCCTTCTTGGCCTTCTCAGGTACGCTTGCAGTCTCGCATAGAGTACGTAGTGCGTATGAGCTTGCTCAGTGAGGTGGAATCCGAGGCTGAGCTAGGCTGTAGTGCCGTCGTTAGTGCGGCCAAACGGTCTGGACAGGGACCGCTCAGTGGCTTCATGCCAATCGACCGGCGCTTGCCAGGTCGTGGCTTTATATCCTATGAAATCCAGCTCAGCAGATCGCTTGAAGCATGAGTCCGCATTGACTATTCAGGGTAGGAAATCCTTTCAACCCAGCAGCTTGATCTGCGATCGTGCTAGTCTGGTGTTACACTGCGTTGCTCTCCTAATCTTTCCCATTCCTTGTCTCTTCTTCGCTCGTGGTATCTCTACGCGGAGTATTTAGGGTGGTCATACTCCGTCTCTGGCTTGTATTTCATTAGTTAGGTATTAAATGGATGTTCCTGTCCATATGAGTACTCCTGCCCGGCCCGGAAACAGGTCTTTTTCTCCTCCCGTAAAACCCCGTAAGCCAGACAGGATAATAGCAAACACAGGCTCCCCGCTTACCCTACGCCGCACCGGGAGCAACAATAAGAAGAAGAAGAAGGGCCCGGAGAAGAAGTCAATAGCAAATAGAGAATCGAGGAGCGTGACAATGTCGAAACCTATTGTTGTTGTCGCAAGGCAAGCGCCCTAAAGCTCGCCAGACCCGCCTGCCACCGGCTGCGGGCCTATCAGCGCCGCGCCTGCTGCCACCCTTGCCCAACCTTACTCTGCTGTACCTCATCCACCTCTTTCCCCCAACTCTGACTCGGCCCAAAGCCTAACACCTAACTAACCTTCCTTCACAAAACTAACCATCACCACCACCACGCTCTTCATCCCTCCCTCTACACCCCGTCTCCAACTCGTTTTCTCCCCGCTGTCTGTCTGGCTTGACAATGCGATTGCCACTACGCCAGAGTTTCTGCTCGACTGGACGCTGACTCCACCAACGGGCTCGGATCCCAGCGACGATCAATCTGCTCGGTCTCCCGTGTCAAGTCTGGAGACAACATTACACTAGTCGTGCCTCAACGCCGACTCTGCTCATCACCGGCCATTTTCGCCCGTACCATTCTACCCCTCGAATAAAATCAACACCAGAAACATCGCCCATACAGAACCACGCCTGAATACAGCCTCTCGGTCCATCTCTCCTGGCGAATGCTGACGTCAGGCTCCAAGCAGCGTGGATTTTTCAGCAGTTGCCCGTCTCGACGGGGTCTTCTGACATGAATCAAGTCAACTTCTCCAATGTGGGCACTGGAGCCATGCTCACCGGCGCCAACCCTCAAGGTGCCATGCCAAACAATCAGACCAGTCTCGTTTCCCGACAGGTCGCCCAGGTCTTGCAATCACAGGGGCCTTATACTGGCTGGCGCGCTGAGGTTCCCATTCAAGACCGAGCTCAGAAAGTCTGGCAGATGTATGCCGTCTCATGCTTACTTTTCATTCGCTGATATTTTGTATGTCTGGTTGACTAACTACCTCTTTTGATGCTCCAGGATCACCTCGCTCCGACTCATTCAGCCTCGAATCGAGATCCAGAACGCACTTCAAGCTGCACTTTCGTTTGAGGAAAAGGCCTTTCGGGAGGCTAATCAGAAAGTATGCCCACCTAAACATACACACTCCTGTTCTTGGCGCCCTTTCCCTCAATCAATCTCCTCTACCAACGAACAAACAGACTAACCTTGGCCGACGTTAATCAATAGGCTGATTATGAAAAGGAGTGTACGAATAAACTCCATGCGATCAAAGAAACGAGACTACGGCAACAAGCCGTATACAACCAGGGTGGACTAATACAGCATGGAGGCGCCACTGGTGGTATGCCCGGTGCGGTCCGCCCGAATCAAGTCCCTCCTCAATTCAATCCCCAGGTGACCCGACCGATGCAGTCCTCACCCGTCTTAGGTCAAATGCCGATGCATATGGGCTTGAGCGACCCCAGTGTGATTCAACAACAACAGCAGCAATTGCAACAACGTCAACAGCAAGCCCTAGCACAGAATCAAATGGGCCAACAACGGCTCGTTTCAGGGATGCCGGTGACGGATGAACTGAGCATGCTCAGCCAAGCAGAATTTGATCAGATCAGTCAGATGGCAGCTGCTTTGATAGCAAGGATACCCCTGGACGACCTCGAGAAGCGTAGGATGAATGTTACCCGCGGTATGAGTGCAGAAACAAAACAGATGATTACTCAAAAGTACGGGGATCCATTCACTTGGATGATGCGGGTTCAACTTTTGAGAAATATGAGGAACCGGCAGTCCCGTACTCACATGGCTCGAGCTCAGGGCTTAGATGCCAACTCTTCCATGGGCGGTGGAGATCCCATGTTAAATGCAGCCCAGCGCCAAATGACACCAAATACGATGGGCCTCCAGCGGAACTCTGCCTTGCCCATGAATAACCAGCAAACCTTGGACCCGTCCTCTTTCATAAATGTCGAGAATATCCAAGGACAACAAGCAGATGGTCTTCGATCGCAAGAAGCGGGACAGCTCGTCGTACCTGCAAGCAATGCATCCATGTCAAGCCAACCGTCTTTTGCCAACCCCAGCGGTCTCTTTCAACCGGGAGCACTTCCGCAGAATACCCAAACCAACCTAAATCGACCTGTCAACCCACAGCAGTTACTAGCACAGCAGCAGCAGCAGTTGCAGAATGCACAAAATGCTCAAACATCGCAGTTTCAGGCTCCAGGCCAGGTGCAAAATCCGGCTCAAGCTCAGGCACGCGCTCAAGCTGCTCATAACGCAAAAATGGCCATGTCAACACAAGCTGGAGGGCAAAATGCTTCTCAGCTGAACCAAAACATGCCGCATCAAAGCCCCGCAATGCCGATGCTCAATCGTCCAGTTGGTCCCAACATGTCTCCAGCTCAAGCTGCCGCACAAGGGCGACCGCCATCACGGCAGCCCGGCATGAATGGACAACAGCAGCAGACGATGCGACCGCAGATTCCTCCGAACCTGCCTCCGGCTATGCAAGAGCGGTTGTCTCAGATGACCCCAGATCAGATGAATGCCTTTCTGCTTGCTCAGCGCCGCATGATGTCAAACAATCCGGCAGCTAGAATGAATGGACAGTCACTGCCAATGCAAACAAATCTCTCCCAGCCATCCCAGGGTGGTGGACAGTTCAATGACCCCAACATGCGCACATCCATGGCTCTGCAACAATCCCTAGATGGAATAGCTGGAGGCCCACAGAATAATCCCATGTTTCAAGGACAACAACAACTATCACTCCAGCAGCAACAGCTTCTGAGGCAACAACAGCAATTGATGCGTTCTCAGAATCAAAATTCCGATTTGAGTTTAGATCAGATCCGAGACATGGACCGCATGCCTTTTCCTCCTGCCATGATAAACTCGAGCATAATTCCGACCGTACCTAAGGGGATATCAAACTGGGGTCAGTTGAAGGGATGGGTTGTACAAAACCCTCAAATCCTTGGCAGTGTCGACTTCGCCAAGTTGCTCGATCTCCAGCGTCTACATTATACACATACCACGCCACAACAACGCGAAGCTGCGCGACTCAATGAACAAGCTGCACAAGCAAATTGGGCCGGAAATCCTCAGCCATTCATGTCTGGTCAAAATGCTCCTACCGGGCGGCCACAGCCTCTCATGCCACCTGGGCCTCCTGTGACAGCCACGGACATCCTCAATGCCCGCCAAAGGGTTGGCTCACAGTCTCAAAACTGGACCGACGAACAAGTGAAAGCTCTTATTATCAAGCATCGGCAGAAAATCTACATGCAACAGTTGCAGGCCCGAGGAATCAACCCACAACAGCTAAGTCAAGCCCAATCGGCACAACAAGCACCGGTTCCAAACCCTGCATCAACAAAGCCAATGGTACCTCCTCTACCACCTGCCACCCAAGCACCCCAACAAACGCAACCCTCACAAACGGCCAATGTCAAGCCCCAGCAAACACCAGTAGGCGGCAAAAATGTGAAGGCCACTGCCACGAGCAAAACAACATCCAAAAAGCGACCGCACAGTGACGAAGTCATCGAAATTCAAAATCCGAAATCCCAGCCAACAATACGAGCACCCACTCCTCAGCCTACTACTACTTCATCTGCTGCACCTACACGTCCGCCAGCATCTCTCACAAGTCAACAACTGGCTGCTCTATCTCCTCAACATCGTACTCAATTAGAAGCTCATATGAAACGACAGTCCCGCCCTCCATTATCTAGAGCTGCCGCGGAAGAGAATTGGAATAACAATTTGCCAGAGCAACTCAAAAATTGGTATAACGAAATGGCCAAGGCTGTTATTGCGAATGCAGGACCCCTGGATATTTCGGCCGAAGACAAGGCATTAATGGGGCAGCAGTTGCGTGAAAGTACCGATATGCTCTCAAGAATGGACAGTCTTGTACATTGGATGGTGATGATGCCGAATCAAGAAAAGCATGTTAAGATGCTGCTCTCGATAGTGAGTTTCGATTTCTACCTTTCCTTATCCATTTCTCACCTTTTTATAAAAGTTGTTGCTAACCCGTTTCTTTCTTGTTCTAGCGAATACAACTCATGAAACAATTCAAAGATACAGATTGGACCCTCAACGACGAGTTTACTGTTGCGCCGGACTATGTGAAGAAGTCTATTCTGATGGTTAGAAATATGTTTTCCGGGATGATCAGCAAAGTCCAAAACCAGCAAATCCAAAAACCGAAAGCTCCCATACCGCAAGCCGGCGGCCAGTCGCATGTGCCGCCGTTGAATGCATCGAATCTTCAACAACTCGAAGAAGAGGCAAAAAGAGCTAGAAGAGCATCTCATAATGTTCCTGCAGCACCAACTACCGCACAGCCGCCATTCCCATTAGGTAATCCATCCCCTCAAGGCGTACCACAAGCCTATGGACCTGGTGGATTCTCGCCGGACAAATTGAACATACCTCCCTCAAAGCGACGGAAGCAAAGCCACGCTTCAGTTTCTGCGTCTCAGAGTGGCGCTGGGTCTAAAACAACATCAAAAGCAGACAGCTTAAAATCGTTGTTCAAATGCGCCGTTGCTGAATGTGAACACAATGCAAAGGGATTTGCATCGCAGGCTGCCCTGGATAAACATGTTGACGAGGAACACAGAGCTAAGGAAGATATCACTGATCCATTAAAGTACGCATTGGAGAGCTTTGATGCCGCACTTGGGGTACCGACACAGGACAAGGTAGTTTTAGAGGTGCAACGGGAGAAGAAATCTATATCTGGCGACGCTACACTTGTGAAGCAGGAAGGCAAGGTCGAGGGAGTTACTCCTACCGCCGGCGGTGCCACACCAATGAGCCGGCTGGTGAGTCACACCGATGCTAAGTTTCCGTCTCCGGTAACTAATAACCTCGCGACACCACGACTGCAGGCTGCCAAGGTCGCTAATGTGGCAGCTGCTAAAAAGACCAAACCTGGTGCTAAGCAGGAAACTGTTAAGACCGTTGAACAGCCCATCGTTCCGGATGGCCTGTCTGGCTGGGCCGACAGTCATGTATCTCTTGATGTTATTCAGGATACATTCGACATCCCTTTGACTGATGATTATCCTGGTCTTGGTGGGGACTACTTCGATGAATTTCTTAATGCAGACATGTTCACCATCAGCCAGAATGAAGACACACCCGACTCGGTTGATAGTAACGGACTCGCCACGCAGACACCGAAGGATGGCGAGATGACCAAGGAAGACTTAACTATTCAAATCAAGGACATCAAGAACGATGAATCTTATCCTCTTGGGTGGTTTTCTCATCCAGGACCAATGTTTCCAGAGAATGGAAATGACAATCCGTGGATTGACTGGGAGGTCCTCAACAAAGAGCTTCAGGCAGCTCCTCTTGAGAAGGGCCTTTCATTTTCAGTTTCATGATACGGTTCGATATAATGATTATGTGATGTCGTTCCCTTTCTGTAGGAAAAGCACGAATATTTTATGTCGCCTCTTTCCATGCATGACGATGTCTTGGACTTTTAAGGTGTTTCAGGCAAAGGCCTTCTTTATCCTTTTATGTGTTTTTGGGGTCTTATTCATAGGGCTATTCATCTATTTTCTATTCTTTTCCCGCAGTCAGGCTTAGGCGTTTCAGGGCAGACAAAAGTCGGAGGTTTTATATTTCGCTGACAACATGCGCGGGCATGGACTCGATGTTCGGCTTATTGCTTTCTATGTGTCTAATTTTTTATTTTTCTCACTTTTCCTATTCTTTTTGAAAGCATGCATGTATCATGGTTTTGGGTGGAGAATGGGAATCAGCTCGTACGATATACCATTTGCGCTGATATGGATGGCGAAATCAAGGGAATTTGTCGTTACTCTTACATTTTCAGAAATTAATTCATCATCAAATTAACTATACATTGGTGTTTATTCGAGCCTAATACCAGCTGCTGGCGTATGCCGTAGAGCCGCTAAACGTTGATATTAGCGAAGTGGGCGCCAGAGGAATGGATAACAACCTTAAGGCAACGTCAGCTGACAACTAATCTCGTGACCGCCATCGACAGCGACAACAACAGCACGGCACACGCTCGTCTGTTTCTGCGTATTTTCTCTCCTGCACGCTTCTGGATGGATGTAATTTCTACGCTCTGAACTGCTTCCCTTTTTGAGCGCAACACTACGTCTTCCATTATGACGAGGGAGGCTTTTATTCCTCTCCTTGTCACCATGATGCTGGTGACAGGAGTCTGCAACACGATATTGAATAAATACCAGGTCCGCTTCATCATCTTCTTCTTATGCTTGGAGACTAACCATCTGCATCCTTATCATATATAGGATATGCAATGTGTCAGAAATTGTGACTCTCCGAATCCGAGCGACCGCAAGCTGTTTGAGCAGCCAGTTATCCAAACGTATGGAGGCCGGATATATAATAGTGATAGGAGATGAAGGCTGACCACAACTCTTCAAATTATATTAGCACTCAAATGTTCGTCGGCGAGATGGGCTGCTTCCTTGTCGTATTTCTATCTTATCTTCATACTCGATTTGTGGTTCCCCGCACATCTTCCGCGCCTCTGTTCGCCGGTGGTTACCAGACCATCAACAGCGATGAACCCCTTCCATCCGAATATGCGGATGAAGAAGACGAGACGGAAGAGCGTCAGGACATTGATAACCGACCCGATCCACGAAGTACTACCAAAGCACTTTCTCAAGCAGACGGCAATCGCTCAAAACTGCACGGCTGGCGAGTATTACTACTTGGCGCGCCTGCATGTTGCGATATTCTGGGAACAACTATGATGAACGCTGGTCTCCTATTTGTGGCTGCTAGTATTTATCAGATGACCCGTGGCGCGCTTGTGCTTTTCGTGGGCCTCTTTAGTGTGTTATTTTTGCGCCGCAAGTTGTATCTGTACAAATGGCTTGCGCTGGTGGTGGTTGTGGTAGGTGTTGCGATTGTCGGGTTGTCTGGTGCCCTGTTCAGCGGGGACGGGCAAGGCGCTCATGACCCTGTAGATGTCGTTGCATCTACAGCCCGCACCCCTGAAGCGGTCAGAGTTATTATCGGGGTTTTGCTCATCGCCGCAGCACAGATATTTACTGCTTCCCAATTTGTGATCGAAGAATGGATCCTGGAAAATTATTCTATGGCTCCACTGGCAGTAGTGGGATGGGAGGGCGTTTTTGGCTTTTTGGTCACTGTGATTGCTATGATCATTCTGCATTTGACTGTCGGTTCAACGGAGACTGGGCAGTATGGATATTTCGATTTGGAAGAGGGCTGGCGACAGGTTACTTCTAACAGAGCGATTGCCGTATCTAGTTTCTTGATCATGATAAGTATAGGGTGAGTTTTCCTCCTTTTCATCAGGGACGTAAAATTACTAAATCCTCTCCCTTCTGTTCAGTGGCTTCAACTTCTTCGGACTCTCCGTCACAAAAGCAGTCTCGGCAACAACCCGCAGCACCATAGATACCTCACGAACCCTCTTTATCTGGATGGTGTCATTGGCACTAGGCTGGGAGAGTTTCAAGTGGCTTCAAGTCTTGGGCTTCGTGTTGCTGGTTTATGGTACATTTTTGTTCAATGATATCATTCGTCCACCCTTGAAGGCATGCCTGCCATCAGTGCGCAGACAGGATGAAGAATTGCTGCCTGAGGAGCCGATTGAGCATCTCTGATGGCCATCTCTGTCTCTTTCTGTGTGTGTGTGTGTGTGTGTGTGTGTGTGTGTGTGTGTGAATCAGATAGAGAGTCCCCAGTCAACAAGGCCATGGCGCAGGACGCTGTGAAATGGACTACGTTTGTTTTTTGTTTTGCATCTCCTCGACTCGTATCACTTCATCTTTGACAGTGCATTGGTTTTGCCTCTCTATAAGGTGTATACGTAGATATCATATCTAGGCTAGATACTCATGAGACCCGGCGTAATGGGGCCCACTTCTGCTATTTCAACTAATTACTACCTATGTAGGTAGTAAGGAGGAATGGAGTTCTAAAAATTAAAATTAATCCAATGTACACTAAACTATACTGTACTATATATACACTGCCAACATGTAATACATTTTTCAGGGGTACATAAAAACACAGCACATTAAACAAATCGTTACTCGAGTTGTCCACAATAAGTTTCGAGTTCAGAGTCTCCGAAGAGCAAATAATGAACAAGGAAAATGAAGAGAAGGGGAGATAGCTGGTTATATCGCCGGGGGGAAAGAAGGATGCTAAGACTTCAACGGTCTAGGATTATGATAAATCACTAGTTCTAAACTAGAACATATAGAGCGCACATCTATTTTTACAAATTGTTAGCTAAGCCTGACTTCACAAGATTGGAAAAGGGGAAGGGGTAAATCGTACCATCGAAAGACCGAGAATCATAGAAAACCAGAACACAATGTTCTATGTGCTTTTGTTAATACGAAGAAAGAAATAAGACAGGCAAAAAAAGGGGGGAAACTTACATTCCATGTCTTCGCCTGTCGAATTATCTTCGTCCTTTGAATTGCGATGATAGGTAATTGAAGCATCATCAGTAAAAATCCATAACCTCGCAACTTCTTCGTGATGCAGCTCATGACAAGCTCGTGAGCAAGAGCGCTAACGAGGAAAGTAATAAACATGGCGACTGGGCCCGAGAAATATGATTTGGCGGAGAAATAGACATGTCGGCGTAGAAAGTGATGTACGGGGATGTTCCATTCTCGTGAGAATTCCAACCAGTCACATGAGTTCCACCAATCAGAGTAGAAACGTCGATCTGCAAAGCGAGTGATCTCTGCAAATGCGCCGAGCAGGTATTCGAAGATGACTAGGAACACTAGCAAGAAAGTAATCATAAACGGGAATAGTAGCATGCTTGTGGTTTCCGCTAGAATTAGAGCTTGGTCTGCAGCACCTTTGACGCCCATGAGGCTGACACTTGCATCATTGAGGACTGGGACGATAAATTCCTCACTAGTCAGTGTCAGTAAGAAAATGCACCCAAACACTGCCAATGCCTTGAAGAACACCTCCGACCAGCGTATGCTTGGTGTCCTAGGATATTCAATCTCGTAACACAATGTGGGACAAAACAGGAAGTCCACAAAGTTTCTGGTCGTGAGGTTCTGAGGATAGGTTACATGGCCCAAAGGAGACGTCAATTCTGTCGCCAAATCATCGCGCAGCTTGGACAAGGGCTCATCTTGTTTGAACTTAAAGGTGTCGTTCATAGTCTCTGCACGAGCCGGGGAGCTTGGATATCGCACAGCCGCTGCCATCGACCCCTGACCCGGTTTGTCAAGCTCGGACAGACGATGCTCGGTCTCACTCAAGTGACCATTGTAGAAAGCATATGAGTGGACTTTCATGAGGATGGTCAAAGTATGTAGAGTAAAGAAAACTTGGGCTGTCCAAGTCCACTGTAACATGAAAGGCCATCTATTGCGCATATTAGTTGGCATTTTCTAGACACAAATGTCTGGATACATAGAAATCAACTTACTTGATCCATAGAGTGAGCCATCCAATTTGATAGAGGCTCTGGAACAGGATTCCTCCTCGGTACCATCGCAGCCATCCCCCTCTATTGCGGACTAACAATTGAACAGGTAGCACGAGCCCGGAGCTGATTACCATCACTCCATCACTAATTGCCAACTGCCACACATTGGCCGTCAATAAACTCCAGACTTTTACTCGCAATGGATGGCCCGTGTCTTTAATATTGCGCAGAACCGTAGTAACCACCATAATAAACAGCGCAATCCAAAACAATGTAAAAAAGCCACGAAAGTTGTGATAGTCGCTTTGGGGATCGAAGTGGGACACTCGAGGAACATAGTCGATAGTATGAAAAAGGCGACGTCTCGCTCGTACTTGCTTGCGTGCGGACGATTTGGACCGGACGGAGGGTGGTGCATCATCTGGAATTGGCGTGGACGTGCCACTATAGTTTTTCGATTAGTATTGTTTTACTGCTGTAGGGGGTCGATTGCCATAAAAGACAAGTGTTCGACATGTACCTTGAATTGACCACATCCTTGTCCGAAACAGGGGTAGGAGGCGCGGCATGGTCATCCGCAATCTGCATAGACTTGAGAGCTCGAGCTCTCAAGACCTGAGAAGTCATAGAGCCATTGGATGTGGCCGTTGTCGACATCTCGTACTTTTGTTCTGTTTTCAACAACGGCTAGGGACAGGATATGCGATTGGGTGGCTAAGGAAAGACTTTATGGAAAAATCATCTAGGAAGCCGGCGGATAACATGCATGCGACAGTCCCATAATTTATGTCAACCATAGGATAGATCAGCGAGCGTTGGTTGACTGGGTTGTGACAGTTGTCCAGTCGCTAGGGCACAACATAACTCATGAACTCATAGTTAAGCGTTAAACAACCTACGTCAGAGTCTTGTCGGCAGCCTCGGAAGGAACGCCGGAGGCTGACTGGCGCCGTGCCGAGTATTAATAAGCGTTGGCTAGTTAAGTTAGTAATTTAGTTCTTGGCGCCAGGGCCTCCGGATTATGTTTGAAGAACTTGGCAGACTCAAGACTCGGACTCGTATGGAAGGAATGGTACGTGACTGACTAACATGAGCTCCCAGGATATTCCAAGCATACTCAGTCACCTCGTACAAGTATGGCATGCATCTGCGGTGTCTAAGGCTAATAAGGCTGCAACTAACTAATTAGTTAAAGTGGAGACTCCGCTGCCAGCTGATCAGCTGACCGAGCCTGGCCTCAGGCACCAAGGCCGCGGTCAAGCGCCTCAGGCGCCTGCAGGCGACTTTGTCATCAGCCACCAGCCACAGCAGGGATGAGCCACTTCTCTCCTCGTGCGGCGGGCTGCACCCTTAGTAAGGAAAGTGACTGACCACCACCATCAACCAAATCCCACGAGCTCAAGTCGCAATTGATTCGGAGGTTCATCCTCCCATCGCCGCTTCTGAGACGCAACCTAGCTGGCCGTCTCGCCCCCCCACCAGGCTCTAACATCCCCCTTCCTCGCGTCAGTGATTCCCTTGTGTTTGTTCTCGCCCCGTACGGGGTCGCAGCGGCCACGATGACTTCCCGTGAGTTTCCCCACAGAGCAAGGCAGACTCTCCCAAACTGACGCTGCTACCTCATAATAGTCAAACAGTTCATTCGTAACGTCCGGTCCGCAAAGACGATTGCAGATGAGCGGGCGGTAGTGCAAAAAGAGAGTGCTGCGATCCGCGCCTCGTTTCGAGAGGAAAGCCATGACTCCAATGTTCGGTTAGTGAACGATAACAGAGGACACCGTGACCGGTGCTAATGCCCACCATCGCTGTATAGGAGAAACAACGTTGCCAAGCTATTGTATCTATTCACTCTAGGGGAGCGAACACATTTTGGCCAGATAGAATGTCTGAAACTACTTGCATCACCGAGATTTGCTGATAAACGATTGGGTTATTTGGGCACCATGTTGTTGTTGGACGAGAACCAGGAAGTGTTGACTTTGGTTACCAATTCTTTGAAAAAGTGAAGACTTGCATGGATGACTTCTTGGAGACCTCTCTTGCTAACAGACAATCAAGTGATTTGAATCATTCCAACCAATACATCGTCGGTCTCGCCCTCTGCACTCTAGGCAACATTGCGTCGGTCGAGATGTCTCGAGATCTATTCGCCGAAGTCGAATCACTAATTACCACGGCTAACCCATACATTCGACGGAAAGCTGCATTATGTGCTATGCGCATTTGCCGCAAGGTTCCCGACCTACAGGAACATTTCTTGGAGAAAGCCAAGATACTTCTGTCTGATCGCAACCACGGAGTTCTGCTCTGCGCTTTAACATTGGCCATCGATCTTTGCGAACATGCGGAGGAGTTTGAAGAAGGTCCCGAGGATGTGGTCGAGATGTTTCGCCCTTTGGCAGGCCCACTCGTCAAAGTTCTCAAGAGCTTGACTACTTCGGGATATGCTCCGGAACATGATGTCTCTGGTGTCACTGATCCGTTCTTACAAGTCAAAATTCTGCGTTTTCTACGTGTTCTAGGACGAGGAGATGCAGCTACCAGTGAGCTTATTAATGATATTCTAGCCCAAGTGGCTACGAACACCGAATCATCCAAGAATGTTGGCAACGCTATTCTCTACGAGGCTGTGCTCACGATCCTCGACATCGAGGCCGACTCTGGGTTGCGCGTTCTGGGAGTCAATATTCTTGGAAAGTTCCTTTCCAATAAGGACAACAATATTCGTTACGTGGCCTTGAATACGCTCATCAAGGTTGTGGCGGTCGAGCCTAATGCAGTACAACGTCATCGGAATACTATTTTGGATTGCTTGCGCGATCCCGATATCAGTATCCGTCGGCGAGCACTCGACTTGAGCTTCACATTGATCAATGAGGGCAATATCCGTGTCCTCGTTCGTGAGCTTTTGGCCTTCCTGGAGGTGGCCGACAACGAATTCAAGCCGGCGATGACCTCGCAGATTGGCATTGCCGCAGACCGATTTGCTCCTAATAAGCGATGGCATGTTGATACCATGCTTCGAGTCCTGAAACTCGCTGGTAGCTACGTCAAGGAGCAGATCCTTTCATCATTTGTCCGACTTATTGCTACGACCCCCGACCTTCAGACTTACGCTGCACAGAAATTATATGCTGCCCTGAAAGCAGACATCACACAAGAAGGACTGACACTGGCAGCGTCGTGGGTCATTGGTGAATACGGCGATGCCCTTCTTCAGGGAGGCCAATATGAAGAAGAGGAGCTGGTCAAGGAAGTTCGCGAAAGCGACATCATGGACTTGTTCACCAACATTCTCAACAGCACATCTGCTACGCAGATAGTTACGGAATATATAACTACCGCGATCATGAAGCTCTCTGTTCGCATGTCAGACCCGTCTCAGGTGGAACGAGTCCGACGCTTCTTGACCGGCCACACCGCTGATTTGAACGTGGAAGTGCAGCAAAGATCTGTGGAATATAGTAATCTATTTGGGTATGACCAGATCCGGCGTGGAGTCTTGGAGCGAATGCCGCCCCCCGAGATCCGAGAGGAACAAAGGGTGCTCGGAGAGCCAACAAACAAGCGACAGAGCCGAATGCTCAAGGACAAGACCAAGAAGCCAGTTAAGCAAACAGAGGACATGCTTCTCGATCTCATGGGTGGTTCAGACGTCCCAGCAGTCACGAGCCCGACGGGTGCTAATGGCGTGTCAACGAATACCGCAGATCTGCTGGCGGATATCCTTGGTGGTGGAAGTGGCACCCCATCGCCCGCTCCACAACCTACAGCAACATCCAACACCAGCGCTATAATGGATTTATTTGGCTCAAACGGAACACCGCCACCAGCACGTCCCCAAACCCAGTCTCCACTACCCACTACCACTGCATCCCAAGATCTTCTAGGAGGACTAGGCGGTCTGTCAACACCATCACCCGCATCTCCTTCTCCTGCCGCAGCACACACCGCATTCAACAAAGATGAGCTAGCGCTCACATTACAAGTACAGCGAAACGCCAGCGGGTCTGGTGCCCAGATTCTTGCCCGGTTCCGCAACCAGTCCGATTTTCAGCAAATCACAAGTGTGGGCCTGCAAGCTGCAGTCCCCAAGAGTCAGCGACTGCAACTGAGTGGTATTAGCAAAGCAGATCTCGGTGGAGGAGAGGAGGGTACTCAGGCCATGAAAATAGCTGCTGTTGGCGGGGTAAGACAACCTCCCTTCACCCCCCACCTCTCCCTTTTTCCAATCTAGTGCTCCCATACTAAAAAAAATATTGATGAATGACCATAGGCACTACCACCTAAACTCCGTCTACGTCTTCGTATATCATATGGCAAAAACGGGGCAACCCCAGTCACTGAGCAAGTAGACTGGACGGAGCCTTGAGTATAAAATAAGAAACGGGAACTGCAAACAACAAGCAACAAACAATAAGAAGGGGAGGGAATATAGATAGATCATGATCCATTGGGTCGGTGGGAGGAGTGTTACATAGCTAGTACGTACGTCTAAATTCATTTTAATGAGAGAGAAAGAATCTGTTACTACATACCTGGATAACTATCTATATAGATATTGAATCCAACTTGCTAATCTGCTTCCTCGCCTTGCATATCTATTTGTGTATATTTCTAGTCTCTACATCTCATATTAGAAAGAAGATTCCCAGGGTTGTATTGCAATGCGATGCCATATAGTGTATGTATTGTATGTGTGTAAGTACCTAGGTAAGAGGAAGTCGGTTCGTCATATAGAATCGTCATGATTTCATCAAAATCATCAAAAGGAGTCCGAGAAAGAAGAGCAAAAATAGTCAACGCCTGAACTGCCACCCAAAAGAAAAAAATAATCGTCTTTAGTTCCCTCTTTTCGTTATCGACATGATTGCATATCCATATATTGGAAGAAAGAGGATTTTTTTCCTTTTTCTCTATCTAACCAAGGAGACAGACAATAAACGCCAAATTGAAAACCAACCCACTCACTCCCCTTACCGAATGTTCCCCCTATGTGCCCCGCCTGATGCACCTGATGCAGTTTAGACAATAGTAGTAGTAGTACCAACTGGTCTGGCCAGTTGGGGACCTCATCTTGTCAGTAGGTCATATGATATTTATGCAATTCGCTGTATTGATGAATTCCATCCAACGTCGGTTGGAAAGAGAAGGAAAAAAAAATTCGTTGCCAAAGGAAATGCGAAAATTGACAAGATTGTAAGGCAGGAGGGAAATAAAAAGCGCAAGAAGCATGCGAAGCTCTTGCTATCAGGAAATATTCTGTCGATTTTGAAATTATTATGTTTCCCAGCCTCAATAGGCTGGTTGTCGATAACGCCGTCCTTCAAATACAATTTCAGGTGATTGCCGAATCTCACGGTAGAGTGGACGAGTTGAGGATGTAGACTTTGACGACACTGCGGCAGGCCGCACTGTGCGAACTTCAGGTTCATGTTCGTAAGTGTACGTGCGTGTGGGTTTGGACGTTCTACTCGACATTGATGAACGCTCTCGCTCTCGTTCAGATCGTGGTGTGGGAGGTGGAGAGTCGCGATAGCGAGGTTCTATAGGTTCCACAATAACGGTTTCCCTCTCCTCGTGTGGTTCTACAACTTTGTATCGATTTATCCTCGAAGCGCTACTGGGGCCTTGAGCCATCTCCGGTGTACCAGGACCGCTCGAATATCCAGAGTCATTCCTCTCGGCGGCACGGGGACGAGGCCGCGAGTGAAGTATTGTATCTCCCTTCAGCCCAGAGACCATGTTGACCAAAGTTGGTAGCACATTGGACTCGGAACGACTTGAGCCCTCGCGACGAGTAGTACGAGGATAAGGCGCTGTAGCAGACCGAGAAACTGGAGGAGGAGGAGCGCGAGATGACGAGACTCTTTGAGATGAGGACGTTGACGACGACATGGTTGGAACAGGTCGCTCACGCTCATATCCTCGAGATGGTGAACTCAGGCGCTCGTGAGATCTTCGAGATGCGTGAGTCGCTGAGGATTCAGTCACGTGGACATTGTCCGTCCTGCTGTAAGAACGACTAGAGTATCGGGTGCTATCACGCTCGGAGCGCTCCGAGTAGTGACGATCACGGTCATCGTAGCCCGTATGTCGAGACGAACGAGGCTTTCTATCCACCTGAATGACAGGATCCTTCTTTCGACTGATGTACTCTTTGGCGAAATTCTCTTGAGTATCAAACTTCAATTCAGATGCTGCGTCATAGTCACCTTCATCATCCGTCTCTGATTCTGAATCATATCTACGACGCCGGGATGCGTAAGAAGGAACAGAGTCTGTTTTGCTGCGTCGAGAGTCACGCGTTGAGTATCGTGACTCTGGCTCAACTCTGGTCCTGTAATGTGCCGGCTCCACATCGGAGCCGGAGACATCCTCCGCATCACTGATAACGTACGCGGCGTTCTTACGCTCGTATTTATCGGAGACGTCGCGACGGCGTTCCTTGGTCCGAACTTTAGCACGATCATGGTGGGTGGCTCTTGTATATTCACGGTCACTTTGCTTTGAAAATCTTGGACTGGATGTCGTAGTAGGAGTGGTTTTGGACTTCTTCTTCTCCTCGGTTGCCTTGGTATGGGGGCGCTTGGCGCTGTCGCTATATTTGTGAGAATAAGTTAAAGGTTCTTCGGCGTACCGTGCTTCATCGCTGTCGGTGAAGAAAGCGTCGGCTGGGACACGCTCTTCGTACATGCGTCCGTCGCGGAACTCCCTGCTTGAAGTACCTCTGGAAGACGAGTAGCTGTCCGCAGAGGCCTTCTGTGCCTTGAGCTGAGATCTCAAGTCTGCTAGACGAACTTCTTGGTCGTGAAGTTGGCGGCGAGCGTCATCGCCCAGAATTTCATAGGACTCTTGTACTTTCTGGAAATCGTCAACGGCCTTGGACCGGAGCGAGGGGTCTTGGATCTTATCAGGATGACATTTCAGAATGAGTTTGCGGTAAGCGGTCTTGATCTCCGACGGAGAAGCGTTTTTATCAACCCCCAACACGGCATAAGGATCGAAATCGGGCAAGTTTCTGGACATGTTGTTCAATGGTTGTGCGGTGGGGTAAGCGTGATATCATGGGTAGGTAGGACAGTCGATGAGAGTTAGAAAAAGGCAAGGAGAAAAGAACACACAGCCTTGTGAAATAATGCGTATTGACCAGAGAGATGATTCACAGTATGATTCAGGCTTCCGACTGGGAGGCGAACGTCACTGCAATGAGTAACGAGACAGCAGTCAACACATAATGCTTCGTCACTCGGACTCGTTCAAGCAGCCGCGAGGTGAATCAGAGAGCAAGAGCGGGCAGCGATTGAAGATGCGAGAAGGATGGATCACACAGGCTCGTCTCTCGGCAGAGGCGGCACGGTCGAGGGATAAGACTTGACTTGATGTTGATTTCAGGATCCAGGAACGGACAGAAGATGGACGAGCCCGGGGTGGCAGTATTTCCGGGCGGCGGCGGATGGCAACTTCAACCCAGGTCGTAAAATACGTAACCAACAGCGTGCTAGACCCAAAGCATGAGTGGCCCACCTGCCGCAGCAAGTTCCACTCGCGCGTTACCGTACGTACCGGTGGTAATGGTAATTTAATCTCGTGATCTTGGAGGCGAAGAGGCGAAAAGAAACGGACAGAAAAAACAAATGTAGATCCGCTGCTAGTCACGGCCTGAACGGGAATCAGATGTGCGTCGCCGGTCTTTGTTGCTTTGGCTTGTTCAGCGCCTGCCTAGCCCGTTTTCTTATTCAGCGTGAGAACCCAAGTCTGGTATGACACCCTAAGCAGTAACGCGTGAGAGAAGGCGCTGAAGGGTTCGGCGCAAAGAATGCAGGGTATAAATCGAGTCCCCAGGTGCTTCAGTAGTTGATACCTGATTACCGATGGGATGAAACGCCCGTAAGCTCGAGTTGTCTCTGGTTAAAGCAGCGGTGAGGGCTGCCCAAGCAACACTGTCGTCCTTTCTCTCTCTATCTCTATCTTCTTACGGGGCGGTCAATGATACTAATACCGGGCTAAAAATGGTGATAATGAATCATGAACTTTGGCTGCTCCCGAAGGGCATGCGTGGAAGGGAATGTTTCGCTGCAAAGACCCCGCTGTTGCAACCGCCGTGGGGTTGGTTCACAACAAAGCGCTTGGTTCTAGGGAACCACGCAACGAGCACTTTGGAATGCGCCTTGGCCGGTGTCACGGCTTCGAGTTAGATATATCTAGATGTCAAGCACTCTGGATCAGTGCGTGATCCATATGAGATCATCTGAAAAACTGATCTGACGTCAAACAAATATGTGTGATGTCGTGAGAACCTTCTAGCCTGGGGAGATCTTCTGATCCGTTCATCACTCCACATCGATCTTCCTATGAGTAACGTACACGGTTATGTATCTATTTATTTGAATGCAACTCCCCTATATCATTTTGCATCGATCAGAGAGGCTGTTCATATACGAGTCGACGAGTGAAGCGTCAAGCCTGGGTCAGCCAGATCGCTTTACCCGTTGCTTCCGGGTTTTTCTTCAGCCACTATCAGGAGGAACAAAAAGAAAGAAGAGGTCAAAGGCTAGACGCCTTGCAACAGAGCATGCATTGATTGGTGTTTCAGTCTTGGGTCTTAGTCAGGTAAGAAAGATGGGCAGTTAACTAGTTAATTAATTTCTTAACTTATGTTGTTGACACTGGGCACTCGTGGACAGCCTTCCCGGCCCCAAAGCTTACCGGGGAGGATCAAGAGTAGGCTGGTTTCGTCATCCGGTTTGAGCCCGAAGCAGGCAACAAGGACTATTGTGCTCTATCGTCCTGTCGTGTACAAACTCTGTTGCAAAGCACAGTCCGCGTGTTGGCAGGCATGTATGTCCAAGGGGGAGAGAAAACCGGACTGTCGGTTGTTAGCCTGTTTGCCCTGTTTGTTTTAGACTGGTCTAGCCCAGTCTGAACTAGACGTATTTTAATTCTCTGGCCACAGCATTCGCCAGCCAATGATCTCGCCAGCAGCGGGGCGAGTCCCGCTCTGGCATGCAGCCAATCGACGCTCCACTCTGTCCCTGCTGCGGCCGGTTGGCGATTGGCAACTGCGACCCTCCAAATCGGGAATGCACCACGATGGCTTTCGACTCCCACGGTACGTATTAGTATTACCACGCCGTATCCGATGCTCGCCGCCGATTGGCTGGCTGCTCCTTGGCTGTCACTATCACCCCGCGACACGCCTGGACGTAGACCTATCATCAGCCCCTCTCTATATCACTATCACAGTATCACTGTCTTCTTCAGCGACAGCAGCTCCACCAAGGATAAGTTTGAGATGAGCCCAAGTGATTGGCCCCTCGGCTGTCTCATATTGCCAACCACGTACTACGTACTACGTACTAGTACTGCGCCGCCGAAGTCACTCCACCAAAACATGCCCATTGAGGCAAACAGAACGAGAATATTAAAGCAATATCCTCAGCTCTTATTGAAAGTTCTGAATAATAACCTTCCGCCAATAGCTACCTGAATAGCTATTGTCTTTTTTTTTTTCGTTTCTAGAAGGCAGCCAACCCGATGCCACACAACGCTTATGCAGTGAGCCTTTGCCATGCTTACGGACAGGTACTACAGCGGATCTGTGAGTTGTCAGGTCACAATTTATTTGGATTTAGCTTTGATAGGCGACGACGCTCCTATCCTAAGTTGCCATTTGGTCGATTTGCCATTGTCATGATTTTCAACAATCAACATCATAATATGAAACATATTATACTTCGCTATAGCAAATATCTACGACAGACTATGAGAATATATGCACCAGACAAGAAGAACAATTTTTAGTCTCGGTGAAGCTAGCTTAGCGAATAGAGTCAATGTCTGAGCGAAATTGATTTTCTCCATTATTACTTTGCGGAATTATTCGGTCCAATCAGAGATAATCTAAATACCCAAACAGGTAGCAAAGGTCATCCAGTGGGATCCATCTGAGACGAGACGAGCAAACAGGAATATGTACTTCTCGTACCCTGCATGGTCCTGTAATATTAACAAGTCTTTACTATCCGGATCAACTGAGTACGGCGTACTCCGTATGTATGTACCCGTACGGAGTCGGATGTTGAATAAATCTCTTATCGATTGGCGGGAACACCCGTAGCGGGTGACCCACCATCCCCTCCCACGTACGGCGTGTGTATGGTATTGAACATATTCTGTTAGAGACCCAGACAAAGACAGACAAATGAGGCGGTCATGCAGCCCGGTCATGCACTCAAGCTGCACCATTCGCTGACCGAGTCACAAAAATCTGAGGCAATTAGCAGATAATAACGTATGCTCATTAAACTTCATACTTTAAAACACAAGCATGAACTTTGGGTCAGAAGATTATACCGTTTTTTCAGTCATGGATGATAACAGTTACGGACTAAATGCTGCTAGTGAAAACTACAGAACTGACCACTTTCATGGCTGTGCACACCGCAGGGTGTCTATCTCGTGACGACCGGCCAGCAGGCCATTATACACTTGGAAGTGTCTAGGTACATGCAAGTGTTATGTACTATTGTTGGTAGGGGCGGTTACGGGGAAACCGGATGATACCTTGATGAAGTTGGGCGGTTAGAATGGTGCTAGTATAAAAATAATACAGACTATTTCTCTAACTACTCAAGTATCAAATGCATTGACGCATCCGGATCGACAATGGTGTTAATGAGGACAAGGCGAGATGTCATACCGATATCCAAAATAGCAATTGGCATATTGCTTCCAATAGATGTTTCTAGATATTTCAAGTCTGTACTATATTTGTAGTCGCTTTGCCTATACCTAAGTAGGACTCATTAGTAAACAAACTATGGATGATTCCAAACTGGGAGATTAATATCAACTATAATAGGCCGATTGAACGCCTTGCCGCCAACATAAGGCCAACTCTTGGCCATAATAGCAGCATTGACAATACATGTCTCTTTCCGTAAGGGCTTCCTAGCATTCTCGTCATCATCTTCATCATCATCACGATTCAGAGTACCTGACGATGATGAATGCTCCTTGTGAGTTTCGCGTACCAAGGCGGTTGCACACCTGCTTGTGTTTTGCAATAGTCTCTGCTTTTTCCCGGTAAGGTCAATAAGACTCTGTTTCTTGCTATCTGAAGAGGGCAACGGCGTCGTGTCTTCATCAACTATCGCTGGTCCGACATTATTGTCTTTTTCAGTCCACATTACTCTTTGATACCCTCGACCCTCGTGTACATGTCCGCAGACAGCTAGCATTGGTCGAACACTAGCCATAGCATGTAATAATTGTTCGCAGCCGTGCTTTTGATCTACGGTCTCGATTCCACTATCATCATCAATATTAATGTGATCGCTTAAGCTGCGTCGATCACAAAGCCCTAATGGAGGTGTATGTGTCACCAATATATCGGTGTCGGACGGAATTTGACACCATAATCTGCGACCATCCTCTGCCGATGAAGCAGAATATCCGAAGGCCCAAAGGCCAGAGAATCGTGAAAAGGGGGATCCAAAGACTTTGAACATTGTGCGTGGACCATCTGGTCGTGTCAATCTGATCAGAGCAGATTCGTGATTAAGGAAGATTATCCCCCCCTTTGATTTGTTGACTAGGTCAATTGATGTCGCGTGCTCTTTGTCCGAGTGAAATTCTGATCCATGTTCGGCATAGAACGCTGGGTCCAGGGAGACATCGTGATTTCCTATTGTTGATTTCTACGTTTCAGTCGCAGTCTTCATTTTTTTTAACAGCAAATAGAAATGATGGTTTCTTTCATCATCCACTCAAGTGAGTCCTCGGCTAATCTTACGACTGACCGGCAATTACAATTTTCACTTCATAATCTGCCTCCTCAATCCACTTGAACGTTCGTTCAAGTTCCGGCTTAGTTCCTCTGTTTGAAAGGTCTCCGGCGTGTATCAGAACATCGCCACGGGGCAAGGCAAAGCCTGCTTCTGCTGGAGCATAGCCATGGGTATCCGACACGCAAACAATACGGGTCTTGCGATGCTGGGCCATTCTAGGCAGTTGTAAGAACCTAGCTAGGTAGCCTACCAAAGATAGCAAGGATCTTAGGATCGTTGATAAGAAAACATACGGTAGCAAATGATAAGCATTGTCTCACGTGACTTTGGGTCCGCTGTCGCCCAGACGGGCTTGGCGGCAGGGCAATAGGGCTCGTTGCCCTAGCGCACCATTTTTGCCGCTAAGAACACCTCAATCAAGCGAGACCGACTCTCAACTCGAGACCGACGACAACCCATCGCGCCAACAACCAGCCCTTCGACTTGCTGGATATTATTCGAGTAGAAACCCGGTGACAAGAGCAGGATGTCCACATTCGAGCCAGTTGTACGTTTTTTCCCCCAATCCAGACGGTCGTTGATCACTTTTGGGAGAACGGTGTTGCAAATTTCTTTGGATGGATGGATGGATGGATGGGTGGGTGATTGAGAAGAAGCGCATCGGGCTAATATCATGGCTTTCTTTTCCATTCTACAGGTCGTTATCGACGGCAAGGGACACCTCTTGGGTCGCCTGGCCAGCATCATTGCAAAGCAGTTGCTCAACGGCCAGAAGATCGTCGTCGTTCGATGTGAAGCCCTCAACATCTCCGGCGAATTCTTCCGCGCAAAGCGTACGTCAATTGAGTTTTTTCTTTTCGAGCATATTTTTTCTCCTCCTGTGTATGGAGGGCCGCCATCAATTTCGAGACGTCTTCTACGAGAATGGGAATACTATGTGAAACAACAGAAGCTGACTGAGGATTTGCGTTATAGTCAAGTACCATGCCTACCTTCGCAAGGCCACTCGTTTCAACCCAACCCGTGGAGGTAAGCAGAGAAAAAACATGCACCTACCGGCGTTTACTATATCTGCGATGGCTCATCAATTATTGTGCAGGTCCTTTCCACTTCCGTGCTCCCTCTCGCATTCTCTACAAGACCGTCCGCGGCATGATCCCCCACAAGACCGCCCGTGGTGCCGCCGCCATGGAGAGACTTAAGGTTTTCGAGGGTGTCCCTCCTCCTTACGACAAGAAGAAGCGTGTTGTTGTTCCCCAGGCTCTGCGTGTGCTCCGCTTGAAGCCTGGTCGCAAGTACTGCACCGTTGGCCGTCTCAGCCACGAGGTCGGCTGGAAGTACCAGGATGTTGTTTCTAGGTATGGCATAATTATCCTTGATGGAGAAGAAGAGGTATAGCAAGCGAATACGCTACTAACATGTTTTGTCTATCAGACTCGAGGAGCGGAGGAAGGTCAAGAGCTCAGCATACTACGAGCGCAAGAAGGCTATCCGACGACAGCTCGCTCAAGCCCAGAAATCGGCCAAGGTTGACGAGAAGGTCAAGAGCCAATTGGCCGAATTCGGCTACTAAGCGGTTTTTGTGGTCGGATGGTGGTGAAGGTGGTGTGGTTGTTGGGCAGTGTCTGGAAACGATGTGGTGGTGGACCGGGTGATGCAACTATGGTTTTAAAAAAGGATCAGAGAAACCGTACAGCAAAACCCTGACCACTTTTACCACGCTCCCTTTTTTTCATTTGATCATGAAATAAAAAATAACGTCATCATTCAAACAAGTCAGGCATGCTGGTAATGGACATGGGGATATAGCCTAGGAAAGGGGATTCCCAACGCGGAGTCGCCCCGGGCAAAAAACGCATGATGATTCTAGCATGACATAGTGCCGCCTTGAATACTTATATTTCCCTATGGCGCAATCAATAATTCGAAGAATTTTTTGAAGAAGTTCCAATTGATGTTAATTTCCGTAGAACAACGTGCTTTTTCCAGATACGAAAAGAGACCAGGATATGATCTTCGAGTTGTCCCGGTCGATGGATTCTATATGATGATCAAATGAAGCAATTAACCTCATATTGCGTGCACCAATTTCTTCGAGGAACTTTCTATTTTCTGGATCTTGGAAGCTGAGCAAGCACTAGCCAAATAGATGTGCATGTCTCGTAAGTTCAAATTTACTACACCGATAGAGACAAGATATTTGAAATAAGATGTTCGCCATTGCTAAGAACTAGCTCTTTTAGCGTGGAACCACATGCGGAGAGAAAATTAGGGCATTGATAACATTAAGAATAACTAATTCTGCTTTAATGACAGACTTCTGATATCCTGGGAGGCCATAATCCATATACGAGGAGCCACTAGTATGTGAATGCGATTCTGAGGCATTCGCAGTACTACTAGAAGTAGTAGTACCAGCAGTTATTTCGATATCCAGAGATGTTCGTCTACTGCACAGTTTGATACAGCACCGGTAAATGCAAATAACTATCATGACCAAAACGACAAGTCCAATTATGATTGGTCCGCTAAAGGTTAAGATAATCCCGATCACCGTGCTATAGTGTATACCAGCCTCTAACTTTCCTTTTCTATCCTAGAGATGGAAAAACTACTGATGACCAACTTACTCAGCGTCGGCAGCCATTTTGTTTTCTGAAAAAGGGAGGCAGCTACTTATATGAATGTCTAATTCAATACAGACAATCTCGGGTGTATATCATCCAGAATGACAAAGGAAGAGCCGGGGAGAGAAGAGTGGTCTGGGGTTTAGAGCCTGGTAGGCACCAGTATCGACTATGGCAAGGGCATTGAGATGGATGATGTACAAATTAAAGGCTAATTACTTACAATTCCCAGGAAGATGGATTTAGGGGCAGAAGACTGGCCCACCATGGGACATGCCAATTGATGTTTACTTTCTCTAGAACATGTTCGTTTCTCAAGTACGAGATTCAAAAGCCGTTGGTCAGCGCATATGGGTTTTTATTTTTGATCCGTGAGGGAATCCGAAGAGACTAGAACCTATAGTCTCTATACTACGCAGCGGTACCTTGTGCCTTCCAAGACCGTAATCAACTAAATGGCTGTATTTCGGTCGATATATTTTGCATAGTCATCAAGCGAAGTCGTCAGCCGTCATGTATTGCGTGTAAAGCACAGTAGTTGTCGTCTGAAAAAGAACAAGCCAGTTCGGCCCGGATCCAGCCATACTTAGGAAGAATGGCCCCATAGACATAGGAAATAGTAGATTATATGTAGCTGACTCGTAGATTTTTAAGATTCTCCAATTGATAGAGACGAGATGTCTGAAAGAGGGTTCTCATAATCACTAAGAAGTTTTTTTGGCTTCGAGATCTATGCAGGGAGAAGTATTGAGACTTAAGTTTGGCATCTGGATCCTTTTCCAGACTAGTATTGTAATCTAATGTTGCTAGGGTCTTCGCAGGATCCATTCCAAAATCCGCTTCGATATCCTTTTTGATTTTTTAAGATTTCGATGACGGCACCACATGTAAATCCCAAAGGCTACCTAGGTATCTAGTCCGGCACAGATACCGAAAATGAGATCGACGATCCAGTCGCTGTGATATACATCAGCGGTTAGAAACATCGTTAGTCGCCTTCTTTTGCAAAAGAATCATCGATGCTGACCTGCTCCAAAATAGCCATTATGCGTGTTTCGAAGGGTGACAGTAGCAACGTAATGGAGCTGAAGGGGGTTCGCTTGTATGTGATATAGGTGAGCAGCTTCGAAAATGAAACAAGTGCAAAGGTGAGATATTTCTTGCTTTGGGTGTATAGAACCTACAAGAAGAGAGATGTATCAATTACTGTTTGATCTCATACAGTTTCCGAGAAAGATGGATCTAGGCAGAAGATTGGCCTATCATGGGACATGAAAATGGCCGAGATGTGGAATTTGATGAAGCCACAGTCAGTGGATCATAAGACACCTGCCACATGATTTGCGGTATCACCATTAAGAGATTAATGAAGAGTTATAGGGGTTCACCTCGTAGACCTGGGCAGGGAGTGTATAGTTTGCGCATAAAACATAAGATCCTCGAGGCTAAGACGTATATGGTATAGCGCAATAATCTATATATCCGTAGTAGGAATAGTGGGGGCCGTCCCCAGATGCTAACCGCAACGGGAATCGCTAGTCGGCTTCCCCGCAAGAATATCCGCGGGCCCTGGAGAGTACGATAGCTTAGCATTCATTCTTCCTATGCTGAATGATTCATTATATACTTAAAGAGATTCGTTGACATATATATATCTATGCTGCAAAAGCCATGTCATCGCCGAACTCCCGTCTATCTAGCCTCCTCGGCCACTTCCTTCCATCATCCCATGTCGAGCACCGGGAAGGCAAGAAAGTCAACCACCACACGCTCTCGCCTACATTCTTTCTTCCGCGTACAGCGGCCATTGAGCCCGATGTACGTACTTTCTCAATGTCTATACTTACGGTTCAGAAAAAAGCACATAGATCCTACAATTTTGGTTAAATCCCCATTCTGACGACACCAAACTCAATGCCAGGCCGAAGCTATATACCACTTGACTGCAAACAACAAGGTCCTGCGCAGAAGTTACATTGAGGCCGCAGATCGCGCGCGCGGACTTGCGTACTACCTCAAGAAGCATAAATTTAAGCGTGTGGGCATCTTGGCACCAAACACCCCTGCTTTTTTAGAGTCTATATTCGGCATTGCAGCGGCCGGTGCCGTCAATGTTGGTCAGTGTCTTCTATTGACAAAGCTTCAATTGATTATGGCTATCTAATATGAGACTATGCTGTTACAGCTGTGAATTATCGCCTGAAACCGGAAGATGTCAGTTATATATTTGTGCATTCTGATGTGGAGATGATTATTGTTGATGAGGAATATATATTTCTTCTAGAATTGTTTAAGGGGGAGCACCCAAATATACCGCTCTTGATTGATACGGACACGGATGCAACAGAAGGCGAGTTGAGTGGGCCTTTTGATGCTGCCATTTTGGAAGGCTTGCAGTATGACACAGACACGGGAGGGCGAGGATGGAAAGGTCTAGAGGCGCAGGCTGCCGACGAAAACTCAACTATTGCTCTCGCTTACACTAGTGGTACTACCGCGCGTCCAAAGGGAGTTGATTACACTCATCGAGGGTCATATCTAGCTTCATTGGGCAACATTATCGAATCCGGACTGAATTATAATACAGGACGCTGTAGATATTTGTGGACTTTGCCTATGTTCCATGCCATGGGTTAGTATCCCAGGACCCTCTGGTTGCACAAAAAACACGCAACTACATAATGCTAATGCTAGTCTCACCTTGTAGGTTGGACATTTCCATGGGCAGTTACGGCAGTCAGAGGCACTCACTATTGCCTACGAAAGATCGATTATCCTTATATCTGGCGTCTACTGAAGGATGAGCATGTAACGCATTTCAATGCCGCTCCGACAGTTAACACGCTCTTATGTACCGCGAAAGAAGCGGCAAGGCTCCCAGATCCAGTAAGGGTTACTGTGGCTGCTAGTCCGCCATCGGCACATTTGTTTGAACAGATGACGAACCTCAACCTGCACCCAGTGCATGTCTACGGCATGACAGAAACTTACGGTCCCATCACCAAAGGTTATCATATGCCCATCTGGGACACACTTCCTGACAGTGAGAAGTATAAAAGAATGGCTCGTCAGGGTCATGGCTTCGTCACAAGTCTCCCTATCCGCGTCATCAAGACGGATCTGCCGGAGGGCACTATTGAAGACGTACAACGGAATGGTCTTGAGCTGGGAGAAATAGTGTTTGTTGGCAATATTTGTGCAAAGGGCTACTACAAAGATCCAGAAGCCACACATAAGCTATTTGCAGGCGGAGTGCTTCACTCAGGGGATCTGGCAGTCTGGCACCCAGATGGGGCTATTCAAATCATGGATAGAGCCAAGGATATCATTATCAGTGGTACGTACTTCGTATACGGGAAATAACACTTGGCTCACAAATAAACATAGGCGGCGAAAACATATCCTCAGTAGCGTTAGAATCGATGTTGGTCACTCATCCAGACATTCTCGAGGTGGGTGTTGTTGCCGTGCCTGACTCCCACTGGGGAGAGAGACCAAAGGCGTTCGTCACAGTACAACCAGGCAAACATGTCACTGGGCCTGATGTTATCACGTGGGCTAAGAATGCGCGTGGCATCAGCAAGTTTATGGTTCCTCGCGAGGTTGAAACTGTCCCAGAACTCCCAAAAACTAGCACTGGCAAGGTCAAGAAAAATGTTCTTCGAGAATGGGCCAAGGGAGGGGTGCGAGAACTATAGATAGGCGAAACTCCCCAGACACGGAATATATTTCTTTGACGAGGCATCAATACTTGATTGATACTCTGGCGACTCGCTTTCGTGACCAGGAAGAACACTCTTCTGTAGTGATAGTTTGCGCTGAATGAGGCAGAGCGTCTTGATACATGGTCTCTTTCATTTCTTTTTCTCCTGGTGGATAGATTCTCTTTGGCTATATGCATTTGTTGCATATTATATCATATGCCCTCCCAATCCGATATCTTCCAGCGTGGAGGAAACGCTCGAAGATATTAATATTCCATCGATATCTATAAACAACGCGAGGAGGCAGCGTAGTCGACATGCAGTGCTCCCTGTAGAGTAATCCTAGCTGACGTTTCCGTGGTGGGAAAACTCCGCCGGTGGTTGGCTGCCTTGGGGCCTTGGGCAAGCATCCCGCATCCCACCTTGCTCCCCTTCTTCTAACACTAGTTCCAATTGCCCTTGCTAGCATCTCGGCCATACCTAGGTAAACGACCTCCGAACCATCCATTCTATCTGGCTCGGTCATTTATTTTTGATTATTGACATTCCGCAACCTTCATCGTTGCTTCTGTGGCGAGACATATAGCGAGCCTCGTCTTTTCCACCGGAACTCGCCATCCTAATCCTGACCGACAGGCCTTTGCTACGATCCGAAGGGCAAGCCATTCAGCCCAGTTCAATCGATTTTGGTGTGACCCCAGCTAGAACGAACTGCTTTCATAACTCTGAAGAACTTCGACTCCGTGTTGGAACCGACCGACGAGATTATCGCTTGATCTTCAGTGTGAAAGGAAGGAGGTGCTTGTTGGTATGAGAGGTACATCTACCTGATTAGATTTATAATACACCGAAGCAAGATTACAGCCTCGTCCCCGAAGGCCTCTTGATACGGTGTATCCAGAAGCTTTTCTTTGACAGGGATAGCTCCCTGATCATAGAAAGATACAACAGACCCGACTCGTTTGTAAAGAGCCAGTCGCCCAAGAATGCACCGCTCCCGAGGTGCTGCTCGATCTTCGAGCAAGAGCCCCTCCGAATCCTCAACGTCGAGCTCACCGGAGCGCGCTGCCGACGATGATACCGATTTCTTTGCCCAAGCGAATGATTCCCAGTCTTCTATTGGGATAGCGACATATCGTGGACAAAACGGTAGCAATGAGCCGGATATCATTATACCCCCGATCGGGCGTCTCCCCCCGGAAATACTCATTTCAATATTCTCAAAACTCAGCTCGTCTGCGGACATGCTCCACTGCATGCTAGTGTGTCGAAAATGGGCTGCCAATTGTGTCGGCATCCTTTGGCATCGACCATTGTGCAACCGTTTGGACAACCTGATGCGCATCGTGAATTCTGTTCGCAAAAACAATAGCTTCTTCCCATATTCAGAGTTAATTAGGCGTCTTAATCTAACCGCTCTGGCGAGCAAAGTTACCGACGCTGAATTGTTGTCATTTGCAGAGTGCAAACGGGTTGATCGCTTGACTTTAACGAACTGCTTCAAGTTAACAGACAGAGGCGTATCGGAAATAGTGGAGGGCAATCGGCATCTCCAAGCTCTGGATGTCTCCGATCTCCGGTCTTTGACGGACAACTTTTTGTACATAGTAGCCAAGAACTGTCCCCGTCTACAAGGGTTGAATATTACCGGTTGCACCAAAATAACCGATGAGTCACTGGTGGTTATATCGCAGAGCTGCAAACATCTAAAAAGAGTCAGTCTCTTTTTGACATTAGTCCCTTTCATTTGACGAGATCGATAGCTAACTTGCAGCTACAGCTCAAATTGAACGGCGTGACTCAGGTCACGGACAGGTCTGTTCTTTCTTACGCAGAAAACTGCCCGTCCATACTGGAGATCAATCTGCATGATTGCAGGCAGATTACAAGTCGATCGGTGACAGCTCTATTGTCCTTTTTGCGTAACATGAGAGAAGTATGTTTGGCTCATTGCGTTGAGATTGATGATTCGGCCTTTCTTAAACTTCCTCCGAATTCCTTGTTTGAAACCCTACGCGTATTGGATCTCACAGCCTGTGAACGCATAAGAGACGATGCTATTGAGCGCATCACTGACACGGCTCCTCGATTACGGCATCTTGTCCTCAACAAGTGTAGGTTCATCACAGACCGTGCTGTGTACGCCATCTGCAAGTTAGGCAAAAACCTGCACCTTATACACCTGGGCCACTGCTCGAACGTGACCGATGAGGCTGTCTCTCAGCTTGTAAAATCCTGCAACCGTATTAGGTACATCGACCTAGCATGCTGCAACCTGCTTACAGATGCCAGCGTTCAACAACTGGCAACCCTACCAAAGTTGAAACGAATAGGCTTGGTTAAGTGTCAAGCAATCACTGATTGGAGTATTTTGGCTCTTGCTCGTTCGAGAGCAGCGCCACACCATATTGGTTCAAGCTGCCTGGAACGAGTACATCTCAGTTACTGTGTGAATCTAACCATGGAAGTACGTTAATATCCACGGAGTTGTTGAAGTAGTTATCCCAGCTAACTTGGAAACTGCAGGGAATTCACGCACTTCTCAATTATTGCCCGCGTTTGACCCATCTCAGTCTCACTGGGGTCCAGGCATTCTTACACGAAGACCTAACCGCTTTTTGCCGAGATGCACCTTCTGAGTTTACTCAGCAGCAACGCGAGGTCTTTTGCGTCTTTAGCGGAGACGGTGTCGTGAAACTACGCGACTATTTGAACAGGAACGCTGTGCCTTACCCCCCGGAAACAGAAGCCACGATGTATGACGATGAAGATGAGCTTGATGAAGAAGAGAACCAGGTCGCTGGGTTGATGAGTGCGACAGTTATTCGCGATGATGACGATGAAATGGGTGACGATGGCATTATCGAAGTCGGCCCTCCTCACGGTTAAAGCTCCCATTATCCTCACCTATTGTCCATCGACTCCATATATATAAGACTATGACCGACGCCCTCGTTGTTTACCACTAGTGGCATTTCATAAATGGAGATTATCGCTTCACCACAGCAGCGTTAGAACCTAGAATTTTCCGACCTTTTTTTTCCCTTCCGACAAATGAATACCTCGCTTTTCGGGCTAAATGATCATGGGATGCAGTTATCCATCTTACTATATTGTGCTCGTGCAGTGTCTACTATCTCATAGTATTGATCCATAGTACGGCCCTCGCAATTTCCTCTTGCGTTTTCAAATTGATACCCATATCAGATTTATAGCGCCTTGCTTGTTTTGACTAAAGATGAAAACGTCCTTCTCATCGCCTCTCTTTTTTACTTATTTGTTAACTTGAGCCCAAGGGACACGGACGGGCTATAGTGGGTGGCACAGCACAGATAGATCGTAGTGGCATATCTAAATGACATATATCTGTTTCTTAGTTGAAGCATCAATTATGGAACTTATGTACATTGATCCACTACATACATAGTACTTACTACATATATGCATCAATTAATAGACGCTGGAATCGATTGATTACGGAAATACGGATCAATACGGAGGTTTCTTACGGTAACGGCCTTTTATTGCCCCCAAGTTGTCCATTCTCCGCATGAGGAGTGTAAGCCTTACCGTATTACCGTATTACTAATTAAATTACGACGTCCCCTCGCCGCTCAATCCAACCTCGTTTCCTCTCAACTCAACCTTGGAAGTCGACACTGCGTGTGCTTCGCAAGCCGATGTCCTCGTAGCACATACTCATCGAAAGTCGCGATATTCATGGCTCGCCCCAGGGCAGCGCGATGGAATCCCTTCGCGTTCAATCGCTTGCCAGTGACGATTGCCGTGACTCTTATCTATGTCGCACTGATAATTCCGCTCATTGTTGTCGAGCATGTTCTCCCTCCAATCCCGACCTCGAACCCGAAAGGCCTAGACTTGCACGAAGCATGGCAAGATCTACAGCATTTGACAAGCGGGTTTCATCCGTACAATTCTCGGAATAATGACGACGTGCGGAGCTGGCTGTTGAGTCGCATTGATGAGATATTGAACGAAAATGCGGCGGCGGCGCGCGATGTAAAGAAAGCCCAGGGAAAACAAGAGCGGAATGCCCCTCAGACCTTTGTCTTTGATGACAATCAATCGAATTTGACCGTTGTTCAGTCGCACCTTGGGGTATATTTCGAGGGTACAAATATCATGGTATATATTCGTGGTCGCGAGGATGATAAGAGAGAGTGGTGGAAGGAACCAGGCCTCAGCCCTTCAGGAAAAGGTGGAGTGCTTGTTAATGCTCATTATGATAGTGTTTCGACTGGTTATGGCGCTACTGATGACGGTGTTGGTGTTATTTCATGTCTGCAACTCATCAAGTACTTCACCACGCCGGGACATGAGCCTCTACGAGGACTTGTTGTGCTTTTCAACAATGGGGAGGAAGACTTTTTGAATGGTGCACGTGTCTATAGCCAGCACCCTATCTCAAAATTGGCTCACACATTCCTGAATCTTGAAGGCGCTGGAGCCGGTGGGCGGGCGACGTTGTTTCGCAGCTCTGATACCGAAGTTAGTAGGTTCTACGGACGATCTCCATACCCATTTGGCAGCGTGTTCTCGGATGCTGGATTCAAATCTGGCATGATCAGAAGCCAAACGGATTATATTGTCTTCGAGGGCGACATGGGCCTGCGTGGTCTGGACGTTGCTTTTATGGAGCCCCGAGCCAGGTATCACACGAATCAAGACGATGCTAAGCATACTAGCCAGCAGTCTGTCTGGCATATGTTGTCTGCTGCAGTTGCTACAACTGAGGGCTTAGTCTCGGACACCAGTCGCGATTTTGAGGGTCGTCCGCAAGGGCCTGGAAAGGTGCCCAGCGGAACTGGCTCCGTAGCTGTCTGGTTTGATTTATTTGGCACCGCATTCGCAGTGTTTGAACTACATACCCTCTTCGCACTTTCGGTCACCCTGCTTATTGTAGGCCCCCTGACATTGTTTATCACAAGTATTATTCTAGCCAACCAGGATCGCATGTACTTGTTTGGCATTTCCGTTTCGGTTGACGACGGCTTTGGCAATGTACCACTACGAGGCTGGAGGGGTTTCTTCCGATTCCCATTTATCTTTGTCAGTACTACTGCAAGTGTTGTGGGTTTGGCTTACCTATTGGCCAAAATCAACCCCATGATCGCTCATAGCAGCGAATATGCAGTCTGGAGCATGATGATTTCAGCGTGGGTTTTTGTCGCGTGGTTTTTATCCCGTATTGCAAATTTTGCTCGACCCTCAGCTTTGCACCGTATATACGTCTTGACTTGGATGTTCATATTGACTTGGGTACTCCTTGTGATTACTACTGTGTACGAAAACCGGGATGGTATTGCAAGTGGCTATTTTGTCCTTTTCTATGCTTTTGGGACTTTTTTGGCAACGTGGATTTCTTACCTGGAGCTTTTCTCTTTACCTGGGAAGAGCGAATACGCCAACAGATTGAACGGACAGACGTCTTCAAGACGGACAAGTCTCGGTGGCAGTCGTCTTATGACACCCAGTGCAGAATCTGTTAATCAACATCAAGAGGACGAGGAGCCTACCGAGTCAACGTCTCTTCTGCGAGGGAACCGAACAACCTTTGCCAATTACACGCGATCTGGAGAGGATGATGGTGATGCAACCACGTCAGCGACTGATGAATTCGAAACACGAGACTTCAATGTATACGGCTACGAGCAGCCTTGGAGCGCAAATATGCCTAAATGGACGTGGCTCCTGCAGTTTCTTCTGATTGCTCCCATTGTGATCATTCTCATTGGGCAACTCGGTCTCCTTGTCACAGCAGCTGTCAACCAAACCGCGCAGGACGGCAGTTCTGCTCTAATGCCGTATCTGATAATCTCCGCCTTTACTACGCTACTTCTCGCCCCTACTCTTCCCTTCATCCATCGATACACATACCACGTGCCCACTTTCTTGTTCTTTGTGTTCGTTGCTACCCTGATTTATAATCTTACGGCATTTCCTTTCTCAGGCAACAATCGACTGAAGCTCTTTTTCTTGCAAGAAGTGGACCTTGATAGTGGTATGAACCGTGCATCCTTGCTCGGTATTTCCCCGTTTGTCAACGATGCTGTTGCATCGATACCCAGCACCTATGGTCAGAATGTATCCTGCATCTCGAAGCTAGATAGAACGGAATGCTCCTGGGAGAGCATTATGCCGCACGTTATTACTAAACCCGGTTCCGAAGAGGAAGAGCCCCCACTAAACGAATGGGTGAAATACAGCGCCACGCGACTTGTATCGGGGCAGCCAAACAGAAACAACCGTGCACAGATCCAGATAGGCGGCTTGAATACGCGTGGCTGCGTGCTGTTGTTTGATAAACCCCTTTCTCAATTCCACGTCGCTGGTTCGGCGATTGATAACCGATTCCCGAGTAATCCGTCCCCGGAAGATGAAGGGGGTATTCGAGAGATTCGCTTGTGGAGCCGCACTTGGGGGAATGAATGGATTGTAGATGTTGAGTGGACTCCAGAGGAGGATGATAATACAGATACTCTGACTGGGAAAGCGACCTGTCTCTGGAGCGATGCAAATACGCCGGGGTTGATTCCGGCGCTCGATGAAGTTATCCAGTATAGTCCGGACTGGACTGCCATTACGAAGATCGATGCTGGGTTGGTGAAAGGAAGTCGATCTTTCGAGGCGTGAGGATAGTTTTTGTTTATCTCTTGTGCAATATAAAGTTGTGTCCTTTTGAATGGTAACGTGTGTGTATCTATGTATATATACGTCTATGTCTACGTTAGCTCCTACATGAGTTTTTTCTAAATGAGACAGACCCTAAACATTGATGCATGCATGTGTATTCACCAATTGTCAGACCTTTTCTTATCTTTCCATTATGCCTGCCTCTAGTCCTCGCCAGTAGAAACATGATTGGCGCTTCAATCCGTGCAGTATTTACGGTACAAGCACGCAATGAGTAGCACGAATGTCAAAATGCTCTCTTGAAGGTGAACAGCGAGATCTGCCATTTTTCGCCCAAACAAGTTGTCCATTTGAGCCATTTAAGCACTGCACAGTTCGTTCTAGTTCATGAGTGAATGAGGGGAAGGTTGGAAGAGGCCTGTAGAACTGGGATTTTCATGGTGGTATATATAGGCCTGGAACTGACAAGTTTTAGGTAAACCTCGTTTTTTTCTCTTACGTCTGCTCTAGTCAACGCTCCTGGAGGCATTCAGTATTCAAACAGTTCCTATTACTTTGTACTTGCTTAGTACTTCTATTAGAATGTCTGCCGCCCAAGAATTCGAAGCTGCGAATGCACAATATTTCTCGACCTTTAGCAAAGGAGAGTTACCCCTTCCTCCTGCTCGGTATGTCCACACTAAATAACCAAGTACAGGGTGGTTTTATCTTGGTTTATTGACGTCTGTACAGCAAAGTCGCTGTCGTAGCGTGCATGGATGCCCGTATCGGTATGTCGTTCCTGTACTTTCACATATATATATATATTGTGGTATCAACCTTGCCACACATGAGTATTTAACCTTATGCCCGGTATATAGATGTCTTCCGAACTCTCGGTCTCCAAGAAGGCGATGCGCACGTAATTCGCAATGCTGGGGGTCGTGCCAGCGACGCACTTCGCAGCATAATAATCTCCCAGCAGTTACTAGGGACGCGAGAAATCGTCCTTCTACATCATGTACACCCCCTTCCCTTGCTCTTTCTCGTCCTGCCCTAAATAATATATAACTCCAAGCACTGACAACAAATCCCAAAAAAACAGACGGACTGCGGTATGCTAACATTCACCGACGACGTAATCCGAGCCAAAATAAGCGCCGAGCTAAACCAGAATGCGGATCATATTGCGTTCTTGCCCTTTGCACATTTGAAGCAGAGTGTTGTCGATGATATTCGTTTCTTGAAGGAGAGTCCGTTGGTGCTCGATGTGCCGATTTCGGGGTATGTGTACGAGGTTGAGACGGGGAGAATCGTAACAGTTTGATCTCTTACTCCTTTTTCAAACATAATGAATGAATGATATTGAACACTGATTATAGGATTGCCTAGTTCGGCAGGTAATCCTAATGGGGAAACTTCTTGGATAAACCCTAACTGTTGTTAAGATACATGCACTACTTAATCATATTTAAGCTATAATATATATGATTATCGTAAGCAACATCTAGGATAGAGATTTATCCCTCGTCACAGCAAGGAAAGTCAATGACCACAATTGCCTTATGTCCGACTCTATGCACCGGGAAAAAATCAGTACAATACCTAAATTTAGCATTTGAAGCGTGAAAACATACCAACTTGACTCGCCATACCCGGTGGCGGAGGCATAACTCCAAGCGGCGTAGATATGAACGTATCATTGCTTTCATCATATGTCCAAGACCAAACCTCTTGCGATAACCGTGCTTGATTAGCCTCAATTGAGTCCCAGAGGACATTATAAGCAGATTTGACATTGCTATACACAACAGAGTCATGACAAAAGTCGGGAATATTTTCATCATTGCTGTTATTTCTGCTATCGCGCTCAAGACGCGATTCGATGGATTGCTGTGTCAAACGACTGCCCACCCGGCAACGCCCGAGTTGTTGCTCCAGTCCCTTGGCCATCATGGCCAGGGGCCAGGACCAAATCACTGTGCCATGGTAGGCACTACTGTCCCAGTTCTCTGCATACTCCGAGTTTTGGCCATAGGCAGGATTGGACACGAGCATGCCGGCATCAGTGAGAAGGCCAGCAGGGAATGTGCGACGGATATTGTTTGCGGTTTGATTCATGAAGAATGTGAGTTGGTTCTGGTCTCTGGTAGTATTGAGCAGGAAGTGACGGAAACAGTCGTCTGTGTTCATGACAAGGACCTGCGTTTGATTATTGTAGCCATTGAGCGCGAGGGCGTGGAAATTCACATCACTGTCGATGGTGTCAGTTTGGTTGGGTCCGGTGAAGTTGATTGTCTTTGCGTAGGAGGCTACGAGCTGCTTAGCCTTGGATACGGGGATGGTCACGTTGAAAAATCTCAGTGTCTCATCCTCCCAGACTTGAGCGTATTTGTCGGCCAGTGTGTCCCATTGTTCTTGCTGTTGTGTCTGGACGGGGAAGAAGTTGTTGCGAGCAAGAGACGCGATGGCTCGAAGGGCTGCAGGTACCAAAGCCGTATTCACATCGTAGGGAATGCGACCTCCACCAATGCCTACACTCGTGTGTTAGATTAGCGCATTCGCTGAAAATAGTAGTAATATCTAACCATAAGCGCTATCTCTCCATTCGCCCGCAATCTGACCCTCCTTCAGGTGGATCAGGTTGGATTCAGTCTGGTTCTGATTTCCTGCAAATGGCGCAGCTAGTCTCATGATGCGTTCTGCGTTTAGGACTGCCATATCCTGGTAGGTCAGATCGCTATTGCTGGAAATAAAGCCTCCAGCGGAAGTGCTGTCTTTGAGTTTAGTTGATATTCCCGCAGACAGGAGAGGAGTTGTACACGCACTTCAGAAATGCCCCGACTCTATCACGGCCAACGGGATCTTCGACGAAGTATTTGTTCATTAGAATTGGAAGAAAGTAATCGGAATCAACCTGTTGACGATTAATGAACGCTATCAAAAGCCGGTGATACTCATCTCACCATTTCATAATTACATTGTGGCTCAGTACTAAACACGCCATTTTGTTCATTCAGCCATGTAGCATAGTCACTAGAATAAGAGGCCAGTCAGTCAATGGGTGAAAGCGAGACATGGGGGATGACACAGATTCACCCAATGGTCTCCTCATGACACACACTCCCATCTGCCCTATTAATCCGCTCCAGAACCGCAGCAATAACAGCCTCCAAGGCACCGTTTTTGCCTCTGCTCAGAACCGGTTGCAGCAAGAGCGCAGAGATCATGGAATCACGACCAAAGTACGTCAAGAACCGCCACGCACCAGCCAGCAGCTTTGTGGAGTACGACAAGAAAGACAACGCTTCCGTTGTGTCTGATTGCTGCTGAATCAAAGCAGCGGACTGGTTGCTCAACACCTGTCCTGGCGATAATTGCGTCAACTGCATATAATTGTATTCCGCGGTGAACACATAGTCACCAGCCTCAAACACCAAGGTTTTGCTGTTATTGTTGTTGCTGCTACCACTAATAGTAACAGACCCATTTGAAGTAGAAGCAGGTGCGAAATCAAGATGCGTCGAGGTCACATTATCCAGCCAAAGCCGCTGCAGGGAAGCTCCCCCATTGGACAAGCGAGACACGTGAATAGCGTCCTGAATCTCCGGCTGTAAAATACTTGAACCTTCGACATAATCTCGGATCGTGCGTATGCTACCCAAGATGGGGAGGGTGAGAATGGCAGAAGAATTGAAGCGAATGGTGCCGGTGACACCATAGAAGGGGGTCGAATCATTGCCGGAAGCTGCATCTGTGCTATAAGTTGCTGCCAATGGACTGCCTATGGTGGAATTGACGAGCTCGATGCTCAGAGAGCCATTAACGCCGTTTTGAGGCTCGAAGAATGTACAAACCCCGCTGTTGCCGGCGGGCCAAGCAACGATGAGGCGAGGAGCGGTCACAGAGAGGTCGCTGTCAGACTGCGGGCTGGTCACGACAACTTGGACGGCAGTGTTGCAGTCGGAATAGAAGAAGTTGTGGTAGGGTGCGTCTGGGAGATGTAGAGTCGTCGGGGTAGACGGACATGATGGCGCGGCGGCTGCTGCGAGGGCGCTAAAGGCCAGGAAATGATGCCTGCCCATTGATGGATTGACTTGCTGTAGATAAAGTAGAAAAAGATCCCACGTTCATAGGAGCTAGACAGATGTCTACCTTGGTAAGTCAAGCAGAAGAGGTCGGGTAGCAGTGATTACCTAGGTAGGGCCTGATCTCCGCCTTGGGACCACATTCCAACTCCGGTCTCCATGGCCTCGCGTGGCGTCAAGCACAGCAGACAGAGTGGCGCAGTACTTGGTTGTTGGAGATTTGAACGTTCCAAGGTTCCAAGGTTATATGCGGGGTCCCCGCAATCAAAAAAAAAAAAGAAAATACATGTCCAGGGTTTACCCGCACTGTATCTTTCCTACAATGTAGAAGTAGGTGACCATGAGAAAAATATACATATATATTCGTAACGTCGTTTGAGTATCGTGAGGCTTATATCAATGTACATACATGATTATGTGCTGAAATGTAGCCAGACATCCAAATCTGTAGTTATATACCCACAGAGCAGTGGCGTTCTCTTATACTGGTAATATGAGAGAAGAATCCGGCTCGCCATCTCCATGCGTTCAACCTTTCTATGGTGTCTTCTCAAGCCCACTCTGACAAAATCTATCCAGAGAAGAACTAAATCGGTATGCCGGAATCAACTGTCCCAAGCACGATCGGAATTTGATGGGTTACTACTATCCCCTCTCTAAGAGCTGGACGAAGAGCTGGACAACGTAGTGCTGGGCCCCCGACTCATCCCGTGGTAAGAGGGCACTCGCCTTACTATTTCGTGGTACGTGGACTCTCGCCTCGGCTGGTGATAGGTGGGTTCTGGCCTCGGCTCGTGGTATGGCAATGGCGGCGAGTGCTCGAACATGGCTACTGATATAGCGTCCATGTCGTCGTCCAAGGGGTGTTGGTGGGATTTGCTCGGCCGTGGAGTGGGATGCGTGACATCGGAGGCGATGCGAGAGGCATCGACAAAGTCGGGGAGAGCATTTGGTGCCAATGAATGGCTGCTTTCGGAGGTGATGGTTGGCTGGGGGTTATTGTTCCAGCCGTGAGTTCGCACGAGTCGAATCAATTGTCCCAGCACAGCGAATTCTAGCTTTAGCTTGATGCTATAGACGGCCCCTTTCAGCGTGGTCTCTACCACGTAAAAATTCATGTATTCGACCACCAGCAGGCCGACGTCCATTAAGATGATGATCAAGTTGATGACGAGCAACTGATACATGATCTTGCGACTCCCACGCTCTGGATTCCCGCGCAGAAGACCGAGGGTTTCGTAGATGTAGATGCCAGAGAGTATGAATTCTTGCAGACAGAACCCGGTCATCTGGATCTTCTCCATGACATTATACCCATTTACATAATGGGTGTTGGAGCTGGCGAAATTCGATCCGTACGTCAACACAGTAGTCGGTATATGCAGGAGAATAGCGTTGACAATGATCATGCACAGCACGGGACGGAGAATCTTTGGATTCCTGTTCAGCAGGTGCAGTCTTGAATACAACACCATCGACTGACCGGTCACCATTGCATACCAGCCCACGGTCAGAAGAGTCACGGATAGCCATGTGGCCGAGGTGAGTTGGAAGAACTTCATGAGAAAGCCCACGGAATAAGGCAAGACACCCAGCGCCGAAGACACCAGCAGGCTCCAGAAGTACAGCCCGCGATACTGGCGGAAGGTCACGAAGATGAGGACAATGAGCTCTGTTGCGTTGTACCAGGCCACGCCGGTAAACGTCCCCATTGCAATCTGTAGCCCCAGATTATGGCCTGTATAGCCACCGGTGATGCCATTGCTGGGAGCACTATTGGCAGACGACGCCATCTCTTAATGCATGATTTGCAGGAGGCAGAGGCAGGGGCAAAGGCATTTCCTAGCAGTAGCAAGGAAAGGAGATGATGGACAGCGAAAAGACAAGAAAAGACGGTGGAGTGGGACAGGCACCGAAGCCTTGGAAATATATACACGGGTCCTAATAAAATAATACGAATATAATGCGAGTTCTAATTATACCTGAACAACGGGCAACAAAAGAAGCCCATTGAATGTTCCGAATAGCCGCCCCCCAGGATTCCCACCTGAAGGCGGTACCAAGTGAGAACACGCCTCACTGGCCACAACAAAGTTTCCTCTGCGGGCGACATTGCAATTGGTGACTCGTGAAACCTTTCATACTTTCATGGGCAGCGCTCAGGCGGGAAACTAGAGACGGCAGCCTATGGCGGCGAGGCCGCGGGGAGACGACGTTCATCTGGTTGGTTGCTTCCGGCGTAATTTGCGGGGGCGCTGGTACATCGTCGTATTTGACTGAGAGGCTGCTGTCCAGTGCTTGTGTCTTGACATCATTTTGCCCGGTGTTCCGCAGCGTGGAGAGTTGCGCAGTTCAAGAGCTCGTGAGAGCAAAACTTGGATAAAGCCCGACGACAAAAGACGTTACATCATGTGCTGCCAAGACTCGGCCTGAGGCACGTCTCTTTATCCCCCCCTCTCTTTATGTGCCTCAGATTTGTATAGAAATTTGGAATGATATAACATGACTAAAAAAAAAAAAAGGCGCAAATGTTACACGCCGTAGACTCCTGATTGGCAGGTATCTCTTTTCCTTAACCATACATATATACGCCTGTAAAACTCCTCAAAAAAGCCCCCGTGCAAAGAAAAGAGTCTAGCTAGTCCCGATTCTCACCCCCCGTAGCCAAAACCACCCGGTCGACTTCGCCGCGACACTCAGGCATCGCACTCCTCATTTCCATAGCCAAGACATCCCGGAAACTCGTAAACGCCTCTTTCTTGCCCTTGAGATCTTGGTTGCCGCGCTGCACGAGCTCGACGAACTCTCGCGTATAAATGTCTGGGTTTCGTGCCGCGTCGACGTAGTCGATGATTTCGGGGGGCAGTTGGATGCTCGCTACGGGCGGATCATTGGCGTCTCGGTGGGGTGAGGAGGGGTTGGCTGTGACTGTTGGGTCTGGTTTTGTGTCTGTCGAGAGGGTGCTGAGTGCGAGGGTGAGGTTTTTTCTGCAAATACAGCTGTTAGCCTTGTCTGCTCTTCGTCTTATTTGTCGTATTTTTTTTCCCTTCTTTTTTGCACACATACATCTTCCGCACTAATTCAAGCTGAGTCTCGGAGCCCAGGTAGCCATGAACAGCAGACTGAATCTCGAATAGATGTTGAATGACATCTTTGAGTTCATCTAGTCAACCACGTCAGTAGACCAAATAACTTTCAATATCACTTCACTTCCACTCGTAGAGAGAAGACTCACTCTCAACGGTACTCAATGCCACAGGCGCCATGTTGTTCTGCTGACAGCCGGCCAGTCACACTGATTACGTATGTAGTTCAGCAGCAGTAGTACCTCGGGCTGTTGCGCCGCGACGTCTTCCAAGGCAAAAAAGGAATCGATCAAAACTTCGCTATAACTCCGATAACTTGCTCATTGTGGCCTGGTCGGTGTTATGGAGGTGATGAGTTGTCGGCCTTATCGTTTCACAGTCTAATTGATTTCCAGGTCGCTCTCGGAACCTCTCTTGTTGAGACGATAAGACGATATCGCGGGATGGATCATGCGCTTACCGAATGTGGTTAGTGTTACGCTGACGGCCTGAGGATCGACTTTGGGTTGGCATTGCAGTAAGTACATTTAGATGAAATGATCACTTTGACAAGATGATTAGATTTGATTTTGGTTATTTCGTTGATTATATAGGACAGAAGAATGCGATTCTAAAAACTCTAACCTTCTTCATCACAGTGAATTCGTAAACGTCAAACAAAAGAATCAAAGCTAGCCAGTAGCCGGCAGAAAACTATATGCATCGGAGGTATAGGAAGAGTCGGTACCTCTTGCGTATGATATATGATATATATGTATGCATGTATGTACATATGCAAAAGCCATGAGTCAGTGTTCGTCATCGGCATATCCAAAAAAAAAAGAAGCAAAGATAGAACAACAACGTTGCTAAAGATTCAAGACTATACTTCTCTAGTGCGGATGGAAGAAATCTTTGGAACGTCAATCTCCGTCTCGACGAGTTCTAACCCTGAAAGGCTTGGGTATCGTCGACTGAAGTTGGCCTCCCAGTCTTCGCCTGACGGGCTTGTGGGATCAGCTGTTGGAAGGGGAACGTCTACTCGGCCCCCTCCAGTTTGAAGTTTCTTGGGCTTTGGGGGCGCTGCTGGTCGTTGGGATGTGCGCTGCAAAGGTATAGTGTCCACAGGACTTCCCTTCGCAGGTGTTTGAGCCGGGCCGCCAGCTGTGTTGAGCTTTGTCAGAGACGAAGGGCCTCTAATGTCCTGCGGCGAGGGCTTGGGCCGGGTAGGTAAACGAGGCGTATATTCTCTGTCATCTGACTCTGATGTCTGTCCAGGTCCACCTGATTCGGTGTCTGTGTATTTTCCATACCCAGATGCTGTCCTTGGTGTAGGTCTACTCTTCTCCTGAAGAAGCGTTTGGACTTTATTTTGGATGGCAGGTGCTTTGGAACCATCTCGCCCGCCCGAACCTCGCCCAGCAACTTGGAGCCGATACTCGGCCGCCGCATTGGCTACTCGTTTCTCTTCCTGTGAAAGTCGCCTGCGTTCCAGTTCCCGTCGCATTTCGGGAGAAATGTCTGTGGGATCGGAATCGAAACCCCCATCATCGCTTCGGTCATCCGTGGCCTCAGAACCAGCAATAGGAGTCAATCGCTTGTCCACTTCGCTTGGAGAAGGTGTCCGACTCTTGCTGTCAGAAGGGTTTTGTTCAAAACGACGGAAAGCGTCACCAAAGCGCCCGGAGAGCAAGCCCTTTCCTGATATCGCCAGAGAAGACAAACTGGAGCGTTTGGAATGTTTTGGACCACCGCTGAGGCGCTTTTCCTTTTTTCGAGCGAGCTCCTCTTCCTCACGTACACGGAGATAATCGACATTAGAAGTGATATTTGCACCATCAACATCATAGTCTCCGTCCGTGCGTGCATGATTGAGCGGCTCTCCGAAGTCGTACTCACTGCGACGTGGATCCAGCGCAGGGCTGCGAATAACTGGTTCCCTTGAAGGTGAGTCATATCTGGCTCCAAGATGAAGACTAGAAGGCCTGATGCGAGAGTTTGCCGACCTTGGACGCGCCAACGCATCGTCGAGTTCGCGAAACGAGGGTCTCGAAATATCTAGAGATGGCCGAGTAGAGCTTTGAGTTCGTGAGATCTCCTCAGATGACAACCTGGGCTTGGGCTCTACGGCTTGAATAGTTGTTGTCCGAGAAGGCACACTGCCCGACCCTGAGGGTGGTCGACCGTCCTCTACGGACCATGGCTGTCGCTGTCGTTCTTGCGACGGCGCTGGGAACCTGTATATTGGGCGACTAGAAGATGGCCGAGTTTCTGAACTGGAAGGCGGTGATACATCTGTCATAGTACCGGTCGATACCATCTGCGGTCGCTGGGAAGCGTTTGTTGTTTGTGACGATGGCTGAGTCCGTTCGCGTTCCCCTTTTTGAGAGGGAGACCTTTTTAGTCCTTGCTCAACCGCAGGAGTAGGAATAGCTGAGCGGCTTCCGACCTCTTCCTTTGCTGGTAGGTAGGGAGAAGCGGGCTTTGCAAAAGCATCATCAGCCAACGCATTTGTAAACCGTTGTGAAAGGTCTTCCGTGTCGGGTTTCTTTTCGGAGACAGTAGGTTCAAATTCAAACTTCCCGCCTTTTTCATGCAGCAAGGAGAATTGGTCAAGGGTGGGAAACCGGGATGCTAGTTCATCCGCGCTTTGGCTCTTCCTTTTACTTCCATCAAGAGCGGCAAATGGGTCACTGGAAGAAGGTCCACGATATGGCGAAGGACTGGGGTGCGCAGAGTTTTGTTGCGATGAGGGTTTTGACGGGCGCCCCCTTCGCATGGGGGCTATTTCAGGTACGATCTTAGTCTCTTGCAAAGGAGGCGAGAAAACAGCACCAATACGTGGTACTTCAGATGGTGGCGGTGGTAACTCTTGATTACGGCGGGCTTCGGACTGTGTTCGATGCTCATAGATCTGCAAAGTTAGGGGGGAAAAGACGTCAGAATACGAGAACACAATGCAGCGTTCTACAGGGATCTAAACTCACATCTCGAATTGGAACCTCTTTGCCTTGCATAAGGCAAACCTCCTTGAGGACCCCATATATCGTAGGTCGGTTTTGAGGGTTTTCTTGCAACATTGAAGCTAGACATGGTCCGTTAGTCCACTTGCCAAGAAAGAAAAGGAAATAATCAGTTGTGAGACTTGAACCTACCAATGAGTCTTTTGAGCCGATCGGAAAAGGTAGGATATGACGGAAACTTGTAGCTAGCGTTGAGAATAGCCATATGGCCCACATCTTCGAATGGAGTTGTATAATAGCAGAGCTTATATAGTAGAACCCCGAGGGCCCAGATGTCGCTTTTCTCATCAATAGGCTGCTTTCGGTAGACATCTATCATCTCGGGACTGCGATACTGCATTGTCGTGTGCCGTTGGATATCATCCTCAATCAATCTGCCCTCTGCGGCAGACGTGGCGGCCGGGCGGGGAGGTGCAGTAGAACCAAAGTCACACAGTTTGTACAGCGGAGACTTGCCCGACAGCGATATGAGGACATTTTCGACTTTCAAGTCTCTGTGTAGTAGCGGTGGCTTCAGGTAGTGCATGCAAGCAACACCCTCCGAGACATCAGAGAAGATCTTCAGAATCTCCGGTTCGGTTAGCCGATGCTGCAAGCGAGTGTTCATGAAGTCAATCAGTCCTCCCCCCTGGCAGTTTTCCATGAGCAGAAAGACTTCGTACCCGCCCCCTTTCAGTTGCGATGCATGAGAATCAATGTAAGTGACGATGTGCCGGTGGCCCTTTAATTTCTTCATGGTTTCGACTTCGGTGCGCATACCGGCCAGCGCTGTCTTATCGGGGACGGCCACTCGCTTCAGAACGCCAGTGTCTGAGCCGTCAACAGGCTGTGGAAGTTTGACCACATATACATGTGCGAATCCTCCTTCGGACAAATACTTCTCAATGACCACTCGGTGGTTGCCTACCTGGACCTTGGTGCCAGGCACAAAGGTGCCAGCTGGCGCGGAGGAAGCCATTGGGACGGCGTGGCTGACGGAGGCTCCTTGACGGGGAGGGAAGGCTTGCGGGGCAGATTGAGAATGTACTTGTGCATGGTAAGAGGCCATATCGAACGGGTTGGTTGCCCTCAGCCCTTGGGGAAGGGGAAGGGGGAAGAGGAACTGCAGGTCCCAGCGATTACGGCCAACAGCATAGAGGGGGGACCCGCTGCGAGAACAGGTAGGCAGTACTCCGTAGGCGTTTCTGAGGAGAATCTGGAGAAGAAGAAGCGCAGGCTTGAGCTGGGGAAAAGAGTTATTTTCCTTGAGCAGCAGGAGGGAAGCAAGAGAAGCTCCTGCACTGCTTGTGATGCCAGCGTCAGTCAGCCTTGGGCGAGCAACGTGACGGGCGGCGGGCTTGGTTTGTCCAGTCCTCACCGCCGAGGCCGTCCAATCATCATCGGTGTGTGTCTGCCTACACTCTACAGTCTCTTAACTAGTACCTACCTACCAAACTACCAACCAGCCATGAACACCTACAGTAGTACGATCGACGTGTGCTGTTACTACGGTCTTCGACTCTTTGGCTAACTACTTAGCTAGGAGCCATCGCCGGACTGAGCCATCCATTGCTCCCGTCATGTGACGCCTGCACGGGTCACACAGCCTGGGAGAGCGCGTGAGGTGCGAAGTCAGGATGCATTTGGCATTGCCCCAGGATTCCTTTCCTGCTGGCATCTGTCTGAACATTCAACAGCCACATAGCGAGCGAGTCAGTCAAGCCACGAGCGGTTCGACGGGAGCGGGCCGGGACGGCGGCGTTGTCAGGGTGACCGCCGGATATGATTCCATGCTCACTGTTTTGCTGCTGACAAGCCTGGCGAACTGCATGATTGGACTGCCCGATGTGATATGCACGGTATCGAGCAACTTGCACGCTGGTATGGCCACGTAGGCTGGTGGTTATCGTACATACAGAGTACGAGACGACGAGCGTGACTGGGCGCTGGTTGGTCCATCGCAAAAGCCGCCATCGCAAAACAGGAAAACCAAAACAAACAACTCCTTTTCCGAGAAGAACAGCAGCGAGAGTAGCATCCATCAATCAAACAACTTGTCATCGAGTCGAGTCGTCGAAGATGTCGAAGCGAAGCTAGCATTATTGAGTTGTCTGGCGTAGACATTGGACAACCAAAAATCTCCTGGCAAAATATATCACTGCGCATGCCAATGACTTAGACATCCGAATTTGCATGAGTTAAAATCTAACGTAACTCCAGGGTCCCAGAAGGCGACCGGATATTTAATATCAAGGAAACTAGCTAAATAATAATAATTTCACGTCCGCGGCTCTGAGGTGAATAAAGGCAGGCCGTGCTGTGGGAGACGAAAAAGGGAAAAAAAAAAATAAGGGCAAAGACAAAGACAAGCTAGAGGGGCCTCCTTCCCTCTTGCTCCTTCCCCATCCGCCACTCCCTCAACTCAACTTCCTCCGCAACCTCAACCTCAACCTCGCCTCACCTTGGTACGCTCTTCTGCGTGCCAACAGCCGTGATTTGCAAGTTTCCGTCAAAAGCAATTCTCCCTTCCGGTGCATTGTCAGCAAGCCACTAAATACCTCCCGATAAAGTTACTCTGGCCAACCCGCTTACAATAAAGACTCCCACATTCCAGTCTCGGAGAACAATTCCTGTGCCACCATCAGTCTATGAACGATATCCCCTCTACGAGGCAACGACGCCCAATGCACTGATGGGCCAACCGCCCCAGTGCCAGCCGATGTCGCAGTGAATATGAAGTCAACAGCACTTGTTTTTCGCCGTCAAACTTTGCACACTTGTTTCTCCAGATAACTTTCACGGTCAAAAAGAAAAAAAAAAAAAAAAAAAAAGGGAAGGAAGCCACCTCCGTGAGAGTGGGGTTCGAGAGGACCGTAAAGGAGAGAAATATATATACACATTTATCACGACGCATTGGACAACCATTCAAGCCATAACGACAGCGCGCAGCAATGGACGGTCCTCCGCCTCCGCCGCCGCCGCATGGCGCCAACCCAAACACCACAGAAGGGACTCCGAAGTATCGGAAATCAACTGACTTGCCCGACGGTCCATATGACATTTTTATTATTCCGCCCCATTCCGCCGGTTCGGGATTTCTGTACCTCCCATCCTTACAATGCCACCGCAACAGCTTCATCGCAGGGTCGCTCTCTACGCTATTGATAGTCGCGGTATGGACTTTAATCCAGCCCACAGTCAAAACCTGGGTCGCAACAACCAACGCAACTGGAGGAATGGGGGTCATTGTTCTGGTTCTCGCAGTTGGATTTGCGGGCTGGTACTTTGGGACCATGCAGAATGATGGAGGTGCAAATGGCAGCTCAGCGAACAGGCCCCGACCCGGAGGAGCAGCGTTTGGTGGTGGCTATCAATACGGCGCATATCAAAACCAAGGCGGTCCCTACCAGAACGGAGGACCAACACCAAACGGAGGGCCACCGCCAAACTCTCACTTCAACAGCGGAGGCCACTACAATCACGGAGGCGCATCACAGCCGCCCCCGTACAATAATCATAACGCTCAACCCAATACCAATAACAACACCGAAAAAAATGCTAAAGGCAGCACTCCGAATGATGACCCTAAGAAGGCAGAAGCGGAACGGGAAAAGGCCCGTGAAGAGGCCAGGCAAAGAGAGGAAGCAGAACGGGAGAAAGCCCGTGAAGAGGCCAGGCGGAAAGAAGAAGCGGAACGAGAGAAAGCCCGCGAAGAGGCCAGGCGGAAAGAAGAAGCCGAGTGGGCAAAAGCCCGTGAAGAGACCAGGCGAAAAGAAGCTGAATGGGAAAAGGCCCGTGAGGAGACTAGGCGGAAAGAAGAAATTCGGCGAAAGATGGAAGCTTATAGAAAGAAGAGGGAAGCCGAAGAGGCCGAGAGAAGGAGACAAAAGGAACGCGAAGCCATGGAGGAAGAACTGAGAAGGCGCAAAGAGGAGCTGGAAAAAGAAGCTGCTGCTGCTAAAGCCGCCGCTGAAAAGGAGGTTAGAGAACGGGCAGAGCGAGAAGCTGCGGAAAGAGAGGAGAAAGCTAGAAGGGAGCAAGCAGAGCGGGAAGAGAGGGTCCGAAAAGAAGCAGCTGAACAGGAGGAGAGAGAGAAAAAGCAGGCTGCGGAAAAAGAGGCTGCTGCTAAGGAGGCTGCAAAGAAAGAGGCTGCTGCTCGTTTTGCAGCGGCCAAAGAAGCAGCGGCCAAAAAGTTCGCTGCTGCCAAAGAGGCTGCCGCAAAAGCCAAACAGAGTGCTCCAGCTCATACTGCTGCGTCGGCTCCATCAGCTGCTCCACCACGAACTCCCTCTCCGAGAAAGCCACCGCCGCCCTCAACAAGGACTGCAGAAGAAGACGACGCCTATTCTTTCCGGCCGTATGATAGGCCTCGCCGACCATATGGAGGAACATCATCACCCTCTGTCTACTCCGAATCTTCATATGCTCCATCACAATCGACGGCACGAACAACGCCTCCACCATCTCATCGTGGACCGTATACGACAAAGGATCCAGACAAAGTCATTATCTCTGGAGTATATCTCTTCAACAATGCTTTCCAGAAGACTCCAATAGCACAACTTGTTTCTGGGAAAGGCACCGTTACTGATGGACTAATCCTGAAAATTACGACGGAAGGATTGTTTATTGATGATGATGTGCGTGGTATTGCACAGAGAGAATGGGATGTGAAAGCGTGGACTTTGAAGTCGGTTGAGGTATGATGCCTGTAGTTTCTTGAAAAGAAAGCAGTTGCTAACGCATATCCCATTTTCAGATGGTCGAATTGCGAGGCCTACAGATCGTCCGTTTCAGCGTGCGCGATGCAGAAGGCAAGAGATACGTTTTCATTCTCGGCAAGCCTGAAGTGTGGAAGGTCAAGCAGGGCTTGGGACGACTGCGACGCGGCTCCCAAGTACGAGCATTGAGCCAATCTGAACTGCCCAGGAACGAGGGCAATGCGATTCTAACGAATTTGGGCTACGCCTAGCTCAATCTAACAAGAATCATGTGATTTTTTTTTCTCCCCGACCGACTTGACTATATTTGCGAGAAGAGCATTTGAAGCATGGCATCGGATCATCTTGTACAGCGTTCCGTATTTCTCCTCCTACCCACTCCCCCACACTTTTCCAATGTTGCTCTATTGTTGTTGGAATTGTCATTAGTCATTTGTCATTAGCGATGGAGTTCCTCTTCGCTGACACCACTATGACCACCGTCATTATCAAAGGGGTTTCTTTGCACAGACCAATCCTAATATGTATGACGTTTTGTTAACGATTCCCCCACTGCCCGTTTATTTCATATGATATCATTTTTTGTTGGCTACTTATTGGCAGACTGAAAGAACGAACGAATCAAGATATGTAGATAGCACAGATAATTAGTCCAATATTATGCACATACCTACGATCCATTCGGATCAGCGCGGCCCGACATTACCGTGCAGGCCAACCAGCAGACACCAAAAATGTGTTGCCTAAGGACGGCTGAGGCTCTTGGCTCATCAAATCCGTAATCCCTCGTATTGTGTATGTACAGTAATTTATGCTGGAATCTCGCTGCCTAACTTCGTTGAGAGGGAATATTATACTCGATCATCAGTGAATGGGGGTTTAGTGTTTACCATCCATACTGCTTATATATATATATATATATATATGTTTGCTTCGCAATATCGCCATTCATTGAACAGAACAATGATAATGGCGAATGCAGAACAACCAAATGCGCTCATGAGCGACAACGATCGTGAGAGATCCTCCTCTCCGCAGGGCTCATTTGAGCACGTCGTTTACGAGAACTCGGATTCGGACTCGGTGACCCTATCTGGCTCTGATCAAGCACAGCAAGCTCAAACTCACGATGGCAAGCGTGATTTTAAATATGATGAAGCGGCCGAAGTCATGTCGGATACCGAGACGTTACCTGAATATAAGCCCGAGACCTCTCACTATGAGACGGCTGCTCTTCTGACCAAAGGCGCTTACCATGATCAAGATGCGGCCGAGCAGGCGGATGAAGGGGGCAGTAAGTGCTCTCGACGCGGTTGCTTTGGCCGTCGTCGATGTTGTCGTCGTCGTGGTCGTCGAGCATCAATGAAGTGCGACAAGAAGCGTCGTGTACGCAGACGCATCGCGTTCTTTATCAAGACTTTTTTGCTGCTTGGTTTATTCTCATTTCTGATGGTCAAGATGTGTCTGCGGCATAAAAGAGTAAGTACAAAACAAATTCATCCAAATCAAGGAGAAAGGAGAGATAGATGCTGACCTTGTTTGCTTGTTCAGGGCGAACACTTCTCCGACTTTGAAGATTTCTCTACTCCAAGACAGATTATTCGCAATTATTATTCACACGATATTTCCGGTCAATTCCCTCTATTTGACCTCCTAGCTCTCAAGACTACATCGGGTAATATCAATGTTGTCATTGCGCCGCAGCCGGCCGGCCCTGAATATCCTGATGAACCAGCTCGTCTGCTCTTGAAGACGGATTCAGGATCCATCTCTGTGGCCTTTGTTCATAAGAGTGTACTTTATCTAGTCACTTACGACAACGGTGACATTGAGCGACTCGACACCCTTCCCGCGGATTTCGAAAACCTGGAGAATGTAGGCGTGGCTAGTATCATGCGGACCGAGACCCAGATCCCATATCGGCCGTACGAAGTGGTCATTTCTACCAGGAGTGGTTCTATAAATGGCAGAATCATTTTCTCTTCCTCCGTTTACCTAGAAACGCATTCGGGCGATATCTCGGCATCTCTTCTTCCTGTGGTCCCTCTTGGTGACGATGCTGTTGACGCCATCACTGATGGTACTTCCATTGTGACTAAGACGCTCAGCGGTACTCAGGCAATTGCATTGGGTGAGCCACTCTTTACCAACTCTTCGGAGGAAGAGAAGGCCTCTTATAATATTACTGAAGATGTTTTTTCTTCATACTCGGCTACATCTTCGCACATTAGTGAATCCGGGAACCTCCAGATCAGCTACCCGCGTTCCTGGGCAGGTAATCTCACGGCCTTGTACAACTGGGGCCCAGTTGCGCTTGGAGGTAGGGGCCTTGAGATCACGGAAAGTAATCATAGGTATACGAAGGGGTTCAAGCGTCCTAATGACGATGAAGATAAAGCGCATGAATGGTGGGGCAGCCGTGGTGATATGGAGGTTCTTCTGAAAACAGATTCCGGTGCTGTTAGCTTCCATGTTTAGGACCAATTTATAGCTGGCTGTCTGGAAATGAATTCTGGTATTCAAAGGCAAAGGCATGTTTTATGTGCACATTGAATTGTTTAATCTTATCTTGTTGATTGAATCAGTCATAAAGTTCGTACTAGTGTAACCCAATTCAAAAGGAATGTTATTTCTGTCCCTATTGTTAGGAATTTGATAGTTATGCCTCAACTAGTGTTGCCAGATAGTGGCTTGCTTACTTAACCATGTCTATGAAATTCAAGAAAAACTTAAATCTCTCGCAATTATCCTACAAATCCACAAAGACTGATAGATTCGGTCATACAGAAACTCAACTTGCGGCAGAGTTGGAGTTTTGCGACACGTGCCCTAGATAATCTAGAGTGCTACTAACCAAGTACTTGAATACTTGCAACAGTCCTTGTTTGGGCTTAAAGATATCAACAGCATGAAAGATTCCAGTTGCATGACTTTCATGACTACCTAGTCAACAATACTCTGTTCTCTTCAAGATGACTACATCAGTCAACACACGATTTCGATTCATGATTTATGTGAGAAACATAGCTCGACTATAGACAGAACCTGGGATAGTCATTTTGACAAAGCATTGAGAGAGCTAACTTGTCATTTTCGTGACTGCTATCGTTGATGATCGTGTGTGTTTAGCACTAGAAAAATTAATGACGATAATAAAGTCTACATCTGTCTTGATTTATTACTAAATTTTGATGTGACAATGGGCAATTGGCAGATTACAGAATGGAACAGAACAGAAAAGCTGTTTATTAACTCAATTGTATACATCTATTGTGCTCGGCCGAATAGCATCGGCCGGCAGTACTGAGCATTCTGTCATAAACCTTGGAAGAATTCATCGTCACCCTTTTTAAGCTGTGGGTCTGTGACTACTTCATACTACATACATAGTTCATGCCATAATATGAATGCATGCTAAGCTATGCTAATCTAAATATTAGAAAGTGAGAGTAGGAGAGCTAGCAAGTAGAAAAGATGCTATATGTAGTATTCCGTACTCACTGATATGAATATGTTGATGCTAGTAGAGAAATACACTCTTCTAGCTTACAAACAAGCTGGTTTGAAGCTAAAACGTGCGGAGTAGTATTCTTCACTTGAAGACCTTGTTATAACAGCGCCTGATGCTCCCGTCCTCTACGTGCCAAGATCATCGGCCTCCTGAAGTTCTGATTCGTGCTACCCCCACTTGTGGTGGGGCATCCCGCAACCTACCGTTCCCACTTGCCGGTGAGCCTATCAGGTGTCCGTATCTATATTTTGATTATCTTCCATTGAGATTACCGGGATCTTGGCTGGTTGGTGGACACTGGACAGCGGACACCTTGGCTCGGCCGATTTTGTGGTCGAGACCCGATTATTTCACAGGTATAGCAGGACATTTTTCAATGAGAAAGCTTTAAGTACGCCTACAGCCATGTATAGAGGGGATTCTAGATAATTTTTGTATCGATATCAGAGCAGCGACTTGTCCATATGCCTCAAAATCACAGTCCGACGAGACTTCCGTGGCCGCAAGGTGCCCGTATGCCTCAAAAGCACGCTCTACTGAGAGTTCCTCGGGTTTTGCACCCCGCGGGTTGCCCGTTGAGGGGAAGAAGGGGTCATGCTGATGAACCGTATTGCGCCGGGCATCTCGAAACTCTATGTCGCCAATGCGGACGGGTCTAACTCACGTCTACTCCTCGCTAACGAGAGTACATTTGAATATCACGCGCAGTGGTCGCCAAAGGGTAGTTGGATTGTCTGTACTAGTGAACGCGCCGGCGATGGGCAGTCGGATTTGTATCGAGTCCGACCCAATGGCACCGAATTGCAAGCCATTTCAGCCACCCCTCTGTTGAGTATGCCGGCTCCATCTCGCCTAACGGTAGTCTCGTAGCATTTTCTAGCACCCTCAACAAACATAAGAGCAATATCTGGATCAAGGACTTGGAGACGGGTACACTATGGAATGTCACAAACTCGACCGAGGTCGCCGGCAACTGGACTCTTCCTGATGGCCATTTCCGTCCAGCATGGTCGCCGGATGGTGAGTGGGTGGTTTTCTCGTCGGATTGCAACACACCCTGGCGTGGTCATAACAATATTAGTGGCTGGGAACATACGCAGGAGCTGTCCATTTACGCCATCCGACCCAATGGCAGTGACTTCCACCTCGTTGCGAACAGGACGGGCTACTGTTTAGGCTCGCCCAAGTTCTCACCCAATGGCAGCCGCATTTTCTTTTACGAGATTCCCACAGAGTTAACATACTATGCGCGCGTAGCCGAGCCCCAATTCTATGATGTCAACACAGCTATCATCTCGGTGGACTTCAACGGGAACGGACCGCATTGTGCTCGAATCGGCCGATTCTGGTGGCATCAAACCCTTCCCCCAGTACATAGATGATAACACTATAGGCTACCTGGTAAAGAGCCTGCTGACAAATGAGACCTACCCGGGCTCTATCAACTACACGTCTGCCAACCCGCAAAGCACCGCCAGTGCCAAGTACCCCAACCCATCCCTGGTTGGCTACTATCGCTCACCGTCTTGGTCGCCTGATGGTAGCAAGATAGTCTACGAGCACGTTGAGTGGGACCCTGTTCGTAGTATTGACAAAAAGCTGGACAGCTGGAATGATGATTGGGAGTACCGCTTCACGGACGTGTTCCCTCAAATGTCTCAGAAAGGTAAAGTGGTGTACACGTCGCAGCAGACTGCGAACTCCTCGCTCGTCACCATGAATCACGACGGCACAAAAGCAAGTGAAATCTTTGCCGGATCATGATTCCCAGCCCTGACCAACTCGTCCAACACTAATGGCACCTTCCAGGGGTCGTGGCGTGGTGATGGGGAGATACTGGCTGCGGGTTTGGGCGACTGGTTCGAGTATCGTTACGAAAATCCTGGTTGGGTATATCTGGCGTCGGCTAATGGGTCGTGGACGCAGCAGATAACCAACGGCAGCACCAACGCTGATTTCCCTACCATCTCTCCCGATGGCCGGTGGCTGGTTTGGCGAGAGTTCGATTATACAACTGAGTTGGTGACGCCGTTGGGACTAGGGCGCATGGATCTGACAACGGGTGAAGTTATTACACTGACTACTTCCTGGGATAACACGCCTATGTTTGCACCAGATGGCTCAAACCGCCTTGTCTTTACACGACGCGACAGCGTGCCCGTTTCCGGTCCGTTGGACGACAAGTACGACATAATGATGATGAATATCGATGGCAGTGACCTCAAAAGGTTGGCCACGTTGGCGTGCAACGACGCTCACGCCACATGGACCCATGGTGGAAAGATCAATTGGGCCTCGGGCATGTTTGGATCTCAGGACGAGGCCGCGATTTACGACAACAACCAGCAGCCGTACCCGATGATCATGCAAATGGATGCCGATGGGTCGAATGTCACAGTGCTGACAGAAAGCAGATGGGAAGATACTATCCCCAATGATATATGGGCCGCAACATGACGGTATGGCGGTATGTAAATACTATTGGTATCTTATCGTACGTAAATAAACGTGTTTAGAAGGTACTAGTAATAAAGTACTAGATTAAGGACAGTTGCCTTACATTATAGAATTAGAGACACTATGATATCTGCTCACGTCTTGACTTACGAAGTATATCTCCCGCTATTTCATTGTGATGGCCCTTGTTATGAGGTAATATTTATACTTTTAGACACAAACACATGGATTCTGTGCGCAGCGCGCGCTAGACCTTGTGATCCAAGAAATAGGCACACTCAACAACGAGTACACACTGACAACTCGAAAATCATAAATTGAACAGTCTTAGCATCAATTGGCCAAGTAGAAACAAAGAGAAGACAAGCTCGGTTAAAATCGACTCGGAACAACTCCGATACCAATGCTGCATGGTCCCAATTTTGGGTTACAGACGAGCTCTCCAAACCTGCCCAATCGCCACCTTGCCCTATGTTGAACCATGGCAGAAACAAAACCGGGGATCAGCTCGGGTTACTTGCCCATTCTGCAAATAAAGTTGGCGCTTCCCCACGGGGTATAGCAATCCCCCGCCTCTTCTCCAGGAAACAGCGTCGGTGATCTCCCGGCACCCTCTAGCTTTCTCCCCCAAGAGCTCAGGCTGAATGATATGGAATAATAGCTCTAAAAAGGCTAAGATATTATTACTGTATAATTTTTCGGAATACTTTCCGCGGATTGGAATGTCTCCTTTATGTCGTGAAACTCGGAGGCGTCGGGCTGCATAGATAAAGAATGGCCGCCGCTTCTAGACTGACGCCTTCTCTCGTACAAGTAATTTGGTGAGAATACTTTGATCCACGTATTTATTTACTCATATCTCAAACTTCTGAAAAGACGAGTTGGTAGTGCATTACACTACTCATTTCTTGAACACAGCAAAGTCAAGCTTTTGTCTCGGATCCAAACATGCCCCGGAAATATTGGGGTGGCTCTGGTGATGCACTCACCGTGTGGATCTCTGTCGCTGCTTCGACAGTACTGATTTTCTATGGCTACGACCAGGTTCGTCTCATGTTCTACGTTTGGCAATCCGCAGAGACACGAAATTACTAACGCAATCAAAATCAAGGGAGTGTTTGGCAATGTCCTCATTGGCGAAGACTTTCTCCAAACAATGGGCCATCCATCATCCAATATGCAGGCAACAATGACCTCCGTCTACAATCTTGGCTGCTTCGTCGGTGCTATGTCTACTATCTGGACAGGCGATATATTTGGAAGACCCCGTCAGATAATTGTCGGAAGTACGGTGATTGCTATAGGAGCTGTTATTCAGACTGCTTCTTATAGTGTTGCCCAGATGATGTGCGGCAGAGTCATTGCCGGTCTCGGAACAGGTAAGACATGTTCTTTATACCGTGCTGTTTTGACATCAGTGTGCTAACTGTTGCGAAAAATAGGCATGAATACAGCTACCGCCGGTGTTTGGCAAGCCGAAACAAGTAAAATGCGTAGTCGAGGAAAGTTGGTTATTATTCAAATGGTCCGTTTATTATCTGTACCCTATCTGCCAGAAAATGGAAAGTCACTCTGTAGTTTGATAAAGGAAGCTGACAGATTTAGGCAAACTGCATCACCGGGTTTTCAATCTCAAACTGGCTCACTCTAGGGTTTTCATTTGCATCCGGCAGTGTAGCATGGAGGTTTCCCCTTGCTTTCCAAATCTTCTTTACGCTGCTCATATACGTGCTCTGCCCATTCTTGCCAGACTCGCCCCGTCTCTTGATCCGCAAAGGAAAATACGACGAGGCTCGTGAAGTTATAGCTGCTTTGGAGGGAGATGGAGCAACACCGGAGACTCCTTCAGTAAAGTCACAGTTTAATATCATCAAGGATATTCTTGATCGGGAGCATTTGACTAGCTATACGTGGGCTCAGCTACTTACTGGACGGGGTACTACTTTCTGAGTTGCTATGGTCCATAAACTACAACATTACTAACCATCCAATAGGTCCCTCAGGTGTTCTTCGACGTATGATCCTCGGTGCCTGGATGCAAGCCATGAACCAAATTTCTGGCATCAACATCACCAGCTATTACATGTCATACGTATTCATCAACGCGCTCAACATCAACGAACTACTCTCTCGCATCCTCGCCGCCGCAGGAAGCGTCGATTATCTCATCTTCTCGTGTCTCGCATATTTCATCATCGAGCGATTCGGGCGTCGAAAAGTCATGATGTGCTCCGCTGCTGCATGCTGCACATGCTGGATTGTGATTGCTATTGTGCTCGCTATTTCTGATACGGGACGAGGAGATTCATATAAACTCGGCATTGTAGCTGTGTCGTTCTTTTTTGTGTTTTTTGCGAGTTTTGGTATGGGCGTGCTTGGGGTACCATGGTATGTTATACATGTCCCTTCCTGCATAGAACCAGATAATTATCGCAGAAGGGGCATATATGCTGACAGAATAAATGCGAAGGCTATATCCAACCGAAATCAACGCCCTCGAAATGCGCACTAAGGGCTCTTCGCTTGCCATGGCCACAAACTGGATTATGAATTACATGGTCGTCCAAGTGACTCCTCCAGGAATCGCCAATCTCGGATGGAAGTTTTGGATTATCTGGGCATGCATCTGCTTTAGTTTTATACCGATCACATACCTGTTTTATCCCGAAACGGCAAACCGGACATTGGAGGATATTGATCGGTTTTTTGAAACAAAACCTGGCATTATAATTGCTTGGAATAAGAGTGAGTTATCCTTACATCCTGTCCTTATTGAATCTATTTTTTGGGTCCATTAAAATGTAGACTGTGACTAATGTTGTGATATGTAGCTGCAACACAACTCCAAAGGCCAGAAGAGTATATCCGTATGGACGAGGAATTTGCTCAGTTGGCCAACAGTGAGAAGATGTTTGATAGTAGCAATCAGGGAGAGAAAGCTTCGCATGCTGACGTCAAGACTGTTCATCGAGAGCACGTCTAGATACTACTTTAGGTACAGAAGATACAGTGATAGGAATTCGTATGTAACTATACAAGTCCACAAATGCTATCTTAGTATATTTCCAAGGTTCCTATTAGCAGGAAGTAATCTTTCTGCATTTTCAACACAATACTTTCCAATATCAATATTGAATTCCGAAAACAATCCTTCTTATTAAATATTAATGTATCAACTTATAAGCTGGTTATCATTAAACTTTATAGATTAATACACAATCTATGTCTGCAAATTAAACAACCGGTTTCAGCGTCAGACATCCGAAATGTCTCGGACACATTTCATAGGGTTGAAGCCCGAGACTTTAAACCTCGTCAATAACAAGTTTTGTAACATGAACGACTTCATAATTCTCGTATTGGATCGGGTTTTGCTTCAAATTGGCATCTATAGTTTGTCCATGAGTATCACAGTTATTCAGCCCGTGAATTACTGCACTCTATAAATAAATACTTAAAAGAAGCAAAGCTCGAACTGATCTCATTTTGTGGTGGTAAAAGTGAGAGACAACACCCAAGATTTATGTATATGGCAGCAATCTATACCGAGGATATGTTCTGGGTGTGATATTTTGATCTATAGAACCCTAGGTAGCTGACAATGCCGATGCAGCGGTAGAAACTTCGACAAAAGGCCGCAAGCAAGACCTTTTCTTGAAGAAGTATCATAGGACAGTCGAAAGACATAAAAGACGACAGTAATTCTACGGACAACATCAAGAAGGACGGCTTGGAGGGTGTGGCAACGGCGATGATTGGGTGCCGAGAAGCACACCACGTGCGCGCACACACGGTTCGTCCCGGCTTCCATCAACCTTAATTCTTCGTCTTTTTTTATGTTTTCAGCTTCATCTAACTTGCTGTAGTGCGAGGGTAAGACAAGGAAGCATGCTTCTTTTTCTTCTTTCCAACGCTCGTTGCTGCAGCCATCAAGTGTCAGTTAGAGAATCAACTATATTACCTCCCGTCTTCCGCTCTCCGTCCGTATTCTAGGATTGACCATATATTAAGAGGGAAAGACCTTGGAATGCAACAGAAGGAAATAGAACAAACACAGCACTGCCGCAGAGCCTGAGCTTGTGCAGCGCCTACAGGCTACTCCACTAGAGTTAGCTAGCTCAGAACGGAGCTCTGCTATTGAAAACAGAGTGGAGCTTCAGCTTGCCCATGTTGATCGACTGGCAGACGCAGTCAGGGATCCAGAAACATGCTGTACGTAATTATTTGGCCAGAATCAGATTGACCACTACGGAGTACGGAGGCGGACCAAGACTATCGTAGTATCACAATGAGTGCCACTGCGATATGCACAAATTACATGGCAGCCAGCCTATTGGTGAGGCCACAGCTGCAGGCTGCAGCAATCGACTGCTCATAAACCAAGTGGAGCAGAAAAAAGCAACAAGTCGAGTAGTAGCAGCGACCGGTGGAGAGAGAAATCGATGAATCGATAGATACATCCAGTGAATTGGAATTATGATAGGAGAGAAGGGAAAATATCAGGTTCGAAGGCGAAGAAATTTTCGACTATCCGCAGCAATCTCGATGAATATATTTATTCGTAAAGTCCGACTATGCGCAGTAGCTTCAACCTTCTACTAATCTATCGCCTGTGACTATTCCCAGTTGAGAATCGACGGCTTTTAGTTCTTCTGCTGGCCATCGATGTGATTCCATTGAGCTCTATCAGATTTATTTCTTACCAGCCATCTCCTTCCTACACGACTAAAAGTAGCAAGGCCCCGATCGTCTGAGAAAAGCATTCCGGACCCCGAGAAGAAAAGCCGTTGGCACGTCGTCATCTTCCTCTCTGATTTGACGGCGCAGGAATAAAAATCACCGTGGCTGGGGGAATCCTGCTGGACGGACGACTTGACTGGCCACACCTCTCCACACCGCAGCGAGTCTTTCATTTATCATTGTTATTATCATATTATTAATAGTTTCTGTTGCTTTTTTCCTTTTTCCTGCCCCGCGTGATCGTGCTTCTGCCAGCTTTCGTGCATTGTTATCATTGGGGCGGGCGTCCTCACATTCCCCTTAGCCGGCCCCGACGATAGATACTGACAACCTTTTTTTCTCCTTTCTCTTTTTCTGCCTATAATTCACTGATGTTGGGGGAAACAGTGTTCTCCGCAATCTAGCTACGGAGCGAAGAGGAAAGAAGAAAAAAAGAAAAGGAGCAATAAGAGAGTGCAAGACAGAAAAAGTGTGAGGGAAGAGGAAGAAAAAAAAAAGAATTCTACCGCTTTCGTCGTAGTTCGATCCGCTTCCCGCCCGCCAGCCAGACTTACTCACGGTTCTCAATGGTTCTCCATCAACTCTTTTCCAAATCACCGGACAAGGACAAGGACAAGAGCAAGGACAGCAAGAAGAAAGACAGGGAGCGCAAGCCCAAGCCAAAACCCAAGGACGACGACTTCAAGGACAAGAAATCCAAAGCCCGGCCACGCCCGCGGAGCAGAGACCTCTCCGACGGCGTCGACATTCCCGCACCAGGCGAGCCCTCCTCCATCTTTCCTCCTCCTTCGCTCTCCAATTCTCCTACCAAATCCACCTCGTCCTCGCCCCGCAAGTCCTCGCCCTCCAAATCGACGCTCTCGTATCCGGACTTGAATCCTTCTCACAGCCGCTCATCTTCCACGGCCTCGAAGACCGGCTTTTTCTCCTCCAACCGCAACTCGCGCACTCAAGAGTCGCACCCGTTAAACCTTCCGCCGGACGAGCTCCGTCGACGTATTTCCCTCATGGCGGCTGCTGCTAGGGACGACAGCATGCGGAGCTCCATGGATATCGACCGCGAGACCACCGCCTCACCCCAGCCAGAGGCTACTCCCATGAGTACAAATGGCGATAACAATGATCGCAGCCCTACCCCGCCTCCCCATCGTTCTCCTCCGCCGAACAGTGATGGTGGAGAGTCGTTCAAACTTGCCGGAAATAAGTTTTACAAGCAAGGAGACTACGAGCGAGCTATACAAGAGTATAACAAAGGTTGGTATCTTGGAACAAGATAACCCGTCATGGTTATGAGCATGTGCTAAAAAAATTTTGATAATTTCACTGTAGCTCTTGAGATTACCCCCAATTCCTCCATTTTTCTTTCCAACCGTGCTGCAGCATACTTGTCAGCCAACCGCTTCCTTCAGGCCTTGGAAGACGCACAGCGTGCGCTTGAGTTAGACCCGGGGAATTCCAAAATCATGCACCGTCAAGCTCGAATCCTAACAAGTCTGGGCCGCCCGGCAGAGGCTCTCGATGTGCTATCGAAAGTGCAACCCCCCGCGTCTGCCAAGGACCGTGCCACAGCAGAGTCCATGCTTCGGCACATTACCCAGGCCGAAGATTCACTTAACAACGGCAAGGGCGGCTCTTTGGTCAACTTTGCCATTGACCAAGCCCGGCAGCTATTAGGCACAGGCGTCAAAGTTCCGCGTAAGTGGGTACTCATGACTGGAGAGGCTCAACTGAAAATCGGAAACGATAACGGGTACGGCAAAGCGCACGATGTGGCCATATCGCTGCTACGAGAGAACAGCCAAGATCCCGATGCACTGCTTCTTCGAGCAAGGGCGTACTACGGGCAAGGCGATAATGATCAAGCGTTGAAATACTTGAAAATCAGTCTTGGACTGGATCCAGACAACAAAATGGCGTTCGCTTTGCTGCGCATGGTGCAGAAATTAGTGCGAACCAAAGACGAAGGCAACACGGCTTTCAAGGCCAAGAATTATCAGCGTGCAGTAGAACTGTACTCGCAGGGTCTCGAAATCGACCCAACAAACAAGGATACCAATTCCAAGCTCCTTCAGAACCGGGCACAGGCGCGTCTAGCTCTAAAGGATTACGACAAGGCCATCGAAGACTGCACGGAAGCCTTGCGCCTCGACCCGGGGTATGTCAAGGCGCAAAAGATTCGTGCGAAAGCCTATGGCGCAGCGGGCAACTGGGACGAGGCTGTCAAGGACTACAAGAACGTCGCGGAAGTCAACCCCGGTGAGAAAGGTATCCAGGAGGATATTCGCCATGCCGAGTTTGAGCTCAAGAAAAGCAAACGAAAGGACTTCTATAAGATTCTCGGTGTTGGCAAGGATGCCTCTGATCAAGAAATCAAAAAGGCCTACCGAAAGATGGCTATTCAGCATCATCCGGACAAGAACCCTGATTCTACGGATGAGAAGTTCAAGGAGATTGGCGAGGCTTATGAGACTTTGATTGATCCTCAGTATGTTTTCAAACCCATTCATCCATGAGAGATGGTCCTTTCTAACAAGAGATATAGGAAACGAGCTGCATACGATAACGGCGACGACCTCATAGACCCATCTGAAATGTTCAGTGGCGGCTCACCTTTTGGCGGCGGCATGGGTGGAATGGGAGGCATGGGCGGTATGGGCGGTATGGGCGGCATGCACGGCGTCAATATCGATCCCAACATCCTCTTCAACATGATGAACGGCGGAGGCGGCGGTGGTGGCTTCGCGCATGCCGGCGGTAATCCATTTGCTGGTGCACAGGGCCGTGGCAACTTCCAAGGATTCCCTTTCTAAAATCTCAGAACCATTTTCTTTTTTCGACTTATATCCACCTTGGAAGCGTGCCAACTACCCACACGGGGGCAGTGTACAATCATATAAATTGACCAATTCGATGAGAAGATTTCCTATCGATTGATCTGCTGGTAGTCAAGTCCAGTGGTTATTCCAACCAATCTCTATATGATCAACATTCAAAATTTCTCTTTTTCTTTCTCGGGGGGAGGGGGGAGGAATCATCCCTTCATCGATTTCCATTATTTCATGCAACTGATCGACCGCTATATGTCTGTATTCATGCATGCATGTATGTAGACGATGATGACATTGTGGTCAGCCCAAGAATTTTTGAGTATTAAGTATTCTCTAGCATGTGGCGCAGCTACTCTTCTTTTTCTTTCTTCCTCCCCAAACCTCTTTTCTCCTTGTTTCTTTTTCTTTTTTCTTTTTTACTTATTTATCTGGGTTATTTTACTTATTCCATTTACATCTGGAACATTTGGAACATAGATTGGCGTTTCTTTTTTCCTCAACTCTTCAACTTCACTATGGAATGATTGCAAATTCAAATTTATGGAATGTCGAGAGCCAGAACAGCATGCTAGAATATTAGAATTTGCAATGCATGAAAAAAATCACATAATCGAAGGGAATAATATACGCTTATTATACAACATGGACATCCATCAGGGTATTTAGTATAAGTGAGCGAACAGACAGGCTCTAGCTGCACTTTTGCAATCATCAATAGCGTCGTCATAAATGATCAAACCCGGGCGAACAATTCCTCGGCAATGCTAGGAATAATAGTAATATCTGTTGCCCGATGGTGGCGGTGGTTGATATGATTGCAGCGGGTATCCCGGCTGCAAAGATTGTGGTAGTCGGTGTTGATGTTGATATTGTGGGCGCGAGTTGTCAACATAATGTTGAGTTTGAGGCGGTTCGGATGTTGTCGTGCGAGGAGCTTTAATTTCGATATATTAGAATAGACCTGTTATTTTTTTTTTTTTTTTTGCTCTTCGTAAAAAGAAAATACGTACCAAGTTGACCTGCAAGGCTTGCCCACTGCACCTGAAGATGCGTGTTCGTTGGACTGTGTTGGAAATAGTGACGCGGCGCTCGAGGCTTCTGCCATGCATTATCGTCGTCACTTAAATGCAAATCCGATGTCATTGGTAGTAAATGATGGATTTCGTGTGGAAGCGGCGGAAGACTCTTCCAAGTCCCACGATCACGATTGCGACGTTGACCTCCTACACCCCTTTGTTGATTCACATGGGCTGGGTAGGTGCCCTTCTCATACGATCTGGCCGCTTCAACCTGGTCCCAAAGCACCCATAACTTCATATCCTCGACCCAGACAAGACGCCCATTCACCAACAGCCAGAACGGGGCTGTCGTGCTGGAATGGTCCGCACTGGCCGGTCGAGGCGGAACATGCGCAGCATCACGTATGGAAGACTGACTACGCGAGGTCCGGAGAGGGGCAATTCGATGTTGCTCGTTGGATACTGGGGGATACTGGTTTAACAAGAAGAAATGTGTAAGCGTCAAATTCGACATGGGGGTGGGCGAAAGGGAGCGAGATCATTTCTGGTCTGATCAAAAACGTACTATTCTATCTTCTAGTGGGAATTGCAGGCTGGATATAGATCCTGAAACGGATCTTGTTGCGGTTGATAGCGGAGAAACAGAGCCTGGAGAGATCATCGGCAGACCTCTTGACGGATCGTAGCTGCTGTATGGTGACACAGGCGAGATAGGGGAGAAACGTTCATCCCTCATTGGCGGTCCCTCGAGGGAGGAAAGGTCCTCCATGCTAGCGGCGATGTCAAGGTGAAGTGAAGCCGTGCTGCTGTATAGTTATAATAGTATGGATAGACAGAGCCGGGTGGCGCTCATGACAAGCTTGGCGGCGACGTCGATTCAGAATTGGAGACAATCAGATCTGAGATGAAACTCAGGGGAATTGAAGATTCAAATTGTCAACATTGTGCCCTGAGCTTAGCTAGTTGGTTAGTTAGCGTTCAGTTAGTGGTCAGCAGCGGGGTTGACACGGGAACTCGCGATGGCTCATCCCGTGATCTTTTGCTCCCAATTCCCAAGTTCTTACGGGGTACTTTAAAAAGAATTGACGTTGGATTATTTCAAAGGCAAACGCACGCTGACTCGGACTCCACTGTTGAAGATAGCGGATGGATCCTGTAGGAATCCTTCATAACTTAAATCTACTGGTAAACTGGCACTAGCACACCGTATTGCATCCGTCTATAAGCACTACCAGCACCGAGCATGCAGCTTGCTCGTGACATCAGGCCTCCAAGCGGCCGCAGTATTGTTGACTGTTTGTACAGACATACAAACACATGCCAAACAGAAACGAATTCTTCGTATAACTACTTTCGGGAGTAATTTAAGTTAGTTAACTAAATAGTCATGACTAAAGGCTGATAAAAGTTCTCCCGGCCCGCCCCAAAGTTCTCTTTTACTATAAAAAGCTGCCGCCCTCCCGATCCAAACTTTGGATGTCCAATCAGAGCGCGCTTACAGTGGGGCCCGCTAGTATGCCGTATTATGTCATCCTTGTTTCCTTTTCGAGTAATTTTCTACGTCCTATCGCTTTTCTTTCGACTTTCGACTTTCGACTTTCATAGGAGGGAGGGAGGATACGTATACATGTTATTCATGGAGGATCCTGACGAGTTCTGCAAATCTGCTCTGTAACCTGGCCTTTCTTTGTTCGAAATGCCGTCTAGTTATTCAAGCTTTGTATGACTCGCTCCATGCCCCTCCCTCATTTTCCATTATCTAGCTAGGCCTCACGGCTGAATCGCTACCGTTCATTATGGCAACTCTGCCTTTCTCATAGTAGCTAGATAGACTGAAGAGTCGACCGTGGAAAATGCTTAGGGTCTTTTCGTATTCACCGTAACCATCATGAAGTAAGAAAGACAATACTACTATCCAGAGCTTGTTCAGCTATGCCGTCCACTGCGCCCAGGTCTCTTGATCAGCCCCGTCTGGGATTTCCATTCCGCGGAAAAGGCTATCAAAAAGGGCGACATCAACACCCTGTAGAGACCAATCCTCTTCTGCACCTGAGACCTCCATCGGATATGGCAGTTGGGTGTTGCTGCTGTTAGACCCTTGGGCTTCATTCGTAGATAGCTGATGCTGTTGCAGTTGCGGTGAAGGCCTCTGGAACGACATGGCCTTTGAATTGGACGGACCCCATGATGCCTGACCCCCAGCTTGGTCCGGGCGCAATATATCCGTGACCGATGCTGCCAAGTCAGGCTGTACTGGGGCCGTTGACGAAGCAGCCTTTGAGATAGCGCCGCGCTCGAAATTAATCGTGCCAAAGTACGGAATGTAGACGTGCAACGCCTGGCCGCCATTGGTCAAGTTGCCGTTGCACTCGAGCTCGCCCTCCTGGTTGCCTTTCAATGTGCTCGTGCTGTATATGGCGCCATTGGCGGCGTTGGTCTCGATGGAGAGCAGATGATGGATGAGACGCGAGAGTTTAGAGGCTATCGCATCGGTTCCACCGCGCGCCATAGATTCGATGATTTCGAGGCCGCGCTCCATCATGCCGCGATCAGTGGCACGGCTGTGCGTGAGGAAGTTGAAGAAGGCAGTGCCAGGGGTTGAGTTTTGGGCGGATCTCTGGCTTCGGTTGCGAGAATCAATATGAACGAGACAGATTACGGTGGTCGCAAAAAAGGCGAGAAAATCGGCACCCCGACAGTAGTAATGCGCAGGGTTTGAGGTGCGGAAGACTATATAGCGAGATAGCATCTCACGGCTGACGTTGACGGCTGTGATCTTGCTGTGAGCTTCGTATTCGCTGCGATGGTCTGATGAGGAGCGCAGAACATATGGCAGATGTAGCCGCATCAGCAGGTGGTAGTGTGTGAATTGATCCATAAGGCGAATCGTGTCCCCGAAGGAGGATTCTGCACCGTCCCTATTGTTGCCGGACCCAAAACTCGGGGTCAGCCACCACTGGGGAGGCATCTCGGCAGCAGCTTCTTGTAATAACTTGTCAATGTCGTGAGTCGTAGCGAGGTCATGTACATCCGCTTCGTTTCGTTGCAGGATACGCCCAGCAATAACGCAGTGGATACGCTGCATGCGCTCCATGGGACGACATTCTTCCAATGCCTTTGAGTTAGCGAATGCAACCTCGAGCGAGGCCTGCGGCAAGCCTAGCATGAGCGAGAGATAGCGGTCCATTTCAGCCAAGCGAAAACAGATCTGATCTGGATTGAAGGCTGCTAGGCTTTCGGGATCGAGAATCTTCAGCGATGGTGACTTCAGACCACGATGTAGCGCCATCATCTGTGCCACTGCCGTTGCACGACGCACCGCCATCCACGCCCGATGGAGGTTTCCCGTGTAGTTCTGATACAGGGCCTCCATGATGATGCACTCGATGCCCTCGACGGAGCCGATGAGTTCGTCGTTGGTAGTCACGCGCGTGATGGCCTTATCGACGACACGAGCCATGAGTTCGCGGTAAGAGGCTCCTTGATGACCCAAGGCCTGGATTGAGGATGGGAAAATGCCTTGTAAAAATACACCCAGTACCAGGAGCTTACGCGCGACCAGCACTGGATGCGAACCTGGCGGGGGCAATTGCAGCATCTCTCGCGGTGATGGCGGATTGCGTTCCATGGAGCTGGAATAGGGCGTGCATATTCTGCAGAATAAATGCGCCGAAAGGCCCACGGGGAGTGCGCAGATGATGTCGAGATCATTCTGGCTGGGCCATACTGAGATAAGGTCGCGGGACAATTCATCGTATTTGCCTGCATTTCGCTGGGTTACATGAGCTGATGTGGTCAGATTTCTTGTCGGCGATACTGTATTCAGCCTGGGCGCTGTATCTCTATCGTCTGCCACGTCTGAAAGACATTCAGCTGGCGAGGAGAGCAAGCCATGAGCAATGCCAGCATTGTTGACCAGCTGCTCGATGAGTTCCTCCACCCGGCCGAGTCGAGCTTCTATTGCCTGGTTGCTGCCGGCAGATAAAGCAGGCACGGGCAGTGGTCTGTCAGGATGCTCCTGACTGATACATGCAGTGTCTCGTCGTCTACAGTTATTGCAAACGGTGCTGGCAGACGAGGCGAAAATGCAACGGACCTTGCGCCGTTTGCACTCCCAGCAGCTCTGAGTCCCTTTGCGGACTTTTCTCCGCTTTGCCTCGAGCTCGTGTCTATGCCCGTCGTTCATTATCCAGTAGTTTTCGCACGAAAATGATAGAAATCATGAGTTTTGTGAATTTTCTGGGTTGTCTCGGGTTGGAAGGAGATCGGAAGGTATCTCTGCACATAGACCGACCGCCCGAGCTTCGGCGGACGAACGACAACTGAACTCATATGCTGTGGCAAAATTTGAAAAGTACGACATTAATCATTTTATCAGGCACATACTGTGAAGACAAGAGTCGTAATCAAACTCCAAATTATGCACGGTTCAGTATATGCAATTGTGTTTTCTACTACTCACGTGCCTATTCTAATTGCTACTGTCGAAATGGACATTTAACACACACACACACACACACACACACACACACTCTCTCTCTCTCTCTCTCTCTCTCTCTCTCTCTCGATTCTAAGATTGCCAAAACTCAAGTTTTAAGCCTCAAACTGTGTGATCAAGGCTTCCCCTGCCATTCCTTACTCAAAAACTCCTCGGCCTGCGTGAACTTGTAATCTGGCAGTAGCCGATTCCACTCGTCCGAGGTATGATACACCTGAGCGTGGGTAGCCAACAACATACTGGCCACAATGACTCTCGAAAAGAACTCAACCTGATCCGCCGGAATCGAAGGGTGATCTATCAGGGGTACCCATGTGGTCTTCCATTCTCCCGTTTCGAGATCTTGCTTCTTCAACGTCTGAACGTCAAAGGGGGTGCCGCCTATATACCAAGAACACAAATGTCAGCACAAGAGTCTTCCTTTGAATGGAAATAAAGTATAGAAGTAAACCTACCGCGAACCTTCTCGCCCAGAGCGATGAGTTGTCCCACGGAAATCTTCGTGCCTTGAATACCGCCTATAACGGGCCACTCGCCCTCAAAGCCGATGGCCCTAGCAACAACATTTGCGAGATCCTGCACGGTAGTAACGGACACAATGTCATCGTCACCACCTTCCAGCTTGATAATTCGGCGATTGCCGAAGCTGAGAAAGCTTTCCATGACGTGGATATGTTTGGAGGACTGGTAGGGGTGCGTGAAGTAGTTCAAGAACATGCCCGGTTGGAAGAGGGAGTATTCAAGGACCTATACCATGAGTGAAGAAGTCAGCTTCATCTCTCTCTCTCTCTCTCTCTCTCTCTTTTTTTTTTTTTTTTTTTTTTTTTTTCAATAAACAAAAATTCCCTCGGAATAGATCATCTTACTTTCTTGTCCTTATTCAACTCCGCGAGATATTTGCGAGCTTCAGCCTTGTAAGCGTACCAACTCAGATGATCCAAGCCCGCTCTAGCCTGGCATCAGTAAAGGTCATCAAGGAAAGGAATCGTCAAGATACTCACGAAGCCCATTCACTAGGTGCAAAACGCTTCACCCCAGCTTGAACAGAAGCATCAATCAGATTCTTCTGAACGGTGCCCTTTGGATCATCCTGTGTGGCGATGAAGGATAGCACAGTGTGCACTCCCTGCAGGACTTGAGTTAATTGCTTAGGGTCGGTGTAATCTGTTTTGGCCCATGAGATGGGACCTGTTGCTTTTTCGGCTGGGATGTCCTGTGTTCAAGTGTTAGCTGCAAGCCTATCAAGTTCCAAGAGTATGTATGTATTGTAGGTAGTGTGTTATACCTTTCGAGTCAGAATCAGAATGTCATGCTTCTTCTCGGCAACAAGGACATGGATAATCTCCTGTGCAACGCCTATCGAGTGTCAGGATTGCATGTATACATAGATGTTAGTAAGGGCATCAAACTCACTGCCGGAGCCACCAGCAAACGCAACCTTGACCATTTTGTTTCGCGAAATTTCTTTTTGTTAACTTAAGATAATAAAGCAGTTTTATTGTTTTATTTGTGTCTGTTCAATTTCATTTTTCTTGATGCATCGAAACGTTCTACTTTTATAGGTTGTTGCCCTCCGCCGAGTTCTCGGTCGAAGCCCTTGAAACTTTATCTTCCACCGAGTTTGTAGTGACGAGGCACGATGTGATTATCAATCATGATGGTAGTAGATTAATCCGATTTCTCTGGATATACAGGAAAGATAAAGAGAGAGCAGTTCGGCCGAAGGTGTGTTGAAATAGCGGACGGGCCTGATTGAGATGAACGAACCTTGGAGCTGGGTTGAAAGTAATCCACCAATACAACAATCAGCGTCAGGGTGGCACATATTTTGTTAAGTATATTTGGCTCGCTCTGGTTACCAGACTCCAAGGCCTATTAACTCGATTAACCCTAGTAGTACTCTACACTTTCATAGTACGTGGCATGAAAGAAATCCCAAACGCAATCACCAAGTACAAAGAAAGAAAAAAACGAAAAAGGAAGCTGTACAGGTTTATCAAATGATAAGGAGAAAAAGAGTAATATCAATAACTGATATATCAAGAAGTGAAAAGTAGAAACGAAATAGATATCAGGATATGCGGAAATGCGGCAGCGTCTTCTCTCTTTCCGCTCCGTCGATTTTAATCATACATTGACTGCTTGATAAGAGGCGCACCTCTATCAAAACTTGGTTGCAACGAATTAGAAAGGATTAATAAGAATAAGAAGAAAAAGCAACTCCGCATTATAAAAAGCTTGTCTATCCCGTGGGTCAAAATATCAATGGATTGAAAAAGCTCTCAAAAAAGAAAAAGCAGTCTGGATACATCACGTAACTTGGCCCTAAGCCGAGAATGTCAACTTTGGGAAGATTAAAAATCTTTGATAAACAAAAAAGGTCGTTACGAGAGAATCTAAGCCAGGAAGACGGCGGCAACAGCGGCGGCGCCGGCAACCATCATGGAGCCACTGACGGAGCTGGCAGCACCAGTGTAGGCAGGGCTGCAAATATCATTAGTACATACTTATCAAACACAACCAAGAAAAAAAAAAGAGATAAGAGGATACTCACACAGTGGTGGAGGTGGTGCTGGTGCCGCTGGGGACAACGCTGCCAGTTCCAACGGGACCGGGCTTGCCAGTGCCAACAACGGGAGAGACGGAGGTAGCAGAAGGGGTGAAGGTGATGGTGGAGAGGCTGGTGGTTGGCACGCAGGTGGTCACGGTGATGACGGAGGTCGAGGGACCAGCAGAAGAGACGGGGTAAGGAGCGACCTCGGGGGTGACGCTGCTGCTGCTGCTGGCAACTGGAGCAGGGACAATAGTGGTGGGAGCAACAGAGCTGGGGACAGCAGGAGTGGAAACGGCGGCAGGAGTAGAAACAACAGCGGGGACGGTCTCAGAGACAGGAGAGACGGAGGAAGGCACCGAGACGGGAGCGGTGGCAGACGACTTGCGAGCCGGGCAGTCGGTGACCGTAGGGGCGCAAGAGGTGATGGTCTCGACGTCAGTGGTGTAGACGGTGAGCTGGGCAACGGAGGCACCAGCGAAGAGAGCAAGAGTGGCCAAGGAGAAACGCATTTTGACTGGTAGTGCGGTGGGTTTTGTGTGAGAAAAAAAGATTTCCGTCGGGGAATTGGTGGTGAGAGGGTTGGTGGGTTTTGCTGAAAGAGCGTTGGTAGTTGGGGTTGGAAAAAGAGTGTGGGCGACCGAGGTCAAACAGGCAGACTGGGCTGGCAGAGAGAGTGTGTAAGAGAGGGAGAGAGAGAGAAGAGAAGAGAGAGGATCGAGGTGGATGGGGGAGCCTTTGTATTGCGAGGGAAATTAACCATGGGAGATCGTTTCAGGGCCCAGGAGACCGCTTTCACCACACGCAGACCCATCGCGCTAGAGACATCAAGTTCAAGACACTCGATGATTAAGGAGACTCCGCCCCCTTGGCTGCAGCCACTCATCATGCAGCACCGAGGTTGCAGCGAAGGTTTAGCGGCGTGCTAAGGCGATGCTTTGATGACACGGCTTGTTGCTGGCTGGGGATGGATTGCCTGGCCTTGGGCATGAGTCGAGCAGCAGCAAACAGTGTGTGTTGGGGGCTCTTTGAGTCCAGTCCTTGACGCAGTGCTGCAACCAGAGCAGCGAAACAGACAGGGAGGGAGGAAGTGCAGTGCACGGCATGGCGAGTTCATCGCGAGCTGAGTTGTTGTTGTCTTGTTTATGCGCCGGCGGGGACCAGCGCTGATTGGCTCTGTCGCTGCCGTTAGCGGCTGCTAGTCAGGGGTGCGCCCCCACCGAGCGAGCGCGTCTGATTGGCCCGCCGAGATTAAACAGAAACCGCTCCTGCCATTTTATGCTGTTTGTACGGAGTGTATTTTGGGAGAAGGAGCGCCTTCCTCAAAGACGATTCTTCTTCTCGCTTTCGCTTCTCTCTTCTGGCTTTTCCTTAGACGTGGACGCGCCTCTTGAAACCCGCGGACCCATCGTCGCCTTCCACGTTCTCTGCCCCTCGCGCCCCAAGTCAGACAGACAAAATTAGCTCCATACCGAGTTGCAAACTTGGCGGAATCCACCGGGTCGTAGAGCAGCAGCGCTAGCTGCTGACTCGGTTGTGCGATTGCCATCGCATCTCATTGGCGCTAGGCACGCTTGGGTGATGATAGTCAGGGGAATCGCCTCCATACTGCGAAGTCCTAACTGCTATGCGCTGTACGGAATAAAATAGATATGGAGCAATGGGTGGGATCAAATACGATATGCTTTATCTGGAATTCCGGCGATAGCTCTGCTCTGGCCAGACCGCCGGTTTGATAACTATGAAGCTGTCAGTCTGACCTCACCCGGCACGGAACAGACACGTGACACGTCATGACTACTATGTTGTTCATTGTATTTACAAATTACCAGCAACGGGATGCCTCAGGCGCCCATGGCTATGAGACCCTGCCTCAGGCACACACACATCCGTCAGTCAGGACATGCGACATGCCATACTCCATCTGGGCGAATGGTGCGGTAGCATCTGCACGGTCAACTCTCGCAATACAACACAACGGGCGAAGGCCATGCTGTATAATTCATACGGAGTGTGATATATGACATTTCGACGCGCCTGATCGGCCGAGTTTTATTTAGCAACCGAGTTCTATTTCGAAATGCCCCTGCACAATGCTCATTATGTATGTAGTATGTATGTAACGAACTACGGATGGTGAATGGTAAATACTAGTCAAGACCAACCAGCTAGCCTGCGTACGTAGGCGCATGACAAAGACCCTGGCCTGCAGCGAGTCATCGCCCAGCGCTTCCTAGTTCCATGGGTCTGTCTTATCACCAACCTCTGCGTGCTTTCTCTTTTCTTTTTCTGCCCGCTTGTCTGCGTGTTCGCTCGTTATTCTCTCTCTGCCTCAGGACTGCGCCGCATCTCTCCCCCTCACTAGCGCCTTCTCCCCACCACCCACCTACCTCACTGCCTCAACTCAACTCAGCCTGAAACATCCAGCTCCTCTGATCTTTTCAGCAGAGAAACAGAGACGCTCGTCCCTGCATTCGTATATAAATCGTAATCCCTCACGTCGCCCAATCTTCGTTCTTTTTACTTTCTTTTCTTTTCTTTTCTTTGTTTCTTCCCCTTTTTTCCAACCTCCGTCGTGGCAGACCCTGCGGATTCGGGATTGCCTCAGCCGGCGCCATTGAGTACTCTCCTCGCCCACGAGACCAGCGCCAGCTACAAAATGTCGTCCCCGGCACCTCTTCTCAGGCCTCCGGTGCCAGGGGCTCGCAGCAACAGCGGCTCCAGAGCACCGCGCCTGACCCTTGGCATCCCTCCCTCGCCGAACATGAAGCCCGTCAATCCTTCAAACGAAGATCCACGCATATCAGACATTCCCCTCCCTCAGCCGTCGAGCCGCCCCGGTCCGCCTCAGCTTCGACTGGCAACTCCCAGAGTCAACCACAGCAACCCTCACCCGCCGCCCGTTCAATACATCCCCGCCCCCTCAACCAGCAGCGAAGGCGTGTCTGCATCTGGAAATGCCACTACACGCCTCGACGGCAAGGCCAGCGGCCCCGGCAGTGCCTCTTCTTCATCCTACTCGACCTTGTCGTTCGCCATGGGACTGCGCCAGCCGGCCAGTGGCACTCCCGACCCGTCGTCGGCAATTAGTTCTGTCTACTCGGACAGAGACAGCGGTGCCACAACCGAGAGGGAGAACGGTGTCGGCGGATTGTTGACCGATCTGGACAAATTGGGCTTGGAGAGGGACCGGCCCCTTGATGTCGAAGACCTAGATGATGAGGGTTGGTTGGCCGCGAGCGAGTCAGATAGAATCTTGGAACTTGGCAGCCTAGGAGAAGGTGCAGGCGGTGCAGTGACTCGTTGTAGGCTGAAAGATGGAAAGACCGTCTTTGCCTTGAAGGTAAGAATTGTTTCTGTTGCCCTTTCTGCGCCTGGTTTTGACTCACATATAATTATTCCCAGATCATCACGACCGATCCCAATCCCGATGTCAAGAAACAGATCATCCGAGAACTCAACTTCAACAAAGACTGCGCTTCCGAACATATCTGCCGCTATTATGGTGCATTCATGGATAAATCCACAGGCACCATATCTATCGCTATGGAGTTCTGCGAGGGAGGCAGTCTGGATACTATCTACCGTGAAGTCAGGAAACTTGGCGGACGAACCGGAGAAAAGGTTCTGGGAAAAGTCGCCGAAGGAGTCCTTAATGGCTTGACTTATCTTCATAGTCGAAAGATCATCCATCGAGGTGTGTTTTTCTCAAACTCAAGGGATAGTTAGAACCACTGCTTACACTCTTAGATATCAAACCGTCCAACATTCTGCTGTGCCGAAATGGACAGGTCAAGCTTTGTGACTTTGGAGTCAGCGGAGAATTCGGTACGAAAGGCGATGCCAATACCTTCATTGGCACATCCTACTACATGGCCCCCGAAAGAATCACAGGCCAGTCTTACACGATTACTTCTGATGTATGGTCATTGGGCGTCACGCTACTTGAAGTTGCTCAGCATCGCTTCCCGTTCCCTGCAGATGGAACTGAAATGCAGCCCCGAGCTGGCTTGATTGACCTCCTGACATACATTGTTCGCCAGCCAATACCGACATTGAAAGATGAGCCTGCATGTAACATTCACTGGACTGATAACTTCAAGTATTTCATTGAATGCTGGTGCGTCTAACTTGTCTTCTTTTCTTTCCAAGGCCAAAAGCTAATGACTGAACAGCCTCGAGAAAGACCCTCCGCGAAGGGCCACGCCGTGGCGGATGCTGGACCATCCATGGATGCAGGACATCAGGAACAAAAAGGTCAACATGGCCAATTTTATTAGGAAGGTATGGGGTTGGAAGAACTAGACCTTGCGCTCGTTCGCTATCGACGTCGACCGTTGACCGTCCGCCTCGACTACATTGTTAATATCTCTCGTCATACATACATATGCACACACACCCACACACACCCACACAAACATGCATATAATACCTTTTTAACCCTCCCCAGTGGAAAGAGATCAGGGGGCTGTGCCTCCTCCATCAGACTATACATCACTACATTTTTTTTTTTTTTTTTCATGATATTGCATGACATGACGCAACCAAACTTGATTCAAATCATGTTTTTAGTATAGCATAGTATAGTATGTTTGACCCAATTTCCGGAAATTGTCTGTCTTTATTTGTTTCTTTTGTGCTTCTTTTATACTTCTGTATTGGGCGTTTGCGTATCTGATTTTGACTCGACTTGATTTATATTATACTAACCACATATATACATGCCATTGAAACATGAACATTCTTTCCTTGATGACAAGCGATTTTTATCCATATCCATTCATACGTACATATATATACATATGTGTAAATAATCATCGATTAACAGGTTGAGCACCCAACACCCATCCAATGCCACTCGCCAACCCGCCCGTAACCATATTACTAACTACATCACGTTTGCGCACTCGTTCCGACGAGTCTGCGCCGTCGAGTAGCGAGTCTAGTGATTTCTCTATATCTTCTTTTCCTTCTCCTTCTCCTTCTCTCTCTCCCCTTTCTCGTCCTTCTCGTATTTCGGCATTGCCATGGCCTAACGAAAGTGAAAGCCGATTTTGTCGCTGTTGTTGTTGTTGTTCTTGCAGTGGGGAAATATTCTTACTAAAAGCCCTCGCGGCGCCGCGGGCAACATCAAATAGACCCATGGGCGCTTCTTCGTTATTATTTTTGGTGGTGGTTGTGGAAATATTATAGTAAGACCGGCTCCGCTGCCGACTACTCTGTCGCTGCGCATTTTCGTATGCATCTAGTTCTTGATCTGAAGGGCCAAAGCCGCCGGGAACGATGGAAATAGGAGCGGTTTGTTGGTCACCTTTCGAATCCCATTCTTCGGCTTCTTGGGACTCGCGGGCGCGGAGGAGGGTCATTTCTTCGTCGCAGCGTCGCCATGCGCCGAGAACTTCGGGCAAGGGATCGGCTGTGGGCGCGAGGATGAGGGCGAGGGAGAGAAGTTCCATTCTTTGGGAGAGGTTGTGGATTTGGGATGTGAGGGTATGTTGTTCTGTTGTGGTTGTGGGTGGTCTGTAGCGGCCAGCGTTGTAGGCGGCGCGCCAGGAGATGTCTTCTTCGACGGGGGATGATAAGGAGGAGGAGGAGGATGGCATGAGGGAGGGAGGTGTGAGGCGGGTGAGGATGTAGGAATATGCAGTGCCGAAGTCATCGGATTCTAGTGCTGAGGACACTGCCATGGAGATGATGCGTCTTTCGGCTACGATTAAAGCTTGTTCCTGCGAGAGTGTCGATGAATCGTCATCCCCAAAGGAAACAGGAAATTTAATCAGCCCGGCTGTAACAAAATTCCGTCCAATGGAAAGTAGATCGTCTAGTTTCGTGTAGCTGTTTTGGTTCTGGTCTAGCACTTTCTCGATCAGAGCTAATGGGTCGCCGTGGATCCGAATGCTGACCGGTTGGAATGGCACCCCGTGTTGCAGGGTCAGGGAGTAGAAAGAAAGAGCATGTGTCGCAGAAATGAGAGCGACTAATTCCTTGAACCGTTTGGAGTCAGGGAAGCGAGGTTGGAAGAAATTGAGACTAGCAGAAAATATTAGTTTTCCGTGAATTTGAGTGGGAAAAAAAATATACTTACATCTCAACAGCCTTCTTCAACTTCCCTCGAGTCTTGTTACCATTGCTAGCGGTATCATAAAATGTGATGATTGTGTCCAGGATAGCAGCTTCAACCTGCGTCGAGTCCAGCGGCGATGTTGCTTCAGTATATATGTCCGCAGCCAGCCGATACTCTGTTTGATATTGTCAGACCGGATACAAAATATTACAAATAAGTAGGAAAACATACTGCCAACAGTTACCATGGCCTTTAGAATTTCGGTCTCTACAACGGCTTTGGGGACCCTCCAGAAAAGACCGTGGCACTGTACCTTTCTGTCTTCCGAACTTCCGATCCAATCCCGAAGCCAGAGTATCTGTTCGCGTATCTTGCTCCAGTCCTGTCCAGGTTTTGGCTGCTTGACTATCGTGTCCAGAACTGCATTGACCTCCCACGACTGCGTCTCTTCGTTGTCGTGTAGACATACCGTCGCCGCCGATCTACATGAAGTGATATAGCCAAAGTCACGCAAGATACGCGCCGATATCAGTATCGCCTGCAAGAATCCTATCGATTGCGAAGAGGGAACAGTCAATGCATTATCACCTCTAAGAAGCGCATTCTGTAACAATGATGCTTTGGACGTAGCTGATATTACGTCCAGATTCAGGTCTACTGCGCTCAGTGAAGGGTCATCAAAGGAAGTCTCAGCGGGGGTATCAAGCTGGAGCAATCTGGCCACCTTGGATGCGATCTCGTATAATCTCTCAAGCGAACTCCTTGTCGGGTCTGCCGCGTATATTACGGCAAGACCTGCTTGTCCGTAGGACTTCTGCTGTCGATCATGTTCTGCCGAAGAAAGCTGCGTTTCCATATACCCACCTAAGTCGACGTCCTCCGGACCGTCCCAATCAATGAGAGCAGTAGCGACACTCTCAAATTCCACCAGGCTCCGGGACAACAGCCAGTCGTTGACAGCTTCCCAGCTCAAATTTTCGGCTTCACTTGTCTCAGGAGCGTGACTAAGTCTGCGTCTTTTAAACTCAGCACCTCCACACATCCACGGGCCGACCAAACCCCTTAGATTTCTTGCCAGGTCTGTCACTGACGCAGCAGCGCCCGTCATAGAAAGAAGGACATTGATGCCGGTGGTCTGATCCAATGATTCAAGGACGGAAAGCGGAATTATATCTTCTTTGTTCGGATAATATTCGTAATTCGACCGTAAAAGCGGTAATATCTTGGAGACGAGCCATCGTCGAAGCGTCTCCGAACGGTCATAAAACGGTAGGATGAGCTCAAGGATGTAAGTTTGTAGGCCGGTTTCGGTATCTATCCTATGAGATCGATGGATGAGAAACTCGGTAAGAGCATCTGTTATTTCTGTCGTACTGTCGGTGTGAGGGTATCTGAGAGGGAGCAATCGCAGCCGTCGAACACGTTTCCAAGCGACCGGCTCTTCGATGGCTTTGACTTTTGACGCATCGATATCCCCGGAAGACGCAGCAACAGCCGTGCCTCGATCGATGTCATTCAAGATCGAAACGTATTGCTGAGGGCGCGTACTTTCCGGCAGAAAGGACAGCAAGATGCGAAACAGGCGCACTGCAGTTAGTGACGTAGGGAAATGCTGTTGCAAGCGAGGCAATGCAGCTACATTGCTGGCAGCACAGAGCTCGCACGCAAGGAGAATAGCTTGAGCATCGGACAGGCTGTCGAAGTTAGCCATCCTGTCTCAATCTTGCGAGCAGAAAGGACTGTTCCTTCTTTTTTTCTACAGCGAGATTCGTTGCTGTACGCAATCGTGAACTGTATGTTGCGGCGGATTCCACGTTGAGCATCGCTGGCCAATCATACCGCCCCCGGCCAGGCCCACTGCTGCCGTTCAGCGTCGACCTCCTCTAACTCCTCCACGGCTTAATTCCTGACCTCACCGAGAATCTCGACTTCACCCCTCTATAACCCACCATGGCTTCTGGTTTCGGTCTCAATGGCGGTAAGTACATGTCTCCAGGCAGCCTTATCTGGCAGTTTCAGAGTTCAATTGGTCTCGATCGCGTGGCTGTTCCGTCGAACGTTCCTTGTTTCAATGCTCTAACGCTGCGACACAGGCCCCTCGCGCTGCTTCGCCTTTTGGCAGGAACTCCTCGGATGCTACGTTGTGAATGGATCAGATGGCGTGGAAGGGAAGAAGAAGTGCCTTGCAGCTTTCGAAGATTACTCCGAGTGCCTGCACCACAGCAAAGAGGTGCGTACAATCCTTGCTAGAGAATGGCCTAGCGGATTGCCATAGATTGCAGCCTTTATGAAAAGCCTTTCGAGACTGACTCAGCGCTAGATTATTCGAACGAAGCGACTTCAAGCAGCCTACCGCAAAGCAGAGGCTACCTTCCCTAGAGAAAACGCACCAAAAGCCGAGGATATCCGGAATCTAGGATTGCTGGGCAAAGAGAGCGAGTCGGCGAAAGTTTTGGGCTTGCAGTAGGACTTGATATGGCTGTGGAGGTAGAAGTTATGACGGGAAAGCGGTCGTGTCATGTCATAGCCGCATGTTCTTTTTTATGGTCTTAGCGATGTGACCACCATTGTACAGAAATAAATTCGCAATACACGTTGGCTTTCTTCAGTTCAACTTCTCATCTCCCGAGATACACCCTACGTTTGTTGCAGAGAAGTTTCTCATTACGTGGTCAAGCTTGATCCATGTAATAGCGAGTGGATGTCTGCATTTGGGAGCCTTCAGCTGCTGACATGGTCTTCAACACAGGCTTCAAAGGCAAGTTATATGGGACTGCCTGTATATCAATCGTGTGCCAGACTGTCTTGAAGCTTAAGAATATCTGTTTAGTGGTTAATAAAATAGAGACGCCGTCTTTTACTCGTGATCTCCATGGACAGCCCACACAAGATGCTGTCACTGTCCAGACAGACTTCTGTATGATTATAATTATGCAGTCGCTATGTTCTCTGTCAAACCCCCAACATTGAAAAGACTCAACAATAAACCAGTCAACTCTGCCCTGCCTTATAGATACACCTGGTCACATGACTGCACGTGACCTGCTACACGCACAAACGCAAAAGCCTGCGGCGCGCAGTCGCCACTAGGCCCAAACAGGGCTAGCATCGTCCGCGCCATCCAGCAAAACGCGCCAGGCCCAGCAGGTGAGCCATGATATAAACAGCCTTGCAACCGCTCCTGCTCCTGCTCCAGCTCCAGCTCCAGACCTTGTACCCGTCACCCGTCGTCCCGCGGCGCTCTTCCCTTTTGGCGCCCTTTGCCCTCTCCAGGCATTTATTATCTGCCCCTGCTATCACTAGTTGGCAGCAGCCATTCCTGGCGTTATTGTTTGCACGAAACTGATCCTTTCCTTTCTTTTTCCTCCCCTAATTCACAGCAGGACCTGCCTTCTCCATTGTCAACTCGCTCTCATCCAATAAAGCAACCTCAGATATTAGTGCGATTCTTGCGATCATCCAATGGGAACTCACCAGCTGGCTGCTTCACCACCCGCTCACCTTCAGCTTTTATGATAGACCCTCAGCTGTCTGTGTGCACTGATCACCAGTAATTTGGATTAGACGTTGCACCACTTTTGTGCATGCTGCTGAGGCTGCATTCCGCAGCCCAGCATGACTTCCAGGTGAGGACTTTAACTGCCTTAGGCCTATCTTGGCCATGGGACGATCCGCTAACCATCTTGGGACTAGGCTTGACCGACTTGTCACGTGAGCTCTTCTGCATTCCCGCTCCCGCGCGCTAATTGGCTCTAACCCTTATTGCAGGCTTCTAGAGACTGGCAGCACCCCGGTCATTCGCAACACTGCAGCCCAGCAACTGGCCGATGTCCAGAAACAACATCCAGATGAACTGTTCAACCTCTTGGGCCGCATCCTCCCGTACCTGCGGTCTAAGTCATGGGATACGCGCACTGCCGCTGCCAAAGCAATTGGCCTGGTTGCGGCTAATGCCGAATGCTTTGATCCAAACCAGGATGACGGCCTGACGATCAAGAAACCAGAGGAAGACGAAGAAGATGACCATGTTGAAATCAAATCTGAAATTAAACCTGAGGATTCTCCGTCTGCCTCGGAGGGCGTGCTGCGCTTAGAGACTCTAGACATCGGGTCCGTTTTGAAATTCGGCAGGAAATTGCTTGGTAGCGCAGGTAGGGAATATGAGTACACTATTGCTGGCATGGATCCAGCATCAAGACTGGAACAGCAGAAGAAAACCCTGACAGCGCGTCTTGGACTGGCCGGGGAATATCTTGAAAATGACTTGCTTGACGAGAATGACTTTGCTTCCCGTTCCGAGTCAATATCAAAAAATGCTAAGCCAGTTCCGATTTTATCTCGCCATAACAGTACATTTAATGGGACGGCTTCAAAAGAGCAGCCTAACGGCGAGGATTCCGGTCTCAGCAAACGCCAATTAAACCAGTTGAAGCGCAAGAACAAACAGAATGCAAGGAATAGTGCCAACAAAGTCCGAGTCGTCGATCTTTCCTCTCGAAAGCCTTCAGACAGCATGGCGACACCTTCTATTACAACTCCGTACCCGGTCAAGTCAGAAGCCGGAGATGATGAGAGTGAAAAGAAAACAGACTATTTTTCGCTTGACCGTCAAGGCGCCGATGATGACAGCAAAGTGGTTTCTGAATTCAAAGGGCCCACCATTCCTGAAAGGCCGATGATTCAGACTGAAGCTGAGGAACAAGGCGAGGAATGGCCTTATGAACGCATGTGCGATTTTCTCATGGCAGATCTTTTTGACCCAAATTGGGAAATACGACACGGAGCTGCAATGGGTCTCAGGGAAGTCGTACGTGTTCAAGGTTCTGGTGCTGGTCGTCTTCTGTCCAAGTCCAGAGCCGAAAACGATCTTCGTAATCGGCAGTGGCTTGATGACCTAGCTTGTCGCTTACTATGCGTGTTCATGCTTGACCGCTTTGGCGATTATATATCCGACAACGTGGTTGCTCCTATTCGAGAAACCGTTGGTCAGACTTTAGGTGCTGTTCTCTCTCACCTACCCTCAAAATCTGTCGTTCAGGTTTACCGAACTCTACATCGTGTCATCATGCTAAGAGATCTCGGACTTGAGAGGCCCATTTGGGAAGTCTGCCATGGCGGTATGATCGGCTTGAGATATTTGGTAGCCGTTCGAAAGGAATTGTTGATCAAAGATGCTACAATCATGGATGGCGTTCTTGAAGCAGTCATGAAAGGATTAGCAGACTTCGATGACGATGTGCGAGCTGTCAGCGCCGCAACCTTGATACCCATCGCCGAGGAACTCATTACCTCACGCCAGGGCTCCCTGAGCGCTCTTATTAACATCGTGTGGGACTGTTTGTCGAATCTACAAGACGATCTTAGTGCTAGCACCGGGTCCGTTATGGACTTGTTGGCGAAATTGTGCTCGTTCCCTCAGGTCTTAGAGGCGATGAAAGCTAATGCTACTGATGACCCTGAACAGTCTTTCGCTAATCTTGTGCCACGTCTGTATCCATTCCTGCGACACACGATTACCAGTGTTCGACTGGCAGCTCTCCGGGCCCTCACAACATTTTTACGCCTCGAGGATACGGATTCAAACGCGTGGGTTGATGGAAAAGCTATGCGTTTAATATTCCAGAATATTCTGGTTGAGCGAAATGAAGGCGTCCTCAAACTTTCACTCGAAGTTTGGTATGATTTGGTGAAGGCTCTTGATGCTCGCAATCTTTTCACAGCAGAGGCCCTAGGCTCGCAAGTCCAGCCTTTGATCACTCTGGCTATGGGTCCATTTGGAGTACCTCGTTATCCCATCCCAATGAATGCCTCCTTGTTCATCAAGCCCTCGGGCATCGCATATGCATTTGCTCAACCCCAGACTCCAGGCAGAAAGTCCAGCCCCCCAACTGCATCAGAATCCGGCAGAGGTCGGCGTAGGAAGTCCGAAAAGAAGGAATTGCCGCCTTCATCTGCACATAACGTTGACGGCCATATGCTTCAAGGAGACATTGATTTAGTTGGTTTGGATACTATGATACGGTCTAAAATATTCGCAGCACAAGCTCTCGGACAGTTCCTGTTTATCTGGGACTCCAAGAATTTGCCCAGCTTGTGGCAATCTATTCTGGAAGGACTTAATTGGCCAGGGTCTTCCTCTCAACTGGCAGCCGCAATGGTTATAGAGGAATACGCTAAGCGAGCCGGACCCAGTGGAAAATATACGTCCTCGCTTTGCGATAGCCTACGACCGATTGTCGAGGTCGATCGCCCGGGTTGGTACAGTGATATCGTGTCTTACCTGCAGATCACACGAGCACAATGCCATTCACTTCTTAATGCCTTTAGAGACCACGCACACGTCCCATCCGGACGGCTACCGACATTGGCGGTTGTTGTTCAGGGAGACCCTGAGGCTGGACCTAATGCATTTTCCATAGCTGACGCCGAGAAAGTTGTTGGCCCCGATTTTGAGCGTCTCAAGAAGAGTTTGACTCCAGCGCAACGTATTACTGCGCTTCAGGTTCTAAACGACACTCGGTCCAGTGCGGAGTCTGCCATTGAAGAGGCGAAAAATATCAAAGAACAGAGAGATATGCGTATTCGTGCTGCGACAGCCGGGGCTCTTGTTGCTCTACATGAAATTCCCAAGAAGCCGAGCCATATCATCAAAGGTATGATGGATAGTATCAAGAAGGAGGACAATGGAGAATTGCAACAGCGATCAGCCTCGGCCATCGTCAATCTCATTGATTATTACACTACGGCGACCAAGAGAGGACCGGTTGACAAGGTAATTGGCAACTTAGTCAAATATTGCTGTGTAGATACATCCGAAACACCAGAATTCCACCACAATGCTCATCTTGAGAAAGCGATTTTATCTCTCAGGAAGGAGGAAGATCGCAGAGAACATGTTGATGCAGCGAAATTCGAGAGAGAAGCTCGGGAGGCTAGAATCATGCGACGGGGTGCTAAAGAGGCTCTTGAGCAATTAGCCACCAAGTTTGGGTGCGAACTGTTGGAAAAGATTCCGAACCTCGCTGCTCTCATTGAAAAGCCACTGCGCGAGGCCCTTACTGGTGATTTGCCGGCTAATATTCGAGATTCTGATAACGAACTCGGTCAAGAAGCTGTGGATGGTCTATCGACTCTTAGAGCTCTTATGCCAAAATTCCACCCCGGCCTTTATCCCTGGGTCATCGATCTCATGCCTGTCATCGCAAAATCCTTGCAATGTGAGCTATCTGTCATTCGTTACGCGGCTGCTAAATGCTTTGCTACAATCTGCAGCGTGATCACTGTTGAAGGAATGACTATGCTAGTCGAAAAGGTACTTCCTACCGTCAATAATGCATTGGATGTACACCACCGTCAAGGTGCTGTCGAATGCGTCTATCATCTCATACATGTGATGGAAGAGGGAATTCTGCCCTATGTTATTTTCCTCATCGTTCCAGTGCTTGGACGTATGAGTGACTCCGATAACGATGTGCGACTTCTAGCTACCACTTCGTTTGCGACACTCGTCAAACTTGTTCCCCTTGAAGCAGGTATTCCGGATCCTCCGGGTCTGTCAGAGGAGCTTTTGAAAGGACGTGATCGTGAGAGAAAGTTCATGTCTCAGATGCTGGACATTCGGAAGGTAGAGCCCTTTGAAATTCCCGTTGCTATCAAAGCGGAGTTACGGTCATATCAACAAGAGGGAGTTAACTGGCTGGCTTTCCTCAACCGATACCACCTGCATGGCATTCTCTGTGACGACATGGGTCTCGGGAAAACGCTACAAACGCTTTGTATTGTAGCAAGTGATCACCACATGCGAGCAGAGGAATTCGCTCGTACGCAGGCGCCGGATGTCCGCAAGTTGCCGTCGCTAATTGTCTGCCCGCCTACGCTATCGGGCCATTGGCAACAAGAAATCAAGCAATATGCCCCATTCCTCACTTGTGTAGCTTATGTCGGACCACCAGCAGTACGTTCACAACTACGGGGTGAGCTAGAAAAAGCAGATATTGTCATTACATCATATGATATTTGCCGGAACGATACCCAGGTATTCACGCCTATTAGTTGGAATTACTGCGTATTGGACGAAGGGCATCTCATTAAGAACCCTAAAGCGAAGATTACTTTGGCCGTGAAGCAACTCATCAGCAATCATCGTCTCATTTTATCCGGTACTCCTATTCAGAACAACGTGTTGGAACTCTGGTCCCTCTTTGATTTCTTGATGCCAGGCTTTTTGGGTACTGAGAAGGTCTTTTTAGATCGTTTCGCCAAGCCCATTGCGGCAAGCCGTTTCAGCAAATCATCGTCGAAAGAGCAAGAGGCAGGTGCCCTGGCAATCGAGGCTCTCCATAAGCAGGTTCTTCCATTTTTGTTGCGTCGTTTGAAGGAGGAGGTTTTGAACGACCTGCCGCCCAAGATTTTGCAAAACTATTATTGCGACCCAAGTGATTTGCAACGAAAGCTATTTGAAGACTTCACTAAGAAAGAACAAAAGGATCTTGCACAGAAGATGGGCAGTACTGATAAGTCCGCTAAAGAGCACATCTTCCAGGCACTTCAGTACATGCGCCGTCTTTGCAATTCCCCTGCCTTGGTAATCAAAGAAGGTCACAAGCAATACGATGACGTCCAGAAGATGTTGAGCACAAAGAACTCTCATATCAGAGATGTTGCTCATGCTCCCAAATTGGCAGCTTTACGAGACTTGTTGGTCGATTGCGGCATTGGCGTGGATCCTAATACGGAAGGAGAATTAGATACAGGAGCGAGCTACGTCAGTCCTCACCGAGCACTTATTTTCTGTCAAATGAAAGAGATGCTTGATATAGTGCAAGAGGATGTGCTTAAAAAAATGCTTCCTTCTGTTCAGTATCTCAGACTGGATGGAAGTGTTGAGGCAACGAAGCGTCAGAATATCGTCAACCAGTTCAACACCGACCCTAGCTACGATGTCTTGCTACTCACCACCAGTGTAGGTGGATTAGGTCTGAATCTTACTGGTGCTGACACGGTCATTTTTGTCGAGCATGATTGGAATCCTCAGAAGGACATTCAAGCCATGGACCGCGCTCATCGTATTGGTCAGAAGAAGGTGGTTAATGTTTACCGTCTGATCACAAGGGGTACTTTAGAAGAGAAGATCTTGAAGTAAGTTATTTTCTCGCTTTCAGCTTACATACTTTTTGGGAGAGATTTCATTCGCTAACTCCGCACTTCAAGTCTCCAACGATTCAAGATCGACGTAGCATCGACGGTAGTCAACCAACAAAACGCAGGCCTCAACACTATGGACACGGACCAATTACTCGACCTCTTCAACCTCGGCGAAACTGCAGAAGGCGCAGAAAAGCCTGGAGGACAAGAAGGTGCGGCTGGCAATGAAGTTGACATGGTCGATATCGATGGCGAGGTTAAAGAAAAGGGCAAGAAGGGATGGTTAGACGATCTAGGCGAGTTATGGGACGATCGTCAATATCAGGAAGAGTACAATTTGGACTCGTTCCTGGCTACTATGAAGGGATGATCTCTCGATCATTTCAACGATGAAATGAAAAACGTGCATCTCACAGGGGAAAAAAAGAACAGAGGGGAAAGTTAGAAATCACGGAGTTCTGGATTTTAATCCCTTGTTATTATTTGTATCAATCAACATTAGGCGGGGTCGTGTTCCTGGAGGTGTTATGGAGGAATTTTGCTTTTTCTTTTTTCAAAGCCAGGGGGTTTCAAACTTCTTATGTGTTTCTTTATATTCTCTTTTCTATGGTATCTTCTTCTGTACAAAACCTTTATTTTTACTCCCCCTTTTCTTCCAGACTCTGATTTTGATGTATTGCCCTAGTCTGTCTCTGAAGTAGAGAAATCTAAATCTAGATTCTACCTCATTCATCGACAAGACGCAGCTTCGTTACAAAGTTCTATTCTATTCCCCTAATAGTAGAAAACAGTTCTTTGACTTACCCTTTGATGGCAACCAAACCGAACTGCGAAATGTATGTTCGGAGTGAAGCTCACATGGAGTGGGTAATAAAGAACGCATTCATTTCCATACTGCGAAACACTTATTATACACACATCAAAAATTTCCTCAAACATTTCTTGCGAAAAGAAAAAATTCAACTTGTCATGTCATGAATGAGCCGAGCGTATAAGAATCATTCAAGATCTGATTCGTCCCCCTTTTGTTCATTTTTGTGAATATTCTGTGTGAAAAAAAAGAGGTACATGAAAAGCTCAAAATTGAGTAGACAAAAGAAGAAGGTAGATAATGTACAAGAACAAAAATTTGTGAACCAGTCATAATAAACAAACTCTGTTTGCTGCGCCAGAAGTTAATACACGCCCATGAAAAGAAAAGGAAAAAAAACTTTGATCATTGAGTTCCGGTAACGCCTGGTCTTGAACTCATGTTGGAAATGGAACGCCTGTAATAAGCAAGAGCAGTACGCAGGGTGGATGGTGTAGGATAGCCAAGTGTCGACAACGACGCGAAGGAGAAAAAACATGGTTTTCGAGTTTGGTTAGGCGCGCGATTTCGGTTTCGCCAACATATTCAAGCGACTCAAACTGAGAATACTGTTCTTCTTGGATGCGGTGCCTGGAGTGCCAAGCTGACTGCGATTTGCTGTCATGCGCCGGGGGGTGATAACGGGACGAGATTTGACGGGACTAGGACTGACGGGGTTCATTTTCATGGGGCTAGCCTTCAGTCGCTTGGCATTTCGCTGTTCGCCCGTAGAGTGCTGTTCGATAGGAGGGATGTTCTCGATGTCGTCTTCATCATCGCTGATATCTGCGCGCTGGCGTTTCTTGTTGTTGATACCGTGAGGTACCGCAAGCAGATTAGCCGACGGGCTCTTCAAATTCTTGGCTGGCGATGGGCCTGATTTCAAAGTTTCCCCGGCTGTATGGACGTTTGCCTTCTTTCTCGGGTCCTCGCGCTGGCGTTTCTCGTTTGAGATGCCGTGTGGTACTGTTGGCAGCTTGTGAAATGGACCAGCCTGGGCATGAGACGGGGAAAAGCTCGACTTTGGAGATGGAGAAGCAACTTGAAGATGATCTTTCTCGCTCTCATGTTTACGCTCTTTATTCGGAATACCATGAGGTATGGCTGGTATGGACGAAAGAGGACTGCTTGGTTGAGAGGTGGTTATAGACTCTCGGACACGTCGAATAGTCGGCGTGTCGATGGCTTCCTTTTCGGGTGTCATTGTTTGCGGAAGAACAGGGTACACAACGTCAGAGCTAGAGGCAATAACTTTAGATGTAAATTTGATAGGCGATGGTGTAGCCTGTGAGAGCTCGTGGCGAGATTTTGTGCTTGATGTAAACTCAACCCGCTTTTTGGGAGAGGGAGTCTGGTCAACACCACCAAACGATGCAGTAGGGAGATTTTCAAGGTTGATTTCGGGATTGAAGCTGGATGTTGCAATGTGCGTTCCTGCAGCAATCTTTGCCGGGTCATTGGAGAAAAGAGGCTGATGGCGTCTCAAAATCGACTTCAAATTACCAAGGCTTGGAATTGACTTCTTGAGTCTGGGGTTGAACTCTGTCTTTGGTGTTTGCGGCACTGCCAGACGAGATGCTGGGGAACGTGCCATAGAAGGAATCATAGAAACCTTGGAAGGTCTTGCAGATGCAAAGCGCGCAGCTGAGGATCTAGTAGGAGTCATGAGGGAGCCGCTGCGGAAAGTGGACCTGGTAGGCTGAATGGCCATTTTCTTTGGAGTAGCAACGTTTCCTGGTATGCGAGTTGTGGATGTCTCTTGAGTTTCAGTTCGTTTCATGCGTTTAATCCCACTCACCGGGGTCTTCGAAGGCGAAGCTTTCGTTTCAGAGTCATCGAGGAATGCCTTTGAGCTCTTTCGTTTCAGAGTCTGCCTGACAGGAGTAAAACGACTGGGCTGTGCTCGGAAAGAAGATGCATGTCCAGCAATGGAATCCATTTTCTTGAACTGTGCCATATGAGCGTCACTGAAACGGCCTGCCTTTCCTTTGGGTTTGGCAATTTTTCTTCCTTCCACAATCTGGTCTGCGTCCTGCTCCTTTCTTTGCTGTTCACCGCGATCCAGTATCATCTGTGCCTTAATCCTCGCAACGTCCTCACGAACGCTCTCCATCAGCTTGCGTGCCTCTTCGCTGAGCTGAGCGTCATCACTCGCAAATTTGAACCCGAATTTTGATGGAGTACCCAGATTACTTGGAGGCGAGGATATGACTTTGGAAGGTGTGTTGGTAACAATGTTCTCTTTGATAATGTTTCCATTCGCATCACGCTGGACAGGGTGGAAACCAAGCACCAGACCAGAATCTGGCTGCTTGGTTGTGCTTTTCTGCACTTTACTGGGGTGCATTTCTTCTCGAGCAGGTAGCGCGCTACCAGCAGTCGAAGGGGTTTTCATACCTCGTTTGCTGTTAGACGATAGACCGAGTGACTTCCTCAAGGGTGAGTGATTGCTCTGTGGGGTGGTCGCTATTTTGGCCTCGGCGTCTTTGGTTTTGGTCTCGTCATTTTCAGCGACAGGTGCAAGTTTGACGGGGGTTGTTGTGGGAACCGCGGGGAATTGGTCCTGTTTGTCCTGTTTATTAGCAAAGATAATAGTAAACAAAGGCGAGAGAACGAGGTAGACTGACCTCGGTGACTGGAGTCTGGCCTCTCAGGCGAGCTGAGCGACGCGGCATTCTGACGTCGCGGAATGCCCTAGATGGCAGTGTGTGTTCAGGCGTTGAAGAGGCAGCTAGAGTTGCATGCAAGGTTGTTTTCCTCTCCTGCAATTAATCACCCAGGAACAGCTTTGATTGAAGTTATCGACTGCGAGTAGCGGTGGCGTTGCCCGGCGGTTGCGCTCAACAGTTGTTGCCCGTGACCAAAACAAATAGAAGACGCGCCAAACTCGATGCGGCTTGGTGCAGCTTGACGTCAGCTGAGTCTCCACTCTTGAATTCGTGAGGTTATTTGCACTTCGTATCATTCAATCAGTTAATCATTTACGACGTCGAGGCATTTCATGTGAGAAAAGAGTTCTATTGCGTATAATCATTCTGCAACTACCTTTTATGCTAGGATCCCCTTCTACCAACTCGCCCCATGCGAATTATAGACCAAATGGATAAGTCTCCTCGTGGCCCAAAGCCGTGCGTGGCTGCACCCTTTCAAGAGGATTCACTGCTGAGCTCCGATCGAACCAGACATATGCGTCCAGCTGATTGTGCAAATACGCCTGCGAGTAGTGCGAGATGCGCTCTGTGTCTGGGCGATAGATAACTCCTATAAAACGCTCTAGTCTCGGTGGCTCGTCGGCGAATGCCTTACGCAGCTCTGCATCAGCATAGCCCGGACGCAGGTCGAGCACAAAACTCGGAATTCCAGTGCTGTGCGCAACGTATTCCCAGCTATCCTGTCGCGACGGATTGACGTTCATTACCTCCATATCCTCATCCCATTCGTGGGCTGCTGCAACTGTCCCGGTGTGCGTTCCGCATCCGATGATAGCAACGTTCTCGCGGCCATACCTCTCACGGCAGAGTTGGCCAATATTGACTTCTTTACGTCGTTGGCCCATGCTCGTATAGCGAGCATCTCCCACGTGGGAATTATGCGCCCATACTATGGCCTTGCTATTGGGATGATGGAACTGGAATAACCTGTCCAAAGTATCGAACATGTGTGTGTCGCGTTGTGTCCACGAGCTTGCCGAGCTGTAGTACATTGCTTTATAGTACTTCTCTGCGTCCCGCACCACATGAGCGTTCTGCTCGGCACTATGGAACTCCTCGCCATCGTGTTCGGATGCGGTGTAATCCAAGCGATACTGAAGCAATTCCTTTAGCATCTGGACAACCTTTGATTCACAGTTCTCCATTCCTTGCAATGCGGCAAGTCCATAGGATGCCGGGTCCTCCATCCAGGGTTGGAGACAGCCGTATCGTTTGCGGGCACTCTTGCCGAGTTCAGGGTCCACTCGGTCAAGGTATTCAGTCACAGACCTGATTGATGTTCCCATGCTGTAGAGGTCCAGTCCGTAGAAACCAGTTCTCTCCTCTAGTGGTACCTTGGCGTTCCTGTCGCGCATCCATTCCACAAGGTCCTGCATCTCGCGATTCCTCCACATCCAGGTCGGGAATCGTTTGAAAGGCTCAACTGTGCTTTTGGCTTTGCCTCCGATGCGTGCCTTGGGTCCAGGACGAAGCCGTACATAGCGATCAATAGCCTCGGCATCGGGCCAGTCGGCTTCGAGCGCGACCATGTTGAAGCCATGGTGATCGACCAGATGCTTCGTTATTTCTGCTCGAGCACTGTAGAACTCCGACGTGCCATGGCTGCCATCGCCGAGCAGGACGACTCTGTAGTTGCGGAACGAGTCGAACATCTGGCCAAACAAGGGGTCTCTGATCTCTGGTAACGGCTTGGCCGCTGCCTGCACCAGTTGGGTTAGCTGTGCTGCCATATTTGCTAAGTTCTTATTAAATCGATGAATTAGCTAGACATTTCAATCATAGAACTAGTGAGGTGTCAGAATAACAAAAGAGAAATGTTTCTTCTGTCACGTCTATATTCATATGGATTCGCCGCCTCTTCTGCTGCAAATCCCGGGCATGAGATCATCCGTCCGTCAACTGCCACAACTGCGCTGCCAGTCATGGTGACTTCACAAAAGGAACGAGAAAACATATAATCATTATTGGCTTTTTGCCTCTTTATGATTTTCTCTCTTTCTTTCAGCCTTGACAGGAAAAGAAGAATGTAGCTTGGCTCATGCAAACGCTGGAGCGCATGATATGTTCAGCTGCGAAGAGCACTCTGCCTTCTCGTACAACAATAACAACAGTAACCACCCTCACCATCAGAACCATGGGAACTAGAGCGTACAGCTCAGATCTCTCAACGGCAGCACGACTGAGCCGCTTCGAAAAAGCCATGGAGTCGCTTTATGGAGGCTTTGCAGACATCCAGGAACCTGAAAAATGGACACCGCCACCCAACTCAGGCGGCCATCGCGGTCGATACCTATGGACTGATGCATTTGGAGTCATAAACTTCCTGACCTTGTATCAGGAGCATTCGAAGATAGCCTCAGCAGCAGGCTCGGCGGCGGCTTCGGGGTCAACACCGGGATCAGGCCGAGCGTCAGCGACGGCGACGGGAGAGAATACTAGTACCACTAGCAATACTGCTGATAAGTACCTAACCCTAGCACGCCGTCTGGTCGACACGGTGCACGATGTACTCGGCAGGACCAGAGACGGCAAAGCACGACTCCCCGGGGCCTCGGACGAGACGCCTCTAGGAGGAGGACTGCGGATCGGAAAGCTGGATGAACTAGGAGTCGATGGCGACGGACAGTACCATCACTACTTGACCATCTGGATGTTTGCGCTGAATCGTCTGTCGCTCGCTACGGGCGATCCGACGTATAATAGACAAGCTATCACGCTGGCCAAAGCGATCCATCCACGATTCTTCGTCAATAGAACGTCTACTCGCCCGCGCATGGTGTGGAAAATGAGCATGGATCTATCGATAGCCCTTGTGTCGTCAGAAGGAAATCTGGATCCGATTGATGGATACGTTGTTTATAGGCTGCTTCAGGCGTCGGCTATGGAGATGAATGATTCCACGGTTGGTGGGTTGGACGAAGAGATTGCCGATTACAAGCGGGTTATGGAGCGTAAAGGCGAACATTTTGTGTCTGCTGATCCGCTAGACCTTGGTATGACTCTGTGGACATGCCACTGGTTTTCTGATAGAGAGAAATGGGCGGCGAGGCTGGCAGAGAGATGTTTTCAACAAATATGTAGTCCTCCCTCCCCCTGCAGAGTTGTATGGCATTGCAACCGAACCTTGTGTGTTTTACTAATTCCCTGGCTGAAAATAAAATCAGACGAACTTTTCGAAATGGACCGCTACCTCGCACGCAGCATCAAATATCGGCTCGCGTTTCGCGAATTCGGCACCAGTCTCGGAATTGGCTGCCACTATGATAAATCCTCGGACAAAGAACGGGCTGCTGACGTACGAAAATACTCAGACTCGATCATTGAATCGTGGGAACCTTATATGGCACAGTCCCTGAAGGACGAGGGTGTCTTGACAGCGGATGATTTGCGGCCTATTACTAGGGTTATGTATTCGTCGGCTTTGATTCCGGGTGGTGAGTCTATTTGAAACTTGTAGAAGCGATCTCTTCACTTTTGCTAATGAACTGACATCTAGCATTTCGCACTGGCTATCTTGGGCCGGAGCCCAAGACAATTCCGTAGACCTGCCTCGCTTCGAGATTTTATGTATAAAACTGGTTCAGAAGAAACGTGGCCTGGGAAAATACTAAAACGCACTGTACTGAATACACAGACTACTGTTCAGTTGACGTGCATACATACTACATAGGGACAAATCAAGGACCAAGGACAGAAGATCGACGCGTATGAAATATACAAGTATTATATCAGGCGGAGCGATGCCGTATATAAAAAAAGGCAAAACAGTCGCTTTCAATACCCATAAGGGTAGATGATGTTGATGCTGATGCTGTTGCTGCTATTCTAAACGCACAGCTGGTTCATATCCAGGTATCCCAATCATATCCGCCCACGACGGAAGACTTCGAGGAAGAATATATGTAATATAGACGACAGCGAGTGAGATGAGTAGACCAGATAGCTTGAGACATGTCAGCTTTGTTTCTTTTTTCAAGGAAAAAGCAGAACTCACCTTTTCCACCCACGTATGAAACCAAATGGCCGTCATGAAGAGCATCCACCAACTCAACCCAATGATAGTCCAGACAAACCTCGAGGCATATATCAAAACGAGATTGCTATTTGATGGAATTTCACCGTCCGAGTCGTCTTTATTACTGTTGATGGTATTCTCATCAGTATTCTCTGACGCATTAGCAGCTACACTACGGAACGGAGACGTAGCGGACGTCCCCAACGCCTCAAAGGCCAGAAACGAGCTCCCTAAGACAAGCATAAAAACATGCCCGCTCACATCATGCCCGCCCATCCACGACCCGCCGGCAGCCTTACACGCTGCCGCCGTAAGAATAGCCTTGATTCCCTCCCAGGCAACATCGCCAGTCGACAGCGACGACAACCGCTCACATTTCCCTCCAGTAAGCACAAAAGTGCGATCGATTATCGCCGGCCCAAAAAACCACTGCGTCGTCAAAAACCAGGCACCTGTAACCAAGCAATAGCGCAGTAGCGCCTGCGCCGTTCTTTTCCCGCGCAGATTAGCCGGTGCTTTCGTGTAATACGGTCGAGTTAAGAGCAAAGTCAGGAAAGCGATTGTCGTCCAGGCCCAGCCGACCTTGACAAAGTATAGGTTGAAGATATTGTTTTTTCGTGCGAAGTAGTTGACTGGATGTGTATGTTGTTGTTGTTTTTCGGCAGTGGTTGCGATGGTCTTCGGATCTCGCGATTGACGTGCCGTGGGGGAAATTACCGAGTATATGGAGCCGAGTAATAGTGTGAGAGGGTATATCGCCAGCACAGTTACTGGTGGATGTGTTTTTGGGCTGGGATTGTTGCTACCTTTACCCTGGGAAGAAGGGGAGCCACTGCGTGAAACTGCCATGATGTGCGCAAAATAACGCAATAGAAAAGACGTGAAGAGATTGTCAACGTAAAAAGGAATTTGGAGGCATTCGTATATACATTCGGTTTTTCAGGAGTAAAATCGGTAATCCATGTAAGGAGAAGATAACGCAATGCTGTGCGAGGGCGGACTGGACGATGAAAAAGAACTCTCGGGCAAGCTGGGCAGATGACGTCGGTTGACGATGGGCCGCGGTCATGTGATACAGAAACAAGATAGATCAGATACTTATTACTTTGTAGAATTGTTAGAAGAATGAAAATAAAAAATATCTTAAAAATGAATGCATTATTTCTATTATGCTGCTAATTCTCTGCCTATAACATTAGGGGTCGGAATATTCACGTTACGACCCCTATGATTAGGTATCTTTGTACATAAAAGCAATGTATTTTCAAAGTTTGATGTCTACAGCTTCAAAAGGAGTGTAGACCTAAGCGGCAAGTTGCGCGACGAGTTGCCAACGTAGACCGTCTTGGTGTAGTTGGTGACAACCCAGTTTTGTTTGGCAACGTCCCAGTTGGACACATCTCGACGTGTCAAGGTAGTACTCCACTGAGTCTCCTCGCCAGGCTGCAAAGTAAGACGAGTGAATCCACGAAGTACTTTGGGTGCGTCATCAGGACCGCCAAGGGAGACGTAGAGCTGAGGAACCTCGTCTCCGACAACGGCACCTGTGTTCTTTACAGTAACAGTGACTTTGGCGACGGTGTCGTATAGAGCTGGGTTACCACCTGGACCACCACCAGCAGGGTTGATTTTCTGCGCTGAGCCGTCTTGAGCGCCAGCGGGCACATATTTGGATGTTGGCCAGCCGTAGTGCGGATCACCAGAGGCAGCTTTGAGGTTCGTAGAGGTGATCCATGGGTATATAAAGGCTTCAATGCGCCTGATGTAGTCAGGGAATAGGTAGGCCGTGGCATTCAGAACAGTGCCCAACACAGGCGCTGACTTCGTCGTACCATTGAACGGTACGTAAGGGGGCGCAGGTATAGTCTGGACTTGAAGATCTGAGAATGAGAAGGTGCTGTAACTGAGACCATAGCCGAATTCGTAGGTGGGAGTGATGTTGGCTTTGTCAAAATGTCGGTAATCAATAAAGATACCCTCCGTAAAGTTCTGCTGGGGAGCACTTTCTCCTTCGTTGGGAACGTAGAGAATATCTGTGCCCCAGTCTGAACGCTTCTTGCCCCATGTGAAGGGGGTCTTGCCTCCAGGGTTCACGGTGCCATAAAGAACGTCAACAAGCGAGTTGCCGCTCTCCTGTCCAGGTATACCATTCCACAAAACAGCAGTGATGTTGGGATGGTGCACCCAGTCTTCGATGAGGACAGGTCCCACGGTATGCAAGACTACAATCGTGTTGTTGCATTCGCCGGCAACGGCGTCGATCATAGCTTCACCATTTTTCCACAATGTCAAGTTGTTGCGATCGCCCCAATTGTTGTCGACCTCAATGTATCCTTCCCCGGAGTCGGCGTTGGCAAATACGATGCAAGTCCTATGAAATGAAGAATAGGTTAGACTTCTAGTTTTCTTTCCTTCTTTCGAACGTGTGTGGTACTTACGAAGCCTGACTAGCAATGGTCTTAGCCTCATCAATGGCACCGCTGTCAGTGATAGCAGTAAAGGCACCTCCATTCTTGACCACTTCAGCTGAGATAGCCTGTTCGGGGGTGACCAAGTAAGGGAAGTTGTCGCTACCACTACCCCATCCCATGGCCAGAGTGCCATTGTCACAGCCACGGTCAGAGCAGCTATTGACACCGTCAATGTTGGCGCCTGCATCCTCTCCGAAGATGGCAACGTATTTCTCCCTGCCCGTCAATGGAAGGGCAGCATTAACATTTTTAAGGAGGACGGCACTACGGCTGCCAATCTCGCGCACGACCTGGGCGTGGTTCGCGCGGACATCAACATGCTGATTGATCTGCTTGTAACCCTCACCGGCGTAGTAGTATTCGTTGCCGTAGGTATCAAGTGTCCAGGAGTCAAAGTTGATAGGAACCTGGTTGGTATCCCGGCCAACCTTGTAGAAAGCAGACATGATACGGACTGCCATGTCATCAACACGCCACTCGGGAACGGTGCCATTAAGCACAGCAATTGTCAAATTGGCGCCCCAAAAACCAGTTCCAGAGTTGAAAGCTACATCTCCCGGCATATCCATATCGGTACCGGCAAGAGTATCGCCAACACCAGCGTGCTGGCCACTCCAGTCAGTCATGACGAATCCTTGGAAGCCAAGTTCTCCTTTAAGCAGGTGATTTAGTGTGTAACTGTTGGAGCAGGCGTAGCTGTTGTTAATCTGGTTATAAGAGCACATAACCGAGCCAACGCCTGCCCTGACCGCATCGGCAAACGGCCACAAGTACAACTCATGCATAGTCTTGTCGTCAATGTTCTCGCTGATAGAGTCGCTGATGGTGTAGTTTTCCTGGGAACCTTGGCGGAAATGCTCTTGTTCGTATCCAATGAAATGTTTTGCGCAAGCAATCACACCGGCGTCTTGGATTCCATTGATGGTGTATGCCATCATCTGGCCCGTAAGGACGGGATCGGGGGCAAACCCTTCCCAGTTGCGGCCTCCTTCAGGGACCCGTCCCAATGGACCGGCGACAGGGCCGAGTTGCACGTCAACACCTTTTCCACGATGTTCTTCCCCCATTGCTTTGCCCCGGAGATAGGCAAGATTGACATCCCAGGTAGCGCCGACATTGATACCGCCGGGGAACGCAGTGTTGTAATCAGCTAAACGGGCGTTGTCAGTCAATTTTCTCATTGTCTATCATCAGGCCCAAGGTTTTGTGGGTTCAACATACTGTCGCGAACACCGAGCGGCGAGTCTTGCATGCAAAGACTACGGAAGTTCTTCCTAGGAATGCTTCCACTATTTCCCACGCATTGTCCGGATTCCCACCTGCCAAGCATTAGCATTTATTTGTAGCGTTGAATTGCTACGGCCAACATACCCAATACCAGTCGTCAGATTGATCTTCTCCAGCAATGTCAATTCCGAGACAAACGCGACGGCCTTTTGGTAGGCCTCAGCCCATTCCCCAGCACCATTGGCCCACGGCGAGGGGTATGAAGGAGGGGAGTGATACTGGCAAGAAACAAGGTCAGTCCATTGTGCCGCTCAGCTGTTTGCATCAAGGAGCTACCGGCTGGGCACTCACCTCGGCATTGGCGATTCCTGCAGCACCCGCAGCTAGGGCAACCAGCCAGGCGTCTCTCATGGTGATTGTGGATGACGAAACGAAGCTCCGGATAATTCAGAGCAGGGAGAGGAGGGGAAGGCCGTCATTTTATAACCCAACAGAAAAGCATGGCAAGCGCACTGTTCTGCTCCATTGCCCGTGCCATGCCGCCGTAGGGGGTGGGCGTGATCAGCAGGCAAGCCATACAGTGCTAGCTCCAGGAAGGTAAGGCGCTGCTCCGCGCGATGGGGTGGACCTGGAGTAACCCTGGCTTGCGATGCGCTGTTTTTCTCCGAATTGACTCGCTGGGTTAAGAGGTGGCGGAGTAGATTTCGCGCTCTTTTCGTATTTCTCTTGGTACTGTTGCTATCGCAGCTTCTTAAATGCGTGGTGTATTTCCTGCCAGATCTGGAGAAGGATACTGTAATTATGAATGCGGAGTGTGGGGTATCCGCGTACGGCGCCGTATTAGAAACGAACAACACCAGCGAAATGCCGTTTAAATACCGCAAGGCCGTACCGGCACTTGTACTGCGGTTACTCCGGCCTTAATGCTCAGGCTCTGTTCCGGGGGATCGGCAGTCGCTCTCCACCTGATAAATACAGTCTAGGAGAGAAGCCCGAATACGAGAGTGTCTATCCCTAGCAATAATCGTGCCATGTCCCTTTCCTTTATTCCACGTCCATCCAAGGTCAGCACGATAGATGCGACGGAGACATTAGGTATAACAATACATACCCTGTAGTACATAGAGGCATAGAAACCCCCCTGCCGATCTATCGTGGTCCCTTTTCCAATCTACAATTCCCGACACTCCGGGCTCCTCTCACCGCGTCAATTACCCAAACAGGCAATCCGTAAACCCTCTTCGGGTCCAAGCGATGACACCTCTCTTGCATATCCATAAATATGGGCAACTATACGGAGTACGCTCTGGAGTTAGTAAGCATTGGTCGTTGACTTGACTGCACTAAAAAAACCTCCGCACTTCCTAGACAATCCTTACGTACGTCCATCCGTGCCTTTGGAGTATGCCCATAATATACCCCGCGAATTTCTCTCTCATCCGTGCTCTACTACTTAATGCCACGCATGAGAAAACCCTGTCTTTGCGTTGTAAAATCTCCGCCTCAAATCTCCGCATCCAACCCCCCAAGTCTGACTTTAGGCTTTTGGCAGATAATTACGTAGTACTCCGTACGTGCTTGACTAAAAGTTTAAAGTTGACCGGAAGAATAGGGAAAGAAGAAGCTTGACTCGGTTGATGTAGTATTCGCTAGTGTTGATTCAGGTATGGTTGGCTTTGTCCTCCGCAGACTAGCAACTTAGGTCAGAGTCAAAAGTTTGATTAAAGGAAAAGAAGTATGCGGTAATTTTATACATACTTTGTAGTCTATACTAGCTCTATGTACAGAAGCGAGTTAATTGCGGTCTTGAATATCCGGTCCAGAGCCGGAATGACGCTATTTCGGAGATTGGTAGATATACATGGCATGCACATCGCAGGAGATTAGGTGTTGGTGCTTCTGCTTCGGCACTTGGGCCGGAATGTAAGCTGACCGGGACGTAATCCTTCCTGAGTACATGCTGGTTCGCACATATTTCAGATTTGATTGTGAAAAGGTCGTCACTGGTCACCGTGCGAGTCCGCATATCGTGTGGCTATACTGACTGGTATCCACCATGGACACGGACCTCAACAACTGGCAGATGAGTCTTGTATGCATGAGCCACAGACGTCAGAGAAACTCTGTCAGTTCATGAGGTGAGTGATGCGTCGTTGCTAATGCAATACAATGCAACGATAGCCGAACACTCGATTCCAAGAATTAGAAGATGCGAGTGAGAAAAGACAAAAGACCAGCCAAAATTGGCATGTTCAACTGCTAACAGACGCAGAGATGTCTCCACTAAGCTCATCCAAAATCTCAAACAGCAGATTGTTCCGCACCCGACAGCCAGCGGAATCCCCATCACGGAAACCGGGCCAAAGCCGCTGTTTGATAATGTTGATGTCCACCCCTCGAATATTGTATACATCAATCAAGTCCTGGGCAACCTCGCAGAGAGTTGTGTCCGCAGAACTGTCAGATTTAGGCCACTTGGTCGTGGATTCGGGTCCGCAGTCACATAGAGACGCAATGGAAGGCATCTTGGCGCTTTGGTTTGTCTGATGCTGAATCGCTGTGGGTTCAACAGACATCACCTCAGATGGTTCCCGACAAGATCCACTTTGACAGTTTGGAATCTGTGCACAGGAACCATCAACTGATTTCGATAACTGGGGTGAACATGACTTGGCAGTATTCGTAGTGGCAGGGGTTTGGCTTGGCGAAGCCTTAAGACGAGGAATGGCTATTTTCTCTCCCGCTGCTGCAGTACGATGCGACTCGTCCTTCAAGAAATCCTCCAGAAAGTCAGGGGTGATGCCCACTCGATGTAATAATAGACTGCGTAGCTTTGCATTTTCTGCCTCAAGTTTCTGGATTGCAATGAGATGCTCGATTTCGCGTTGCTGCGCTTGCGCATTGCAGACCGCTACCTTTTGCTCGAGTTCCTCGATGTACTGCTGTTTTCTGGCACGGCTTTTCCGCTGGTTCTCTCGCACTCTCGCGAGGCGATTCGACCTCTAAACAAGAACGTTATCTATCACGCAGTCTCTTTTGGATGGGAGTACAAGTCGACAGCGTACCTCATCTGTGTGTTCGGGTCTAAGGCTCATTTTTGTGATTGTCTGGGAGACGCCTGGAAGCTGCTGTAGGCCGGAGTCAAAAGGCTTCAAGCACGTTTATCATTGAATCCGCCATCGTATTCTCGTCCAATCAGAGCAGGCCATCTCCCGGTGAAAGCTGAAACAGGCTATGCCTATCCCGGCTAGTATTGCCGTGTCGATCTACAAAATATATCCGATTCAACATATTTCAGCGTTCCCCTTTGTAGTCAGACAACTGTACCTCGCTCGTAGTCACAGTGTTTCTAATAGTTTGTATGACGTTTCACCTGTCAAAGGCTTATTTATGACAAGCAACATAGCGCTCGCGAATTGGGTGTCGGCCGTTTCCGAAAACGGCCAATCAGAACGAGCGTACGCATAGCCCGAAATAGGAAACACAGGATATTGAGCCTAACCGCACCAGGAAACGCTCGCCCGGATGAGGAAAGCGACGTGTCGACGTCACGGCCGCAACGGTTGTCCGAGGCAGGAGCCACCCCAGAGGCGCCGCGCTCTTTCTTCTAGCTTCATCTTTGCGACTCCGCATGCTTCATTGGTAATGCTTCACATCAATTGGTGTAGCTCACTGAATACACAATTATCACCATGGTGAGCACAAGACACCACCCAAAGGACTTCCCTGCTCCTGCGACGCCCTCGAGCACAGCAAACGACAGCTCCAAGTATGTCGTGAAGTCGCCATCAGCAGTTAGCGGCGGTCCTCGAAAAGGCGTCCACACACCCTCAATAATCATTCTGCTCTGGCTGCTGATTTCTGTTCCGCTCGTCCTGTGGGATACCGGCTATGTCCTCTTGCGACCACATACTATGCCCGGGGGGAAATTCCACTCGCCCATTTGGTCGCCCTACGCGCTCTATGGAACTATTGACTACGTCTATGGATGGCCTGCCTTTGACGCGAAAAATGGCTTTACTGCGGCCCAGGGACTTTTGAATTTGTTTGAGACGGCTGCTTATATTTTCTACCTCGCTGTCATATATGTGTGCGGCACCACAGCGACTAGTTCTGGCCGTATCTCGACAAAGAAGGTTAATAAGGGCCTGCAGTGGTTTTTGTTTGAGGAAAAAGTGGTTCCTGGGCGCATTGGATCGTTTGCGCTTCTTGTTGCCTATGCTGCTAGTGTTGCCACTTTTAGCAAAACAATTCTATATTGTTAGTATTCTCTTCTCAGAGTATTTGGTTCTCACTGACTGTGTTTGTTTGCAGGGCTCAATGAGTTGTTTTCCGGCTTTGCAAATATCGGTCACAACAGTCTTTCCAACTTGATCTTCTTGTGGATTATTCCCAAGTAAGTTTGGTTCCGATCGCACCCAATAATTCATGTTTGAGATTTAGTGTTTAACTCTTTAAATAGTGGTATGTGGATCGTCTTTCCAGCATATATGATCTATGTGTTTGGAGGTGAGCTCTTGTACGCGCTGGAGTCCTCGACTCCCCGGCCAGTAAAAGCTGGTCGTCCCAAAAATCCCTAAACTGGTAATCATCAGACGATTTATTTACTAGTTACGCAGCAGTTGTGTTCCTTCATTGACTTTTTATACGGGCTTTTGTTTGTTGCCCTACTGCGCAAAAATAATACTCTTGGTGTTTCTTACACTTCTAGAAGATTGTGACAAGAGCCACAGTTTTTATATTGGCAATGATAGGATGTGTCTATGCTGTACTGTACATAGCTTTCTATATAAAAGGAAAAAGGGGCTGACGAAAATTGTCATCTATCATCTACCAGGGTGACACGCCATAAGCACCCACCATCTTCCCTACATCCGCGTCTCTCTCCCCTTTGACGGTAGCAGCGATAATACCTCCACCAACATGCGGCTCACGGGCGCCTCTAGCCCGGAGAGAATCCGGATCGTTCGTCAAGTTAGTTGCGTTGAGACCAGGATCAGCTGAGAAAACCTTGAAGTTCCTCCCCTCCAAGCCCAAGATATGCGAATACTGCACCATAATCATATTCAGCGCCGCCTTGCTAGCCCGATATTCCGTCCCTGCCGGTCGATAATACGGCGAATTCTTGTCAGAAGCACCCGTGATCGACCCCAGACTCGAACTGACGAACACCAACCGCGGCTCATCCGACTTTCGAAGCAGAGGCAGAAACGCCTCCGTCACACTCGCCGCGCCCACGACGTTAGTAGCCAGGACACGGCGCAGGTTGTCGCGGACAACCGGATTGAAGTCGTTGATACCGGCGTTATTGACCAGGGCATCGAGGCGGCCGTATTTGGAAGATACGGCCTCGGCAGCGGCGTCAACGGATTTGTCGTCGTCCACATCCAGCTGGATTGTATCGAGTGTGCCCTTGATTTCCGGTAGGGACTGGAGGTCGGCCACTGCTTTTGCGCCTCTGTTGATGTTTCGGCTGCCGATTATTACGTGGTACGATGCTGAGCTTAGGACTAGGTTTTTGGCGGCCTCGAATCCGACGCCTTGGTTTGCACCTATGTAACAGTGGTCTGGTTAGGTATCTACTCTATAAGAGATAGGGATATGCAGGATGAATGTTACCGGTGATGAGAGTGATGATTTGCTTTGCTGCCATGATGTATATATATCTAGCGCTTGAATTCCCCAAACTTTCTCTGAACCAACAAACTTTAGGTAGCAGTAGGTATTCAAGGGTGACAAGGACTACTAATTTATACACCTAGCATTCAGCATTCAGCCGTACAGGCATGTCGGATTTTGCGGACATAAGAAGATCAATGACGGAATTAAGACTTCGTATAAGGGGTCCAAAGTTGGCACTAGAAGTAAAATCTGCAGCTTGAAGTGGAGCAGAAGAAACATCATCTAGTACAGTAGGATTGCGACGGCTTTGCAGCATTGGGTATCAATATCCAGGGTCTCTTAGGTCGCCGTAATCAGCCGTGCAACTCTTGGTTTCCTATCAAACCTTCAACTTTGTATATCTTGTGGGTCTTTATGTACTCTATGTTCTGTATGAATAAGAAGAAACCACTCTAGGCGGAGAATTATACAGTAAAGTGCATAAAGATTCTGTGAATTTGGCTTCGGGTCGATAAAAAGTTCACACATTCTTGAACCAAGGATGCTCCATAGCCTCCTCAGCAGTAATCCTTCGTGAAGGATCCAGGTTTGTCGTCCTCGTTACGACCTCGTGAAAATCCTCATCAGCATTATCCCACATCGAAAATGGCCTTCGAGGATTCCCAGCCGTAATAAACTCCTGAACAACGTCCAGCATAAGCTGTCTAAACTGCTGGCTATCCTCCTCCAGATGAGTCTGCACGAACCCAACCAACCCAGGGCCATCTGCAATGTGAGAAATCATGCGCCGTGCTATGATCTCTTCGGAAATTGCATCTTGATCATCAACCTGGAATATGATCTTTCGAAGCATGGTGAAGATGTTGTTTGCATGTAGATGGGCAAGTCCCGGCAACGCACCACGAAGAATCCGTCTTCGTGCTATATCTGAGAGGTTATCCTTCACAGCGAATTGCAGAAGGTCGCTGGCAAGATATTCATAAACAAAGAGAAGGTGCTCGGGAATGGTATCGTTGACCACCCTCAGATTGGGGCAATGGGCCAAGGACTGCTGCATTTCGAGCCGATATTCGAATTGGGGTATGATAGATATTTTTCAGGATGTATTTTTTCTTTTTTTTTCTATTTTCATCTCTTTGGTTTTTGGGGCAGGTTTAGTCCAGGTCTATCCAAGGCGATTATGATCGCGGCTTACCTGGCTAGATAAACACAACAGAGGGAGGGTGCTGTTCTTTCCTGCAGTAGCTCTTCGATCTGGTAAGTCTGACCGGAAAAGCTGCTCAGCTTCTGTTTCAAAGTTAACGGCTTCTGTAGCTCCATCATGGCAGATTTGTTTTTGTTGCTGATCCAAGGGGTCGTCGACATGCGGGCTGCGCTCCGTGCGGCGACAAATCGACGTCCTCGGAGATATGAAGTCGAGGAGCAACGAAAAGGGCGAATATATCGTGGAAGGAGTGAATTATGGTTCATGGCTTTGTAGTGGGCAAGAAGCGAGAGACGACTTATCGATGGAAGAAAAGTGATGTTTTGCCTCGGGGATCCAGCGTGGAATATACTGTACAGGCGTTATATATATCTCGCAACTAACCACCTAGGTGTGAAAGGTCAAATACATCACCCAAGTACCTAGATCTATCCATACCCAGACACTCAAGCCAGGCTACCTACCTGCAAGTAAAGCGAAAATACAAACAAACAGGCCAATAGAGACAGGTAGGGGAAGACGAAAACAGAAGCCGCTCTCTGGCGGGGATTCTTACCCCATATTCTCCTTCGGTCTGCAACATCTTCGTTTCACGCGCAATCAATACGCTCGAAACCCACGATCCAACACCATTCCACCGATTCAGCACCGCCTTTTTTTTTCCCCGGCCGATATATCTGATTCCCCGCCATTTGTACACCACGCCCATCGGATGCGGCGGGATCTCCAGCTGTCGGCCCCATGGCAACCGAACGGCGGGCTAGCGGCCAGGACCCGATGACAGAGAACCACGACGACGAGCACATGAGCGAGACGAGCTCCCCAGATCGCGACCAGGAATATGGACTTGCCGAACAAGCCGGTAACGGTGAAGGCGAACAGCGTGACGCGACGGAGACCGGCCAGAAACCAGCATGGAGCGAACTCAAGACCAAGGCTGGGAAGGAAAGGAAGCGCCTGCCACTTGCGTGCATTGCCTGTCGGAGGAAGAAGATTCGATGTTCTGGCGAAAAGCCGGCATGCAAGCATTGCCAGAAATCACGAATACCTTGCGTGTACAAAGTGACCACACGCAAGGCCGCGCCGCGAACAGACTACATGGCGATGTTAGACAGGCGACTCAAGCGCATGGAAGAGCGGGTGATCAAGACTATCCCGGCCGGGGAAACGAGGGATATGGCTGCCATCGGAAGGAGCCATGTAAGACCGGCGCTGCCCTCGCGACACTCGAAGCAGTCAAGGGTCACCACCCAACACAAGCGGGCAGCGGATGAAGCCTTTGCTGCGAAATATGATTTCTGGATAAATCCGCCTCAGAACACCGCTGGAGAACACACATTGCCGGTGACGGGGGTTTCGAAATCTCATGAAGGGAAAGAACTGCTTATCGAGGGCGCCGAATTTCTCCCTTCAATGGATATACAGGAACATCTATCAGAAGTATTCTTTGATTGCGTCTATGGTCAGTCTTATCTTCTGCTGCACCGCTCCAGTTTTATGCGCAGACTCAGAGCAGGAACTGTTCCTCCTGTCTTAATTCTGGCCGTCTGTGCCGTGTCCGCTCGATTCTCTACGCACCCTCAGATCAATGCCGAACCGGCTTTTCTCAGAGGGGAAAACTGGGCCAGGCCGGCAGCAAGGATAGCCTTGAGTCGTCACGATGAGCCCAATATCACCATTCTCACCGTCTTCCTTCTTTTGGGTCTCCATGAGTTCGGCACATGTCATGGTGGACGGAGTTGGTCCTTTGGAGGGCAGGCATTGAGGATGGCCTATGCGTTGCAACTTCATCAAGAAGTGGGCCATAATACGCCGGGACATGGTAATGGGAAATTGGCCGAGTTAAGTTATACAGACAAAGAAATCCGAAGACGCACGATGTGGGCATGCTTCTTGATGGACAGATACAATTCTTCAGGGAGCCAGCGCCCGCCTATCGGGAACGAGAAATTTATACAAATTCAACTTCCTGTCAAAGAGTCACACTTCCTAATGGAGATCCCAGGACCGACAGAGGATTTGAATGGCGACGTACCCAATCGCGCCCGCGCCCCGGAGGGCCAAGGCCAACTTACTGATCCAAAAGCGAACATGGGTGCTTCAGCGTACATAATCCGTGCAATTGTCATATGGGGTCATATCGTCGACTACCTCAACCTTGGAGGGAAAAAGAGGGAATCCGTTCCCTTATGGGATCCAACCTCGGCATATACAATGCTTAGGGGCGAAATAGACAATTTTGCTTCCTCTCTACCAAGCTCACTCGAATTTACCCAGGAAAACCTTCACATTCACGCGGCAGACAAGGTTGCCAACCAATTTATATTTTTGCACATCATCATTCACCAGACTATTCTATTCCTCAATCAATTTGCCATCCCCTTAGCGCCTGGAGGCCGACCACCGAAAGGCATGCCAAGGTCCTTTCTGAATGATGCAGGCCGAGCTGCTGTGGAGGCAGCACATCATATATCGATGCTGATTGATCAAGCAAGCGGCTACTCATTAACAGTTCCATTTGCGGGATACTGTGCCTACTCGGCCAGTACAGTGCATATATGGGGAATATTTTCCAAAAATGCACAATTAGAAGCACGATCAAAGGAAAACTTGAGGCATACCTACCGCTATCTTAATAAGATGAAGAGATATTGGGGCATGTTTCATTACATGGTAGAAAGTGCCAAAGACAGGTACCGGCAATTCGCTGATGCGGCGATTCGAGGCTTGCCTGTGCAAAGTTCACTGACAGATGAAACACCTTCGATGTTTCAATACGGCGACTGGTTTGATAAATATCCACATGGCGTATCCCCGATGCACTGGGAGGACCCTGATACCAATAAAAAGAGAGAAATCGGCGACGATGCGGTGATGGGACAGCGCCCTGATCTTCAGAGCGTGGAAGACTTCTTCGCCAGTCTGTCTTCAAACCAGTCGTCGACTATGGAGTCGCGGAAACATCCAAGACTGTATAAAAGAAGTACTAAACAAGCTGCTTCACAACTAATACAGCAATCTACGTCAAATTCGAATACTCCTTCTATTCCTCCTCCCCAACCCCAATCGCTTGGCACCATGCCAGTGGCAGTTAATGCAGCAACAGTGATGGACCCCCAAACATCATACCCCGGCTTCAACGAATCGGATTTCTATGGAGCGTCTCCCCAAAACTTCGGTCAATCAATCTTTGATTACAGTCTTATTCCAGATCTTCTTCCACAGCTTGACCAGATTGATAGAAATTTCGTCCAGGGGGCTTATACCCCTTTAGACCTACCCAGTCTCGCCACGGGAGACATGAATTTTCTGAACACTCAAAATATCAGCAGCAACACAGCTGCAACTGCTATCAACGAAAATAGCCCTACCAATAATCCTAATAACAACAATATCGCCACGACTACCACTACTACTGCGATCCCCAGCAGCAATAGCGCTAACAACATTTCGGAATCAATCTGGACCGACCCCTTCACGCCCTCTGGAACGGGCGAAATTACCCAGCCAAGCGCTTGGTTTCTGCCATTTAACCTCGACCCTATGACGGCGGGTATGCTTGGGGATGCCGATAGCAGCAATGTTCTTAAACCGGGAGGGAGACAAGCCGAAGTCCGTCCCTGGCGATAACAACAAAATGAATAACTCATTTGATATTCTGGCAGGGCTGGGGAATACGCCGGGGACATAGATGATTATATCTTGATTCCCGTGGGGAGAGATATCTATCTGATATGACTTGTAACATACATATATATGTTAATATAAGAATCTTCTATATTGTACTTTTACCGTTTCATTGATTCATGTCGGAAATTTTTTTCCCTAGATAGAACTAAATTTCTCCACCTACTTCAACAAGCATCATTGGTCTAGTGGTAGAATTCGTCGTTGCCATCGACGAGGCCCGTGTTCGATTCACGGATGATGCACTCAACAATTATTTCTTTTTTGCTCTTCTCCTGTGCTTCCAAAACAAGCTGATTTTTTTCTTTCTGCTTTATGTGGTGTAATGTTTCTGCTCATCGGTAACCTGCCGATTGACGATCTTATATTGCAATTCATCTGTCCTAAATTGCAAAGAACAAGGTACCATAATAACATGATAACATCGCAAATATCGCCCATGCCCTGATCAAATGCTTGCATCCAAATAAATGGAAAAAAAAAAAAAAATTCAAGGATTTTTCATCTTTCAAACTAATCAGAAAAAGCGGCATATTATTCATTCCATTCCTCGTCCAATTGATCTATTAAACGATTTTCGGCGTCAACGTCCCCTCTATCCCCTCGATCGGCGCCTCGACGACCGCCAATGGCACTGATTATGCCTCTTTGGCCATTGGGGCGTGATGAGGAATCTTTTCTAACGAAGCAGCGCGTTATAGAGGAAAATATGATGATGATGAAGTCCTGAGAGGATCCAAATATTAATATTTCCCCCCTAACATTGCCACCATCTAAGAAGACAGAGACTTACCTGAACAAATCCGACTAGGTCAGACCATAGGCTGAAATTGGGGCATTGTCTCCAGCCGCGTTGGTGCATTACTGTACGCTGATATGCGCACCCTCCAAGGAGATAAACAAAAACGGCAATTAGAGCACTTGATGCGTGTTCAGTAAGGAGATGCTTCACCGAGAGAAGGAAAAGAATGGTGGATGCAAACTTACATCACTCCAAAGACACCGGCCGGTCCCAGACCACCTTCAGGTACTGCAGCCACGCCACCACAAGCCACCAAGCTTCTAACTTCGAAGAAGTATGTGCACGAATCCATCGTGCCGACGAAAGAAACAGCGGGTGTGGCAGCAGGAGCTTCGCGGTCACATAGGAATGACATGATGGCGGATTTCCTCTTGGTCGTTTGACTGTCGCCTGCTGCTGTGGCTGAATAAGAGGGCTTGCTTGAGCTATATCCATGTTCTGCTGTAAAGTCATCATCGGCATGAAGGCTTGAGCCGAGTAGTGGATTCCCGGAGCTTGTGCATGGCGAGCCATTGGTATAGTTCAACACGAGCCGTTTACCGCGGAAGATCGGTTCTGGGTTTTGCTCTCTATACGACAGAGAAAAGAATAATTAGCCATGTTAATTGCTGAAGCTTCGAAGTCAGAAGGTACCTACCCGAGAGAGTATATCTTTCCCTTGTGTTCATAATAAGCGCTCACATTCTGCCACCTCGCCTTCTCTACTCCAACCACATCTACGACAGTCTCAATGACTGGGGCACATATATTCATGGTGAAATTAGCGCCATAGTCATGGCCGCGGGCTTCCCAGCTCTCATCCCGATCGGTCTTGTGCACCTTCCTCCCGTCCTTAAGTTCCGGCGGCGAGAGCGAGATGGAGTTCAAATCAAAGAATGCGCCTGTAGTTGGGGACTGGACAGAGCATGGCCGATGCGCAGGTGTATCGGACGCAGCTTCGACGATGTGCGAGAGATGAAGGAAGAAGAGACCGCACGTGGCCAGTACGGTTGGCCGCGTCAGCAGCTGCATAGCTACGGAAATTGCGATGCCTGCGGCAATGACAGACGGCTATAAGGGCGACCTGTAGAGCAATTGAAGGCTGGATAGTAGCGAATAATGGATGATTGCTGGTCGTAAACAATAAACAATAGTTATGATGGCTGGAGATGATGACACTGGCTGGTTGCACCCCTCGAAAGCGGAATCGGATGCGGAGATGCTCTAGGCTGCTTTGGGTAAGCGTCTGGACTCAGCACCGCATGGCAGCGTCGCTGCTTTTTTGTTCAGCTTCAGCCTTCTTCGTAGCAGATAAGCATTCCATCCATGCCTGTGAGATAAAATTCCTTGCATTCCTCCTCTCCGCTACGGAGCGCTCCGACAAGGCAAGCCTTCGCATGACGTCTGCCGTATCGCCTCATGCGGAACGTGGGTTGCCGAGCTGAAGATCGCTCCGAGCGCTCTCTTTTTATTTAAAGATCATAGCTCGACCCACCGTTTCCTCCAAACAATAAGCTGCGACTTGTCTCATCGCACTGTCGAGTTGCTCAAGTACAATTGTGTCCTTCACAATGGCACCTAAAAAGGGACACAAAGCCATCGTGCCCGTGCAAATTGTTCCTGAGAAAAGGGGCTATGAGTTTGGTGGACCGTTCGTCGCCCTGCTTGCCCTCTTTTTTTTTTTTTTTTTTTTTTTTTTTTTTTTTTTTTTTTGAGTTCCACGCGTTGGAATACGCGGACTGATTTATTCTCACAGCCTAGGTGCCTTTGTCCTCGTCTTCGGCCTGCCGGTTCTTATATATTGCTTCGCGTTCCTTTGCAATGACGTCTCAGGCTGTCCCGCGCCCTCTCTCCTTCATCCCTCGACTTTGACATGGGACAATTTGGAATATGAAATCGGGTGGCCCGAGAAGGGCCTCGTCGGCCTTTATGATACCGAAGTGACATTGTGGGTTTTGTCGTATTACCTCGTTCTTCTCTTGTTGCAGATTTTCCTTCCCGGCCAGGAAGTGGAGGGTGTCCCATTGGCGTGCGGTGGACGACATAAATACAAGTTTAACAGTAAGGAATTCTTCTCCTGAGTAACTTGAGGATAGATCATGGATAGAAATTTGGACTGACATGTGCGATTTTCCTGCCTAGCGTTCCGCTCCTCCATCCTCATCTTAGCAGCACTCGGTGCAGGCACGTATGTCAATGGTGCCGATTTCGTGGTCTGGACTTTCCTCTGGGACAACTTCGTGCAGGTGATTACCGCAAATCTTATCATCACCGCAATTCTCTCCATTTGGGTATACGCGCGAAGCTTCTCGATTCCGGCGCCCGGTGAGCCTAACCCCGAGCTTCGCGAACTGGCGCCTGGAGGACACACCGGTAACATCATATATGATTTCTTCATTGGCCGAGAACTCAACTCTCGTATCACATTGCCCATTCCCTTCGTGAGCGAAGCGGCTCGGACGATTGATATTGGGGTCTTCTGTGAAATGCGGCCTGGTCTTCTGGGTTGGATTATTCTCAACCTTTCACATGTCGCGCACCAGTACCGCACCCATGGCTATGTCACCGACTCCATTCTCTTTATCACCGTTGCGCAAGCCTTCTACGTCTTGGACAGCTATTACATGGAACCAGCCATCTTGACCACTATGGACATCATCATGGACGGCTTTGGCTTCATGCTATGTTTCGGTGATCTGGTGTGGGTACCATTTCTCTATTCGACTCAAACAAGGTATCTTGCAATGTTCCCTGCGAAGATGGGTTTGAACGGAATTGCCGTTTCCCTTGCCGTCACCGGCCTTGGTTACTATATTTTCCGCGGTGCCAACAACGAAAAAAACCGCTTCAGAACAAACCCAGATGACCCCCTCGTCAAGCATCTCAAGTACATCACCACCAAGAGCGGCTCCAAACTGCTCACATCTGGCTGGTGGGGCACTGCTCGCCACATCAACTACCTCGGCGACTGGCTTATGTCTTGGGGTTACTGTCTACCAACGGGCTTTGCGGGCTATACTATGATTGAAGCTATCAACACTTCCACCGGAGAGCTGGAGAAGCAGGCGGTTCAGACTCCGGGCTCTCGAGGATGGGGTGCGATTTTCACATATTTCTATATTTTGTATTTTGGAATTCTCTTGATTCATCGCGAACAAAGAGATGAGGAGAAGTGCCATAAGAAATATGGCAAAGATTGGGATAAGTATACTTCGCTGGTGCGAAGCAAGATTATCCCAGGCATATACTGAGTGTGGGATCATGAATTGTTGAAAAGTGCGTTTATTTGTTATATTTAAAGAGTTAGAAAGAGGGCAAAGAGGTACTTATGGAAATGGAGTTGGGAATATGGCTACATGAAACTTATACAGCCTTGATCGTCCCGAGACGCCTGGTGGAATTACCCTAAAACGTGGCCTGGCCCTTGCGATATAATGCTTTCGCCGTGCATTCTTTGCTATGTGGGCTAGCGGATAATTCATCACTGTCTCCGTTTCGTCGTCGGCTGATTTTCGCCGAACTAGGTTTTCTGCCATCTGACGATGAGATTGCAATCATCTGGATTCGTTGGCACAGAATCGTGGCTAGCCAGACATATACTCTCATTCTTCCGTAAATTGCACGCGGCTGTCATCTAGCTTTGTAAAATAAACTTCTCCTCATTAGGAAGATGTCTTGATCATGAGCTGTGGTTTTGAAGCCGATTAGCAAAGCGTCGAGTCTTGGTAATCGCGAGACATCTGAGACTGCCACTTCCGGGCATCTTGCACGTGACAAGTACACTCGAACTATTGTATGGAAGCTCGCTATATTGGATAGATGAGAATTAGTGATCCTCAGCATACCTCTTATGAACTAGGATGCATAGCGCCCACCATAAACTGGTCAGTTGCACCTAACACATTGAGGTTTTGAGTAAGTTCCATTTACGTGGACTATTCAGTGGGCACTCAGTTGGCTTACGCTTGCTGCTTAGTGTATTTCACTTGTGATATCACGTAAAGGTGGCGAGGAGTTTTGAACCTCATCAGTTCTAGGCAAATGATGAAGACATTTGGTAGCTTGACGTGGGTTTTTGAAATAGTCTCGGTGCAATCTTCAATCATTCACAGTGATTTCCCACGTTCTTAGGTCTTCTCGCACATCAAATTCGGAAACCTCATGAGCACCCCTAGTACTCTTCCATGTCTTCTCTTTGACATCTTGAAACGAACTCTCGAGACTTCCTTTCCCACTGCTAATAGTGCTGCCACTTAGAGATGCACTTTCCGCCAGCGTGTCTCCTCTCATATCTGACCTTGAGCGACTGCTCAAAGAGCTCTTCGGCCTTTTGTCTGGGTTGGATGATGACAGCCGACCTTCTTGCACCGTTATACGAGATGCAGCGTCGCTAATACTATTGTCGTCGTAGTCGTCTGCTCGTCCTGACCTGGCGCCTGGTCCTGTGGACCGATAACCACGGCCGCCCGCGAACAAGTCTTCAATTAAGAGATCTGGTAATAGTTCGTCGCTATGAGTTGTCCATGACGCAGCTAAAGTGCGTCGATACATGTCTTGCAAATCTCCGGCTTCTCGACTAGTATTGATCGATGGCAGACTGCCTGGTTCTTCAATCTCGCCATGTTCAGGAGGTAAGATGCCAGCAATACCACCGAATACCATGGCTGACTTTAACGGAGGACTATAAATTTCGTTAATTAGCGCCCCAGGCACAAGCGAGAGAGAGAGATAAAACTCAACGTGATATAATTTTTATCTCCTTCGAGTTGTCGCATAATTATCCCTACTTTGAGGGTACTATTAATCTTGCTATCTTGCATCAAATAGCGTCTAACAACGCCCGTGTCATCGTCACTCTTATCAACATATTCAGCCAGGTTGAGCTTGATATGGCCTAAAGTCATACGATCACCGCGACTTCCCGAGGAGAACTCCTGAAGAATCTCAAACGAGATATCGCACTCTTGAAGCATATGATTTCGGTCTATGGTGAGCTTGACAGGTAGGACTTTCTCATAATCCCATGATGCTCGATGGTCTTGAATCACAGCCCGGTCTGTGTGGCCGCGATGCTCAGCTGCTATTGAGGATGGCAGATGCCATTTCACATATGAAGTCCCGCAGACTAAGGGAATATTGCTGAGGTCGATGATCTAAAGTTCCTGGTCAGACAAATAATACTGCGTGGATTGTAAGAGACTTACACTCAGTGTGAGGTCAAACCGCGGCTATGTCGTTTCGTCAGTGATTTGAACCAATCTGTTTATTACATGCGGGCAAATTAACTCTGCACTCACTCTCCTGTTCTTGGGTACTGTTTTGCCTCCTGTAAGCACTAGGACAGAATATGGAAGCAAGCACAAAGGTCCTTACCAAAAGCCTGCATTGTGATTGTATCATACGGACATAGGAAGTTTACTAGATTGACATTTGGCTACGCCAATAATGTACAGGGCGGAGAGATAACAAAGGCGGTGTGGTCGCAAATGGCAGAAAGGCGGCTCTGTCCCCTCGCGTCCTTGACCCTTGGACCTGCAACATTTACTAATGATTACTACGGAAAACACTGGCATACATCGAATACCATCTTTAAAGGCTAGCCGGAAGTCCGAAAACTAATGACGACCATGAGCAGACTACCTTCACCGCCATCGGAGGAGGAGAATACCAAACCACATGCGCATTCTCGCGCCGCCAATGATGCTGTACCGCTCACCTCTCACATTCGCACAAGACCAATCCACCCCCAATTACCAGAGATCCGTGTTCCTGGAGATGAAAGGAGGGAAGGTGCAGACGCATTACCATTGCCATCCACGCATTACCACCCTGTGACATGTGAACCTCTCAATATACAAGACATCCAACCGCAACTCCAAAATTTACGCAAAGAATACCCGTCGATGACAGCGGTTGCCAAGGCACAAGAAGACACCGTCAAGGAAATAAAGCAAAAGATGGAGGAAAAGGAACGGAAAAGGGACGAGATTCAAAAAGCGCTAGATAAAAAGGCAAAGGAGTGGGAAGTGGAGTACAAAATTCTTTCGAAATATCAGGCCAGCAAAACATCACCATCGTCAGATTTGGCGTCATGAACAGATATAACTTTTTCTGCCAGTCCCTCCTCGTCATCCCGACCTTCGATGTAACAAACAAGCCATCATCGGGCGTGTTGGCACATGTGATCAGGGGCATATCCCATCACCACCGTTAAAGAAAGACGCTGCGATATCGGGATGTTCGCCATTCTGTTATTGATCTGCAGGTACGGAGTACGTAAATCCATAACCAGACGCGAGTTTGGTCGCAAACTAGTCTGTATGGCTCGGTGTATGTAGTCAGCATTTGCACGTGAAGATCTCGGATACATAGCACTCTCATTGCCACCATCTGGCATCATCCAACAAAAAAAATGTCACAAGCCTGATCAGGATACAGCTGAAAAAAAGGGGGAAAGTACGAAAACAAAGATCAGCAGCCATTGAGACGGAGAATCACATGCCAAAACTGAGCCGCAATGGGAAAACCTGAGGCAATTCTGAGAGATCTACAGCCGAAAGGGCTGAAAGCAGAGCCGAACGGACTCGTTTCCCTTAGTTCATTCGGCTGGCCGTATTAGAGAACCAGCTCAGGATGTTATTAGTGCCGTTCCCGTGTTCTTGCGGGAGTCGGCAGTCGGCAGTCGACACTCGATAAGTTGGGTAACGGGCAGACACGTATATTAAGTTGATTCTCACGTGTGACCTCGATCTTTTTCTGTGTCTGGACTTTTCTGTTCTTGCTGCTTTGTTTGGATATTCTAGTAGTTATCTTCTCGGTTTACACATCTACCCTATGGAAATCGACCCAGCTATTTACCTGAGTGCTCTGAGCCACTTGATCAGGCCTGAAGCTTATTTATCGTCCTCACTTCAATGATTATCGGATTTCAAAAAGCTGATATATACTTTCATGTACATACACATAACTAGATATGTATGTACCATTCACATTTTATTATTATGCGTATTAACAAGACCATGACTTTGCAGGACATTCATGGGATATCATAAATCGAAAAAGAAAGCCAAGATTTTAAGACCAACACATCATTTGACGTGGAGTTTTTCTGTCCCCTGGGCATTTCTTCGTGTTTCTGGGTTTTCATCCGAGCATCGCAACTTCAAACCGGTCATTTAAATCATGGACACATGTCATACACAATGACGTATGAAGAAAAGAAAAATCAAGAAAAAAAAAACAAGAACAAACGCAGTCCAGATCCGTTTATGATAATGCAATTGAGGATATGCTATCCACCCAAACTCCTTCGGTCTATAAAGCGTTTATGAGGGCGGTTAACAACGGTAAGAACTATATGTTAAGACGGTTAGCAAGGTGGTAGTCAAAGGTGAGACCATCAACTTCGAGATTAGTTAACGAAAAGGAAAGAAACTTACGTCAGAGACGTCGCCAATGAGAGCGGTCGTCTCGTTGACGAATTTCGCCGTCAATAGGTCGTCGGCGTTCGTCAACAGAGAGCCGACCTGGCCTAACAAAGCTGGCGTGACGACAGGCGCGACTTCACCGATCAGTCCACGTGTCTCATTCACGAATGAAGGTTGCAAAAGGTTGGTGGCATTGGTTAAGAGATATTCAATGTCCTCAATGTAATCAGTAGTTAACAATGGCTTGACCAGGTCGAGGATGGGCACAACCTCGCTTAGCAAAGGTCCGGCGTCACCAATCAAACCCACAGTCTCATTCACAAAGCTTGGTGTCAACAGGTTTGTAGCATTGGTCAACAACCATCCGAGATCCGTGATATACTTCGGCGTGATTAGCGGCTGGACAGTAGAGAGGATAGGTCCAGCTTCGTCAACCAGAGCTTTGGTCTCATTGATGAAGCGGGGAGTCAAGAGGCTGACAGCACCGCCAAGCAGAGTCTCAATCTCCCCAATAGTTGAGTTGGTCAACAATGGCTTGACCAGGTCGAGAATAGGCGCAACTTCGCCAAGCAGAGGTGCTGCGTCGCCAATCAAGCCCAATGTCTCCGAAACAAAGCTTGGAGTCAGCAAGTTAGTGGCGTTGGTAAGCAAGTACTCAATATCCTTCGTATTGTTAACCGTGAGGAGACCGCTGGCCACACCAAGCAGGCTGTCAATCTCCTGAGTGTTGGAGGTAGTCAACAATGAGCTGGCATTACCCAATAGGTATTCAATGTTGTTGATGCTTCGGGCAGTTAACAATGGCTGGGCGGCTTGAAGAGCTGGACCAATTTCGCTGAGCAGTGGTGAGACATCGCTGAGCAGTGGTGCCGCATCGCCAATCAAGCTCTTGGTTTCGTTGACGAAATTAGGGGTCAGCAAGCTATTAGCATTGGTGAGCAAAGCCTCAATCTCCTGAGTATTCTCACTAGTCAACAATGCATTGGCGTTGGTGAGGAGATTCTCAAGCTCAGAGATAGTGTCGTTACTTAGTAATGGTTTAAGATCATCTAAGATCGGCGCGACATCTGTAATCAAAGACTGCGTTTCAGAGACAAAGGCGGGTGTCAACAAGGTATTGGCATTCGTGAGCAATGTTTCTATTTCCTTGGTGTTCTTTGTGGTCAACAACGAATTGGCGTTGGTGAGCAGAGCCTCAATCTCAGAAATGGTGTCGTTACTGAGTAATGGTTTGAGATCATCTAAGATTGGCGCGACATCCGTGATCAAAGATTGAGTATCTGACACAAATGTTGGCGTCAATAAGTTATTGGCATTCGTAAGCAAAGACTCAATTTCCTTGGTGTTCTGCGTGGTCAACAAGGCATTAGCGTTGGTGAGCAGAGTCTCAATTTCTTGAGTGTTCTGCGAGGTCAACAGCGAATTGGCGTTGGTGAGCAATGTTTCAATTTCCTTGGTGTTCTCCGTGGTCAACAAGGTGTTGGCGTTCGTTAGCAGGGTCTCAATCTCGGAAATGGTATCATTGCTCAGTAATGGCTTGAGATCATTCAAGATTGGTGCGACATCAGTGATTAGAGACTGAGTATCCGAGACAAAGCTTGGCGTCAATAAGTCATTGGCTTGAGTAAGTAGGCTTTCGATGGCCGCAGTGTTGTTGTCACTTAGAAGGGTGTTGGCATTAACCACGAGAGTCACGAGTTCATCGACACCCTCTTCGTTCAGCAATGGACTTAGTGCACTGAGTACCGGTGAAACGCCTGAAATCAATGTCTGGGTCTCATTCACGAAGGTTGGTGTCAACAAGTCATAGGCGTTCTCAAGCACGCTCTCTATCTGGGTGACTGTCTGTCCCGTCAGCAATGGACTCAACTCGCTGACGAGTGGCGAGACATTGCTGATCAAGGTAGTTGTCTCATTGACGAAAGTTGGTGTTAAGAGTGACTCAGCGGATGACAACAATGTCCCTAGCGACTCGGCAGTTGAATTGTTTATGAGACCGTAAGCAACAGAAATAATCTCCTTGGCCTGCAGAGTTGTGGGTGCATCCAAAAGTAACGCAAGATTGTTCACAAATGACTCGAGGTTCTCTAGGAAGGTTGGCGAGAGCAAGCCCGTGATACCGTTAAGGTAATCTTCGAGATCGGTAATAAGTGAGCCAAGGCCGCTCGCCAGGCTGCTGCTTCCACCCAACAAACCACTGAGTAGTGATGCAAGCTCGTTTGCGCTGGAAGAGGTTGCCGAAGCGGCAGTACTAGTAGAAGACGTGGTATCTGAAGTACCAAAGCTAGTGGCGGTTGGGGTGGTCGAGGAAGAGGGCACAGCGGCTCCTGAGCTGAGGCCAGTGCTAGCAGCAGTATCAGATACAACTCCCGTGCCCACACTGCTTGCAGTGGGTACAGTTGATGTCTCGGCAGTAGGGGCAGAAGAGGTTTCCACAGCAGGGGCAGTGGAGCTTGCAGTGGCAGGTATAGCGGTGTCCCCTCCTACCGAAGACACAGAATCGACGGTGTTCGAAGCCGCGGGATCATTTGCCTGAGATGCGGTAGTAGACACTGCTGCCGCTGCAACTGATGACTCCGGTGCATTAGCCTGTGAAGCATCTGTGCCTGCAGTAGTTGTATCAGTTGGGTCTGTGGAGGTTGAAACAGCGGCCGCCGGTTGCTGAGCAGCTGCTGTACTGGAGGTACCTGCATCTGATGATATTACAGCAGCAGCACCGCCTTGGATAATGCCAGCTGATGATGAGCTATTTGCCACAGCTGGTGAAGCGACAGCCAAATTGGCCAGTACAGCGGCAGTGGCGATTGTCGAGAAGATGCGCATTTTGATTGTTGAGGCACTCACACACGTACAACACACAAGACCCTGCTGCCACCCTCCAATTGTCGGATCCGTCGAGTAAAAGACGCGGGGGGAATCCAAGAGAGCGCAGCTGCACTAGAGCTAGGGATCACTCCTTTTTATGCCCCGGACATCAGCATAGCCCAAAGGGCAGAGGCCTTCCAGGGAAATTGGCCCCATATCTCCCCAGATACCCACATGGGGAACGAGCTGCCCTAGACAAGACCGAGGGTAGGCCTTGGCCCGCACATGTGATGATCTATTTCTCTCTCAATTCTCCATCGCGCCGCTAGTACGGACCGGGAGCAATCCATAATATGGGCATGATGTCAACGCGCCATTTGAGATTTTGCGCCAAAGCAAGATAGGGCTTGGTGGCGGACATGGATTATGAGTTTTCCCCTCTCGGACAGTATATGCTCTTGTAAGCTATGCCCGTTGCAACGTTGGGTGTAATCACGGAGTTCTTGGAGAGATCAGCGTCACAAAAAGCTCTGAATGGGCTATTGTCCACTAGTCTCAAGCCCGGTGCTTGCTAGGCTCAACTAGTCGCCGGGGTAGTGAAAACCCGGGGATGTATGGCTTGAGGCCTTCTTTGTTTTCCAAGCCAACCGCTGTAGATGAGGGAGCCGAACACATCATTGAGGTCGATTTCCCAGAGCATACTGCTCAACAGACGAACTCCTGTCGTCTAGGCGAAAGGCCGACGTGACAGCCCGCAAGGCAAACAATGGCACGGGTAAGGTTGCAGGGGTAGCTGCACCAATCTAACTAGATGGGGTTGATCAAGCAAGTTAGCGCGAGCAGGAGTGGATGATGGTTGCGGGGGTAAGATTTTCGACTGAGGGAGGACGCACTAGGCCAGATAGTGCGCGGCGTAGACTCGTAGCTCGAGTGCTAGCTTCAGGATAGGAGGTTGAAAGTGGGAAGTTGAGTCTATATGCAGCAAGACTAATGACGGGGCGGAGGCGCCAGCCGCCTCCATGGGGAAGGAACGTCCTTTCCATCAGTGCGTTCTTTCGTTCCTTCCCTGAGAACAGCTGGCGCATCAGGTGCTTCCATGTTCACGCCAGACTTCTCTCCCTCTCTTTCTTTCTTGTCCAGCTTCAATTTGCACACACACACACACACACACACAGTGTCTACAAGTTACAAGCCCAGGTAGGCGTACTCACATGTGCTGCCTATGTCTGGACAACATGAATTATTTCTCGCTGTGACCTGTGACCGCATCTGTGCTTGCTCTCGCTGCATCTCGCCATTTGATCAAGTGGAGGTGCCGGAGCATATTGGCCTATTGAAAAACAAATGGCTGCAAAAAAGGCCCATGGCATCTTGCTTTTGGCCACTAAAAGCCATCTCAAGGTGGGGTAGCCACGCTGATCGTTACCAGACCTTTCCCATTTTCGGCATTTTCGTCTGTTCTTTTCGTCCCTCGAGGTCCTGAATTCGGCACAACATGTGAACTTGCGCTGCAACCATGGTGGAGTCGGCTTAAATCAGCTCGAGGTTCAAGGCATCTAGGCGTGCAGGATGCAGCCACTTATCATGGGCAGGAACTTCTAGGTGACATGCTACATCGGGCCAGCCGGGACACAGCCTTAAAAGAAGGGCATTGTTAACTGCCAACTGCCAAACTGCCAATGGCCAATAAGCCAGCAATGGTTGCGACAAACCTAAGCATAATTGAAGTTTTGCGCATTGGCTGGGCTGTTTGATTTTCTCGTCGACGTCAACGAATTTCGTACCCAGTATCGAATTTTGCACAATTGTGATAGCCTTAATAGCCTCACAGGCGGCTGGGCATTGAACTGCTGTAGACGGAAATTAATACGCCTACATATGCCAGCGACGCCTTATCTAGCCAAGCTCTATACTTTCAATCATCGCTGCATGAACGATAATGACATCAACTGGTACTCTCTACACATCCGAAGGGGTTTGTAGGCATATAGATGCCGTCCCATGTATTGCATTTGCATGAATGAGAAACGTCAAGCTAGGGGCTCATCAAGCCGGAACCGGCCATACCCCGGGCTACAGCAGCGTGACAGCTGAATGTAACGATAAGGTTGATAAGATTGGTGACAGGTCATGTATATTTCTATCTATCTTTGCTTTTGTATGAAGGCGAGTAAGCTAGAACCCAAAAGCCGGGTTCCAGGTACTCCGCATAGTATGTGTTACAGCTCACATGATTCACAGGGGAATTGAGTTTTGAAGGGTTGGCATAACTGAGCACGGGAACAGCTCAGCTCACGGCATAACTGCCGTGCTAGGCAAGATTTGCCCATGCCAGAATGCGCATATCCACGGTGTCACCGTCAGTATCGAATGAATTATTACCGCGTTGGACAGTGCTGGGTGCAATATGGGGAGGTACGGACTCCGGATTGCCGCACGGAAGATAGAGGATGCCCTGCATGGCATAACGACGTTGCAGCTTCTAATGAATGTGTAGTACGGACTATTGTCTAGTTGCAATCTGACCAACTTGAAACTGTCGATGAGGAAGTCTTGTCCAGATCGATCGCCTAGCTAAAAGATGGCTTGCAATACGTACTTATTGCAAACTTGGGACTGCTGCATACAGAGCCTTCCAGTGACCAGCAGTAATGTCAACAACCCGTTGGAAGCTATGACTCGCTATGGGACAGCGCATTTGACTTTTCCCTAACTCTAGGATATCCCGCCCCCGCTATTTACCTGGGAAAGTTATGATGATTATATCCCAATCAAGCTATGTCCTCCGGGTGAGAAGACTGAGACGCTTGGTAAAAATTATGCAATCATAAAAAATAACGGATATGAAGTATGACTAGTCACATACTGTGCCGTACATACATGTACTGTGCAGCTGATGGACATGTGTGAAGAGGTACCTTTCTTTTCTACCGAGGTTAAGTGGCCATGCAGATTAGATTAGCTAAGTACATGGCTAGGAACTTAGTGTTGCCCAATTAAGAACCCGGGGGGGGCAGAAAGTTACGAGTACTGAATTATTCTGATGGCATTGGCAATTTAGAGCGTTAGCTAATGATACAAGGGCATCAATGAGGGTCTCTATATACACCAAACTTCAGGAAACGAGATATCGAACCCTACCGTCCTAAACAAGTAATTTTTCGTATGCTATTCGATACTACGAAACGAAGTCACTACAAGAACGTAATAATGAAAAAATTCCCTTCCAAAGTATAATTCCAACATCTAACTGGTATAGCCCATATGCCCCAGGTCTAAAAAACTATCTATGTATCTATACATGATCTAACTCTCACTGCATCACTTCGTACCACGTATCAAGATTTTGCTCCAGAACAAACAAACAAAATTACTCGGCATGCTCTTGCTCGGCATCAATATCTTCTACCTGGTTCTTGTCCACTTTCTGGTGGTGCGCCTGCGCCTGCGCCTCACGGATAATAGCCAAGTCATCGAAGTCCTTCCTCGTGCTCAGCTTCACAACCTGTCGAAGGCTCGACTGGCTCGCGAACATAAAGTCAATCTGCTCCAGCGTCTTGCCAGCTGTTTCCGGATACCAGAAATAGACCACGAATATAGTAGCCCAGTTGAGAATGCAGAACACAATGTAGAGCTTCCAGCCAATGTTTTGAATGCCGACAGGCGTGATTTCGACGATCAAGAAAGTGATGAGCCATTGCCATACGACGGATAGGGCTGAGCCGGTCTGTCGGAGTCGGAGAGGGAGGATTTCACTAGGATAAGCCCACATGTTGGACATCCAGCCCCAGGTAAAGAAGGCCTAAATAAGTAGGAAAAGGTTAGTAAAAAGAATATACCCGCTGATGAGGTTGATACGTTGGGGGTGGGCGGTGTACATACCTGGAACATGTAGAGTACAACTACGGTGCCTATGCCATTGTCATGGCCACCAGCCATGATGGTCAGGCCGGAGATAAGCATACAGGCGCCCATACCCAAACTACCGATGAGGAACAATCTTCGGCGTCCGAAACTATTGGGGATAAACCTAATAAAAAAAAAAGGAAAGTCAGCACCACGATTTCCAGGCAGGAGAACAGTGGGGAGAAATACCAAGGAATGATAGACGCAACAAGGAACCATAGCTGAAGACCGCCAGATAACAACAAAGATTGATGAGAGTTCAGGCCAACACTATTCACCATAACGTACGGAGCATAGTACGTGATGATATTTGTACCCGAAAACTCCTGAAGAGCTTGACATGAGCAGGCAATAGCAACTCGCTGCCAGCCCATGACGCCACCATCACGGAAGCAGTCCTTCCAGCTGCCAGCCTCTTCTTCTTCTAAAGCAATGGCATCTTTGATATCGTTGATTTCGGCACGGATATGCTCGTCTTCGGGGGTTCCATCTCTGAGAAGGCAAATGATTTCAAGTGCTTCTTGTTCTCTCTTGTGGCTCGCGAGCCATCGAGGACTCTCTGTTCTTTAATCAGCCAATAATCCATATGCATATATATATATATATATATATATGGTTTATTCTCACCAGGAAGCATTAGACACATAATAACCATTATGATTGCAAACACAATCTGGAAAGCAATAGGAAACCTCCACTGGAAGTCATTCGCGTACAAACTGCATCCATAGTCGGTCCAGTAAGCCACAACAATACCAACAATAAGAAACGAAAGCTCAATCGCCATAGCCCTTGCCCGCAGATGCGCTGGAGTAGTCTCGCACTGCCAAATGGGAACGGCAGACGTGATACAACCCATGCCGAATCCAGTCACAATTCTGCCCACAATCATCTGCGCGCGGCCGTACGAAGAACACTGTATCACGGTGCCCACAATGACCCAGGCAGCTCCACAAACGGTCAACATGCGCCGGCCTAGCCCTTCTCCCCAAAACATAGATGCCAAAGCTCCTACAAGGCAACCAAGTTCGTAGACTGCGACGATGAAACCGAGAAGGGTGGTGTTTGGGTTGCCCATTGCGTCGAGAAATACCTTGTCGGTTGTGAGGCCCGAGAAGACTCCATTGTCATATCCTGGATTGCCCAATTAGCTGGCAGATCCTACTAGAATATGAGTTTTGTTTTGCACGCACCAAAGAGCAAAAAACCAGTCGAACAGGCGGCGGTGATGGCTATCACGAGGGGCATGCCCCGGAGGCCTAAGTAGGGAGCCATTCTTGTCAGTAATGTCTGCAATTCAAGACCCCGGAGTAAACGAGAAGAAGTCTGAGTCCTTATGTAGAAGCTCTCTTAACCTCTTACGTAGTTTCTCTCCGAAACCACCCGGAGAAAGAGAGGGAAAACGCAGACCATATCGGGCCGGGGGGAGATATCTATAATCGACTATGAAACTCAAAGGTCTGCCCCCGCGTCCAGCGGTGTAGGAGAGCACACACGACGTACTACACTTGCGAAAGCTGGTCAAGATAGCCGACTCCACAGAAATCCCCAGCGAGCAAACTGTGGGGGCCCGTGGGGGTTCCCGGAGAGAATTTGGGGGGAGCTCGGAGAATGTCCGAGCAGCTTATTTTTGCATCCCGGCAAATCCTCCGAGACTGTTTTTTCTCTTCGGAATTATCGAATTGTATAACCTCAACCACCTTTGCTAATTACTGTCCTTCATGCAACTGCCTATGTAAAGAGTGGAACAGCATCATATCAACACAACCAGCTTCTTCGCACTGACTCCTTTCGCCAACAAATCAACGCCCTGCTGCACTTCCTCCAATCCCTTCCCTACCACCTCACACGGAGGCGCATACTTGATGCTATTCTGCGCCATGGCGTTCTTGAGCCATGCCCAAATTGCAACCGGAAAGCCGTTGCTCTTGACATCCGGGACGAAGTTGGTCACAACTGTCACTCCTCTCGATGCCTTTGCCTCTGCACCCGGAGCTACTGACGATACCAGCTTCTGCACAGAAATGGTGGTAGTCGTACTAATCTTGTCCAGAATCTCACACAATGAATCCAAAACAGAGTCGCTGGTAATAGCGCTGAATGCCCCTACTACCTCTTTGCCGCTACCCTCCACGTATTTCACGATTTGATCCACCACAGTAGCATCACTATGATCAAAACATGCCGTTGCCCCCAGACTCTTGACAAGCTCATGATTCCTTTGACTAGCTATCCCGATCACTTCGTACCCGGCTTGAACAGCCATTTGCACCCCACAGGCGCCCACGCTGCTACTAGCGCCCCAGACCAGGAGTGTCTTATGCTGCTTTGCAGCACCTGTCCGTGGCAGATCAAGCGCAAGAGTCTTATCCGAAAACAAACAACTAGACGCCGTATCCATCCCCAACGGAAACACAACCGCATCCTGGAACGCGACGTGCGCCGGAATCTTCGCAATATGGGGCGCCTGCAGGACGACATACTCCTGAAACCCAGAGCAACAATACTTGCCATCGCGTATAGTAAGACAGAAAGCTGCGCCCGTCACACGATCGCCGACTTGGTATGTATCCGATAAGGAAGGGTCGACCTCGACGACTTCGCCAGCAACGTCACAGCCGACAATGGCTGGGTATTTCTCGAGCAGAATCCCGAGCTTTTGGACTGCCACATCAGCTGGGTTCAGGGCAATTGCTTTGGTTTTGATGACGAGTTCATTGGCGATTGGGGAGGTGTAAGGTGCTGGTTTCACTTCGTTGACAGGTGATTGTTTGGCTGTGAGCCACGAGGCGCGGTTTTGGAAAGTCATTTTGTCAAGTTATTGGAGAGCGACTTATACTTGTCAAGTGTGTAATTATGGATGTTTTTAATATTCTTTTTTTTTTTCCTGTTTCGCTGGACAAACCATGGCTTCTTATACCTGGGTCACTCACTATTGAGTGCTACATAGTTACTTGATATAGACACTTATTAATCACCTTAACACCGCTATCCCCGGTAAACACCGTATTCGCCGTCTATGAAAAGAAAGGGTATATGCATTATTTTGATATTCTGGCTCGACAAGAAGGGTCGTTGAGCTCGAAATGGGCCCATCATGATAGTTGATTGTGATTCCTGATAGGTCGGTTTATATAAAAGTGGGTATCAGTATAAGCGCTTTACCCTTTGCAGCGATACGAGATGGATAGAGCGATACGAACGTTTGGTGTTTTCCAGGCTTATGCGAGTTATTGGTGATATTATTGGAAAAGAATCACTGGGAGGCATATGACTTGCTGCTAGTGTCTCAATTCTCTATTCGTAAGATATGGTTCCTCTTTTTCGGCCTTGGGTTTTGCCCTCCGAAATGTACTCGCGACCCGAATTAGGTAATTTTTTGGATCTATGTAGCATCACGAGACTGTAGATTTCTGAGAATAGTTATTGATGCTACGTTTTGATTTGGAAGGCGAGGACCGTGCTCATCTCACCCCGATATACTCAGGATCAATCAGTACCATAACCCCCCTCTTTGCCAGCACTTTTCCGTGCCTCTGCAATGAGCCTAGAATTCTCCTTCTGCATCCTACCCACGATATCAAGCCACTTTTCGCGCTCCTCTCGGAGCTCACGCATCTCTTGTCGCAGAGAAGCATTCTCCTTACGCAAACTGTCCATTTCAGATCGCGAGCGCGACTTCTCTGCTCGTCCTGCGGCTTTGCGTTGATGTGCTTCGAGTTTTTTGTTAGCTTTGGTCTGACGCGCTTCTATCTTGTTCAGGCGCGATATCAGCTTAGACTCGGTCCGTAAAAGGGATTCTGTTCGTTTCTGATTTTGTGCTGCTATTGCTTGTTGTGTGGCTGCGGAGAAGGTGGCGTTGGCGTTCGCATTGTTGACACTAGTACTACTTTTTTCTTTTCCTTCATTTTTGAGGTTGTTGTTATTGAAAGGTTCGCCACTTCGGTGAATGATGTCCAGATCATTTTTGCCATTGCTTGCTGTGAGCCCTCCCAGTTCGCAAATTTCAGATCGGACGCTCGCTAGCTTGACCTGAGCCTCATTCTTACGGGCATTCAACTTGGCTAATTCCTTCTCTTTGCTTGATAGTTTCCTCTTGGTTCCACCAGTAGCGTCATTCAAGGCTGGTGTCACCCCGAGAGCAGCTTCCGAAGCCATTGCACTAGCGGACTGAGATTGATCCTGGCCATCATATACTTGAGGTGTTGAGGCGGAGGAAGAGACATGGGAATCAGCACTAGTGAAGCTATCGTCACTAGCCAGTGAGGACGTATCGTTTGCCTCATCTATTTGTAGTTTTCTCGTCTCTTCTGCTTCTCCAAATTCATCATCGTCGGGTTCGCTTTTCGATTCCTTCGTCGAGACCCCTATGTTGTCTGAGTTGTCTTCTTTGCCCCAGTCCTGGGACGGACTCAAAGAACCAGGTATGTAATTTAGCACTGCTTTTGGAGCATATTCATGCAGTCCTGTATGCACCATCTTAGTCACATTGGACCATATATTGCTATTTTCTTGCTGCTCATCCTCAACATTATTGCCATCGTCTTCCACTCCGTCCAGAGACTGATCTAAATGTTTAGCACCCTTGATGCCGGTGTCCACAGCATCAGGCTGCTGATCTGCCACGATTATCCCATCTTTGCTTGACAGTCTTGACAGTCTTGACAATCGCCGGTTATTGCCCGCACTCTCAGTCATTTCGGTCAATTCGCCAATATCGGCCGTGTCCGCTCCCTCTCCCAGCAAGTCTGGCTTTGAAGCCCAATTCAGGAATTTGACAGTATCCCCAGTAATACTTTTGGGTGTGCCGCGCTCAACCAACCACTTCGGGACGCTGCCTCCAGGGTCACTTCTGGTAATCATGATCCATTCTACCGGATTAGGGGCATCTTCATCGACCTCTTCGTCCCCAGTGGTTAGCATAGATGTTGTTGGCTTTTGTTTTGTGCTCTTCTCTATTGGTAATTCCCTGATCAGCTCGACAGACTCGTACTGGCCGCGAATATAATTGTCCTGCGGCGGTGCGTTGGGATGTTCGCACGGTTTGGACACAATTATATACGTAGGTGGTAAAGGAGGATCGTCGTTAGTTTCATCACTCAGCATCTTTATGTCTGATGTAATCATCAACGTGACAAAGTCACGGGGAGTAGTCGGGCCCGGAAATTGGACTGATTGCTGATAAACCTCGATAGTAGCCAGTAGTTCATTATTGTCATCAATGCCATCATCATCGCCGTTATCATTGTTATTATCATAACCATGATTACCCGCTTGCGACTGTCCCCGAATATCAATCTTCTCCAACTTCCTATCCCCCCCAATTCCTCGAATCGACATCTCCGGTGTCCGACCTTGCCTAATTTCCTCCTGTCGAGCCCTCAGACTCTCCTCCATTTCAGCCTGCATCTTGCCCTTCCACCTACTAAACGGGAGGCCCTTATGGACGCTCCGGCGCGCAAACCATGCGCCTTTCCCATCCTTGCCGCCGAGCTTGTAGACGGGAACATTCAATGGATTCTCCTTGGCGTTGTTCATTTTTAAGGGCTTGCCCCATTCTTTCCGTAGCGAGTCAAGCCGCGATTGGGATAACAGTAATAGACTGCCATTACCGTTGCCATTGCCATGGATTTCATTGGTACTAGACTTGGGCTTTTTCGTGATCGACGCCGCGCTGGTGCCGATATCACTGAGCGACGCACTCGAAGGGTTTTGTTCGGGAACGGTTTCGACGATAAGTCTCGCCTTGTTGAGTATTTCTCGGGCGTATTTGTGCAACTCCGTCGAAGAAGAGGCCCTAGGGACTTCGGCCCAGGGTGTGGGCTTCAGGTACGAGAGGGCTTCGTGGAGCTCTGCCATGCTAAATTTGTCTCTGTAAACATAAATAACCATTGTTTGTTTCTTCGAGAAGAAACACCGTCGAAGGGTATATCTATGGATGCGTAGGTAGAACTCACAGGAAATTCAAGATATAATCAAGTTGCACTATTCAGCAGGGTATCATGCATTCAGGAGCTATACAGAATGATCAACAGCAACAATAGATAGCAAATGCAACAATGCAATGAATCAATTCGAGTATACGTCGAGGTAGAGGCAGAGAAAGAGGTGTTCGTTGTAGTTCGTCCAGATTCTTGGCAGCATCTACCCGGCGACGTCATCGATACAGAACCCACCTGCACTGCAGCCTTGCCAAATACGGAAATAAAGCATAAACCATCGGCATCAATACTTATAATAACTTAGCTACTACTTACGACTCCGCTTTTACTCCCCAGCCAGGCGGTATAAAGTTATATACGTGAACTACAGTCTTTTCGCAAGCCTCCAGTCTCAGTTCGGTGTCGGTGCAAAGCCGCATCCGACAAAAGACCGAGTCCGAGAACATGCTATCTTGTAGTAATGACAGCGAAAGGCGCCTTTTTTTTCACCCAAAGTACATTCTGAATCGCAAAGTGCATACAAATTTGCTTAACAGAGGTATGGATAAATAGAAGAAAAAATCATCACAGCAGAAAGAGAAGAAGAAAGAAAGAAAAGAGAAGAAAACCTGCTTTCTGAATGTCGTACGATCCACAAGAGAACACAAACGTAGCGGAAAAACATACGATCTCGGTGATTGATGTTATTTTTTTGTTTCAATGTAGATAAATAAATTGTTCTCGAGTTTGACCAGGTGCCAGCCTGGGGCAGGGAGTCAATCCCATGAAAAAAGCCGCGGAGGGACGATAGCTGAGAGAAAGAGGGAGTAGGTTGGAATATACAGTCGCGGACTATGTATATTTCATTTTCCTTTCCCTTCCTTCAAAGCCATCCCCGTACCTCTTGTATGATTTACACGTAGGTATGTTTCCGCAGACATAAAATGCGGCCGAGGTTGCCTGCAATCCTCGAAAAACCGCGCTGTCACATATCCGCCATGATTTCTTTTTCACCAATCTTTTTAATAAAAAAGATTGCCAGTCCAATAGCCAGTATCGGAATGAAAAAAAGCAAGAGAGAGAAAACGCGGAAGATGGTGACGATTGGTCAAGATGGTCCAAGCCATTCATGCCAAAATCCCAAAATCGACCGAAAAAAGATAGGCGTAAGCGACAGCAGAATTGAAAGACATAGAGACATGCAGTCGTATCAAGCCGCGAGGCTAACAGAGTCTTTCATGGTCAAATCAAATCCTTCATCAAAACCTCCTCCAGGGGAGTGTTAAGGATATCATGTATGTAGAGAAAAAAAAAAGAAAAAAGAGAAAAAGGTACAAGTTCCAGATAGCCGACCCGCCGGTTCTTATGCAAATGAGGAATGAAAAACGAAAATTCAAACGCTTGCTGAAGACAGGGCACACAGGCCCGCAAAAATATCAAAAATATCAAAAATGGGGGAACAAAACATCGTCAAAAGCATGCAGAAGCGGAACGGGTCAACGCTAACGCCGTCATTATGCCTTCAGAAATGCCGATTGCTGATGCCTGCATGAAACTTTTTTTGTCCGTTCTCTCGTTTTTCTTATCTAGACTGGAGACAGCTACATGGTTGTGCCATAGGACAAAGCAGGGAAGCCTTGGTAGCGATCGTTATACCCAAAGCCCATCGATGCCGCCGTGCCGCATTGTTGCATTAGCATGCTAGGAAGCGACAGTGAGGAGAGCGCAGCCATATTAACCGGCACCGGTGCGTCATAGTACTGGGGCGCATCGTAAGGGGCAGTTGTATACGGCTGGCTGAAAGAGGGAGCTGGAGAAGGCAATTGGTGGGTTTCTTGCATCGGCATCACCGTCCACATGTTCGGAGTGGTGTCGCAGTTAGAGACAGGACTGGGGCTTGATGGGATCACCTTCCAGCCCTCTACGCCCACTGGCATGACTGGCTGTTGCACAGGGCTTGACCACCATTCTTCGGCAACAGTCGAGCTGGGCAGGAGAGGCGCGCGAATCACATCGATGACCCGTGGAGGCGGAGGTGGAAGTAAAGAGACAAACAGATTGAGAATGGCAGCCTTAGCATCTTCGCTCCGGCCGCCCAACAGCTCGCCGGCGCCATCTTCTTCCAATCCTTCCAGAGCCTGGACCTTGGTGCGGTAGATGAACTTGTTGGCGGACTGCACGAATTCCTCCTGCAGCTTCTTGAGTTGAGAATCTTTATCGGGCCAATCCCACGTACTCGCGGCCGAGTCCACGGAGAAGATTTCCTTGTGGAAGTCAACGAGGGATTCGATGGTCTCCGGGGTCAGCTTAAAGGCAACCTCATTCTGCGACACCATGTCCACATGCACCACATAAGCCTCCACATGAATCATTTGATAGTTGAACATGGCATCGACGAACGGGTTCTCGTCCTTGCGGAGTTCGGATTCGGGAGCCTTGGGGAACATGAGCGAGCAGAGAGTCCAGATGGCGTTGGCCGATGAGAGGGTTTCGGTCAGGCATCGTGTATGTTGCGCCACATTATTCAATGGTCTCTTAACTCGGTTGACCCTCTTCAGTGTTGCGGTGAGCCATGGCTCGACTTTGGAGAGCACGACAGTTGGGTTTCCACGGGGGGCAAATGCTGCCGCGGAGGCGGGCAGCAAAGCTATAGGCATTATTATTGATAATTAAAGACGTCGGTAAGACTTGCTTGTTTGCTTTGATGATGACGATGATGGAAATTGAATTATAAAAGCGACATTCACACACTCCAGGTGTTGTGATGTTGTCTTCCCTAGCACGAATATTTCCTTATTTAGATGCTGTGAGCGAAGCGCGTTTTAAGATTAAGAACGTAGATGCATAGAATATAATGAGAGGACGTCAAATAAATTATGATCAACAAAAGTGACGAAGAAAAGAGAAAGAAAAAGGTAGTTGGGTGTGTTGGGGGAGGAGGAAGGGAAAAGACGAGCATCCAGAAGAGGCAAGACGGGGTATACACATACTATATACCTACACTATTCTACAGACACAAATACTCGCACGGCGTAGCCGACTGTACTACGCAGAAAAAATAAGTGGAGAGGGGGAGGCAAAGATCCGCCGTTTTTGAAATTTGCAGTCGTATTGTGGTATGTTAGCTGCATAACAGAGTTAATCCGTATGGCCTGAGCTGTGGAGGGTGCGATCGCCTGCAGTTACATTTGCCTGGTTTTTTTTTCCCCTTCTTCTGCAGCCAGTCGTACAGGCATAAAAATAACTTGCCCTAATTTACGGCCGACATGCAAGTCAGCCTTAGCGCGTATGCGTACGGTAATTTCGCGTTTTGTACGAAGCAAGTATTGGATGTTATAGTTCTGTATTTCTCTACACAAATTGAGAATAGATGCCAAACGAGCAGATAAAAATGCAAAATCCGAGACACTGGGTGCAGCCGATGACGACAAATGCATAACTCGCTCCTGAAAAATCTCCTATTTTGAGGCTGTGGGTTGGGAACATGCAATCAAAACCGTGGATGGCGATGGAGATGGGCGCTTATACCAGCAACGGCACTCGTCGAACGTCTGGTTTGAAACAATTTAAATGGAGCAGATGTCGCACACCTGAGCAGAGGGGTCGGGCATAAAAATAGATTTCTGCTTCAGATGGCCTGGCCGTAAATACAGTCTGTCCAGGCAGTACGGATGGAATGATCGACCGAGAGACCCTTGCCATAGTCGACATATCAGGGTACCACAGAGCATACAAGCGTTTTGCAGACACTGCCACAGTATTAATCACATGTTATCATGCTAATGCCATAATCTGAAGAAGCTTATGGATCGGTTTTATATACACGTGCTCGATTCCCACGAGCGTATGAATGCGGGACGTACTTCCAATCGCGGTGACTACTAAGTAAGTACAAACGTAACTGATCCAGGGGACTCTACTACAATAACCGGCCAGTCTCCAACTAGCCCAACGTCCAAGACTATTAGTAGAATCAGAGTCGAAGTTGGTTGTTTCTTTTTTTTCCCCTTTCCCTATGTATCCGGGACGGGCCGTGCCACTTGACAATGTACGTACGATACAAGACGGAGGGTCTCCTCTTCAGTAACAAATACCCGATTCGGAATTTAGTCTCTCAACCAGAATTAACTCTTTATAATAATAGAACCTTGCAGTGGTCATGGAAATTACACATCATGTGTTCCACCAAGAACCTCCGTCAATGCCGATAGAGTACAGAAAATGCCCGTGCTACAAACACATGCCAGCTGAGATGGCCCTCTATCGCCTTTCAATTGGGCAGGCCTCTCAGCGTCCGTCCGCAATAGCCTTGCCCTAATCGACGCCACCGGCGCTTCCATCCCTGCCTGGGGCCCGCAATTGGCCGCCGCTAAAAAACGCGGTCTGCTCTACTGGCGCTTTGTTATTTTTGTCAGCCAATTGCTGCTGTTATTTATCGTGCAGTAGCTCTGTCGACCAGAAGGACTCTGCAGTACGGTAAAGGGTAGGAATGAGAGCGCGACGGAGAATTTGTCCTGTTCTTAACAGCGCTTTCTTTCCGGATTGAGGTTAATTATTAATAGAAATAAGTTACTTAACTACTTGCCTAGCTAGTTCTAGTTAGGTAGTAGAGTACTTATTGTATGCATTCTTGTGACGTCAGTCGTTACTGTTCAGTGTTCAATGTTCAGCCATGCATGGATGCCAGTTGGCAGACTGCGCCACGCGTGGCGGTCTCCCGCGCACAAGTTTGAGTAGAAAGGCAGGACAGAATGATAGGAGGAGGAAGAACTAGCTACGGCAATCCCATACTACTGGATAAGTCCTGATATTGGAAATCTATGCAACTATAAATGGTCATCTATAATTTGGAATAGAAAATCCAAGCATGTATCAATGGTTTTTCAACCCTCAGAAGCCATTCCTCTGAAGGCTCATTACGGTCTACCCATTCTGCTCATAATACTAGCTTATAAGGATGCTGGTTGACATATACTGCCCTGGTTGGGTATAGGAGTTACTGGATGGTCATTTTGACGTGAAGCTTTTGTTCGCCGTTTCACTGCTCTTCTGTCTCGTCATGTACAATCATTATGAATGCCGATATAGTTAATTATATGCGGCGAGATGAGAAATAGATAAATCTAGTATACCTGTCGAGTCAAGTGTTCGATCTAATTGGCCAGACGACTCCCGATTTCGGGCCGTATTCTTATCCGCCAATTTATCAGCAAAACAATACACAACGACGACCATATCTTGTTAGATATTAAAGGAGAAAATAGAACAAGAAAATAAAAAAACAAAACGAAAACAAAATGGGCGTATTCTACGAAACCATCCCCCACAGCCTCTTCAACTGGATCCTAGCCCAGAAAGTCTTCTGGGTAGCCACCGCACCCTTAACCGGCAGCGGTCATGTCAACGTCTCACCCAAGGGCGGACCCGACTTTTTCGGCATTCTTGACGAAAAGACGTTCTGGTACCTAGACATGACCGGGTCCGGGAGCGAGACAATCAGCCACATCTACGAGCCAGGCAATGGACGCATCACAATCATGTTCAATGCCTTCGAGGGCGGGCCGCGTATTGTGCGTCTATGGGGCAAGGGGCGGGTGTTGGAGAATGGCCGGCCCGAGTTTGCGCAGTTTGTGGAAAGGAATTCTGTTAAAATGGTGCCTGGGGCCAGGTCGATTATTCTCGTGGATATACATCAGGTTGGGTCTTCGTGTGGCTTTTCGGTGCCACTTTATGAGTTTAGGGATTTCCGCACCACCCTTGCCGACTACCATGTGAAGAAAGAGAAGAAGTATAAGGCTGGAAATGAGAAAGAGAGTCTTCCAAGGTTATTCTTTCATCTTTTGCTCTCGTTTTAATGGGTCAATTCACCTATGCTGACATCTCAACTAGATATTGGGCATCGAAGAATACATGGAGTATCGACGGTCTCCCCTCCATGAAAATCGCACAGGAAGTAAGTCACGACGAGAAAATAGTCCCATTGAAAAAGATGGTCGGCCCGTTGGCAATCAATTATGGCGTACCAGAGTATCCAATGGGAAGTGCGAGTCATTATCTTCAAAACAAACAGTTTTCGCTGCTCTACGTACTGCTTGTGGCTTTGCTGAGCTTTGCATTGGGCGTTAGTATCCATCTGCCGCTGCGTTTTGCTGGTGAATGGTCATGGTTGGGTCCAAGATACTACTTTCAGGGTGGGAGTCTTGGGGCGCAGCCATGATGAGCCATGGATTTCAATGTAATTTGTTTTTTAGGCACATAAGGGTATCAGCATGGTTTCTGTTCCTGTTTTTTAATTTCACTATATAAATATAGTGATATATTGTACAGAGCATCACACAACCAGATGGCACCTTGTTATCGGAACCTAATAAGTAGACTTGCTTGTCCAAAACTTTATGAACATGTAATATGCAAAATCCCGTGTCCATGATCATCACACCTCGGTTGTCTGCGAGTCGTAGTCCCCGGATGAAAGCATCTATCCAATCAGAAATGCAGGTATCGAGACGCGCGGAGAAGGCTGTCCTTCTCGTGGTATTTGCATCTGATGCAACAAGTCCTTGTGCCTCCACCACAAGTAGTATTCGAAACAAGGATATCCTTGCATTTGATGGACGCCATCACGGTCGTTAATTCGTTATAGAATCATATTTCGAAGGAAAGAAAAAAAAAAGGGCAAATAGGCCGCACTAATCCTGTACCTATTTACCCCGCAAGACCTGTCAGTTCATATCCAGTACGAAATTCCGCGCAGTCAAGCGGTGAAAAAAGGAAACACTTACCTCCGGCGGATTCCCTGCGCCTCGTATCATCTTCTCAATCATCATTGCCCGCACTTTCTCTTTTGGCTCACCCATTCCAATCGCCATGTAGCCGAGTAAAGGGGGGTGTCCGATATACGAAGCGTAGCTGTCGCGAACAATGTTTGAGGTCCATTCGTACTTGGTCGTGTCGGCGTGTCCAGTACCGACGTAGCGGACTTGAAGGGCCTCGAGGTTTTGGAGAGTGCGGAGTTTGTCGGCCATTTTATTGTGTCTTTTCCCTTTTGCCCACAAAGAAATGAATTTGTTTGTTTGGCTTTTAGTTGGTCTCGATGCATGGAAAGGGAAACGAAACAGGGAGGAAGGTGATTGATTATTTCCGACTGAGTCACGTGCCACGTCAGTTTTCCGAAACGCTTATTGGCTGGATCTATCATGCATATTCTATGAATATAGGATCTACGTATAGGTAAACAGAGACGCCCAAAGAAAAAGGCTAAGTTTGCTTGTCTACAATATCTTACTAAACAAAATGAAGACTTTAAATGACTTTACACTGCCTCACACTTTCCGTCAGATGTTAACCATGTCTATTTTTTCCCCCCTTCTTGATTCTTTCTTTCTTATATACAATGTGTAGACTCATTTGAAAGTATTCCCTGTTCTTTTAGTTTCAAGACGACGATGAACTTCTATTCTCTCAACTGGATATCCGAAGCTGCATCCGGTTGCCCTAAGGCAGGTACCTGGAAGCGCATGCCAACGCTTTACAGAGATGAGACTGGGTCTTGACCTTTCCTTCCGCCTGCTTTTCTTTACGATACAAATATTCAAACGCTAGTATCCATTCCTGCCTGCCCTGCTTGACCTGATCACCTAGAATTCAAGCAAAGTCAAACAAACTACGTACCAGAGAAGATCCCAAATCGGCGTCTGCAGTCATTTGATTAAACTAAAATTCGCCATATCTATCTACATCGTCACAAGTTCTATTTCTAGTAGCTTGCTCCTTTTACATAGTTGTATATGTTATATAATGAGGGAAAGGAGGAAAACTGACTACAGCTTAGCGAACTCTGCCCCGATTTGGTTGAGTATAGCCGCATGATCCTTGCTGTAAGTGTCGCCATCTCGGGCAATCACTTCACACACCCAAGGGCCACGGGGATTAAACGAAGCCTTGAAAGGTAGAGCCCGCATGACCAGGCCGTATGTGCATGCAACAGGGTCAATGATGGTGGGCTCGCCCGTCTCCTCAGACAGGCCGGCCTTGATGTCGAATGACCATATTAGCTGGGCGACAACGATCCAGATGACATTGCGGGCGAAGTACCGCCCAGGGCAGGTCCGCCTTCCATAGCCGAAGACAGCAGGGGGGAGCTTTTTGAATGTCTTGCCGTCCTCTTCGAGCCAGCGATCCGGTATGAAATCGTCGGGATCTGGACCGAACAAGGCCTCTTCCCGGGAGATTGTCCAAACATTGGGCACAATAACAGATCCCTTCGGAATGGTATATCCCTTGTAGGTAGCCTCCTCCTTATTCAAGTGAGGAACACCCTCAGGGCCAGCGGGCCGCCAACGGAACAACTCTTCGACAATGGCAGCGATGTAGGGCAGATTAGGCTTGTCATCTGGGGATGGGAGTCGGTCGCGCCCGACAACGGCATCCAGCTCCTTGCGTGCCTTGGCCACGAAGCCCTGGTCTTGTGTGATGCAAGCCACCACAAACCAGATCAAGCTGTCTGTAGTGCCGTCCAGCGCGGCGTCGATCATGGTGCCAAGCTCAAATGCCAGCTCGTTTAAGGGCATGTCGAGGCCATCCTTTTCAACGGTCTCTTTGAGATGCTTCGATATATTCCAGGCGCTCGACTCCAGACCCCGCCGAAGGTTTTTGCCGCGCAGGTCATACTTGGTCGTGTAGTGAGTTTCAGCCTTTGCCTGCCATGGGGCTAAGAAGCCGGGCAGATTATTGAGGACAGGGAACTGGTCAACAATGTGCGCGCCAACCTGGGTGAATTCGGAAAATTCGTCGTTGAGTTTAACAACGGCGCGAAGCACCGGGTCGTTGTAGTCTTTGACGCGGAAGCCATACAGCAACGTATGGATGATGCTAGCGGTTGTGCGCTGGACATATCCTTGAACATTAGCGCCAGCACCACCTGCATTCACCAGGAGATCGTGCATCAACTGCCGTGATTCCAGAGCCTGGAAGGGGAGATAGGCAGCTGCCGGCGTCGCGTTCAACACTGAGACCTGTAGCCTCTGATGCTGTCGGAATTGCTCGGTGTAATTCATCATGAGGATGTTGAGTCCTTTCAGGGCCAACTCCGCCGCCAACTGTCGTTCGCATCAGCTCATGTCGCACGTACCAGCAAGGTCGTTAGAAACTTACGAAAAGACGAGGTCGGTCTGAAAATATGGCTCCACGCTTTGCCAGGAGGTCGTGGGCAACTTCAGACGTAGACAAGATGATGACGGGCTGTCCAAGCATATTGACGTGAACAATAGGCCCATACTTCTTACTCCATTCGCGATACGTCCGCCACCCGTGGGACTTGGGAGCTTGATGAACATTGCCAATTATCGGCAAAGGCTTGGGGCCTGGCGGCACCGGCAGAGACGAGGTTGGTTTACTCCGCGAGGCGAGATACACGCCTATCAGCAGCCCGACTATGGCTATATATGTTGCTAGATGCATGGTGCTTGAAACCGGAAGACTAAACAACCAGATCTAGATGTTGGGGGAGAAAAGTTTGAACAAGGCATGAAAGGTGGTAAGTAGAGAGATTCAAAATCATCTTATACTCCTGGACCCGTAGGCGCGAGCAAGGCTTGAACACGTTCAAAGTGGGGTGTGTCCTGGTTATTGAGTATTATTTTTAGATGCTTGCTGCAGTTCAAGGCTGAGTTCAGCGTGGTTTTCTTGACTAGATTTTAGGCTAACACCAACCATTGTCCTTAGTTGTCATTGGCTGTGTTGAGGAATGATACTACGGGTGATTAAACTAGGATATCCAACAGTAATCAATAACACAACTAACTAAGATAGAAGAGATCCCTCAAAGGATTATCGTACTTCAAGTATTGACCCTCTTGGTATATAACCAAGTAACTTATATTAAAGAACTAAATACATAATCGTAATCAAGCGTGCTTTTATATCCAATCCTCCAGGTTCTAGATATTATATATTATATATCTTACGTTAAAGCATGCAGGGGGTTGATTCATAACATTTAATATAAATTCAATATAACAGGGCTAGTGGGTTTAAGCTAGTTGTTTATAATTACAGAAAATTAGATCTGAAATGCGAAGACTTCATACTAGTTAGTCTAAATTGGGCTGTCACAAATCATGCTGAGCTGCAAGTACAATTGTCTGTTTCAGAATCCGACTTGTTGTATACGATATCGATCAACTGCTGAACCAGCAAATCGTATTTCTGAGGTGGAGCGTAACGAGTGATCAGAGCAAAATGGCTGAGTCGTAGAAGTTCTTATCAACAGCAATTTTGAAAGAGACTTGAGATCCAATATTCAATACCCTGTTGACCAGATAATTGAGACTTATGTAAGTTCCCTCGACAGGGCTTATTGCGGCCATAAAGTTTCCAGGCACACATGTACCTTCTAGGTTGCCATACGCCTTTCCGTTCCTCAAGATTCATTTCTGTATCTTGCGCATGGAGAGCAATAGAGTGAGCAAAGGCCTGAAATATTGGCTCAAGTGAGCTAAAATACTTCAGTCTTCTTTTGCAAGGACGCTTTACTCTGAGCGTTGCCTGGTCGATAGTCCAAACCTTGAGCGCACAGAACATTTTATTCAGTTATATTTGTCGTAGAAGCTCCAAGTAATGAAATCGCAAGGGGGAGGAGGATCTGAAAGCCTTCGTGGGGATGTTAAAACAATGGCCCACTGAGCCGGTATGGATTATTGTAATCCAGTTCAAATTCGCACTGGAAGTGCTGCAACAATCTGAGACGAACTTAGCCTTCATATGGTTTTCTGATGAGCTTCAAGATATCAGCATACCTGTTCACTGGAATGAAGTAGTCGCTGGCATATTAATGCAACGCATTTTTCCATGATGTCCCCCCCTCCTCAAAGAGCTCTCGACTCATGCTCAGGAGCCATGTTGTACAGCTCTTTATTGACTTCGTGGGCTGTCTGATATGTTCTCGATTGAGTGACAGTCGCTTCGTCCTTCTTGTAAGATGCTTCGGAGCTTATATTAGCAATGAGCGTATGTGTGGTAGAAGATGATGAAGAAGAATGATGGGAATGCCCGTGATGAAAGTGCTGCTCTGGAAATCTCGCGATAGTATAGAAGATTTCCCCATCTTCATTCGAAGTGCCCCCCCCCCTTTTCTTCGTGGGCTGCTGTCTTTCAGCCTTCTCGTCACAATTCGCGTCTTGCACTTCTTCTACTCTATGAAGTGAGGAAAGAGGTTTGTCCAGAGTTTAAGTCTTAGAGGAAAGGTGTGACACTTCACTGTCACAAAAATAGGCTTGTCAGACACAGAATACCTTCGTCGCCGCAATGAATTACATTTTCATGGGGAATGCCAAAACCCACGGAATTTCCCGCCAGTGTAGATGTTGGCTTCGAATATGTAAGAGGAAAAATGAGCATCGTGGGCCTCGCCGCCTCAGGCAGCGATCAGGTGACTGAGAGCGTTTTGCCCGCTCAAGATCCAACCACGAGAAAGCTCGTGTATAAAGATTTCATTGCCTTTCGCCTCGTACTCGGCATTATTGTGTACAGCTGGCATCTGCGATGGAGGGGGAGAAGAATACTATCCCTCTCCAAACTCGCATCGCAGCGCTCGTCCATGCCCACTTTGACGCTCTGCCTGCACGTTACAAACCATATACTCGCAACGATGGCTCTAAAGAATGGATTCCCATGAGCGGGTTTGTTGCTGTGCGAGGTGAGTAATTATTTTTTTTTTTCCGCCTGAAGAATGGGATTGATGATTGGAAATATTCTAGCTGTGCAGCTTTGTTCTTGACACTCGAGTAGCTGACTAGAGCAAAGGACAGAATACTCCTGCAGAATCACTAACATGCATTTCCCTGGCGTATGTGAGCAATCCAGTCCCCGCTTTCTGTTGTGATTTTCAAATTGACTTCTTTCTAGGACCGGAGCGAGATGTCTCGCAGCGTCTCAAATCCCCAAATGTCATGGACTGGTCCTTCATGACTGCCACGCTGAAGTGCTAGCCATTCGTGCTTTAAATTACTGGCTCATCAATGAATGCTTGTCTGTCCTAAAGCCCGAGCAGCAAGACTTTGAGAAAAGACCATTTGTTAGAAGACGAGTGGAGAATGAATTGCACAATGCCAGCCCTCCTTTCGAAATATGTCCAGATATCAATATCTATATGTATTCGACTTGTGCTCCATGTGGCGATGCCAGTATGGAGCTTTGTATGGCCGAACAAGAGGATTCTACACCTTGGGTTGTTCCACCTGCGCCAGCGCCAGCGCCGACAGATGACGAGACAAATGATGAAACTAAAGAAAAAGACCAACAACAAATCCTCCTGGATGGTAGAGCATACTTTTCAGTCCTCGGTGTTGTCCGTCGCAAACCATCCCGAGCAGATGCCGAACGTACCCTGAGCAAATCCTGTTCGGATAAGCTGGCACTTCGACAGGTGATTTCGTTGCTTTCGTATCCGGCGAGCATTCTCATTGAGCCCACGAGTAGTGCATACATTACTGCGCTCATACTGCCAGAGGAGGAAATATCTCAGGCAGGATGTGCTAGAGCATTTGGGGGTGGCCCAACGGGCCGAATGAAAGATCTAGTCGGCCGTGTTCTACCACCACCACAAACTGCTGCATCACCAAACACTCAACTGGAATATCGCTTCCGACCTTTTGAAATTATGTCTGTTCCAATGGACACAGTAAAGGTTAGGTGGCCATATGGGAAATACAGATCAGACAATACTGCGAATAAGACGAAGAAGGCCAGCAATAAGCCTTCAAATCTCTCCGCTGTATGGATTGCGTCGGCTTCATCTCTCAACCCATATCAAGTCTGCTATGATGTTCCGACTGCCGAATATAAACCACGAGTAAGTCCGCAGTCCACGGCAGTCCTTGAATGTATCACTGGCGGCATAAAACAAGGAGGCCAGCTGAAATCGATGACTTTGCGAGGGGCATCTGTTCTTTCGAGAGTCAAAATGTGGAATCTACTTCACGAGGTTATTGCGCACGTCACCGGTGAAGAAGGAAAGATTGAATCAAGTAGCTATGCTGAATTCAAATGGAATTTTCCTTGGCTAGTTGCCAGATCACTGGCCATGGACGAGGCGAAGCATGTGCTTAGTCCATGGATTCCTAATTCCGGAGATGAAACTTGGTGCAGAGAGGAAGTTCTAGCTCTAGCACAGGAGAAAAAGAAAAAGAATTGATCCATATTGAAATCCACAGTACGAGATAAGATTTAACTACGTGTGCCAGATTTTGTCTTCATTTATGCTGACCAATTAGACAGGCCTTGTAGTTAAGCAACTTACATAGTTAGTAGTAAGTACTGACTACTAAGAGCGAAAATGAAAGCTAGTTCCGTGCATGCCTGACTATTTGCTATAAGAGCGAAGACCATATATGTGAGCTTCCAGCAATATATTCTGTTCATAGATACCCGTGAGTTTCCTCCAATTTTTGCCTTCTTTCACACAGTCAGTCTCTCAGCTATACGGCAGCAATGGAACAGCAAATGGAATATGTCAAGTATGATCAATATTCCCGAGTCATATTGAGCTGTGGCGTAAATACATAATAGAAGCCGTTCAATCAAGTTGTTGAAGACTAAGGGCCTACAACGACAGCATCCATCCATCAGAGGAGGTTGGTAGTATGATGTTTTACCGCGTGTGATATATATATATATATATATATATCTGTCTAACATTTGATTGAGATGAAAGAAATTATACAATCGATTATTGAGTACTGAGCTAGTGACTGTAGAGCAGTATTAACTTGAATGCTTGATACTACTGTATAGCTAGTTGACTCCCTACGGATAAGGAGTAATTGCTGCCTTAGGCATGCAATATTTTTTGAGGTGACGTCCAGCCTGAGCCTCAGGTATTCATTCCGCATCCGCAACTTTTCTCTTTTTTCTCTTTTTCTCTCTTTATGACTTGACCGGTTCGCGGACATTCCACTCAGTCTTAATTTCCCTCCATTAATGTTCAGCATATCATCGAAATATGCGGCGAGCTCTATACGACCCTACATAGGACCCTTGTCCGGAAGGCGACTTGCAGTTGTGTCAAATCATTGCTCCAACTTCTCGTCGTCCGCCGAAGGCGACAACAATTTTGTTGATAACAATTTACAAGAAAACGATCGCAGAACTTCTCCTGACTCAACTCTCCCGGCTAATGACCAAGATGACGAACATCGAGTACAGCGTCGATCCCGAAAGACACTCACCGTCGAATCCCTAGGCAAACCTGGAAAAATCCTTGTTCTTCCGCATACGAAACGCAGAAAACTGAGAATTGTACAGCAAAGGATTAAGGGAAAATTAAACGAAGCTTCCACAAAAGAAGACGTTTCGTTTCTACCTGTTGATGAATTCGCTGGGAAGGACAAAAACGCAGCAGCTGGCGTCAGCTATACGGCTCTTCTCGATGAAATACGCTCGACACATTCACCCGGCGACATAATTTCGACAGAAGAATGGGGAAAGCTCCGAAACAAGATAAAGCAGGGGTTTACACAGGGACAGCTGTCGAAATATGCCTCGCGCTTTTCGCAATCCTCTCTTCCATTACCGAAGCATGAACATGACACTGGCATCAGTGACCAGAATGGGGATGGTAAATGGTCTCCCTACAAGGCGGCATTAGGAAATATCGATATTGCACCAAGGAAGACCTCCAAAGCTCTAAGGACCGGCGATAAATATAGCAGGGCGCAAATTGGGAAAGAGATATATGCAGAGCGCATCCTTCGGGACTGTTGGCAACTTGAGATGGTTGATACCGTTGGGCAGCTGAGCATAACAATTCCATCACAAGTCATGTCTTTGATCCTCTCGTCGCATGGGTCTTGGATTAATTTGATGTCGGAGTCATATGGCGTGAAAATCAAGGTAGATGAATCATCGGATTTGATCCGCGTTCATGGTACTCGACGCGCCTGTGAATCAGTGCGAGAAAGCGTGAAGACATATTTTTCAACCATCTGTACCGAGTCAATAGATCTGCCATTTCTCAAGAAACTTCGGGCGGATAAAGATGATAAAACACGAACAAATATCCTTCAATGGATAGGAAAGACGTATGGCACATTCATACGAGATCAGGGTCGGAGTTCAATGGCTTCGATGTCATATTTTGAAGACAATAAGAGCAAATTCAACAAAGCTCGGCGACAGTTGGAATTCGCGAACTTCATAACAGCGGCAAAACCAGTGCCTTTTTGTTCCTACGTTCCGTCATCTACTGCCGGTTCTATGAAAGTCATCTCGCCCAAGCGTGTTGCAGTCTTGTCCCAGCTTGACAGAGAAAAATTATGGTCAAGATGGGCTATACCATTTATACGCGGGGACTTTGTCAGAGATTCTGCACCGCCGTTGTTTAGCGAATATTCTCCCAATCTTTCTTCCGAGATATTGCAAGTCTTGAGAGAAGATACTTCTCATTCGCACCAACCAGACGTCGAGGAAAAATTGACGGCAGCAGTTGGTCAATGTCTCTTTGAGACACGCACCGAAGATGGCGTGACAGCTCTTAGTGCCAGCCAATTAGGAGAACTATCTGTACCTCGTCTCTGGCATGGATGGCTTCCCAAAGCTCGAACCTTTGTAGAACTTCTTCGAAAATTTCCAGGGGAGAAAAGATTCGGTAACTCGCATCAATTCAGAATGATTCCGTGCAACCAGAACAACTATACCTTGCCTATTCTTGAAGTGGAACTTTCTTACCCTTGGACCAAAAACGAACCGGACAGGATCCCGTTTAACGAAGCCGAGCTAAAGAGCGTCAAAGCGGTCGTGGAGGAGAACAGTGTTGATTATCTCCTTCCTGAGTGCAATCACGACCTTCGCTTCACACGAACGCTCACTCGAAATATTCTTGGAGCACCTGAACATGAAGCTATTGATACATTGCGCATGGCAATTCTGAATCCCCTCGAGGAAATGATAAATCAACCGCAGATGCCATTCCCGCTTACCTGTGAAGTGCCAATTCCGAGATCTTTGCTGCTTTGTGACAGCTCGGTAGAAGGAGCTCAAGGTGCCTCCTCAAACACTATTGAGACCAAGCCTGATGCGGATACCATAGTAGGAAAATACTGGTTTCCTAGTGCGCAGAGCTTTTTGGGAACCTTGTTCCGCTCCTATGACTTTATGGGAGAGAAGCTGAGTTTTTGCCATACCGATGGTGGATTTCTAGGTGTGCAGAGAGATGATCACATCAGCCTTCAGATGCTTGTCAACAAGGAGGCGAACTTATCTTTACCACCCATACCTCCCAATGTCCAAGACGGAAACACAAACCCTGCAGAGACCCCATTGGAGCAGGAGTTTCGCTCTTTCTACCGCACATCGTGTCAATTGGCATTTTCCTTAAGTCAATATTCGAGGAAAAGAAAATATTAACGCGAGATACGCAACCTTCCATTTTTCTGGTTTCATATCAACTGTATTATAAAATATCGATTCATTTGTACACTATCTTCATTCCTCCATTGAGATCAAATGAAATGAAGGGTTGGTTTCCATGCCGCGACAAGCAACCTATCTATGTATAAACAACATTCTCAAAGTCTTTCACAGCCCTTCGATATCCATGTTCCCATTCCCATGCCGAAGAGCTATCTAGACGTCCACACTCGACAATGCGTTTCAGAATCCACAGTTCCAGAGCTCCAATCTTATCTCCTCCACCCACTGCTGGCTGGTGGTTTGTTTTGGTATTATTTGGCATGGTGATGCTATTTGCCCTAGCGGAAAAGAAGTCCATGGCGTCCCTGAAACCGAGGTCCCAGCCACTCTCATAGTTGTTGTTTGGCACTCTTTTCTCACGCCAGTATTCCACATGCTGGGAGACTGCGGTGGCTTTAAGCTGGTCTTTTTGGGAACTGGCTTGCTGTGACCTTGCTTGAGTATCCCCAAGGGAGAAAGTCAGACTGCGTGGGGCTGTCAAAGCGCCAGTATTGACTTGTTTCTTGAAGCCCCAATCGCCTCCATCAATCCAGTCCATTTTGAAGGTCCAAAAAGCCGAGCCACAGGTGACATTCTGCCATTTCTCAGTCTGGGCACGGCCAAATGCTTGTGTTAAGGCTGGACGGTCTGCGCTGTTGACTTTGTCCCATGTCTTCGTGTCCATTGTACAGCTATACTCGCCGATATAGACTTCAACAGCTGTCTTGCTAGCTGAAATATTGCCCTGGTTTTTTACAACATCTGCTAGGGAAGTATTTACTCGGTCTATGATCTGCTGAGGTGTCTGGGAATGATCTTTAGTGGCAAAGGTATAATATTTGTGCGTGTCAACGATGACAGGGTTGGAGGGCGTTTGTGAAGCAGAATTCTTCTTCAGGGCGTAGTTCATGCCCTTGGAAAGATCCCAGCAATCGCCGATGTATACGGGCAGCGATGGATCGATGGCGCTGATCATAGGCAGGACCTCGTCATACCATTTGAACACGGCGGAGCTGGCGGCCCGAGAGGGTTCGTTACAGAGCTCAATACCAATGACATTGGACATTTGAAGAGCGACAATCTCATGTACGACGAATTTCACGCATTCCTTTGCAAGGCTGAGGTAATGTGTGGACGTCCAGAGCTCAGCTTTCCCGCTGTTTGTTCCGCTGTGTGCATCTTTATTGGCGCCGCCTGGCAGGGCATGGAGGTCTATGAGCACCCCGATACCTCTATCATAACAATCGTGAATCACTTTCTTTACTGCGCTCCAGGCGTTTACATACACCTGCGCTGCGTCTCCTTCAAAGACTGTTCCCGCGCAGAAGTCGGGCCCGAGGGTGAAATGGCCGATTGGCAAACGTATCGAGTTGCACTTTGCGGTCTCTAGCAACCAGAGAAAATCGGTCTCGCTAAGGGCTGAATGCCAATGACGTTCCCATTTCTGGCGTGTGGCTTGGAGGCCAATATTGTTCAAGGACCTGGCATATAGCAATATATATATGGTTGGTCATTTACAGAATACATACTTCCTTTGTGATAGTCAAAAAAAAAGTGCCAGGAATCATACTGCGTAACAGCCGCCAGTTCACTCGACCCTGTGGCATGTTTCTCATACATGCTTCGATGCAACCATTTCTCAAGAACGAAGATGGATCCCAGATTTGTGCCGTGTTGATAGCGGTAACGAAAAATGTCGGCTACGGTCGGGGGGCCGGGGTCTTTGGGTGTTGAGTCCATTGTTTTTGGATGCTCTGGACCTGACTTGTGTCTGAATCTTTGGAGGAAGTTGCTCTTCATTGTTTACTGTGGGTTGGGTGCGACTAGCATATATCTAGGGCATACATGGGTATATACTCGAGCAGGTTGTTCCGCGATGACGCTTTGGCACGTGACCCCCCGCCCACGGCACGATGCTAGATTGATGCTACGCATGCCCCAGTTGTCAATCTCTCTGGCTACGGGCCATCATGCTGGCATTGTTCCCCCCTAATCCGCATTTGTTAACGGCGATTTGTTCGCAGTCGGTCTTACACCACTCGCCGTGACTCAACAGTCGCGACTTTACACGCAGTCCGCTCAACGTCTTCGTAGGTGATGGTAGCACCCTCAGACTCAGTCGCGCCGGTGAAAGCAACATGCTATTGCGGCGCTGTGACTATCTAGACTCCTGGCAGGCCTCGCGAAATCAATGAGTGCCAGTGTACAATCTGTCGGCGCTACGCGGCCGCTTGGGCATACTATGATCCGGAGGAGATTAGGATTTCCGTCACAGGCAGCTCACCGACCAAGAATACGTTTGGGGCGACCGCGACCTCGAATTCCACTTTTGCTCGGTTTGCGGGTGTGTGACTCACTGAAAGTCAATCCAAGAAAGCCGCGAAATGGGCCTCAATACAAGGATGATGGATCCCGAGGAAGTCAAGACAGTGAGTCGCAGAATCAACTACGAGAATCTATCGGCACCCTTGAGGTCAAAAGAGACAGCACATGTCGAAGACAAAGCCCAATATCTATTTAGCCCTACCAAATCGTGATCTGCTGCGAAAAGGTCGCCCGACGAGTGAGGAAAGGCGGAGGCCCAGGCGTATGAGCGTCTTTGGGCGTAGCGCGCATGAGAGCGTCCAAAAAGAAATAAGAACATCCAACAGCCTCACAGACAATCTTGACGATTGCAGACTTATACTCTACCAGCCGAGCCCCCTTGGATTTTTCCAAATTGTTGTTTAGAATTTGTCATAACAATGTAGTCTAGCTTGAGAAGTGGGTAATATGATCTCTTGGGTTGTCAATGATTGACTAGGATCGATTCCCTTTGATTTGAAAAAAAATAGAATAAATAATCCATCAGCATGTTGCTACTGTCATACATATTCGTGCAGAAAGATGGGTTAGGGCATAGTGAATGTTTCGCAACTTGCTGTAAGGCATCATTCAGGTATGATCGCTCACGTGGTCTGTGCGCGGGATCTGACGTAGCGAGAGGAACCCGCAGGCATTGGTTCCCACAGGCTTCACCTCGATACCCTCTATGATATACAGTGCACTACCCTCTCTTTCTTCCTTGCATTCACAGATATTGTACAGCTTTTCGTGGTTGCTGTCTCCCAGCGTGAAACAACATGTGGATTCAGTAATCGCCGGATAGCATGGATAGGACACGAGTGGCCAAGGTAAGTTAGTCCAGGGCAACATGCCACATTACTATCGTCTGCTGATTCCTCATCCTCTAATTAAAGGTTGAAGATGTCACCCTAGCACGAAGGGGTGAGCAAGTGACAGGGACTCTTCATTTGACGCCGCATCACCTCATCTTCTCTCATACCCCGCCTGTGTCTGAGGAAGCCATCGCTGCAGGAACCCCCATCCGGCCCAGGGAACTATGGATTACATACCCTATTATAGCCTTCTGCACGCTCCGCACAGCCCCGACAGTTTCGAGACAGTTATCTTCGATTCGTCTACGGTGCCGAGACTTCACCTTCGTATGCTTCTACTTCGCGAGTGAGACCAAGGCGCGCGACGTGTACGAAACGTTGAAACTGTGGACTTGCAAAATTGGACGGATCGAGAAATTATACGCTTTCACCTATCAGCCTCCACCTCCCGAGCAAGGGTTGAATGGGTGGGCGTTGTACGATCCTCGCAAGGAATGGCGCCGACAGGGCGTGGGAATTGAGGGTAGCAATGCTGGCTGGCGCATATCGAATATAAACGCTGACTATAGTGTATGGTTTTGCCTTTGTTTTTTTTTTTTTTTTTCTTTCTTGCGGTCGTGCGTGAAATCGTTGTAAAAGGTGCTGACAATCTATTTATGTGTAGTTTTCTCCCACTTATCCCGAAGTACTCGTTGTTCCGTCTACTATATCCGACAACACTCTCAATTACGCGGGAAGATACCGCTCAAGAGCCCGGATTCCGGCGCTTACATATCTCCATCCCGTGAACAATTGCTCAATCACCAGGAGCTCGCAGCCATTAGTCGGGGTGCGTCAAAATCGAAGTATTCAGGATGAGAAGTTATTAGCGGCGATCTTTACCACCTCTCAAGCAGAGAGACCATTGGTTGGGTTTACACCTCCTAATCTTGAACCAGAATCCACCAATTCAAGCTGGGAAGAGAATCCTTCAGGTCACCAAGACTATGAACTGACGAATGCGGAGGAACTGGAGGATGAGGTAGTTTCCACTGCCCGTGGAGATCAACAGGAGAGACCATCGGTGTACGGAGCTCAGCAGCGCAATCTCATCGTCGATGCTCGACCAACAGTCAACGCTTTCGCAATGCAAGCGGTGGGGCTTGGGTCCGAAAATATGGACAATTATAAGTTTGCAACTAAAGCTTATCTGGGCATTGACAATATTCACGTGATGAGAGATTCCTTGAACAAGGTGGTGGAAGCGTTGAAGGAATCCGATGTCACCCCATTAGGGCCTAGCAGGGAATTACTTGCGAAAAGCAATTGGTTAAAGTATATCTCGGTAATACTGGAGGGCGCTAGTCTGATTGCTCGCCAGGTCGGGATTCAGCATTCTCATGTTCTCATTCATTGTTCAGATGGGTGGGATCGTACGAGTCAGCTCAGCGCACTCAGTCAGATTTGTCTGGATCCCTATTATCGTACTATGGAAGGCTTCATGGTGCTAGTTGAGAAAGACTGGCTCTCGTTCGGGCACATGTTTCGTCATCGAGCAGGTCTCTTGAACAGCGAAAAGTGGTTTCAGATTGAGAATGAAAGAATAGGTGGTGGTGACACAAACCGATCCTTTGGCGAATCTAGCGAACCCAGAAAAGCCCTAGAAAACGCCTTTCTCAGCGCGAAGAACTTCTTCAACCGCGACAACACTAGCCGAGACTCTCTTGTTGACTCGGATGGCGAGTTACCAAGCCATGATAGTGACAGTCCATTGCGGAAACCGAGCTCAATGCCCCGGTCCGCAGTCAGCGAGAAGGAAACAACCAAAGTCAAGGAAACCAGTCCCGTCTTCCATCAATTTCTTGACGCGACATACCAGCTTCTTCACCAGTATCCGAACCGGTTCGAATTCAACGAGCGCTTCCTACGCAGACTTCTGTACCATCTTTATTCGTGCCAATACGGGACTTTCCTCTTTAACAGTGAAAAGGAGCGGGTGGATTCCAACGCAAAGTCTAGAACGCGGAGCGTTTGGGATTATTTCATGGCTCGCAGGGAGCAGTTCACGAACCTAAATTATGATCCTTTGGTCGATGACAAGCAGCCTGCACATGAACGACTCCTTTTTCCTCGTTTGAATGAAGTCCGCTGGTGGAGCGAAGCGTTTGGGCGGACCGATGCCGAGATGAACGGGTCAAGATCGACTTCAATGACGACTTTCCCTCGGTCCGGCCAAAACACTCGGGGAAGCAGCCCTATACTCACGGGCGTCGAGACTACCGATACCACTATCGGCGAAGTGCCTCCCAGTAAGTCACTGTCAGTCGGGGTTGCCAGTCTCACGGCGGACCTCTCAAACTTGAATATGCCGAGATTCCAAAGCAGCGCCGAGAGTAGCCGCAAAAAAGAGGTGGAACTCGAGATGCAATAAGTGTGAATGTGTTTGTGTGTGTGTGTAACGCGATTACAAGTCCATATGCTAGAACTTAGCCCAGAGCATGCATGTTGTCAACATAAACGATCCAATGATTATATACAAACGGCGCTAGTCTGTTTCTAGAATAGAGCTCTATTTCCGGCTAGCGTCGGCACTGTGGGCCGGCAGCAGGGCCCGGCAGCCAATCAGCGCGCGCGGCACAAGCGAGACAAACCCCAAGCCCTATCCCAAAAATTCCCCCACTAAACCTGGAATAAATCAAGGGCCCGACCGGGAATCTCTACACAAAATCCTCGGAGTCAAATCTCGTTTAAAACCACCCAACACCCAACCCACCAACCCTCCCGGCCCCGATCCTCTCTCGACCGATCGACAGATTCTGCAATCATGGCTGCTACCCAGGGAGCTATCTCCAAGCGTCGCAAGTTCGTCGCCGACGGTGTTTTCTACGCCGAATTGAACGAGTTCTTCCAGCGCGAGCTTGCTGAGGAGGGTTACTCTGGTGTCGAGGTCCGCGTCACTCCCACTGTGACCGATATCAGTACGTTTGCCCACCTGCTCTTGATTCAGAAGGTTTTAGGACGGAATGGAAGGGATGATTGTGGGATTGCATTGGGCTGAAGGCGTCAAACCTTGGGGGAAAAAAATGAGGATGAGGAAGGGCTAGGAAAGAAATTGAATGCTGATGGGATATTTCTTCTACAGTCATCCGTGCCACCCACACCCAAGAGGTTCTTGGTGAGCAAGGTCGCCGCATCCGTGAGCTCACCTCCCTCATTCAGAAGCGCTTCAAGTTCCCCGAGAACTCGGTCTCCCTCTACGCCGCCAAGGTCCAGAACCGTGGTCTCTCCGCCGTCGCTCAGTGCGAGTCTCTCCGCTACAAGCTCCTGAACGGTCTTGCTGTCCGACGAGCCTGCTATGGTGTCCTCCGTTTCATCATGGAGAGCGGTGCCAAGGGTTGCGAGGTTGTCGTTTCTGGCAAGCTCCGTGCTGCCCGTGCCAAGTCCATGAAGTTCACTGTACGTGTCTTTCCTTTTCCTACAACTTAGGTGGAAGGAAAACGTTCAAATGGAGGATGGTTTGGGAATTGATAGACTGACATCCAATGTCCAGGACGGTTTCATGATCCACTCCGGTCAACCCGCCAAAGAATTCATTGACAGCGCCACTCGTCACGTCCTCCTCCGTCAAGGTGTCCTCGGTATCAAGGTTAAGATCATGCGCGGCTCCGACCCCGAGGGCAAGTCTGGTCCTCAGAAGAACCTCCCCGACGCCGTCACCATCATCGAGCCCAAGGAAGAGCAACCCGTTCTCCAGCCCGTCAGCCAGGACTACGGTGCCAAGGCTCTTGCTGCCCAGCAACTCGCCGAGCAGCAACGATTGGCAGAGCAGCAGGAGGCTGAAGGACAGGAGGGTGCTCCAGCGGAATACGCCCAGGAGTAAATTTATTAGTAATTTTCTTTTGGTGTTTCATATTTCCGCTGTGTTTTTTTTTCTCTATTATAAATTTCTCTGTCACGAAACCATCTTCGTCATGTTCTCCAAAAAAGAAAGAGAGCCATTGCATGTCGTATCATGTCTATTTTCCCTTATTACCTCACCCTCAATATCGACATAACTAACACCTAAATCTCTCATACCTCTCCATTTTCTATATCCTTAGAGAGAGAAAAAAAAAGTTTGAGAAAAATGACATGAATGACCATCAATTTCTCATGGATGTTGACAAGTAATGAAAGTGCATTGACTCTAGATTTGATAAGAAATGGATTACAATTTGGTAGAGCCATGTATTAGACCTGCTATACGGCATAACATTATAGCTCCTCGACATTCAAATTTCTACATAAATAGAAGTTAAAACACCATTTTCATCTATACACTCTTTTGTTTGTAAAATTTTGGAGTTCGACAGTCACTGAAAACCCTGTCCCCTTCACTGAGAATCGCACCCTACAGGAACGCCTCGATATTCAATTCCAGAGTGCTAACGGGGTATTTAAGGCCGAAGTTTTCCAAGACAGTAGGGTGCAGGATACCGAATGCACCGATGACTTGTTCCTTACCGCCGATGCTGACATGAACTGCAGCGGCGTGTCCCGGGAAATAAGTGGGCTCTGTAAGATTAGAATAATATAACGTCAGAAATTTGCACCGTATTCGCATAACCAACAATATAACGAAAAAAAATTACTTACCATCCAATTCTTCAATCCAGTAACGAGAGTCGTTCACAGCAGCGTTATCCAAGCCCTCCTCGCCCGTGATGAATGCGCTCTTCAACATCGCCAGCACACGATCTAATAGACCGTGCACGACTTCGAAGCCGCTAGTCTTGCCGTACCAGGCTGCAGCAAAGTGTCTTTCATTGCGGCTCTTGCGCTCGAGAGACAGATCCTTGAAGGCAACATCACTGACCTCAAAGATCTTCATGGGTACAGGGTGGTTCCTGTTCTCCCTGATGGTTTTCAACAGGCCGGGAAGTAAGCTGGTACGCACCACTTGGAACTCGAGCGTCTTTGGGTTGGCAAGTTTGACTGCAGTGTTGCCGTCATCCTTGCGATTAAGCCAAGCAAAATTCTCGTCGTGAGAACACAGAATCAAGGGTAGTACTTCAGACCAGCCAGCCATTGCTGCCTCTATGCGGACAATATCCGAAAGTTTGTTGACTGGTAGAGGCTGTGCGATTGTACCCGACTTGCTCGGGAAACTGCGTGGAAGCTCGTTGAACCCATATGCAATAGCAACGTCCTCCATGATGTCCACTTGATGTAGAACATCGGCCCTAGTTGGAGGAACATCGACATCAATGAGATTGCTAGATGCCTTAGATGGTCGAGCAGTGTATGCCATTTTCACTAGCAAACGAGATATCTCCTCGGCGGAAAGATTCAGATCGCAACATTGATTGATGTATGAAATTTCCGCCTGTGTAGTACGCGGTGAAAGATCTGGAGTTATCCTCGTTTCACCATTGTGTTCTGAAACGATTTGAACGGGCTCAATCCTGCAGAACCTAGTTAGAAAATTCTGATTGAACTTCGGTGGGCAATATAACTTACGTGAAAGGCTCAGACGTGTACTGGGAGAACATCGTAACCATGATTTGGTTGACAATCTCCAACTTTGTCCTGTCAAGGGCAGTGATCTCGATGAAGACATTCTTCGTGTCCACTTTGATTTTCGAATGGTCGCCATTGATGATCGGTGGTAAAGAGCAGACAACGCGATTTGAGTCATAGATCACCGGGTAGACGGGAGAATCCCGGATAATATGGAGATATCTGCCAAGGTGCTTATCTTTCTGCAGGTAGTGGAAAAAGGTATGTTAGAGACTAATGATCACGCACAGTTTTTGGAGAAGAAAAGAACCATACCTCGTAAAACGCCATGAGTTCTTCGCCATTCAGTTCCTTGGTCTGGTTCAGGGGCACAAATCGAATCTCCTTCGGCGGGAGAGCTTCGTAAGTGAACGGGCCTTTAATGGTGTCCATGTCATGTGTACCGATAGATACAAGTGTACGCTGGCGGGCAAGGTTCTGGTGCAACTTGTCTTGTAGGGCAATGAAAGACTCATATCGCTCTTTGGTGAAGGTGACGTTTCTCAGGATAGCGCCGGAGACGTAAGGCCTGATTTTCGTTGTCTGTCACAATGTCAGATTTGCCCCTTTTTCTAGTAGAGGAGATCATTTGCTCACGTCTTCCTTAACGATGATCTTCTCTAACTCTCCGCTTGCCGGTGGCACTAATCGGTAATTGGGCGATGGTTTGCGACCCAGGAAAATGTTGAGCATCAACGCAATTCCCTCGAAGCAAAGAAGATCGTATCTAAGGTGCTATCAGCATAAACATCGCGTACTTGTATCGCCACAGACGCACCTGTTGGCAGGTATTTCGATCTTGAGTTGCGGGGGTTCATTGTCGGGCCGTTCTTGATCGGTGGTCTTGAATATATATGTCAACGAGACTGCAATCAACACAGACAATTCGGGGGAGATTTTACATCTTCGTCAAGCTCGATGCCTTAGTCAAATGGAAAAAAAAAATTGTCAGCTGCGATCTCTTCACCAGTCCCGGAGGATGTCAAGTCATACCGAATTCAAAGCATAGCTCGTCAAATTCCTCCGTAGTGTAGCTAGCGACAGAAACGCGTCAGCAGATATAAGGTGATACAGATGCCCGGTCTACACACTCTCGGCCCAGCTCTTTGAAAAGAGCAGCTTTGTCCACCGAAATGGTCGGCATGTTTTATACGGGAAGGTGGGATGGCAGTGTGAGTAATCGTCTTGTGCTTCAGTGTCGTCGACAGGAGATGCCCGGCCGAGTCAGTGGTCAGTTGCAAGCGCTCGCGCAGGGTTCTATTTGCCGACTGACGGGGGTTTGCAGGCAGCGCACAGTGAGGGCGAATGGGCGATGACACAGAAGATAGAAGATTGATTGATTGGTATGAAATGTAAATGTTGGGTTAGTGAGCGCACCAGCCACACAGCGACCCCTCGTCAAAAAGAGGAAAAAGCCGCGCACTAGCCCCTCACCAGCCACAGGCCATCATGGCAGCCAAACAGCCTGGAGCTCGTTGCCATCATAATACTCCTACTACATAGACCGCTCCCTTCGACCTCTTTGCTGCTCTTGCTTCACGCCCCGCTGCCCTCCGTCGGACACGTTCAGATCGTGAGTTCAGTGCTCAATCCTGCCTCCTCCAGGTGTGTACTCTGTGGTCTGCTCAGCCCGCCCAAGAAACCACCACACACGGGCAGAATATCTTGCTGGTGCTTCCTCAACCCCACGAGACCCCCGTCCCCCCCCGAAGCCTCTTCCTGCTCTCCACCAGTCTCAGTCTCAGCCTCAGCCCCCCTGTCACAACTCTGAAAGGCGTTCCTAATTGTTTCTGTGTGCTTCTAGTGTGACGCTCACCAGCGCCCATGATAGGCTTGTTGCACGTTGTTCATTTTGTTTGACTACGACTGGGTTGACACGCAAACACACACTCGCCACTCCGCCCCCCCCAGTGTCAACATCGGTGGATTTGCTCCTCTCATATCTAATTGTCTTACCTCGTGCTGCTGGCGTCCTTCACAATATCAAACACGATGGATTCACAAGCCGAAAGCGACGAGCTCTACCCAATTGCCGTCCTTATTGATGAGCTGAAGGTACGTTCTTATTCCGTCGTGGCATTGCGAATATTCTACTCGGGAGCTCACGCTTGGGACTGTTCTTACTAGCACGACGATGTTCTTCTCCGTTTAAATGCGATCCACCGTCTGTCAACAATTGCCCTGGCTCTTGGCCCTGAGAGAACGCGGGACGAGCTCATCCCGTTTCTAGACGGTGAGTGCCAAAAAATGAACATACACGCCCCGCACCATGAAGCTGGCTAGTTTTCTAATCGCACGTGTTTTTCCTTAGACTCTGTTGAAGATGAAGACGAGGTTTTGACCGCACTTAGCGAGGAATTGGGCAATTTTGTCGAATATGTCGGAGGTCCAGAATATGGGCACGTGCTTCTTTCTCCTCTCGAAAATCTCGCAGCGATCGAAGAACCTCTGGTTCGAGAGAAGGTAATAACTCCTGGATTCACTCACAAAACATTTGTCTTCCCCCCCCTCTCCTCTAACAGGAAGAAATTGTTATAGGCTGTCGAGTCTCTGAACAAAATTTGCGATCAGCTCTCCCCGAAGCAGGTTGAGGAGGAATTCATACCCCTAGTGCTTCGTCTCTCCAAGGCGGATTGGTTTACTTCTAAAATTTCGGCTACTGGGCTCTACTGCACTCCATATCGGAAAGCCGCTACCGGTGTCCAACAGGGTCTTCGCCAGCAATTCGGTGGTTTAGTTCACGATGAGACTCCGATGGTGCGGAGGCAGGCAGCCAACAATCTGTCCAAGTTTGTCAAGGAACTGACGCCTGAGGTCATCATTGATGAGATTATACCACTCTTCCAGTACCTTACAAGTGATGACCAGGACAGTGTGCGCCTGCTGACCGTGGAAATCCTCATTTCCATAGCAGAGGAAATCCCCAAGGAACAGCAATCGAGCCATGGTGTTCTTTTGACGTCTTTGCGAAGTCTTTTTGAAGACAAGAGTTGGCGAGTGAGATTCATGGTGGCGGATAGATTCGAGCAGGCAAGTTTGCCGAAGTTGTGTCGCTTACTACCCACGGGCACTAATACGACAGACAGATTGCGAAAGCTGTTGATGAGGAAGTTGTAACGCGAGATCTCGTACCAGCATTTGTTAAGCTCTTGAAGGATACAGAGGCGGAAGTTCGCACTGCCATTGCAGGGCAGATCCCTGGTGAGCAACCTTTTCTCCCCTGTGGTGTTTGGTTTATGTTTTCAGTGCAGCTGACTCTAGCTCTTACCAGGTTTCTGCAACCTAATCGATCGTGATACCCTTCTTAATGAAATTATGACCAGCATAGAGGATCTAGTATCTGACCAGTCCCAACACGTGCGTGGCGCACTAGCCACCCAGGTTAGCGGACTTGCTCCGATACTTGGTAAAGAAGAGTATGATATTCACGGCCTTGATTTTGTTTGTTTTTTTTCCCGATTTTCTGAAGCTAACAGAAATGCCATATTAGAACCATCTCGCACCTCTTACCAATGTTCCTCCAAATGTTGAAAGATGAGCACCCAGAAGTACGTTTGCACATTATCTCGAAACTCGACATTGTGAATAAAGGTAGCGTACATCACATCCACCATCCTTTCGCTGCGCCCAATGCTAAGTAGATATATTTGACAGTCATCGGGATTGATTTACTTTCACAATCGCTTCTGCCAGCTATTGTGCAGCTAGCCGAAGACAAGCAATGGCGTGTGCGCTTAGCTATAATCGAATATATCCCACTTCTCGCAAGCCAGCTGGGAGTTAACTTTTTTGACGAACAACTCAGTGACCTCTGCATGGGGTGGCTGGGTGATACCGTCTTCTCTATTCGAGAGGCGGCCACCCAGAACCTCAAGAAACTCACAGAAGTCTTTGGTGTTGATTGGGCAAACGAGTCAATTATTCCCAAGGTTGTGGCCATGGGCCAACATCCTAATTACCTTTACAGAATGACCACATGCTTTGCGATTTCGGTAAGTAGCTTTCTTTTTCCCCTTTTTTTATATTTTATTTGCGTAGTTGGTACTTATATATATGCTAACTTGTCCTTCAACTAGACTCTCGCGCCTGTGCTTAACCTGACCATCATTGAGAACTCGATTATTCCAATTCTGGAGCGACTCGTCACCGATGACATTCCCAACATTCGTTTCAACGTCGCCAAGTCTTATGCAGTCCTGATTGACACATTAAGACGGCTCCCCGCCGAAGGCACTCTACAAGACTTGGAAAAGTCGGGCGAGACAAGCAACCCGGCACCGCATGGACAAGAGCTTATTCAGCAACGGATAATCCCACAACTGGAGAAGCTGCAGCAAGACGACGATGTTGATGTTCGGTACTTTGCCACGACCGCTGCCGGTGGACATGATGAAGTTATGCAAACCTCCCCGTAGACATTCTCCTCTTTCTCAAAGCTCGCAGGATAATTTTTTTCTTTTTATCTAAGTGGTCTAGGGACAAAGATGGCCTCTTTTGTACGCAGAAACTTCTACCTATTATTCTCTAAGATGAGTCGGGACTGTTCAGAGTCTTGGTTACAAACGTAATTAGCATTTTTGCCAAAATAAAAAAAATGCGATTTGATGATTTCGAAGTCTCTCATATATGTCAGCGCGGAAGCCTTCCGTAAGGTGACTAAACCACGTCTACAACCAGCAGATAACTAGTCCAGCATCTATTTTTTCATTCAGTAATTCCAGATCCCGGTCTGCCTCAAATCTAGTTTTGTATACTACTGCAGTGTATAGCCTCCTCTAGTTTAGGGATATTTGGATAACTACCTCATAGGTAGTTAGTTGACCAACTACCGCCGTCCATTTGTCAGCATCAAAGTCGTGATTCCGTTATTTATAGTCAAACTAATTAAATCTGTCAGACTGTGTATGGTGTCTGTTGTGTACACTTACGTGTAACTTGGCTAGAAGATCATTATCGCTGTGTCGTTCGTATTTAGTTATGGATATGTGGCATCTTCTCTAGACGTGAGTAGTTGCATTCAGGCTTTTTTTTTTCAACCCTGGATAGGCACCGCCAGCTAATTACCTCTCTCAGTTACTGTCTCCATTGTTTGGCAAATTGTTGCTCTTCAGGCAGAAACTCATCTTAAACATCGCACGGCGTCAGTCATGGCGTGGCCTTATCGTTTCATTCTCTCCGTCTCGGACCAGGAGCTTGAACGCCGGCGCAATGTCCTTGATACACGCGGGCAGTACGCTCAAGTCTCCGCGTTGGTCTTCCTCGGTGTTTTATTTCTTTATAGATTACGGGGGAGTCAGTATGAGCAACGCAAAAGAAGAAGCTGGTGGGATGCACCTGCAATTCGGGGCTCTAGCGAGACACGGAAGCAATACACTGTTACATTGCTGTGGTTGGCATGGCTCGTGAGTCTTTGTATATGGAGATCGGGCGATGGTGAGTTTATCATAACAGGTCTTCTCCTTTTTGCCAGAAGGCAGCAATAGCTAATTGTTTCCAGATTACATCCATCTGACAAAAGCCCTGGGACACGTCGGCCTGTCTCAGCTGCCCTTTCTTGTCCTACTTGCTCCTACTTCATTCTTCTTTACGACCAATTCAACCTTACCTTCGGTCATATCTTACCTGACATCGATCCCTCAGCCCGCGTTAACGGCGTACCACCGCCTCCTAGGCCGGTTCGTCATTGTGCCTCTGGTATGCAGCCACGCCGCCTTATTCCTGCTCTTCTACGTCCAAGTACCGCACCCCGTATTCGGCACCATCTTCGCGAAACGTATCCGAGACCCCGATGTTCAATTGGGGGTAGCGGCCACCGCTTTTGCGACCCTCGTCCTGGTGTTTGGTCGGGCCAATGTATGGAGACTTCGCGAGCGGCTCAGCTTGGGGAAACCGGAGGCACGGCGGCAATTGTTCTATGCTGTGCATTTGGTTCTCGTCAGTGTGTTCTTTGTTTTGGCATACTCGCATGTGCGTTACGCACGGCCTTTTGTCCTCGAGGCAGCCGCGGCGTCTGTGGCTAACCTGGGGTGCTGCAAACTGCTGGCTTCGAGGCGATGAGGATTGCAATGGCAGATGCTAGTGACGTTAGGCCGATGTTGACGGTAAATTTTCCGTCTGATCCTGTAGCGGCACTATGGCCGGAATTTCATGCAGCAACTGTGGGTATAGTTGGGGGTCCGAGTGTATGCTTTCCAAGCACGGCGTGCGGTCAGACAATAATCATGCCAAGTTTCTGTGCGCGTTGACTGCCAGACAAGCGATACATAGAGGCAAAAGCCGAACAGTAACTAGTAGAAGAGCAGTCGCGAGTGCAATGAAGACAGAGTACGACGGCAGCTTCCAGACGTAAACGCGGCCTCCTTCCCATTGGGGCGACTCCCCTTTTAAAGTTCTGGCCCTTGGCTCCACAGCACGTGCTTTACACTTCACCTCCTTCTCTCGAGATATTCTGCTCCTTGTATGGTCTCGCTGCTCCTGCTTTCCTCACTTTCCTCGCCCCTTCGCCTCCTTCTGCGCCGTCGCAATCGCTGCCATCGACGGCGACTTGCTTCTGGATTGTCTGTCCTCTTTGCCGGCCGCGCATTTTCTGCCCGGCATCCCTTGCCATGGGCAGACCGTCCACACAACTCTTGTCGTCCTATAACCTACTGAGCTCGCAGGGATGAGGCCATCTCGACTTATTTATCTTTTGGCCTTTCTCATCATAGCTGCCCTTACATTGCTTCTCCTCCGAGATTCGCCTGCGACCACGGGGCCCCAAGCTCCCTTCGACCACAGCTTGCCCGCTCACTTTGAGACCCTGCTACAACCAACAACCGAGGACTCGCACCCTATCGCCCGCCTCATCAACAATGCCAATGCGGATTTCGATGCAAAACGGGCCCGTCAGTCGAGGAGCTTGGAGCAAGCAGTGCAAGAGTACCGACGTCGCTATGGAATGCCGCCCCCGCCACATTTCGATAAATGGTTCGACTTTGCGAAGAGGAGAGGGGTCCAATTAATCGACGAATATGACACAATATACCACTCACTGCTTCCTTTTTGGTCATTGTCTCCCAAGACCATCCGGGACCGGGCGCATGAAGCCTTGGGCTACGACAATGCCGTTATTGGTCTTCTCATTCGGGACGGCCAGGTGACCAAAGTCGAAGGTGGAGGAGATGGATATAGATGGCAACGAGAGGCCACTGTGGGGATGATGCAAAACTTTTTGAAATATTTGCCTGATATGGATTTAGTCTTTAATGTTCACGACGAGCCTCGTGTGCTTGTTCCGCATGAAGATCTCCAGAGAATGGTTACATACGCAAAGGATGTAGCGATCCCTTCTACCTTTGAGAAAGGTTCCCTACGCAACAAGTGGTCACCGCGGCCGTCAGACTTGAACAAAGGTGACCGTATTGAGGAAGTCAGAACGACTCGATTCAACAAATTCGCCCACCAGCCTACTTGGACCCATTCCCGACTATCTTGTCCAGTCGACAGTCCCGCTCGCTCGCTCGATGAAACTACACCCGACAATATGGAGCCTTATGCTACAAGCGATCTGGGTTTTATCTACAACACTACGGCCTCCTCGGATATTTGTTTGTCTCCTTCTCTAAGGAACACTTATGGATTTTTTGACCGACCTAATGCCTTTAACATTGTCCACGACTTGTTCCCCGTCTTTTCGCAAAGCAAAATATCTAGTTTTCAAGATATCCTGTACCCCAGCCCTTGGTACTGGATTGACAAGGTGCATTATAACGAGACGAGGGATTATAACTGGGAAGACAAGATAGATCAATTGTATTGGCGAGGGTCGACCACCGGGGGGTTTTCACGTGATGGAGGTTGGCGTCGGCAGCATCGACAGTTGTTTGTCAAGAACGTCAATGCACCCCGTGAGCCCACGATCTTCACTCAGATGGAAGATGGAAGATGGATCACCAAGAAGGTTCCACGCGAAGAGATCCGGTCTTTGTTTAATGTTACGTTCACTTATGTTGGCCAGTGTGATCCAGGCGACTGTCGTGCGCAGGAAGAATACTTTGACGTTGCCGATGCTGTTGACCAACAGGATGCGTGGGCCTATAAATACCTAGTGGACATTGATGGTAATGCTTTCAGTGGACGCTACCATGCATTTTTACGCAGCAATAGCTTGGTCTACAAGCTCTCTATCTTCCGCGAGTGGCATGATGAGTGGCTCGATGCGTGGGTACATTATGTTCCCTTGGGGCTGAAGGGGACGGATTATGTGGAGAATGTCCGCTACTTTGTTCATGAAGAGGAGGGCAAAATTCAGGCGCCACGGTTGGCAAAACAAGGGAAAGAGTGGGCAGGGGAAGCTCTTCGAAACGAAGATCTTGAGGCTTGGTTTTTTAGACTACTGTTAGAGTAAGTTTCTGCTTAGCTATGCTGACTTCCAAAAGCTGACGACTCACCCTTCGTTATTAGGTATGGACGTTTGGTTGACGATGACCGAGCGAACATTGGTTATACGCTGTGAGATGATTTAAGATGCCTATACTTCTGTTTTATATGTTTTTTTTTTCTTTACCTCTTCTTTTCATCTTCCAGTTCCTATTACCATCATCTATCTCTCCTTCTCTTTCCGTTTGGGGTCTCTTCTATTTTCCGCCCAAACAACCCGTTTGGTCTTGTCTCGAGCTATATACCATTTGTTTGTTTGTTTTTTCTTCTTCGTGTATACGATTAATCTTGAGAGTTGAGTTTTGCACATTTGCGTGCTGGGCGTGCAACAATGGCGTTTGCTTTGGCGTATTGACTTGAGTTACATGTATGCCACCTACGGGGAAGGCATCGATAGTAGGTGAAATTGGAAGGATTATTTAGATATATGTGTATGTTGCATAATTTAATCAAGTTTCCCAGTTTGCTTACACCTCTGTCATTCATATATTGTGTGAAAGTTGTGGTCTTGCATTGAGGCTGCCAATGACCTCAATGAAGGGAAGGCATCTAATAAAATTACACTTCCGGGAGTTAGCTCATCCGTCAACCACCAACTACGTACTACCTAGGTACTTGACGAAATGGAATTGCCTGACCATCGGGCTTTCGATTGCATCCTTCTTTCATTACAAAACTCTGTCTGATTTGCGCTGCGAGGACTACAGCTACAGTTTCACCTACAATTCTCCCCATCTCAGCTGACACCATGCCTATTGTGAGCGCATCGCTGGGAGCTCTGCGCTCTATCATCATTCAGGTCGTTGGGTTTCTTTTCATGATATACTACTGGATCTTGACTGTACTATCAGGAGCATTTCTCAGGAAACCAACGGCGGAATACAATTCGGAATTAGCTTTAGGTATGTATGCTGCCTCAGTTCTTCCATGCGCGGAGGCAGTGGGACAAGGAAGGCCCTGTTCTTAACGGAGCTGTTTTTCACACGCATTTGCTTACACAAGTCCATCCAGCTCGCGATAACCTCTGGAACCTGTCAAAGCAGCCATTTGGGCTTCACCATCGATTCTTGTCTCTGCGGGACGGATACAAGTTTCATTACGTGACAAACACCATAGCATCCGCATCATTATCAGCAGCTGCCTCGACAAGACCTCTGGTGATTTTTCTGCATGGCTTCCCGGATAGCTGGGCGGTATGGCGACATATTCTGGCATCGCCGTGGCTCCGTGAATCGAGCAATCTGGTCGCTGTGGATTTGCCGGGCTATGGCGGTTCGGATCTACTCGAACGGTATTCTGCGACCGAGGTGCATGAGAGACTGACGGAATTTATTATTGCATTACGCGAACTCTATGGTATCGATGACTATACTAATGACATTCAGGCAAGAGTGATCATTGTCGGCCATGATTGGGGCTGTGGGATAGCGATGCGCCTGGCAGCTGAGGCACCGCAATTGGCAGATCGCTTCATACTGAGCAATGGACCACTGGTATCAAGCTGCACCCTCTCCCTCTCATTCATGATCGTTATTTTACGAAACCGTACGCTGACCTATACAAATCTTGTCGTTCCATCTCTCAGATTGAATTGCTCAAATCAAACACTAAAAGACTTGTCTCTTCTTCCGTGAAAATGCTGAAGATATTTCTTCACTCCCCGATACGCTCTCGATCAATGCTAGGCAAAGCGTTGCATACGATCAAGCCAATCATTCGGCAGGTGAAAAGCTCCGGGTATGTCTTTGCGTTGCAGCTACCTCGTCCTATAGTGCGTGTTCAAGGAAGCGGTGGCAATGGCGCATTGTTAAGAATGATTCACGAAATGGCTCATGGTACCGCTGGCACGCCTTCTGCAAAGGACATTGCCGAGAGTGTGGCCAGTTCGCTGGGGCCAGGGTCAGCACAAGATTGGAGGGAAGACACTGTTAATCTCGAAATGCAATATTCGAAAGCTGTCGTCCGTCAAGGAAGTTCAGAAAAGTTTGTCAGCATGACCAATTACTATAGACACGGCATAAGTGCGGGACACTGGGATAAATCGGTCGAGACGGTCGCAGCGCTTTATAGCATTGGGCGCGGAAGTGAGATAAGACGCAAGAGCAGCCATGCAGGAGTCTTCGACGAAGGTCCTGAGGGCTCGCTGAAATCGAAAGCCACCATTGTATGGGGTCTTAGTGACGATGCCATAGACCCCCAGCTGGGGCTCGACGGGATCGCAGACTACCTCTTCAAAGACAGCCAGGTCATTGTGCTACCCAGGGCGCAGCACCACACCATCGTCGAGAAGGAAGGTAGAGCAGCTGTGCAGAAAGTCATCGAATGGGCTGTTGCAGGCGAGGAGGGCGATGTGGCTGTGGTGGCGAAGGCTGCTTATCCCGGAGCTACAGTTACAGTGCGGACCTAGCCACCATTTGGCAATGCTCACGATGTAGAAAATAAACAAATTTTTGGCGTTGACAGCGAATTAAACATGTACTGTTTGTGCCGCATACAGTGAGTGCAGTTCCGCTAGCCATGTATGGATGGATGGATAAGAAATATGGAGAATCTCCGGAGCTCTCCAGGTCTGTGGCGTGGGGTAAACATCCAACGTCTCGCATGGCATTCCGCTCTGGCCCCGACCTGTTTCTCCACGTTCCTGCTCATCTCCCCTGTGAGCTTCTGCATTTCTGTTATGGTCAGATCCCCCGGCCAATTCAAGTTGTGCGACCTTCTCACCCGCGGCATGCTTCTTTTGTCGTGAGCAACCCCGGCAGATCCGTCCGGTGAGTCTCTCCCTTCGCTGTCTGCCTCTGGGATACAGTCTGGATGAACTAATTGTGTGAGTGACCATCCAGGGCCCAGTGGCTTTTGTCGTACTGTATTCTTCGTCAACTTCTACGATAACTCATATATCGATTGCGTCGTTTCGTCTCGTCTCGTCAACATGGCAGCAAGCGGGGAGGCGGTTTATTGCACCGTGAGCAGTCATGCCAATTGGCGCAAATGCGGAGTACTTTAATTGACGAACTAGCCCAGCTTCTGCTTTCCGATGCTTATCTTCCTGGTACAAGAGGCCCCGAGAGAGAGAGAGAGAGAGAGAGAGAGCCTTGGTTGGTGTGAACTGACAATAACTAGGAGCCGTGGTTCTTGCCCACTCGTTGCGTGACAATGGAACCAAAGCGAAGATCGCCGTCCTTTTTACACCGGAGACCTTGAAGGAGTCGACCGTCAGAGAACTCCAGGTATAATACCGCGCTTATTTAGGATGCTTTGTCTGTTTGCGTAAGCTGATGGAAGGAATCAGTCCGTGTACGACGAGATAATCCCCGTGCAACTCTTATCGAACAGCACGCCGGCGAACTTACTCCTGATGGATCGTCTTGACCTAGTTGCCTCCTTTACCAAAATCGAGCTTTGGCGCCAGACCCAATTCTCCAAGATCGTCTACATGGATGCCGACGTTGTCGCGTTAAGAGCTCCCGATGAATTGTTGTCCCTGGAGGAAGATTTTGCCGCAGCGCCTGATATTGGATGGCCAGATATATTCAATAGCGGAGTCATGGTTTTGCGTCCCAACATGCAGGATTACTATGCCCTCCGTGCGCTTGCAGAGCGTGGCATCAGCTTCGATGGCGGGGACCAAGGTCTACTAAACACCCATTTCAAAAGATGGCACCGTTTGAGCTTCACTTATAACTGCACTCCCAGTGGGAATTACCAGTATATGCCAGCGTACAGGCATTTTGAGAGCACTATTAGTCTAATTCACTTTATTGGCTCCCAGAAGCCCTGGACGCAGTCGCGACATGCCTTTTCTGGAGGCACTCCTTATTACCAACTACTTGGAAGGTGGTGGGCGGAATACGACCGTCACTATCGATCTCAGGTGAGTGATTCATATCATTATTTGCTGTTATATCTCTCTAAATTGCGGTGTTTCTCTAGCCATTATCGCAGCCGTCGTCGTCAGCGCCTCTACAATTTCCATCTAAATCACACTATGATTCAACAGCTACTACTCATAGCGACACACCGTTTCACGAATCAGTTTCGAATGAATTTACTCGGTCAGAGCATTACACTACGACTCAGCATCCGCCCGAAGCCACGTTCAGGGAACCCGCAAGTTCGTACGGAAAGACTCATGAACAGCTTGCCGGCGATCTGCATGTGTTGCGACGCTCACCAGTCTCAGAAGGGTTTGACGGCACAGTACCATTTTCAGCACCAAATCTCATGCATCCCAGACCAGTACATCCGCCATCCATATCCCAAGATCTGCGAAGCCCTCACCATGCGCACGTTGATCCGGTGGCAGAAATGAGAAGCGTGGTTCCGCTCTACGTTCATGGCGAGGAGCAGTCGTCTGTTTATGTCTCGATACCCAGAGAAGGACATAAAAGCTACTCCGAGCTCCAAGCTTCGTTCTCAGCGCAGAAACCGGCTGAATCATACCACTCAGAGCGTGTTGAGGTTGCTGCAGCTGCACAACCTGAAAAGGGCCCTTCACCTTCACCACCGTTACAATCACAACCACCACAACCGGAAGAGAGGCCATTCTCTCCACCCAAATCAGAATGGGATGCATCCAGGTATAGCTGCTTTGCTTTTTGTATGTCAAGGGGGAAAAAACATTGATAAAGCTCACAAATTCTTTAGAGAACCGCCTCCGCTTCATTCGCGACCCGAAGCAATAAGCTTAGAAACACAGACTTACACTATGTCTAGAGATACGCATCTATTCCAGCCGCCGCCATCGTACCCAGAGGCCCCGAAGAACATGTACTATGAGGTGCCAGCTATTAAGCCTGAACCTGAAAGGCTAGCTCAGATATTTCCTTGGGAAGCCCACGCCTCAAAACCAACTCGTGTATTCGCTGAAGACCTTGTAGAAACGACCATTCCTACCCGTCCAGGTGGTAGCGGTGCTGACGATGGGCATCACGCTGAGCAGGCCCAGCCCCAGGCATTACAGGCAACTATTACTGAAGATATTACACCTAGTGTACCAACAGACTCCTGGCAGTCTTACTCAAGAGCAAATGTATGGGATGAGGTTCCAGAGATTAACCGATATATTGAGGCAATCCAACAGCGATCCAAACCCAGCGGTAAAATGGGCGGAAGACCAGCAAGCTTTAAAATAACAGACTTCCCCACGGAGATAGACAGGCCCAGCCTTCCAGTCACACCTGCACCGATTCGCAAGTCCTTGTGGGGAAGTCATCAGGATGAGCACGAACACCAACATCATCATGATAAGACACCCTGCTGCCACGAGTTCCCTGCTGCAGAGGGCGTTCCGAACAAGTGCGACTGGGTGGGTGTCACGGTCGATGTGTTTTTGCAGCTCCTGGTTGCAATCTACTCATATTGGGAATTGACAGAATCCACTCGATCGACTGGAAGAGTTACGACAACGGCAATTGGGGCTATTCAAAAACACTCCACCAGCAGTCCAACCATCACCGGATCTTCTTCACGAGCTGTTAGAATCGTCCAACGATACTGATCAGTTGCACGGCGAATAGTAAATGATTTAATGTGAGTAGTAGAGTCTTCGTCTGCATCTGCGTCTGCATGGATGCAATCCCTTGGCTCTATCTCTTCCATACGTACAAGCTTTATGAACATGTAGCATTCCTCCTTCTTTTCTTCACAATATATGATTTCGAGCGACCAACACGTCTTTCATTCATGTACAACTAAATTATACGACTACTTATGTGTGATATGATTAACACTGTTCCCAAATTGTGCTCACTTCAAGTCAATTTGCATTGTAACATGTTACCTTGCAAATATTTCTCAATCTGTGATTTCCTCTTGGTGGATATATCTGTCTTCTATATCGGTCATGCATATGCTACTGTCCACCTGTGTGCTGTCTCATCTACCTATTATCCGGTAATCATTGAATATTGAATAACTAGTGATCGACAATTCGTACTTTCCATTGAACATCCAGCATGTCCGATTTCCGCGTACGTTGAATATATGTTGAATTTTTTTTTTGTCTATAACCTGGCTAATGGTGTCTGTTGAAACACCTGAGGCCGATACATTAGACGGATATCTAACTTGACCATGATCTCTGCGTCAGAAATTGGATCATTCTCGGAGCCAGCCATCATTGATCAATGCCGAGGCACAAGTCTACCGAAGCTCATCTAGCTCTGATTCGTTCTCAATGTATGAAATACCTAGGGTAGCCTCGTTGTGGAAGTTATCCTTGTTGGCTATCTAAGTAGGCTTCTGTGCGATTTCTAGCCAAAGTACCTGAAATCTGGCTCTGGGTATACTGCACTACATACATGTACAATAGCGAGACTGTGGTTGCTACCGTTATATTGTCCTGTAGATTGGTATATATATCCATACCAAGGGGGTAGTGATGAAATACTCATCCCACTATAAGGCGCAAGTCACACATATCTGACCGGCGAGAACACTCACACCGTGCCTTGTATGATTTTTTAGTTGTCTATAAATCTACAAGGATATAGTACTCCTATACAGAGGTTAGGGTTTAATGAGTCCCCGATGGTCTAATGGTCATGATTTCCGCTTGTCATTGGTTGCTTACAAGCAAGCGCGAGAGATCGGGGAAGGATTCTCCGTCGAGGAGATGTTTCTTTTTACCCTTTTCGTTGCTTTGAGTATTTCACAATGGGTGGCTCTCGTTGCTGGTGAACAACAAGTGATGAAAAGGCGCTGTTCTGGCCGCCAGTTTAAACCAAATGATCCAAATTGGGGATTGCCTGTGGAAGCTGTCCAGTATCCAGGGGAGGAAAAACCACCCAACGCCCTTTTTTTTCCAGGGCCCTACCCAATATCCCACAAGATACCTACAGGAAGACCGTGTGATTTCAGAATAGCATGTGGCTTTCTTATTCTTTATATAGATGATTGGGGAACGGATGCATTTTTATTGCTGTTTGTCCTGCTACTACAGACGCGTTGGGATCATATGAAAGTGAAACCCGAAAAATCTAGTCAATACCTAGTAATAACAAATATTCCAACGAGGTCAATTTCCAGAAAATAAATAGATCGTTACACAATGACTGAGTGATGCATTATATACCTATGTATTTGACCATCAAGACAGGGACCAAAGGGAAAAGCGCGAAGAGAAGGCTTTCTTCATACTTTCTCGCCTCTGCGGGAGTAAAAATCGCATTGTTTGATATGGCTTGATTTGCCGGTTCGTTCGTCGAAAATTGAGAATCCGAAAGTGGCAGCATTTGGGGGTGTATACACTATAAAATAGAGTCAGCAAATGAAAAGACATGTAGATGATAGAACAAAACTGACGATGGAGGGAAATGGCGTAGTTGTTAGGGTCCATGTTTGATATTCGGTGTAATCCGAGCTATGAAACAGACAATTTTAGCAAATTAAACAACCATGTTCAAAGAGGTGTCACCATACCTTATCAGACATATAAGTTACTTGATTCTCGTTATAGATAGTCTCTTTGGTGATCTGCAAAGGCGACTCCTGACCGCTGGGAGTTTGGTCGTCTTTCTCTGGCCATGAGTAGAGCGTTTCTTTCAGAGAGCCCTTGAGTATCTAGCTCACTCGTGTTAGAACCTAGCATATAACTAGCTGAATCAAAGCCTTACCTTCATGACGCAATGGGCATTAGCGTGGTCATGGACTGCACTTTCCCTGCCAGGCGACCAGACAAGGATAAGCTAAGCAAGAGTTAGAATGTAACTCATATCAAAGCAAAGAGAAAGGCGTGAAATATTTACCAAATTGCTTTTCCCATTCCCTTCATCAACAAGATTTCGTGTATAAGACCTGCTCTGGTCTCCCATGGCGTATACACCCCATTCAATTTCATTGGAAACATACTTCTCCATCAAGCGTTCAATGTCATGAGGATCTACATCCTCGGAATCCAGACCAGAGCTCGGTCCCAAAGCTGCACTCAGATCTTCCACGAGTTTCTCGAACGGGTTGTTGCTAGAATGCTCCTGATTGCCGGTGATCGTGCCATGTTCCAAATCTGATTTAAGGTATGGCATCTTTGGGGGAACAAAGGGGTTGTAAAGAATGATCGAGTGAGAAGATTGTCGTAGCAGGGAGTGTTATCTGTCAATGCACTATAGAGCAAAGCCGTCAGTGGTTTTATATATGCAACACTTCGACCGGCGGATAATGACCTGTCATATAATGCCACATTGGCTGTGGAGATGTTGTGAGTTGTTAAATAGTAGACAGCTGCTGTTTTCCACGGGAAGCTTTATGCAAGATAACAACGATAGGTTGGTTGTACGGTAAGCATGCACCGTGGTACAGCGGTCAATGAGGAATCTCTGCACAAAATCACGAAACGAGTTGTAATACCTCGTTCCGGCTTCCAGCAAGCATGAATGCCTGTTCCATGGAGGTCTTTGTGTTGTCGAGATAGGCAGGAGGTGTTGCTCAAGTCTTATCGCTTAGCGTCGGCGATAAGGCTTTCCGCGGTGAAAGCCTGAGGCAGAAACAAGCGCCAGACCCCGCGAATCAGAATAAAAGTACTGCCACCGCCTGCCCTGTTGAGATTCTATCAAAAAAGAACGATTTTTCTCTGGTCTGGCAGACTCCAGTTCGGCCTCGTCATTTCACCTGCAGCAAGCGCCTGGTTTATATTCAAATTTTAGTATCAGCAACTGTAAAACGAACCTGGGAAGCGATTCCACTGCTTAATACACCATGGCGACTACCGTGGACAAGGTTGGATCATGTGACATCCTGACAAGCAGAAGAAAGAGAGAGACTAACAACAATTGTCTGATGCATAGATCAAAGAGATTGAGGCCGAGGTCCGCCGTTTCGATTGCTCCTTTGAAATGCGACGAAGAAGCTGACGATTTTTGCAGATGGCCAAAACTCAAAAAAATAAAAATACGTCATTTCACCTTGGTACGCTTTTTATCTTCCACCGACATTCCTGTCGCATCGTTCGAACTCGGGGACACATGTCTGATCATTGTACAATATTTATAGGACAATTGAAAGCAAAGCTTGCCAAGTTAAAGCGAGAACTCCTGACGCCTTCGGGAGGCGGCGGTGGTGGTGGTGGAGGTAGGTTTTGGAGAGTGATTTCTCAGAAGTTGACAGATCATGCTGACTCCCTCTGGCAGTGGGATTTGATGTGGCTCGTACTGGTGTTGCGAGTGTGTATGTTACTTTCTGGTCCCCTGTTTCCAGTATGCGCAAATGCAGCTGACATACTTGTGACAGGGGTTTCATCGGGTTTCCTTCGGTCGGCAAGAGTACGTTGATGAGTAGGCTTACTGGGCAGCACTCCGAAGGTTAGTCGCGTTAGTTGCTTTTGAGAGATATACTGTGTAGTACTAACATGGTCATCTCAGCTGCTGCTTACGAGTTCACCACTTTGACAACGGTGCCCGGACAAGTCATGTACAATGGTGCCAAGATTCAGATTTTGGATTTGCCCGGTATTATTCAAGGAGCCAAAGATGGCAAAGGCCGTGGTCGACAAGTTATTGCGGTGGCGAAGACGTGTCACCTCATTTTCATTGTTTTGGACGTCAATAAGCCCTTGACGGATAAGAAGGTCATCGAGAATGAGCTGGAAGGATTTGGCATCCGAATCAATAAGCAGCCACCGAATATTGTGTTCAAAAAGAAGGAGAAGGGAGGCGTCTCCATCTCAAGTACAGTACCGCTGACGCATATTGACAATGAGGTATAGATTTCCTTTTTATACTGGCATTGGTAGTGGGACTGACAAAACACAGGAAATTCGAGCGGTTATGAGTGAATACAAGATTACATCCGCAGATATTGCCATCCGGTGCGATGCCACGATTGATGATCTTATTGACGTGCTCGAAGCGAAGAGTAGACGTTATATACCTGTGATTTATGCCTTGAACAAGATTGATTCCATTTCCATCGAGGAACTGGATCTGCTATACCGGATCCCCAATGCCTGCCCGATTAGCTCGGAGCACGGATGGAACGTGGACGAGCTGCTTGAGCAGATGTGGGAGAAGCTGAATCTTCGACGAGTGTACACCAAACCAAAGGGCAAGCAACCAGATTATACGGCGCCGGTCGTCTTGAGGAGCACAGCATGCACCGTCGAAGACTTTGTACGTTGTCCTCTCTTATTTTCCTGCAACGTAACGCTGACGATAATTCAGTGCAATGCTATCCACAAATCGATTGTTGATCAGTTCAAGGTGGCAATCGTCTACGGGCAATCTGTCAAACATCAGCCGCAGCGCGTTGGGCTTAGCCACGAGCTTGCTGATGAGGATATTAGTTCGTCACACGCTGTTTCCTTGTTTCAGTTGCGGTGTACCCGGCTAACCTACTCATCTGCAACAGTTACCATTCTAAAGCGATAAGGCCAGAAACTGCGAGACGCCAACCCCCCCAAATACCGAAACCGCGCATGTGATGGACGGTATGCCTAGGTATAGTTATACAATGATGACCAGAACACGAAGGGCCAGCGCGCGTGTCAAAGTAACTGACTACGTATTCGCCTTGGGTTGATTGTCTGTTGATAGTTGATGATAGTTGAAACTTGAACAACGGGCGGATGGTGTCACCGTCCAACTTGCACCATCCGTACAATGAACAGAGAAAGCCCTAATCAGTTAGTTAGCCTAACAGCCGGAATCTTTCTAGCCACTATTTACTCTCTAGTATCTAGTATCTAGTAGTATTACGCATTATCAATCAAGTACTATTGCTGCTGCACTGCGTGGGTCTCGGGGAGCGCGGAGCAGCCCTAATACCAATCGCGCCTTTACCGTCTGTTCCTTAGTATTAATGAATAGATTAAAAAACCAGGCAGATAGATTATTGTTACCTAGGTACGCACGGAGTGCCGGAGCTTAGAGTGCGAGTTGCACGGCATCGTCCATCAGTTGCCTAGCTAGGCAGTTAGGCAGGCTTCAGTTCTTCAAGATTTTGCTTTCTCTTCGGCCGGCCTAGACTTCTCTTGCTCAGGGTCAGAGCGCAATATTGACACGGAGTACATTAACATGATCATTAATACATTAATAGATATTATCATAATGTGTATCCCGGATAGGGTTGTTGTTGTTTTCTTTAAAAGCAGGTAATCAAAATCGCAAAGAACATCTGCCTAAGGCACGCACGAAGAATAGTCAGAATTTAGCAGTGGCCTGTTCTCTAGCCAATATCAAGTTCCTCCGTAGTCAAGTTTTAAATATGACCAGGCTAGACTCTTAGTATGCTCTGCAGTATGCACGAGGTAATAGCCATCGCCAAAACAGCCCCTGAAGAAATTCCTGTCTTACCTAGACTACTTAATGTACTGGTACGTTACGTGCGTCGGACAGCTCGTGCTCTGGATAGTCTGGAAGCACATACATATATGCAGATTTGATATCATATTTTGGATTTGAAATCACTCTGCATAAAACAAGAAAAGATAGTAGTATTTCCCCCCCTCCTTTTTTTCTTTGAAAATACAGCCAATCGTGTTTACGGCTTCGCTTGTACCTGGTACATCTGATATGATCTCTCTCGTCTATCTCCCAGAGGTCATGCATACAAATAAATAAATAACATACGTGCACTATAGGAAAGACTGTCCATGTTACTAGTCGAATGGACTGGTCAGATTCAGAACGATGATTAAATCTTATCAATGCCTTCCGTAGAAGATTACTCCGTTGATCAGGTATCGCACTTTTCAGCAAGGATCAGGGTACGTTGCACAAATTTTTTTTCCATTTTTTAATTTTCTTTCTTTTACTATTTTGCTCTACTGCAGGATCCTTGAGCAGGCATGGGTGTATGACATTGGGCCGCAGGCAAAGTTGGTCATGCGGATTGATTGAATTTTGGTAGTAATTAACTTATGTAGTATGATTCTAGGTACTAGGTACCTCGTGTTGCGCCTTTCTTGCCGTGGATGGCCGAGTACACCTACACCGCTACATTGGGTGGCAATGTTAATCGACTTGAGGAAGTCCAAAGTTGAATATATTATTTCATGATGTCTTAATACACATGTAAATGTACTACTGTCTTTTATTGAGTTAGCTCCAATGTTATACAAGCGAAGATCTCTTTTTTACCTAGCCCTATGTACACAACTTCACGGGTGGAGCATATTGATCTACTGATATGAAGACTTCATGCATAATTAATTCGAAAGGTGTTAGTTACTGACGGTATCTCAGTGTAGTAGTTAGATAGTACTATATATATCCATCATCGACTCAACGTCGGGATCGAATATTCTCAGGGCCACGTTGGTACGGAATAGACGAGGTACGGAGTAGACGTCCAGCAACCGGAGTGAAAAAAAAAAAAAAAAAGGCAGACTAGCCCTGATTAAGTAGGGCATTCCTAAATAACTTAACTTAGTAAGTAGTGCTTACATCAACCACACAAAAAAAAACCAACATAAAACGGAAGCGAAAATGCCATTGACTTCGGGAATTTAATAGATTTAACTACCAAAAAGATTAAAAGGAGGGGGGAGAAAAGGAAGAAGGAGAGAACAAAAGCCGATTTCAACATGGCCGCTTTGAACAAAAACCTCAGGGACGCATTCAAGTCGGAGCGTCTGGTGTACAAAGCACTTGAAGATTCCAAGGATGACCAAGCTTTTTTCCTCCAAGTGGTCAGTGACCCAGTGCATCAATCCCTAGCGCGCACGCATCCACGAATGCCTGCAGGGCACAAAAAGGCGGACGAAATGATAAAGATACTTCTTGGGGGAATAATGAGCGTAAAGATCTGTCTTTCGCCCACAGAAAGTCGGAGATTCAAGGAAAAGTCCGCGGAACCACACGGCAAGACAGACGGGACCGCCAAAGAAGAAGGGCAAGAAGAAGTTTTAATACCCATTGGCTTCGTCACCATCCTCAACCGTCACGAACACAGCGTATATGTAGCCCAGCACCGCAACGCAACGCTGGGCATATCACTAGTAGAGGAATTCCGCGGCAAAGGGTATGGCGGCGAAGCGATAAACTGGGCTCTGGACTGGGCTTTCTTCGCTGCTGGGCTTCATCGAGTCAGTTTGGAATGTTTCTCGTTTAACACCAACGCCTATAAATTGTACAAAAAGCTTGGCTTTGTGGAGGAAGGACGTCAGAGAGAGGTGATGTACTATGAGAGGGGTTGGCATGACGCTATCTTGTTTTCCATGCTGGAGCAGGAGTGGGAGAAGTTGAGAGATTTGAAATAAGCTTACTTGATATCAGTTATGAGGTTGTGTTAGGGTTAGGGCTTGCATGTACACACGTCCGCTGCATGGCATGCTGTTTTCCCTCTTTGGGATTCGGCCAACTTGGGTTCGTCGTTGTACAACAGAGAACTTGGAGATCAATTAACACAAAGAATTATTGTATTATAGTTATATAAGCAATATATGTATGTTTAAGTACCGGAGCCACTTGATATGTATATGGAGATCTGCCACTCAGCCGCGTTGTACAACCATCCTTCTCCTACCTAACTACCTAATGTTGCTTAACTACTTTCACAACATATAATGACACATGGACATTGACAGTTAACCGCATTCCTCTCGGAAATTTCGTGGTCAAACTCAAACTCAAAATCAACAACCCATGACTGTACGTTAAACCACACCATCACACCATAGAGCCTAACTTAGTTCACGTTGGGAAGTTACTAAATAGAGAAGGATTCACCCGATTTTCAAACAAAGAAATCCCTTCACAAACAATGCAACTAGTATCACAATAAAATTAGCATACATCCATATAGAAGATCGGCTCGAGCCGAGCAACGCAAGCCAACAACAGCCTAGATTCTTCAAGTGTTAGCCCTCAGTGGCCTGAATTTCCTATTCCGGCTATCAGATTACGTACCGTTCCGTCTAAGTCTAACCGTGTGTAGTAAATACTAAACAACAGAGTCCAGATAGTAGGCAGCAAAAGTAAATATTTCCGTACTATGGTTCAAGACCTCTGACTCGTAGCCTTGGACTACGGTTTAGCCTGGCGGGCCGGATCGGTCATCAAACCGTCCCGGAAAGCTACGATGTAGATACATACTATGGTATCTTAGTACTCCGTTTGTACTGTGTAGTCGCACTGCTAATGGCTGGCTGGGATTCGATTATAAATTAACCAGCTAAGTTAGCACATGCCCAATCAGCCAGTCACCTGATTGTTCGTATAGTCTTTAGTATACGATTAACTCGATGTAGGAGATTCTATGAAATGGGTTAAATACTGAGTACGTACGTATGCACAGACGGAATCGGATAGTCGGATAGTTCCTCCGTTCGTAGAATCTGTATGGAAGCAAGCTCGCATGCTATTGTCAATCGCAATAAAGATAATTTAAACGGTGTGAAACTTAGTTTGTATACAATAACATACATAAGTTACCTAGGTAGGTTACTGCGGCAAACGTCGATAAGTTTGTTACACGGACGTACAGATACATACTTGTAGTAGACTAGTACATGAATCTCAGCCAGGCCCACCAGCGGTCAGTCATCCACAGCGGCCCGAAAAGGCAGTGGCTCTAGGAGCTTTGTCCAGCTTATGTCGAGTCAGATTTTCAGTGCTAGAGTAAGTCTAGCGGAGTTGGCTTCTTTTTTTCAAGCTTCTGCAGTACATACATTACTCTCGGTCTGTCCTCCGGCAGAAGAATCACAAAAGTGAAAGGGAATAAATTAATATATCTCAACGGGCGATCCGGACTTCTGTCTCTACGTAGTATAGAGTCCTCCGTAATCAAAATTTCCCCCTCTCAAGTTACGGCGCTAAAATAGGCATAAGGAGGGTGACAAGCCAATCAGCGACCAGAAGTGCCGATTATATAGATTCATTCATGATGCATCCCACATTTTTGCTTTTTCCTTTCCTTGGCCCGCCCACTCACACTCTCAAACTCTTTTTGTCACTGTCCAATCCGTTGTCCGAGCTTCCCACATGGCCCCCACTTGGGGTTCCGGCCCACACCAACCAGCCTCGCAGCGTTTTAGTGAGACTTATAGCGCAGGCTGATCTTGACGAACCGTCGCTCAAGGATCGCTTTTTCTCTCTGAATCCTGATATAAGTCTAACCGTCCAAGGGCGTACCTGCTCCGTACGGAAAAAGTAATGCTTGCTTTTCCCCATGGATTTGCGGTACATAAAGGGCACTAGGCTGTTAGTGGCCGTAGTTACCATTGTTTGCCTTAGGCTAAATTTCTTCCTATAATACTCCGTGCGGACATAAGTTTTACGTAGTATGACTGTGTAGTATAGTATATTTGTCAATTTTAAGTTACTACTATTATTTTATTCTAGTCTGTGTATGATTTCCTTCAGGGCTTCCGTGAGTTATAGGTGCAAGGATCGGCTTATTAGTTACGTGCACGGAGGTACGCTGTACATATTCCGTATTAATTGAGATGAAGAAGAACAAGGTTCGCGGCCCGGGCCTACATCTGCCCGCTTGCCCGCTCTAATTTTGAATCAATCATACCTCGGGCTAACCTCCTTATCGCAAAACAAGGTCTAGCCCCCCGCCGCGATTGGCTAAACTACTCGATACAGTTTGGTACAGTACACACCAGGTATCATGTAATAATACTAAACACTAAACAGTACACATCCTTGACATTGACCTTGACCCTGATGACCATACCCTAAATATTCCCCTCTTTTCGCCTTCGTCGAATACTACTACATAGTCATATGTTATACGGAGCCGAAATTGGACGGGATACAAAAAGAATGCCAAGATAGAGCTCGCTCTGGAAAAAAACCATTGGTCCCTGCATAATTATCCTTGTACATCCGACATTTGAAACATGTAGCATGTACTAGTAGTTATCGCTTAACAATTGGAAGTTGTATACGCACTCGGAGTAATATATGCCATTCTTTCCATGAGTCCGCCCTATCTCCGCACCGCTAGTTCATTTGAGCTGAGTTCAACGGGAAAATATGTGAGCATTGGTAAGCATTTAGCCATGTTTTTCAATGCTTCTCATTCTCACGTGTTCTTAGCGCATGTAATCATCTATGTATCACTCTTTTTTTTTCATTTACCATTCACTTTGATTGAATGACTGAATCCTCCGCTACGTCTATTGTAGCTTACATAGTTAGTATGTCTACTCCGGAACCGGTGCAAGGCTGCAGTGCAAGCACTGGCGGTGACGTCGTAAAAAGCACGAAGGATTTAGAGGAATAAAAGCGTCCCCACGAAATGCAAGCATGGCGTTTGATAAGTTGCGAACCCGCAGCCAACTTCTCTCACCTGAGCGTCAGTCATGCCTCAAATTTTGAGTGGATACGTAATATAGTAAGTATATAGTAAGCACAGAGTATAAGGGTGTACTGCATGGTCATACTATACCTGTATACAGTATAAAGTACATAACTTACATATGTATTGTAGAGCATACAAGTCAACGGGATGATCCATGAATCATGCCACGGTCTTAGGGCGATCTTCCTTGGGAAGGACGAGGCATATTAGAATAAAAAAAAGAAACGAAGATCCGATACCCCATATGGAGTCAAGCATATTTTGTTCATTATAAATCATTATAAATTGACATGTAGATCCTGCAGCAAGCGAGGAAGAACAAGGAAATAAATCGCGGCAGCAAATCGGGAATTGACTATGTAATTGCAGGTAGAGAGGAAAAAGAAAGGACATTTCGAAAACTACTGAATAGTGCGTAATTCGGGATAACTAAATCAGTCTTCTGACATGTGCGAACTTGTCTACTGCCAGCATGCAGTATGTTACTATGTGGTTTGCATGCATGCCTCGGTGTTGATAGCCGAATTCTGGCCCATGAGTAAACGTGCTCATTTCGATCATTTGAAATTCTGGATGTCTCCAATCACATACAAAAATGTATGTCGTTTTGTACTAGCTACGGAGTATCCGTACTTGCCCTAAAACATGTCGCTTGCAAGCCTCACTAAATCAATATGACGTCCGCCAACGTGCAGTGAGGCCGAACTCAAAATCTACTAATCCCTAGGTAGCCGTTATAACTAGACGATCCGTTATCATCCGTGCTCAGAGGTAGTATTCAATAGACGATGGCACAGAGATCACTTGACTCTCGCCGTGGCTCTCCGTGATTTCTGGTAGAGAGCTTCCTGTAGTTGATTGAATGAACGTTATATAATGGTCGCCCCCCAACTGGCCATAGTTCGTCCAAGTAGAGGGTGAGAAGAGGGACTTGAGCTTCTGATTCGTTCTATTCTCAAGGATAGGAAATTACGCGTACCGAATGTTTCTAGTAATGTTACCTGACAGAACGGTATGTCACGAAAAGTTTAATACGAGTAAGATCCCTGCCGAATTGGCCCCGCCACAGCCCAAAAAGCAGCCAATCACGTGCTACCCCCGCGCCATTTTTCTTGGCCCACCAGCCAATCAGGTGTCCGGATCAATGATGTATTTTCTTAGCTCTGACAGCCTGCCCTATCTCCTTCATCTTTTTTTTTTTTTTTGGGTAAATTTGAAATGAATAAATAAAAAGAAATCACACATAATTACCGCTAGCTAATTTGACTGCTTAGAGCCCTGAACTGTCATGCAATCAGTGAGCTCAGAGCCCATACATAATACGTTAATACAGCACGGAGTACTCCGCAGTCAACGTCCCTACGTAGTACGTACGACACAGTATGACTATGTATCAAACATGTAAGATGAATTCTGCCCTAGATCAACCTACCCTGATCGGTTGCTAGCTAGCTGCTCCGGGCCTGTCATTGAATGGATCAGGTAGGATTGGAGTTACAAGTTACGACTGATTAATACTTGCTGTAGGACTGGCAATTGGTTAGGCACAAAGTCCGGAAGAGAGAGGAAGTGGTTAATAGGGTCTCGTCTCGCAGCAGGCAAGCAGTGAGGAAATATAACTAGCAAAGTAGTAGCCAAATATAAGTAAGATACGCTCCTCCCCCCTCTCTCAGTCTGCTTCCCTGTCAAATTCCAACCACCCCCCAGAAAAAGGACCTAGAAACGAGACCCGCTCCGATTCGCAGCAGAAAAAAGGTGTGCCTCGCCCCTCAGGAGTAAAGGCTTTCCCTTTCCCGCCAATTCCAATTTCTCCCAATCCTTTTCGAGCTTGCGGCAAAGCTTCTCCTGCCTGCCTGCATGCATGCATATACATCCATCTATCTGTCTGCTCCGTGCTTAGCTGCATACACCCATTCGTACATACATACTACATTGATACATATATATCCATACCTCGTTACTTCCTCTCGCTCCCCCCTCCCTGGGTTTGCTGGACTCGGAAAGTTGATTGTCCATCCTCATCCAGGAGGTATTCTGTTTCTTTCCCGACGCTTCCGGACGGCTCGAACATGAATTGTCTTGTTGCTAAGCAATTGTTCTCCAAGTGCGCCTGAAGGGGACGTGTATCATCCAGTTTGGTAGCCGGTTCTCTCTGTATCTTGGCCGATTCCCTGGTACTTTTTATCCACCATACCTGGAGGTTCCAGCTCCCGCCTTCAAAGTGATTTATACGGACTTCGCCGAAGAAAAGGGTGGCTCCCCGGTGTATTTCGTGTCTGTGGACGAAGTCCCTTCGACCATGGATACGGATACACCCACCGCCCAGGAGAGTGAATATGGAAGTTCGCCATGGGTTGATATAGGGGCATTTGAGTCTCCAGCCCCTCATCATAGCCCACCGTTACCGGACTTTCACGGCTTCAGCTATGCACCTTCGTCTATCATGCCCATGGAACCCGCTTACAACATCTCGGTTGCTCCTCCATACTCGACGATCAATTTCAGCATGCCACCGCCTAGTGCGTGGCCTAATATGCTCGCCGCTCACAGTCATTTCCCCCAGGAAACCACTTTGTCGCCTGTGTCAACGCCAGCTCCAACTATTTCACCCCCCCAGCCAGTACCCATTCGGCCATTGCGTGCTACCCCGGCGCCGCATGTGCCGACTCCTCGCAGGACTCTCACGGATGAGGATCGCCGCCGGATGTGCTTGTATCACGAAGAGAACAAGACAGCTAAACAGACTGACATTGGAGGTGGGTAGTCCATGTTTTTTTTTTTTTTTTTTGCGTTGATATTACTCTTTTCTGTGTTCATTCCATACGTCTATGGATGTGATCACGCTGGCAAAGGAAAAACACGTGGCGAATAGATTTACTAAACACATTTGTATCTGTCCAGCTTTATTCGGTGTGGAGCGAAGGTAAGAATCCATCTCTTTCCCTTCCCATAGATGATGCTAATATGGCCATACAGTACTGTATCCAAGGTCTTGCGACAGAAAGAAAAGTATTTAAGCATGGAAGATGGAAGTCGTTCACCCATCAAAAAGAGCAAAGGAAAGGTTCCTGATATCGAAAAAGCACTCGCCAACTGGGCCAAAAACTATCAACGCCAGGGCTTTACCCTTACTGATGCCATGATCAAGGAGAAAGCACATTTTTTTGCCACGACCTGTGCCAGTCCAGATGGAAAGCACAAGATCCTCACTGCTAGCTGGCTGGAGAAATTCAAGCAGAAAAACCATTTGTCCGGGTCTAAGTCTCGAAAGAATTCCACGGATACCGTCGCGAGCGATGGAGGAGAGAGCATATCTCGTCTCCAATCCCCTACAGAGACGCAGAGTAAATCTACGGGGGTATCGCCTATTTCGCCCATTGGGTTGATGCCATCCCCTCTTTCGCCTACTCATGGTCAAGATAAACTGAAGAAAGAGCCCAGTGATAGCTTCTTTGATTTCTCGATGGACCAAAGCAAGCATAGCCACTCTCTGAGCACTACCTCCCTCGACACAGTTCCATCCTTGTCTGCCGGATTAGCAAGCCCGACGTCGCCTTTGCTCTCTGGAAGCCCACTTACACCGACACTGCGATCATCTCGCCTTCCTTCAATCAGCTCTGCTGTCAACCGGCCCCGAAGCCAGACTTTCCCCTTGCTTTCTTCTGATGCCGAAAGCAACGGAAACCCCGAACACGCGGATTCCAGACGCTTGAAGAATGGGTCCTTCTCTGTCTCAGTGGTCACTTCTCCGTTGGATTTGGAGCAGCAGAAACAGCAAGGAGATGACAACATTTCCCCACGCGATGGCCAAAGCACTACAATCAAACGCAACCCAAGCACCCCAGATTTGAAATCGCCCATTTCAATGCAACCGCCCCCACTACCAGTGCCAAAGTCCACAGTGAGCAGCCCTGTAAGTGCTTCTCCACCTACAGGGTCATCACAGCCTACACAAAATGAAGCACGACGAGCCCTAGAGATAGTCATAAGCTATATTCAAAGCCAACCAGCCGGATTAGGCCTGCAAGCATCAGACTATGCGACCATGGCCAAATTGATGGAAAAGCTTGATTTGGTGCACGGCCATTTAGGCAATTCGATAATCTTGGGCAAGTTGCATAGCATCGATGAAGATGCCGATGCCGATGCCGATGTGGATGTGGATGTGGATGTGGATGTGGATGTCGACGTGGACGTGAATATGGACGGGCCTCATATCGACAAGAAAACGAACGTACTTTCGATGGCATGAAGCCTTTCCCCCCTTCTTTCTTTTCCTTGCTTTCAGGTTTCTGTTTTTCATTTCTTTGATACCTTCGATGCAACCGATTTCCTTCTTCTTTCTTCTCTCTTTTCTTCTATTCTAAGGGATATATATATACATATTAGGTAAGGGCATCGGCTAGGAAATTGGGATACTATTACTATAAGAAGAGGCGGGAAAGCAGGGTTCATACTGGGGGGCGACCTCCATCCTTGCAGGAGTTTTTGTCTTTTTCTTCTTCTTCACTTCTCTTCTTCTGGTGGAATTACTTCAACTTTTTTGTTCTTCTTTCTTTTCTTCTTATATTTATTCACGCATTGGGAAGGTTAGGCAGGAAATTGTCCACGATGACCTCGGGACTAGAAGGGATTATCATTATTATTCACTTACAATATCCATGTTGGGCAGCCATTCACAAAGACACAGACACAGAAAAAAACTATACAGAACGACATGCTGCTCTTGATTTGACTTGCTTGAATGTTTTGTTTTTGCTTTTATATGCTTGCTGTCTGCTATATCATTCAAGTTCTCTCTTCTCGGTCAATCATTCATCCCATCATACATTGAAATATTGGAGTTACATACGTCTTTTTCTATTGGTTAAATTGACGGTATGTTTATATATCGTTCCTTTCTGCCCTTTCGTCCATATTTTCATATATCATTTAGGTACCTTCCATGCCTTGCAATGTCCAAATCTCTTATTCCGTCTCTAGCATATGGAGACGAAGGTGAATGTTGCATGTAAGTAATATATGTTATTATACTGAGTGGCTCTATTCCTGTAAACCTCAAGTATTTTTTGTGTCTACTTCCACTTGACTAGCTACATTGTGTGGTTACTTTCTTTGTTAGTGTGACTATTTACCATTCAAATCTAAGCTGACAAGTCATTCGTCATTAATTTCCAGACATAATAATCCCTCGCTCTTCCATGAGCCTACTAACACTATTCTCCGACAACTCCGGAATCAATTTGACAAGTACCATTTCAATAATTGAAAAGATGAGATGTTTGTTGCAGTAGGCATCGGAGAAAGGATCGAGAAGGTCATTTTCAATGATCGTCAAAAGCTCCTCTTCTTTTCCCTGTCGCTTTTTCGCATGGCTAGGATTATCATCGTCGGTGCCTTGTGACAAGTTCCTTTGTTCGCCATTGTGACTTCTATTATTAGTACTGTTCGTATCTACTCCACGGAAAAAGGCTCGTGCGAGAGAGTCCGGAATTAACGACAAGATATCCGCGGCGCATTGACGTTTGATGGCTGCGACTTCGGATGGAAAAGGGGTACTGCTATTCCCTTGTCTTGAAGCAGGAGCTAAAACAGGTACATCCTTGATATTAGAGCTGCTGATATCCGTGCCCTTCATGCTAGGCAAATGCTGCTGCTGGCCAATATGAAAATTGTCATCATTGATCCGAGGAGGTGCTTGTTCAACACCACTGCCATTATTGGGTGGCACGCGCGCATTTGACGGGAAAAGAGTCGTTCTGACGGTAAACAGCAGAACCGGCAAAATCGTGGGGGTCAAGATATACGTCCCTATCAGATCGCGAAGATACCTAATTGGACGATGAAGTATTGTGGTTAGCAAATGCGACAAACCGGATGTGTCAGAATATGCCAAATTAAAACAGAAGGAAATAGGCAGGTCGTGTCTCAATGTCAAGAAAAGGCAACCACACGAAAGCAAGAAACCAGCTACATCACAGCTCTAGTGAAGGTGTTATCGAATCAAAAAGATCGAAATAACGCACTAACAGCCAACGATTTTAAATTGGCCCAGGCTGCTCTGTGCAGGGGCCAAAAGAAAAAGGCGCAGATGCATGTCAAGCCCCAAAGATGAAGACTCGATGATGATTTAGCTGCCGCTAAGGCCTGAGGCGACCAGGGGCTATGACATATCCGGCAAGGTTGATGCCCGTTTCCTGATTCAAGTAATTCGCATGCAAGAATAAATTATTATGCGATAAGGAAGAGTAGCATCAGGGGAAATTTCTTGGTCGGAATTGCAATTCGCCTTTCTCAAAGTAGCAAGGCCAAGAAATTTCTTGGTTTCTTTTGTCGGCAATGGCAGCATCGCTAGGCGGCAGTGAGCAGTCGATCTACATTTCGCCATCCTCCCTCCCGCGTCTTTTTTCCCCTTTAGATTGGCCGTCGTGCTTGACTATTGAGCGCCTCCATGATCATCATCGGAGGGCGTGCAACAATCCAGGGCAATCAACATGCACACTATGATCGAGATCGATCATCAATGCGATGGGAATAAAAGGTGGCAGGTGAGAGCTTTGCGGGGTGGTGCCAGACGTCATGCAAGATGAAAGGCCGATTTTACGGCGTAGCAGGGCTAAGCGAACAAGCAAATTGAGGGATAATTTCCATTGGGCAGAAGAAGCTTCTGTCAGAGACGGGAGGCAAGGGCCGATCCAGGCACCTCGGTCCGTTCAATGATCAACCAGCCCAGCCCACAGACATTGGTCGCAAGCAGACGCATCGGCCTCCGGTTGGTCTGACTCTGTCGTGACTCGTCGGTGACAGGTTGAGCGGGCTATTTCCCATTAGGGCACCAGTAGCGTCGCTTCAAAATGACGGTTCATTTAGGTCCTTTAGGAATGGCTTCCGGGCGAAATTGTGAGGCGGTTAGTTTTGTTGCCGGCCGCCAGAGCTTAGTGCCCAATCTATGGATCAGAGCGGATCGTGACGAAAAGAGCCACAGCTTGAATAATAGTATCAATCATAATGATTCATGATCATAACGATAATGATAATGATATTGATAATAAATGGCGCTTTATCGTGGTTGAATTGTGAATCGCGACCCACCAAACAGACTACTCGTCCCGGAATGTAACGTATTCCTTGGTGGTATCGTCACAACGACCCCGTGGTAGTTTCGTTCCGTATCGTATCGTACCGTCATGTCTCGGTACTACTCTCGTAATGACCGTAACCGAAAGATTTCACAGGGTCATTCAAGAAGGCATGGCGACGGAAAAGGAAGGGCAGCAGTCCAATGGAGTCATGAGTCGCAAAGGCTCCGTATTGGCCATTCCACCACCCCTAGCAGATCAAGTGATCAAAACGCTATGCGAGTAGCCGAGACTGAGCCACCTTCCTGCCATGAGAATGTCCCAATCAGATTCGTTAAGTGGCTGCTCACAGGGTCACGCAAAACACGGAGCTTGTGTTTTTCTAATGAGCAACACTCCACTGCAACCCTTTGTAGAACGATTAGACAATGACACCGTTCGCTTCCAGTCATTCGATTTGATACTGCCGTTCATGACACCAAACAACAGCCACGGAATGGTGAGACAATGATGCTTGAAGCGGAAAAATGTCCGTAAAAACGATCGAAGGATGAACAAGAGGCCAGGGTTGTGATGCATAAAACAATTGAGTAGATAGAGTTTGAGAAAAGGAGCCAAAGGAATTCACTTACCGGTCAAGTGTGCTACCTGCGTCGCCTAGCTTGCCAGGACCTGCCAAAGCCAAGCTCTGGATCAACGAGAGAGAACCACTCAGCCATGGCATTCGCCGTGAAACTCCCACCAATTGCGAGACCAAACTGAAAGCTCTGTAACTGATCACAGCACGAGGCGTAACTGCCTGGATTGACGCTTTTGACGTTGGCAAGTGGTCTGCTAGATTTGTTTCTTTGGTTGACGCCTCTGTGTTGGAATAAGCAGTACGTATCAAGCCTCCAATTAGAAAGTGCATAGTGAGATATGCCAGGTAGATCGAATATAGCATTTTCCAGACCCATAGCAACATTTTGGATTCAGTCTTTCTTGGAATGGGTTCATTTTTCAACCCATCTTCTGAAAGAAGACCAAATCGTTCCAGACGACTTGATTCTGTGACAGTATTTGACCTCTTATCACTGCTCAATGTCGGATCCGCATCACGCTGTTTCGTCAAGGCGATGACCTTGCTGACTGTGGTCCATATAAACCAACTCTCACATGTTCTTCCACCGACTTCATTTCCTAGAATTAAATCAGATAATACGTCTTCGATCAATGTCCTCAGACAAACATTGTCCAAATCTTCCGTTGGCAGGAGTACGGCCAACACGCCCTGTGCAAGCAAATGGCGATATAAGCGTTCGTTTTCTTGTTGTTCTGTACTTGACGAGTCGGACACGGGAGAAAGGCCGGGGTGTGGATTTAGTTTATGGTAAACTTCGCGAGTCGACGACTTTACTGAAACTAGATCGGAGTGTCGTGCCGCGATCCTATATGCTGAAGACCCCAATACACATGAGTATGCACATTCATGGGAGAGACAAAGGGGATACGGTTTTGAGACGGACCAATAATGTGGGCTTCAACGAGGCCAGTGACCTCGTCCAGGACTAGTTGCCCTATATCTACTTGTCGGATTCTTTGTTCCAAAGCCCGAGTGCAGTGGGCGACGAGTTGCAACACCTCATCGACGAATACATGATCCGGCGTTATCTTTGCGTACCATGAATAGACAAACTCTTTGATAATAACTGCGATCAAAGCGTACAGTTGCAGATCCACATCATTGGAACTCGTCAATGGCGGTAAAAGCTCCTGCAACGGGCGTGGTGCGCTCGATCCAAACGTGGAGACATCTGGACAAAGAACGCGGCGGATCAACGCAACGGTGCTTTTGTCGTCAGCCATCTCGGTGTCGATGGTGCTCCTCCGGTGCTCAGTTCGCGACTCCATTCGATTGGAAAGGTTGGGGGTCCTTGACGGTGACGTCGTCGTCGTTGCTGCAGGTTTGAACGGAGAGGGACCTCTCCGAGGAAGGCTTGTGGTCATTGCATCACCGCAGCCAACGAAGATACCTATTATTTCAGGAACAGACACAGCGATGTGGCGAGGAGGTAGGTAAGTGTGCTGTTGTGATGGCGGATGATGGATGTGCTGTGGAAGCTCGGGAGTAATTTAGTTATCGGGGAAGGAGCCTACCGCTGTTATCGGCAGTGGGTGGGGTGGACACTGAAAGACTCATCCCAGACCAGAACCAAACTTTCTTATACAATACAAAACTACGCTGCATGCACCAATTGCTTCAACTCGGAATTACCTACTGAGGATTGTTGAATATAACTAGCTCTGCAGCGCCATGTCTCAATCCCCAATCCCCCTGTGGCTGGACTGCGATCCAGGTTGGTAGACTACGCGAACCACAAATCTAGCAAAAGGCTAATTTAACTGTTCCCCAGGGCACGATGTAAGAGCAAATAGAAAAATTGTCAAGGCGCATTGCAATGGCTCATTTCTCCTTGTAGGACGCTTTCGCAATTCTCATCGCGGCCCATCATCCATCTCTGAATCTTCTCGGCATCACGACAGTCCATGGCAACGCGTCACTCGGCAACACGACTGCAAATGCTGGAAGTGTCCTGGAGGCCATTGGACGGACCGATATACCAGTCTACCCAGGCTCTAAAAAGCCTTTCAGCCGACCTGCTGTTCATGCACCAGATATCCATGGTGAGTCGACTGTCATGCTAGTCTGGAAGACCGCACTCTCTGACGCATTAGTTTCATTAAACAGGGAACTCCGGCCTTGATGGAACAGACTTATTGCCCAAAGCAAGTTGCCCGCCAGTTCTAGACACAAACCCAATTGTGGCAATGTACAATGCCCTGATAGCCCAGCCAGCAAATACAGCATGGGTTATTGCTACCGGCACTTTAACAAACGTCGCCTTGCTGTTCGCAACCTTTCCTGAACTTGCGGACCATATCAAGGGCCTCAGCATCATGGGCGGAGCCGTCGGCGAGGGCTTCACGGATGTGCCGATGAGTCGGTTACCTGGAGAAGAAACACGTATTGGAAATGTCACTCCCTGGGCCGAGTTCAATATTTATGTAGGTGTTGATTACACAAGGCCCCAAGTCTCTTCTAAGTGCACTCCTGATAATGAAAATAATAAGTGCGATCCGGAAGCCTCCCAATCCCTTCTGTCCAATCCAGTCCTCGCTCCTAAAACCACGTTAATAGGCTTGGATTTGACACATCAAGTACTTGCAACTATTGCGGTTCAGGAAAGAGTCCTCAAAACTAGCAGATCAGAGGCGTCGACAGCAGGCGACCTCCGTCGAATGCTGTTCGACTTGCTTGTTTTCTTTGGTGGGACATACGACACACAATTCGGCATGGCAGATCCACCACTGCACGACCCGCTAGCAGTCGCTGTGATATTATCGAATCTGAATCCGGAGTACGAGAAAGCTCATCCGGATACCGTCCTCAAATTTGACGACAAAAACGGAGAACGATTTGCCGTGGAAGTCGTTACTGATGGGCAACATGGAAGCACACCTGCCGTCACAGGGCAGCTCGGGCGCACGATTGCAAAGCCCACGGAGGGCCCAGGAGTTAGCATCCCAAGAGGAGTTGACATTGAAGTATTCTGGGGCTTGGTCCTTTCATGTTTGGAGCGAGCTGAGCAATGTAGCTCGATGAGGAAGTAGTGAAGCTTTTGCTCTTGCAGCCTAGATTGTATATATTGATTCGATTCATAGTCATAGAATAGACTGTCAATATGAAGTGCATCAGCGAGGATTGTGCAGAGTGAAGTAGTTAGTTAAGCAAGCAGTAAACAGTCAACGGCTGATAGTGGGCCTGCGTGAGGATCAGCCGCTGCTGATTGGCTGCGAAACCCACCCGCAATGCCGTCACGGATAATCTCCGCCTTCATTCGCAAATCTCTCAACATCAGCCAACTTAAAGAACATCGCTTTAACCCTGGCCCAAGATCTTGTCCCTGATAACCGCCCTTGTCCACTGCCTTTGAGCTACGAACAGCTACTCTACGGGTATTTCATTCAGCCGGCCGTTCTTGACTGTACACTTTGCTTTGTTCGCCACTCGATACTTCGAGAACCATGTCCATGTTTCGCATGGATGTAGAACTTTGATGGTTTTCGAGAATGCCACCAACAAGTACTCCTTCGGTAAGTCGATGATAGCTCACTTGTTTTACCTTGTTCCAGTGCCTTCATCCACCTGGATTGCTCGTTATCAGGAGCGTGGTACTATTCAGGCCCAATGTGACCAACAATTTCTGACACTGTCGCGCTTCATTTATTGTAGGAAACGCCTGCACTTCCGTCCGCCGAGGAAATTGCGTACTTGCAGCAGTTAGAAACGATTTCGAGTCCCGTTCCCAACTTAGCTGCAACGCTTTTCAACCTTCCAGCAGGGGCCAGCGATGTCAATGACGAGAATGTAAATCTCCTACGGACGCGCACTCACTCTCCGTCCGAGTCGCCGAATCGCGCTAGGGGCGCACGTACAACGCTTCTGCCGGAGGTCGATCTCGAGAGCATGGACATCGACGAGCAGAGGGGCTTTGTGCCGTCACCCGCAGAAATCACTCCGCGATTACCTTCTGCGCGTCGCCAGCAAGAAGGGCCAAGTGCAGTGCCGAGCTATGAAGGAAGAATGTCGAATCGGAGGTCGCTCTATGGGTGGGCACCTGGCTCCGAGGAAGAACAAGGGGATGATTATCAGCGATATCAAACACACTCTTCGCAGAATTATCAACCGGACGACATCTGGGTTGTGGGGAGAGACCTGAACCGAGAACCCAGTCGTAATTCATCCCTTTATCGTGCCTCTAGGCGAGAGGCTATCGGATCGGTATTGCAGCCATATGCGGGGGATTCGTCAGAAACATCTACTCCTAATAATGGACATTGGTCGGACCACAATAGTACATTCACCGAGGCACTGTTACAATCCGTTCGCCGTGGTGCAAGGTTTGCATCTCGAACGCGCACCCTTCAGAACTACATCCTGGACCGAGAGCGGATTGGCCGTCATGAAACGGACGAGAGAGAACGTGAAAGAAACCGGACGGCATCTTCTTTAGCGTCACGTGCGTTGAGGATGAGCCTGCGGAATGTGTCTGGAGATTTGCGAGATAGAGCTAATACGCATCGACAGTATCTGACGGAGAACCCGCCTAGTTCCAGGCTCAGGGAAACGATCAAATACTTGGAGCGCATTCGTTACTCCAACTCATTTTCAGAAAGCATTTCATCAGCTGTTAGGGGAGGTGTGGTCCAATATGACCAGCTGCTAGGGAGCTACAGCGAGGTTGATTTTATTCTAGACACAACGCTCATCACACCACCAGCACCAAGCTCATGGCTCCATCCGGGGTCAATCTTTTCCGGGTCGCAAAAGGCCATCAATAACATCGGAGGCCATAACTTGGAAATGCTTTCTCGTCGATTATCATCAAATCTGTTGCAACCTATAGATTCGTCATCGGGCACTGCAAATAGTAACGAAACATCAGGCGGTATTAGTGTTGTGACTAATACCGGCCAAAGATACTGGGCGAGTACTGAGTCTCCTACACACCGCCATCGCCATAATCACAACTTCCGAGAATCCAAACATGACCTTTGGCCTGTGAAAGTCACCATCCATAGCATCGACTATTCGGACATGACCTTAACAGGTACAATGGAAGCTTACAATATACCGGATAAGACAACCCCAACGCGAGATGCACATATAGTCACTTTCCTGGAAGGTGAAATCATTGATTTGAATGTGCACACTTTGAAAACAACAAATTTCCAGGCAAATGCAGATATTGATTCCACCTACTGGCGAGAACTGCAACCATTCAAAGGACTCTCTGACGAGCAAATGACGAAGAATCTTCTGAGCAAGAAGTGGGTGACGGATGAGTTGAACAGGAATTGGATTTTAATGCGGTGGAAAGGTAACCCTGTTTTCCTTTTCTAGAATAACCAGATTTACGTCGGATTGACTAACAATTATCTCTAATTAGAACGCTGCTTCATCACACCTACCGATGCTCGTCAAGGCCTCACAATATCCGGCTTCTATTATATATCATTACATCGAGAAACAGGCGAGATAGAGGGATTATACTACGATCCAGGAAGCTCACCGTACCAACAATTATCTTTGATACCGGAGAAACAAACCATGGCGTTTCCCGCGTACGATTTGCGTTGATCCATACCCTTTTCTTTCTCACTGCACATATATCCCTCCATCTTCTCGTTCATGCTCACCTATGTACAACCAATCAAGTACACATATATATACACCTCTTTATAAAGTGCTGTACCTGGCTATGTACGTATTGTTCCCATGTACTCCTGCTAGGTTGGACAGCTTCATTGGATTTCCTTATCAAGTTGCTTAGTAGCTTGTAATTGTCTATAGACAACTGAAACAAACTCTGAATCCTAGAATGACCTTGGAACCCTCCACTCTCTGCTGCCTACGTATTGTCGCATGGGGCTATGACATGTTTGAGCCCCGCGTCTGTGTCCACATGCGCTTCGTACTATTCTATAATTGTTTTGATACAAGGGCGAACATTTTTGCGTCTTTTTTTTAATTCATGTTCCATTTCCTGATATTTTTGAACTTTAAGCTAATGCTGATTAACAAAATCATCTCAACATCAAGAATATTTCCCTCCAATACTTGCACCCACACCAACGCACTTCCTCCATTCCAAATCAGACGGCAGATTGACGATTCGTGCATGGTTCAAAAAAAAGGCGGGAAATATCGCATGATGGCGGGTTGGCTTGTCGTCTTGATAGATGTATCATTTGATATCGATTCAGCAAAGCAAATAGTCGGCACAATTCAGTACTCTACTGCTCGGTCTGGAAGTAGTTGAGGAGGATGGAACGTTCCTGAGATTCTTCACCCCAGTCCTTGACAACGACGCAAGAGCAGTTGACAACCTTGCGAGCGTTACCCTCACGGTCAAGCTGGCCTATAGATTGAACATCATATTAGTAATGAACGTGAAACAGACAGGCTAAAGGAAAAAGGAAAAGGAGTTCGAAAACGTACAAAGACCAACCCACTCGCCCAAAAGCTTTCCATCAGGAACCTTGATGAGGGGAATCTTGTGCTCGGAGCAAAGCGCAACAACAAGCTTCTTGTAGGCCTCCTCCTCACAGCTCTCGTTGAGGACGCACATGTGCGCCTGACGACGGTCAAGAGCCTTGGAAGCCTCACGGAGACCACGAGCAAGACCGTCGTGGATCAGCGCGATCTTGAGGACTCCCTTGAGGGCATCAAGAACGGACATTTGGCCGCCATTGCCGGACTCGGCGGGGACCTCGACCTCATCGGCCTCAGCAACAGGGGGGTTGGAAATAGTCTCTTCTCCGTCCGACTGTGTTGTGACTTTTTGTTAGTATGATCGATACTCATTGTTTTGCGAAATCCGATTGATTGATTCATTGGCTGGAATTGGTCTGCATACCATTTTTGCTGTATGTGTTTTTTTTGGCACCGCCGGATTATCCTCAAAGAGTTTCGTGGATTGTTCGTTTGGTTGGTTTTCTTGGTTGGAGGAAGCAAAACTTGATGCCAATATTTTAGATCTTCGGCTAACCTCAGTGTGCCGACTTACCCTATCCTAATTCGGCAATCTTCCATGTTGATTATGTAACAATCTTCAGCCAATGAACGATAGTTCACCGCAGTCTACTTTTTCGAAAGAATTATTCTGTTGGCTTCTTGAATTTCACGCATTCGTCATGTACGGTTGCTAACAGGAAGAGGTATCATAGTCATACACGTAATACAAACGAAAATACCAGCCCAGCATAACAACATCACTTAATGATAATGATAACAATCATTCAACACCCTATTCGGAGTTTCCACACATGGCTCCTTTGAATAGAATCAAACATATGTACTCGGACGTGTGTGTCCGTAACCATTCGTCAAACCATTCACAGAAGTAGCCGCTTCGTGATAGTCGGAAGGATAATACCCATTTCCATTCGTCTTTGGCCCATCCGAATAATCTGGCAAAGTATTGGAAGGTTCTTGATCGATATGCATCTTAAGGAAATCAATATCAAATCCATGGAGATGAGGGATATGAGGAACAAGATCCATGAAGTCGGACATTTTGACCCAGAAAATGTGTTCCATGCCAAAGTACTTGGGTCGCGTTTCACCATCTTTCTGAATAACCTGTCCAAATGAAGAACATGGCATATCGATATCATCCCCTTGCACTAGGATGCGCCGCGTCACACGCCACAAATTCAACCGCTGAGCAGAAGTTGCCTGCCGTTTCTCCCAGCTTGCATACTGAGAAAGTTGCAGATCATTGGTGGCAAGTAGAGGAGCTACCAAGAAATTAGGAACCCAAGCCTCTTCGGCAACATCGGCACCACATGATGGGTCTAGTTGCAAGGTCCGTGCAGTGACTACAGGCATGAATTGTTTCAACCACGCATGGCTTTTAGCGCGAGGATCGTTAGCTCCGACAAGATTCGCGGCGACTCGTAGCAGGTTTGGAAGTGCATCACGTCGTCGCTGTTCTTGTTCCTCGTGCTCTTTTCGGAGTCTTGCAATACGCATTCGCTCTTGTTCAATTCGGCGTTGGCGCTCCTCTTCTTGTTGTTTTATGCGCCGTTGTTCAGTTTCTTTGCGCTTGCGCTCCTCTTCTTCCGCAAGCTCGCGAGCTATGCGAGCTTGCTCGGCTTTACGCGCCATTTCTTCTTCCTTGGCAATACGAGCAGTTTCACTTTGCACAGCTGTCGTCTTTCCCTCTTCTTCTTGTGCCTTGCGGTTATCACGTTCTAGGTCTCCGTTGGTCTTGACAGGAGCTTCTGTCTCTTTAATAGCAGCACTGTCATCCATTGGTATGCGATCAAGCTCGTGCGCATCTTGTTTCTTATGTTCCTGCTTGACTGTAACTGAGATTTCATTTGACGGTGCCACACGTCTCTCTGAGGCAGGATCTTTGGAGGCTTTGCTCGCTTCGGATTGGTCTTTCTTGTTGGATGGAACCCTGGCGGCATCTGGAGTGCATGGTTCGTCAGTCTTCTTGTGAGTCCCATTAGACGGTTTGTGGGGGCCATCTTCTGGATGCAAGCGGCGTTTCTTTTTCTGCATTATCTCCTCCGAATCTCTAGCACGCTCAGAACCTCGAGAACGTGACCGCTCAGGAGAAATACTGCTGCGTTGACGCTTGAGCTTTGCTGGAACTTCCAATGTATCTTTGTGTTCTTTGGTATCTTTCGCGTCCTTGGCAGTGTGGATATGGGAATTTGAAGATTCTTCACGTCCAGACAGGGAATCAGTAGACATGAGACTATGCCTTCGTCGATCACGGTCAGGAGGACGGCCAGCAATAAGCCGACGACGTTTTGGAATTTCTTCGCTACGGTTGACCGAGGACGCATCACTCTGTCGTCTTTGTATGAGAGCTTTCTTCGACCTATTTGCCTCCTGATCAACAGAATGCTCGCTAAGGATATCATCCTGAGTGATAGCCTTAGAACGGGCACTGGCAAGAGATTTATCCTTTTTGTGGACGGACGAATCGCGCTTCTTAATACTCTCTCTTCCGGTAACATCTTGAGAGCGAGCGGAAGTGGGACTGCGAACTGGCTTGCGAACAGCACTGACTGGAGATGATGATGAACGCCGAGGCGCTTTCTTAACTTCCCTTTCTTGGTCACGCGAGCGTTTGGGAGATTTAGCGTCGGCCTTGCGCGCCGCTCTTTTCATTCCTTTGTATTTGTCGTACGCCTTTTTCAATACCTCTACCTCTTCCTCCCAACCTTCGCCTTTGCGCTTTTCCGCAAGCTCGAAATAGGTGTAACCACGGTATAAACGTCGCGTTGGATTAAACCCCGGCTGGTCTAGTAACAAACGAATAATAGCGAGGTTGCCGCGTCCGATAGCTGCAAGCATTGGGGTGTTATACCCCGGCCGACAGTTGGAATTCTGCACAGGTTCTGGATCTGCATCTGCGTCACCCATTCCCAGTAGCAAAGACATGACATCTTCATGACAACCTTTAGCGGCCGCAATCAGAGATTCGGCGTCGGCCTTTTGAATAACGTTTAAAATATTGGCCACACCGGCCATATCACCTTTAGCAGCGAAATTGCATAAGTTCTCCGGAGTTGCCTTGGTCCACAAGAGATCATTCCTAGTCGCTTCGCTCCTAACCGTCTTACGCCTGCTAATGGCGCTGGCTCCCGGTGGGGGACTCATCATCGAATGTGCGGGAGGCGAATCCCTCGGACTGGCACCTGATGTAGCACGAGGAACAGAGCTCTTAGCAGAATTAGACGGAGGTCCATGGTCTTCGGAGCGCCGTTTGCGAGCTGGATTTGACTTTGCGTGAGCGATGATTCTTCGGATTTCCTCGTAGTCTTCAGAGTCAGAAGGCACTAGATCATAGGGCTCATCGCCTTCCGCGTTGACAAGTCGAGGATTCGCGCCTGCATCGAGCAAGAGTTTGATCACCTCAAGATGTCCATTCTCTACGGCATCTATGAGGGGTGTATCCTTGTCAATATTTTTCGTGTCAATCTCACATCCTGCCTCCAACAAAAACTTGACAATTGGTGCGCAGCCTTCCAGCGAAGCAATCTGAAGGGGTGTATTTCCAGCATTATCGGCAACATTCAAATCCTCGGGGCGTTCAGAATGTCGTGCCATGGCAACTTCGTATTCCTGGGCAGCACAAGCCCTGGCAAGCCGCGTACGTCCATTCTGATCCCGCTGCTTTTTGTGTGTAGCAGCCTTTGCTAAGGAGGTGTGAGCACCCTCAGACAAAGTAAGTCTTCGAGCACGTGCCGATGGCATCGGTGAAGCACTGGCAGATGATGAGACCGACTGACGATCCTCCGAGCTTTGGCGATGGTGGCTGTCGGCCAAGGGCGCAGGTATTTTCCGTTTGCGTTGGAGACTGTCTACGCCGTGGTGCGAGCCTGACGATATCCTTTTATGCGAATGATATGGCGGTGACAGTGAACGATTCTTTGATAAAGAACTTGAAGCCCCGGTCGTCGGATGAGTTTTTTCCCGCCTTTCGCGTTCTTTGATCGAAGGTTGAAGTTGGCGATCATGGGTGCGTACATCCTTGTCCGTGGAATCTTCGTCCACTATGCTTCCGCTAGAGCTGCGGTTTCGAGAATGCTTATTCTTGGAGGTCACCTCACGAGCTGCGGTGGAATGATTCGAGTCACGGCGAGCCAGGACTGACGCGGGTGCGTCTATCCCTTCCTTTTTCACTATAGAAGACACAGATGATGACGTCCTGGATCGAGACTTGTTCAGAGATAGGGCACGCCCATTGTTGGGCAGGTTATCGCCATCATCCTCCTCGGAACGCTTGCGCTTCTTAGAGCTAGGAGATAGCTCTGCGTCGGCAGCCTCATGTCCATCCTCCGACTTTTCAAAATTCTCTCGGGGGGCGTGTTGAATAGGTTTTCTTCTCTTCTCTGGGGAGAGAGACTCTCGGCCCGATTGAATGATAGTCTCGGCTTCGGATTCGGCCTTGGTGCTGCCTTCATCGCCGTCGTCATTCGACTCTCTGTCCAAGGGAGCGCGTGGCACGTCAAGTAGCTGACGTAGGGACGACATAGACTTAGACGCTACGTTGTCCCATTGTGCAGAACGAGGGCGATCGGCACTGACAGCATCTAACGACGACGATGGAGGGATGTCTGCATCACTCATAGCGATAGAACCGGCCCGTGGTGAAATATGCTCGTCATGTTGGATTGCCGTGACGGCTATATACGAAAAGAAGACTCGGCACTGCTTCGAGACCGCAACCAGGTCGAAAGCAGTGAAAACAATACCAGGACTCCACCAATTCGAATACGGACGAGCGGACGCGCGATGGAAACGGGAGTCGTCGCGTTAAATTGTAAGAAATCAAAGCAGGTAGTTTCGTGGGAACAAAAGAGGGAGCGCGGAGGGTTGAGTGATACGCGGGGGGTGGTGTCGTTGAAAGAGAAGAGATGTGGGAAGGGAAGGAGGTCGAACAATAAATGGACGGAAGAAAAGATAGGGAGACGGGAAAGAGCGAGCGAGGGCGGTTAAGCTGAGCGAAAGGAAGGAAAGATGGGGCTTGCAGGGCAGCGCTGCGCCCTGACTGGCCAGCCTTCTCGCGCACGGGATTGGCTGGTCTTTTCGATGGACGCGGGGCTAAGCCTATTGTGGCAGCCGGCTTTCACAGTGTTTTTCTGCTTTGGACTCTCTTCCACGCTCTGCTGGCCTGGAATGATGCGTTGTCGCGTGATACACACACGTACCTACAGTCTTACATGGAGAAAGACGAGCAGGAATTCCTCGTTTTGCTTTTTCTGCAATCCCGCCACCCTGCTCAGTGCTCAGTGGCCAAATGCGCTCGAATGCGACCTTGGTTTTGCCATAGTCTGGGTCTCGCCATCTGCCGAACTCAATAGATCGAATTATGTTGGCCCAAGGCAGCAAACTACTTTTAGCCACCTACAAGATAAAACTTGATAGTCGCGATAGTGTGTGTACGTACGTACTTCGGACTTCCTGCTATGTTAGCTTCGATGAGGGGGGTCCCGACCGGGTCTTCACCGCATCTCCACCTCCAGCGCTACTACTACGATAGGACGCTTTCGTCTGCATTATCACTGTGCAGCTCCTGGGAACACCACTCGAGATGCGATGTTTAGCGCTTAACATCTCTGCTAATGCATCATACAGTCTTTTTGGCAGGAGACAAGAGGATTTAATTGTGTGCCGATGGAACGAGTGACGAGGCACGTGCGGAGTAAATGATCTACAAGCCGATCACGTGCAGCCAAGCCTGCCTTGCTGCCTTGGAAGCTGCCCCAGGCAGGAGCTGAGGTTGGGCACTGCTTACAAGGCGGAACCGCCGACCCAGTATTTTTAAACGACCCTTTCTTCCATCGCTCTTTCAATTCTTGGGCAAATTTACCGCGGCGCGTAATTTATTTGTATTTCTATTTCGCACCGCACCAAAGAGGAAAAGTGCCGTCATCGCAGCTATTTCCGGCTTGACAGTTCCTCTTCTATCCACAACCAACACCACACACACGAAGGCAGGCGTGCTTCGATGCAACAATGTCATTGCCCGGCATGCAGAGTCGGATCTTATTTTTCGGAACAGACATTGTCGATGCAGTTCGCCTGTGCTTTATCTTTGCCTCAGTTGTCGTGCGCAGAATCCTCCCGTTCAGCAGTGTCTGTAATGCAAATATTGACCAAGCTGCTCCTTGATTTTAGACATTCGCATCCTTCACAGTTCCTTTCTTGAATCGCCGATTTGTGAACTATGGTGCCCGTTCAACTCACCGAAATGATGCCAGTCCAACCCAGTTGACAGGCCAAAAGAAAGCTGAATCTTCCATGTCGTCTCACAATGACGGTGTTGTTTCGCAGGTGATGGATTGGTTGGCAACATGGCAGGTGCCACACCGATATTTCACGCACTATTATTCATTTGCTCTCTTATCCTCGGCATTCTGGATCAGCCAGATTCTCACCAAGGGCCCGAGCTTCGACTTCGTTGTATCCCATATGAGCGACGCACATTTGCAGACGTCAATGACCATCCATCAAGTCATCTTATGCACAGTCCTGATGGTTATACAAGCGGGTCGAAGACTCTTTGAAAGTGTTGCGTTTGCGAAACCTTCGTCATCTCGCATGTGGTTCGTCCTTTGGGGGTTGGGTCTATGCTTTTACGCGGGAATCACCGTAGCTGTCTGGATTGAGGGATCAGGTGAGGAGAAGTTTACGATGTTTGATGTAATAAGAATCTTACTTTCTCATAGGGTCGATACTGTCTACAGATCTGACTGTGAAGGACGTGCGGATTACCCAAGTTCCATCTCTAAGGACATTTTTGTTTCTTCCGGCGTTTCTGATAGCATCAGGCGTGCAGTATGATTGCCACGAATACCTTGCATCATTGAAAGAATACACTGTCCCGTCACACCCGCTATTTTTAAAGGTAATTTGCCCTCATTACACTGCGGAGTGTGCGATATACCTCGCCCTTTCCTTCCTTGCAGCTCCACGTGGGGAGATGATAAACAAGACTGTTCTCAGCGGCTTCTTGTTCGTCATAGTCAACCTAGGTGTCACTGCGCATAACACAAAACAATGGTATAAAGCAAGGTTCGGTGAAGATAGTGTGTGTGGAAAGTGGAGGATGATCCCTGGTCTCTATTGATGGGGGAAGACGGGAAGGTCTTTTGCTGCGGAAGCTGTCATCGTCCTCGGTTCAGGAATTTGACCGAATTCCCTAATTTTGCTACTTTGAGCACATCGCGGTAGGTGAGACTTATTCTCGTCTGTCTCTCATAACTCCTTGTTGCACTATAAGACTCTGGTTCCCCAAGGAAATCCCAGTTACAGATGGCCTCTGGGGTCAAATTCTCGTCCGTCAGACGGTCCGCAATCCCATGCAGATACTGCGAATATAAGCTTCCGGTTGTAATCAACAAGCTCCGAGGCTCTTGCAAGATCCGAAAGCTAGGTGCCGTATCTTGATCATGAATCCCTCCTTCCTGTTCCTTTTTCTCGTAGAGATCTAGAACTATCGAACCTGCTAAACTGACAGTCGCTACGAGCGGATAGTACGCTGGCCCATCTTCATGCGGCATGATGCCCTGGCCAGGACGATACTCGTTTACCAAAACATGATTGGGTGCTTGGTGAGGCGCATCAGCGAAACAGCCCAGACTCTCAAGTCGAGGATGGATGATAGGCTCATGCAACCAGTCTGGTAGAGGTGCAGCCAGCAATGTATTTGATTTGGTCAATGCAGATGGCCACGTTTGTAGTCTTCGATGAGAGAGCTGGGTCCATCGTGGAAGGGGAGCCGAGTTTATCTAAATATTATCAGTGTGTTTTTTTCACTTAGAGTAGACTCCAAGAGGGGAAAGAGAGAGATAAGACATACCTTATTCAAAATCCTCTCCTCCTCCTCAGGTGTGATGAAGTTGGGAATATAAAATGCATTCCCAGGTAGATCCGTTATTCGTGCCGAATCAAGAATAAGCATTTTGCTCCTTTCCGAAGTTATCCTCTTGTCACCAGTATTTGATCAACCGTGTTGTCGCAGCTACAAAGCAAAATCGTCAAGTTGACCGGGGCGAAATTAAAGCCAGACTTATTGCCTTAGGCAGCGAATTTTCTCAGAACTATCAATCTTGATACCCCACAATTGCTTCGAACCATGGAAAATAACAAACTTCAGACTTTAATCTCAACCTATATTGAACCTCGAGACATATCCTGCTCGCCGTCAGCATCAACAATAAATTCAAACTTCCTCTCACATTTATATACATCACGATGGGCCCCAAGAAAGATGCCAAAGGCGGCAAGGGCAAGGGAAAGGATGCCTCAGATGGCGACGACAAAGGGAAAGGAGGCAAAGGGTTGAAGCCTGCGAATTCGATAAACGTGCGACATATTTTGGTACGTTATTTTTATCCGAGTGGCGGTTCTGACTCGTTTTTATACATGTTGCTCGTTATTCCTTGACCTATCTATGTTCTTACTACTGGGTAACTTGGTGTGATATGTCCACAGAACTAACATAACCCCTTCTTAGTGCGAAAAACACTCGAAGAAAGAAGAAGCTCTAGAAAAGCTTCGTAATGGAGCCAAATTCGACGACGTAGCTAGAGAATTTTCAGAGGACAAGGCTCGTCAAGGCACGTTGATTCTTTCATCCTTTTCCCCAGAAACCAACCCCCTCTTTATCATTTCTTTCCCCTTCTTGATATTGATAGATTATACACAGGAGGATCCCTAGGCTGGAAAGTCCGAGGAAGCTTACACGGGGATTTTGAGAAAGTGGCATATGAACTCGAGCCTAGCACAACGGGCAATCCTAAATATGCGGAGGTGAAAACCGGGTTTGGGTATCATATTATCATGGTTGAGGGTCGAAAATAACTTTCCCTCCCTGTTTTTAACCATAATCAAATCATTCCATAATATTTTGCTGAGTACTAAGCTTCACTCTGCACGTTGGTCACACACAACTGGATCGGCGCTAACAGAAATCCGGATCCACGCTAACCGGCACAAGACACGTGAGAAATTTCAGCAACGATGAAATAAAAGACAAGACTTTAGAAGGAAAAAAAAAGAAGGCAAGGAAAAAAAGTGGACTAGCATGTCCTGGTTTCGATCCAGGGACTCCTGGGTTATGAGCCCAGTACTCTACCTCTGAGTTAACATGCTGATATCGTCGTGTTCAGTAAGAATAATTTAAAAGTGGTGCTGGTGTGAGTCATAACATGCATGACTCACTCGGGACTAGGGCTAAACCTAGCCCTACGCAACACGACAGACAGGATACAGACAGATGGGTTATGGTGATAAGATCTATATTCACGCAATCTATAAGTATATGCAGACTATACTAAATCAGAGTTTCTTCTTCGCCTTGGCAGCCTCCTTTGCTTTCTTTTCTCGTCTTTGCACGATACCCTCGGCACCCACACCTCCAAAGACAAGCAACACACCCAGCCATTGCCCGTGTGTCAGAGAATGGCCAAACCAGAACACGCTAATGATCATGCTGAGCATCTTCCTGGTAACCGTCACAGTCACTAGAAGCAAGGACGAGAACTTGGATAGAGTATAGTATATAAACACCTGGCCAATTGCGCCGCATGCAGCAAAGCCTAGCACATGCTTGAGCGCCTCCGGGTGACGTTGCAGAAAAGTGATAGCTGACGATAATTCCAAGCCAGCTGAAGGTGGAATCTGGAATGGTAGCAATGATACGATGGGTGATTCATTAGTCAGGTACGGCGTGACGAGTAGATATAACGTCGTCAGCACAGTTGCGAGGAAGTTCTGCGCAACCATCATCTGCGGTCCCGTATAGCGGGTGTAGAGATTTGGGGATGTGAAGACGTGATCCTGTGTAGCGTTGGTAAGGCCATCGAGAAGCAAATTAATGAACAGAAGGAGCAATCCGTAGAGTGTCTGGCCACTGTGCGTCGATGCGGCCATCTTCTTCGAAGTCCCCGGATGGTACAGAGTAAAAGTCGCGACACCGAGTGTCACCAGCATGACCACAGCATATTTGTACAGAGGATACCGCTTTCGGAAGATAGTTAAGTTGAGGAGCATTACGGGAAGTAGTTTGCATGACTTGGCGAGTATGAATGTCAGGTAGTCAATATGCTGCAAGCCGGCGTAGCCAAAGGGAGAGGCCAGCGAAGACGAAATGCTGACGAGAATCAGAGGAAACAATATCTTCTGGGTCGGGAAGATTGACGGCACTTTCTGCCCTTTGGGTGCTGAGAAATACAAGTACAAAGAGCCCGTCACCGCCGCGAAACAAGACTGAATAGTATTGAGGACGATTGAGAAGGTAAAGCGTTCGGTGGGGGAGTCCGACTCGACTGCGGAGACGGGATATGAAGTAGTCGTGATAGCCTCCTGCAAGACTCCCCATAGCAGACTATATTCAAGCATTAGCAAATAATCACCGCATGGGATAATAGAAGACCGTACAATGAAGCATATATACCCGCGACGCAAGTAGCCAACTGAAGAAAACCCGGGCTGCTGTCTTCTGTTCGGGATACTTCTGGTTTTGAAGATGCGCTTCCATTTGCGCCGGCTTTGGAATGGCCATTTAATTGTTCCATAACGTTTGAAGACGGCGCTTTTTGTAACGGAGCCTTTTGTTTAGTTCGCGCCATTTTGTGTACTTATCTGCTATACTCGAAATCGGCACAACGAGGAAGAGGTGGAAAGATGCCATGTGTTCACAACAAATCCTCAAGAGGCTCGCGGCAGGCGCGTTTGGGCCCCACCGTCCCGGTCTCCATCGCCGGTGATTGGCTGACTGCGTTATCATCATCAAATCTATCGGCGGAAACTTTTCTACTCCGTCACAAGTCTTCACTATACAATTTTACATCAAGTTCACGACAGTTCGCAGCTAAAAACGATCTCCCAATGTCGACTCTATCTACTACAGTGTCCGCGATGCCCGCGCCATCTGCTCTGACAACCCTCATTGCCAAGACCAATAGCAACGCCGACCCCGTCTCGGCACTCACAACGCAGGTGTTTCACAACCTACAACACCAGCATCTCTGGACGTCTCTAGAAACACACCATCCTCAAAACAACCAGACCGCTTTACTGCAGGAACAACAAAACCAGGAAGTTGCTGCATCTGTCTCCGGCCTACCGGTACCCCTGATCTCCGGCATTCCCCCGCACCGCATGTACACACACCCCGACGAACAACTATACCTGCTCGAAATAGGTCTCCGAGAAGGGGATCTCCCATCCGAGCGTCTGTGGGTTCTGCCCACCACCCAGGGCCAGTCATGGTCACTACAAAAATTGTCGGCTGTGTTTGACGCGCTACCCTCACCATCTTTTTCATCATTAAGCGGCTCGGAGGCGACGAGGGACGACAACAAAGACAAAGACAGAGAGGCAAAACTTACACAATATTTCGAAAGAAGACGACGAGCTGACGAGCGGAATGAATGGGGCGGGAAACGGCTTATATTAGCTATGGTTGATAGACTGGTTGGCGGGGATGGCACAGTAGTCTATTACGTCGTTCACGATGGACATGTCAAGCCTCGTCAGAACTGATGCGAGTCAATGCTTCCGATCATGCCAAGATGGGTAAAGAAACTATATTAACACTTGATTGAGAGACACAGATATACATATATGTACAATGATTGATGCCTTGTTATGGTGGCAGAAACAAAAAAAGATTTACGCTCGTCAAATGGCTGGCTATACAGGGGGCGCGAAATAGAAAGAAAGAAAAGGGGAGCCAATCAACCAGGCTTCCCTCAAACCCGCAGCGAGTCCAGGTTCAGCCGTTGTAGCTCCTCTTGACAGCTGGAGCAGTACTGGTTGTACCACCGTTTCACATCCTCCTCACGACCGCCAAAGAAGCTTTCATTCGAATTGATGTCGATGTCCCCACTACTTTGCAGAATGCTGGATACTTTATCGCAGCGCTCCGTCTCTCCGTCTAGCCATCGCTCCCATTCGCTTCTCAGAACCTCGGTCTCGACTCTATTGACAACCCGCAGCGCAACGACAAGGTCATGTCGATACATACCCAGTCGTTGGCGAGTTCGTTGAACACGCCGATTAGTCCCTTTTTCCAGGGAATTGTCTGTCATGGAATCTGCTGATAGTGACAGGAGATCATTGTCATTGGCAAGTATTTGCTCGTGGAAAGTCGAGAAACAGTAGCTGTTAGTCCTGTTTCCCGGTGCCCACTCGGAGTTCGGGTTATGTATGGCGTCTTCGAGATCTTTCACAAATATGGCTTTGCTCATCATATTCTCGGAATGAATACCAAGTTGATTGAGGAATCTGGCTGCATTGCGTTCCTGCCACCAATCATATGTATCGCGTGTCGAATAGAAGCCGTTGAGTAAAACGCTCGATAAAAGCAATGCGAGAATCAAGCTATGAGCACTGCAAGTTTTCCATATCCATCGAATAAATGCAAAGAACCAGATCATTAGGGATGAGATGGCGCTTTCTAATAAGGAGCCCGTAGATTCAAACAATAGATATGAGAGCGAGTGTTGCTTCCTGGATTTGAGTTCTTGCGCAACGTCTGGGACGTCCGCAGAAGTGAAGCTGAATACATTCGTTTCATGGCCAATCAGACCAAAAATTGCAAGGGCTCTCTTGGTCCGACTGCGAGGGCCGAGTTTTCGGACCTGGTCGCTAATCAAATCGAGTAGATCCAAGGCGTCTTGCTCGAGATCGTTCATCGCCTGTCGGTCGATAACCCCTAAAGACATCACATTGTTAGCTAATAAGCTGGGACTTGAATCCAGAATGTTAAATGACTCACTTTTCAAAAGGTATGGCGACCATAGCCATTCGACTTTGGTATAAATGGCCAGTTTGCACTTTGATTTTGAGACATAAGTTATGACGATCTTGCTGACGAGCCTAAAGTTTCGACGGAAGGGCAGATGCCATGGTGTGCGTTTATCTGTAACGACGTAGCAAAGGTGGTCGTTAAGAACATCGATAATCTGATAGTCAGAAACTTTCACTTGGGTCGCTCGCCCTGTTGATATGGAAATTATTATTCTGAAGACATGTCGAAATGCTATTATGCAACATTCATACCTATTAAATCGGTTCTTTCAATTGAATATTCAAAGTCTCGTCTCATGTGGCCGGAATCGAGTGTTTTCCAAGGTCCTTGCTTGATGCCTGATTACAAAATGAGCAAGGTGAAAATGGCATAAGAAGATAAATAATGAGTCACAAACCTGTCGCCATTCTCTCGTGCAGCAAAAGTTGCCACAGCACACTCTTATCGCCGAAAAGAACATGGAAGAGCGCCTTGGGACTAATGTCAAAGATCTTCTCCGCGGCAACATGGAGGTTCCCTTGCGGAACATATTGAACAGGCTGGTTTGGTAGTTTGAACTTCTGAATATCCCTGCCGTTGCCGGCTCGGTCAAAATCAGCACTCAAGTCCTTTTCTATGTATACCGGCGCTTTGAGGTCTTTGTATTTCTTCCTGCTCCCTGCTCCGGGACGAGGAGACCTGCCGTCTGTTGGCACATCCAGGGAAATCTCTTCCCAGCTGTCTAGGCTAACCGATTTGGTTAAAGGGTCTGTCTCCATCTTGACCAGAGTCTTGTAAATGGTTTCCAAGTCAGTCGGTTCACCTGATGTTGCGACCTTGATCATGTAGTTTAATCTTCTCTGCAATAACCGCAGGGGCTCGAGGAATGTCTTTATGGTAACACGTCTCGGGGACTCGTCACCAGGCATTGGGAGTACGTGGAGGAACAAAAAGTCACAATCCCTTCCAGTGGCGGCGGTTACTTCAGATATGTTATTTAGCGGTTGGCTTGCTGTCAGGACCAGGCCAAAATGGTGGCTATAGAAGTAAAGATTGCGTGTTGTTACAAAGGCGCGCCCGGGAAATTCCTGGTTGTCATTGGGGTTCCAAGTCGCCCTGAACACCATTATGAGAGTTTCTTCCTTTTTAACATTGGGAAACAGAAGTCGGAACTGAGCATCCTGAAGACGTAGACGACTAGGGTAAAAACTGGGATACTCGTTCGCAAATATGAGCGATCTCTGTAGCTTGCTTGCGTCACCATCAAGACTGACCGTTTGTCTATGTCGAGCAGAAGTTGGGTTGGGCGACGTTCCACCAGGTGTTGGGGATCCGGTGGGTTTAGCATCATTGACTGGTGTGCTTGGTCGTTTTGGCGCTGTGCTTCCATCGTCAAGGGCCTTTGGCTCCCGTAGTCGAATGCCTTCGGGTTGGAATGTATTCACAAAGCCCCAGTTTGCACTACCCCAGAGATTCGCCATCATGCCACTAGGTACGCTGCCTGTAGAGTCTGCAAGTCCCGCTCCAATGCCTCGTTCATTACTCACGGTAACCGCGATTTTACTCATACTTGTGGGAGCTGGTGGGTTTGCTAGAGTGGGAGGAGCAAGAGTAGTTGCTTCATCACGGGTCGCTTGGTTACCATCGGCGTCCCCCGGTTGACGTAGGAAAATGCCAGGGCTATAAGGCAACAAACTATGACTGGCTGTGATCAGGCTCGCAATACCACCGTTCCCACCACCAATCGGTGGAGGAGACAATGGACCTGGTGCAGTTGCTTTGCGGTGAATGTCAAATTTCTGGATAATTCGCGACGCGTGGTCTCGCCCGCCTACTTCTCCATCAAGTCCTGGTATCCGTCTAGCAGAACTGGCAAAATCGCTACTGACTCTGACCGACTGGCCTTCTCGCTCAGGGACAGGCAACGTAGGCGTGCGTTCTCCGTTGGAAGGGTCATCCCCAACATTAGGCGTCAAGAATTCAGTACTGTCCGAAGTGAATTCCGGAGCTGGAGGTTGGGAAATAGAGAAAGCAGGATCCTGGACTACAAGCTTTCCAGAAACAGAGCTCGCTGGGTTTTCCAGTGCCTTCTGCTTTGCTGCTTCAAAAGCACCAATCCAATCCATCAAGTCCTTCTGTGTTTCCGCCTGCAGCATAATGGTGGTTTTCTTAGTCTTGACCTCGAAGCAGAATCGCCGTTCTTCTTGGAAGGCCGGCCTGATGTTGCAGAGCAGAACTCCAATTCGTTCAGTCTCTTCAACACCACCCGTCCTTGAGCTTTGTACCAAGCAGCCAAATATACCGCTTTTTAAAAAAGCCCAGCGGTGGACCCACACTGTCCTCGAGGGTTTGCCGGTCGTTGTCCTCAGGTAAACCCAGCCTTGTTTCTCTGCTTTGAAAGGTTTGTCACCGTTGGACTTTATCGAGAGGGCTTGTCCAAGATACGGCACAGTAGAGACAGAGTAATCATCTAATTCCCGTGACGGTCTTGTGCTGAGCTCTGCGGCATCCTCGATTTGCTTGCGCGCAGATAGTAGTTCCTTGAGAGAGTACCTCTCACTATTCTCCATCTCGTGAACCCAGCCTTTGATCCGATCCATATCCTGACCCCATTTCGAAAAGTTTGCGGAATTTTGGTCATGGATCAGTTTTGCCTCCCGCCATTGATCGAAAGATACCATCACCAGGAGCTTATCCAGAGTGTTGCGAACCTGCGGGGCCTGTATAGCTAAGTCCAGGGAGGCCTTAAGGTAGGCTTTGCGCGCTTCGTGTAATTGGAAAGCATCCTCTCTCAAGGAGGACGGCTCCTTTGATTTAGCCTGCCCGGAATACCTTGCCAACAGATGATCGTAATTTCTCTGCGCTTGATCCAACACACGACGTGTCTCCCTGAAGGAACGCAAATCTCCCTGTATAAAAGTCTTGATCGGATCCACAACCAAGCGATCTACCTTTTTCATAGTCCCCAAAATCGAACCCCACGTATCCTTCAGACAGTCTCCGTGCCGCTTTATAGCCAATACGGTATAGTCATGGTCGATAACAGCCTCGGAAATGCTGATGGGGCTTGCGACAAAGGATATGAAGGAGCCTATCGCCTGCTCGAAAACGGCGAGCTCCGATACGAGCCTGGCTGCTGCCTTGGCGTACCCGTCAAGCCATCGTTCGACATATTCGAGCTGGTCGGCGAAGTGGATGGTCGTGGAGCGGAAGGTAGGGGAGTCGAGGGCAGCTTCCTTGAGCCCGACAGGACTAGAGACGACTCCTTATTAGCAAAAACCGCATTTGCGCGTTTCCAACACTCGAGAAGACGGATAGAACCCATACACCACACTGACGAGTTTTCCGACCTGAGGCACCGTAGTCGGCTGAGGTGACGCCGCCATTTACAACGGGTGAATACTGTTAGCCATGCAACGCGCTTCGAGGGAGTTTGACTGTATGTGTCGGGGTGAGAAACGAAGCAAAGAATGGATGCTGATGGAAGAAAAGCGAGTTAGTTAAGATTAGTGACTCGGTATAGTTGAATAACAAATATAAATAATGACGACGGCGAGACGAGGAGACTTCAAAGTTCAGCCAGGATGACGCCGCGCTAGCCTGGTGGAGCTTACCCCAGAAGTGTGTGGCCTGAGGCGTTCGTTGATCGTCAGCCGCCGCTGGTATTCGGCATGGATTGTTGTTTATTGCCAGCCTGAAGCCGTTTTTCTTTCTTCCTTTCTTTCTTTTATTTTTCTACAAAATAATGATAAATTGTGCAGTTCCTTCACCTTTTTGCAAGAAACGAGGCAGTTGATCTATCATGTAACCGATATTAAAAGTATATCAAAGTCATGCTGTTTTATAGTTAGGTGCCTCGTGGCTTCGACATATAATTGTAATATTGCATTGTTATTTGATAGCTCTTCTACAACCTAGCCCTTCATGCAAAGTCTGTGCTCAATGACGCCTCTCGGGCAAGCTTCAAATCCCCCGTGACACTTTCCAACTTCTGCTCAAGACGAGCCACACAGTCTGAACCCAAGGGCAACCTAAGAATTTTCCCCTTGAGCCCCCCAGCAAGGCCCTCTCCAGTCACGACTTCGAATATCCTCGCCACGCCTTTCGCCGGGTCACCGATCTGATTCCCGTTGGCAGCGTCAAACTTGTCCAGCGCGATTTGCACTGGCCCTTCTTTGTACGGCTCTGAAACACCGGCTTTGGTGATTTGTGCCGCTTGTAGGAAGTTGGTACGGAACGCGCCAGGCTCAACCACGAGTACTGCGATATTAAATGGGGCTAGCTCATGCGCCAAAGTCTCGGATAGTCCTTCCAGGGCGAATTTGCTCGCGGCATACATTCCGCATGACGGACGACCATCCTGGCCTGCGATGCTGGATATGTTGACGATGGTGCCGGTGCGGCGGGCACGCATCGAGGGCAGAAGAGCCCGAGTCAGGCGGACTGGTCCGAAGAAATTCGTCTCAAATTGGAGCGCGCCTTCGTCGTCACTGTAAACAAAAGTAAGACCCCCATTTCGCATCTCGTTTGGCTTGAGGCTGGAATGCTCACGTCATGTCTTCAACGGCTCCCAACAGCGAGTACGCAGCATTGTTGACTAGGATATCGATATGTCCGTAGAAGCTTTCTGCCTGCTTCGCTGCCGCAGATATTGTGTCCGGTTTGGCGATATCGAGCTCGACAATCTTACCACCCCGTGCTTCTATTTCTTTCACCACTGCCGCTGATTTGGAGCTGCTTCGGACGGTGGCCACCACACGATGTCCAGCTGCCAAAACGTGGAGTGTCAGGCTGTAGCCCAGGCCGCCCGAGCTACCGGTGATGAGCCAGACGGGAGATGCCATTGCTTGCTAGGTAGATAGTCACAGGTCTAGCGATCGAGTGTCAAAACGGGGAAGGACAACAAGCAATGTGGGTGCCCAGGTCTTCTTAAATCAAACCACAGGCGGAGCCGTCGGCGGGGCCAGCCATATCTGAGTTGGACTTTATGCGTATTTAAGTCCTATCTCCGGAAGTGCCAGGGAATTGATGGCAGATGCTTTTGCTGGTGGTGATGCTTAACAATCAGTCTAGGCTATATATATATATATATATATATATATATTGATTGTATAGCATGCTATATCCATGGATAGTTAATTCCTATCTCCGGAAGGCGCAGTTGCATGATGCCGCTTGGTGTTGACGTCTGCAATGTTTCGAAACCCAGTAAGAATGGCCTGTGGCTGTTGATGTTGTTGGTTGTGCTCGTGTTGCGGCGGGACGGGCGGAGATAGACAGTGTTTTGATTCTCAAGATATTTGGACAAGGACAAACCGGGAGTGACTACAGACCATAGATAAAATCCTCTCAATTATCAAGAAGGGAAAACAGACTTGTATTGGCATGGCCATGTGCAACCATCGTCGACGTGCTACCGCTAGAAATGTGGCATAGAGATCATTCAGCACGCATATCAAGGCGCAGTTGTAAGTTTCTAGAGAACATGTGCCCGAGCACTGGAATTTTGTAACTGGCAACTCTCTAATCTCGTAAACGATAATCAATCTCGAAAACTGTGAAGGCAAGCAGAGCGAGCCTGAGGAGTCGAGTCGCTCGTGAGGCGGTGTGGAATCGGGGCAATTTACTGCCGCCCCGCTAGCCAATTTCTAATTTTTAGTTTTTTTTTGATAAGCGCAGTTTCTACTCATTCTCCATATTGGCGTTTTTCTTCACTGCTCATATTTCCATTCTGTCAAAATGGAGCCACCGTCGAAAAAGCCGCGCAAACTGCTCGAGGATAGCGAGTCCGAGAGCGACTCAGACAGCCAAGGAGGAGTAACCGTGCCTGCAGACTTCAAAATCAACGAAGAATACGCTCGCCGTTTTGAGTATAACAAAAAGAGAGAGGAGAAACAGCAATGTACGTCACTTCATGAGCTGTATTTGTCTATGCGTCTGCCCTTCTAACCTTTTTCATCACACAGTGGAAGCAAAATTGGGCAAGAGCTCAACGCGCAAACAAGCCAACGCAAAAGAGGAATCCGATGAAGAAGAGGACAGCTCTGACGATGAGGAGGAAGACGAGGACGGTGAACTGGCCACTGAAGCACTCGATTCAGAGATCTTCGCGACGCTAAATGCCATTCGCTCACACGACCCGCGCGTGTACGATAAGGACGCAAAGTTCTACTCCGAAGTGACAGAAACCGAGCTTTCTGCTCCCAAAGACAAGCAAGAGAAGCCCATGTACCTGCGCGATTACCACCGGCAAAATTTACTTAATGGGGATGCAGATGAGTCCGAAGATGCGCCAAAGACCTTTGTACAGCAACAAGAAGATCTCAAGAAAAGCGTCATTGGAGAGATCAACGCTGCCGAAAACGACCAAAGCTCCGATGAGGATGAAGATGGAGATTTTCTGGTTGCTAAATCTCGGCCAGTGGATAACAATGGCATCACAGCCTCGAAAACGCCTGCTGAGGTCCATCTCGATGTGGAAAATGCGGACAAGGACCCGGAAACATTTCTGTCTAATTTCCTGACTTCGAGGGCATGGATACCCCCCAAATCATCCACGCAGTTCCAGCCGTTTGAGTCAGATGACGAGGATGAAGAGCAGAAAGCCGAGGAATTCGAAGAGGCGTACAACTTCCGATTCGAAGACCCAAGCAAGATGAACGAGAAAATCATGACACATGCCCGTGACACCGCGAATGATTTCTCGGTTCGTCGAGAAGAAACCAGCAGCCGGAAGAAGAAGAGGGATGCCGAGCGCGAGAAGAAAGAGGAGGCGCGACGGGAGCGGGAGAACCAGAAGAACCGGCTGCGCAGGTTGAAAATGGAAGAATTCGAAGAGAAGGTGGAAAAGATTAAACAAGCTGCTGGACTCAAGGCTGCTAGCATCACTGAGGAAGAATGGGCGCAGTTCCTCGACGACAATTGGGATGACGAGAAGTGGGAGAAAGAAATGGCGAAACGGTTCGGTGAAGAGTATTACGCTGAAGATGATATTGATTTAAATGCGGGTGAAGACGACGGAAAGAAGAAGAAACGACCTAAGAAGCCTACGTGGGATGACGACATTGATATCAAGGACCTTGTGCCTGACTTTGACGACGAGGCCGAGCCCGGTGTCAGCGTTACTGACGATGAGGAAGGCGAAGACGAGGACGCGGGAAATGGACCTGCCAAGAAGAAGAGTCGCACTCAAGAAAAGCACGATCAGAAACGAGCAGCCCGCAAAGAACGACGACGGATTGAAGCAGCTGTCGAGCGCAACCTGGATCTCGACCCGACGCTACTACCGGGCGCGACGAAGAAGAACGCATCCCATTTCCGCTACCGAGAAACGTCTCCTCAGAGTTTCGGCCTCACGCCTCGCGATATCCTGATGGCTGACGATGCGCAGTTGAATCAATTCGTCGGGCTGAAAAAGCTCGCGGCGTTCCGCGACCCGGAGAGAAAGCGGCGCGATCTGAAAAAGATGGGCAAGAAGGCACGGCTTCGCCAGTGGCGGAAGGACACTTTTGGCACTGAGGACGAGCCCGAGTTTGAGCTCAAGCAGGCGCCTGCTGCTGTACCGGAGGAGAAGGCGGATGAGATGCAAGTTGATATTCGCGAAGGCGGCGGGTCTCGCAAGAAGAGAAAGAGGTCGAAGAAGCATTAAAATTCTGCCAGCGCTGTCTATGTATATTCTATGCCTTGTTGCCATTTACCTTTACCTTTACATTTCTATTTCTACTTCCCTCTACCGACGAGTTGAATCAATTGCAATGTACAAAGCGTTCATTTGATATCGGGCCATCGGCAAGTCTAGCCAGTGGGTACCTCGACCTATGTGCCGCTAGCCGGAGGGCGATCATCGAAGAGTAGAAGACTTCACTCAGTCTTGAAGTACAAAGTGGATTGCTGCGTAACAACTTGTCGATATGACTAGTCGAGTCATCGCAATGACGGAAAACTACGGTGAGTATAATACGTGGGCGAGCTCGCTGGTGTGTAGAAACGCAGGAGTAGGACATATCAGATTTTGCATGCCGGATAGCTGCCAGCCAATCAGAGACCGGCTGATTTCAGTGGGCCCAGGGTCGAACACACGAACACAACAATAACAGTAGAATACTTACTTCTCTGCCATCAGAGTCAGACAGACATCGACCGGACCGACGGCGGCGCCATGTCGTATCGGCCAGGGAGATGTAGCTAGGGAAGTAGGGGCCGGCGCCTGCGGAAGCCTGCCCGGGCTTGCTTGGACGCGCTGAACGAGGCTGATAGTATCTCTATGATACGGCGTCGGCAGAAGAGCAGAGCGAACGACGCAGCCATGGCTGGCTCGCATCAAAAATAATAGATAGATAGATGGATGGATGGATATAAATAAATAGTTAAGTATAGCTGGGGTAGTTAGCAAACAGCGTGCTATATAACTAGTATATGGGGTACGGCGCTCGGGAGATGTCGGCAGCGCTGAGAAATTTTCTCGTTGCTTGAGTTACCCCTGTTCGGCCTTAGCGCCTGCAAAAGCTTTTTCCTGATCCCGTGCCTTCCCTTCCGCCTTTTAAAATTCCTTCCGCGCCTTCTCTCTCTCTCTTCCTCTTCCCTCTCCATCTCCCAGCGTCGCGACACCAGTGTTTCTGTGTCCTTCTTTCTCTCTTTCCTTTTTGTGTTGCTCTCCTCTCCTCTCAGTCCCCGTCGTCTTCAGACATATTATTCAAAATGGCCAGCCAAGGTGACAAGTCGGTGTTCGGCATGCCCGTAAGTTTCTTTTTTTTTTCCCTCCCCTTCCATTCGTCTATCAGAAGCGCTCGCTGCATCAACGAACAATTGAAAATCCATCGCAATGGCATCGCAAGAATCGAAGTACTCGCACAAGGCACATGAATTGGTTCTGGCGATGGCTTTGAGGTTGGAGTTGATGCGGTTGTCGCCTCCTTTTCTCGCTTTTCCGATACCGTGTCACTAACATGTCATTCCGACAGGGTTTCGTTGTTGACTTTTTGAGTAAGTCTATCAACCCATATCTATCTCATAAATCAATCGATTCGATTCGACTAGATCAATTCGTTCAAGTAATTTGATTGGATCGAATTGATGAAAATGATTTTGTCGAGTTTTTTTTTGTGTTTTCGCTATCTTTGTTTTTCGGTCGAGAAACTAATCGCCATACAGTGGGTGGTGTTTCCGCTGCCGTCTCCAAGACTGCTGCTGCCCCCATCGAGCGTGTGAAGCTTCTCATTCAGAACCAGGATGAGATGATCCGCGCTGGTCGTCTTGACAAGAAATACGGTGGTATCGTCGACTGCTTCCGTCGTACCGCTGCTGCTGAGGGTGTTGTTTCTCTGTGGCGTGGTAACACTGCCAACGTTATCCGTTACTTCCCTACCCAGGCCTTGAACTTTGCTTTCCGTGACACCTACAAGTCCATGTTCGCCTTCAAGAAGGACCGTGATGGATACGCCTGGTGGATGGCCGGTAACTTGGCCTCTGGTGGTGTATGTTAACCTCGATCCGATGGAAAATAAGAAAGGCTACTCACTAATTTGTTTAGGCTGCCGGTGCTACCTCCCTTCTCTTCGTCTACTCCCTCGACTACGCTCGTACCCGTCTTGCCAACGACGCCAAGTCTGCCAAGGGCTCTGGTGAGCGTCAGTTCAATGGTCTCGTTGACGTCTACAAGAAGACCCTTGCTTCTGATGGTATTGCTGGTCTCTACCGTGGTTTCGCTGTCTCTGTTGCTGGTATCGTCGTCTACCGTGGTCTGTACTTCGGTATGTACGACTCGCTCAAGCCTGTCGTCCTCGTCGGTCCTCTTGAGGGTAACTTCCTTGCTTCTTTCTTGCTTGGTTGGTCTGTCACCACTGGTGCTGGTATTGCTTCTTACCCTCTTGACACCATCCGTCGTCGTATGATGATGACCTCTGGTGAGGCCGTCAAGTACTCTTCTTCCTTCGATGCTGCCCGCCAGATCGCCGCCAAGGAGGGTGTCAAGTCCTTCTTCAAGGGTGCCGGTGCTAACATCCTCCGTGGTGTTGCTGGTGCTGGTGTCTTGTCTATCTACGACCAGGTTCAGCTCATCCTCTTCGGCAAGAAATTCAAATAGATGATTTCGCCGAAGTGTTTTTTAGCACAAGGGGACGAGGGGCTTATAAAAGGGAGACATGACTTAGTACAGGGGTTGGTACTATGTCGGGAGGTGGTTTATTAAGGATAGAACTATGCATCTGGGTTGAACCGGAAGCATAGCGCACTGGAAGTTTTTCTATTTGTTGTACTTTACTACTACTACCTGACAGCCTTTTTTATTTTTTTTTACTCCTGTACTTCTCATATCATTCAATGGATAGTTTCTGTTGTCTACATTTCCCGCCGTAGTCGGCCACCTGCGTAATCACGTGCCATGACGTAAGTCTATCCCTTTCTTTCCACCAACTTCAGCAATAACCAACACAAAAAGGAAAACCACGAAGGATCTGACGAAAATAAAACGAACAGGAAAATGCCACCCATCCGAACCTTCAAATCCGCCCCTATAAACCCTCACTCAGCTCATAATGATTCCGCGCAGCAAGAGCAGACGCAGACGGAGACACAACAAGACAATACCAGCGATGACTCGACAAATAACGTCCCATCCTGGACCCCAGCTACACCCACCACAGTCCTGAATACTGCCTCATATCCAGCCGCGAAACCAGGTGCATATGCAGTGCCGGCGCCTACTTCCTCGTCTTCAACGGGCACTACGTTTGTGACGCCTACAAAGACATTTCCATATACAGACGGCAGTGGCACTGAAACCCCGTCACCGCCAGCGCCTCAACCGGTTAGTCGACCATCACCTACTGCAAGTACAGGACAAAGAGCAGGAAAAGGAGGAATCCCTCCGCCGCCCAAAAAGGGTGAACCAGTTCAACCGGCCTCGTACTATGCGCCACCGCAAGGGATGACGACAGCAACGGCGACGTCGTCGATAGCTACGTTGCCAAATATGGGAGTACAGCCGCAGCAGCAACAGAATTATTATTATCCTCCGGTCGAGACTCGGAGTGCGTCGTCGACGATACTGGGTAGTAATAATACTAATAATAGTGCTTTTGAAGGCGATGAGAGTATAGGGCAGGATATATTGAATACGACGAAGTCATGGATGGCGAGTGCGGGTGAGAAACTTGCGGAGGCTGAGGAGGGGGTTTGGAGGTTTGTTAATTCGAAGTGAAAAAAATTTTTTTTTTCCTTTTCAGGTGGTAAAAGGAAGGCTGTTCATGTACCTATGTATGTAAGGATAGACAAGACAATCGGACAAGACGATAAGACTTCTCGGGTTGTTTAATTTAGGCTGGTGGCATGTAAACTTACCTGAAGGTACGATGAAATGTGCAACAATGAGTCATATGCTCGAGGAATCAGTACGTGGTCGAGAATATTGGCAATGATTCTTGCACCCTGCTGAACAACCTGATATACCCCTTCGTTTGGTTCACCGAGCCAATGTAAGATGCGAGACAATTGGAAGGTGCATTAAGCATTCTTTGGATAATCCAGGAACGTCAGTGCAAGGGGGCTTTTGCTGATGAAGTTGGCCGTTGTGATTCGGAGGTTAGAATAGGACTCCTGCTGCTGGAAGAGCCAAGTAGCATAACTATCTATCAAAAACATATAATACATTATAACACGGAACGAAAAGCCCTGTATTGTCTCTACTAATCTAATCTGGTGCGTGACAAGATGTAACAGCGCCAGGATGATTCCACATGATCTATCAATCAGATCTTGCAGCTTTAGCCCAAGTCCTTTCCACAAGATCTAATGGAGAAAAAAAAACTCTTCGTTTGTGAATTCCAGATGGGCGACTGAATGGCTTTTGTTCATGTTGCCGTTATCAGCTTCCTTGGTTGGTTCCTAGGTACTATTTAAGTACCAAGCCCGGACTGTTCTTATTCTACCTAGGTACAAGGCCAACCACTTTTGATCGCCTCCACTGCTCAGTTAGCATGTATAATAGTGCTCACTCCTAGACGGTAGCAGAAGGATGATTCCCATGCGATTCTAGGTGAAAAAGTGTTAAGAACGAAGAGAGGTGGCCGCACATTCATTCAGTAGAGCGTACCTAGGTAATAAATGTATGAATATGATATATAATATGATAGCCACAAACAGACGCAACTTAGTACAATCGATTAAGATGACCAAGAATGCAAAGGAGGTAAAAGCAGAACAAGCAAAAAGCTCAAACACACGCAAAACAAGCGACTAGTGCAATACAGTCAAGATGACCAACCGCGAGCGTTTTTTGTCGAGTGTTTTCCCTTCTAGTAAAAGATAGGTTATAGCTTTTGTTTTGGCAATTCTTGTCTTTGTCCTTTTGTCCGTTGTTGAAAATATGCAACCGCGTCATGAGCAGTCTAAAACAGGAGACAAACATTTCCCCCGTCGTCATTGTCGAATCGAATTGACGTTGTCGTAACAAATTAGAAACAAAATCCGTATAAAAAAAGTGACTCCGTCGTGTGGCCATGATCAGGCAGAAAAAAAAAAGAAAAGAAGAACAATGCATCAAAGAGGAGAGATACATGACTCAGAACAGACCGAGCATTCGACGCTTGCTTTCGCGTAGGCTCAAGGTCATTGCAATCCAGTAAAACTCCAAACCCAATAAGAAATGAAAATGTAAAACGCCAATCATGCCAGATAGGCACATATCCCATCCCAATAATCCTTTCCCATCCATGAACCCAAATGTGCAACAAATTATATATCATACCATGCCAGCTTGCCAAAAGGAGTGATTATAGCGACTGGCACTGGGTAAGTATCGCATAGCTTGTAAAGCAAACAATAAAAAAAAAAAAAAAAAAAGAGGCCAGCCTCGTGACAAAATAAACGTGCTGTCTTCTGCGGCCAGTTTCAAACAGCAAACGTAGTGCAAATGTAAACTCAATGGAAATGCAACGTAACGGATTACATAGAACCCAACCGCAAAAGCGCTTCGACTGCAGCTCGTTCTTCGACATCACCACCGACGCCGTCAGGTAAAGAGAACCCCAGTTGTTGAATCGTAATGCGGCCTGGCACAGACTTGGCCAGGGTAGCTGGCGCAGGGCCTCTGGGGAGGCGTTGCGTCTTTGTATGTACAGAATGATTTGTTGTATTTACAATCCCTCCTCCATTGGGAGATCGGGCACGAAGGGCATCAGCACCGATGCCGGCCCAGTCTTCTTCGTCGGTTATATCGCCTTCGTCCCATTCGTCATCGGGAACGGCGTCTTCCGGCATATCGGAATCAGAGCAATAATCATGGGATTCGTCACCGTCTAGAGACATTTTGTCAGCTTCGTGGTCGCCGTAGTCCAAATCGGAATGCGAAAAGATTGCAGAGTCGGCTACACTAGTGCCGTAAGCCGGTCGATTATTCGCATTTCTCCACTGCGAGTGCTGGGGAATCTGTACCCCTCCAGATGGGAAGCTGGATGGCGGCGACGTAGAAGGGAAAGAAGAAGTATAGGCCTGCCGTTCACGGGGAGGCTGGCCCCGAAGACGAGCATCCCAGCGGCCCCAGCCGACCTTTTCGAATATAACGTCGCCATGAGTGCCACCACCTTCGCCTCCGTTGCCTCGTCCTTCTAATGCTCCCACAACCAGTCGGCGTGCTTTGGCAGGCGGGATACCTGCAAAGCCCGGCACAGAAGTGGTGAGGTGGCCCATGACATGGCGGATTGCCAGCGGGCCGTGAGCAAGGAGAATATCCGGTAGATGGAATTTGGCCAACATCGCCGGGGTGATGGCGCCAACGCTATCGAGGTTCTGAGCATTGGGAGACACATGAGGATGATGGTCCTGGCTTTTCGCATGGTCGACCGCGTCCTGCAGATCAATGTCGGAATCGACGTGCATGTGGGCGACGGGAGGGGAGAGGGGAAGGGTTCCAACATGATGCTGCTGATGCTTATTCTTGAAGCCGAGGGGAGCGAGAGAAGGGGAGATAGAGTTGGGGGGAGTAGGAAGCATCGTATGCTGTCCGGGACGAGCAGATGCGACAGCGAAGCCGCCCCTGCTATCCTTCGCAGCGTCGCGAGAGACGGGAATATCGACAGAAGCCGTTTTAGCAGCGAGCGCCTTGCCTATATTGGACACGGCGATTTGGGAAGCCATAATCGCGTTGAAGTTGGTGTGAAAGAACTGTTTGATATGGCCGGGAGAATGAGTCAGACTTCGGTGTCCGTGCAAGATAAGGGGGTAGGTATATAGAGCGCGCGCACCGCACCGGATGATGCGATGAAGGCGATAGGGGTAGAGGAAGAGGGAAAACTCACGTCACGTCAGTCGCAACTTCGCTATTATACCCGGTTCGATTTTATCTCCCTCGTTGCAAGGAGAGATAAGAGATGGACGTGGGAGCTGGCGGTTGACGCGAGTTCACCAAGCGATGGGAGAGATGGCAAACCGAGATAAGGGCGACACGCTGATAGTGGCGAGCGGCGAGAGACGGCCGGGTAGGTAGAAAAGAGCGATGGAAAGTCTTGAGGGTCAAGCACACAGCGATGCTCTGTGGTTCTGCGGTAGTCTGAGTGGTGGTGGTTGTAGAGGGAGAGAGGGGGAGGGAGAGGGCGATGCATTGCTCTAATTATCTAAGTTGGCAGGAGGCATGCCTGTTTGGGGGTGGGGGCTCCCGGCCGCGTTACGGAACGGTAATCTTACCCGTCGTTTCCGTGGCTCGGTGAGGATCCCCTACTGATCTACGAGGGCCCGTTACCGGTACGATACGCGCGTGTCTGTGGGCAGCTGAATGAAATGGCGCAGACGGCGCACATGCTGGATTCTTTGCTGGATACGTACTCACGTAGACGGAGTCAAGAGCCCCCGTGGGCAGCTTGAGTGGTGATAAGCCCGCGGGTGCGTTCGGAGGCGCTTGGGTTACGCTTGGAGGAGCCTTGCAGCAAACCATCCAGATATGGAACCAACTTATTCGGCCAAGCGCGTTCGTCTGCTAGCTTTACTGCCAGAAACTCCGAGTCACCACCGCACCTTATGACGCACAGTGTAGAATGTAACCGGTAAGTTGTAACTATAACTATAACTATATGAGAGTGCTGTTAGCCAGCCCCACAAAGTCGCTGGAAATGAATTGATAACTACCCTTCTGGGACTAGCGGGTCTTGGCGTTAGGGCTAGGGTTTGACATGCGTTGACTGTATGAGGCGCGCTATGCTATTGCTTTGTGATAATCACTTGTTTCATAACGGCCAGTAAATCCAACGACACTACTGAGAGGGAATGATGATATGTCTCCTCGATTTGCAGATAGGCCGTCTCAGGCCGTACATATGTACCTCTTGAATATGCCGAGTTTTTTCTATCTCATCTACCTTGTCTCTTCCAGAGAGCTTTTCCCATCAGAGCTAGGTGGCCGGTTATGTATGTCGAAAAGCCAGACTTATACCTTTATGAGATAGGGCTTTCCTTTCTGGATGAGTCCAACATATCTATCCCAAAGTCCACGATTATCGATATCCTATATCGCAAGGGTTAGTCTACAAAGACAGGACAAGGCTTTGATAACTTCCTTAGCTGGTGTGTTGGCAGGGTGGGAACACCAACAAAGTGCAAAAGGTGACGTTCAAAACACAGGTCTCTCGATATTAAAGAGCTCTAGTGGACGTAATATCACATGCAGAGTGTATAGTTTGGCCCTTGGAGTATGCCTCTTTTTTTTTTTCCTTTTCCGAAATCGTTAGACAGAAGTAGTATTTAGCAGGGATTCGAACCCCCTCAGTAGATCAGCCTTTAAATCATCTATATGCTCCACACCGACACTAACACGGAGCAGAGCTGGGTTTGATGACGGATCAACAAGTCTCCTCCATTCAAATTGGCTTTCCACACCGCCTAAACTGGTTGCATGCTGAAATGAACTTAGCAGCCCCGTTAGCCTTCGACTCATTTCTTCAGTTTTCATCTCTAATGCGAAAACGGGCCCGAATCCGTTTGGCATCTGCTCTCGTAACCAATGCATGTCCTCATCTTGGAGGCTGGCATGTCTGACTGCAGAGACGGTCATCTTGACGACATTATCCTCCTCACTCTGAAGGCACTCGGCAATCCACTGTACTAAGCGCGTGGCGTTCTCACTCTGTCGCCTAATGCGTAGTTCCAGGGTACTTAGACTGCGGAGGCCGAGCCAGACCTCCATACTGCCCAGCACACTACACAGAATTGTGCGCTGATCATGCAGATTCTTGAACCATTGCTCTTCTCGATCATAGGAAATAGACAAAGTACCACAAAGGAGGTCATGATGACCTCCAAAGTATTTTGTACTACTGTGCATGACGATATCAGCGCCGAAGGCAAACGGGTCCTGGATACCCGGCGGTGCGAACGTTGTCCACGACTAAATAAGCTCCGCGCTTATGCGCTTCCTCGGCAAAATACTTAATACTCCTTGCTTCGCCGGTGGGGTTGACAGGCGTTTCAAGGTGAATCACGTCACCATCCTGGAGTGCGTCGAGATTCTCATGGCCCAAGATCTCACACGCAGTTAGTTGTTGGTACAAGTCGACAGCCTCTCTGCTCCCATAGTAACCGACGCCGATGGCAACTCGCTTAGGCTTGAGAAACACGAGATATGCGTTCATAGCAGCATGTCCAGATGCGTAGGTCAAAGTAGGACCTCCGATCATTGCTGACAGAACCGTCTCCAAGCGTGTTCTAGTAGGAGCACGGTCTCGAGAATAAAAGAAAGATCCAATCTACAGAGCGATTGTCAGTGATCTAGCCGGAGAATTAAAGCGCTGCGCAACCGTCTCCGATGCCTTGACCTACTGTAGTTCACCAGATCCCTCATGCTCTTGATACCGGAAGGTTGTGCTCAAGTGAATAGGAGGCGCGACATCAGAACCTTGGGTCACATCATTGTCCGCATGTAAAGCGAGTGTCGCGAGGTCCTGATGATGCATTGTTGAGGGCGACGACTTTCAATGCTATGAACTCCTCCACCTGGGAGGATGAAACATATATAATGAGAAGCAAGGACGAATCATCATCATTCGCGGCTATCGTCGGGCCGATATGACTCCGACCGGTTGTCTGATTGATAAGAGTTTCAGGACTGCCAATCATCTGGAATGATTTAATCCATCAGACTGTGTTTGATGCTAATTATTTGGATTAAGGACGTATTACCATAGATCAGATTGGTAGATATCGTCATTGCCAAAAGCAGCGTTAGTCATCCCCGCAATGCAGCAGTACTGACTGGAGGCATTGTAAAAGGGGCATATTCGGCCCAGTCAGGTACATAGACGAGAACAATCCTCATCGAATACACACACATACATTTCTCCTAGTAATCTGTTCAGAACGTATTCCGTTACTCATTCTCTAACCTCCGCGTTCAATCCTAAGCGGATTCCGACAGAAGCTAGGAGGTTTACATCTACTACACCAAAGCGCCGTCCGCCGAAGTACTTTCCAGCTTCAATCATCTCAAAGCAAATCGGTGCTAAATAGAGACCATGCTATGAAAGAGTGCGAGACTTTCTAGCAGCAAATGCAAGCACCGCAATCCAGCAAGGAGGTCGCCCGAGTCGACACTTCTGTCTAGAACGACCACGCGGCTTGGACCGAGGTGTACAGGTCTGCTCAGAGGGATGGATCGATAGTTGAAAAAGGAAGCCGTGTCTACCGCCATGATAAAGATTCTCCTCCAGAGTATCACCAAATTCTCTTCCCAAGTGACCCTTAGATCATATACCACACGTTTGTGAACTGAGACTTTACTGCACAAGAAGCCGGACTAGAAAATGCCGATCTATTTCTATGCCACATGGCGTGCAAGCTGGAAGGCAAGACGACGCTTCACGCGTAGAACGGAAGCCTGCCATATTGAAATGTATAAATGAAGTGATCATTCACTGCGTTTCTCCCTGTTTAATCATCTTCTTTGTCTAGGATTTACACTTGGGAGCATGTTTCATACTTTATCTCTCCATACCCATACCCAGTATTGTTCATTGGCACGAACCAGTTTTCCGTTTTGCAAGGCGAATTTGCATGGACACTTATCAAAGCTCTCGCATGATATCCCTTGTATGTTCCTAGGTAGATAATATCCATCCAGCGAAAAATGAGTGAGTAGTTTGACACCCTCCAGAAGTCCTACAGTGTTTCAGCCTCCTGCCTAGATATCGAAGTACATACAAGTTTATAAAGAATAACGAGACTCTTACCCGCAGAGATAGCTGCCAATTAAATACGCATACGAAAGCTAATGTTGCATTGTCTGGACATGTTAGTGTCATGCTATTCTTCCTACTTTAGTATTACTACCCAAGTACTAGTCCATACCCAGAGTCACCAGTACGCCTTTTCAGGGCCCTGGCGGCTTATTGGGACATGGGACTGCATCTGGTACTGTAAGATAGCATCGTAACATATGGCGTCTGCTGGATTAACTAACTCGTGATCCTTCAATATTTCCTTATCCGGCGTTCCGCAATCATTCAACTGTCTCTGTATCTGCCTGGGACTCGGATATGATTTCAATACTCTTCTCACATACCAGTGTAAATCTGTGAAATCTGATGTGAACAGTGGAACTGCAGGGCACACTGGATGTATGGTGGCTAGCCTCTTTCCTGTTTTTTGCCTGTTTAGGAAAGCGTGGTGCGATTTGCCCTAACTGTGACCCTAAGTTGAGTCACTCATCCAGCGCAAACCGGAAGCAAACGTTCGTAACACATAACGAAGGTTTTATATGCAATTTATATCACCCACCCCAAGATATGTCTTCATGCCTTGGATTTGTTTTTCATGTCGGATCGGTACGCGCAGCGTCGGATAGGTGCTGTAGCCGAAGTGGCGGAACCCCCCGCACTCTCACATCCGACATCAACTTCCCCTCTTCAAGCAGCATCGACAATGGCAATCCACCAGATTATCGGATATGGATAGAACAGATTGAAAACAATCAAGAGCAGTAACTGATCATGTCTGTGAAAACTATGACGGGGCTTGCCATCATACAAGGATGTCTGATCGAACCTCGGTTGTCTTATAGAGGTTAGCGACAGAAGAGTTTTCCATATTTATTACTTCAGAAACCTTGGAAGATAAGATCGGTCTTGCATAAGATCATGAGTGGAATTAAGTCGAACTATTCCCCTGTCCGTGAAGCAGAGCGCATCCTGGGCCTTTTGTGCCAACAAGCAGAAAATTTACGCCTCCCCACGGCGGTAGTCAATAACCAGGATGCCGTTACCTTTCACTCGACTGCCGACACAATCTACTTCCCCATCCCATTCAAGGAAACCGAGACTCTGGCGGCTCTCAAGGCAGTGGAAGGCCTAGTCGCAGGAGAAATCGCAAATCTTCGATATGGAGAAAAACCGCGGAAACGGACTGTCAAGGTCAGCTTGGAGGCTGCAACCTACTTTGGTTGCCAGGCCTATATGGCCAAAGTTAGTGGTCTGGGGAAGCTAGATCCGGGTGTGCGGTCCAAGCTTAGAGGTATATACCCCGTTTCTATCTTTAAGAAAAGGATCAGGCAAACATTGACTCTGTGTAGACACCGATCTTCTGGCAGCCCAATCCAATATGTATCGAAGAATGTCTGCAAATCTGTACAGGACCAAGGATGGGAAGTTTTTCCACATCCATGGCTCCCTGGAAGCTACCACCACACTCAATATGATCGGGCTAGAAGGCCATCGACCTGACTTAACTGATTATCAGAAGATCATCAAGACTATCGAAGATCGAGTGGAGAGTTTCACGGCTGCAGAGCTGGAAAAGATGAACGCGGAAAAAAGACAGGCTGGTGTCACCGCGTACAAACACGAAGATTTTGTCAAAACACCTCATGTAAGCATGCACTTTTGATGTCCAGTCTTTGGCTTCAAGGTAGATATCTTACATATAATCTAACAGGGCCAACTCAACACCCAAGAGCCACCTTGGAGTGTCACGCAATTACAAGGCAACATACCGTCGACAGAGTTTCCAGCTTCTCGCAATGGCAGCCGAAAAATCCTCGAAGGAATCAAAGTACTAGAACTCTGCCGCATCATCGCTGGGCCGACAATTACGCGCATCCTCGCTGAATATGGGGCCAATGTTTTGAAAATCACGAGTCCAAACCTGAGTGATGTGCCTTTTTTCCAGGTTGATGGGAATATGGGCAAACATGCCGCAGATTTGGACTTGAAGACAGCCGAGGGTCGACGGAAATTCGAAAAGCTATTGGCAGATGTTGATGTGTTTGTGGATGGATATCGGCCTGGTGCGCTGGAAAAGCTCGGGTACGGACCGGACAAGCTGGCTGAGCTAGCAGAGAAACGGGGGAAGGGGATTATCTACGTTAATGAGAACTGCTTTGGATATAAAGGGGAGTGGGCAGGTCGTCCGGGATGGCAGCAGATTGCAGATTGCGTACGTTCCTTGAACAAACCAACAGGAAACTTGGATACGATGACAATAGCTCACCTGTCCATATCTAGGTAACCGGCATAGCATGGGCACAGGGACAGTTCATGGGCCTCGACACGCCAGTCGTCCCTCCATTCCCCATCTCAGATTACGGAACAGGATGCATGGGTGCCATCGCCGCACTGACGGGTCTGTATCATCGTGCCAAAACAGGAGGGTCATATCACTGCAAGGCCTCTCTCATGCATTACGACCTCCTCCTCTTCGCCGTCGGTCAATATTCTGCCGACTTACAAGAGAAGCTTCGCAATGAGCAACTGCCCGAATTCTTTGACCTGCGTCATCACGACAGCGTCGACCGCATTTCGGCGACGACGCTGGGTGTGCTGCGGAAGCGGTTTCCGGATCTTTTCTCGGTTGCTGATGGTAGTTCATTGAATACAGAGAAATGGTTCTCGACGAAGTACAATGCGGAAATTGAGGTTGTGAAGCCCGTGGCGCAGATCGAGGGCGTGGAAAATGGGTTTGTCCGCGCAAGCCGACCAAATGGAAGCGACCAGGCGAGCTGGGATGGGTTTGGTCTGGAAGAGAGTGACTATCAAGTTTCTAGTTAGGCATATGTATATACTGTTAAGTGCATTAATTCTATAAATATAAGCCAATTAAAGAGCGCTTTTGCAGAAATAGAGAATGTCGAGTAGATCTGCCGCCATACAGAGCAGTCTTCACCAATGGGTTCCATTTTCAGTCGTGAAATATATAATAGCCACTAACTTACCTAGGTACATGTCTCATATACCGATAGTAACGAACGGTCAGTAGCCGAGAATCACGCCAATGCAGTTTACACTCTCGTACTTGCCTTTCTTTTTCATGCAGTTAAGCATGATTGATCTTCATTGACCAGATTATGCATCTAGTGTGAAAGTTGATACAAAGCTAAAGCTTCTGAGTTTTGACTATAAAAGGACAATAGAATCCCATCATCGGCAGGGAAAAGAAATTTAGTAAATTCTTGACTGTCACTACATTCTCTATTCTCCAATCATTGAAATTCGAGCAAAATGGACTATACTCTTTTAAAATACTTGAATGAGCCTAACCCTGAGCTCAATATCAACGAACGAATAAGCAACATTATTATGGGCGGACAATGGGCATCGGTAGACGGCATAGTGAATTGGGATGAGTTTCCCAGTTTCAAGGACAAATTTAGCGCTGAATTAGGCAAACACACTAGGGTCGACAATCTCAGTGCCCTTACCGAGGAAGCGGGATTCAACACAGTTTATGTTGAACGCTTCTTCAAGGGGCAGCTGTTGTCATGCGCGGCAGACGAGGACAAGCGTTTGGTTAGGCCTCTCGAGCAACTTCAGTATTATTGTCTAAGTTTAGACGTGCCTTATGGTTTCATCTTGACTTATGCCTATATTGTGTGTTGCCATTTCACGCTGTCCCCCGATATTCAACGTTCGCCACGGCCGAAGAGGACAGGCATGACACAGCATGCACGAATGCAATCTGCATCGACTACATCCAGTGGCATAGTCTCCAGCATGAGTGACATTTCCCTCGAACCTCATCCGGGGTATAGAGACGTCAATCCGGTGAAAATTGCGGTTGGTCGATGGAATCCTCAAGGAGGCAGAAACGAATTCTCAATCAAGCTATCTCTTTGGCTTCTAGTGATGGAAGCGAGGCATCACCGTGGGCTGCAGCAAGAATACGAATCACCAAGCGATGGCTCCACGGCTCATAAGTCATCCAATCATGGAAAGAAAGCAGCTGGCAAAGGCAAGCGGCTCGTTTAGCTCGTTCATATGTCAAGTTAGCCTAGTTCTCATAAATGCAAATATCTTCTCAATAGCATACTAAACTACCCCCGTACGTAGCAGCTAAGCCTGATGATATCAGACTTGATTGTTCGAAAAGGAAAACCATACTCATTTTTTTCCCTACACGCCATTTTAACTAATTAGGGGACTTTTGGTCATGTGCAGTGAGTGTACCACAGATACTTTACAACCAACTTACTCGTAGTCTTGCTTAGTGGTTTGTATGGTAGATCATATAGATAATCGATTATTCCTAATCAGTTTAGATAAGTGGGCCGAAATGAAATGGACCTATGGACTGGAATCCGCCGACCAAGCAAACATGCATACTATGTATACTGCTTCGAGAACCACAACATGTCTGTCCCAAGAGCTGGTTGTTTGGAAAATCGAAAAGCCCTGGGATCTTATTCAGGATATCGAGTTTACAACTTGGAGAGTGCTGAAAATCTACCATGGTCTCATTCTGAAGTATAAAATGCACGCTTGCGGGGACAGCCAAAGTGCATTACCCGATCACTTGACCCCCACAGCATCAGACATTTATATACAGCCCTAAGCTCGCAATCAAGGGACATACAGACAGACAGACAAAATGCCCCCAACAAGCATAAACACAAGCACATTATCCTCCTTCATAACCTCCTTCTTCACTACTAGCGACACTCCAACCGCCCACGAAAAATATGCCCGCGAATACTTCACCGCGGACGCAACGCTAACCATGGGCGGGAAACGAGCCGATGGGTTCGACGGTACGCACATAAGATATTCATCCTTTACTTTCCGTTTGTGACTGGTATCTTACGACGTATAGAAATCCTCTCCCTTCGCAAATCACTCTGGACATCAATTTCATCCCGCAAACACACAGTGTCCAAGATATTCTTCGGTGCTGAGAACGACGCGATGCTATATGGTAGAGTTGCGTATGTCATGAAGGGGGAAGCAGGGATGGAGGTGGAGATTGATTGGGCTGCAAGGGCTGAATTTGTCATTGACTCTTCTTCTTCTTCGCCGAAGATGAGGTTTTATCAGGTTTATTTGGTGTGTTTATCCATTCTTCATTGATTTATCCACTGGTCTTGAAAGGATTCATGCTAATTGGAGATGGTAGGATACTGCTGCTCAACAAGCTGCCGCTGCTGCGGCGGCGCGGCATAAGTAATGGAATAATGAGTCTGCTATTTGGGTATAGATAGGTGCTTTTTGTATGTAGCTTGGCTAGCTAGCTACTTGTATTTTCACAGATAATTATCCATTCCATACATGGGTATGTTCCCCGAATATAACCCCGTGTCTTGATTCAACGGCCACAGCATATCAAAATGAATCACTTCCTCAAGAATAGGTCCCGGGTCGGGGCCTAATAGATCCTCTGCGCCGGGAAACACGAGTCCTTCGACGTTATGCGCGAAGTCATTGTTGTAGGTATTGTTATTGTTGTTGTTCATTTCCAAACCTGTCGGCATGCTGGGCAGAGTATCTCGGGACGCACTGATTTGAGGTTGGATGGAAGTAGTAGTAGACCAGTCCCAGGCCGGCAACTGAACGGATTGCGCTGTGGTTGCAGTTGTCGCTAAATGGTCTTGTCGCGCTATATCCGGCGACAACAAGTTAATATGATTCTGATGATGCGGCTGCGCTGCGGCTTTCCCCGAGAAAAGATCCTCAATTGGATCCTTCAGCGCGTAATCCTTGCTCACTGTCCCTAACAATCCATTCATCGATCGACGATCGGCAATCGTTTTCAGAAACGAGCGGAGAATTTGTAGATATCGTGCTGCCAGAGGATCGCAGTCGGAGAAATGCTGGTGTAAATAAATCGCAGTTTGTGCTACTGAGTCGTTCTCTGGGTTTTCGTAGACGTTGAAAAATGAGTTTGTTAACACGACGAGAGCTGCGATGAACATCCAGTTTCTGATATACACGTCAGTACACTCATAGTAAAATCGGTGAAAGAGAGAGGGGTGCTACATTATGAAAGGATTCCTCCGCGGCAAACATCCTTTCACGCGAATCGTCTGCACAGCCCGAATCAAATGCGTCGCTGATCGAACACACGCAGCGGAATACTTGTTGAGCTCAGGATTGTCTGCCACTCGAATCTCACCAGGAGAACTCGCAACAGCTTCTGAGACTGGTGATCTATGACCAGAAGGCTTGGGCCTCTGCTGTTGCTGTGAGATAATCTTCTTTACGTGGAGCAGCAAGAATGGCCGCGTCAGGAGGATGATTGTACTAAAGTATGTCATCCACACATGTAATTGGCCCATGGCTTTACCCGGGTCGTCATGCGGCATTGGAGTAGGACGCCATTGCAATATCTCAGGCAGGGACAGTGTCCATTCGTGAATTTGGACTGCGATTGTTCTCGCAATTCGTAGCGACACTTTGCGTGATCGATATATCTGATGGAGAATAGTGCCGTGTATCTGGGCTGCTCGTACAGAAGCAAAGAGAGCTTCAAATTCAAAGTTTTCAACGAATCCTGGTGTTGTGCTGATTAATCGTTCTCTTGTGGGGAAGAGTTCCTCGGAGATCTCTTCGTCTTGAATTGCAGTTGGTCGGCCAAGGCAGGACGCCAAAAATCGATCCATCACGTAGAGACTACGCCATAAGAGGACCCTAAAACAATATCAGCAATGCTGTCATCTGAACTAAGGTCCGAGGGATTACTAACCTAGGCAAGGACATGGACGTCCTCTCAGTCTCATCGTAAACCCGCTGCGTCTCGGCTCTATGCAGCCCTAACGCGTAAGCAAGTCGCACAGCCATACCTGAAGAAAATAATTCAGTCAAGAGTCTATACAAGATAGGAATGAATATACTAACCAATATAAGCCCAAGCGGTGTTTCGTTTTCCGACAGATAGCATATACAAAGTCATCAACAGCAAGGCTTGGATAGACGCAAAGTCCCCATCTTCAATGCCCGAGGCCGAATCCTTAAGGTGCCTTGCGCCTAGGAAAAACATCTCACTACGATCGAGCTTGTCAGAAAGTAATCGCTTTAAAATAGCGGCTTCCTTGGCCGATGGTTGCGACGAGCTCGACCGCAGTTGGAGACCAACAGCGAAAACCAGATACAGAATGCACATCCATGACTGGTCTGCGGCGAGCGGGTTTTGGTACGTGCGCTCAACTCGTTGCTTGAATATGTTCTCGTCAAAAAGATGCAGCATTCCTTTTGTCTGTGTATAAAGTAAGAGGTTAAAATTATATTCCCTGTCGGTGACTGAGATAATGGCTTACATTGGCGAAGAAAGAATCCACAAGAAACAACGCAGCTTCCCGGTCTGGAAGCGTAAATGCGTACTGAAAGGTAGTAGGCTGTGCCTGCATTGATGCTTCAAGGATATTGTGTCGATGCGGATCAACCGTGAACATCGAAGTGCCCATTACGCTGCTGACAAGCTGGCGAATGGTCTGCAAATATGACAATGGAGCAGCATCACCAATATAGACTTTGTAATTGAAATGGTTAGTTACCATGACCTAGTCCGGTACTATCTAAGGTTCAAACATACGCATTCTCCCCTTGCCGTCGTCTAGCATTCGGGACATGCCTTGTATTTCGGCTTCATCAGTCTCATCAGATGCCGCACCCTCCGCGACATTGTCGGTTTGTACAGGGGTTCCAACGGACGTATTCATCACCAGCAAAGAATCTCGGTTTCGCTCTTGGCGTTGCGAAGGAGAATGACGCGCAGCAATACCCAGCTGCTCTGGCGAGTAATGGGCGGTCTCACTCAACGTGGCCGGAGAAGGAGCGCCTCCACCAGGGCGATCATGATGCAAGACATCGGGTGTCGATGTTTGTTGTTGTCGATATGCGACATCTGGAGTAGTCGAGTCTCCCAGCTTGCGTTTCTTACTGTTCTTGCGCTGCTCTGGCACTGCATTAGTTACCACCGAAACTGTCCCAGTTGCAGGCACAGGAGCGTCAAAGAAACATTGCACCCTGCGCTTGCTACAGTTAGCACAGGGAATAGTGCCATTGCACTAATCAGACAAGCATTGGTTAGTCAACTACCAGAAACTCTCAGATGGATGCAAGTGCATACTTTCTGCTTCCGTCTCTTGCAGTTCTCACACGCCTGGGCAGCTCGGATTCGGTTCTCTGGAGCCACCCTGCGACGCGCCATGGCGGTTAGCCTCGCACGAGCCGATGAAGATGGAGTGGTTGACGGTGTGACATCCGATGCTTTCGGAACGCGTGTCGGCGCATGGTCCGTGAGCAATCAATGTTTCTGTATGTATGGTGCGGAGTTATGCCAGGCTAAGCAGTAAGCATGCCAGAAAGTATACAGATCGCCTGGTCATTGGCGCGTTCTCTAGCGAGCAGATAATCCAGAGAGATTGATGATGATGATGATGATGTATCAATTTCATCGGCAGAAATTCTCGGCTGGAACCCCCGCGCGCGCTGTGATTGGCTAGGCCCTGCACTGTGGGGTATATGTATACTGTACTGCCAACTGCATCAACCTCAGGTCTTCAAATATCATATCTAGCATTTCCTGAGCTAGTTTGTTCGAGTGTCTACAGAAAACGACGAATCTACTGAGTGCATTATGGAGCTCGGAGCGGCACCAACCTAATTTCGGAAGACGTCAACGCTTCGTCTGCATGACATACATATTCAGCCGGGGGTATATTTACTGGTACTTTCCACCACAATAATAATAACCATTGCTACACACCATGCCGTATATCACTGTAAACCAGAAGCGCCTGCACTATGCAGACTCCAACCCAGCAGCTGAGGGCCAAACCTACGTCTTCATCCACGGCCTCGGATCCTCGCAAAACTACTATGGCGCCGTACTGCCGCATCTCACGCCGAGCACCAACAGGTGCATAGCGATCGACACGTATGGCTCTGGAAGATCGCATTACACGGGGCTAGAGCAATCAATTGACAGCATCGCCCAGGACATTGTGAAAGTGATGGATGCCTTGAAGGTCCCCAAGGCCGTGCTTGTCGGTCATTCCATGGGGGGAACCGTGGTGCTGCATCTTGCAGCCAGATATCCGACGCGAGTGGTTGCGCTGGTGACTATTGGGCCTGTGCATCCAACGGCTAGTACGGGCCAGATATTTGAGAAGCGGATTCAGATTGTGTCGGAGGGTATGTACTAATTGAACTTGGTAAATTGAGACTCGGAGTACCTAACTAACTGATTGTGAATGAATGGATACAGATGGAATGGAGCCCATAGCCAACTCAGTCCCCCGCGCAGCAACTGGCTCTGGAAGCACCCCCTTGCAAAGGGCTTTCATCCGAGAGCTGATCCTAGGGCAGAGCCCCGAGGGCTATGTCTCGCTCTGCCACGTCGTGTCTGAAGCAACGGCACCGGATTATGCGGCCGTCAAGGCCCCGCTGCTCATTATTGCGGGGGATGAGGACAAATCGGCGCCGTTGGAAGGATGCAAGCATATTTTGGCGCATGCGTCCAGCTCTACGAAGACGCTTGAGATTTTGCAGGGAGTGGGCCATTGGCACTGCATAGAGGCGAGTGACGAGGTCGGTGATTTAATTGTCAAATTCTCAAAGTCATATAGTGGGTGAAGTTCCGAGGCTGAGATAGATGCTTATTGATATAATAAGGATAATGAATGACACTGTTTCTTAACTAGCATGTGGACACTGAATATGCAAGGTGGTTTAATGAGCAAAAAATAACAAGCAGCTACTATGCCTTTGTGGGTGAGTGCTGCCAGCCTCCAGGACTATTGCTGTGACTTCAGGTCCATGTAAATATACCATATTTTGAACGACCAATAAATAAATCAATTTCTGACTACAGGCCGGCGATAAATTGGGAAACATATTCAATGACGAATAAACACTTACAACGGATATTGGGCTGATTGAAATCTATTCAATCTGAAGCCATAAATCGGGTTGACAGTATAAGTAACTCATGGCATATCGATTCTGCGCGAGGGGTAGATGGTCTATGAATTGGGTAAATAAAGAGAAACAACAACCAATTATGGTCTGTGTCATTTGAAACTAACCTTGGTGATATTGATACAAAGAATACTCTAAAACTAGGTTATGGCATCTTTAGCCAAAAACTGGCCCTAGACAGCTCTGTCATAGACAAGATATCTAACTATCGTACTGTAGGCTCATCGGCCATTAGCTTCACGTCGTAATTCAGTTCGAGTGAAGCTTTGGGATCTCCTTCCCGTGGAACAAAATCCACAATCAACGACTCCTTCACAGCAAATACGGAGTCGTCGGTGAGATATGGATCCTTCCGGTCAAATATTTGTGTGACGAGTGGTTTGTATCCATCATGTGTAGCCTAAGCGTTGGTCAGATTTACTGCTGTTGTATACAACCAAACACCAAAAGATTACTTACAAAGATATGAATATGTGCCGGACGATAGGGGTGCCTGTCCATGAGCTCTAGCAGTTTTCCTGCGGGGCCTGTCCAAAGATAGGTCAATAAGCACGATGTTTGAGGAAATAGGTAGGGATGGGTGACAAACCATCGCCAGGAACCGGATACGGCGTTGGCCTCAGGCAGTAGAACCAGTATCGACCATTGTCATCCGTGGTGAATCTGCCTCGGAGGTTATGTTCGACCTGGTCCGGGTCTTGCTGTTCATATAGCCCGTTGGTAGAGGCCTGCCAGACCTCGACCACGGTGCCAGGGATAGGCTTCTTGGTCTTGTAATCTAACACCTGGCCATGCATGAATGCCATTTCTCCGTCGTCGACCCCAGTGACAATACTGTCGCCATTCTGACGGGCCATTGTGTCCGCTCGGAAAAAGGGGCCTAGGATGGCTGTTGCTGTAGGTCTGTCTGATTCGGCGGCTACTTTGTAAGTTATCTCATCAACCAATCTATGTATTGTTCTGGCTTAGTAACTGATGTCTGCTAAAGACTTCTTCAAACAGCTGGGCCTCCTTACGATTCGAGCCCGATCACATCACATAGAAGCTGCCCTTCATTCCGCTTGCTATCACTCATTTGGCCAGCCCAATTGATCATCTGTACGGCAGCCATCCACTCGTCCACTGTTAACTCATTCTCTCGCGCAAAATCGTGCATGTGTCGAATGAAGCCGGCCATCAGTTGGCGCAGACGAGGGTTTGTCTTGGGACCCATGGCGTCGACCACGCGGTCGGTGAATGTAGCATCGTAAACATGATCAGCCATTTTGCTATCTTTTCTTCCGGTGGCAAACAAAAAGAGAAAACGACACACAAGGGATAAAAAAATGACGATATAGAAGCTTCTTGGCTGAACTTCCTAGATATAGACAGATCACATAGTCTCCGTCGGCTTGACAGTTCGTTTAAATGTGAACTACCATGTCGTTTGAAGGCACGGATCCAGCCAACCATTTCTCTTGAATGTAATTCCGTGTCAGCTGTTGTCTAGAATATAATTCCGGCGTTGAAGAGCTCTCATCCGACTCGGGTGTAGCACCATTTCCCCGCTTCGGATGTAAATCCCCCTCGTCTGCTTCCGCTTTCCCCGCAAATGGCTGGTTTCTTATACGCATGATGAACGCTGCCTGGAAGCGTCTAAACTCCCTTCGTCGACACCAATCTTCGCTCAGCAGAGTCTCTCCACGTCGATGCCTTCATCATGTCCTGGCTGACTTGGAAGAGATATACCACCCCGAAGTAGATGTTGAATATCTCGAGGACTACGTGCCCGGCGGATACCACCCTACGCTGATCGGAGACACATTTTGTAATGGCCGCTACATCGTTGTTCACAAGCTTGGGTTTGGTTGATATTCAACAATTTGGCTCACCCGGGATCAGCAACGACGGCGCTACGTGTCGTTAAAGATACTGAGGGCGAGAGCATCGCCAGATAGCCAGGAGGACAGCACAAATTTTATGTTTCCACTGTGACGCTGCTAGATCTACTGCCGCTCAGCTCGTCTTAGGGCTGTCCTATTTGCATTGCAAACGGCATATGCCATGGAGGTGAGGACAATGAATTGGGCTGTCTATACTGATCCTGCATACTAATCGCAAGCAGATCTCCATACGCATACCAAACTTTGACAGCCTAAGCACAGATGGGCTATACCAGCGCTTCGGCAAACCCTACAAGGTTCCTATCCGGCGAGTGGATGGGAAGCCTGGCGAACCCCATGCACCGCCGCATGCCATCTATCCTATGGGTTTGGGCATGCCTGCCAACGAGGTGGATAACCCAGAAATTCTCATTTCGGACTACGGAACGTCCTTTATTGTGTCACAGACGCCCTCACCGATTCTCCACACCCCAGCCCTCTACTCTCCGCCAGAAAGACTTTTTCAATGAACCCATCATTCATCCGACCGATATACGCGCAGACTGACAACGCAAAGCTCAATTGCGGTTAACAGCGTGCAAAAGCATATCCGCCTCGACACTGCAGTCCAGGATAGCTGTTCGAAACTTAAAACAATATCATACAAATGTAACACGGCAACTTTGTAAGGCTGAGTAGATGGGCGGGGAATTGGTACCTCTCCTTTTCGCCTGACACGATTCGACCTATTGGACATCATCCTGGTAATATGCACATTGCTCATTTCAGAATTAGTCGACGGAGACAGAGTAAGGGACGATCAATGAATGACAAATCTGCCTATTGTTACCCATCATTTACCAGGAACCTCTGGTGGTTAAGTCACCTTGAGCTATCAAGATAGATGTGAGGATTGTCAGGCCTAATTTAATCTCCCATTATACTTCGAGTTAGCATCAGACTAGTGAAACTTCTGGCTCTAACTGACGAAACCACGGAATACTGGAGAAAGACTGATTCTTGAAAAATATCGGAAATACTTTACGCAGTAATATAGACTCACTGTTGGATCGAGCGGTCATCATTGTCTTAATGCAATAACCCAGCTAAGGATTTTCGTGCGATCTTTCATCGTTGGCGTTCCTGATAATGGAGATCGTCTTCTCACAACCCTTGGATAGCAGTCACAGGGAGGTATGATATGACTGTAATTCCAGAGCTGCGCCATAATCTTAACTCATGCAACTGATACGGTCATGGCTGTCCTCTGCCTCCTCGCCCTCGCCCTCTCCCTCTTCCTCTGCCACCCCCCCTAACTTGCTTCGGATTCTTCTTCTCTGCCAAATGCGATGGTAGTTCTTGGACAACATTTCCATTTTCCCACAAAACTCCGAGTCCAACCTTCCTCTCGACAACCAGATCAAAGAAATCCAGAGGAACCATCTTTTTAGTATCAGGACTATCACCGCCAGTAGCTATGCCTTCACTGAGGATCACGCCGTTTTCACTTCTATAGAACGGACAACCGGCTTCCAATGCCTTTCGCAAGTTTATAAAGATCAAAATTTCTGCATCTGACCGCATTCCAGAAATGACTATCTGGTTTGATTTGTCTTCTAATTTGGCTGGTGCGGCATCTCGTCCATTGGGAAAGACTTCATCAACTGTCGGCCCAATGGCAAAGTGTACTTGTATTCGGCTCATAGCTTGCAGTCCCCCAGAAGCGAGAATCAACGGCCATGCGCCATGGTATGTGCCATGGACAACTGTATCCGGCAGCTTTGTCGCTGGACTCTCTTCTTTGGAATCGCTAAGACTCAATCTCTCTAGGAAAAGTGTTGTATCAACAGATTTTATACTGTGGCCTTGAGTAGCTCTAATGAGAAAATGCGATGCATCTTTGTCGTTGACAGACAAGGCATGCGTTGTCGCACTTTTTTGCTTCTCTTCCGAAGCCGCCGTGGAAGTAGCCACGTCTTGTTGCTGCTGACTGCCTTCTGTCCCTTGCTCCATATTCTCCGGTGAAACGTAGAGCAGGGAGAACCGTTGCTTGTTTGAGCTAGACACTGCCTCCAAAATCTCCGGTAGCGTCGCTTTTAGAGATTTCACTTTCCTCGTTTCGAGCTGTATTCCGGGTTTAGCTCGAGGATGGGCCGATGCGTGAGATAGTTACACGTACCAGGTCTGCCACGTTCACATAGCCTTCTTTGCTGATCTTAAGATGTTCCTTCTCTGCTGAATGCCGCAGGAGATGCGAGAGCGCTTTGGACAGCACTACCTCCCGAGGCATTGCCCGGCCTCCGCTCTCTTTGCGAGACATGATTCAATCACTAAAGAGAAGACCGCGTGCTTTTTGTAGGGCTTGGCTAGAGAGGTTGGCGGTGTTGATGCAGAGAGAAAGTGCGCAGGCGAGAAATCGACGCTGTGGCAGGTGGGTCCTGCCTCGGCAGTCACTTCCACCACCTCAAAACAATCCATGGAAAATATTCTAGAAGTTGTCTATCGACTATCGACTATCAACTACCTACTATGAATTCTCTATCTACCTATATACACTGACTGACACCCTGAGCTGGGACTTGTCTCTGATAATCTCTAACACATATCGTACAGGCTCCTCTCTATCAACATCCAAACCATTTCTCCAGGGCAGCCTTCGCAGCATCCAGGTCAGGCTTCTCGCTGTCGTCCACCACCCATGCAACAAATCCATCAGGCCGGATCAACAAGGCACTGATGTCGCGCCTGTCCTTTGCGTCCACGTTCAAGTAGGCGACTCTGGCCCCGTATGTTCCACCAACGACCAGCTCTTTGAGCGTTGTGTCGCCCCTGAAGTCGAGAAGCAACCCCCGGCCCTGCTCCAACTTGTGGCCCAGCCTCGAGTTGTCATCTAGTTCGAAATCGGGTGCACTGCATCCGACGAGCGGGTGTTCGTTGTTGTCGAGATCGTACCGCTGCGACAGCCCCCAGAAGCGGTCCATGAACATGTTCGTTCCGTCAGTAGTATCAATGAGGTCGCTAACGACTGTTCGAATGGCCGCACCGAATGGTCCAGGCTGCAGGATGGAGACCTGCGCGCGCGTCCAGTCAAGCGCCCAGGCCCCAATGGGGTGACGCTCGCTTTCGTACGTGTCGAGAAGCGCTAGATCTGCTGGAGTTCTGTCCTGGCTGGACTCTCGTCGAACTGTCGCAGCCAGCTTCCAACCCAAGTTCATGGCGTCGCCCAGTCCGAGGTTCATACCCTGAGCCCCAAGTGGTGAGTGGATGTGTGCAGCGTCACCAGCAAGGAGAATGCGACCTTTGCGGTACGCTGTAGCTTGTTGACAGCGATCGGTGAACGAAGACACGAGATGTACCTTCTGGATCTTCAAGTCTGCCAAGCCTGTCACGCGGTCTAGAACTTGTTGAAGGTGATCCTGTGTAATCTCCTGCGTGCGGTCAAAAGCAGCGCCGTCGAAATCGAACAAAAATATACTACTCTGCCCCCCGATGATATACATTCCGCTGTTTGTAGGGTGGAATCCCGGTTTCAGTTTGTCGAAATTGTCGAAGTCGCCCTGAATCACATAGCCGGTGAATTTAGCCTCTGTTCCTACAGTGCTAAATCCTGCAGCTTTGCGAATTGTGCTTCGTCCCCCATCACACCCAACCAGCCACCTGCCGCGGAATAATTGATTTTCTCCAGCGTCCACGGTGACACTGTTGTCATCCTGCGTGTGTATTCCCTTGACACCGTGACCCCTAAGAATCGTCACTCCCAGGCTCTCAGCACGCTCAGTGAGTATCATCTCAACTTCCTGAATCGTAGTGGGACCGGGGGTTAAGGCTGGCCCCGGAAGGCGGTATTTCCAACGATCCAACTCGAGCTTGTTGGCATTGAACGATATGCCGGCGAAATGGCCACCGAACTGAAACCCGGAGGTTTTTGCGAGAACAGATGGCCTCTTGTTTATGTCGAAGAATTTGCCCAGCAGGCCGCGCCGATAAACGGACTCGACTGACGACGTGTTCATACCCCGTCGGCCTAGCGGCGCATCCTTCCAGGGCGACCTGAGAGTCAAATCACGTTCAAGGACAAGTACAGAAAGACGTGCCAGCCCTAGTTCGCATGCTAGGAAAAGCCCGACAGGCCCTGCGCCAACGATGACAACGTCGTAGAGCTTGTCCATGGCCATGCTGTCACGCGAGATTCTGCTTGGAATGGTGACTACAGTTCGCAAAGAAAGAGCTTTCCGTAAATGACTCTAATGATTGTGGTGAGAACATAGGCGGTCACTTCACTGCCCTTTTTCTTCTTCAGTGTGATGTGATTCTGAAGAACTGAAAAGAGTGAGGTATCACCGCCATTTATATACTTATTCGTAGATCCTGCGACCAAACCCCTTGTGGCAAAGTAAAAAGAAGGCATCTTGATCGGCTGTTGTCGCATCGAATGCTCCACGGTTTTCCGTCAAAACTATTGGCAATCCAGAGTTTTAGCCTATGGCTAAAAGGGAGAAACACTTCGTTGTTCGATCCTTTTCGGGGCTTGCTACCACCCGAACGCAATAAAACCCGGCTTGCTCGGGTTGTAGTAAAACCCGATAAAAAATGCTTTACAAAATGTTCCATTATCACTCAACATAGAAAAACTTTTCTACCATTGTATGAACTACTGGATATATAAAGACTTTGGATATGTATATGAAGCAATTTTGAATTAGCATAAGAAATCCGGATCAACCTAGCCACAGACACGGCTTTAAGTCGAAGAGAAAATGAGAATTTTCAATATCCTGATCTACCCAGGTGATTGATTGCTACGTTGTTCCGTTGAAGTTTACTGGAAAGCATTCACATCTGAGAATTTGCCATTGACTATTCGAGCAAAAATATATCCTGACGTTCAAAGCGAAGGATCTGACACAACGAGACGATGATTGTTCTCTTCCTCCCATTCACGCCATTACTCTCTTTGATTTGTTTCGTCAATATCTTTCCCCCTCGTCTAGATCATCAATCGCTCAACCTTCTCCTTGATAGCGCGAATCTGTCCTTGGAGGTCACTTGCTTCGTTGGTAGTGATGCAAGCAGCAATCACAGGACGAGAGACACCAGTAGCTCTGCCGAGGGCGAGTTTGCTTGGCACGAAGCAGTACACGACGTTCTTATCTTCGCTATACGAGACCAAAAATAGAGATTAGACAATAAACCCACCGGCGAAAAGAAGGGAGAGCGAAACATACCAGAGAAGCGGGAGATGAAGCAAGATTGCCAATGGGCTGGTATCAGCAGCCAGAATAACGAGCTCTGACGTTCCTCTGTTTAGCGACTTCGTAACCTCGTTTGCGCCTTTGCGTAGCTGTCTGTAGTGGCCAGACTGCTGGACGAGGTCGAGGATGTTTTGAGTCAGAGCCTCATCGGCGAGGGGCCAGGCTAGATAAGAGCAAAAGAGTCAGATGGCGTAGGCCAAGAGAATTTTGGATCAAAAATTACTCACCAGCACCAGGTTCTCCAGACATGATGGCTCACGACAAAGGATCACGGCCTTTCTTGATTGTTTAGGTGTGATGTTGGGTGTTTGAGGTTGTGAGGTTGGATGATGAGAGACTAAAGGAAAAAAAAAGGCTCCTCGACGGTTGTCCAGATGCGACTAAACCTCTTCTGGGAAAGTGCACTCGCCACATGCCGTTCTGGGGATAGTCCACTCCCGCTTTGCTTCTGGCCAATCATATTATGCATCACCGTATCGATAACGTATTTCCTGGGTAAACCGCGCACCTATAATTCCTATACAAAATAGACATTTTTACCCCCCAGTAAATTCCACAAATTTATATGTAAACAAGACTTGAAAAGTTTATATATCAAATAATATTCATATACTATTATATATATAGCTTTATAAATTCTATATATCTTATAAACCCTTTCGTATTAAAAATTACAATAATTACTAGCGTGTTTCTTATTATCTTAACAAATCTATAGATAGATTCTTATTATTTTTAATAAATAAGCTCTTATATATATATTATTTAATATATAAACTTTTTAGATCTACTTTATATATAAATTTGTCGAATTTACAGGGGGGTAAAAATGTCTATTTTGTATAGGAATTACAGGTGCGCGGTTTACCCGGGAAATACGTTAAGTTACCAAGAGTATATAGTTTAGTCAATCATCCAGTTCAGCTCGAAATAAATCACAACAAATCAACAATGGGTATAATATTCGTACAAATTTAGACCGCCAAAAATGATAAAACCATCCACCCCGCCATACCCAAGTCGAGAAGAAAAGAAGATGCAAGAACTATCGATCACAAACACAACTGCACTCAGCCACTGGACAAACTCTGTGTCTCGCAAACCATGCCTTGGCATGATTCGCATGAAAGCCATGGTTGCAATTTATGCAAAAAACAACGAATCGACGAATGATATCATCTTCAGAGGGTTTAGGTTTATTCCTCTTGATATCGCCATTATGTTGGTCGTGACTGTTATCATCGTCGTCATGCTTGTCTCCTTGAGGATTGTTTACCTTTGCTTCTTCCTCCCTTTTGGCATCTGCCGCGATAGCAGCTCGAGACATCGGGTCTGGGGAGCCCAGCCAAATTGAGCATACACCGCAGCGGGGCATGTGGCGGAAACACTTGGGACAGACTGTGCCGGACATCAAGATTGGGCCCTGGGCACCTAAATAAGATTGGCTATTGGGCATCATCGCAGGGTTAGCACTAGCAGCGCTGCTGTTTGCGGTTTGCAACAGATCGCTGGCGGCCGACGCTGTTGCTGTTGATGTCGACGTTGATAGACTGACTGATGGCATTGTCGACACGGTTGAATCGGCCTGATTAAGTGGACGCGTGCAGTAATTACACGTTAGACTGACTTGCTGAGGAGCAGGCGCAATCAATCTTCGTCCATCCCAAGTCACGGCGAATCTCCTCGATCCTACATCGAAGCGGGCTCGTTCCAGCTGCATTTTCCACGAATTAATTTGTCGGCGATACGTCTCACGCCAAGCCCGGAAGATCGCCTTGCTGGTTTCGTCATCAATGAAGCGTGGAACCGTATGGCTCATGGCCAAAACTGCGGTTTGGACATCGTTAAATTTGCGGATATAAGATTTAAAGAGATCGAGCGCCGAATGCCGAAGACCAGTTAGTAAGATGCCCTCGATATCCCCTTGGCGAATCGCCTCGGCCTTGGTCTTTTCTAAGTAAGTTGTGAGGTCCGCATCCGGTAGCCAACGCAGGGCTACTTCCACGCGATACTTGAGTGGGAGAGTCGTTTCCGCCAGGACTGACTCCCATTTCCCCTTGCTGACTAGAGCGAGAACCGCCCTAGCATACGGGTCTGTCAATTCAGTGGCGATTTCGTTGCAGGTCTCTTCCCAATCGCGGTCAGTTTGCTGCCCCTTTGCTGCTCCCACAATGGCCATAGCAAGGAGCTTATGTGCCTGGGTGGGCTCATTTTGGCGAAGGGCATGAAAAGCAACTTTGGCCTCATTTTGGAAAATAGCCAGTGCTGCAGCCTTTGTGTGCTGTCTCTTCTTGACAAGGTCGGTAACAACTTGTTCGAGTTCATTTTCGGACTCGATAGCACCACAAATATGAAGACAGAGTTGACGATGCTCCCAGAATTCTGTCTCACATCTCTTTCCCTCCGGAAGTTGAAATTGTTGGACCATGTCTTTGATCAACTGATCAGAATCCACCTCAGGTTTGTTGAGCAACGAATGGTGTCCTACTTCTGTTTAGTTGTCAAATCAATGTTAGCTTCGACCGAGCGCGGTTTTTTCTTTGTTTTTTAGAGTCATACCAATTTCGCCAAACCACACATCACATATTCCAAGGTAGCTCATGTCGATTCGGTTGACTATCGTTGACCCATTTGTCGATTCCTCTCGAGCACCTACGAAGGACGTTAGCTAGCTCCTGATAATAGTATGATTTACTACTGACGTTTAACCCAATTCCAGAACTCTTGCAAATCTGGATCATCTGAGACAATTCGCTGATTTTTCTCGCAATCAAAAAGGTAGCCTTCTCGACAACGAGCTTGACTTATACTCAAGTAGGTTAACGCATCCGCAGCTTTTAATTTGGGCTTGACACTGCCCAGAAACAAAGCATCTTCTCTATTTTCACGGCTAGACAAGCATTTATTCCCTTGCTCTTCCATGGATCCATTCCGGATGGCTAATGATTTTGCACTCTTCCGCAATGATTGAACAATGTCCGATGTTTTCTCACGCAGCGGTCGTGGATTGATGGTTATGAAGTCCCGGTCACTAAATGGTACGCCTCGCACTAGAACATTTTGCGATGACAATCGTATTGGAGGTGCTGATGACTGCACCGTGGCAAACTCTACCTTGCCATTGCCCAAGAGAGTAACCGCGGTGGGCTCATTGGAACGGCTCATATTTAGAAAATCGAAGGAAACAACTCTTTGGGGTTTTTTGTACCCTCTTATCTGATGATTGAAAGGATACCGAATGTCACGAACGTTTTTGGTGTAAATATGCTCTGGGTAACTCATGGAAGACCCTTGACCGAGGGTTTCGTCCGTAGAATTCCGATCTCCGGCGGAGAAATATTCTTTTGCAATGTCAAACATCTTGAACTGACCATTGCTCGACAGCACGCCCAAACCTCCTCTTTTGGTTTTTGAAAACCGCAGACTCCAAATCGAACCACTCTGGATGGCATTTCCCAAACTTAGACTTGGGCCAACCTGGCCAGCCTCGGGATTTGTTGAGCCAACGGTGTGACGTGGGCCCATACGTCTATCCCAGACACAGACCGTGGCATCAGCTGTGGAGGAACAGGAAGCAAAATAGTTCTCGTCCAACCAGTCTATGGCTGTATTATGAACACATTTTGTAGGAAATGTAAGAAAAGCTTGAGAGGAGTTGTCTATTTCACTCAGTACACAGATAATCATAGAAGGGAGAGGAAAGAACAGAGAAGGGATTTGAATCAATGACAAACATACCTCGTAGATCAAAAAGCTTAAGGAACTGTCCCTTGACACCAGCCACCAATGTATCTGGCTGATTTCTGAAAAACTTGATACTAGTGATGGGATCCGAGCTCAGCTTTCTGAGCGGCTCGGCTCCTTGCCTGTCGCTGGCAAGCATACCTCGCGAGCTACCAGTATTGATACGATGCCTGACATCCCAAATATTCAAGCAGACATCATTACGAACCTTGTCGAGCCCACCAGCTAACAGACCATGCTTACTGAAAGCAACAGCATTGCAGTAGCGCTGATTGCGGAGAGGGAAAGACCACGACTCGTTTGAGTTGCCTTCCATGCGCAGAATATTGACTTCGCCAGAAGACTGGCCAACGGCGACGAGCGATTCATCTGCAGTGGACCAGTCAAAGGCTCGAAATCCAGGGACCCTGACATGCGTTGACAGGACATCGTATTCGAGGTCATTGCCCTTGACCGATGTGACTCGGCACAGTTTGAAGGATTTGCCTATTACATCGACATAGAGAAAGCGCTGTTCCTGGGTGGTCGAGGAAGGCGACCAGCGAATGGCTGTCTCCATGGCTGATAGCAAGCCTACCAGGTAGCAATGTGCGTGGTAGGTTATACCGTATCAGTATCGAGGCTTACAACGCGTCTGACGCTGTTCAAGACATGTTTCTGCCACACCAAAAACAATGTGCCGCTGGCAATATACCCTCCTAAACCTCAGTGCAAAGGCTGTTCGGAGTGGTCGACAACTCATAAAATACATCAACTTCACGAAGCTTTGGCAAGAACCACTGCCAAATGCGGAGCTGATGACTCGGCCCGGCTAATGATCCGGCACCTCGCCTAAAGTTGCCGCGCTTATCGACTCCAAATTATTTTATTTTATTTCTTGTTATGCCATCAATTATCTCTTACACACTTCCATTCTCCCAAATCCCATTGAGCTTCAGAAGCAACAATGGGGCCGAGAGACAGCTCATCCCGCTTCCATCCCTACGACACAAGCAAAAAGCCCAAGATCCACCGGACCAACGGCACCAGATCCCATAATAACCACGGCAAGAAAAACAGCGATGCCCTCCCCAAACCAGCACAATCAGGCCTGTCCATAAACGACCTCAAACGACGGATCCGCGACGTCAAGCGCCTTCTCAGCCGGCATGCTGACTTATCGCCAGAGGCGCGAATTGTGCAAGAAAGGGCACTGGCGGGATATGAGAAGGACCTGAAGGAGGAGCAGGAGCGACGGCAGCGGTCTGAGATGATTAAGAAGTATCATTTTGTGCGGTTTCTTGGTTAGTTTGGTTCCTTGATCGATCGATGAAAAATGCGCATCTTAGGGCTAATATTCTCGCAGATCGCAAAACAGCCACAAAAGAACTCCGCACCGCGCAACGACGCTTGGAGAAAGCCAAAGAACGAGAAGGAGAAAACAGCACCAAACTCGCCAAATTACAGTCAGAAATCGACGCTGCCCAGATCAATGTCAGCTATACGATATACTACCCACTAACGGAGAAATATATATCGTTATATCCGCAGGACAAGAAGAACAATTTACGACAAAAACGGAATTCAGATGATGACGACGAAGATGACAACGACAACAACAACATCAATAATAATAATAACGAAAACACAGACGAATCCACATCTGAAGATGCACCTATGTCTAGTTCAGATACAAATACAACAGACTCAAAACCGCCTATGTGGCACATCGTCAAAAAATGCATGCGTGAAAATACGCTAGACCAATTACGCGATGGGAAGTTGACTACTGGGTCGAGTACTGCTACTATGGATGGTGGCAAGAGTGGTGCTGTTGTTACTAGTACAGGGAATAAAAAGGCAGAGAAAAAAGATACAGCGTCATCATCGTCAAGAACTTCCCATAAGAAGGAACAAGTTCAACTTGAAGACGAAGAGCAGGATAGTGATGGTGGATTTTTCGAGGAGTAATTTCATTCTTCCTCTACTCACTACAAGTCTGTCTTTGTCGGATTCATGGTATATATGGATTGTATTTATTATGCTTGTGCTCAACTGATCGATACTAGCGGCTCATATGGTTGTTTTCGTTAATGTGTACACCTATTCCCATACATTATAAGGTTAGACAAGTGCACAGTTCAACACGCTCATCATTGTTATTGTGAATTACCAGACTGGTCGCGGGGGGCAACTTTGTGGCTTGGTGAAGAGTTTCCTTCTGTCTTCCGGGACTGCCATGTGACAGAGATAAATGGAACTATCTAGATGTGCCATAACACAGGGGCTGTTGTGGTGTTTGAGATCGTTCTTGAGGCGACCCTTTAGCTGTTGAGTGAGAAAAAGCTTTTCTCTATGATGAGCAAAGATTTCCTAGGTCTACTATACAGAGCACACGAATAAGATATGCATTCATTCCTTAACCTACTCAATCCAAGCTAATCAACATGATCCAACCATTGCAACCAACCTCAGACATGACCATACATTAATAAACTCCTATACCTTGTCTATAATCCGGAAAAATACAGAAAGAGACGAAACCTGATTCGCCCTCCAAGAAATAAAATCAGAATAGAGGATTGGCCTATGCTGAGTAATAAGAAAAGAAGCTCCGAATACGGCGACACGTGAAGAAAGGCCGAGATAAATGTTGAACGACAAGGTAATATGCTCGATCACATCACCGTGCAACCTCCACTTCGAGCACGACGTCTGGCTCCAACAAACGCCTCAAGACTCAGTTCTTCATCTTCATCAAAATTGTTCATGAAATCAACATCGTGAGCACGGCGTCTACGTCTTCTCGCTCTGATGCCCCCTGCACCAGCTTCTTCTGTTGCCATCATATGATCTGCCCATTTGCGATCAAGGTTGTTTGCTGCTGCAAGGGAACCGCGGAGTACACGCTTAGTGTGTTCGTTGACAGTCATCTGCCACTCATGAAAGCATTTTAGTTCAATGATCTCCTTAGGATAATGTCGAGTAACAGTTGCCTGTGGGCGGCTACTGCCTGATGGTGACACTGAGTCTGAGCTGTCACCTTCATCCGCGGATTCTTTGACGGTGACAGTGGACTGATTTTTCAACGCCCGTGGTAAAAACGCGTTGCTAGATAAGACTTCCCGTACACCAGCCCAAGTCACATTGATGCAATCAAATACCACAATCCGCAGTCCAATCTTGGGTAAGTTGGTACCATAGCCACGTCGACGAACGAGACAACTAGCCTCCATAAGGGACAAATCTGAGACTCTCGTGTTGTCCATTTCAAGTGATTTCAAATTAGGGCAATTTTTCAACAATTGAAGCATTCCGATGTCTCCAATGTTCTCACAATAGCTTATATTAAGATGCTCCAGATTTTCGGCACACGGTGACTTGGCCATTTCAGTCAAGACATGGTTTGTGATCTTATCAAGATCTTCTAAGTCAAAGTGACTCAAATTTGGAGTAGTTTGAACAACATCAACGATGCCGTCATCTGTGAGCTCTGAACATTGTGAAATTTGGAGCCCTTGAAGGAAAGGCACATTGTGGGCAAGACTGGCAAAACCATCGTCGGTTAGGTTAACACATTGGTGAATATCTAGGTGCCTCAACTTCCGTGGCGGAACGATAGGACGATCTGTCAAGACATCAATCTCAGGGTCTCTGCCGAGAACCAGCATTCTCAGGCTCTCATCCGTAAGATCTGTTCGATGAATGACCAGTCTTTCCAGAGTGTTTTTCTCAAAGAGCCGTTCCATAATACTTTCGTCTTCAAAGCCCCGAATTTCGCCGGCACGTAGATCTCTCAACTTCGTACAAGCTTCGATAACACGCTTTAAACCCTTGGTATCGACGCTGGAGCACCACGACACATTCAAAGTTTGTAGCTGTGAACATGACTGTGCAATGACTTTCAGAGTAGAATTGGTGATAGTGACGTGACCCGACACATTGATGTACTTTAGAGAGGAGTTTTGCGAGAGAAAATAATTAATGGCACTCTTGTCAATTCGACAGCCTTCAACGGAAAAATTCACAACATTGCGGCAGGCATCAGAAATCTGGTCGCCCTCAAACAACCATTTATCACGTAGCTGTACGCAACCTCGAAGGTTGAGATCTCGGACAAAGGGTCCCGCGAATGTGAGGATTCTCATCAGAGAATAGCTCGAGATTTTGCTGTAAAAGTCCGAAGTGTCGATATTAGACCATAATTGGCCATCGGAGCACATGGAGTACCACGCCTTAGACACCAGTGAGCACCGAACAAGTTCTTTCACCGTCAAGAAGCCGAAAATTCTCATTTTGATTTCGTCAGGAATGTCTCGCCAAAACTCCAGAGTCCTTTTAACGGCCCGATGGCCCACCTGAGCATCAGCCGGTGTTGCATCGCCCTCACTCTGCAGATTGCGAGAAGCCGGCCTCATGTCCAAGGGAAGCGGAACGGTCGTCTGCGATGCATTTTGAAGACCCCCAATAACGCGAATTCGTGCGCTTCCCGGCGAAGGAACAGTAGGGGACGCCGCAGATGACGCATGTTCAAGACCGCCGGAAAGTTGAGCGGTTGAAGCAACGGGATCAGCCCAGCATTGGGCCGCGGAGAGAGACACACATGACAACGAGGCTTTTCGATCCCTTTGATAGCCGGTTGAATGTGATCGTGTTCTTCGTATGAGTGACGGGCTGGAGGACATGCGCTGTAGATTTTGTAGCAGCCTCCTCCGGCCCTTTAGTTGTGGGGGCTGTTCCAAAGGGAATTGACCGGATGCTGATGTCGGGGTCGCCGGCGACTCGGTGCCAGAGTTGATCTCGTCAGGAATAACGGGAGGGGCCATGGCGGAGAAGTCGAGAAACAGTCCCAATTGAGGACGAGAAGAATATATGGCAGAGGGTCAAAAGACGTAAGTGCTAATTATGCTGACAGCGAAACCGCTTGGGCATTGGGCGTATCCTTCTTAGACAGTCATACCGAATATCCGGGAGTCCGACGAGTCAAATAATACCTTGGTAGATTATAGAACGGAGAAGAGGCGGGAAACTTGTTCGAAGACAATATGTATCTAACCAAGAAAAGCGAGGCCGGCCGTCAGGACAAACAGAGCGATCTTGAGTGCGATAGAGGGTGAGGGAGGAGCGGGCTGTCGGCGGGCAGTGCAAGACGATTCGTCGGCGTGGATCCGTGGTTCGGGAATACTGACTGGGAAGTTAGGAAGTATTATAGTACAAGGTAGACGAAGGCAACGTCAAGCGATCATTACGTCAATCTCCTTTTCCTGAGATGGATGAAGAGGCACACGGAAGAGAAAAAAAAAGGAGGAGGGCGAAGAAGAAGAGGACGAGGGAAATAAAATACAGATGCTGAATGGCAAAATAAAGAGGAAAGAGAGACACGCACAGGGAAGGAAGGCACGGACAAACCCAGAAGTGGAGCCGATTCGTAATTCGAAGCACGTACGTATTTGTATTTGTATGTGTTCTGTACTGTATCACAGATGACCCAACCGAGCAGTCCTGCTGAGCGTGATCATGTACATTACATATATATACGGTATGGAATGGACAAATGCAGTGCTCGTCCTACTTCTTATCTAGCCCTGCAGGCTCGTTACGGGTGACTCTTTATATAGTTAGTTAGTTATACTTGGAGTATAGTTATCCAGCGACCCCGCCATGAGGCTTATCGATATGCTTAGCGCTCCGGCAGACACTAGCCCCTTGGGGGTTAGTGTGTTTGGATATCGATAAGGAAATCCACTTTGCTTGTGTATTGCTGCGGTATTGTCTGCGTATCGCTGTAACAGGCCAATAGCGACTGGACTCACCACACCAAGTCTGGACGTACGCCACGCGAGCATGTCGCCTGAGGCTTGTCTGTTCGCCTGATCTTTGCAGTTGTGTTGTGTACTCGATGAGGAAATCCTGTCTTATCTCTGTCCACACTGTACAGAAAGGTCAGAGAAGTGGACTGAATTGAATGGTCTACCAGGACTAAGCGGCCACAACATAGTCATTCATTAAAAAGATAAAAATGTGTAAACATAGAAAGCAAGAAATACAATTAAATAACTTGGAGACAACTAGAAGAAAAAGAAAAGTGAAAAAAAAAAAAAAAGGGCTAGAAAAGACCATGACTAGCAGACCAATGGGTATCTTGCGTTTTTCAATGCTTCTATCCAATTGAGAAAAAGCACTATACTCGATCGATTTTTAAATGTCTTTTTTCTTCATCAATGACATTACTGTCTTCTCTTGTCGTCCTTTTGGTGTTTGTTTGGTTTTCATGTTTTCATGTTCTTCATCGCTCTCTGTCTGTCCCTTTTTTTCGTGCCATCTTCGCATATGTGCAGAGTAATAGGATGAGGAAATTCGTCATTTGTAGCTGTTTCGTTCGTGTTGTTTTATTCGTATGGTCCAAACACGATGGGTAGTAATTAAGAAAGAAAAAAAAAAGGAATGTCGGTATGCGTCCACCTAATTGTGGAGCTGAATATATGCTTGCTGGAACTGGCTATGCCGCTACCATCCATGAATGTTCAACGACTTCTGAGATCGTAATTCGACTGTCGACATCACGGTCCAGCATCCTGCGAATGAGATCAATACAATCCTCCGAGAATGGGAGGAAGGGAACCCTGAGTGGATGGTCGAGGATTTCATCCACGTTGTAAAAAGGGTTTTCCTTGTATACAATAGTATAAAGAAGAATTCCGAGCGCCCACACGTCTTGTTCTTTTCCACGGTATGATTTGCCTTGAAGAACTTCGGGCGCCGCATAATCTGGAAAACGTCAGATCAACCATTGACACAGAAGAAGAGAGAAAGCTCACCAATAGTACCCACAAACACATCAAAGGGCCCATTCTTGATATATGCCGCACTTCCAAAATCAATCAGCTTGATTCGTCCCTCGCCGTCGAGAATGACATTCTCATCCTTGATGTCTCGATGCACAACCAAAGCCTTGGTATGCAGGTGATGAATAGCATCCACTACCTGCTTGAAAATATTTCGGCACTCGCCCTCGTCCATATTAGATCTCAATTCAATATAATCGAATAAATCCATCCCCGGAAGTCCATGCGGCACCATTTCGATATAATAGTTAATCTCGTCTTCGAAAAACCCTTCCATCTCCACAATGTTCGGGTGTCGAAATCCGTCTCGTCGTAGATAATCGAGAACGTGGATTTCCAGTGGAACAGTTCCCAGCCGACGATCACGGGTCCATGTGTCCACCAGAATCCGCTTCTTAGTGACGTACTTCAGCACCATTTTCTTCAATGGGTTCTTTTTCAGTCGCGCCAACTTGACCTGTCCGTATGCCCCCTGGCCCATCTCTTCCAGAATGACGTAGTCTGAAATGGTCCTTTTCTTAGGCGGCTCTTTGATCACGGGCGGTGCGTGTTTAGGTTCCGCGACAGTTCGGTCAGCTAACGGTGTTGACGCTGCTTCATTGAGCTTCTGGCTTAGAAGCGATAGTGGCGTCTTGTTATCTAACGATGGCGTGTTCGAATGAGACGGCAAGGTCGGAGTTGGCGAGGGAGTTCGCTGCCCTGACCGAGGCTGATGAATCGGTGTGGTCGATTTCTTTTCTGCTGATTGGCCATCGGGTGAGAGAAGGTGGGGATTTCCAGCATGAATCTGCCTCGAGTACGTGATCCAAAGGGCATAAACGACCTCTGTTATCGCAATAGTGTCTGCCGATTCATCGTCGTCATTGTCACTTTCAAAGTGCTCGTGAGAAACCACCGTCTCCCCGCGCTTACTTTGACTATCGGGGAACACTGTCTCGCTCTTAACAATTCGCATCTGAATGTCGACAGCAAGTCGAGAACCATCTCGGTGTCGTGCCGGAAGACCCTCCGAGTCGAAAAAGATGGAGACTGCATTGGCTTTATTCTCCCGAAGCAGGAGCAAATCTCGTGCACGTCGGAAGCTGTGCTCTGGAATCACCATCCCATCAACAAGCGACACCTTGTCTTCCTCCGTGAGCGTGTAAAGAAATGCTTCAAACTCCGGAATGAGCTCGGAGATATGATGTCCTTCGGGGCGTTCCTGTCCAAATAACGCAGACGAGAAGACCGAGTTCGAACTGATGATATTGAGTGTGGACGAGGATAACACCATCATACCGGCGACATGTGGGAAACTAGACACTCGTAACGACCTTTCACCACCGCTGGGGTTCTTTGTCACTGTAGTAGGGATGCAGCTTTTCCCCGGTCTGTATGCGCCAAAATATTTGAGGTCAGTGATTTTCTCGAAGTTATCGACGCATTCCTCGGGCAAGTCTGGGAAAAGACTCTGAATCGAAGTCTCGTTTTTCGCAACATTTTTACCCCAGATGTCTTCGATGTCGCCTTCCAAGTTCGTGACATGTCCGCTCTCATCACAGGTGATGTATGCCACATTCTCTGTAATCTCCTCCAGGACCCAAATCAAACCTCCACGTTTTTCCATGACCCACAAACTAGCTGAACCAGTGCCGCCATTGCGCTTCTGAATGGGCACAACATCGCCGCATAAAAGCACTCCGCGAGATTTATTTGCTGCGTGATTCGGTTTACGTGGATTCCTTGTGCTTGATCCATAGCCATCATCTGTCTGAGCCCTACGACTAGCCTTTTGCCGCGAGGAGGGCTTATTCAACAGCTGTGCAGTCACTCCATTGCCCATCCCCCCTGCCCTAGGCCCATTAAAGCGAGGCTTTGTTTGGGAATTGGGGAACTTCGCCGCAGCGTCAGTGGTTGGATCTTGGAGCTTCGACTCAAGCCACCCTCGTCGCTCCTCTTGAACGACTTCAAGTATGCTCAATTTCCGTACCTCCGACTGCGTAACTCCGAAGACAAGACAAGCAAGATCGTTGGCCGATATTATCGTCCACGGCGCCTTTGCCTCTGTGCGGAAAACAGCCTGAGAAACAGGGGTCCATTTGCTGCTATGTGTATGTACAACAGGACCAATTCCCAGGCCTAAAGAGTTGAGTGCCGAAGAAGACAAAGAATCGCCAATCGCATAGGGTTGCGCTAATGTTTCCATAAGTTTGCTTTGCAAGGATGCAGCGCTTAGATCAGTATATGTACGTTTCAGACTGACTCGCCTTGACGACGGCGCAGACCTTAAATTCCTTCGACGGGAATATAAGCTATTATCGTCATAAAGAGGACTTAAAAGCTGACTCTCATCGACGGATTCAGCGTCCGCGGAGAATTGCGGAAATGGAGTGTATTGGCTTGCAAGGCCTTGATTTTGAAATGATTTCTCGAAAACGTTGTCTCCTTCAATCTCAGGAGGACTTGTAACAGGCCCATAAAAGTTGTTCAATGGCCGACCCTGTGAATCCCTGTCCAATACACTGGCCTTAGATAACAGGTCAACCATGCCCTGGAATTCACCGTCGCCACTAACCCTAGCCTGGGCATTCACGAGACCGGGTCCAGTAGCTGCCCAACCCAGTCGATCTTTCATAAAATCTATAGACCTTTTGAGAATATTCTGTCGAGTATGCAGTAATTCTTCCGACCGTTGAGCGAAAGAGAATGAATGGAGGGATTCAGAGGGAAATCGATGCAAGTCCTCAAAGGGTGGTATCGTTCCACCTGATGGGAGGTACACAGATGCAGCTCTGGACGTCGCACTCGAACGGTTCGGAGGGGAGTTTTGCAGAGCGACAGACGGTGTGGAAAGGTTCGGAAGTGTGAATACTCGAGATAATGGCTGTTGTCGTATACGGTCTAGACCGGAAAACCCGAGGCCAGAATCAGGGTCGAGTAGAGGTGATCTGGGAGGGGAAAAGAGTCATCAGACCGAGAATCTTGCAAACTCCAACTAAGCCGAAATCAAGCCCTTACCGAGGAAGGTGGTCATAGTCATTGGATGAAGTCGAAGCATCCATTGAAAGTCTCAACGGCTCTCCGGAAGAAGGGATAGAGAGAATTCCATCGCTCCTATTTCTGAAGTCCAATGTAGTAGTGGTGGTGGTTTCTTCAGGCGAGATCGAAAGTGGCCCGAGTGCGGGCGATGAGAGGGGACTAGGATCTCGTTTTTCTAAAATTTTTCCCTAATGCATTAGCCTAGATGAGATCTCGTACATCTTCGTGCATACATTGGAATGTTAGATATGTCACAAAAACCAATCAACAACTACAGCCGGGCCCCCTATCTTATCGCGGCCAGTTGGACACTTGGTATGAGACAAAGACAAGAGGCCATTCCGGCCTCTCTTGTTGGCCTCCAGTACTGACTTGGGTGCCAACCGTGCAAAATGAGAAGCAAGTAAACGATCAATTGGCAGGTTGGACTCACCATCGCGGCGAAATTCGCGTCGTCCAGTCATCCTGGTCGCTTGGGATAGCAACCCCGTAACTCAGGGAAGAGGTCGGCTTGGAAAAAATCCCGGAGACAAGCTCCACAGCGAGAGAAAGTGTCAAGACTTGAGTGGAGTGTGTGAGGTATGCATGGGCGATTCTCCTGATTTTGCGTCGATCTCTTCTTTCTCTCTTTTTCTGCCACCCCCCTCTAAAGCCTAAAGGTTGGTTGTCACCCAGCGACAACGGAAAGCAGGCGGTTGGCGTAGGCTATGTTATGATTTAAGTGCGTTAATCTCGAGTCAATCGCCCCCCCCCCGCTCGGGAGCTGCGACCGGATTTCGTCAAAGTCGAGGAGAAAGAGAGGCTGGTCAGGGCGGCGTAGACGCTTGGTAGATTCTGAGGTCGGCAGTGCGCGTGAGTGTCTGTGTGTGAAAGAAACTATGGGAAAAGAATGAGCATTGCGGAGGTGTAGCGGAAGGGATCAACCAAGCCTTCGAAGTCCGGGAAGAGGGCAGTTGCAACCTTAGGATTTAGGCACTCCACAGGTCAGCAAAATGGCGGGGAGGGGGGGAGCCCCAAGCGTACCAGTCAATACGTAGAACAATATACAAATGTCAAATGTTCATGCTGTAGAACTATTGATCAATCCATGTTATTCGGGGCACACAATGGCTTGCTTGACAAACAGGACAGATACATGTCAAGCACTAGGAGTATAGTTATTGCGCCGGCGATTATTGTTATTTTTTTTTCTCTTTCGTGACAATTCTATGGTAAATGGTTTCTTCTTCAGTGGAGTACATAGTTAAGAACGAGTGTTTCTGCATGCAGGAAGAGGCGGGTTCACATTGAATAACAATGTAATACTTATACGAATACGAATAATAATAATAATAATAACAATAACTTAGCCAGCGGATTCAACGATTCATATTTTTCTTTTTTCCTGCTGAACAAAAGCAGCTGGCCACATGGGGCGCCCCTCCGTGGAGCTCGCTATGCGATCTAACTTGAGGAAATTTGTTTAGTTAGAGGTAGTGTACGACGTATCCTATACGTATGGTAGGTAGCCTGTCGGTGTCGATCAGTTGACTGCTGGATATAAGGCTTTTGTTTCCGTAATAACACTCGTGCAATGGTCATCGGAGCTAATGCGCAAAGCATGTGGCTGGTGTTTGTCTTTTTTTTATATATTTTTTCTGGCGACCGTCCGGATGATGACGTCGTCCTCAGGCATCACCGGTGGGTACATGGCTGTTCACTAGCATGAAAAATACGCACTATACTATATAGAAGCATACCGAAGAGCATACGGTGTGGCTTACGCGGTGCTTGCGCACCTACTTATTTATGATTTAGGCGTCAGATCTCAGCATATCAGAGATGAGTAATTGGTTGATCTTGAGACCGTCTTCTGCATGCGAGCTCCGATGAGCTTGGGTTGGACGGTCCAAGCTCGGTCAGGCTGTCAAGTCAAGTGCAGGGTGGCAGTTTTTCGACAAGGGGCATTCTAGAAAAAAAACTTAAAGAGGAAAATAACAGAAAAAAAAGGAAGAAGGAGAAAAGAAAAGAAAAGAAAAGAAAAAAAGTCGGGACAAATATTCCTTGAATTTCCTCTGTTAAAATTTCTCTATCTAACAAGTCTGGTGTATAACAAAGGACATGTATGTACTTGGGGCATGTGACGGGTCATGTGAAACTGCTCAAGGACAAGCTATCTTCCTGTTCTCGCGTTTCATCTTGAGCCTCTCCAAAGAGAGAACCCTGTCGTGATTGCGGCTCACTCTGTCTGCTCTGGTCCGGTGGAAGCGAGGCCGAACTGACAAAGCTAGATCGGTGGGTGGTGTCGCCTAACATCCATGAAAACTCAGATTGCGCCAGAGGCCGCCGCGGTAAGGATGTGGTCGTTGGTCGAGGTGCTGGAACGGGTGCACTTTCAGCCTGAGGTTTCGGTGACGCGGCCGCTGTAGTCGTCGCGGATCCTATCGCCTGGGTCTCACTTCTCTGATTTCCATCAACGAGTGATGCCGTTGCAGACATGGGCAGAACCTCTGGCTTCTCATCTATTTTATCAGGTTCTATTTTTTCAGATACCGCTTCCTTTGTAGATTCTTGGATTGGCTTGGTAGGGGTCGAGCCGCCTGAGCCTTGAAGGTCTGTTTGAACACTCAAGATCTTCTCGAATGCTCTACCAAGTGCTTCTGTAGCCTGAGAATCAATACTAGCCACAGACTGCTTCACATATTGCAAATCATTCAACGCCTCAGACAACATCTCTGCAAGATTGCTGTCTCGTTTCTTTAGAGACGCTACCCTTCGTACCAGGTCCACGGGATCCGATCTTTCGGGCTCTCCAATCTTTTGTGTTCCAAGGCGAGAACCACCACGCCAGGCTCTTGAAGGTGAAATACCCCCAACCTCGGCGTAGGCCATATTACGCCTTGCCTCAGTAACAGCACCACGCACAGCTTTTGCAACGCCCCAGCCTTCTGTGCGACGTTGTAGTCCTTCAGAAACATCCTGAAATAATGACTCAAGGGTCCGCTGGCTGTTTCGGACTGGCGATTGCCCAGAGGAGCTGTCCTCACTAGCATTGCGCGAATGACTTCGTTGGCGGACCTTCGGAGATAAATCCCTACTCGGATGCTGGCTCGGCTTTTTGGCAGACACTGGTAGACGTCCCGAATACTTAGATATAAGGAACGCTCCTCGTGCAGGGCTCGAGTTCTGTTCCAAATAAAGTCCATCCTGCACAAATGTATGTGGGCTATGATCTTGGGGAGTAGGATAGCGCAATAATAATGTCAGGGCAGATGAATAGTCCGCGCTCAATACTATGACAAGGACTAAGTCTTCGTTTCTCTTCTATTGAATTCAGCTGACGATCGAGTAACTTACGCTGCCATCTGATGCGAAGAAGCATCGCAACACAGATATGATCAACCAAGGAAGCCGTCAAGCCATTTGCAAATAGAAGATCCCAGATCAGTAACGTGTCTTCAAAGGAAAACTCTCGACCAAATAACAATCGTATCCAGCGGCTACAAACCGGGTTAGCTTTAGCTGTAAGATACCGAGATATTTCATGCAGAAAACATACGTCAGAAAGATCTGTGGAAGAATCTCGATGGCTCTCAAGTGTGTGGCTAGCTCATGATCCGCAGCCTGGAGAAGCTCATGATGAATAAATTGAGAGCGGTCTACTATGGGTGCAACTTCTGCTTGACCATTGACCATTGTGCTATCAGTATGCTCGTAAAAAGCCCGTGCGACTTGCATAACACTACAAAAAAGGTTGAAAGAGTCACTTTCGATATAGTTGGCATCCAAGAGCTGCAGCATAATGTCTTCGTCGTCTATTTCGCCAGCTTGGATTACCTTTCGAGATTGTTGAAAGGCCACTGCATCGCGCTCCACCACCCAGATGATCGGTGCAAGCAATTCGTGCATTCCCTGTCTATAGCCGAGGTCCGGATTCAGCTTCGAGTAGATGAACAGTATGTCTAGCATCATTGATTTCGTGGACGGTTCGCGGAAGAAGAAATTGTCCTGCAGACATCGTTCTACATCTTGATAGATCTCGGCTCTAGTGGTTTCATCGTGGCGTAAAGCCTGCCAAGGCGACTGCGATTCTCACGGAATTAGTCGCTTGTGTTTCGACTCGGTCCATCCTACGGGCTTTCGGAATATAACTACCTCTTCATCCTCAGCTAGCGGGTCAATTGTGGACTGGATTTCATTTGGATGCTTTATGTACTTGAGGAAATGGTTTCTCAGAGATTCATAAGCACTGCGCGTATCTGAGAGCCGGCTCGTCCACTCTGGGCGATCGAGGTCTTCGCAGAGCAGGAAGACCTAGCATTTGTTAGCAAACTGGAGGTGCAAAACAATTTGTATTGCTTCGAAAACACGCACCTTCCAGCAGACTGAACGGAGTCCATTTTCGCAGGGATTCTCGCCGTCTTCGGATTTGACTGCTTGTCTGATATCGTTTGTGTTGCTGCCACAACTAGAGAGGGTTTCCCATCTCCGCCTTATCCCCTCGATCAGCGACGAACAGACAGATGCAGAACCACAGCATACCTGGCCTCTTCAACACTTTTCATGGCATCATTCGAATAAAAACTGGCACGTATAGAGTGACTGGCAACGCAGAGTAAGCAACGAGAAAAGAAGGAGGAGGAGGAGGAGGAGGAGGAGGAAGGAGCCGAATGACGTGGGGTGCTCCAAAGGCGCTAAGGGCAGGTGCAGCTGCAGCCATTCCGCGCGGCGCCACTTGCTCTTCTCCTCCTCCATCTTCATGTTTACCATATTTATTGGATTTCCAGCTCGATGACATGTTGTGTCCTTTATACCATTTACTCGACCATGATACTCCGCTGATCAGCACATACTCTTCGAGAGCCAGGCCGCACTTTATTGATACAACCCTGGCCTACCATGTCTGCTGATTTGCTCGCTGAGTTTGGGATCAGCAGTTCTGCGACGACCACACAAGGAATATCTCAGGCGGAGTCTTCGGATTCATTTTTCGATGATGACTTTGACTCCTTTGTGTCCCCGGAACCTGCAGACACCATCTCACTAGGTCTCAATGAGGGCATTGCAAGGCATGAAACCCACCATGTAGGCGCCCAATATGCGCTTGACGCAGCGACATTACCTCCAGTTACCCAAGACTCAGAGGTGTTGTTCGACGCATCTACTGCAGCAATTTCAAATGAAGATGATGATTGGGGTACATTTGAAAGAGCGGAACCTGCCCCGAGCGGTCAATTACTTGACTTTGGAAATGAAGATCAAGAATTGGCTATGCCTGTTCAGAACACAAGGCATTCTGTATCTACCGCCTCAGCCTGTCTTGACCTTCTTTCACCTGATGATAGGCCGCCACTAAATAAGAGCATAGCCTCGCAGATTACTCCAAGCCAAAGACATCTGCAAACATTCAAAAAGCCAACTCCAAATCAGAAAGCTCCATCTCAAAGTCAACCCAAGACAAACCCCCCTGAAGATGACTTCTTCGGGCAATGGGATAGCTTTGAAGACGGCCCTGCTACCCCAAACCCACTGTCGCAACCTACAGTCGTGACTGGTTCAAAAGGATTGAAAAATAGTAAGATACCGTCAACTAGAACTCGGAATTCTTCGCAATCACAGTCCGTTGTTCGCCCCACCAATATTCCTCCGCCTTCCATTCTTCTCCAAATTTTCCCTTCTCTCTTGGAGAATTTCCGCGAACAGTTAAATGATACGAAGCGGGGATCCACGAGCTCTACGTCTGGACTTACACTAAATCTGAGCTGCATTCTTAAAACAGCTTCTCGTATCATTGCAGGTCGCAGTTTACGGTGGAAGAGAGACGTGAGATTGAGCCAAAGCATGAAAATCGGGCCAGCACAGTCTGGTAAAACCAGTGGAATGAAATTGAGCTCTGTCAGCAGAGGCGAATCGATCAAAGAGGAGCAAGAGGCTGTGGGACTCATTGACATATGGCGCCATCATGCTTCCGTATTCAATTCGTTTCTTCAGTCATCCGGTGAGCGGCCCATACCCGTTAGTATGGACAAAGTCCGCATCACGACCGCAGGCCCAGAACAGGGCGCACTTAAAGCTTCTCATGCCTGCGCTTTGTGTGGATTGAAGCGGGATGAGAGACTGCCCAAAGTCGACGACGATGCGCAGGACAGTTTCGGAGATTGGTGGGCTGAACACTGGGGACATACGGACTGCAAATGGTTCTGGGAAGAGAACTCAAATAAACTCAGTCATCGCTGAATATCCCTTACCTTTATCTCTTCGGGTATTATGCTTAAAGCATCAAGGTGCTCCCGGGACAAGTGGTTTTCTCGTCTCTCAAGAATCGTCCGCCTAATGACTGTAGAGCCTTTTTGGCTCTAAGCCGAATAACGACTCCCGGACAGGGAATGACTTATATCATAGCCAGGTACAAAATATATATACAAATCTACAAACATCGTAGCAATTCGGTAGGCCTTCTAGCCGAGGTCCTTTATCTCACCCCCCACTTTTCCCCATACGAAATGGAATGTTACTCCAAAAAAGAGGGGTCTATTTTACAACAACTCTGTTTAGGAAATATTCTCTATCCTAAGGCACGCAGACACATATAATTGGCTCAATTTAGGCATTGGCAGTTGGAAACATGGAATCTCCAGCGCAAATGAAGGCGGTTGTATTCCATGGCCCTTACAAGGTTGCCGTTGAAGAGAGGCCAGTGCCACAAATAGAAGAGCCAACAGATATTATTGTGAGGGTGAAATACGCAGCTCTCTGCGGCAGGTTAGGCTTCTTTGCCTTTTTTTAACATATGAAGAAAAAGAAAGTGTTGGCAGCTGACATTCGCAGCGAGCTTCATGTTTATCGCGGCCACCAGCCTTCCAAGACAGGTTTTATAATGGGCCATGAGTTCACGGGTACTGTTGTCAAAATTGGGAGCGCTATCAAGACCGTGATGGTGGGAGATGTTGTTGTCAGTCCCTTCACAACTTCGTGGTATGATACAAAAACACAATCCTTCGCTGTAACTATCCATGGATGCCGTTGACAATGCATAGCGGAGCATGCTTCTATTGTGAGAAGGGCTATTCCTCTCGCTGTGAGAAATCTCTTCTGTTTGGCTCCCCCCTTCTCGATGGTTCTCAGGCTGAATATGTACGTGATTTGACTCAGATACCCATTGCAAGAATGAATTCCAAGTTTACGAGTGTTTCTTGCTCGTAGGTCAGAATCCCATGGGCGGATAGCACCGTCTGCAAAGCCCCCGAAGGAGTGGAGGAAAAATTGCTGGTTTTGATGGCCGACATATTCCCCACGGGTTATTTTGCAGCCAGCAATGGATTCAAAGAATACACAAGGGAGCAGGTCACCGATCTGACGGTGGTCGTAATCGGCTGCGGCCCGGTTGGCCTTTTAGCCATTGTCAATGCGCTGGAGTACAAGCCGAAACACCTTTTGGCGGTGGATTCAGTGGCTCCCCGTCTTGAGCTCGCCCAGGAATTAGGCGCCGAGATCTGGAACTTCCAGACGGATCGTGAGGGTCTAGATAAGCGCGTCAAGGAATTGACGGATGGCCGCGGAGCGGATGTGGTTATTGAAGTTGTAGGATTGAGTCCGGCTTTGCGAACGGCCTTTGATCTTCTACGGCCGTGGGGCACTATTAGCAGTGTTGGGGTACACAATGCAGAGGCTAGTTTCGTGTTACTTCCAATGGTTGAAGGGATTGGAACTAATTCTGACTGTCATCAGATCCCATGGAACGGCAACGAAGCGTATGGCAAGAATTTCAAATTACAAATGGGCCGATGTCCAGTGCGCTCAATCTTCCCACAGGCTCTGGAAGCACTGAAAAAGAACCAGCATCTCCTGGGGTGAGTCCATTCTTAGAAATGTATCTCCTTTCTACGCACCAGCAGCTAATGGATATGATATGTACTCGCAGTTTCATGGCGGATAAGATCATGCCGCTCAGCGAGGCTGTGGAGGGCTATGAGCTCTTCGACCACATGAAGGCGCAGAAGGTGGTTTTTGAAGCAGCGTAGTTATGGATAACTAGATGCAAAGATGAATTGTGAGAGAGAGTTATAGAGTGGAAAGTGGAAGGCGGGGCGAGGGCGAGAGCGGGCGAGCCAATGGGGAAAGCCTCTCTACCCCAGAGAACCCCAGGATAGGACTAGCGCAGTGTAATAAAACACAATACTGTTACACGCGTAATTTCGATATCGCAGGTTTCTACTTTCTTGCAGCAAAATGCAGCGCGACTGTGCCGTTGAAAATGCTTCAATTGACTTGCTCCCAATATTTCGCTGGACAAAATAGCTTATGTTCCATACGAGCCCTCTTTTGGATTCATTCTCATACGTATACATGGCGCTGTAATATGCTATCCATTGACTTGTGCTGTGCACTGTGTATTGTGTATTGTGTATTGCGTATTTACAGTACGTGACCCGGGCGCTAACTTGCGTGGGTAATTAACTCCTCACGCTCTTTCGCGCTCGCTCTCTCTCTCTCTCTCTCTCTCTCTCTCTGTCTCTCTAGCAAACATATCGATTAATTCTCCTCCACTCTTCACCTGTCCTCATTCTCCCTCTCTCTATCTACATCCCCATCCTCCCTTCACCTCCCTCCTCTTCTCTCCTCCCGCTTCCCTTTAGCTCCTCTTGTGCTCCTATCGCATCATCCTCTAGAAAATCCTCTCTCATTCGCCTCTTTTCCTCCGCCCGTCTTTCTACCCCTCCGTCGTGATTAATTCACAACACCTCGAACCGCCTTCTCCCCCGCGCCTCTTTCCTCGACCTACCGACCCATACGTATTCCTGAGTAAGTTGCAATTTCTATTGCTCGAATTACTTGCCGTTGTTATGTCTCACGGTCTTGCTTGCGTGCCATCGCTTTGTGCGTAACTGTTAACACTCAAAGATTTTAGTTCAGGTTCTCTTCGTTCGTCTTTGCAAAGGGGAAAATCTGGAAATAATTCGTTCGACTCTTTCGAACTTTCATCCTTATTTACAATTCTCCTACCTACTTTGAAAGAAGAAGAAAACAAAAAAAAAAAAAATGGCTGCAGCAACCGAGACCCACGAAACGTCCGTGCCTGTTGACGAGGGCTTGAATGATTCCTTCGGCCGTGTCAACTTGAGCGAACAGGGCGACCTGGAAGGCCCACCCAAGACAGATGAAGAGTATGCGCAGGCTATCCTTACCCTCCGGGCCATCGTCTCATCCAAGGAAGCTGGTGTGATCATTGGCAAGGCCGGTAAAAATGTTGCGGATCTGCGCGATGAGACTGGTGTCAAGGCTGGGGTCAGCAAAGTCGTTCAGGGTGTCCATGACCGTGTCCTCACCGTAACTGGCGGTTTGCAGGGGTGTGCTCGAGCCTACTCCATTGTCGCAAAGGGACTGCTTGAAGGTGCTCCGCAGGTCGGAATGGGCGGCGTTGTCCAGAATAACGGAACTCATCGTAAGTGTCAGCAGATCCCCCATGGCAGCTTGTTTTGTGTACTTACATCTGTCGTCAGCTATCCGCCTTTTGATTTCACACAATCAGATGGGCACGATCATCGGGCGTCAAGGTCTGAAAATCAAGCACATTCAGGATGCCTCGGGTGTCCGCATGGTTGCGCAGAAGGAGATGCTGCCGCAGTCTACTGAGCGAATTGTGGAGGTCCAAGGCACGCCTGAGGGTATTGAGAAAGCAATTTGGGAAATTGGAAAGTGCCTCATTGATGATTGGCAACGAGGAACGGGAACTGTGCTATACAACCCTGCTGTCCGCGTCTCTCTTCCAGGATCTGGATCGCTCAATCACGGTGCAGGCGGCACCAACAACTACGGTAGCGGGGGACGCTCTTACAACCGAACTGGCAATGGTGCGGACTTTAGCGAACCTAGCGGTGGCTACCACCGCCGCGGTAGCGGTGACGGCGCCGGTCGAGGCCTTCCATTAGTCACTGACGACGGCGAAGAGCTTCAGACACAGAACATCAGCATCCCTGCAGATATGGTTGGCTGTATCATCGGCCGGGGTGGCAGCAAGATCAGTGAGATTCGTCGGAGCTCTGGAGCCAGGATCTCGATCGCTAAAGCACCTCATGACGAAACTGGCGAACGCATGTTTACGATTATGGGCAGCGCACAGGCAAACGAAAAGGCCTTGTATCTTTTGTACGAGAACCTGGAAGCCGAAAAGATGCGCCGTAGCCAGCAATCTCCGGAGTAATTAGTCTTCTTTGATTTGAAAGTGTCTCTACTATCTAGAGTGACATCGGACAGGTCGTGATGTCTGGTATTTTTCTTCCTTTCTTCCTTTTTTTTTTAATTTCTTCCTTTCCCTTTTTCTAGTTGACTTTACTTTATTTCACCTCTCTCTTTATCTCTCTACTTCCAACATCCCGTCAGACTCACCCGGATTACGAATTAATGATGTCCCCCTTCAAAAAAAGAAAAGAAAAGATGACCAAACATCGAATTTACTTTTCTCCTCCTCCTCCTCCTCCTCCTCCTCTCTTCTTCTCCATAAAAAAAACGAACATTCATTCGCCACTACCTTTTTCTGATCCGGTCTTTCCCCTGCAACTGCCACTACACCTACACCTACAATCAGACATCCTTACCCATCTACCCACCCATCCAAGCAATGTCGTCCTCGTCCTCATCCCTGCCATAACCTTGTCCGTGTGAAAACAAAACGAATCAAACAAAATACATGTATTCCCAAACCGGTTCCCTTCTTGTCATGATAACGATATTATTCATCAGTCATCACAATCCACAATTCACAATCCACAATTTACTCTCATCGTTCTATCTCTAAAATTTTTGAAACGAACGACATAGTTATGCATACCATATAATACGCCCTGCATATCAACGGATTTCTGCCTATCCGGGCATAGAAGTAACTAATTTAGATATTACATTTCCTTCCATGAGTCGAGGGCAGTAAGCATGAGGAGATGTGAGCTTTTGTTTAGTTTCAAGTTGTTGCTAAGCGGTTCGATGTAAATTTATTAGCTTACATAGCCTACTTACCGGGGTTGCGTTTCAAGTCAACCTCACGGTACTCGTTCTGGACAAAGAAGTGGTCATCATTCTGTATCTACATCTTTTGGACACAACTACTCAATATAACTATGATGGAGCTGCTGATTGGCTCATTACTAATTCAGGTATGTATAACAATACATGTTGAGGACTAGAGGGTACGTGAGTAAACTGCTATAAAAACGATGAATTGATAAGAAGCAACCCAAGCCCAATAATATATAAAAGATATCCCATATAAAGTGGTGCGGAGAAAGGAAAACGCCTTCGTGAATGATTTATGCAGCAACCCATACGTATAAATACCCCTTTTTTAACGACGACAATCGCTTGCAAAGATATGAGTCCGGTCGTTGATATGAATATGAATGAACAAGCTCGCAAACTAAACGCCTAACAATGGACACAACAGAATAATTCATGTAGGTCGTCAGGGGAACAAAAAAGGTATCTCTCGCTCGCTGCGTGAAAATAGATGATGGATACACGTAAACAACTCGACATGACGTGGCTCATAATATGATATGGTATTGGGGTTTTGTATGTATGCTTTTGTATATAATGATAAGATGTCTAGGTCGATATATTCAGGAGTGACCTAGATATGAAGGCGACGAATAAAGAGGAAGGTAGCAATCAACGGTCACCATTCATGCCAATCGTCGACGGGCGTGGTCGCAGACTGAGCCGGCGAGAGACGACATTTTCGCTACGCAGTCGAGGCTGCTGTATTGCGGTGTAACTAGTAGCCATTTTGCTAGACGGGGCGGAGATCCGTGTATTTTGCAAAGCGTGGGAAGCAGTAGGTGCTGAGTTTTCACCTGCCTGACGAGGACTCTCGGATGTGCCACGATCCGATAAACCTGCCATAGTCGATGCGCCATAGCGGCGGAATCCCGGCTGGATCTTGAAGCCAGATGTTGATGGGATCCCCGAACCGGCGCTCAGCGGTGTTGCATAGCTGCGGCGCTGCGTGATCGAAGACTGAATGGATGGGGATATCTTTGATTGCTGAGATAGTGTCTGCTGGTAAGGGGTAGACAAACGAGTCGACGGTGAGTCAGCTGCAATACCATCGCGAGAGAGCTGGTTCTGCGAGTAACCCCCAACTTCTGTCATCGCCCGGGATGGAAGTGTACGGTTGAAGACAGGGTTACGTTCCTCGGAGTCATCTTCACGCTTCAGCCGATTTGACCCAGACAGGCGATGAAGACGAGAGGGAGGAGCAGCCAAAGATGGGGTTTGCGGCGAGACCTTCTCGTCATGTGATAATTCTCTGTGTCCAGATGATGGTCCCAGATTGATTGTATTTGCTCGGTGACTAAACAATCGCGATCCAGGGTCTTCTTGCTGATTGGAAGTTTTCAGCTCATGGCTCATGCTTCGTCGAAACCGGGTGTGAACTACTTCGTGGCTGTCAATGGTTGATTGATGTCGGCTTGTCGGCCGGGTCTGTTCCTGCTGGCTGCTTGGCTGGCAAATGGTCTGTTCTTCTGTCAGTGCAAGACAGAGTTCAGTTAGTCCGCGGCACAGGCTGTCCGCTTTGCGTTTGGCTTGACGGTCTGAAAGACCTGTGCCGGTCACGGTTGATACAGTGGTGGAAAGAGTCGGTGTTGATGTGGAGGCTAGCATGTTGGTCAAAGTCAATGCGTCTGTAGCAGTTGCTTCAAGTGCATTGAATACGTCTGGGCCCACTACAGGCTTAGCTTTGGTCAAAGCCGACTGCAACAGGGTCTGTATCGAATTGGTGGTTGTTGCAGCAGATGTAGTTTCCAAAGTAACACTAGACTTGCGAGTATGTTTTTGTTTCGGTGACGAAGACAATGTTGTGGCCGTTGTAGTTGCTGTACGAGGACGTTCGCCCGAGACACTAGACATGGCAGCAGCAGACGACAATGGGAATTTGCCCGTTAATTCGAGCTTTCTTATTCGGGATTTGAGATCATCCAGTTCATCCCACACCGTAGAGGGGGCCGTCGTGGACAAGCTCGACTCCGTAGTCCCATCGTGTCGGGTCTTCTCCCCATCGGACGGAGACGCTTGTCGCACAGTTCGCGACGATAAATTCGATATATTCGAATATCTGAAGCGCGCATCGGCAATGGAAGTTTTCAAGTCCGGCAGTGGCAGCTGTGGTAACTCTGGAGACAAGTCACGGTTGTAACGACTGCGTGGTACGTTGATCACGGATCTAGAACTGCTATTGAGGTGGCGGAGCCGAGAGTTGTCATCCAGCGGATGAGCTGATGCAGACGTTGAGTAGTTGGAGGTAAACAAAGGCGAGGCGTTTTGGGAATAGAGCGGGCTGCTCTGGTATTTCAGCTGTTCGGGAGAAGGACTCTGCTCTTTAACAAGTGAACTCCGAGTCGACAAGCCTAGCTTCTACACAGAAAGTCAACAACAGCCAGAACGAAGGACTGGAACGCAACTACTTACCCTTCTCCGGTCCAACTTGCCGAGGGAGTCGCGCCGGCTACTCACACTTGATTTGGCGATGTTCAGGAAAATGTCGTCGCTCCTCGAGCGAGTGTCATCGGTGCTGTAGTCTTTCAGCTCGTCCGCGCTTTGTTCTTCAAACGAACCAGTGATTGTTGGATCCATTCTCGAGGGGCCGCTTCGGGGAGACAGCGGGGTGGACCCACGGCGCCGACGGGAGGGAGACGCAAGGGTTGCCGTCGATCCAGCCTTTTTGAGGATGGACTTGTTGCTTTTCAAGACGGCATCTATGCTGGGCGATTCTTGAGTGGTAGTCTGCGGTGGGCGCAACAGGCGGTCCTGGAAGGCCGGGGGGGTGAAAGCCGATGCGGGCGCTCTTCTTGTGGAGGCGGAAGAGGACGAGGAGGGCCGAAGCTCAGAGCTGGGGCTGGATTGGGGGAAGTAGGACGAGGACGAGGAGGAATCGTTGGACATGGAGTTGGGGTTGCCGTTGAAGTTGAAGTTGCTCGTGGCAGGTGCAGCGGGATCACGGGGTGTGCCAAGACCCGCGTGATTGTGGTGGTTGTTGTTGATGTTGCTCCTCTCGGGACTCCCGTCAACAGAGCCCGTCGACAGGCGCAGCGCGTTGTATTTGCGCGACGGAATCTCGGCCAGCGCAGGATTCGACAGCGCGCTTACACTGAGCGATGACCGATGGGACGAGCCCGAGTGTCTTTTCGTCGGCGTCGCGGTGGCACTACTGGAAACATGCGTGTGGGCGGTGCGCGGCCGTTGGTCCGGCGTCAGGGGGGACGAAGGACTGCTCGACACATCGGCGCTGCGACGTGTGGCCTGGCGAAGCAAAACGGACGGCCGATGGACAAGATCCGGGTTTGTCTGGCGTCGAGGCCTCGTCCAGCTGGTGGTGTCGCTCTCTGCGTTTAATCGCATGGCCGTGAGAGCCGACGGCGAGAGCGCAGACATTCTGGCATATGTACCGAGAAAGCAAACTCCAAATAACGTCAAAGGGGAAAGACAGAAAGCTATTAATCAACGCGAGACAGTAATGTATATGGCATCGTCGCGCTATCACGGATTGACTGGCGAAAATGAACAACAAAGGATATTCTCCTTGTGCCTGGTCCAGAAAAAGAAGCGAGATATGACGGCCGGCTTTTTGCAGGAAAAGTTCGGGGGCTGCTCTTGGGGGGGGGCCCTTAGCCTATACCTATGCTTATAAGCATATATTAATTCGCCTAACTCTATCCCCGATTAGTGGGCAACCTTAGTGACACGGCGCCTGGCTAAAGACGGTGTGTCATGCAATATATATGCTACTTGTCCTATTTCGATTAATTGCTATGCCATGTTGCCATTCACGAATTCAGTATTTACTATACAGTGGTCAGCGTCTTCCTTCACACGCACAATGGCCAAAATCATTCTCCAGTGGAGCCAGGTGGCCGAATGATTAATCCCACCGGTGTTGGAAGTGACAGGTAGCAAAGCTACTACCGCCATCATCGAGTTCCTGTTCAGTTCATGTACACGACGGCACTCACCGCCAACACGTAGGGCCGCCAGCATCCATCTTGCTTGTTTGTTTGTTTGTTTAGTGTTGTTGTTGTTGTGCACGGCGCTGCCGAGTGGATACGGCGAATACGCGCTCTTTGGCCCCGAGCCCTCAACAGCGCGCAGTCCGAGGAATTACGGTTATTTGACTAGGTACACAGCGTATATAAGTTATACTAGTTACTTATCTGTCTATTTCCCGCAGCAATCGACCTCAGTTTTAGGAATCTCTTCGGCGATGCGGTCAACATCTGCGTTGTACACATGCATGTCGGCCATGTGAGGAACTTGCCGACTGCATGGTGTATGCAATGCATCTATCCAGCACGTACACGAACTCGCTTCTAGATTGACCATCACTTGCTGCTCGATACTCCATTGTTCGCTCCAGAAAGAATCGGGGTAATAAGGCATCGAGGTTCTCATTTTGAACTTTTTCAGCCATGGTAACCCACTATACCTGTCAGCAATGTTATACAAGTGTCCGGTATCTCAACGAATAATCCACGAGGCATCAAACTGGATGTTTGATGTTGCACGGAAGAGATTCCGCTTTCTAAACCACAGTTCCTGGTACTTGCTGACTTGCATGTCTGATGATTTTGATCTCGTCTTAATGCTCGTTCGCCACGTGGAAGACTATTTGATGCAGAAATCAACCAACTTCCCGTCAACATTGAAAACAGACAGTGTCTCCGCAATATTAGAGAGGACACAAATACGAAGCTGGGGAATCGTATTTTTTTCCACATTGGGTAAGCACTTATTGGGATAGGCATGATGTACGCCTGTTTCATGTTAGTTTGAACCCCTGGCCTCATTTAATCTAAATGCATACATACGTACTCAAAAAGAAATCCCGAACTGCTTGGAAGCTTTTTGAAATCTTTCTATGCTTTGTACTAACTGCGTATAAATTAAGGAGTTTAGCTGTTGGCACTAGATAGTACATGATGCCATTCGAGTAGGGCAGATCCTTTGCAACATGCAGTCAAACCATCGTTTGTACTGTAGTTTACTGTTTGTAGAGAAGTAATTTCTATTGGGGACGTGATATCCACCCGTTTTGTACTAAAGAATCCAATTCGAAGCCATTTCGCTTATATTCCTAGTATTCTTTTGGTTGCAAAACTTTTTGCTAAGATTTGTTAGTAACCCCCCAACTAAGTCTAACACTGACTCTGATAACCATACTCATTCAAGCTTTCAACGATTGTCGTGTCTTGAAAGTATATCCCAGGTCGCCTACCTAGGTACGTATATAGAAGAAGAAGAAGAAGAAGAAGAAGAAGAAGAAAAGAATCACTCAGGGCGGGAGAAATTTTCCTTCTATAATCCTGGTATGGTGGCTAGCACTTCGAAGACGTCGATAAAGAACCCCTTCTTTACTGTTAGATACTGTATAACTACCATCAATGATATTGTACTTCGGAAACCACTCACGTGACCAGACATGGGCGTGTTTTGAAACACGCTAATTGACCGCAGTTATCTTTCTTTCTATTCGCAGTTCGATGCAAGACAAATATGAAGTTATTCTGCTATCATTTCGAACAGAGTAGATTCAACAAACACTACATGTCACTCTCGTATTTTCTATCAAGTATCGATAAAAGTGGTTTGTTTCAGATTCAACAGTCTGACGGCTAATTGTCTGTGCGAGCACCTTTTATTTTCCTATGTTTCAGGTGTAACGCCAGTGATTTAGTGCGTCAACTTATCATTTGATCAATTCTGAATTTGTTTATACTAATTTACGTCTAGGCCCCGGCTCGTTAGCTTGCATGCCATGAACTCTTCTGGAAAGCCAATGAAGAGTAGTGTATCAAAATGCTGATCTTCTGCAGGTCTATTAATAATTTGCTACGCGTGTCCCGCCAATCTCCAGAACGTTGCATTGACAAATTCTTCAAGTCCTACAAGATTACTACGCCGTGTGTCATACACCGTGTACTGTCCTGATCATACCAAGGGAACAAGATCTTTTCTCCTCTGTGGTCATTATATGTCTTCTTGTCTTGACCCTTGACTAGATCTCTGTTGTTAGTCATGCGAGATGTGACGAGGCCGCTGGTTTGCATTTAAAATTACGGATACCACAGCCATACCGCAGCATGTAACGAATTAATTGGCTGCCGCAGGGCTAAATTTAGATGCACCCCCCTGCCAGCCGATGCCGCTAGCAGCCTGGGGCCACTGATTGGCCAGATCGAGTGCAGGGAATCTTGACGTGCTCGCCCAATTGGCCCGCGGCGGAAAGCACGGTCCACCTGCCATCGCCGTTGATTGGCCATGCTGCTTTTAGCGCCTGCGCCTCCCCGTCTCCTCCTCGTAAATCCAAAACCAACCAGGCCAATCCTGCCTCAGCACGGAGTAATAATAGCAGCTGTAATTAATACCTTGCCTATACACTGCCTTCCCAATTAAAGTAAAACTGTGCCTTCCTCTTTCTCCTTCGTCCATTTCCCTCGCCTTCTTTCTCTCTCTCTCTTCCTCTCTCTCTCTCTCTCTCTCTCTCTCTCTATTCACGTTTTGCTTCTTTTCCTTCTGCTTCTTCTTCGTCGTCCCTTTTTCTTACAGTAATTACTCTGTACTTCGTTTAAATAAACACATCCAGTCTCCACTCTCCTTGTATCATCATCTCAAGGCTGAGACACCCGTCTTTTCATTTGCTCCGCCCTCAAACGCCGCCACCTACCTAGGTACTTCTCAGCTCTCTGCCTCAGTACAATCGCTCCCTGGCGGATCGACTGTTTCAGCGTATCCTCGTGTGTGCGCGCCCTCGCCTGCCAGTTCTTTTGCTCGAGGACAATTCCCGTGCAACAAACCCCCGCCATCCCTTCATCTGCGGTGGATCTCTCAGTTTCGTCTTCCTCTTCCTCTGCTGTTGACATCCTGTCGTTGCGAGCCAGGCCTCTCCTCTCGCGGGGGCATTTGTTTATTTTGGTATGTGTTAATACTTTTCGCTCATTTCGACTCTGACATCGACTGTCTCGCCCACTTCGTGAATGCTTGCTTGCTCTCGCTCTCTTTCTTTTCTCTATCTTGACTTTTAAAAGAAAAACAAACGGCCGGGGTTTGGCGCGGCCATGCTTTCTGCGTCGTCTCTCTAAACAATCAAATCACATTCCGCTTCTCCTCTGTCTATCTCGAGCCATGGAGACTGACCGTGTTCATTCCAAAAGGCCTTTTGCGCAGGTTGCAACCGCAAACACTTATATATTCCGTCACCCTTCCGGATGCTATAGTTCTTCAACTCTTTTCGATCGGTCGCAGAGTGGCGCAAGTGACCGTGGGCGGGCTCTCACAACCAAACGCAGACTGACTGCTCGCACAGCCGTCAAGATGCCCGTCCAGACAGGTCCCTCGCTAGTTTCTGCCTCGCTCGATTCATCTTTCGCCCGAGACTTCGGCGACCCAGTGGATTGCGCTTTACGCTCACAGCGTCAAGACAATCGTTCGCTCTTTACTACACAACAAGACAACGGCTTTCTGTCCACTACAGAGCCGCCTATCTCCTTTGAACATCGCGAGAGCGTCTCGTCATCTGGAATCTCGGAATCCACCGACTCATCACCTACCACGACGATTTCAACCTTCGATACCACCTCTATGACTGATACCTCGCCCAGTTCTTCCCCAGAATCTCCGTCTGCCCTTCCAATAACCTACCCAAAGTCGACAAGGATACCCGAAATTACAGAAAGAATTGCCATGCATTCAGATGCACAGGCTTCCTCTCTATCTCCTCTTCCTTCAAGCATGTTCTCATCCACTGTGAGGCCAGTGTCCCCCGCAAGGCGAGCTCGAAACCTCAAAAACTTGTCTCTGAAGGTGCCATCACCCACTTCACGCCCTGCAATTTCCACAGCGCCTGTCGTAGAAGTCACAAGTCAAAACTTCTCAGCCCCGCCATCACCGATACACCGACCTGCCAAAACTGCTCGTCGAAAACCTGCAAACTTGACCATCCGCACTCCAGCGTCAGATCAATCCACCTTCTCTCGTAGCATTGCCGACATCATCCCTCCTACTCCAAGTGTCTCGCAACGCTCTCTACGTCATTTCGAATCATCTCCCTCATTGACCTCTATGTTCTCTCCTACTATGGCTCCGTTGAACGGCATGCAAATACCTCGGCCTGTTACACGAGACGGCATGCCTGTGATGCCGGGTAGCTGGCAAGATTCTCCGCCCCCATCTCGACAAACCCAAATTGGTCCTGGTTCCAGTCTTCAACAAGTGACTGAAGAAGACGATTACCATCTCGATTCACGTGAATCGACAAAGCGTACCGAACGGAGCTACCCTGATGGCCCAATCAAAATCTACGAATCGGGTGTCTACCTTTACCTTGAACCGACACGAGATGAGGCATCAAAGTTTGATGTGGTTGTAAATGTGGCCAAGGAAGTTGTGAACCCTTTTGCTGGCGAGACAGAACACAAAACAGATACTGTGGTATCGACATTAAGGAGACCTTTACCTCTCGCCAAGCGACTGTCGATAGCGGAGCCAATGACTGCTATCTCTGAAGAATCTTTCCACTCGGCATTTGAAAGTCTTCCCACCACCCCGAAGATGGAGAATAGCTCGACGCCGGAATATATACATGTTCCATGGGATCACAACTCGGAAATATTGGACGATTTGACGTCGTTGTGTCAGTTGATTGACGACCGGATAGCGCAGGGGAAGTCTGTTTTGGTCCACTGCCAGCTCGGCGCCAGTAGATCGGCTTCTTTAGTCATTGCATACGGACTGTACAAAAATCGCGATCTCGATTTTAACGACATGTATGGCATTGTGAAGGGGAAGAGTTGCTGGGTTGGACCAAACATGAGTCTGATATACCAGCTGACGGACTTCCGATCTCGACTACAGCGTGGCGAGCCGGCTAAGGTGGCCAATCAGGAGTGGTTCAAACTACCATCTTTTTCTCAAAAACAAGTCCTGGATACATCTGGTTTGAGCGACGAGAAACCCCCATTGGCAGAACAAAATAAAGAACAAGAAGACCAAGCAGAACAGAGCCAGACAGCAGAGGTTCAGGTAGAACAGAGTCAGCCTGCCTTTACTTTAGAAACTATATTCTCACCGGTACAGTCTACGTTTGCGCATAACTTTATAAAACCCGCACCTCCGCCGCAGAAGCAGCATAGAACCGGCGTCCACGGTGCACTGCCGCGGCCGCTTCCCCTTCGAGAGAAGTATCAGAGCTTCGAGTCATCCATGCAGTCCAGCGACAAACCTGAGACACGAAGACTGTCGCATATTCGATACCCCACAGTCCAGATGGACCTCGTGATGCAGGATGTTCCCTCCTCGCCATCAATACTCTCTCCTCGGGCAACACCTTATATGTGCTCGTCGCTCTCGCGAACTCTTGCTGGAGACTTGGCAGGAGTTGCTTCTCAGACTTTCTTTGACTTCGGACAAGCATCGCTAGATCCTCGGTCACCGCCTCAACGGCGCGAGCTGTTGATTACGAGAAACATTGATGAAGTTCTTTAACACGCGGCCGTCTCATATATTATTCATTTATATTTCATCTAAATCAGCATACACCACTTGTCCCCCGTTACATACCCTCATCCACTACATAGCTCTATATTTTCCGGACTCGACATTGAAGCGGGCTTCGCATGTCTGAGAACTGAGAGCACATATTTTCTTACTGAACATTTTCATCATCATCATCAGCATCATCATCATCATCATATGACTCACGCTAGCATTTTTCGATGGCTTAGCATGATCTGGGACATGTGGTTGGTCACTGGCGTTCAAAGTCTTCCCAATATTTGTTTGCGACGGGATGGGACGGACCTTGTAATATTATTAGTTTACTTTTTTTTTGGCTCTTGTCTTTCATTTGCATGTCTTGTTGGCCCTGACTGTTTGGGTGAGCTCATACTTAATGCATGATGAGAACTAGAGTTGGCGGCGATCGGCCCCGCGAAAATACCACGATCATTTATCCTCTATCGTCTAGTATCTATCACTCTTGATATTGGATGTATCTTATCATGTAGATATATGTCTCTATCCAATGTATCACGTGAATACGCGGGGATGACCTCAGCGCCTGAGGTACCCAGACTAGCCTAGCTTCCTTTGGTGGGGTGTACCGTGTCCGTGTATTAAAATTTACTATCGATAACATCTTGTTCTCGCAATTGTCTACACCAACGCCTTCTTGCAGGCAAACAGACGAGAGGTTCTATTCAATTTTAATTACAATTATAATCGCGCAAACATGGCGCACCCAGCGACAGACAATCAACATCCGCAGTATCTCGAGCCAAGCGAATTAGGCACGCGGGAGTAGTGAGTCTTCTTATCTTGTTACTCTTTAGATCAACCAGGATTTGTATGTAATATGTATGCTTACTGTTTGCATGATTGTATGTATCAGTTGGGAAACATTCTATACCCGCTCTTTGGAGCACATCGCCTCAAAGAAGAGCAACACCACCGAGGCGAACGAGCTCGAAAAACAGACATACAGAAACAACGAAGACGATGATGACGATGACGACGATGATGATGATGACCCCGGCACATCCTGGTTCTCCGAACACGACGCTCCAGGCAAAGTCTTGCGATTTCTGACGTCGCGCACATTCCCGCTTTCGCCGCGAAATACAAGCAGACACACTGCCACAGATGCATACCCGAGTATACTAGACCTCGGCACGGGGAATGGGAGTATGCTGGCCCTCTTACGTAAACGTGGTGGGTTCAAGGGCGTTATGGTGGGGGTTGATTATTCGGCGCAGAGCGTGCAGTTGGCGAGGGAGTTGCAGCGGTTGAAGCTGCATGCTGCGTATGAGTCTGGTGAGGACACGGAAGATGACGAGGATGATGAAGGGGATGATGACGAGCATGAAGATGTTGTCGTTGCAGCGACCACAGCATCGACGAATGCGAATAACAATGATAATGCTGTGGTGCATGCAGAAGCCATCCCTCTCCAAGAGCAGGACATTCGCTTCGAGGAATGGGATATTCTCGACCCGGCGAATGAGAACATTCTTTCGCACGCAGAAGACGATAAGAAACTGCCCTGGTTCCCGTATCAGGCACGCGGCTTCGACATTGTGCTTGACAAAGGCACGTTTGACGCTATTTCGTTGTCAGGTGAGACTCAGGATGGGGCAGCAAGGACAAAAACGCATATATGCCACAAATACCCCATTATTGCGGCCCAGCTCGTGCGGCCGGGGGGATATTTGGTTGTGACTAGCTGTAATTGGACGGAGGATGAGTTGGTGAGGTGGTTTACGGCTGCTACGACTACCGATGGTGGTGATGCTCGGGAGTTGGAGGTTTGGCATAGGCTGGAGTATCCGCGGTTCAGGTTTGGGGGTCAGGAGGGACAGGGTGTGTGTACGGTGTGTTTCAGGAGGAAACTATAGATCAAGCACGGATGTATATAAAATGTATTAGAATAAAAGGCATATGCAAGTATTATCAATTCCATTCTCTTTTCCTTGACTAACAGAAAAAAAAATATATATGAGAGAGTGCCCAACTAACCAACTCCATGGTGAATATAAATGTGAACTAGATATAAAAATCAGACGAAGACGCCACTATTGAAAGAACCAAGGAAAGGAAGAAAAGAAGCCCGCTCAAAATCGATAGAATAAAAACAACAGAACCATAAGTATCTGGCCCCAGAAGGATCGGATCACTTCTGATCAACCAAACAAAGCAACGCCTCCTCAAGAATGAATTTCCCTTCTTTATACTTCTCGCCAGCCTCGTAAGCTTTGTCATATTTCCATCCCACTATCACCCGGCATTGTCGGCACGAGATATCTCGCACAACATGTCGGCCCGTGGTCATGCTACGCTCGACGGGTTCTGCGTGCGTTACGTTGACTACTGTCTGGAAGAGGAAAGCTTTGCCGTGCTGGCCGCGGAAGTTCTGTATGTTTATCAGCATTTTGCTTTCTTTCTTTGCCTCGGGAGATTAGGAATGAGTGTACCCGGCTGATAATGTCGTTGTAATCTGCGAGATGTGTCTTGCATTCTCTGCAGCCGAAAACCTTATTGGCGTTGAGGTAGACGTTGTATGTGAGTCCCATTTTCGCTCTTTCTCGGTCTCTCAATGTATTCTTCCTTCTTGCGAGCAGACCTCGTAGCCACTTTCCGAAACTTGTATCCGCCGATGTCGCCGCTAGGTATTTCTATAATGACGAGCAGAAAGTCTGAGCCAGTCTTTTTCTTTTTTTTCCTCTCTAATTCAGAGCTCGTCTGCTATTTCAGCCGTCGAGAAGGCTGTGCACAGAACGAAGTGTAAAGTGTACTATGTTCAAGTATACCCTTATCGATGACGGGTCGTCGTGATAAGCTCGGAGATGTGGGGGGCTAAGTTGAACGAGGCCCGACGGAAACCGGACGATGATCGGAGGGGGGGTTTATGTCTTGCAAATGTTATAGAGTTGTGTAGTTGAGTGGAGGTGCTGAAAAGACCGAGTGGTATCACGAAATACTATTCTGGGGATCTGGAATGGAGCGAAATGAAACGAAATTCAGTCGTCCTGGATCAGGTTGAGCAACGTGACACTAGGCCTGGATAGGCTAAGCGCGGATGCCTGCGCAGATTCGCTGCCTGCACGAGGGGGGCACCTGACCAGCCGTCACGTGGCTGTCCTACCTACTGATTCTTATTCTTATTCGCTTTGGTTACACGAGTTTAACTATCCTACAGATTCTGCTAAGATACATCATACATCTCATCCTGGTATGTGCATCCGCCAATGATGTTGCCCGGATAACAGCTCCAAACAATGCAAACACGCTGCGAGATGCTAAAATATATACACACAAAACCAAAGTATAGCAACATTCTATCTATCGGGGATTCTCAACATGACCTCCAAACCCGCTATAAAATAATCATCGGCCGAAAAAAAATATAAAATGCTCCATTCGCGGCTTCGTTCCCTCCCTCGAAAAGGGCCCCGTGCAACGCACAAGCATGAGCACGCACCCAACTTTTCAAATGACAATAATCACAACGAAGAGGGCGAAGAAGACGAAGAAGAAGAAGAAGAGGAGGAATCAGAGGACATATTCTCCGACTTCCTGTCCCATCTCCTCCCCGACGATGCTCACCAATTCCACGGTGATCCCGGCCAGCTCCTCCGCTACGAATCGCCATTATACGGGCCATTGACAATCATGGTTCCACACTATCCTGACCATGACACTACTGCTGATCAGACACAAACAACGGTCGACGACGGCAGGAGGCTTTTTGCCCATTTTCTCTGGAGTTCGGCTCTGGTCGTTGCTCAGGGCGTGGAGGATGCGGATGCGGACGCCAAGGGTGCTGTGTCGAATGGCAACAATAATGATAATACGAATATAGGAATGTGGAATGTCAAGGGACACAGGGTTCTGGAGCTCGGTGCTGGTACGAATGCATCTGTTTTTGCGCAAGCACGTCACCACGTTTGTTGAGTATCTTGCTCATGACATCTACAGGCGCCGGTTTACCATCTATAATATCCGCTCTAGCCTCCGCATCGCACGTCACCATAACCGACCACCCATCATCGCCGGCCTTTTTGGGTGCAATTGAATATAACACTATGAGGAATGTGCCGGCATCAATACGTCTCAACATTGAATCTATGCCGCATGAATGGGGGACGCTGGGTGACGACGACTTCTCGCGGCAGAATAGAGGGCAGTTCACGCGGATCATCGCCGCAGATTGTCTATGGATGCTGCATCAGCATGAGAACTTGGTCCGGACTTTGCTCTGGTTTCTCAGTGAGGGTGGTAAAAGGGAGGGCGCTCCCACAACTACGACTTCCCCTGATGATAGTGGCAGTACGAGCGGTTATCACGATCAAGAGGGGAAAGAAGATGGAGAAGAAGAAGGCCGGGTTTGGATAGTCGCTGGATTCCATACAGGCCGTGCGATTGTGGCGCATTTCTTCGAGACCGCTGTGGCCATGGGCCTGGAAATCGAGAGTATATACGAGCGCGACGTGAGTACAAAGAATGGACAGCGACCCTGGGAGCCGGTTAGGGTTGGAGAGGGGCCAGAGAATCGGATGAGGTGGTGTGTTGTAGCTGTGCTGAAGAGGTCAGTTAGGTGACCGCACTATAAGATACTCCTAACTACGTACGTGTACAATGTCAGAAATGAAGAACCAACTAGCCACTGTTCAATATAAAATCCGTCAGACTCGGAGACCGATGTTGTCTGGAGACCTCGGGTAGTTCAAACTAAGCACGGAAGAGCCACCTCCGCCGTCCTTGATTCGGAGGGCCATATGACGTCAAACTCCACTGCTGTTGATTTATTTGTATTGTATTTTTTTTTTCCGCTATTCTAGTACTCCGTACTCTGTAGATACTAAGTATGTAATTATCTATCTGTGAATTATTCCCCGAACGATGGTTTCTCAAATGGAAGGAAAGTAGATCCCGTGACTGGGGGGCATTACACTACACGGAGTATATAACCAGCCAATTGCCAGAAAATCGGAGCAGAAAAAAAGAAAGCAATTGAACAAAAAAATTGCCTCCATGAGGGATAAAAGGCCAGGAATGTGACTATTACCGACCATTCCATGCAAAGATCTACAGGTGGATCAATGGCGTTGTTGCTGTACGCTAAATATCTACGTAGCATGTAAAAAAAAAAAGTTGGCTCTTTTTTTTTTTTTCTTTTTCTTCTTTCTGGTGAAACAAAAATCTAGAATCTAGCGGACCGGACTAGAAAATCCCGCTAATTAACCCGTCGGGGATGACGGAGTATGGAGTAAAGTAGCAGGAAAGATGTTGCACAGCTGGAGAGAAACAATTGCAGGGATCATCATAATAGTATTCGTGCCTGGACCGAGGGCTACATGTACGGATTAGCCGCGGAGGAGTTGTTATCCGCTCGTTTCCTGGCCTGTCTCGAAATGCAGCTAGTAGATGAGTGAACAAAAGAACCATTAAGTTGAGATCGCTGACCTGTATCTCGGTGAATGCTGGTACCTGTCGATCGTGTTCTTCTACCTAATCTGACTGTTCAATTAAATTAAGCACAGAGAGGTACGTACCTGCGGAGGACTCCGTCGTTACTAAGCGTACTGTATGTAACATTGTTTGTTAGTGAACTAGTTTAGTTACAAGTCACGTCACCGGCTGACCTAACCATGATAAGAACAACTAAGTTCGTTCGTTAACTACGGAGTTCGCAGCAACTGCTCCGTACTAGTTTACTATACCTTATGGTCAGCAATATACTCCTGATAGTTAGTTATACCTTTGCATGCAAGGCTCATTCCAGGGGCCGAATTGATCACCCTCTGCGGCTGACAGCACGGAGTATGGTTGTCTCGAAGCGAATCAATACGGTACTGAGAATACAGCGCGAATCATCGTTCCATGCCAGCGCTGCGGTGGGGGCGATAGGGGTCTGGCCTCAGCCATGCACTCATTCTTGATTCATTTCTGTTATTAATTGTTACGGACTCCAGACTATGGGGAAATCCATCGCCAAACCATGGATCCGCGTGCAGGGCTGATTTTCAGAAGAAAAAGAAAGAAAAGAAAAGAAAATAACACAATGATGAGACTGACATAAAGTAAACATGAATACGAATGGGAACATCAGCCTATATGGCAGTCAGACTTCATGCTAAGTCAACTAGAGGGTAGATGGCTATCGCCCCACCGGGCTAATTCCAGTAGTCCTTTTTGGCATTTGCTTTATTTCCTAGGCTCAGGTACAGGTACGTGATGCCGCTTATCTTGCCAATTGGCCTGCTCGAGCTAGCGCAGACGATATTTTACTGACTTATCGCAACATCCTCGAGGCCGCAGGCGCAGTCGATGCGCGCTAACCGCAACCGGCCTAGTGCCATACTAAGAATAAGTCGTCCCGTACGGTAAATACGCTCGAACCAGCCAATCCCCGCGAATTCCGTCGATCCAGTCAGGTCACTCGCAGCCCACGCTCGCGCTAGCCGCTCTCGTCGCTCGCTCTCTTCCCCCCATCGCACGCCCACGCCCGCTTCCTGCTCTTAGCTGCCTCCATCCATCATTCTTCTCTTTCTCACGCCATCGTTATTCTCTATCATTCCACCTCTTTGCTCTCTTTCTCCTTCGCTTCTGCCACGCTTCTCCTCCGCCAATTCTTCCCGCTCTAGCCCTTGCCCAGGCCCTTGTTGTTTCCCTCCCACTGCCACACTTGCGTTATCATACCACCCCCATCCAGGTACACTCCACCAGCGCTCCGACTACACCACGAATCCGGCTTTCCATTCACCGCACAATTCGACCATATAGCCATATATAACCGTATATATATACATATTTCCTCGTCTCGTCTTCAGTCACGGCCAGCATTCCGGAATCTCGAGAGTGAAGGGCTGTGGCTGTAGGATCTCCGGCTTTAGAAATAATGGCCTCTTTCAAGGTGCGTTCAATATCCTGCGGCTCATCGCTGTTCCCGTGTCTGATTCGTGGCTGCGCCCTTTAGGAAACCTCCGTCTCCCGCCCCGTCCCGCAGATGGGATCTCTGACTCAGTCCCGCGCTCACTCCCACTCCATATCGCTGGGTGCCATCAATGCCAACCACCGTGTGACTCGCCGAAAAAGCATGAGCCGCAGGGGAACAGAGTCAACCTCGATCGGCGCTACATCCGGCTTCAGTTCGTACCTCTCCCGCGGAATCCATGCTGCCAGTCCCGACAGCTCCGTCGGACGCAAGCACTCCCCCAGCTCCATCGATGAGAACGTCGCCGTCGACGGGTCTGGTCCCGCCAGCAAGCCTGTCAATACGAAGAACCGGAATCGCCGAGCCAGTGAGGGATCTCCTCTAGTTCGCGGAGAGGGCAAGCGCGTGTCCACAGAACTGCGTTGTGATCAATGTGGCAAGGGGTATAAACACAGCAGCTGTCTGACCAAGCATATGTGTGTATATCCCTGACCTCCCATTATGTCTCCATGGCTTTTCTCGTTCCGGTATCCTAGTATGTCTATGGCTGACCTTGACTGTTTGCTAGGTGGGAACACAATCCGGCGTGGGCAGTCACGTCGAAGCTTTTGATTTCAAAACACCAGCAGGTGCAGCTGCTCGAGGCTGCCACTGTGTTGGTCGCTATGAATCATGAAACCGCCGACACTACAGCAGAAGTCACCGCTGCAGCGGCAGCGGCCGCTGAGGCAGAGGGAGAGGATGATGCTGAAATCAATGAAATCGAATCGGATAACTCATCCGCCTCTCCTGGTGCATCCTCTGATATCCACGACGGCATTAGCTCTGCAGAGACGACCCCGCCACCAATGGATGATGACGAGGACATCGAGTTGGACACCAAATCGTACCGCAACAGCAACTTCAACTACATCTTTTCGCGGTCCTACCAGTCTGTTGCATCTAGCTCATATGCAGACAACGGGTCTTTGCACTCCCCCGCCTTTTCCCATTTCCGCCATTCCAGCATCGACACCCGTCCGTCGACCGCGGAAACGACCGGCGGTGGTTTCCATGAGGACGACAGTGAGGCGAGTGACCTTGCTGCAGCCATTCGACTGTGCAACTTTGGTACGCCTCGCTCGAATGCTGTGGCAACCTCTTCGGACGTGCCGCCAGTTCCTCCGCTACCAGCTCGCTACTTGGGCCAGCAGACCGGACTTACCGTTGCTGGAAGTGTACACGACAACAACGGCAGCTTTGGCATCGCCGGATCAACCCCGGCGGTATTTGGATCTTTCTCCTTGGATCCCTCGCAATCCTACAAAGTCTCGGATGAGCGAGACGTGAAGATGGGTGACGCAGATCGCGAGTCGAGACATCGCCGCAACAACGACGTCGACTTTGGCAGCCGCCAAACACACGATGACGACGATGACGGCGTTTTTGGGCGAATGGAAGAATGATGCCATTCCTTCCATTCCCGTTTCACCTCGCTAGGGGAGATATATATACATATATATTTCCCCTTCGATCGGTCACGTTTCTTCTACGACACTGTACGAATTTTTGCTCTACCTTGTTTTTGTGCGCTTTTCCTTCCTTTGGAATACTTCTGTTTTGTTTGCCGTTTTCCCTGTGTGTCTAGCAACGTAGTGTATACGTGTGTGTAATATGTATACATATGTGTATGTATGTGTGTGGATACGCGCGTGAATTGATTGATGGCTTGACATGGACAGATTTTTCCCTTTTTTTCTCTATTTTTTTAACAGCATTTTCCAGCGTGTATTATGACTATGCTAGCTGCCTTGTATCTTGTATACTTGTATACTTGTATCCGTTTCCATCATTATCATGTAGTGTCTGTCCGTTTGGAGCGAGCACTTACCTTGCTACACGCAGGAGTCGATGTCGATATTCAGGGAATATGATGTTCCTGCGCTCTTATACTTAGATGAGTCTGCATATATATATATATATATATTCTAGGCTTGCAAATGTATGAATGGCCGATTCGGGCAATCGACATGCAATCCGGGGAAGGAGCGCCCTACTTACTACTGCGGTGCATTACAGAAGGAACGGCCTGGCACGTGAATCCATTCGTTGCTTGCAATCCGAGTAAACATACACCCATCTTCTTCTCTTCTCTCAACATACAAATACACAAAGACTAAAAAATTATACAAAATCAACCCTCAAAACCAAACAACCTCACTCCCAACTAGAGCTTCCTTTCTTCCCTCCTCTGCTTCTCCCAACTCACCCGCATCCTCCGTCAGTTTTGCTTCAGCTTCCTCCCGTCTCTTTCGCCTCTGTTGCTGGCCCATTCGGTTCCGACGACGACGCCGCTTCTCAGGCGGTGTCGGTGGAACCGAATCCTCGCCGGGCTCCAGACGAGGAAAAGGAACCGACGGCAGAGGGATGAGCGGAAGGACTTCCTTCCCTTCTGCATCAACACCATCACACACAACAACGGGCTTGTCGGGGGCCCTCCTAGACGGCAAGTTGACTACGGGAGTGCCCTCGACGTGGAGATCTGATACCACAGTCAAGGGTTCCCGCGAGTCGTACCGTCCAGGCACCGGAAGACCGCTGTTGTCGGATGATAGGGCCGCTCCCGAGCTCTTATTGACTCCGGGAGCCCGCCCGACGTGGCAATCTAGCACCACACTCGGTATTGGTGCCTCAGCAGGGGTGGTCGTGGAGCCGGTGGGAATTGGGTGTTTGGTCGAGCTCTCGTTTCGGGTTGGAGGCCTCCTGGCGAGGCCTTTGGGTGCCACTGTCGAGGAGGCCATAGAAGAACTGTATGGGACAGAAGAACAGCCGTATTTTGAGTCAAATTCGGCTTTGGTGATTGTCCACCGATTCACGGAAATGAGTCTCCTAAGCGAGGGATTCTCTTCTTCAACATAGAGATATTCGACGATCTTGAGAAGTCGCTCCGTGTCGCTGGTAGAGGAGGTGCTGTCCTTGTTGGTTTCAAGGGACTCAGCCTGCGATTCGATTTTCTTGACGAAGTCTTCAAGATATGGTTCTTCCTTTTCCAACGAAAGGGCGACATTGGTTTTGCTGAGGTCTTTTAATTCATCAGGCTGTCCAGCAATAGCAGGAGCAGCAGGAGCAGCCTGTTCCTCGCTCTTCTTAGAGCATATTCGCATAAGTGCCACAATACTATGGAAGAGCCCCAGGACACATGCCAGGAACCCCACAATCCATATCAGATTAGCCTGTTTTGGCAGGTCATATGTCAAGGGATATGCCGAATACAAAGAAGAGACAGAACTAAAAGACCAATTCGGGCTGTGAGTTGTGGGAGCGGCTTTGAACGGTGTCACCGAAGCGAGCGACGTCTCTGTCTGGGTCTCTGTCATTGTCCTTATAATTGGAGTAACCGTGATGGATAGATCGCGTGTTGGCCATATGAACAAGCCATCTGGTCCTGGCCAGGGACATTCGGGACAAAGAGGATCAATATACCCTATAGGGTAGTTGTAAACGGGAGTGGTCGTAGGTGGAAGACGAACAGCAGTTAAAACACGACGAGCAGAGGGAGTACGAACGAGTTCGCCGCCATTTCTAATCCCAAGACGAGTTTTTATCCCATCGAAGACGTTCTGAGAGAATTCCTGGAGAAGAGAGAGAGACGGCCGCTGGACGTCTGCTACCAAGGGCATGAACATGGTCAAAATTGCGGTGGCACAGATGCCCCAGAGAGGGAGGAGCAGCATGTTGAAGACACCACCAGTCTTTGAACTGAGTTTTCTTTTTGGCCAGAGATAGAGAGGGAAAACTTTCAGGTATGACGATGAAGATATAGGATGGACTGCCTTCCCAGACAGGACAGGAGACAAGGTATGACTGAAATGAAGTTGACGTTTTAGACGATGAGGATGCTGGACCTGAAAAGACTACTGTGCCCGATGATGTGATGAAGTTTCTAGCGCAAAGTGTTTTTGAGAGGAATTTCAAAAGAAGGCTGAAGATGATGAGATGTAGGGAGCCAGTTTTGATGAGTGACGACTGATTCTTCTTCAAAGAAGCCAAGCGAACAAGGTCCAAAAGCTGAAGACAGTGAGAGAGTTTGAAAGTTGAAGAACCAACGATGCTCGGGAATTCTTGATGGGACGTGTGCGTGTGTAGGGGTGAGATGGGAGAGGAGAGAAGAGGGACTCAGATGTCCAGGGTCTTAGACACGCATCGAGATTGAGTATTCAACCCTTGAACGGAAATGTCCGTTGACAATAAGTCAACTGCTAACCGGCATGTGACTAACCAGCGGTGACTGTTTAGGACAGGGCAAACAATTCATATCTAGGCAGTTGGAACCATAAAGGGATTCGCGAAAATGGATTGAAAGAGCGGTTGGTGAGTTGTGTCAATGCCTTCCGTTTTAGGAAATAAACTGTCATGGCAAGCCATGAAAACAATCGATACTATTGCCGATCTCGATTATCAGTCCTCCTTATTGCCGAGCGATAGTATTTGAGGTCAATCAAGGTCATTGTTAGTCTATATGCAATCCAAAAGGACAAAGTATGTTTCAGGCTTTTGAAGTCCAATTTTACCCATTCGAGCTTGTATCAACCGATCAAAGAAAAGACACATAAAATTTCCCAGAATAAAACGCCATGCCGTAACCACATAAAATGGGACAAATATGATGAGACGAATATCAAATTGTTGCAAGAGCAAGGCTTCTTCTTCTTCTTCAGTCCACATCCATCTCTTCCTCCACGCCTCCATCCACCAACACCTTGGCCTTCTTCTTCTGCCGCTGTCTCTCTTCGCCAAACACCTTTCCAGCAATCTTCTCCTTCTCCGCTGTAAGAGGCACATTTTGCTCCTCCATTTCGCGCAGCTCCTTGCGAATAAGATGCTCGCCCTCCGCAACCACTCTGCGATCTGCCTCGCGTTGACGGTCGCGCGCAGCTTTGCCTGCCAGTCGTCTCTTGGTGAACACGCGCTCTCGTCGTTGCCGAATCTCCTCCACTCTTTCCATCGCCTTGAGCGTCGTTGCAACCAGGTTGCGGTCGTATTTGACCGGGATGTTCCTCTTCTTTGCGAACTGTGAGAGTAGGAGTGATGAGTCGACGATCATTTCTTTGCCGCGGAGGGCGCGGTGAGTCTTTGTCCACTTCAGTTTTCTGGGTTGGCGTTTCATTTTGAAATTCTTTTTTATATTCGGTTAGAAAATATAACTTTCCCATCTTGAACTTAAAGAAACAAGAACTTCTTACCTTCTCGCACTTGCTTCGACAGAAGCGGAAACTGCGTGCATCATTTCGAACAAATGTAATTCCCTTGGATGGATATACGCTGTGCAAATCGTCAGTGGCATGCCCAATGCGATTAAAAAAAAAGCCGGGGGTTCGATAACATACGGACGAGAACAAAAACTGCATACTTCCACCCTGTCATACAAGTCAGCGTATTCCTGTGTACACACACACACACATACACATGCAAGTAAATACATACCTCATCTTGAATGAATTCCTCTAATTGACCTCGCTTTACAACAGAAAGACGACGTTGTATGAAGCTGTAGTTAAATCGAAGCAAAATCGCATAGAAAATTATGTGGGGCATTGGCACAGCACCTAAAAAATCAGAACGCTAACCAAACAGGGGTTAGCCAACGCCAAGATCGACTTTTCTCTTTGATCGACTTTTTGCCAGTCGCCGCCATCAGCCAAAGCACGACCTACGTCTACTTTCTCTCATCTATCGCTGATAATTCTCTCGTCGATACATACACGCAATGGCTTCTGCGTTTGTCGTTGGCCTCGGACTGGCCACCACTGCTTTTCTGGTGAGCGAGAGCCGTCTGCAGCATTCAACATCAATCAGGGAACAAACATCATCATATGCTAACCAACATCTCCCAGGGCCGTGCTGGATATGTCGCACTGCAGCGTTACCGGGGAGGAGTCAACAAACTAGGCCGCGCATTTTACAAGGGGTATGTTGTGGAGACCCAGCAGTCGAACGAACGATTCACCGGGCTAACATACTTTGTTTTGCAGTGGTTTCGAGCCCAAAATGACTCGTCGTGAAGCCTCGTTGATCTTGGAACTCTCGTAAGTCTTTTTTTTCTTTCTTCCGCTGCACTTCCTTGCACTTGCTGCTGAGAACTGAGGTTTAACAAAACATCAATCGTACAGGGAACGAACCTTGACCAAGGATAAAGTTCGCAAAAACCACCGACAACTCATGCTCCTCAACCATCCTGACCGCGGCGGAAGTCCCTATCTGGCCACAAAGATCAACGAAGCCAAGGAATTGCTTGACAAGACTCTCTGAAATTGAGTCGGCTTTGTTTCTTAATCTGCTTGACTCTCGATATCGACATCTGCATTGTCAAGGTTGGCCAGTATGAAGTAGGCACGTGTGTGCCTCTTGTGTTTCAATAAGATATTTATATACCATGGATCATTTATTTTTGGGATTTGCATAGCATGGCGTTCTTGAAGGATGATTTGCCGTTGATTGATCGTGTGAGAGAGTGTTTGCATGTTGCATGTATTGTACAGATATTAAATCAAACCTTGGTCTCGCCGCTCCTATCTAATTGGTTTATCTTATTCGCCTAATGCTTTTATCTCTGCTGACTCGTCTGAGATACATGGTCGAATATTAAGTTGATCATGAATAGACACCACTAATATTGATTCGGCTTGAGGCATGGTGATTAGTATCAAGAAGGATCAATGTATAAATTGATTGAGATTCTATCATACCGTACTTTCATTAAACATTCTCTAGCAGCATATTACTTCCATACAATATACAATGAAGTACTTAGGTATCTACTAACCCTCAATTAAGAAATCTCTCTAGAAACGTCTCTCGCTCCTCTTGAGATTTGACTATGACTATGCCAATGCTACTAACTACCCAGTGCTTGTCTGACATACTGAAAAGTGAGAGGAAAGATAAGGAATACCGCTTCTTCGGCTCCATTCTCTTATATCCAGGGACTTTGGCAGCGCTAAGCGAGTTCCTGATTCAGCTCCGACGAGGCTATCCCTGAATCCAGTACCGCTTCTAGGGCTTTTGCCCTCCTGTCTGAAGCATGTTCAATGATACCCATTTAGCACCGGTTTACACCAGACTGTCACATATCCTTCTCAATCAACCTCCTATTCGATATCTCCTCAGTACGACAACTCTCCACGAGACGTCATGGACAGAGATGCGTCGATTGAGACACCTAAAAGAAGGCGTATCTACTTTCTGAAAGGCATTAGAGAGTTCTCTGAACCTTATCATATTAGAGCAGAGCAGAGGCAAAGAAGAGCAGGTAAGAACCTACCACAAAGGAAGTTGCTGTTGATAGATATCTGAAAGTAACAATCCCCTCTATGTCCCCAGAAACCGTCAAGGATGAGAATAAACACAGAAGAGATCTCAGAATCCAAGAGATCTTTGATATCGAAGAGCAATGCATTCTTCTTCGTGGGTCATGCTATGTGGCATCAATGATATCGGATCCAGAAGCCCCAGAAATCTCCTTGACTGATGTCGAAGTTGGGATATTTCTCCGTTATTGAAGACGATATCATAAACAACATACTCGGCCCCATAGAAGAAAATTCTAGTGTCGATGGAGTTGGACGTTGAGATAGGCTACGATCCACGTAACTCACACGACGGGCAGCCTCTTTCATCGAAGAGTAGCCTAGCACAGCACAAAATCAAGGCCTTTAACCAGCTTCTCAGGAGAATCCAAAACACAGAGCTTTTGGATCCCAGCAAACTGATCTAAAACGGGCCAGCGAAGTTCGACAATCATATTTAACCAACAAGTCAAGCACAAGCCTCAAGTAACAATGATTCGAAGAAAGACGTCAAACAAAATGATTTGAATCATAATAGGCTCCTGCGAATGACACCCATTGTGTATCCGCTAGTTGGTATGCTACATATCCTACGCATCCGACAGATTTTCCCTTTTTTGGGATGAGTGACCGGGGGGGTTATGGAGTTCAGCGAGTTATGTGTCAGTAATTTTCCCTTGTTAGAAAAAAGATAAAAGGTGCTTGTAAATCAAACAAGCAAAAAGAAACAACAATTGGTCAGTATGGGGCTCGAACCCATGGCCTTGGCGTAACATATCATATTAGCACCACGATCTAACCAACTGATCTAACCGACCTTGTTGAAGCGACGGACAAAATTTGGTTCCATATCTTACGTTCAACCAATTTTATCTTAAAAAGTAAACTAAAAGAGCAAGATACAGCATTCCCTGTAAAGTTTGGAACTGGCAAAAAAATGTTCATGGTCAGTATGGGGCTCGAACCCATGGCCTTGGCGTAACATGTTGATATTAGCACCACGATCTAACCAACTGATCTAACCGACCTTGTGGCGTATGTCTCGCATTTTTGTCTGAACGTAGCTAGTTCATTTGATTGGACAAAAGAAAGAAGCTACATTGGTTAACTCCGTAGAGAGAATTAACAATTATCACGAAGGAGGAATTGCAAGCGATGAAATTTATCGTAGGCATGTATCTGTATAGGTCCGAATAATACATGTATAAAATACGAAACGCCTTTTAGCAGAGCGGAGGGGGAAAAAATATAACAAGTCTCGTTAAGCTAGCTGACAGCGACGAATGTTATCATGTTAGTATTTTCCCCTGCTGTGTATGCTTAGATACTGTAAACCCAATCTACTTCCGTCATGTTTTGTGGGATTTTAACCACATGCCACATACTACCTTTCGCTGGATGCAAAAGACCTAGGTACTTTTGTGCAGTCTGCGTTTACCCGGTGAGATCACATGTGATCATACTACATGTTTTAAAGGGTCCAACTGAGAGCAGCCATGCAAGCTTATAGTCTTACACACGGAGTACTAGCGCATATCCAATGATAATATAGGAGGGAGAAAAGAACTCCCAATCAGCCGCTACGGGTTCATCCATCAGGTTCATGTCCCCGTTACTTGTGACGGCTCCCGAGGCGCTTCCTACTCGCAAGCTCCGACTAGGCGGATAGGGCACCAGGTCAATTAGCCCTTACCTCCTCGTGGCTGCATTGGGAAATGCCTCAAGCGGTGGTTTTCTAGGACTGGTGGATTCCTCACTTATAAGGATTAGGCGTACACTTGATACTTTGATCTCCTCTCTCTTTTCTCCTGCTCGGTTTTCTCGTGTATAACCCTAGTTGCTTTTAGTCAATAGGAATGACGACCATTACATTACTTGGGTAGGTAGGTCAAGAGACAGGGGAGGAGGGAAAAAAAAGGAAAACAAAAAGATTAACTGGTCAGTATGGGGCTCGAACCCATGGCCTAGGATGCTGTTAGATAAATAACTCATGCGGTGCTTATGATGAAATCTTGCTTACCTTGGCGTAACATATGCGTATTAGCACCACGATCTAACCAACTGATCTAACCGACCTGATTGGATGGACGATTTAGGCGTTTTCCGCTCGGAGTTTCAGGTCACGGAAGGAAAAAAAAAAAAAAAGAGCCATAGCTACCTTAAAAAGGGGACCAGCGATTCACTCGGTCATTTGCAGGCGATGAAATTGATGTTGATTTTATGTATAGGCGTCCACGTGACGCATACGGAGTGTCCGGCGGGTCAGAGGAGGTCAATTAAAGCATAAAAAAAACTATCTTTCTTCAATCAACTTCTTCGTCTCGTGATCTAATTATTCCCTGTATCTAGCTAGATTGAGGCAAAGACAGTGAAAAAAAAAGGGTTATCATGGTCAGTATGGGGCTCGAACCCATGGCCTTGGCGTAACATGTTGATATTAGCACCACGATCTAACCAACTGATCTAACCGACCTAGATGTCACTTTCTCGACGGGTTTGGATTATGTTAGACCTCTCCCATTTACGCCTCCAGCGATACTTTATGCCATCCCTACCGACGACTTTGCATCGAAATCATACTTCGACTACGTATTGGGTGCTCTTTTTTTTTTATGGCGCAGCCATGGTCCTTTATTTGCCTGCACATTACAGTTACCTTTGGGTTTATCGACGTGGACTTGGTAGTAGAAATACTCCGGTGTAGAATGCCAACTGGCCAATGATAGCAGAAAAGCCAGTCTAGTATTCGTCGGCAGTGAGTGGTGCACTTGCAGGGAAGCAACGTCTGATCTAAGGATAGTGGGCGCCGAGATGTTGACATTAGGTGAATTTTAGAGAGTGAAGATAAGGGGGCCTTCATTTACATCACATGAAAGGCTAGTCTCGCCAGTCCATGAGCGCGAAGTTGTTGATTGTCTTGACGTCTGCCTAGATATCCGTCCAGCTATATATACATATAACCGCTAGTTATATGTGCGCGTATACCCTTATCAGATGACCTGGCACCTTAGTGATCGAACGCAGCATTCCGCATGTCACATGGCATTCATATTATCGTGTTGTATACATCATACAATGGTGTCATACGTCGAAGTGCTCAGGTAAATGTTAAAAATTTCTTGGCTATCGCATGAACCATGAAGTTCCTTTACACATCAGGCCTACGCGGTCACCGAATGATTAATTAGACAAGTAGATGGTCATGCCAACTTATTTCAATTCATCCATGGGCTTGTGGCTTAGGGTGATTCTCTATTTGCATGGGAGCGGTCCTGATTGCTTGGATCTCTTTTATCCCTTTTCTATGCAGTCAGTCACCATAGAAAAACCGATCGGGCCATTGTAGGCATATCGTACATCGCTTGGGCTGATTAGTCGAAGCGGGAAAAGCTTGGCCGCGTCCGGATATTAATCAGCTTACCTAGCCAATTAAAACCAAAGCTCAATTTCCACTTGACTAAAGCTGGATCCGAATAAACCCGACTGAAAGTGAAAAAATAAACCTTGATAAGGACGGACAAGATCAACAAACAAACAAAAAAAATGGACTTGCTGGGAATCGAACCCAGGACCACTCCCATGCTAAGGGAGTATTATACCACTAAACCACAAGCCCACTGTTGATGGGTCCGTATCAAGAGCAACCCATGACCATTGTTTGCATGATTGGCCACGAAATCCGCACCGTGATGTTTCGGCCAACAACACAGACAGATAGATAATGCACTTTTCGTTCGTTCTTGTATATTGAGGTGCATTGGTAATTACATATTCACACGCCGGTTACTTAACTCCACCGGACTCGGGTATATTGTAGATGCGACTCAGCAGAGATTCGGGCGTAGATGCCCCCGAGTCCGTTAAGACCGAGATTGATTAGGGCCATTGCTGACTAACGGCCGCTAGCCCATCATGGTGTCCGCCCCTTGACCAGCCAGCCCGTCGGCGGACGAAAATCCCGTCCTCCGCATGCGCCACACTTGCACTTACCTCATCCATCAGCTCTTCACGAACCAGCCAACCAACAATCAGCAACCGAGGGAGAATCTTTCATACGTGCCATGGTGCTAGGCTCCCAGATTTCTTCCTCGTTTACCCTTCATGGCAAGCCGATCCCCGCTAGCCTTAGGTTCTAGCTCCAAGGTCTTTGGGCGAAAGTGGTGGATGTTGGCTTCCCCGCTAACCCTCTCAAGACTTTCTTTCTCTGTCTCTCCAAGAGCCACTGGCTGAATCAGCTTTTCGACCTTTTCAACCTTCTCCGCTGCGGTGTCTCTTGCGACGCACTCTCGAACTACCTAGTTAACTATCTACAATTCGCTGACATAAGCGTTCCTATTGTAACTTACTACCTCATGTTTCATTGAAAGAAACAACGATTGCGCAGCTGACAAACCGGCATCGTTTCGACACAAATCGTCAGCATACCGGAAACAACCCAGTGGAACAAGAAGAGAGAAAATAATGGACGGTATTGCAGACGAATCTCAAGAGGGGCTAGGATATGATATGCCGCCACATATATTCGCCAATTATGGGGTGTCAGGGGGCAGTCCGTTTAATAGTCAGCCCGGTCCAGCAGCCCAGGACGATGAAAGAATTGATGGCGATCCCAAACGAAGGAGGATTGCAAGGGTGAGTTCAAAGATCAAACGATTATCGCGTTCGATCATTCTCAGTCAACCGGAGCTGACTGACTTTTGTTACTATTTCTTCTTATTAGGCTTGCGATATGTGCCGCAAGAAAAAGATAAAATGTGACGGGAAGATGCCCAAGTGTTCTCACTGCATCAACTACAAGACCGAATGTATTTTTACACAAGTAGAGAAGAAGAGGAATCCACCCAAAGGGTGAGTACTTTTTCCCTCCGAACCTTCTTTTCTGACTACTAGACTGACGTCAACACGTAGTGCCAAATATATCGAAGGATTAGAAAATCGAATGAGGCGACTAGAAGGGTTACTGAAAATGGCCGGATTAGCAGACAGCGAAACTGACCTCCCTTCGATTGAACGTCGCCTACAACAGGCCCAGAACCAGCCGACCCAGCCTAGTGATCACGTCCATTCTGCTACCGTTCGCTCTGCCCTTTCGACCGCCGAGAATACTCGCCCAGGCTCATTACATTCAACTCCGCCGATGGATTCGAATTCAAGTTCAAGGGCAACTGACTCGCCCACTTCACAAGAGGTCAAAGAATACGAGGTTGAAGCTTTGTCTGATATGATGTGCTCCCTTGTAAGTAATAATTGCGGGGAAACAAGATATATTGGTAGGTACTAGTATACTTATATTTACTTCCACTGTCGTGCTTGTCACAAGAAGCTGACATAATCTGTATTTTGCGTTCAGGCTCCTCCTCAGGCTTTTCAATTTTCTCGCCTCGAGGTATTCAATGGGTCAACGAGAAGACCGGTGACACTTCCTTTCACGATATGATACAGGCTGCTTATATTGACGATAACAAATGGTTGTATTGGAAGCCCGAGATTTTCAGTGACATTTTCGCGCGCCGTGTTTTCAAGCCATTGCCTCCAAAGGATGAAGCTTTGTCGCTTTTCCGAGATTTTTTCGACAATTTTAATTCCTTATTACCGCTGTTTCATGAGCCCACTTTTATGCACCTGGTTGAGCGTCAATACTCCCGAGACCCTTATGAGGGTTCAGGGTGGTGGGCCAGTATAAACGTTGTTTTGGCAATCTCCCACAGACTTCGGGTGATGAGCCACCTCGTTCCCCAAGAAGAGGATAAAAAGGCTTGGCTGTATTTAAAAAATGCGATGGGTGTTCTGACGGAACTCACAATGCGCAACACAGACTTGTTGAGTGTTCAAGCTCTTTTAGGAATGGTGAGCATACTCTGGCTCCTAAGTCGTTAATATGAATACTGAATATCTGAAATAGTCTTTTTTCTTGCAAGGCACGCCTAACCCACAGCCATCATTCTTCCTAGTAGCAGCCGCAATTAGACTTTCGCACAGTATTGGTCTTCATAAGCGAGGCTCGCTATTCAATTTGAACCCGGTCGAGGTAGAGCAACGAAAAAGAGTATTCTGGATTGCTTACCTGCTGGACAAGGAGTAAGTCAACTAGACAGCCCCTGTGGTGACATGCGCACTGATATACATTGCCTCCTAGCATCTGCCTTCGGTCCGGAAGACCTCCTGTACAAGATGATGATGATATGAGCGGCGAGCTTCCCAGTGAAGTGCCCCCCGATAACGTTGGAATACTACCTTTGTCCTCTGGTGAAGGCCAATTCAACATATTTAGAGTGATGTGTCGGTTTGCCACAATTCAAAGCAAGGTCTACAAGAGGTTATACTCCACCAAAGCCTCCAAACAAACTGACGGAGAGCTCTTGAATACTATTGGCGAACTAGATAAGGAATTGGAAGAATGGAAGGAAAGCATACCGATCGAGTTCCGCCCTGATTATGAAATCAAAACAAAACACACTTCTCTCATACTGCACCTGATGATGGTACATTTTGCATACTATAATTGTCTGACTACGATCCATCGAATGGCTGTACACCATGGGTATTGGACCAGCCGTTTGTCCAACTATGCCATTCAAGGCCTGAATGCAAGGCCTTTGAATCCTCGAGTTTTCTCCTCCGCTAATCTATGCGTGTCAGCTGCGAGAGCTTCAATAAATCTCATAAAATATATTCCACAGGGCGACTTTGCTTGTGTCTGGTAAGTGGCAAAATTACAACATCTACGAGGTGCTTTAACTTATAATTTCATTTAGGTTGGTTTTATATTATCCAGTTTCTGCCCTGGTCACTCTTTTTGCGAACATTTTACAGAACCCACAAGATGCTCGCGCTCGCTCAGATATTAAATTAATGAACCTCGTGGTCAATTTCTTGTCCATGCTGGTTACAGATGAATCCAATGGAAGTGTCAGACGAATGTTGAGCGTTTGCGCGGAATTTGAAAGAATTGCTAGAGTAGTGCTTGACAAGGCGGAGAAAGAAGCGCTTTCCAAACGCAAACGCAAGGTCACAGTACCAGATGGTGCGAATATCAACAACCATGGCGTCGATTCCTCGAACAGACCAGATGCTACAGCTTTCAACCCCGAGAAATCTGCCGATATCTCTTCCTCTTTCTCTCCAATGGCGCAGCAACAGAGCACCGAACACGTGAATATGTGTGCTCCAGAGATCGTATCTCCCAACTCTAATGATATTATGACTAGTGCTTTTGGCGAAGTCCCGAGTGTAGGTGTACCGTCTGGATTCAACCCGGAGGTAACCTTTGCGGATCAGGCTGCCATGCAAGCAACAACAACCTCCCCGAACTCTGATGGACAGTTTCTACCTTTCCAGCAACCCTTCGTTCCGCAGGACCTTTGGCAAATGCCAATGACTCTGGAATGGGATTGGGCAGACTTTTCTACAGTTAATCTACCGATTATCGATCAACAAGACATGTTCCAAACAGCGATGCATAACGGAATGTGATGCAATCTTTCTCGTGGCGAAGTTATGAAATCTTCTCCTAGAATGGTACAGGGAGTTAACAGTTCGGCGTTGAAAAAAAGGGATGAACTCTCCCCATTTTATATATTCGACTATCCCGTGCACAATTTAGACTTTGATACTGTATTATTTTCTTTTCATTTTTTGGTATCTCGTATTTCTTTGGCAACTTTCATACCTCCACTCTGAATTTCTGTCCGGCGTTTCTCATGGTGGAATGTGACGATCTCAGGCTTTCAATTCGGGTACATAACATACAGACAAGGATATTACATAACATATTCGGCAGGTACAGGCTGAATGAAATGGGAACTCGAGTTTAGTTGTATCCAACACTTTTTGTAAAGAATGAATCAACTATTAGGTAGTGCCCTGTGTCAGTTGATGGCAGTCAAGTCTCGGGTCGGCTCCGCGCTTGGCCGGAGGATGACTAAGCGGCTAGAAGGGGACCGGAAAAAACCTCAAGCTGGCTCCTCATATTTCCAAGCTGGACAGAGTTGACCATTCGTGAATCGCCCCTCTTCTTCCGCCTAGTCTTGGACGGAACATTTTTGACCTGCAATCGCATCGAATACTGCTGAGGTCGAAAGGGAAGATAAAAAAAGAAGTCAGAATCATATCGTTACGAATCCAGCGTTAGCCTGCTTGTAGGCTTCCGCGTCTTCTCTCCCTCCGAAACGAGATGGCCACTCTTTTACGACGGCCAGCGTCTATCGCACGATATTCGAGAAGCGCAGCAGAGCTCTTTACGGCATCAAGGTCGACATACTCACATCACACTAGACCGCAACTGTGGTCATTAATAAACGCCCGCCAAGCACGATCCTACTCCTCTGTCAATCCCGGCGGTCCGAAACGTCCAAATGATGAAAAGAATAACAACAAGAATACTCCCGAAAAGAAGGAAAATGATATTCAGGATGAACTAGCCGACTTCTTCAAGACCAGAAATGCTCCTTCGAGTAAGCCGGGTAGTCGCGATGCAGCTGCTGAGAAGGAGTTCTTGGATCAGTCCCTCCAGTTCATCAGCGGACTCCAAAAGGCAGGGGGGTTGCCTCAACGACAACAGGATCTCATACGGGTTATTCAAATTTTGCTGAAAGACGTCAAGCATATACCTCTGGGGATGGAAGAATTCTTCGAAAAACATGCAGTGCAAAGAAAAGTCATGACGCTTGGAGAATGGGACAATTTTGCGAACTACTGGCTAGACTATTTCGACGACTCGATGCACCTCTTTCAATCGGAAAAGGTTTCTTTGGACGAAATAAAGTCTATGCTTAAGACGAAGTCAGAATCGGGCCCTGGGGGGGAAGCAGGGAAGGATTCGAAGAGACAGGGGGCCAACCAAGGCAAAGAACAGAAAGATGGCAAAGAGCAGGGTCAAAAGGGTGCACCAAAAGTTGTGGAATTCAAGTTTGACCCCGGCAGCTTCATTATCACCTCGGTAATCTCTTATATGCTGTACACGACATTTTTCCCAGGAGAGAACAGCAGGGATATTACGTGGCAAGAGTTCCGTGCCAATTTCTTCGACAAGGGTCTCGTGGAGAAGTTGACTGTCCTTAACCGCTCGCGCGTTCGAGTTGAGTTGAACCGGGAGGCTATTGCCAATGAAATGCCTGACTCGCCGGCTGCACAACGCAACTTCCACTACTATTTCACTATCGGCTCGGTTGATTCCTTTGAGCGTAAGCTGGAAGAGGCTCACAATGAACTTCACATCCCCACCTCGCAACGTATCCCTGTGGCGTACGTAGACGAAGTTCCATGGCTTGCTACAGCTCTGTCCTTTGGACCAACTATTCTTTTGATCGGATCAGTCTTCTACTTCTCGAGAAGAGCTGGTGGCGGTGCTGGTGGTCAGAGCGGCATTTTCGGTATTGGAAAGAGCCGAGCGCGACGATTCAACCACGAGACCGACGTCAAAATTCGATTTGCCGATGTGGCAGGTATGGATGAAGCCAAGCTTGAAATCATGGAATTTGTTAGCTTTTTGAAGGAACCGGATAAATTCCAGAAGCTAGGAGCAAAGATCCCTCGTGGTGCCATTCTTTCCGGTCCGCCAGGAACAGGTAAGACATTGCTCGCGAAGGCAACCGCAGGTGAATCCGGGGTACCGTTTTTCAGCGTCAGTGGATCTGAGTTTGTTGAAATGTTTGTTGGTGTCGGTCCTTCTCGTGTCCGTGATTTGTTTGCCAATGCCCGAAAGAACACCCCCTGCATTATTTTCATTGATGAAATCGATGCTATTGGTAAATCAAGATCAAAGCAAAATTTTGGTGGCGGCAACGATGAACGTGAGAGCACACTCAATCAGATTTTGACTGAGATGGATGGTTTCAATACATCAGACCAGGTTGTCGTTCTGGCCGGTACCAATAGACCTGATGTTCTTGATAAGGCCTTGATGCGTCCGGGACGATTTGACCGGCATATCGGCATTGATAGACCGACAATGAAGGGCAGAGAGCAAATCTTCCGTGTGCACTTGAAGAAGATCCTCACCAAGGAGGACATGGATTATCTTTGTGGACGCCTCGCTGCTTTGACTCCAGGATTCGCTGGTGCCGATATTGCAAACTGTGTGAACGAGGCTGCATTGGTTGGTAAGTATATCTTTCATGCCTCCTATCCTTCCGAAAGATTCATTACGCTAACAACTCTTTAGCTGCTCGTGAACACGCAGAGAGCGTGAAAATGAAGCATTTTGAACAGGCAATTGAACGTGTTATTGGAGGCTTGGAAAAGAAGTCGTTGGTCCTTTCACCAGAAGAGAAACGGACCGTGGCCTACCATGAGGCCGGTCACGCTATCTGTGGCTGGTACCTGCGGTGGGCAGACCCTCTTCTGAAAGTTTCGATCATTCCAAGAGGACAGGGGGCTTTGGGCTATGCCCAATACCTCCCCTCTAGTGAGAATTACTTGATGAGCGTCAACCAACTCATGGATCGTATGGCCATGACTTTAGGAGGACGAGTCAGCGAAGAACTGCACTTTGACACGGTCACTAGCGGAGCGTCTGATGACTTCAACAAGGTCACTCGCATGGCTAGCGCCATGGTTACCAAATTCGGCATGTCAAAAGCGATCGGCCCGTTGCACTTTGAAGAAGACCAGCAACAACTCCACAAGCCCTTTTCTGAAGAGACTGCACGAAACATTGACCTAGAAATCCGCCGCATAGTCGACGAGGCTTACAAGCGATGCACAGATCTTTTGACGGAGAAGAAGAACGAAGTCGGCCTAGTTGCAGAGGAGCTTTTGTCCAAGGAAGTTCTTTCTCGTGACGATATGGTGCGTCTCCTTGGTCAACGGCCTTACCCTGACACCGGCGAGTTCACAAAGTACTTCGGTGGCGGTGGTACCATTGCACCACCAGAACCGCCTGTATCTGATGAGGGTACCACCGGTAAAGATGGTCGTGACCAAACTCCTTTACCTTCTTAAGATACTCATTCATGTCCTTCCCCTTCCTCCCCCCTCTTCTTTTATGTGTAAGTTCTTGGAGATATCAAGATTTTACTATTACATGGCTATGGCGCGGTGTTCTTACTATCTACCCATCTTGTTGTTTTCTATCGTTTTTCCTTTGTGTGAACTGAATCTACCCAACTCTCTCGCCCCCATCACCATGAGTTATTATACTTATACCGGACTGGATATGATTCACTTTCGATAACTTGCCGATCGTGAGTTTGTGTACATTGTATAATAGATGTCTTGCAAAAGAAGGATAACATTGGTGTTCTTTGAAAACATACTTTCTACATATCTATTTTGCCTGCCCTAACTTTTCAACTAGGAATTTCTGTAATCTCCACTCTGTTAGATAAATTCATTGTATTTAAGTTGATACACCTCAGCTGACTATTTGCCTGGTGGCTAGTATTTATATACAGCGGAAGAATATTATACAGCAGCTAACTTCGCTATCTATTATCCTTTAGAAAGATATAAATTTGCATCTTCTATAGATTATCAACCAGACTGGCCTGATTAGGGATTCTATTTTGAGAGTTGGACATGCTATTATTCTTAATGATCCTCAATTTACGGCCGTATTATTAGCTGATATTAAGAATTAGCAGATCAAATTAGAGATCTATATAAAAGTTTCATGCATTAATATATTCTGATTTGAATAATGTTTCCTCTTTCTACCACTTCAAAAACCAGAGTGAACCCTAAAAGAAGCATGAATTCAGAAAAGAACTAAACTATCTATATACGGAGGACATCCCAGTCAACATAGGATGGTCCTGGCGAAAGTAAGCATCGTCCGGCGACCAACAGATTGTGCATATGCCTCTATTTCGGTTCAGATTTGATGGAATCCTCGTAGGCTGGGGGCTGAGTGTGATCAACTGCGCGGAGGCGAACGTAGAAGTCTTTCTGGAAGAAGATACCGTAGCATTGACTGACCCACGGTTTGTGAGGGTTGGCGATAGTTATGTCAAAATTCCTGACGAGCTATACATAGAAGGATCCTTCCTCGTCAGCATGTCCGCCCCTATGCCAAGGGCAGGCGGGAACCAAAACGTACCTCGAAGATCACCTTTGATATTTCCATCATGGCCATAGACACGCCCAGGCACTTTGTCGAGCCGTGCCCAAAGATCAGCGAATGCGTCTGGTACATGACGTGCAGCCTATCCGGGTCGTCAACCAGCCAACGCTCCGGAGAGTAGAGCTCGGCATTGTCTCCATAGACGGCCTTGCTACGCTGTACGCCCCATGCGTTCAGCCCAACAAAAGTGCCTCCAGGCAGGTAGAAGTCGCCGAGCGTGTCGCCTCCAGGTGGAACAACGCGCTCGCGCAGTTGGCTTAGAGGCGGGAACATGCGTAGGCCTTCTAGGACACAGGCCTGCAGGTATACGAGTTGCTTCGCTTCGGTGTCTTGAATAGGGTTGGATATCTGTCCTCCGCTTGACACCGCGCGACGGATCTCGGCGCGCAGGGTGTTGTAGACTTGCGGGTTTGTTATAATGGATAAGAGCGTGCTTTGCACCGCGGTGGAGGTTGTGTCAGAGCCGGCCACGCTACATAGTGTTAAGGTATATATCACTATCGTATGGTGGAGATTTGGTGGCATACATACAGTGCAATAATGAGCTCTGAATCGATTTGACTCTTGGACATTCCTTGATTTAGAAGAGAGCTCACAACATCGCCTGTCCTGTGGCCTTCTTTGGAACGTCTCTCCACCACCTCGTGGACTATCTGTAGGGGCTGGGGTTAGCCTCTTCTTTTTCCTTTTTTCTTCTTTCCCTGCGGAAATGCGTGAATATGGACATTACACTGACCCCCATAAGACGACCGACGCCGGTGGAATCGTGCGGCCTGGGAAAGAGGATCTTCGCCAGAGCCGGTATTCTAGCCAGCTGGAAGAATAGTGTATTCATCTCTAGAAAGACCGAAAAATACTGGCACACCCGGTTTCCGGTTTCGACCGTCTCGAGGATGTGATACATATCACAATCATGCTTGACGCATCCAAGCTCGTCGCCCAGACAGAGTCTGGTGATGATATCGACGGTCAGAAATTGGATTTTCTGGCCAATATCGCACGAAAATACTTGATGTTTCCGAAGCATTTCTATCCAGCCAAGCACCAGCGTGTCTATGATGGGCTCCATTGCGGCAACGGATCGGCCGGTGAACTTGCGTGGCACATCAGCGATTATATGTACATACACATCGAGTTTCTGTACTCACGCTCGGCGCTAGTTTTGCGCGGATCTTGCTGTGTTTCTCCACACTACGCTCGGAGACAATGTTGGGGATATAGGGGTCGATGCGCACCGAGTCGAACCAGGGCCCGCGCACGTATTCAGATCTGACCGCAAGGATTCGGCGGATGATATCAGGGTCGTCGGTGATGACATGGTTTGGGCCGATGCGGGCGACGGATCCTGGGGTATATGTATTAGCAGGCGTCGAGCAGCATGAGTTCCTTGTGTTGTATATACACTCACCGAATTTTGCATTCGCCTCGACCCAGATCTCATGGGACCTGCCGGACATCAGCGCCCTTGCAATCCACAGCCGTGACCACGCCGCCAGTCGTGGTCCCGGCACACGCGATATATACGAGTTGCGTAGTCGAATAACCCGGATCCAGAAGCCGAGCCTGACGATAGCGCACAGGAAGAAGAGGCACCATAACAGAGCGATGAGCCCAATAAAGCGGATCAAAGCCATAGCTTGTAGCAGTGACGAGGTGCTTTCCCCTCCATACGCGTACTACGGTGTGCGTTCTCCGGCCTATTTAAGCTGGCAAGCTGGCACTGGAGGCATCTTCGCGGCCCCCGCCATATCGGCTCATATGCGGCACTCTAGTTCGTTACCGGAGATACTTGAGAACATATATGAAAGAATTGTACTGCAGCTTACCGCCCGTAGCCTGCATCTTGCTTGCATATGCGTCGTCACGCTCATCGTAGTGATAGGCAAACGTGCTTTGCGGCTGAGTCTTCGAGTTCAGCTGTTCGGGTCGATCCTGATAGCGACATCTGTCTTAGTCGCCGTGAGATTGAAAGAGCCAGTGAGAATCTAAAGCTCATGCAGTGAATTTGGTGCCGAATGGACTCAACTCTGGTAGAAGCCTGAAACCACGGCTGATTATTGTTATAGTTGTGTACGTGGGCAGTAGCTAAAGATATCTACCTTACTTAGGTCATCCTGGATAGTTAACTACAACATAGCCCTAATTACCCGAATAGGATGTATAATTACGCCCGAGAGGGACCCCGCTTCTAGATGTCCTGTCTGTCGCTCAGGTGATATTGAAGGTACCACTGACCTTCTAACATATTCAATACAAGAATTCGTCCTGCTACACGTCGTTCCAAGACTTTGACACTACCCACTCGCTATTAAACACGCCTCCTGATAGATAATGTTGCTGATGGCGGTGGAAGAACATTATACTCAATCCATATATTTCCAGGCCGCTCTCCCAAGAACTTAACCTCGTAGTCCACCAAAACATGCGCCAGAATGATCTTGATCAGATCGACAGCAAAAAAGCGACCGGGACACGCATGCTTGCCAATACCCCAGGCAACAAAATGCTCGTTTGTCTCTGCCGCGGCACTCTTCTTTACCCCTTCCGCCTGCTCCTTCACCTCCTCCTCAGCCCGCATGAACCGGTCATGCACAAACTCAAAGGGCTGCGGGAATATGCCCTCGTCATGATGCAGTCCCCATCCGGAAATGCACACCGTGGTCCCCTGCGGCAGACGCTGTCCATCCGGCAGGATAGCGCCATCCGGCTGCATGACCTTTCGACTCATGGCCTTGGGCACGAGGCCCCACAGCCGCAAGCTCTCGCGTAGTGCGCTGTCGAGCCGCGACATCTGGTTAAACCGGGCTCGCTTCCACGTCTTTCCCCAGCGGGCGCTACTGGCGAGAGACTCATCGCGGAGGAGCGACACCGTGGGCGGGTGGGAGAAGATGTCGAGAAGCAGGTTACAGGCTGTCAAAGTTGACGTGTGGATTGCGGCGAAGTTCAAAGCCATGATGCGCCGGCTGAGAAAGTCTGGAGTGCGCTCGGGAGAGGAGCGAGGGTATTGTACTGAGTTGGAGACGAGCCATGAGGTAAAAAGATGTGGATCAGTGAGCGTGAGATCTGAGAATACGGGCAGAAGGTGCTTTGCACAGCGCGAATAGGCCATCTGGACTGGGGTTTTGAAGACAAACCCCATTGGGCGTTTGAGCCAGTTGGGGAAAAGGTTGATCAGAAGACCGCAAATCGACACTCGAGTGACGAAGCGAATCGAGCTTTCAATATAGTCGTTGTCACGGCCTTTTTTTTTTTTTTTTTTTTGAATGTCAGGACCGTTAATTGCCCCCAATACCAATTCGCAGTTAAACTTACAGAGTGTATCGCCAACGAAGACACGATTTGCTGCTCGCGCCACGACGCGGCGTACTGTATCATCCAGGTTGACCTCGCGCCACGAATCCGTGGCTTGTCCCCAGAGGTCCTCTAGTGCCAGACCAACCTCTTCCCAGACGTCGCCAGCAATGCTGTCCAGATTGGCAGTGAGGTTGCGGCGGATCAGGGGCTCGTGTACAGGATCCAACCCGATCTCGGGGCGCAAGAACGTTATGGGGATGTTTAAAGCATCCATTTGCGCGGCTTTGGCGCTGAGATGACTCTCCGGTTGCAAGGTCAACCACTGCAGCATTGACGGCGGGAGAACGATGCTATTGCCGAATACGCCGCGCAGGACGTAGACCTGGTTGTCACGGAGTTGCTACAAGCAAAGCAAAACAGAGCAGTGTCAGCCTGTGTCAATCCGCAGCAACCGACTGACCTTTCTGTAGATGCGGTGCAGGATTTCTCTTCCTCGAGTCAGGCTTTGCAGGGGAGGGATCGCTGGCTTGATCAGCCATGCCCAGATGGACAGAGCGCAGAGGAACAGAAGGACAGCCTCGACAGTCTGGTGGTTCATTGCGGTTAGTGTCGACGATAATACTGCTCGACGCTTGTGAGACACCCCATGCTTATAAGCAGCGCTCGTCGTAAAATACAAGAATGCTGTACATGAGTGTATCGGACAATAAAGGCGAGGGATATTCGCCGACTGTTACACAAATGCAGGCAGGTAGGAGCAGCTCACCGCCTTCGTGTACATACAGTGTACATCTCGTCTCGCATCCCCAGGAACTTCTCCTGATCCCTCTCCATCATCTTCGTGAGTCCTCTGACTGCAACATGCCGTCTTCAATCCCAGTCATCGTCTTTGTCGGCGTTGTCACGGTCGCCTACTTCGCCTCCCGCAAGAGGCTCAGCCATGACCCTCGCGAGCCGCCAGCAGCTCCGCAGGCGATTCCCGTGGTCGGGCACATGCTCGGGCTCTGGCAGAGCAAATTCAACTACTATGTCGAACTCAGGTACCTGCCAAAGTGAATGCATTCCCGTCTGGGGAAGCCCAAGTTAACCGTCTCGCAGCCAGAAGACGCACTCCCCCATCTTCACCATGGCCCTCCCCGGCCAGAAGATGTACATTGTGACGCAGCCAGAGCTTATCCAGACCGTGCAAAAGCAGCACAAGACCCTCGCATTCCCGCCTATTGAGGCCAAGTTTGCGTGCAAGATCTGTGGCGTCAGTCCCGAGGCGGAGGCTATCCTGAACCAGAACGTCAATGGCGACCATGGCGATTTTGGTCTTTCGATGGAGTCTTATGCCGCCATGCGAGACGCGCTCCGACCCGGATCGCACCTCGATGATATGAATCGTCTGATGATCCAGGAAGTCGCAAGTTCGCTCGATCTGCTGCAGCCGGCCAAGGGAGAGTCCCGCACCGTGGGCATGTATTCCTGGCTGAGGGAGACCATCACGACGGCCACTACCCGGGCTGTGTACGGCCCAATGAACCCGTATGATGACAAGTCTATTGCGGATGCTTTCTGGTGAGTTAGCTTCTGGATGGGGGGTTAAGCATTCTGATCTCTAAAACTCTTCTCGCGGGGCTTTAGGGAATTCGAAAGCGATCTTATGTCGATTCTGGTGGGTTTCCTTCCTTCCATCACAGCTCGAAAGTCGATCGCGGCTCGTGCCAAGGTTGCCAAAGCCTTTGAGGCATACTACAAAGCCGGAGGAGTGCACAAGGCATCGGCTCTCGCCAAAAAACGATACCAAGTCGAGATTGACAACAATCTTGCGCTGGAAGATATCGCTCGTTTCGAGGTTGGAGGCTCGATTGCCATCTTAGTAAACACGGCACCCGCAGCATTCTGGACTCTTCTGCTGCTCCACTCCCACCCAGGTCTTCTTGATGATATCCGGGCAGAGATTGATGCCATCACCAAAACCACCGAGTCGTCTGTCAAAACCCTTGATATCACTACGCTCAAGGCCAATTGTCCCCTGTTGCTGTCCGCCTACCAGGAAGTCCTTCGCTATCGGTCCATGGGAACATCGGTGCGCGAGGTAATGGAAGACACGCACCTTGACCAATGGCTGCTGAAGAAAGGCGCCCTGCTACAAATGCCGAGCCGTATTATCCATCAGGACGGTACGCTCTGGGGCCCCAGCGTCAACGACTTCAACCCCCGCCGATTCCTGCCCGAAGAAGCGCGATCCCGTCCACGCGACACTTGCTTCCGTGCGTTCGGTGGTGGTAAGACCCTCTGTCCCGGCCGCCATTTTGCGACCAACGAGGTCCTCGCCGTCGTCGCCGTCTTCATCGCGAGGCTCGACATGAAGCCTGTCGAGGGCCACTGGAGGTTTCCCACTGTCGCGAATACCAATGTTGCTTCCGTCGTCATGGAGCCGGATGACGATATTCAGGTTGAGATCAAGACACGACAGGGCTTCGAGGGTGTCAAGTGGGTTATTAACCTTGATAGCTCGGACAAGATTTTTGCCATGGTGACCGAAGACAACAGCGAGATATAGTATATTCTACCCTGTTCTAGTTATTTCCGTCTACAAAGTGGAATGCTAGTCAGAGAATTTTACTCTCAAGGTTCCATGGCAATGGATTTAGGTAGTTTGCTCTGGAATGAGTCTTGACAGTGGAGCTCCGAGAATCCTTCAGCCATTTGTCTCCACTGGACCCAGTAGCTAAAATCAACTTCACTTCTGATAGATAACAAGAATTTTTGAAAAACTAAGGAAAAAAAAAATTTCGTCCCATAAACTAGAGATCTTTCTTAATCTTTTTTTCCTTCTCAAACCCTCCTCCCTAGAACCTCAAGGTCAGTCTTCTTCACGATGCCGGATTGCATCTGCAGCAAGGCATAGCTGTCAGCCTCGGTATCACTCCAAATGCGGTTTGAACTGCTGCGAGAGTATAGCTGAGAGTAGTTGGAATTTGCACTGTCCTCTGACCGTTTATACCCCGTTGGACGTTGCCGTACTGATCTGAATACTACAGCCGCAGCTGGTAGACAGCAGACTACGACACCGGCTGCCTCTTCGGCTATGCTGGGAGGGAAAGTCATTGATAAGTGAGTTTCAGTGAAGTACTAGAATGGGAGAGGGGGTACGCACGCTGTCGCCCACAACGGAACAACAAGATACGTGTTGTCTGAGCCGATTCTGTAGAAGCGCACCCTGTAAACAAGGCCGATGATGCTAGAGGCACAAGCACTAAGACCTATTGAAAACATGGCCGAGGTTGCAAGCTTCCGTCGCAGTGGCATCTGGCCGCTCCAGATGGCTGGCAGTGGCAGGACAAGAAGAAACAGGTCAATGGCAACGTTGCTGGCGCCCTGGAACACAACGAGGACGCGCGTGTGCGTGCACGTGCTGGAGACATAAGCGCTTAGAAAATCGAGCTGCGAAGCGCCTGCTGAAGGCGAAGGTGCGCACATAGCTGCAAACGCGATAGACATCGAAAGATGCCAGGCCGTAATGACGATGATGCTGCCAATGGAGACAATACGCATCCATCTCAGGACACTGAAGATGCGCAAGTACAGGATCAGGACGGAGACTTTGACAGCACAAATTGCTAATGGCCCGGTGATCTCGACGAGGAGAGATAGCTTTGAATTTGATTTTGGTTGTGAGCTTAGAACTTTGGGTGGGAGTCTTTTTTTTTTTTCTTTTTTCAACGTACCACGAGCTGCGGTTTGGTAAAGGCGCCTAGAAGGACATCCCAAGCATGCCTGCCAAATGAACCTCCAGTCACACCTGCACGGAGTCAGCTATAGCTATCATCAAGAACTAAGGACAACGTGGACGGCGTACAGGCTACTGTCATCGCGGTAAACCCAAGACAAAGCACCTAACTTTGTCAGTATCCATGGCATCCCATAAGCGGTCGTTGAGGAACGATCTACCAATCCCGTAGCAAACACGACTTCAAGGTCCTCTTGTCAGCGGCGTAAAAGCCATGATAAGGGATTGAAAACGAACTTTCTTCGCCGACATTGGTCGGTTTCTGCGGGAAATATGTCTTGGAGATGAGCCTGAGCAGCGAAAACACCACCATCAGCGAAATGCACACGCCCGCGGTGACATAAACCTGGTAGGCGATGGAACTGGGATTGACAAAGTTGGGCGTCACGCCTGCAGGCGGTGGTTGAGAGGGGTAGTTCAGAAGGTGCGACAGTGTGTCGGGACTCAGTGCGCTCATGGTGGCGAGGAGGAGGAGGAGGATAGTTGGGCAAGGGAAATGAAAAATCAAGAACGGCAGAGGGGCCCATGCTAGTTATGCTGGGGCGTCGTCAACTCCATGATCTACATCCAGCATGCAGAGTCAGAGCCGAGTTCAGCTCTGGCATGCATTGTAGAGATGTTGCACAGGATATTACGGCCCCCGTTCCAGTCAAGCGGCCACAAAAGAAGGACATAGAATAAAAAGCCATCAGGCTGTGTAATCTTCAGTATATTTGGTAATTGTTTTGTTTCCAAGTCTTTTGCCAGAGCAGAATTCTCAATCTGCCGGCATGGATATGATTTTCTATTTCGATAAGAATTCCTACAACTCGATTGGCGCGTCACATACATACAATACGGCTATTAGAATACTTCAATTAAATAGTCGCCGATGCATCTTTATGGGGGCTGATAGGTTTGCTGTATGTAACTAGAGAGGATTATGCAAGACTGAACACTGAAAATAACTTGGTCAGTAATTCATCTGCAGAAATAACTAACTATAACTATCAATATAACCCCTAGATAATCAATGTATGCAATATATCAAGGAAAATCAATCCGAGATCAAAACTTGAATCGAGCAACTTTCCCTCTTACTCCTCCTTTTTCACATCAGGTTTGGGCTTTTCGTTCTTTGCCGTCGGCCCCTTTGCTGTCACAGACCAACGTGGAATAAACTTGCCTACGCGGGCCTGGTACTCGGTGTATTCCGGGTATTTGCCAGCGCTCAACTTCTCCGTCAACCACGTACTGCCCTGGAACAGGGCCAGGTAGCCAAACGTTCCGACACCAGCCCAATTAGCATATGTATGAGTGCGATAGGCCGACCATGCATACAACGTGAGCCAGATGGCTTGTTCGGCGGCGAAGTTGGGGTGACGAACCAAGGACCAGAGACCGGAGACGACAAATCCACGCTCTAGATCCTCCTTGTCATAGCCCTCGGTGACAACGCCACTGTCTTTGAACGTGTACTTGGCTTGCTGGTAACGCCACTGCTGCTCGTCGGCGACGATTTCAATGAGGATGTAGAAGATCAAAAGACGCGAAAAGACTAGATCGGCGACGTCAAACGCAGGCGTTTCGGGTAGTTGGGCCAAGAGCGCGAAGATGTATGTGGGCGCTGTGATGAGACATAGAAGGAGGGACTGCGTGAAGGCGATGAACACAACGTCAAACACGAAAAAGAGGAAGCGATTGTTGATCCATTCTCGTAGGATGGGCCATCGGTAGTCCTCGGCGCCCCAGCCATAGCCGCCTTTACGCCAGTAGTTAAAGGTTAGACGAATCTGAGCCAACAGAAAATCAGTATTCCGTCACAGAAAGGGAGAACAAAAGTGAAGAAAGAACGCACACTCCACGCGATGCTGAACAATCCGACTGTTTGCAAGCGATCTGTGGGTAGGCCATTGAGAAGCGCCCAGACATAGAAATGCACATTGTAGATTGTAGGCAGGATACTCCACCAACAATCAACCTGCGAGTAGTTGCGGCGAATCTCAGCGGCGAGAACGAAGAGAGGAGAAATAGCCAGTGCAAAAGCAATGGCTGTAAGCATAGGGTTTGTGGCTAGGTAGACCTCCAGCAGGCTCTGGAGGTCTGTACCGGCCTCGGCGACGCGCGCAGGCAGTTCGAGGATTTGCGAGGAGAACACATAGGGAGCGAGCGTTTGGTTGAACTGTGCGGCCTCTTCGGGCGACAGGATCGGGGGGAAGGCGAGCATTGCGATGTGTTGCCAGAGATATGGCCAAGGATGAGGAGGGCAACTCGGGTGAACTTAAGTGTTGACTCGGTGTCTATAGGCTGAAATTTATTCCGCACTAAGTTATGACGCGCATAGTCCGTACGGCGGGAGAAATTGCTTAGTCGTTGCGGTGGTCCGCACACGCAAGCAGGTCTGCAACGTAGAAGAAGGTATAATTCATAGCTATACGGAGTGTATATATATATATATATATATATATATACACTCTCGAAAAGTGGTTGGAATGCCACCCTGGAGTAGGCGGCCTCAGGCAGCCAGGCAGCGAACGGTAGGCTTGGCAGGCGCGTCCCACGCGTTCTTCACTTTTGACCTTTGAACAACCACAAAACACCCAAAAAAACACGCCAACTTCAAGGCTCAACTTCTATGTGTCTGCCAGCAATAATGCATGGCAGCTGTAAGCAATGCCGGGCAACAGGATCCTCTGCGTTGCCGAGAAGCCTGCCATCGCCAAGGCAGTCGCTCAGCATCTCTCCGGAGGCTCCATGCAGACAGTACGTCTATTTCATCAATACATACATATATATATACATACATGTGGCTTACAGGCTCTGTAGTTGAACGTCCGGGGCCAACAGTATGTCAAGAACTATGTCTTTAGCTTCAACTTCGGCGGCACATGGGGAACTTGTGAAGTGACCATGACCAGCGTCATTGGCCACCTGACAGGCTTGGATTTTGGTAAGGAATACAAAGGTTGGCTGTCGTGCCCTCCAAGCCTCTTGTTTGAAGTACCCGTCTTCGAATCTGTGGACTCGGTAAGTTGGTTCTCGAGCCAGCACGAAGCCAGTCGCCAATACTGATGCCGGCTACAGGAGAAACTAAGCATTGCAGACAACATCAAGAAGCAGGCGCAGTACTGTAAAGCTCTGTTCATCTGGACCGACTGTGACCGAGAAGGAGAGCACATAGGCACAGAAGTCAAGAAACAAGCCCTCTTAGGCAATGCCAGAATTGAAGTCAAACGGGCCAGGTTCAGCAACACCGAGAGAGCGTACGTATGACCAATATCGTCTTCTAAAATTTATATATTGATTAACATTTCTCCTTTAGTCATATCCTGAGAGCGGCTCGTGAGCCCGTAGAGTTAGATGACAAACAAGCTAATGCGGTAGCAGCTCGGATTGAGCTTGATTTGCGCATCGGTGCAGCATTCACACGCCTGCAGACGCTTCAACTGCAGACCCTCGGCAGTCCTTTGGACCAGCGCCCCATCAGTTATGGTAATCAGTTAGTCGCGCATTTCTCGACGAGAAGAGAAGCTGACTTCTGCGTGCCAGGCTCATGCCAATTCCCTACACTAGGCTTCGTAGTCGACCGTTATCTTCGAGTTCAAAACTTCAAGCCAGAGCCCTTCTGGGCCATTGCAGTCATTCACAAACGAGATGGAATCAATGTCAACTTCAGCTGGCGTCGAGTGCGTCTCTTCGACCGGGCAGCCGTAACGGTCATGTTAGAACGATGTTTGGAAGCCAAAACCGCCAAAGTTACCAAGGTAGCCAAGAAGCCAACGAGTAAATGGCGTCCCCTACCTCTGACAACGGTAGACCTGCAAATGATGGGCAGCAAATACCTGCGAATGACTTCCCATCAAGTAATGCAGGTCGCGGAGACATTGTACACCCGTGGATTCATCAGCTACCCACGAACAGAAACAGATCAATTTGACAAAGGTATTGATCTGAAGAAGCTTATTGAAAAGCAAGTCCAGGATCGCACATGGGGTGACTATGCGCAAGGGTAAGTTCACCAACACCGGCGCCCCCCCCAACCCCAACATTATGTCGTGAAGAAGAAAGCCGAAGCTGAAACAGTGAATAGTCTATTGGACGGCGGATTCAGGACACCTCGCGCTGGGAAACATAATGACCAGGCCCATCCACCCATCCATCCTATTTGCGCAGCAGCGCCACAGGCCTTGAAAGACGAAGAGAAGCGAGTATTCGACTTTGTGGTCCGCCGCTTTCTTGCATGCTGCTCAGAAGATGCCAAGGGGCAAACCTCGGAGGTGGAACTACAATATGGCGACGAGTTCTTCCATGCCAAGGGATTGGTTGTGCTCGAGAGAAACTACCTGGATATCTACGTTTATGACAAGTGGGAAAGTAGTACTCAGCTGCCTGACTTTGAGATTGGCGAGGTCTTTGAGCCGATTGAGGCAAAAATTACAGAGGGGAAGACGACACCACCGAATTACTTGACAGAGCCAGAATTAATTGCACTGATGGATGCCAACGGCATTGGCACAGATGCTACAATGGCAGAACATATCAATAAGATCAAGGAGCGGCAGTATGTCGCGGCCCGACCTCGTACTGGCGGTACAGGGCACCATAACGAAGGAGAAGGCGGAGGAAGAGGTGGAAGAGGGCGTGGCCGAACGACAGCGGGCAACACCGGAGTACAGGAATTCATACCTACTCGATTAGGCGTCGCTTTAGTGGAGGGATACGATAACGTGGTCGCCGGACTCACAGACTGCCCGTCGCTCAGCAAGCCGCACTTGCGGAAAGAAATGGAGCAACGAATGCGCGACATTTGCAACGGGAGCAGAACACGAATGGAAGTAGTTGAGCAGAGCTTGGATATGTACCGTGGAGTTTTCATTCAGACACAACGCAGGATTGATATGTTGAAGGATGCTTGTCGAAAGTATGTCTTTCAACAAGTGACTGTGACAACAGGGCCGAATGGGACTTGATTGTTACCATCCCTTTCTTTCATTTGATTGTTCAGATAGATTTTGATACCCATGTGATGCATCTAGCGTCTAGGCAGTAGGCGCACTTGATAATGAAGAATGAAACATGAAACATCAGGACATAACCGCACAATAAAATGAGAACATACTGTAAAGCAAACGAGAGCAGACACAGACAAAAAAACAGAAATTTAGCCTAGACAACAAAGAATGAACTGGGAGGCGCAATCGAGTTGGTATTCAGTGAGGAGGTACATGTGATTCTTTCATTCATCCACTTCAATATGGTGTCCTTATCGTGTTGCCAATAGATATGAATCATTATAGAGAAGGGCATTGTCTGCCCTGAAGGGAAAATATCAACAAAGAGAATAAGGCTTGGTCATTGATGTAATAGATGTACATAGCCAGCCACTAAATCTGAAAGTGTATTTCGAAATCTTGCCAATCTCTAAGATCCTCTATGGGCATATCTCTGTAGGGACTGTATTGTTAAGCGTTTCTTCTATTCTAGATATTATACTCACCCTGCCTAATTGTCAGCGCAAAGAACAATACAGAACAGACAAAGTATGTACGGTGGTGGACTTTTGCGGACATTTCCTTCAACAATAACGATAGAAAAGAAAAAAAAAGGATATTCATCAGTTCATTCATTGTCTGACCAGACACTAGAAACTTGTGTCATACATATAAAGATATACTATGCTCCCCGTCTCTTCCCAGGAGGCGATTCATCTCTCTAATGCAGACACAGATTTACAACCTACCAGCTTTGATCTTCCGTCTTTCTCTTCGTATCTCATACTGTTCTGTTCAGTTGTAAGAATCGATTTTGAGTAGAAACAAGTTACTCAGACCAGAATCCTTGGATAGGATATCATTCTTTCCCCCTACCCCCTTCTCTTTCATATCTGTATCTCCTGAGCATAACGGATTACCTTCCATCATGAACATGGATCCGACGTTGTTGTTTTCGTCCATGTTCATATTGTTCTTCTTCGGGTTCAATGCGGACAGTTTCTTCGGCAGCGAAGAGACCGGTTTCACGGCCCAGTCGCTGATTGACCGTACCGCGAAGTCTTTCTGTGGATCAACCATGCTGTACGGAATCAACCATTTAACTGGTATCTCGTGGGAGCAGTACAATAACAACGCCACCACCCTCAAACTGGAGGGGATCAAATATGATCCCGCAATCACCGCCGGCGGTAATACCACTACTCCCATTACTGGCATCAACGGAATGAAGCAGCTCGGTGATAATGTTTCTGATCAAACGCCTGACAACGATACCCGGTGGGACGAAGTGCGCAGCGAGCGTAATCCTGATGCCCCTGCATCGAAACCATTTGAAGGACCAGAGGCACAACCGCTGCATATGTCTCCGGGGATGGAGAGTTTTTCTACTTATCCGAGCGACACGCTGACAAGGCCAGTTCTAGAAGCATCTGTGAACGAAGTTAATCTGAACGCTTACCTTACCAAGTACGATTTTGGCGTCTTCTTGTTTTATGTTTTGCTTCCCGGTCTTTATCTATGGTCGACGAGGCGCTCTAAGAAACGCCCAGAAAAGACTCAGGCTGTTACCACCGAAGCACAACCGACTTACTGTTTGTCATGCTTGGCACGTAATGTTGCTCCAACATCCCATATGAATCCACAAGTGTCGGCACAGCCCATGATCACAGAGAGACTGGACGAGATTTTGGCAATTTTGAAAGTCACCCAAAACAAAGCCGATAGCTCCTCGCAACTGGGAAAAGGAAGCGCGGCGGAGCTTGAATCTCTGAGAGACATTCTTGATACGGCCGTCTCAAACGACACGTCCCAAGCACAAGATCTGGCACTTTTGAGACGCGGACAGGAGCGCATTGAACGTCAGATCCCTGATTTGAGAGCCGTTGAAGAAAGAATCAACAGACGCTTCGGCGAGAACATCCAGGAGATGCAGAGTTCATGGCAACAGGAAGTCGCGAAATTCAATAGAGTGAACGTGCAGAAACGACTCGAGAATCTTGAAGAAAACAGCAAAGATTGTGTTGACCTCATTGAAAAAATTCAAGAAGAATTCCTCCCAGCTTTAGACGACGAGCCTGATTCCGTGGAAGATCTTAATGCTGAAACCAAGACCGGGAAGAAAATGCTGCTGAAAGAAAAGCTGCAACGGCACAAAACGCTTATTGATGCCTTGACTAAGCGAGTTGAAGAAATCGGTATTGAAATCAATGCGAGATTGGAAGAAGTTGAACTGGTCCAAAGGCAGACGTCAGTTCCATCAGACTTGGCAAGCAAAATCGAGGACCTGGATAAACGAGTTGGACAGACACAGAAGCAGGTACCGGTCTCAGATTACACAAGCAGATTTCAAAAATTGGAGACTCGGGTCGAGCAAACAGAGAAGCGCATTTCAAAGACCTCAGACTTCCCAAACAAGCTTCAGGAATTGACAAGGCGAGTTGCACAACTGAGAGAAGAAGTGCCACTATTATCGGATGTAGAGGATCAGCTTCAGACTCTAAATGAAAAAGTCCATCATGACAACGCCCTCATGAATCTCAGCTTCCGACAAACTCTGGAAACGCACGATGAGAAAATCAACACGTTGAATGAGAAGTTCGACACAATCGACAGCGAGCAACAAGCGCTAGGCAAAATTCAACGGACCTTAGATACACATGAAAATGACATCGGCACATTGAAGGGAAAAGTTGACGGATTCAAGAGCGAGCAACACAAGATAGATGAACGAATTCGACAGCTATCGGAGCAAAACTCAGCCACCACCACGAAAAAGCTCGATAGGTTCAAGAAAACTGTCGAGAACCGCATAACCGAGAAAACCGAGGAACTCAAAACACAGCTGGAGGAAGAGGCCAAAGACTTCGATGAAATAAGAATTCGTCTTGACTTGGTAGAATCTTCTGCCGAAGAAAATGCCGCGGAGTTCAAGAATGTTTATTCCAAACTGATGGCCCAACAGAAACAGCAAACAGAGGCCAAAGTTCAAGAGTTGGCTGCAACGCTTGCGAAGATCACAGAAACGATCCAGTCTCTTCAAAATCTGCATCGGGAAGAAAAGAATGGCCTGGAATCGATGTTCTCAGGTAAAATGGATGGTCTTGACAAGCAGATCAACGAAGTCAAAGACAAAGCCGCGGAAATCCAAGTTGAAGTCAAAAATCTCAAGCAAGAAGTCCATGATGAGGCAGTTCCTGGCCTGACTGCCATTGCGCGGATACAGCAGCTTGAGTTCAACACCACCATGCTAGCCAGTCAATTGGAATTCATCGAGAGCATGAAAGATGATACAAATGTCGGACAGCCCGCAGCGACAAACCAACCGGGCAATTCGTTCGAACTTGATCCCAATCTAGACGATACTTTTTTAAAATCACTAATGAATCAAATGGACTACAATGCGTTTCTGGGGCCTTCCACGGCACCCCAGCAGGCGCAAGACATTGACACGATTATCGGGCAAGCACAGCCTCCGGACATAGTCATGGCCGAAAATGCCGATAACGTGAACGACGGTCAACAACAGACAGGGAATATGGAAGAAAACATGCAAGTACGAAGCATATTCGATGAAATGTTGGAAGAGTTCCCGATACCCGGTGAGACAGGGCCTTCGCAGGAGAACCCCGCAAGCAACACTGTTTTTCCTCCTGAGGATCCTCCTGAGGCTGCCAGTTTGGGGCAGCGTGAGATATCTGCGGCCGTTGAAGAGAGCTTTTCTCGTATCCAAGGCAGCTCGCTTAATGTGAGCCAATGGGCTGAAGCTAGTCAGCCAAACGATGATTGGGAGCGGCTTGAGGCAATCCGAACAGGTTCTTTGAATGTCGAAGGCGGTTCACTCGGTCAAAGTCGATGGGCCGAAAACGACATTGATACAAGCAACGACAAAGGGAAAGGCGTAGCTAGCCCGCCATCCTAAGCAAGCCGCTCAGATGAGTGAGCGAGGCCCAACCAAAGTGACGATGTGCTCAAACTTTGACAAGCTAATAAATTGATTTTGTTCCTTTCGAGTGTCCTTCTGTACTAGAATGATCTACCAGTCGTGAGCAACATGAGGTGACGGAGGCAGCCCCGGGTGTTTTCTTAGTGATTGAGGAGATCACAGGCATGTATGCGATCACTTGAGACTGGCGGAGAGTTGATTCTTAGAATCGAAACAGCAAGCGCATTTAATCCTTGCTTTTTTCTCAACGTGGACGTACTGAAGCCAGGCGCTTCCAGTAAGATAGCTGTAGGAAAACAAGTCTAAATCTCCTAGGTGTATCTTTGATGATGGGCCTTGGCAATGCCTGTCCTCTAAGTCAATGAGATAACTCAGGCGAAATAGAATGACCAAATCTCTCACAGCCTGGTCAGAGCTGTTTAGATAGCCCCAGATATGTACCCTAAGTTCATCAGGCAGATGCCGGATAGAAAGGAGAATGTTTGGAATATCGAAAGAGGGAAGATGACGCGGCCCAAGTTGAGAAATACATGCCTGATAGCCTCTCTCGATTGTTTGAGGTTGATAGAACATAGAGTCGTCCTAAGGGTGGCTCTGTAACGTCTCAGGCAGTCACGCTTGTGAATTGCCAACGTGATATCGTAACAAGCACGAATTGGTGGATGGTCCAGAGTTTGCAAAAAAGTTGCCCAACACAAGTCATGAAAACAAAAATGCTGGACAATATTTTAGTTTTCGTTTTATGAAGTCGCATGCCCGGCCCAGGGATATTGTTATCCCCGGCTGTGGATCAGTGCATTCTAACTGCTCATAAATGGCATTTACTTCCATGGGACGGTCGGGCGAGCATCCGATGACTTCTGTAACCAAAGTTATTGTCTTTCTCGTCTAGCCCTTTGCAGCCGTTAGTTGTATATTTTTTTTTTATCTGTGGGCAAACCCTGCCTCACTAGCATGGATAACATCGCCTTCACGGCATAAGCTATCGCAAAGGGCACAGTCTCCCAAGTCAGCATTGATTGACAGCGATATGGTGTTTGCTTTTGCTGTATGTCTTAATCGGTAGATTCAACTGGATAATTGACCACGTGATGTCATGTAAAAGCAGCCAGGAGCTATAGCGGCTGCACATGTGCATGGTACCTAAATTCCTAGGTAGTACAGAGATGCGGTGGTACAGAAACGTGTTGGAAATCCATCTGGCTGGTCTCAAATCAAACGAAAACGAGCATGTAGCAGGGCATGGATAGAGATAGTGATGAATGACTTGATGGGATGAAATGGTTTGTTCTCTCGATGAGAAGAAGTCGAACGGCAGGAGCGATAATGCTCCGGCCTCAGGCACCAAGGCAAGCAATATTGTGCCGAATGCACTAGTCCGTGCTTGGTTAGTACAATCCTCCCAACCACATGACCAACAGCCATGAAATGCTACGTCACTCCAGCAAAATCCGGGGTTGATAGCACGACTTCGTCCATTACACATCTCTCCCTCTCTCTCTTTGCTTGCTCGGATAGTCGGCCACTCCGGCTGGCGACTTACGAGTCAGCAACCCGAGGCATCGAACCAGTCACACGAGGTCCGGAGATGGATGTGGAGATAATCGGGCCTTGGCCTCTTCGTGTTCCAACGTGGACACTGCCGGATGCCGGAAACAGCAACGATAGTCCATTTGGCAATTTTCATTCGCCTGGGGATGAAATATTCCGCAGATTTCTGTACTCCGTGCGGACGACGGACTATGCCGTATATTTCGGCGAGTTCGGGCGTAAATACGTCGAAGTAGGCACTCGTTCAAACGCCCGAATTGAGGAAGACGGGCACCACGATATGAACCGTGATTTTACCAACTAGTGCGACGACTACTTAATGTCTGGTAGCTACTTCCAGCCTCTGACGAGGTGGCGCGGCGATCAGCGGGAGGCTTCAGCGTCGTACCATTTTCGTCCTGTTCACAGAATACAGAGACGTTACATCGAAGCGGCTACTCTAAGCCCTAGAGCTAGCCCCGGAAAGGAAAACACTACTTCCCCCATGGGCACGGCTCTCCATGTGTGAAATTTGCGGAGGTCTCCACCAAAATCTCATACGTTTGATACGAGGTCTTCTCCGCCATGTGCCTTCAGCCTCGTCTCTTTAATGAGGAATCTTCTTGCCCGGTTTCTTCGCTCAGCCACTGAGGAGCGAGCACACTCCACTTTTCGTTACGAATTCCCTTCTCAGCGAGTCGCCTTCTTACCATAAAATTCTGTTTCCGTTAACAACGAATTCAACCCAGTTAGCGTGTCATCGTTTGCTGACCAAGGACCAATGCGGCGTGCCTTTTGACAGGTCTCCTGCAAATCACACGCATGTTTCGGGGACAAGCAAAGCTCCCTGGCCTTTCTTTCAGCATGGGCGTATACCCACTCCCCGGTCTGCTATATAGGGCCAATTATTCTTGGATTTGTCAGTGAATATACGTGCAGTGCACGTACCTACGTAGTATAAAGAGACGCGCCATCCCCGCATTCGTACATGAGTCGACTTTTATTTTTTTTCCCTTTTTCCCACAACATTCTGCTTGTGTTCGCTTATGCATGGTCTAGCCTTGCCATACAATTTCTCTGTTACTTCTGGTAGCACTTTGATTGTTGCTTCTATTTCGGTCATCGTAGAAACAACAAAATGTCCGAGCCAGACAAACTCGTTCAGGCCGAGAAGCTTGCCCGTGAGGACACTTCTGTGGGCACTGAACAGGCCGAACATGTAAAGACGGAAGGGGGGCACCCTATTGTCGATGCCGAACCCCTCTCACCGGAAAACCTCAATGTTATGTTTGAGAACCCCTTGGCAAATATTCCTCGTGAGCAGCTGTTGCAGGACGTCGAGGATTTCTGCCAGAAATACAACCTGATGGACCATATCGAGGATTTCCGGAAGGGAGCACTGGTCTCTCAGAATCCAGCTGCCGCTATGGATCTCACCGAGCTGACTGATGAGGAAAAGAATGTCCTTCTCAGAGAGCATACCCATAAGTGGCATCAGCCGTGGGAGTTGTATTGGCTCGTTGGTACGTGCTACAAAACCCTGAGAACCTGGCCTGACTAACCGTGCCCACCACCAGTCATGTGTTCGATGGCAGCCGCTGTACAAGGCATGGACGAGACGGTGAATAACGGTGCCCAAACCATTTACCTAGAGGTAGGATAGCCACACTCATCCATTGCAAATAACCACGTGAACTAAGTAGCATGCAGAACTTGGGAATATCCACCAGATTTACGGGGAACCAATTGAATGATATCACTGGACTAATTGTCGGTGCCCCTTACCTTTGCTGCGCCATCCTGGGCTGCTGGCTTACCGAGCCAATGAATCGTTACTTCGCTCGACGCGGTACCATCTTCATCTCTTGCTTCTTTGCCGCCGTAGCTTCTATCTGGCAAGGCGTGGCTAATTCATGGGTAAACCTTTTCATTGCGCGTTTTGTGCTGGGCCTGGGAATCGGACCGAAATCATCAACCGTTCCTGTGTATGCCGCGGAGTGCGCTCCGGCACCTATTCGAGGCGCCTTGGTTATGATGTGGCAGATGTGGACTGCGTTTGGCATCATGCTGGGCAATATCATGGGTGTTGCATTTATGGGTGTTTCCAAAGACCTGTCCTGGCGTCTCATGCTTGGCTCTACCGTGGTCCTTCCTATTATTGTTTGCGCCCAAGTATACTTCTGTCCAGAGTCTCCTCGATGGCTGATCCAGCATAACAAGGTTGAGAAGGCTTTCAGATCGTTTCGCAAGCTCCGGTCTAGTGATATCCAAGCCGCCCGAGACCTCTACTACGCCTACGTTCTTGTCCAGATTGAGCGCAAGGTCAACAAAGGAAAGAATTTCTTCACCATGTTCCTCGAACTTTTCACCATTGGCCGCAACAGACGAGCTACCATTGGTAGTTGGATTGTTATGTTCATGCAACAGTTCTGTGGTGTCAACGTGATCGCCTACTATTCGACCACCATCTTCACGGAATCCGGTTACTCCATCCAATCCGCACTGCTGGCTTCGATGGGCACTGGAATCTTGAACTGGGTCTTTGCCCTCCCCGCCATGCTCACAATCGACACATTCGGTCGGCGCAACCTCCTCCTTACCACTTTCCCGTTCTTGGCAATCTGTCTGCTTTGGACAGGCTTTTCGTTCTGGATTGAACCAGAGGTTGTGGATAGCACGAAACGTGTGGCCATGGTCACGACAGGAATGTATCTTTTCGAGGTATTCTACTCACCGGGAGAAGGGCCCGTTCCGTTTACCTACTCCGCCGAGGCATTCCCGCTGCATGTGCGAGAAGTCGGCATGTCTTGGGCAACAGCGACATGTTGGTGTTTCAATTTTATCTTGTCGTTCACGTGGCCCTCGCTTGTGGCGAGCTTCAAGCCACAGGGTGCCTTTGGATGGTATGCTGCTTGGTGTTTAATAGGATGGGTCCTTGTTTTGCTATTTTTACCTGAGACCAAGGGTGAGTCGAAAATCGTAATCTTTTTTATATTATTACGGTGCTAACGTTTCCATTTAGCCCTTACCCTAGAAGAGTTGGACCAAGTCTTCTCCGTTCCAACTTGGAAACACGCCTCGTATCAAATGAAGAATGCGATCTGGCATTTCCGTACCTGGGTATTATTTCAAAAACTGGAGCCATTGCCTCCATTTTACCAAGGTATCGAGAGGCTCAACGAGTCTTGAGCATTTGGTCAGCTGGTTGCTAGATATTGGGGATTCATAACATCCCTTATTTTTCTTCTCCTGAGTGGACACAGTCTTGGGGTCAAGGCTTTTTTAAGATTCCGAGACTGGGTGGAAATCTTTTCCGGTTATTCGTTTGTCTTTCTTATTATACCCTCCTTTTGTTCGATGTGATGGCTAGGCTCGAAACGAAATTCAAACCTAATTTTGTTATAAGCGCTCTTTATCGTAGATAATCCCGCCATAAATGTGGTAGTAGGCACCTGATCTAAATAAATTTGTAAGTTAGCTTCGAATAGGAGGAACACCGGACATCCAAAACATGTATAGGGAATGATTAGGTTGTATTTACAAGATGCCACCATTCAAGTTTGTAGGGACCTCTGTCGAACACTTCGTCCTCAGATCGCGTTTGCTCCTCTCGGGGTCCTCCTCATAGGTGACCTCTTTAAGGAGTAAAACCTCACGAGGATATGCTGCGGCAGTTCTGCCATTCCATGTTCTTCTTGTGTATGGATCCGATTAGTCGCAGATTCTGTGAACAATCGGACACCAAAACTCATTCATCAAAGCACAATTCATCGTAATACTACCTGCTAAACTCGTCTCTTAACTTAGTAGACGCTGCAAGGCTTCTAGAGGGTGAAAAGGCAGGCATTATGTCAGGGTAGGATCTAGGGTAGAAGCACTATTGCTCCTTTCCCTTATCCAAACTATTTTATATATTTTTCTATACATGCAACACCATAGTGTATTAGTCTAACAGCTAAAGCAGGCTTGTGCAGTCATTAGCTTTCTAAAACCAAGTGAATTTACCTGAATGAAAATGCGTGTCTTTTATACAAATCAATCCACAAAGTTGCGAATGTCCATCGCTGCTTTAGCTAAGCCAGCCCTTCGGACCGGCCCATGTACCTTTCACCATATGCTTATAGTATACCCATGGGAAGAAATCTTTCTTCAAGTGATAGAATGCTCGACGCGGTGTAACTTGATCAATACCCAGCCAGCTGAATGTCTCCTTAGGCTCTCCCCCGTACTTGAATTCGGCGAGAAGAACCTTTCCGTATTCTGTCAACAGAGGACAAGATGTGTAGCCATCATATGTTGACCTTGAATCATTCCCATCCATTGCATGTAAGAGATTATTCACCAACACAGGGGCTTGAGAAGTGATGGCTGCCGCTGTTTTGGATGTAGGCATGCTAGAGGCATCGCCAGCAGACCAGATATTAGCATATGTTTTATGCTGCGTAGTAGCAGGATTGACATCCACATAGCCAGCCTCATTAGCTAGCGCACTATTTTTGATGAAATCATGCGCCCCCATTTTAGGTACCACATGAAGGAAATCAAAATGTTTTTTGACCTGTCCTTTGCCGTCGGGGAGGGCAAATGTTGCTGTATTTTGGTCGATAGCAAGAAGGTCATGCTGAAAGCAGCCTTGAATGCCCCTTTCCTGTCGTAATTCTTCAAGCTTCGCGTTGTATTTTGGAACACCAAACATTGTAGGAAGACCGGTTGCGAAGATCATCTTAATCTGTGAATTGCCCGACGCCTGGTACAGATTTCTCTTCTTCCAATAGTCCCATGCAAGCCACATAATTTTCTGGGGTGCTCCGGCGCATTTGATAATGCCAGCAGGCTGGGTGAAAATGGACGTGCCGCTCTTCAATTGCTGTATGCTCCGATAGACTTTGTCGCAGGTTTCATAGCCATATATGGACGACACCTGGGAATCTGGGTTTGCAAGAGCCTCTGGCAAGCCCTGGATGCTGTTGTAATCGATCTTTATACCAGGTGCAACAACAAGCTGCTGATATGAAAGCTTGTCCCCATCTTGTAGTGTGATTTGATTGTCATTCGGCATGAACGTCGCCACACCCTCATTGTAAAATTTAATATTGGGATCAATCATATTTGCGAGCGGCTTCGACAACTGCTCCTTGGTCTTGAGGCCTCCTCCAACAAGTGTCCACCCGGGCTGGAAGTGATGCCATGTCGCAGGGTCAACAACAGCAATGTCATTCTGGGCGAATTTCCCTGAACGTAGAAGCTGATGGCTGATGGCTAAGCCGGCCGAGCCACCTCCGATCACAACAACTTTATGATCCCATGAGTTAGAGCTAATAGGGCTAGTTGAGAAACCTCGGCTCCGTTTCTTCGAGGAATTGAGAAGGCGACATGCCCTTGTTCCAGCGTTCTGGATTCTAATACGACTGCTGGTCATTCTGAAATGAAAAAGAGGCAACCCCAAAAAAGGGGGGTGAGTTAAGAAGAAAATTGGTAAAGCGAATGGATGTGAGTTTCCAATCTTGAAAGACCTGAGACCAGAATTTAATATTTAATTGAGAGAAAATAATGTCTAACTACATCATATGTTGATGAGTTCATATCGGCGTTCGTGCAGATTGATCGCCGACTGACGGCTGTTACATACGCTTGGATTCGGCGATTTCTCTTGACAAACTCGGCTCCTAACTAACATGCATACGAGGCAGTTAGTTGCCTAGAAACGACGTATTTTTAATTCCCAAAATTAGCTTAAATCTACGTAGTACTCTGAGTTGTAGATGAGTTGGGGAAAAAAATAAATTTCAAGTGTATGCATATACTATTTACCATCCCAATGAACGCCTTGAAATCTTAGCGGAAGATGGAGCATTCGATGTCCTGATATTGCTGGCTCTGGCAATCTTCCTGCTCGTATGTTCACTTGCAAAGATTGATGAAGTAGCTTGGGCTCCTGCATCTGTGCATCGCGCTTCTCTCGGAGGCTGATGTAGTCATTCAGGGTCATGCCATTTTTCAAATGCTTGTTATGCTCTCTATGCTCTTGGACGCTCATCCATGCTTTTGGCTTCTCGCGGTCTGGCGAAGGATAGTCGTGTCCCATCCATATCCTGACTTGTTCAGGCAAACTTAGCAGCTTCATTCCAGACTGAAAGAGGTCGTGAGCACTTCCACCGGGAAAGTCACAGCGGGCTGTTCCGATATCTACGTGAAAGATAGAGTCGCCACAGAACACATTCTCTACACCCAATTTTCAGATTGTCAATGCATATCAAAAGAAAAGTAAGCAGCAGACATACCTCCTACCCGATATCCAAGGTGATCTGGTGTATGACCGGGGAGATGTATGGCCGTAGCGGTCAATTCACCAATTTTGAATTCTTCATCATCATCAAATAGCTTCCCAAAAGCACTCTTGTATTCAGCCTCTGGAACCATATATCGCTGGCCAAAGAGAGTCTGAATCTGCGAGATACGCTTTCCAATACCGATAGGCGGCTTTGCGCCTTGATCTTGAGCCAGTTTGCTTTGTAAATATGAGGAGGCCGTTAAATGGTCCGCATGCACATGGGTCTCAAGGACCATGCAAATGCGATAGTTATACTTCTTGATCATGCCCAATAGTGAATCGGCAGTCTGAGTACTAACGGTCTGAGTCGTACGATCAAAGTCTAGCACTGCGTCGATGATGACGGCCGACAAAGACACAGGGTCGGCAATAAGGTATTGCCATGTCCCGGTTACTTTCTCGAAAATGGCGTGAATGGTAGGTTCGCCGGACTTTGTTGATTCTATACTACACAGGTGCTGGCTGTGGTCTTCATGTAGGGTCCGTTGGGTTGAGAATAACGAAGTTGGCGTTTGTCCTCTGCATGGAAGTAGTTTTGGATGACTCTTGGCTTTTGATAACATTCGTGAGAATGCACGAGTCTTGGGCTGGAGGTTCGACCCAGATAAACACCTTGATGCAGACGCTGAGAGCGAACGTCCGATTCTGGTATGCGATGTGCGCAGGAACATGTTTATTCTCTGCTTCTTTGTATTTGTGTGAGGAGGATTCCGAATAATCCTCAGAACCAACAATTTAAGGATTAAACCAGCACTTATGATGTCGCCGCCACAGTTGGATATGTTGGAATCGCCGACCTTATTCGGCGATTACATATCCTCACCACCCACGGTTTCTTCCATAACAACGAGTCTTTCTAAGTGATCCCACAAGGAGCGTTAGATATACCCATCGATGATTTAATAATTTCTCGGCCGATTGGAATTACCTGCTTTAAATACAGAAGCTCCACGAACAAGGGTATGTTCGTTGAATGGGAGCAGTTACATTTTCTTCAGGAAGAACACAATGAGCAAACACGACCAAGGGTGGCGCCATATAGTGCGCAATTTCACACCAGCGTATGTACATTTGATGCTCTAGCAGGCTCCTCAAGTACAGATGACAAATTCCTACCTAGATGGTTCTCGGTGAATATGGGCACTGGCATAGTTTCGATCCTCCTCAACACACTACCATACAATGGACGCTGGCTTTACTGGACCTCAGTTGTCCTTTTTGCTCTCAATACACTGCTTTTTGTGGTCTTTCTGTCAATCCACATTCTGCGCTATATACCTTATCCATATATCTTTCCGGTAATGGTCACGCATCCAACCCAGTCCCTTTTCTTGGGAACTCTTCCCATGGGCTTTGCGACGATCATCAACATGTTTTGTTTTGTTTGCGTGCCAGCATGGGGCCAATGGGCTAGGTATTTTGTGTGGTCAATGTGGATTATAGACGCGGTCATCTCTGTTCTCACATGCTTTGGTATACCCTTCATCATGTATGCTTTCATACGTCCTCTTCCACAACGGTCATAGTGGCTAACAAAGTTGTGCCAGGATGACAAGAAAATCGGAGATCAACCTGGCATCAATGGGGTCAGCGTGGTTGCTCCCCATCGTCGCCTGCGTTGTTGCAGCTGCATCGGGTGCAATAGTTGCTGATGCGCTACCCAACCCGCAATATGCTCTAGGTACCATCATTGCTAGCTTCGTGTTATGGGGGGTTGGCATGCCACTTGCAATGATGGTCATTGTGATTTATCTCGCCCGTCTGATGCTATTCAAACTCCCACCAAATAACATCATAGTCAGCACTTTCCTGCCCCTCGGTCCTCTGGGACAGGGCGGTTTTGGGTAAGTTTGGCCACCCCCTCCCTGATAGTCATTAAGCCCTTGGTCCTGACTAGGAGATATATGTATTAGTATCCAGAAGCTTGGAAGCATGGCGAAAACTACCTTTTCCAAGACAAACACCCTGCCAGAAGGGGCCGGTGACACATTCCATATTATGGGCCTTGCCATGGGTCTACTTCTCTGGGCGTTTGGGCTCCTGTGGCTCTTCTTTGCGATTGGGTCTGTTCTCCGTAGTCGAAGGTTTCCTTTCAACCTAGGCTGGTGGGCATTCATCTTCCCATTAGGTGTGTTCTCAGCGTGTACCTGTCAGATAGGTCGAGATATGCCGTCGAGGTTTTTTGATGTAATTGGAACGGTAGGTCCTCTCTCATCTAATTTGATGTGTTCGTACATAATCTTTATTAATCCATCAGTTTTAGGTCTTCTCTGTCGCAGCGGTATTACTGTGGATTCTTGTCATGGTGTATACGAGCATGGGTGTTTATGATCGACATCTTTTTGTAGCTCCTTGTCTAGCCGACCTGCGCGAGAAACAGCAGCAGAGGTGTCCAGAGCAAAGAGGAAGTGTTTAACAGCTTGACTCAAGCATAAGATGAGAATACATAACACTTTGTTTTACGAAGAGCTAAACGAGAGTCACTATCAACCCAAAAGAATCATATATTCATCGGCTCTCGTACTCCATTCTGACCAGCTGCCGTCATAAATGCGTGTTCGTATATTATAACCGCTGACTTGCAAAGCCAGCCCTAAAGTGGCAGCCGTCGTGCCGGAATTGCACGACAAAATCGCAGGCAACGTCTCATCCACGCCCTTTTCTTCAAACAGCGCTCGTAAGCGCGGCGCAGGAAGGAGAGCTCTCTTCTCATCGAGCATTGACCCTAGGGGAATATTCAGTGCAAAGGGCATGTGGCCAGCCCCTGAGAACAGCGTCGCCGGTCTAGAGTCCAAGATTTGATACTGCAGTGCTCCGTTTCTCGCAGAGAGAAGCAATGCGTTCAACTCTTCAAATGTCAATGCATCTTCTGGTCTGGCTGGTTCTCGCGAGGGATAACGCTTTCTTTCGCCCTCGAGTGCCATGAGCTTCCCCCCCGAGACTGGATATCCGCCGTCCACATAGTTGGGAAAATTGTTCAGCACGTGAGCGTTGGTATGGCCAAAATATCGAAATATCCAAGCTGCACGTGCCGAAAAATACATTCCGGCTTCAAGAGTGTCGAATATGACTAGAATATCGTCTGGCCGGATGCCGAGGTTGGCCATGCAGCTTGCAAAATGGGATGGTGTTGGTAACATCAGCGGATACGGGGAAGCGGTATCGCAGATTTTGTCCATATTGAAGAATCTGGTGTCATCTGGATTAGGTTCAGCGTTTTTCATTTTCTTACAAAGAAGAGTCATACACGGAGCCTGGGATATGCTTTGTTTCGAACGACGTGAGGGCCGCTTCTCGCCCTGCTGCGACGGGGACAATACGCTGCGGTGATGAAGACCAATCTCCAGAAAGAATCGAATGAAGCTCGTCAGGAGAGATCATTACAGACCCAAATGGGCTGCATGAAGATGAGTCCATGATCGCGTAATATGCCTTGGAATTTAATAGATATAGTAAGCCGGAGTGAGCATTGCGCAGAAGTAGTAAATGGTAAATGTCCAACTAACATTGTGATTTGGAGAACACGTCCCAAAGATATGATCCCCGGAATCGGCGACTCGGCTTTCTATCGGAGAGCCGACGAATACAGAATAAAAATTGCATAGAAAGATGGTTCAATACGTGTTTTATTTCCATGGGCTGGAAAGCTCCCTGTATTGCTACCTGGGGAGGTATCAATACTATAAGGACTACTAGGGTAATTTGATGGAGGATGTAGCTGTTGTCGAAAAGATGCAAGATAAATCGCCGATTCGGAATTGTAGCCAGCCCTATAGGATGGATTGGTAGCAACAACACTCCATGGAATGCAAGCTAGCTTTGAATATAGAATGACTAGCTTTCTTGTATGGCGAGTGTCTGGAACGATTTTATGTAAACAATTCTCCATAGCCAAACATCTGATTGATCAGAAAAGAGTCGCTGCACGTTGGGTCCATGTAAGCAGATAGTATCCTGGGATCTACCATTTCAATCGATGTATTATTGTTACTATCTTCCGCCACAATTGGTGACGAAATATCCGGACCGCTTCCTACCTGTACAGGTTGCAAGGGAATGGTGTTATCCTCGTCCACAGAGAGATTTTGTGCTCTCAGTATCAGTTTTTGCTTGGATACACTTTGCAAATACCGATAAGCCTCTTCTGCAAGAGGCCAGCTCGGTATCAACTGCTTGAGGCATCCAAGCACGAGCATAACCCTGTTGTGGTGATGTTCCGCGCACTCCGGGGTATGGCTTTCGGCCGTTGTGATCTGCACTATACCGGATAATACCAGAGCGAAGACTATAAATGGACTGCACCCTTGGACGTTCGAGCGCACAGAAAGAAGATTGGACATTTTCTTGGAAGATTCGGTCGCTTTCACGTCATGGACGTGTCGGGTGAATGAAGGAGAGAGGCGATAGGGAGTGACTGGACAAAGTGTGGGCGTTGCAGCTGGAAATCTGAGCCGAAGGTTACCTCGGGGCAAATGTAAAAGCATTGCAGCGTAGTGAATTGTCGTATGTGCTTGAAAAAGCATCTCGTCCATGTTCCCGTGTGTGTCTATCACGTCTACCTTGTCTGGGGGTAAGTGGTTGCTCCAACTTACAATGGCGTTTACGACGGCTTGCAGATGGTCCGCATGTGTTTCAGGCAGGCTATTCAACACAACGACACGCGCGAGTATACTTATTGCCTCAATGCGATAGGTATAGACCGAGTAACGTGGACTCAAGTCGTCATCACCGTTGAATACTCTCATTCTAAAGGAAGCCAAGGTGAGAGGCGTGGGAATCGTACTCGGTGACGACCCGTAGAATGACTCATCGCATGGCAACAGAACATCGTGTGGCACATTCGCACACCGTAAATTGGTAGTTTGTAGCAGCGATGCCATGGTGACTTCCAAGCAGTACAGTTCCCACCATGTACGCCGTAGGCTCTCGGCTTCAAGTTCCTTGCCGGCGGCATATGTCTGCGCAAAAGTCCTTTGGTACATCCCCAGCTCTAAGGCTATATCGACAGCTTGAGAGAATGCATCATCTGCCACAGAAAACACATTGCGAGCGTACATGATACTAGAATAGAGAAGCAGTGCTTGAACCATGCACGCTGTCTTTTCAGGGTTCCTTAGCACGGCAGCAGTCTGCTCATAGAGAGAGTCACGCGGGACAAGTCTCGAGTATTGACAGCCTATGAATTTGACAACCTGATGCAGATACTGTGGATAATTGCGCTTTGCGTAGAAAGAAGCAGGCACTAAGATGGGATGCGCTGGGTGGTGGTTTTCGTAGTACAGGCGAACCAGTCGACTGTCGGGAACCCATCTGTCTGCCTCCACGCCCTGCTGATCGCTTGAATTTCCATTGAGATGCCCTCCAATAGGTAGTTCGGACTGTTGGGCCTCACGGGCTCCTCCTGCGTTAGTTAGCGTCAAGGCATGCCGATATCTGTTGGATTCCTTTCGTCTTGCGCCGCGGCGGGAGGGAACATAGACACATCTTGATTGAACCTCTGCACAGCGAGAGCAGGAAGGTTTGTTGGCGTCACATTTCAGATGATGTTTCCGACACTCCGTGCAAGCGAGCGGAGAGGGCCGGGTCATTGTTGAAGTTGGTATAACGTGAGGATACGAAGCAGAGATTGTGCTTAACACAGTCTATGACGATAGGGTGATCCCCGGGTCGGCGAAGAATAGGCCCGGTTGCGCCCGGTTCGGCGACCTGGGCTATACAACTATAAACTCCTGGATTAATTCTCAATCAATTGCACAAAGGACGCCACAAGAAAGACCTCTAAAAGTGCATGGATATGGAGTATCTGGTACTTTGTATCTTCGATAATAGACTAGAGTTCATCTCGTCGAGACAAACGATGTCTTGCTGAAACCCCCCAATATCCACAAGTTTTGCCATGATCATAGGAACCTGCATTTCTTTTCGTTAATCATATCTAGTTGCTCCTAGACGGAAGAATTTATTTTTAACCAGGCAACAAATTACTTGCCCCAAAGGGATTGAACTTCCTAACGCCCGGACTCTGTTTTAGGCCCAAGACTTTTTAAGCTTAGATCATTTGTAAAAAACATACTCTATGAAATAGTCCTGGGTATGAGTTTTGATATCTCTTTGCTTTCTGGCTTGAGATGTGTTCCTCTCTACCAAGCCGTGGAATCCTTCGCCTGATGCTTTTGTCCTACTCGGTATCATAACAGAGGCCCTGTAAGCCAATCCAGCGAGGAAGGAATGAAATCGTGCAAATCTCGAGACATTACATCTGTTTCTAGCATAGAATCATCCGATAGCGTCACGTTGGCGCCCCTAAAATTCGCCGGTGGAAGATCCGCAGACCTCGGAATTATAGGTTCCTGGGTCTTTTCCGCTGCTGGTTTTATGGGCTGTGCATCATCTTTAGCAAGCTTCTCCCTTCGCGAGAGAGCCGCACGCTCCATTAGTCGCGAAAGCGGTTTCTGGAGCATCACGTTAGTTCGCGTTTCCTCCTGCACCCACTCGCTGTACAGCTTCGTCACTACCTCCCAGGCGTGCTCCGTCTCGGCAGTGATAGGCCGAACGCAAATCTCAGAGAGGATAAACGCTGCAACATGTCGTTGCTTATAGCTTTTGCTAAGCCAGGCCCACTGTTTTGTGGTTTCGTTGTTCTGCAGCAATGTGGCAAACTGGAGTATTTCGACCCCCATGTGGAATATCTCGTCGTCCTTGGTTGTATCTGACGTTGTTGATGCATTGAGACTATTCACCAGCCACGCCTTTGACAGGGTTAGGCGGGCGATTACAGCCGTTATCCACTGTATAGGGATATCAAGGTCAAAGTGTCGAAGATACAGTGTCTCGAGACGGTCTGCCAGACCTGACAAAATCTTACCTCTCTCAAGTGTGGATGGCTGCCGCGTGTCCTGGTTAAGGGATTTTCCGACCCAATAGAGATTACTCATCATCTCGCACTGGACGATGCACAAAGGGGTATCGTGGGAGTGGCAAGACAGCCAACTGAGGGTTGAGCGCACTGCCTTCGATATTTGAGGGTATCTTAGTATCGAACATCTCTGGCCGAATTTGAGTGTCAGTCCCCTGATCCTCCGAGCATAGCATGTCGAGGATACAAATATGCCACCACAGTTGGCGACGCATTTCGATCTCAAACGGGCTCAGTCCCAGCCGTTCCGCATCACGGTGTACACCTTGACCTTGAGCAACGCGCACCACAATCGACGCTTCAGCCCATATAGTTCGATAATACCCGCACCGGCGGAGACATAATAAAAACAGTACGGCAGCCTGAAGTACGAGGATATTTTGAGTGCTAATTAGGTTGGCCTTTGCCAAAGTCTGCTCTACTGAAATCTTGTAATTGCGGATGCATACATCGTGGTCCTCGTTGAGAATTGACAAGCACTGTTGCGGTGTCATGCTTACCACGGCAGCAAAGCAAATAGCCAAGGTCAAAGCCTCCTGTGCAAGATCAGGGTCTGGGTCAGGATTTGCACGCCTCTGACCTATCATACGCTCAACTGAAGGTATGTGTAGGAGTGATATTAGGGGAGCCACATTCTTCATATAGACATCCCATAACGTCCAGATCTGAAATGGTTGTGGATACTGGATATGATGCTTCTTGGCACTTGCTGAATGATATGGCGCAAAGATCCGTTCTTCCGGGACAGGCAGAGAGCCATTGCTGGAGATGCTGGTGTATGTAGCACTCTCCCCAGACGAGGATTTGTCACAGACCTCTTGCAACTCTTGTATCTACATCTCATTATTAGCTATGCTGATCTACGCGGAAGAAGATGAACATGCCTTATCTCCAAGAATAACAGAAGCCTCATCACCCACGTACCTACTTCGACCATTTTTAACTACCAGCCTGCCACCAGGAGTGTCTGGCTTGTTGGCATTGTTTTGGCTATTAGCTTCGGTCCTCGAGTCAGGACTCGCGCCGGGCGATTGTTTCGCAGGCGCAGATTGCAGCCGCTCTACTTCCGCTTCCAGCTGATGGAGGTGGTCCAAGATTTCAGAGATTGGAGGCCGCTTTAGCTTCCGAGGGGCTCGCTTGTTCCCCGGGTGGATGCATTCATCGCCAGTTCTCAAACAGCGACCGCAAGGAGTTTTTCGATCGCAACGGACCTTTTTCTGGTTGCATCGGGTGCAACTGCGTTTGGACAGCCCGTTTTTCCCTTCGGAGCTGGGGGACATAACAATCGATGTAATATTTGCTGTACAAGGAGCTCAGTGTAAGCCTCGATAGCTAGATACAGTATAGGTCGAAATGTAGTTACGCCGTCGGGATGTCGTGGCCAAGGTTGGCGATGTGGCGATTAGTCATCATCACCCCTTTTTAACTACACCTTGGGACCTCATTTCGCGTTATGATTCAACTGTTATTTGAGACATGAAACATAGAAGTTTTTATTAAATGTACTGGGTAGATTATGAGATATCAAGGATAGCAAGTCATTGTTGGGAGACTCCAAAAACATATTATACATTCTACTACATAAATACTACCTAGGTACTTAGATTAATCAGATATCGAAATTATGATATACATCCAAAACTCGACAAGATTAGCAACAGGTCAATGCTTCATGAATTCGCTCTCCTTCTCCAGCCACGTCTCAAAATTCTCCAGGTCAGGATTCATGCACCTTAGCTCTGGAATATCTGCCTTGTACCCTTCATCGTGGAACCACTTAAACATATACCCGAAATCCTTCATTGAAGCCAGGATTATCGACCCAAGAAATCCAAAAGTGGTAGGAAGACGCTGGCCTGTCTTCCGCTCGAATATCTTTGCAAATTGATCATAGGTTAATTCGTCACCGGCTAGCGAGAGACCCCTGCCTGCATATCTGTCGGGATGAAGGAAACCCTCGGCGCCAAAGTACCCAATGTCGCTGGTCGCTATGAATTGCAGCGGTTTGTCTTTCAATGCCACCCTGTAGGAGGCCGTAAAGATCTTGCCCATGAACCCGGGGACGAAATTGTCGAAGAAGGCAGTCGGACGAAGAATAAACCACTGCATTTCGGTGTTCTTGGTCTTTTCTATCAGGTGCTTCTCAATGTTGTGTTTGTGGATAAAATGTGGGATATTGGTAGGGTTGCTCAGGGAGGTCACTTCTCCGCCTCGGTCGACAGAGCTGTAGACGAAGAATTTGACGTTTTGTTTCAAGGCCTCGTCAACGAGAGCCTTTCCCTGCGGCTCTTCTTGCGCTTCATTTCCAATTGCCACCTGTTGTACATGTTTAGCATATTTCAGGTGAGTATTTTCTGCAGAACGTACGTACCTGAACACTGAAGACACCCCAAACAGGGGTTTTTGTGACATTGCGTGCGTTCTGAAAGATTCCCGCAGGATCGTCCAAATTCCCTTCTACCAGCTTGATCTTCGGCGATAACTGCGCCAGTCGCTGAGCCGATGAGGATTTTGAATTGCGGGTGACAGCGAGGATCTCAAATGGGGCGTTCCTGGCAACGAGGCTCTTGATGAGCGAGCCTCCCTGCTTTCCTGTCGCACCCGTGACAAGTATCGCCGCCATGTTGTATGTATAAATAATGGGATGTTCAAAGTTCACAAGAAAGGATCGGGGATTGTTCGTGATTGTTTGCAAAGCGTATGAGATGTTGCATAGACACCAGAATCGAAATATTTCACAGCCAGGGCTGTCAAGAAGCTATTATATCTTTCTTAATCATGGATGCCAGGTCGTTACATCATCTTTCGTGGCTCGGGATTATCTTAACCGCGTGCTGACTGAGCAGCCTTAATAATCAGACTATTAGTAGTTAACGGTGATCCTGGATAACCAGCAAAATTGAGAGGGAAAAGAAAAAAAAAAAAAAAATACAAAAACGAAAAGCAAAAATAAATAAAAAAAAATAAAGTTCAACGATTTAAAAGAAGTGTTAAGAATTAGCTCCTCCGTTGGCATTTTTAGGGCTAAAGTGGCTGCGACGTAGGTAGGCAAGTGCTAGTAATGGAAGTAATAAACATGTCATGTTAAAGTTCACGGGTTTCCCTTGCGATTTATTCAATGAACGAACATTCGTCCTATCATACAATGCCGGAAGGCTATAGACATCAATCCAGTCTTGTCAACGACAACTAACGGATCAAAATGATACCAAGAGGTAGCAGTTCTCCATAACGCTCACTGGAGACGATTGCCCAAATAGACACCATAAGATATAGTAGCAATCAGTGCCCCCAGGTTAAGCAAACTTGAAAAGCCATGGAGCTTGCCAAATTTCTTATTCAGTTCGGTCATCTTCTGAGAGTGTGGCGGGGGGTCATAAGACTTTTTGCCATCGATGGATTCTTCGTGTTTAGATATCAGTATAATCCTATCCACCAAACAATGGGCTGAGTAAGTACTAGGTATACCAACCTTGATGAACTCGCTGCTTGATCGTATCAGTTACCAACGGGGTGAGGTAGAACTTGTTGAGTAGGCCGAATACGCTGATCAGAGACAGCGGCAGGAGCACAGTATACTTATTCTCCTCGGCAATGACCCCGGACAAGCCAGACAAACTGCCATAGTTCCCGGGGAAAGTCAATGCCAAAGCGATGGGTAAAGCGCTCTGTAAGGTGAAATATATGGGGAAAAGCTTGTTTTGTAAAGCGGAAAATTGTGGTCGAGGAAGCGCCCTGAACGCAGTAGTTCCCCCTATAAAAGTCTGATGGAATCACAATAAATTATTTGCTCTTCTTTTTGTAGTTTAGTTCTGATCATAAGAGCTTATTACCTGGAAGATCTCTGAACCAAGTAAAGTGCCATAGCTGTACGAATATTAGCACATGTAAGACGAGCAGGTCTGGACAGCTGAGAGAATTCACCTGAGAATATGAAAAGGCCCGAAATAAGACATTGTCAACAGTTCTTCTTCTGGTGTGTTCCAAATAATGACCGGACGTTGGCTTGACAGTCAAAGAAGATACAATTAGAGAGAGAGTCATGTTGCCGAAGATCGTCCGTGCGGGGAGCTCTGGCCGTTCCGCCAATGAACATCCGTCTGTTTCCCCGGTCCTGCTGATGTAATCATATGCCAATCATACCCATATGATTCCGCGTCAGCGTCGTGCCCCGAAGAGGAAATATCACGCGTCTGCCTGGAGCAGTCGAGGCAGGCTCTTTTGTTTTATTCTGTATTCTCTCTTCTTTTCAACATCGCGTCCGCCAGCTCTCACCAGCCTGCACTCTATCAAGCGCCATGGCTGAAAAGGAAGCCACCGTCTACGTGGTTGACGTGGGCAAATCGATGGGGAAGCAGAGCAATGGGCGATCCATCTCTGATCTCGATTGGGCGATGCGTTATGTATGGGACAAAATCACCACGACCGTATGTATACGCCGTCTATCTCGTGCTGTCTAGGTTGAATCAGCCGTTGAACTAATCGGTGCTAAGGTATCAACTGGTCGCAAAACGGCTACTATTGGCGTGGTTGGTCTCAGAACCGATGGTAAGCACGAACCTCGTCTACCGCATAAACGATAAGATAAATGAGCTCAACCTTTTGGCAAACATAGGAACGAATGTTCCACTGGATGATGATGAGGGCTACGAGCATATTACCGTGATGCAGAATCTTGGGCAGTAAGTCTCAATTTGAGTGTAAGCATTGTTCTCGTTGCTAATTTCGTTGTAACAAGGATGCTCATGCCGGATTTGCGGCGCCTACGGGAAGAAATCAAGCCGAGTGAGACAGATGAAGGAGATGGTAAGTACTTATTCTTATGATAGGAACCGTATATTCAGCTCATCTCACGGAAATCAAGCCATCTCGTCATTGATCGTTGCAATTCAGATGATCAACGTCTATACCAAGAAATTGAAGTACAAACGCAAAATATACCTGGTTACCAATGGGGAAGGGACAATGAGCTCAGATGGGCTAGAAAGTATTGCAGATAAGCTCAAGTCTGACAATATTGAACTTGTCGTGCTGTATGCCGCCGTGGTTGCTGCCAACTCTGCCTAGAGAACTTACAGTTGATTAGGGGCGTGGACTTCGATGACTCCGAATATGGCATCAAAGAAGAAGACAAAGATGAAAGAAAGGTAAGATTAGATATACTAACTTCTTTTCTGATACCAAGCGCTATGCTGACCGATGTACTTAGGCAGAGAATGAAGCTTTGCTTCGTGGCCTCGTGGAAGATTGCGATGGTGTATATGGCACATTAGCACAAGCGATAGCAGAACTTGATACACCACGTGTCAAAACCGTCCGCGGTATACCATCATTCAGAGGAGAGCTCAAGCTTGGGGATCCTACAAAATACGATACAGCTCTACGAATCCAAGTTGAACGCTATTACCGAACATATGTTGCTAAACCACCGAGTGCCAGCTCCTTTGTGGTAAAATCAGGCGGAGAGCAGGGTGAACCCTCAATGGAAACCGCCGAGAGTAGTAAGTACGTGGATACTAACCTAAAAAACGTGCGAAACGTACGAACGTATCACGTCGATGATCCTTCGGTTGCTGGCAGCAAGCGAGAGCTGGAACGAGAAGAGCTGGCGAAGGGTTACGAATACGGCAGAACAGCAGTCCATATCAGCGAGTCTGATGAGAACATCACAAAACTGGAGACTTCTGCTGCTTTAGAATTGATAGGTTTCATTCAGGCCGATCAAGTCAGTTCCCTTCTTTCTTCAGTCAATAGTGATCTACTAACAATAATCCATCACCAGTACGATCGCTATATGAACATGTCTACCAGCAACGTCATCATTGCTCAAAAAACCAACGATAAGGCAGCGTTGGCGCTTTCCTCATTTATCCATGCCTTGTTTGAGCTCGACTGCTATGCAATCGGAAGATTCGTTGCCAAGGATAATAAGAATCCACTGATAGTTCTTCTCGCACCCTCGATCGAACCAGACTTCGAATGTCTGCTCGAAGTGCAACTCCCCTTTCATGAAGACGTCCGATCATATAAATTCCCGCCACTAGACAAGGTCATCACTGTCTCCGGTAAGGAGTTAAAGGAGCATCGAAACCTCCCAAGCGAAGACCTAACGAATGCAATGAGCAAATATGTTGATAGCATGGAGCTCGTTGATAAGGATGAAGAAGGGTATGTCTCGAAACCTTGAAGACACATACGACAACCTACCATGTTTGACAGCCACTAACAAGATATTAGAGAACCGATTGATATAATACCAATGGAGGATTCCTACTCGCCTTTGCTACACCGTATTGAACAAGCGGTTCGATGGCGAGCCATTCATCCGGATGAGCCAGTGCCGCCGCCATCAGAAAAGTTAACACAGCTATCCAAACCACCGAAGAGCATCCAAGAGCGCTCACAGAAATACCTCGACCGAATTATAAAAGCAGCCGATGTAAAGAAAGGTAAGAGAAAATCGTGACCATTTGTTTTTATTTCCATGTACTTATCAACACAAATCAGTACCACCAAAAGCAAAAGGCCACAAACGCAACCGCGACGTGGACAAGCCTCTTTCCGGGCTCGACGTAGACGAACTACTCCACCGCGAGAAACGAGCAAAGATATCAGCCGCAAATGCCATTCCGGAATTTAAACAAACGCTTGCCACCGCCGAGACCATTGAAGCCGTCAAGGATGCCGCTGGCCAGATGGAGAAGATTATTGAGGGCCATATACGAACCAGCTTTGGTGACTCAAACTACGACCGTGCTGTTGAGGAGCTCGGCGTCTTGCGTGAAGAGCTTATTGATTATGAAGAACCAGGGCTGTACAATGATATCATCTGGAGGATCAAAGATAAGATCCTGAAGGAGCAATTGGGAGGTGATAGGCAGGAGTTGTGGTGGTTGATTCGACGGTCAAAGGTCGGGCTGATTGATAAGTCGGTTTCGGATCGATCCGAGGTCACTGAAGAAGAGGCCAAACAGGTATGAAGACGTGCAACTCTCAGGATGATAGTTTGGTGGTGACTAACTTTTGGTGTAGTTCCTGTCTTCGAAGTAGGAAAGTGATTGCAATCCAAAAATTGGTATATCATTATCAAGTGGCGAAGGAAAACCGATACCAGAAATTCTGCCTATGTACGACATTGTAGAAGAAAAGAAAAGCAATGTAAATTAATATCTATCCACACGAGGCTATATCATAATTCGTATGATTCTATCAGAAGCTATGGCCAAAATCCAATGCAAATGTTCGTCTCCAATCTCCGGTATTTATGAAATCTTGCCCACCCGCTTGTTTCCAACATCAATCTTACCCTGCAATCTGTAGTTATTATTCAAGTCAGTGTATATGAAAAGGGAGACTTCCACATGGACAAAAAAGACAGTAGGGAATTGCTAACCTCGTAACATCCTCATCCGCTAATGTCAAAAGCTCATTCTGTACCTCCAACTCGTTATTTATAGCAATGCCCAACTCTTTCTGTCGAGAGACGATCTTGAGTAAATCGTTGACGCTCTTATCCTGGGCCTCCATAGTCTGTTTCTGGAGCTGAAGCACTCCCTGATTATCCAATTCGCGCGTCTTGTCTGTCTCCTTCCCAAGTACTCGGCCGCTTCCTAAGCGAGGCTTCGTGCTATTCACGAGCTTGTCTTTATCCTGTATCGATGCAACTGCAGTATCCAATTTACTCTTTTGCACCATCGCGTTGTGTAGATTCTCTAGTCCATCTTTTTCTTTCTTTGCGGTTGTGAGAAGATCCTTTCTCCGTCTTATTTCACCTTCACCAAGCCCGCTACCAGCCCAGTTATCAGCTCCTCCTCCTGGATTCTTCAACCCGTCTTCAAGTGCTGTGATCATTGTCCCGGCCTTTGCCAGGCTGGATTTGGCGTGAGCAGAGCTTTCATGTTGTTTCTGGGGCGTTGTGGCCTGATCTCGTCTCGTCAAATGCAGCCGGGCGTCGTGCAAGTGCGACTTCATTTCGCGATGACAATCCAGCCATAACACTGGATCTGTGATGGGTGCGGACCCCAGAGCTCCCGGTCCGGTAACGGCTTTGTGTAGTCTCGCCGACGACGTGTTCTCTCCGGCAGTGGCTTGACTAGGAAGATTCAAGAAGGACCTCCAAATACTTGTATTCCGCCATCGTTGATCTTCGGCGTTATTGATTGCTTGTAGGTATTTCTCTAGGCCTTGCCGCCGTTCCTCTCTCAGTTTCTCGTTTGAGTTGGTGTTGTAGAACCATGACTTTCCGGGGAGTGGCACGGGCGGTTGGGCGTCCACTTTATGGACAAGCTCGTCGTGAAAGGATGCGAATTCTGAGTATCGTTTTTGGACCACGAGAGACCGCAGGGGGAGTCGTATGGTGATATTGTAGGTCGTGTGGTCGCCCGTCAGGGTGGCGGTAGGAATAGTGATTTCCACATTTGAAGGCATGGTAGCTGACTCAATATCCTATATCAGACTCCATAGACCTGCCAAGCAGGCGATGTGTGGCGTTTCACAGGAGAGTTGAAGAAGGTAAGTTACATGTAGTTGCGAACTTGGGGAGATGCAGCAGGCGGCTTATCTAGCAGACCCGCTTTTCTATGACGCACCCCACCGCGGTCCTCCTCCTTCCCGCTTGGACTATCGAGAGATGCTTCTTACAATGCTACCTCCAAGCTGCCGAGCACCTGAACTGGCCATCACTCCTGCTTATGGCCCATTGATATGAGCTTAGGCAGATATCTCGCTATCACCACACCACAGCTCATGTCGGAGGACCAAGCTGATCATGCACCTTCCGGAGCAACAGGGTGACTCGGTCGGTTTACCATGTAACGACGAAGACTCCCAATTGCACCTGAAATTGTCTACTGTATCCTTTACGGAATACGACTCCGATGGTGAACAAGAAATCTCATACCCGGTAGCGCCTGCTGCGGACGGAGGTGCAGATATCCTGAGCTCAACTTCATCTGTATCCCTGGGTCCCGCAAAAAGCCCCCTGGATGGAAGGCGAACGCTTTTATTGGTTTACATCCATGGCTTCATGGGTGCTGAGGATAGCTTTCGGCGCTTTCCTGCCCATGTACATAACCTGGTCGCCAACGCTTTGGCAGATTCGCACGTGGTTTATTCCAAGGTATATCCGCGATATAAATCACGTCGGGCAATGGGCGTTGCTCGAGATGAGTTTAGCGAATGGTTTGCAAGGTTTTTGAGAATGGCTTCAGAAATACAGTCTAACAATTGAATTATAGGATAATCCCACACGAGTCACATCAAACCGATGTCATTTTACTGGGGCACAGTTTGGGTGGTATATTGGCTGCCGAGGTAGCACTCGCCGAGGTCGAGAACATGAATAGTCCCAGCAAGTATAGGCATCGAATTCTCGGAATGATAAACTTCGATGTGCCATTTCTTGGAATGCATCCAAGTGTTGTCGGCACTGGACTTGGTGCTTTGTTTCAACCGAAGCGCAAGGATGGGTTTGAAAACGAGGCCTTGAATGCGAAGAGATCAGAATCCCAACCAAGCGAACTAGGTTCTCAAGAGTCGATGGAAATGATGCCATCGTGGTTTGATCAGATTCCAGACCCTAACTTTGACCCTCCATTTCCAAATGACGTCCGCCGGGTGAAACGCAGCCAGCTAGATGGCGCAATCAATTTCCTAAAGAAGAATTCGGGTAACCTGGCTATGGCGGTGAAGGAGTATGCAAGCTCTTATGTAGAGTTTGGTGGCTGCCTCGCCGACTACTCGGGTCTCCGCAGGCGGTACGCGATGTTAAAAGAGTTGGAGGCTATCGATGACATGGAACCCAAAACTGATAGGCGGGGTCTACTGCAACGACGACTCAGGTTTATAAATTACTATACAGCTAGTCCAGGGTTTCCTAAAAAGTCGCCTTCAAATCTCGATGGCCAGGAACTGACGGATGAGATGCCGCCAAACCATACGATAGCATCAACAGATTCGCTTGACAAACTGACAAAGCTACCAAGTCCTACAATATCAGTTGGGAGCTTCGACTCCACTGACGACGGTATGATCAACGTGGAGCCGACACCGATAGTGGAAGATCCTACAGTGGCCAACCTTTCTTCATCAAAACAATCCTGTGACGTGTCACCTGAGCAGTCAACTGTCGACCACGAATCAGTCGAAGGTAATGATCAATGCACAACTACCATGATTGATTCTCTGCCGCCTCTACCAGAAATACCAGCAGAACCACCAGCATTAGACCCATCCTTGTACGAAGATAAAGACATACTCAAGCAGGCACGAAAGGAACATACACGTTTAGTTAAGCTTCATGAGCGAGTGAAGAAGGAACACGATACAACGCTCAAAGAACGCGAGAAGCTCGTGCAAAAACTTGCCAAGAAGAAACAAAAGTTGCTATCATCATCTTCTACCGAGACGGAGAGCAAGGAAAGCCTCAATAGATACCCCGTTAGCCCAGATGATCATATAGAAAAACGAACTCCTCTCTCCGCGACCGTCAAAGAAAGCACACAAATACCAATATCAGATGCAGAGGAGATGGAAAAGCTCGAGTCCAACAATTCTTCGTCGCCTTTCCGAGACTCACCGATAGCATTACTACAGCCACCAAAAGATCGTGTATTTTGCGCTCTACCTGGCTCGTCGGATCGTCTGTGGGTACGCATTTTCATGCCTGATATTGACGAAGTCGTCGCCCATCAGTCTATCTTCTTACCCAATGGCTTGTATTATGAGTGGTTGGTAAATGACACTGCGGCTAGAATTGAGCAATGGGTACAGGATGACTGTACTCGTCGAGTAATTTGGGAACAATTCGGAGAGTTTTCGTGATGGAATGAGCTTATCAACGAATCTATCTCAAATATTAACAATTAATGACTGACGACATCAACGACCAAGTGCAAACTAAGTTTGCTGTTAGGGAAACATAGCTAGCATGTCAATGTCTATACTATTTGGGTATCATTGAAAGTCCACTTCAGATATCATACATGTCCGATCACTCCATTTAATCCCATTTATCATTCCCAAACATCCCTCTGCTGTAAAAGATCCTTCTGTCCATAAAATTCTCCCACGATCGTAATAATCATATCGAGGAAAATGCTAGCCTGGTCTCTTCCAGCTTCGGCTCCCTGTGGCAACGGAGATTTGCTGATAGTATACCTCTCGCACGCTTCATCGTCGCCTTTTTCTTCACTTGGTGATGCTCCAAGTGGGGATGAGGTGTTTCTTCTCACTCTTTCAGCTTTCTCCTCTTCAGATTCCTGTATTTCAATTTCTTCATCATCTGAAAAAAGCCTGGCGCGTAGACGGAACTTTGCCGTTTCGAGGTCTGTATTAGCTTGTTGTTCATCCGCTTCGACATTCTCAACAGTGAGCATGGCAGACTCGCCATTTAGACCACCAGCTTCTGTTTCTGCTGCTGCAGTCTCTTGCATCTGGCTTGGCTCCTCTTTCTGAATATCCATCGTTTCCTCGTCGACGCCGGATACCTTGATGTCGGAATGATATTCTGCAACGGCATGCCGTATCAATGGGGGCTTCTTTCTATTCAATCTGTTCAGGATATTGGCCGCTTTTCTCCCAAAGACCCTCAACTCGCCGACCTCTTCACTGCCCAATTCGCCAACATCTCGACACCGGCCCAATAAACCCCATGCCCATGCCCCAATACGACGTAATTGTGAAGAGTCATTATCCTTTACACACTTGATCATAACGCTACCTAGAAGCCTGAGGATTCCAAGTACTGTCTCCATGTCCATGCATGCTAGCTGTGCCATTTGCGGTTCAGAAGTGAACAGTAACTCCCTCCATGCCGTCCGGGCCGCACTCACGTCGTACGGAAGAGTGATAGGATGAGCGTCGTCGAGACTAGCAATGGCGGCGGGGGGAGGGGCGCATCGTAAAGTCATTCGAAGGAGGATGAAGCGATGCTTCAATAAGTCATAGTATGACGTTTGGGCGTCTCGTGTTGGTTCGTCATCAACCACTTTGTCCTCCTCTCCGGTAGATGTAGCAATGACCACACCATCAATGAAAATAAATCCAGGTTCGCTCGGGACTGGTTCTATTTCGTCTTGCCTCTGGGACGTGCGACCGATTTCGGTTTGCTCCAATACTTCGTCCATGTCATTGATGTCGTCTGGCTCGGGCTCGGGCTCGGGCCTTGTCGGCGCGGTAAACAGTGCTGGTAACGATTTCGCCTCAGACCTACAAGTGCAACAGTTATAAACTCAAATTAGCCCAGGAAAAATATAAGTGCAGCTAAGTAGACAAAGAAACGAGAAAGAAAGAAGCAAGAAAAGATTCAGCCCTTTTCCTCGAGAATAATATGAACAGTAAACGAGGTGCTCACCGAACTAAGCGCAGATATTCTAATCCATTTTCCGGAGGACCGTAGAGGAGCTCGTCAGAATCCTCGTCATCGAGACCAGGAAAGGCGCTCCGTTGCCCGAAAACAGGGTCTACCCGGGGATGCTGGTTGTGGCGCCGTTGGGTATTTTGTTTATTTGTCGTATTATTATGCTTCCCTGTATTAACCCAATTTGCCTCGCCATATTCGCCGTCAGACGCGTCGATCTCGTTCTCTTCGACGTTGTTGTTGCTCCTCGTCGCTTCGGCTTGATTCGAATTCTGAGTGTCATCCAAATCATCATATGAAACTTGCTGTCGCGCACGTTTCGCGGGAAATGGTTCACCGTGCTTCAACTCCGATTCGGGCTTGCGTTTCTCCGGCATATTCTGAATCGCGAGATGCGGTGTTTGGAGGAGGATACCCTAGGTACGTCAAGGTTGAAGTGACTTCACGCCCGAAAAGCGCTATTGATGCTCCGAGAAAAAGTTTCCCTTCAAGGCTCTCGACTTTGGATTAGGCAACGCCTTCTATAACGACAATGAAGTATCTCACCTCTTCTCGCTAAGAATCAAAATGTTGAAATTAAGAAATATTCAAGCATTTAGTTGCAAAGAATCTTTCGATATGTCATTAATTCTATCAAAATGCGCCAAGCCGTAAGTGGAATAGCTAGAAAGCTTAAGCTTCAGCCAATTAAAAGCAGCAAAATTTGTGCGATAACTTGACATGTAATATTTTCTTGATTCTCGGTCTCATCTGTCTATAGGACTGGTTTTCTTTATCTCACATTACTTACGGCCGCAAGCGCTGAGGATCACGGGGGAAGAGAGTAGCCAGTCGGATGTTGGGTAAACCCAAAAAGAACATCACGATACGGTTTAGGCCGAGACCTCCACCAGCGTGTGGAGGGCATCCCTGTCGGAAAGCATTCAAATAGTCTTCAAAGCCTTCTGCCGTGGGGTCCATTCCCTTCTTTCTCATACTTTCTTCCAGCTCCTTGACGTCGTTAATACGCTGAGCTCCCGACATGATCTCCTCGCCACGCATGAAGAAATCATATGAATGAGAGTACGTGGGATCCTTGGGGTCGGCCTTTGTATAGAAAGGACGAACTGCCATAGGGAACCTATCGAGAACGTAGAAGTCGGTGTCGTATTTCTCACGGATAATTTGTCCCAGCTTCTTCTCCATAGCAGTGGTGAAGTCGTTCTCAAATCGCTCTTGTTCCGAGGTGTCTACGCCGGCTTCTTTCAACAATGCCACACCATCCATGTAGTTCAAACGAAGAGCTTTGCCATCTTTGGGCAACTTGAAGTCGCCTGCTTTCGGGTATGACTTTTGGATCACGGCAATCTCGTCCTTGTAGCGCGTCTTGAGCTCAGTGAGGATAAACACAAGCAATTCTTCGGCAAACTCGAGCACCTCGTGGTAATGATGGCGAAATGTTTTCTCGAAATCAAGACCAGTAAACTATAAAGCCAATTAGCAGCTGATACTATATAGAAAAGAGCTCGCTTGATTGATTACCTCTGTCAAATGACGGTGGGTATTACTCTCTTCCGCACGGAAAACAGGACCGACTTCAAAAACGCTGTCCATGTCTCCGGCAATACAAATCTGCTTGTGGAGTTGTGGACTCTGAGCAAGGTATGCCTTCTTCTTGAAGTATTTCACTTCGAAAACTTCGCTTCCACCTTCTGTTGACGATCCGTTCAGCTTTGATGAGAAGATCCAGCGCGCACCGCTCTTCAACATGTACTCTGTAAACAATTGCGCAACGCCACTAGAAATCCATGTAATAGCCTGGCTCGTTTCGGTTTGCAAGTCGATCACACGGTTATCCAAGCGGGTTTTGAGTGTGGCGAGAGGAATACCTTCGGCATCGAGCTCGGGCTCCCCTTCAATGCCATCGGAGAGCGGTGGCGGCCGCTCAGCATCCTTCACTTGCAGGGGGATCTGTTCGGCTGCTTCAGAAATGATATAGATTTTTCTAATGTGTAGTTCCAATAATGTCAGAGTTGCCGATGCAATAGGGACGTCAGGCTTCTTTGCCACACCAGTGACCTGTACGATAGAGTTCACACTAAGTCCAGTGACCCATTTCACCATTTGCCGTGAAACTGGTCCTTCTTGGGGTGCGGCGACAACGGTCTGAAGTTTCTTTCCCTTTTGTCGGAGTGTAAGGAAACCGAGCTTGGCGCTTTGTGATCTGGTGTTGTCGACACGTGCAACAACAGTGACTTCCTTCTCATAATGCTCATCTCCTAATTGTAAAAAGTCGATTGCTGGTACGAAGTCTTCGGTTTCTGGAAGCTTGCCGTACAATCCGACGGCAGTATCTGATGCTGCGCTGGCAGCTCGCTGAGCTTGTTCCTGAGCAGCTCGAGCAGCAGCCTTTTCAGCTTTAGCTTTTTCCTTGGCGGCCTTTTTGAGTGCGCTCTTGCTAGGGGCAGCGGCACCTCCTTCTGCAGCTGGGGCGTTTTCCGTTACAGGAGCAGCAGAGCTCTCCTCGGGCTTGGGACGATTGGGGAGAGTCGAGTCAGCCATATTCAGCGGTTATCAATTTCTATGACAGCAGAATAGGAGCAATGGAAAAAAGAATATAGGCGATACCACCAAGCAAGATGCGATCTTAAGTAACTGCTTGGGATTGGCTTTTGTTGACTAACCGTACGTATGACTCAAAAACTTCTTCCTTCACCAACGAAACCCCGCGGGCCGCCCCTCCCTAACCCAGCCCTAAGCCCTAACTTTTATCCCGGAATGTCACGTGCTAACTTTCATTTGCCGTAGTTGATAGTCACGTGATATCTTTAGGTAACCCTGGTAATCCTAAACAGACCTGGCCTCATACAACCGGCGGTCTACCCCAGAGGGCTGTGTCATGTTGAATAGCCATTTTGATGCAGAGACCAATGCGGAGAGCACAGCAGAAAAGCTTTTCTCCAGCAAAAACGATTATATGATTTCTAGTATTGCACGATTATCTTCGCATAGCAACGCCAGATTAGTTATGATTACTGTTCTTTTTTATAAGATGCTTGTAGAACTAAAGTTTTTTTTAGCTATTAGGGCGGTACTAGAGGTATTTCAAAGCACTCAACAAACCTTTTTCTTTCGGAAATCATCGGGCGAGGGTGATGGCGTTTATATACGCTTGGCTTCTGTCATTCAGTCATATGGTAGATCAAGCTCAATTGTTCAAATATTATACCAAAAAAATTGTGGCAAATAGTTGTGGGCCTATACTGCCTGAGTACTTGCCGCCAGCTTCACAGCTCGTCGCAAAACTACTATCAGCCTCCATATTATTTTGATTAACTTCCGACAGCTATACTGTTTGAATAGGTGGAAATTATGCCTTACTGCGTTATTGGTATTTAATTATGCTTGTACCAACCACGGGATAATTCGAGGTTCAACAAACGACCGACAAACTGTTAGCTAGAAGCTTCCGCGCAAAGCATCAATCCACTCGAACTACCTGAACATAAAGATTGTTGTATCATCCAACTAGTTGAGTGTCTACACCGGCAACGTAGCAGATCATTTCAAATATACATACGTCCTTGGTCCCAATTGTTCAACAAAGACTATGTGGATACTCCACACCCTGTGGGTTCGGCTCGGCCCTTGCCGTTATCGTTGTCTCCACAAGGCTAGACGTTTACGTCGGACGACATGCAATTGACTCTCTATATTTCTTTAAATACAAAAATCTAGTGCCGGAAGCTTTGCCACAAGATTAAACCATTGGTAGCTCCCAAATGGAATTCAAGTCGTAAATTTCTAAGAGTCGCCAGCCACCGAAGGGTTGTATATCTAGGTAGAATTATGCCATATCAACATGGGCCTATAAGGCCCTTCCCAAGTGGGGTAGTTATTTAGCCTAGTCCATCACACAGAAGTTACTTAGGTATAGTTCAGAAAGACTGAAATATTACCCCTCCACCATGCTCTTCATCCGGTTTATGGTAACCTCTCGCAACATCGTCTAAACAATATTTTTGACCCACTTCCATTTGCCATGTTTAATCGATCCGACTACACTGTCGGGTGGATCTGCGCAATCACCACCAAATGTGTTGCTGCACAGTCTCTTCTCGATGAAGAGCATGGAAAGCCAGAGTATGTGTCAGCAAATGATGCGAACAACTATACCTTGGGTAAAATGAGTAACCATAATGTGGTGATTACGGTACTCCCTGGTGGAGAATATGGAACCAATTCTGCAGCTACTGTTACAACTCACATGCTACATAGTTTTCCTAATGTGCGTATTGGTTTAATGGTCGGTATTGGTGGCGGTGTACCAAGCCCCAAGCAGGATATTCGCCTTGGTGATGTTGTAGTTAGCTCACCTTGCAATGGATTCGGAGGGGTGTTCCAGTATGATTACGGTAAAGCAATACAGGGACAGAGCTTTAAACATACCCGATTCTCGAATCAGGCACCGGTTACTTTGCGCTCAGCAATCAATGGTCTTCAAGCTCAGTATGAGAGAAAGGGTCATCGGATTGAGGAAACTATATGCGATGTACTAGAGAACAATAAACGATTGAGACAAAAATATAAGAGGCCAAACAGTGATCACGACAGGCTTTACGAAAGCCATACAGTTCACCCTTCAAATAAGGGAACAAATTGTGCTGAGGCATGTGATTCGACAAAACTAATACCACGCCCTCAACGAACTGAAGATGAGGATAACCCAATGATACACTACGGGCTGATTGCATCCGCAAACCAGGTGATGAACGATGCCTTGATTCGAGATCGATTTGTCGCTGAGCACGGCGTCCTATGCTTTGAAATGGAAGCAGCAGGCCTTATGAATTTCTTCCCTTGTTTGGTGATTCGTGGAATATGTAACTATTCTGATTCACATGGAAATAAAGAGTGGCAGGGATATGCCGCAATGACTGCGGCAGCATACGCAAAAGACCTCTTGCTACAAATCATCCCATTTAGGGTGGAGACAGAAAGTAGTTTCAGTCGTATTACTTCTAGTAAGTCTCGCTTGTTAAGATTATTGCTGCATAAAACTCACGCTACGCTATATAAGTAGGTATTCACGATAGCATTCAAGATCTATCACAACGAGTATCTAATCTCGTATCAAGGATAGAGAATCAAGAACGCCAGGATATCCTAGGCTGGCTTTCGACTTCTATTTACTTTCCCTGGCAGAATGATCTTATTGCAAACCATCAAGAAGGATCCGGGAAACGGTTTTTAGAGTCAAATGAGTTCCAGAAATGGCACAAAGGGCAGGAAAAGATACTATTTTGCCCCAATGATCCTAACACAGGGAAGAAAATAATTACGTCTCTTGTGGTTGATTATTTGTTGAAATCGTACAGGAATGATTCAGCCGTCGGTACTGCATTTGTATACTGCAACTCTCAACAGTGAGACGGACACATTTTATCAAGTCTACTAGAGCAATTTAGTCGACAACTACCTTCACTTCCTCAGTGTGTCATCCAACTATACCAAGCCCATCAAGGGCAGAGGACTCGGCCTTCTCTTGAAGATATATCTGGTGCATTACAAACTGTCATTGGGGGCTTTTCACAGGTTTTCGTCATTATTGATGCTTGTGATATAGACCAAGTTCCCAATCTCTCTGCACTGCTACCAGAGATATTTGTCTTCAGAAGCAACGCCAATTTATTTAGACTCTTTATAGCAACAGACGGTCTTTCGGAAATTGCAGAGTCATTTGTACAGAATACCACGTTGAATATTCAAGATGTACCAGAAGGCGTGCGGAGAGACATGGACGGCGATATACACAAACTGCCATCTTCTCTCTCAGATAACTCTAGTTTACTATGATAAATGAATTATAATTGAATCTCCTCAGAAAGCTTACTATAACTACGAAGACGAAGCACACAAATCCGTGGCAAAGATCTAAGCGAGCGTCCCAATTAGCATGAAGGCACAGATACCGAGCAACGACGGTAGTCCATTTAGGGAGACGATATGTATGCTAATACCTAGGCTTCCTAATGATAACTAGTACAATCTAAACATGTAAGGGCTCGCGCATAGAACATTTATACATCAAGGGTGAATCATAACGTACAACAACAGTGTTGAAAATCTGTGTACAGTTTTTGGGTGTCGAACGATACGAGTTTTAGAAGTACGCTGGTATTTACCAGTAAGGGACTTGTTTTTGTAGAGAGCTGAGAGAGGGGTGCATATGGATTAAACCAACCCAACTCTCTCGATTCCCCATTCTTCCTGAACTCATTCATTTTGTACCAAAAATATGTCGCAAACCAAACCCTATATTGTATTAGTTCCCGGAGCATGGCACACGCCAGTTCACTATCAGGAGCTGACAGCCCTTCTCGAAGAAGCTGGATACCCGGTCAAGACGACAAAACTCCCAAGCGTCGCATCGAACCAGCTGAACAAGGAGTCGGTAGTGCGAGATTCGAATACTATCCGCGAGAAGCTGTTGCTTCCCTTGCTCGATGAGGGGAAAGATGTCATCTTACTTATGCACTCGTACGGTGGCTGCCCTGGAGCTGCAGCTGCTAAAGGATTAGGTAAAACAGAGAGGAAGACTGGCAGAAGCATCATTGGACTCGTCTTTCTTGCTGCATTCCTGGCCAGGGAAGGAAATTCGCTTCTTAGTGCTCTCCATGGCAAGTTTGATCGGTGGGTTGTGATCAATGTGAGTAGTCCGACGATCTAGAATTTCCATTGAAAAAGAGGTATAACCAACTGACACAAATAAATCCAGGACGAAACTGGACAATTGGATGTTGAGAATCCAATCCAGGTCTTTTATCATGATGTGCCTAGAGACAAAGCATCTATAGCGGCCAAGGAGATCAAACTCCATTCAAAAGCTTCATTATCAACACCCAGTACACCCAGTGCTTGGGGTGATAGTGACTTTGACGGCCGCCGCGCCTATATCCGTGCTCTCGACGATCGTGCTATTTTACCGGTTACTCAAGAAATGATGCTGAAGTACAGTGGCGTGGAATGGAAGGTCAGGGAAATGAACACCAGCCACAGCCCGTTCCTCCCCAGACCGCGTGAAACAGCAGATATAATCTTGGATATTATATCTGAACTCTAGTTTCATGTGACGAGTTAGCAAACAGATCTTGGAACCTGGATTGCTTAGCAACTATGCATGCTATATTTTATTGTATCTTAACTCAACTTGTTCTTGTGCATTCAGAATCAAGAATTGATATTATCTACAATATCGGTTGGTGATAATGTCGAGGGTGCATGATATACACCAGCCGTAGTATATGATTTCTCTGCTAATATTCAGAAGTCTTGAGAGCCCACTCCACAGCGTGTTTCACATCATCGGCGATAACCTTAGGAGGGTATGAGGGAGTTCCACCACTATAGACACCAGTTCGCACTAGAATAGAATTCCATTGGCTCCCATGGTCGCTCTCGTACGAGTTGGCGCCACGAATATCGGACTCTGGATTATCGCCAATCATGAAGACTTTCTTTATCGGTGGCAGGTTCCCATTGCTGAACAATCTCGCCCGGTTTCGCAGTAATTGATTCTCTGCAAATCGATATGTAAGTGCGTACGGTTTCCCGACGACAGTCTTGACAAGTTCGACTCCTTGAGCAGGTCCGCCAGTTATGGCCGCCCAAGTCCCTTCTAGCGCTTCACGGAACCCTCCCTGACCCAGCCTTGGGAGATGGTAGCTCGCTGCCCACACCAGATCCGGATTCGAGAAGTACAATGGAGGTTGGCCGTCTTGCTGGTACCCCCGGTTCGGAAGATCAGATTGGCCGTTTTTATCGGAGAGTGTTCCCATTATGCCTTGCGAGGATAGAAGGGCGTCTATTATAACTTGGGCGTCAAGGCCCCAGTCTCGGGGATCATTAAACACGAACATTGCGTCAATCTTGAGACTTCCTGATGGGTCGTTTGGGTCAATCGGCCTCGGTAGTGGTCGTGCAAATGACTTGTAGTAGTCCTTGAAGTTTTTCGAGAACGGCCAGATACCGGGATACGCTGTGAAAATGTCCCCGGGCGTCACGACTGATTTGAATCCATATCTAGCAAACAAGTTGAGCTTCCTCATCCAACAAACCATATTTACCGAACATTCACCATGGTATGGTATGTGGCACATACCTCTCTGCCACTTCGCGGCAACGGTCCCCGTCACCGCCTGCTACCAGAATGCACTTATTTTCCAACGCTTCCTGCCCAAATGCACCGTTAACCAGCTCGGCAAAAGGCGAATGACTCTGGATTATAACACTTGGATCTAAAGGGATGTTCAATTTCTCGCTAATCTCGGCGACTCTCTCCGTCTCGTGCTTTCCGCCGCCATTTGTCAGGAGAATAAAGGGAATGCCGCGTTCTTGCAGAGTGCGAAGAGCATCGGAGGCACCAGGTATAGGCTTTGAGGAGCGAAGGAGGACGCCATCAATGCTGCATACAGGACTCTCAATTAGCGGCGCTCAATTGAATGTGCTTGCTTGGAACCCATGCCGTACTCAAAAGCAAACGCAATATCGGGTGCCTGTGACGCGGATGTCAGAAAGCCGCGACGGTAATTAGCGGCGCTAGACGTGCAGGTGCGCAGGGCCGGAGAAAGAGACGTCGGCCGCAAGAGTCGGAGCAGCGTCATCTTTCGTCACGTTGTCGAAGCAGATTTGTTGATGTTCCAGATGTTCCGTTCCAGCAAGGTTGGCGATGGACCTGGCGGGTCCCCACACGGAGCCTCTCGCTGACATCATCCCCGCAGCAACAAAAAATTTCATGCACTTTCAGCGTCAACACGCGCAGTAAGCAGCCGTGGTATAATGGAGGACCCGTGAAGCAGAATGACCTCAGACATGTCGTCTGTCGCCGAAATATTCCTTCCGACGGAAATCGTTCTCCAGATCGTGTCGCGCGTGGACCGCAGCCTCCGCGGCCACGAACGCCAGAGAACGCTGTACACGCTCTGTCTGGTTTCTCATCAGTGGTACTCTGCTGCGCTATCGTTCCTGTATGCACGGCCTCGTCTTGAAAAGGGCAACGCGTATCGGAAGTTCACTGCGATACTGTGTCCACCAGCGAGTGCGCCAAAGACGAGCAAAGATCTGGGCCGGTTGGTTCGCCGACTGGATTTGAGCAGGCTGGTCCATCACAGCTCGAATAGCATGACTGCCAGGTTGATAGGACGGGTCAGGGAGAATCTAGAAGTATTCATTGCTCCGGCATCCGGGTTCTCGTGAGTTGCATCAATTACGGCACTATGCGGCTCCCACATTTCTGATTACATTGGTAGAGTGAACTCCTTCTCGCCGCTCTCAAAATGCACCAAATTACGATACTTAGACCTGTCTTTGGTCAACGAATCGTTTCAATTCGATAGTGTGATCAAGTCACTGCGATACATGCAGCACTTGGTCGATTTCCGCGCACCTGGGTTCATGCGTATCACCCAAGACACCGTGGCTCTCAGGGCAGACAGCGGCGGTCCAACATGGCCAGCAAGCATCGAACAGCTACAACTAAGCGGCACCATAGATATTAACATGGGCACATTCCGCTGGCCGGAAAACATAACTCAACTAACACTCAAACACTGCATGAATCTATCCCTCTACGTCATGACCGGCCTCCTCGGCAACCACCAGCTAGACGAAAACCTCAAACGACTCACAGTCTCAACCTACAACCGCGGCCTGCAACCTGAATGCATACACCTCATACCGGTCTTTCTACCAAACTTGCTTTTCCTCAGCATCCCCGGAGACCTAGTACATGACATATTCTTTTCGATGATGAAGCACCGGGGCAAGAAACTCGCGCTCGAGGTTCTAGAACTAGGGCATACGCATACAGGCGACAAGCTCGATTTTTCCATACAGTCTCTCATAAACGTGCTAGATACTAGTCTGCCAAATCTGCGCGCAGTGGGTTTTCATACTATGTATGGCGACGACCATCCAGATCTAGACGACGCACTTTTGAAACGTGCCGAGGAAAAGGCAGATGAGCTTCCCATTTCGGATGAGACTGTTGAATTTGATGCTGGTACATATTATTTCGATTAAGTGGCATATTTAGGTATATAGATGTGTATTTTTCTATTCTATCTGCCAAGCTGTATATATCCAGTCAGTGAGTCTGGAATATTCAATGAAATGGCCATTCAGCTGAAAATATTGATATATATATATATCCGTCAATGTGAAAAAAGGCAACACCTGCTTTTCGTCTACCTACACACCTAACTAGCTCAAATATAATGGAATAGGATAGACAGAGGAAACAAACTCCAGAGTCACCTGCAATTTCGTCATACAACAGAAGGGAAAGAAAAGACGACCATGCAATAAATAACCGCTAGCAAACCTCCAATGGTAGGATCTTGAAAGAGGCAAAGAAGAAAAGGAAAAAAGAAGAAAGTTATTATTATCTACAACCCTGGCGTACACATTGGTTTCCTGTGTAAGGGACAGATCCGTCCAACAACTATAATCATCATCATCAACAAGAACAAGGAAAAGAAGAAAATAAAAAAGAACAAGAACGACAAGCAGCCCAGCCTGTATTTTGGATGAATTGGAAAATAGAGAATAGCATAAGAAATAAGAAAGTGGAGGGTGAAAAAGGGGCAGGAGGAATGGAAAATATATGCCGTTTCTTCATCTTTTTCTTTTTTCATCTTCTTTTGATATAATTCCGTCCTTTCTTAACTAACTGATGCCACTATGGCGGCTGCAAATCCTTCCTCCTCTGATCGTATAGATACCTTTGTTGTAACACCGGTACGAGCTGAAAACGCCATCTTCACAAGACCTGCTACACGGCCGCCGGATACTGTCTTGCCATAAAGTTTGAGGCTATGTGTGGTGTTGCTGAGGGACACGTCTGTACCTTCGAGAGGCTGGAGAGAGAGGGCAGTGATGAGTTGTTCGGTTGCATCTGGTTTTGATTAGCGCATGTCAAATTCGAGGAAAAGAAAAAAAAAGAAAAAAAAGAAAACTTACCGGCGATGCTCTTGACGTTGCCAAGTTGGAATGTCTCACTCGCCTCCTCGCCATTCGCGCCAGTTTGCTCCCATACATGATCGAAGCTTCCAGCAAAAGTGGGGATCACATAATCGCTGCCCGTCAACTCAAGATCTTCGACCTGGTACTCGTCTTCATAGCCAGACTCCTCGGGCTCACCAGTCGACGGATCAATCTCCTTGCTGGTGAATTTGAGGTTGTTGGTAAATGAGGTAGTGGGGAAGCTCTGCTCTCCGTCTGTCTTCTTGAATGCAACGTAGACGATACCTGGTTCGTTGGTTGGTAGCTTGGGGCACGGCACAATGAAGTCTTCCTCGAGGCTCTCGTCTTCATCAGAGGGTGTAGCTACTACGGACACATCTTCCAGAATAGTGTCAGGCAGGGTGTTCTTAATGTCATATTGCAAGACAATGTGTCCTTTGAAGACATGCTTGACGGCCGAGACAACATATTCGGTTTCGCTCTCGGTAAGTTCAACAACGGTGGATGATTTGAGAAGTGTGCCATACTCTTTGAGCTCGGGAATTTGCATGAGCTGTTCAGCGTATTTCTGCGTGGCGGCAGCAGCAGAAGTGGCACTCTCTGCAGCACCGTTGGCCTTGGCCTTTGACGGGGCTGTTGAAGGCGCCTTGAGAGTCGGCGTGGCTGATGTGAGCTTCTTGGTTCTCTCTTCGGCAAGGGCTTGTTCTTGAGAGACCACAGGAATTGATGAAATGTCGAAAGCCATCGAGAATGTTTCCTTATCTGTAGCAGTGACATACATGACCAGTTGGTGCTCAAAGGTGGAAAGCGAATACATAGAATCTAATTCAGAAATCAGTAACATAAACTTCTTTGCGCAAGTAGAGCGGGGAATACTAACCATTCTTGACAAAGCGATTAGCAATCTCATCCTCCTCGCTCATCAAGCGCAGATTGAGAGCTGCACGATCCCGCACTTCATCGTCGGTATCGTCAAGACATCTAGTAAGCAGCACAGAAACACTGCGCTTCACCTCGGGATCTTGCTGGCCAACACCAAACTTGGCCAAGGCCGTGACAGCAGCAGCGCGAACAACCGCGTTTTCGAGGACCACGCGGTTATAGATATATCGAATGTATTTCGTAGGCTGGGGAGTCTTGGGGCCTTCCACGCCAATGAGATGTAGGATTCTGACTGAAAGCTTGGTGAATTCGCAGTCTTCGATGAACTCGCAGAGATGCGCAAGAGCTAATAGATTTTTTTTTGTTAACAACCAATCATTGGAAAGAATAATTTAGTAGTAAATCAACTTACCATCTTCCTTACTGCCAGGAACGAACTTGATAAGATCGAACATGCTCTCGACGACGCTGCGCTTAAATTCATAACCACCCTCGTCCCGAAGAATTCCGCTGAGGAAAGTGAGCATACTGGCCTGCTTGCTAGGGAACTTCAAGCAAAGGGTCCTGATAGCCTCGACAATAGTGATCTTGAACTCATCCGTAATATCTGCCATAAAGCTGGAGATCTGCTTCATGAGACGGTCAACGCTGGCCTCATTACCGGTTTTGAGTAATGTGGTGATAGCAAATGTGGCAATAGAACGGTTGCTGTTGGAGATGAGTGACTCGATGTCGGGGTTACATTGGTTGACAACGTGTGGCTTGAAAGAAGCGAAGCTGTGCAAGATCCTGATTGCGGCGAATTTGGTGATGGCGCGTGGAGACGAGAGAAATAGTTGCAGCACGTGGACAGCCTGTGAAGCTTCAGCGTCGGTCACATCTTTCATATCGCAGATAGCCTTGGCAGCCTCAAAGTTGACCATATCATGCTTGTGTCGAAGCCAGCCATCAAGCAGCTGCATCATTGGTTTCCTCAGGCTCGCATCTTCTTCTGCGAGTCTTGCCGCTAGACGCACAAGGAGCACGACAGCAGCCGGGCTCTTGACTGCGCCGGCAGCGCCATATTGTTGAACCATCTTCACCAAAGCCATCCTGTCGTGAGACCGCATCTGATAGAGGAGACCAATGGCATGGTATTGTGTCATATAATTAGCCTGCGAGATAGCATGATTTTGGCCGGATGAGAAGCCCAGAAACCCGGTCGACGTCTTGGATGCCGAGGCAGCTTCTTGTGTCTCGCTCTGCCATCGTCGAACAACATCACGCGCAATGGGAAGCAGATGGTATGAAGATACCAGGGCGGCCGACGAGACAGAGGGTGTTTTGTCAACAATGGCGGTCTTAATCAATCGCTCGATACCTTGGACAGTGGTAGCCTATTAAGGTCAGAACTTAAGTCTCCACCACATGATTTTTCACTCGATTCGAGTGAAACTCAATTTCAGGGGAGATGCGTGCTTACATCGATAATACGGCACAGTGCGCGAATGGCATTAGCTCGGTATAAAACATCACTGCCGACAGCAGTATCTTTCATAATGATACTAGTAGACATGATAACATCTTCGGCGGTGGTAGAAAGTTCCTTGAGAATCAAATAGACCATCTGACGCAGGGAAGGATCTTTATTTTGGAACAGCTTGGAAATGCCGAAGAAGAGCGTTGTGGCTTCGTCGGTAGGGAACCTCTCGCCCGTGAATACGAGGACGGCGATCTTCGTAAGCAGCGTGCGACATCTCCGTGGCGAGATTGGCGATGAATTGAATAATCGCGCTGCATGACTGTTAATAGTTGATTGCCGATATGTTGCAGCAGCAGAGCGCAACAAACTGACCTTCTTGGAAAACAGTGGTGCGGTCAAGTTTGATCAAAGCCTGATCCGCATCCTCATCTTTCTTCATGTAACTCATGTTGGTCGATTAATCTCACGTCGGTGTGAGCGTGAAGAAGCAGGTAGAAAATAAGAAAAATTGTCAAGTCCAGAGTCCAATATAGAATGGCGAGCGAGAGATATGGAGGGGGCGGTGTAAGGAGGCTACCCTACCGCGCCTTCATTCTCCGGAGGAAATCGAAAGTAATGGTGTATCTCCTCTGGGAGTTGGGCAGCAAGCGGTGAATAGCTGCAGTCAATGCGAGAAATCGGTGGATTGGGGACTGGAGTTGTTTGTTGTTGATGTTGTTGATAGCACTAGTCAGTTAGGATCTCCAGGTGTCCTTCCGAGAGTCTCGCTCCTCCTTGTGTGGGCACCGAACACGGCAAACAGTGCAAACATGCGGCGTATATCAATCAGTATTTGAACATCGGACATGACATAACTTGAGATTTCCTTCACCTCCAGTCATTTTCCTTGTTATTCTTTTGCACGGATTCAATCAATAGGTCGTCATCATCATGGACATGCCAGTGAACGTCCCGGTAGACGATCCCAATGCGGATACTGAATGGTAACTTACATCATCTACAATCCCAAAAACCCAACGAAGCACAATTCTAACTTTGCCTGAAGGAATGACATTCTTAGAAAACACGGCATCATACCTGAAAAGCCGCCCTCGCCAACACCAATTATAGAAGAAGCCATCCTCGAAGCGCAGCGTCGCGCGCACGAAAACCGGCTCGAGGACAAGGATCTAGATGAGCTTGATGCTCTAGAGGACGAAGAAGACGAGGCATTCTTAGAGCAATACCGGTGCGTTATACCAATATGCCAAATATAGAAAAAAAAAAAAGAAAAAGGAAAGGGAAAACAAAGGGAAGAAACGAGCTTATTATATGCAACAGCAAAAAACGAATCGCCGAAATATCCACCCTCCAAAAAGCCAGCATCTACAACCAAGTCTACCCCCTCCAAAAAACCGACTACGCCCGAGAAGTAACTGAAGCTTCCTCCAACGCCTACGTACTCGTAAACCTCACCTCGTCAATGGGCGGAAACACCGAATCGCGCGTGTTAAGTGAGATATGGCGACAACTAGCCGGCAAATATGGCGAAATCAAATTTTGCGAAATCCGTGCCGATATGTGTATAGAAGGGTACCCGGAGCGGAATACGCCGACGATATTGGCTTATAAGGATGGGGAGATTCGGAAGCAGTTTGTGACGTTGAGGGAGTTGAAAGGGGTGAGGACGAAGATAGAGGATGTTGAGAAGGTGCTTGTTGAATTGGGTGCTGTGAAGGAGGGGGATTTGCGGCTGAGGAAGCGCAGTGAGTCTGATGAGGAGGAGGATAATAGTCAAGAGGCCGATGATGGGGATGACGATGACTGGGATTGAGATTTATATCAACATCCTGACTTCTTCTACCTGGATATATACATGTAAGATACGACCTGATCACTCATGAAGTTGGAAGTGTGGAACGAAACATTGAATTGAATTGTCATGAATAGAGCTTTGCATCACTGCATCTACATATATACACATATACGTATATACGCATTTGGATATAGGTCGGAATGGTATAAGGTAACGCCAATCAGGTGAAACGCCAACGCTAAAAACGCAATTTGACTAAATAGCCAATATGTCCAAAAAAAAAGAATCATAACCTCAAACTGTTTCTCTTCTCTTTCTCTTCCGGTCTTCTTCAGAGCGGCCGCTCGTCAAATCAGCTCATCATTCCCACACGCCACACTCTCCTCGATGGTCTTTTGCACCTGGCCTTGTTCATAGACTGGGCCTTGACCATCGCACCGCGTAAAACTCTTTAACCGCTCACAGACATCTCCGATATCAATCAGGCCCTTTTCGTACAAAGGATGAGCTTGTATAAAATCCCACGTGGCCTTCGCATTGAGCAATCTATCCCCAGATTCTGGGTTGATCACGATGCGATGCGGCAGACTGCCTGTCTTGTGGATATCTGCGATGGTTTTGTGCATGTCTGTGGGCAGGTACCTTGTAGGTCCGTTCGCGATTGTTGCGTTATTCTTATCATCATCATTATTGATGTCGTTGTTGCGGCTGCTGCTGCTGCTGCTCCCTCGTTCGTCTGGCGAAGACTGACCGCTGTCGCCAGTGGCACGCAAAATCTCGTTTTCGGTGACAATCTTAGCCAATTCGCGTTTTAGGCGTTCGTTGTCTGCATGAAGTGACATTGATTTTGCTTGGAGATCGTTCAGTTTCTGCTCGAGTTCTCGGACGTGCCGCTCCTTGCGTTCACGAAAGGCTCTTTGGCTATACGGCAGTCAGCACTTGCATAAATTAAAAAAAAAGAAAGAGAGAGAGAGAGAGAAAGAGAGACAAACGCCGCTCTGTTCTGAGCCTTCCGCCGACTCTGGGCCGGCGTCACGGCATCCTTTTCCTCGCTACTGGATCGCTTCTCGGCGAGCGGCTCTTCGACAAACTCGGAGAAGATGTACTGCGCAAGGTCATCGCGCACCATGTCTATAGACTGGTGGAGAGAGTTCCTCTGGGCGGCAGCGCTCTGTGGCGGAGAGTGTTGGACTGCATTGCTGGGGCGGGGTGGCGGGTGTGGCAAGAAGGAGGAGTCACTGTAGCCTGAGGCATAGTTATTGTATTCGAAGGACTGCAAGAGTCAGTGAGTACACGGATGGTTTCTCTAGCGCTCATAAACTGCCTTATTTGATGGGAGGGCAAAATGTAAACGTACCGATGCGAGTGGGATGACTGCATCTCGCGGTTCTTCGGGCTGAGCAGAGTGCAGGCCGACATGCAAGGGCTGCTGCTGCTGCTGCACGGGGTGGAAGAAGTAGTCCATGGTCCCGTCGGATTGGTTTGAGAGTACGGATAACTATACGGTTCGTACATGTATCTGTATAAGCATGCAGTCGGGTGAAGATGAAGTTATCTCCAGCTGAGAGGGAAAGTTGGGCCGGGGGCCGGATTTCCTGGAGGTTGGCTTGCACTGCAATTGGCCACTCGTATGTCAGCAAACATGATTCTGTGCTTGCTTGCAAATTTGCATACAACAGAGGGCTGTTAACGCTTACCAAGTGCTACTCGCGAATTGAGGATCCTATCATCGTCGTCTAACTAACTAGTGCCCTAATTGGTCCCCTTAACCATCCACCACATGCCAGCCAGACTGGGCGTATTTACTCTACGGTCCCTAGCTCGTATCTGAAAATTAGCCATAGTTCGGAAGCGGTCTCCGTCTTATTGGTCTCTTGATAAACCCCAGGATTGAGAATATTTAATCCAAGCAAAAGAGATGCACCCGGCCCTTCTTCACAATAAGTTATTCAGGAACGAGTTGAGTCGATCAAAAGCTGATTGGATAAAATCTGATCTGCTAGCATAACACACCCGACGTGAGACCTCCCCGGAAGCGACCCTATCCATATTCCGTCGCCATAACCACCACAATAATGAGATGCAAACAAAGCCAGCCTCGACAATCAATGCCTCCTCAGCCTAGAACTTGCTGTCGGCTGTTCGATACCCTTGTCCAAGACCACCCGTTCGCAAGCCTCAAGTCACCCCCTGTCTCATAAATTCACGTCGAGATAAAACACATGATCAAACTAGAAACGAAACGAAACGCAAAGTCAATCTGGGAAAAGCACAAAAGCATCTGTAAATGATAATGATGACCACTTATAACAATCAGGGCAGTGAGGAAGGGTAAGAACTAAAAAGAAAAAAAAAAAAAAACGTCTGGTAGCGACGTGTGAGAAATCACTCAAGGCAAACATCTAATCCGTCTCGCATTCCCACTCTCTCACAGCCGTTTGATCGCAGAAAAAAAATCTGTTTCCCACATGCTTCAAGAAGAGCATAAACTGGCTGACGAAAGTGGACGCCCCGAATTTTTGTGTTTCGATATTCATCTAGCGCAAAGAATAAACACAAGTCGTTCTGAAAGATCGGCGGGGGGTTGGGAAAATAAAAGAGAAAACCGAGATAATATAGGTTAGAGCGAAATGTGTGCCCATGCCGACCGAGTCGCCCCGAGATCCATAACCAGGAGTCAGGCAGTATATGTTGTTGAAAAATAAGCATATAAGGGCAGTTCTGCGTTCAACGAACCTCGAAACATGCAAAACTTGGGAACGAGGAGAAGGAAACAAAAGGCATTCTGTAGCGCGTGTTGTATAAAGAGATCGAGACTTCGGAAAAGGTTGCCCATGAGGATAGAAAGGAAATGAGTGAAGATAAAGATCCATAGGTATGTTGCCCGTTGTCGTTCCGTTTAGATTCGAAGGCTTTCGAATCAAGGTACACAAACAGCAAATGCAACATGACTAGGAGAGCATCCGCTCAAAAAGGAAAGATGCTGGTTTTTGAGAGCTAACATGCTGCTGTGCGTACGTATCAATACCATGGGGCTCCAGTACCATCGTCCCGCTTCGAACGGTGACCAGCAGATCCATAAGCACCTGCAGCAGCACCCTTTGAAGCAGAACGAAGCCTAACGCCGAAGACTATGAGATTAGTCAGAGTCTTGAATTTTTTTTTTTTTCGATGATGGATTGATCTTTTTCCCCCCCTCTCCCCAAACCCCCCACTACCAGCGTCACTCAATCCAGCAAACGCATAGAGGTGAGAAAAATAAGAAAAAAGGGGGCCCCTACAAGGAACCTAGATTGCATAGTACTCACATCCTGTCACTCCCTCCAACAGCACGGTTGGTGTCCGGGGTGTCGACGGTGCCACGTTCAATGACCTTGCGGCGTTGACTGGAAATTGCTCCCGGTTTGGGGCCAGGGACCGCCATGGCTGGAGCAGCTTGAGCAGCGCGGCGCTGCTGTTCCTCAGTTTCCTTGTCTTTCTTGGGGTTTGCTGCATCTACAATCATGGCGGCATTCTTCTGGTACTTGTAGACGGTCCAATCAAAGACATAGTCGTACTGGAAGGATTCACGCACGAACAGGTCGCGGAAAATCTTCCGTAGGTAGGAGTAGTCGGGCTTGTCGTCAAATCGTAGGGAGCGAGTGTAGTTTAAGTAAATGGCGAATTCGTTGGGAAATCCGCGGCAAAGAACCTCAGTAGGGGTAGTCATCTTCTTCTCCATGATACGGTCGTATTTCTGCTTCTTAGTGGCAGCCTTGAGACCCTGCCAGGGGAGAGAGCCACGGCAGAAGTACAGCATGACGTAGCCTAGAGATTCCATGTCATCACGGCGAGACTGCTCAACACCCAAGTGAGTGTTGATACTGGCATAACGGGCAGTACCAGTCAAGTTCTTGTTCTCACGGTAAGGGATGTGAAAGTGAGTTTTTGGGTCACGGTATTTCTTAGCCAGACCGAAGTCAATAACATTGACCTGGTTGCCCCGTTTCCCAATTCCCATCAGGAAGTTGTCGGGCTTGATATCACGGTGAATGAAAGACTTGGCGTGGATATACTCGATGCGGGAAATGAGCTGATCGGCCAGCAGCAAGACAGTCTTCAGAGAGAACTTGCGGTTGCAGAAGTTGAATAGATCCTCCAAACTAGGACCGAGAAGGTCGATAACCATGGCATTGTAGTCACATTCAGTACCGAACCAGCGTACGAAAGGGATACCCACACCGCCGGCCAGTGACTTGTAGACACGGGCTTCGTATTCCAGCTGAGGGTGTTTAGCTTTGACGCTCTCGAGCTTGATGGCGATTTCCTCGCCCGAGATGATGTTGGTGCCTGAAGTCGGTGTGCAGATGATTAGTTGTGAGCTCGCCAATTCCCACGAGAACAGAGAGTGCATAGCCTACCCAGGTAAATGTCACCGAAACTACCGCTTCCAATCTTGCGTCCGATGCGGTATTTATTACCGACACGCAAATCCATGGTCGTCATTTTGGCTGATTATAGGGCAGCGTGCACAGAGCCGATGCCTGTCGTGAGGGAGGAAAACGAGGGTCAGTCAAATCATCAGTGATCGAGCAAAAGAAATAGCAGTTGTGAAGAAATAGAGGAGAACAGGGCGTAGCAAGTGAGAAACGACGGGCAGGAGAAGAGAAGGGGCAGTAAGCAGCCAGCCTTGCTGCCTTGGCTGGGCCGCCTTGCCAAAGGGCGCGTCACGCGGGGGTGGGTAGGCCTGAACGACGACCAGGCTGGACTGGATGCATCTGTGTAGGAAAGAACAGCTGCAACAGAAAACTAAACATACCTAGTGTGGGTTTTCTGTATGAGCGAGACGAGAGAAGGTAAATCTTGGGTTGAGTGTTGGTTTCGTTGGGTTGGCTTGGTTGGCCGCCGGTCGGGTGTGCTCGGTCCAGGTGCGAGCGAAGCCTGTGTCAGAGCAGCAGGGCGGGAAAGAGAGGACAAAGACGGCTGACAAGGCGAGCAGGGATACTACAAAGAAGAAGAAAAGAGAAGAAGAAAAGAGGCAGACCAAGGACCAGAAGCCTTGAGGTTGGAGGGACGGCGGAAGAGCAGGAAAGGGAGGAGGAGGAGGAAAGAGCGAGAGGTTTTGTGAGTGGAGAGAGACAGCCCGGCGCTAAGAGCAAAACAGAAATCCCAGCGGATTTGTCGGTGAGACTCTCCCTCAGGCTTCATTCAACCAGCGAGAATACACCAACAATGGCGGCGGCAAGAACAAACCAGGCGAGAAGAAAGATAAAACCGCTTCGCTACAAAGAGCCCGGGCGAAGGAGGCTGGCGGTGGCTATATTTAGGCGCTCCATGCAGGCCAGAGTGTGATGGGAGTACATGATACATTGTTGCCACCCGATGACTGCGCACTGCAAGAAGAGTACGGCTTTGCTTTGCCCACGTGATTCTGGCTGGTGTGAAATTGGGAAGCAGCCTGAGGCCAGACATTATTGTTATACATTCGTTTGCCATCGTGTAGTATCCAGTCGACACAGTCTTGGCGAGATGAAACGCCGATTGGCTGCGCGAGGAGGGGTTTCTTGCTGCGTATTTTCCTGCTTGATGTCTTGACTGCTGTCTGTAACTGATGGCCGTCGCCGAAGATTTCAGCAAGTGGGTGCAGCCTTGTCTTTTCATGGACAACTGAGAGGTAGAGAGGTTGTTAGCCGCGTCTCGTAAAGTGGTGCCCGTTGACCTTGCACACTTCTCTGAGACCAATAGTCTGTATAGTGGTCGACGGAATTGGGTAGTCAATCATTGTTTCTTTTTTCTTCTTCTTTTTCTGATGCTTTAACGGCCATCTTTTCCAAGTGACGGACTTCGAGCAAGGTTGGACAGTGCAGCCGCCGGAAAGTCAACTAGCCTTAGTTTTCAAGCTTCTACTCTAGGCGCATATCATCATCTAGTTACCTAGATACTGACGGATAGACAGGTTATGTATTGAATAAAGTGGCAAAGCAAAGTACAGTTCAAGAGCTGACACCGTTTCACATTATAATTATTTCATCACAGTCCTAGAAAAAAAAGAAACGGGTGATGGGCTTCCGCACTCAGAATCTGATATCGTCACACACACACACACACCCAAAGAAAAGCAAAACATAAATGATATATGACGATGGAAATGTGTGACAAACACGCAAACGAGGAACGGAAAAATCGCAAATAGGAAAAGCCGGCGAAGAAGAAACCAATGTAGTACAGAAACTTGATAAAGATACCAGGGAGATACAAAGATAAACGGAAAAAGACCATCAGGCATCATCAAAGATGGCACCTTTCATATAAGAGTTGTACGAAATTCCAAATGCTCGAGACCAGTCTCAGAAAGGTTGGGTATAGACGTACAAAAGTGGCGGACGTATTTGAACGATAAAGGGTAGTAAACGAAGGGTACAAAAACACAACAAGTGAAAGAAGAATACTGCGACAAAAAAAAAAAAAAAAAAAAAAAAAAAGGGGGGGGGGGGGGGGGAAGACAGGCACTTTTCCCTCCTGCAGAAAAGTCGATCCTATATCATGTTGCGACCAGAATGTTCTGGTGCCTCCGGACGGAGAGCCGTGGGCGTTGTCATCGATTCGGCAAAGCTGTCAGT